CAGCGAAATCGTTCGCTAGCGAAATATTTGCATATTTTCTTTTGAATTGAGAACAGTCAAGTGGAACTAATTTATTTATACTGTTAAAATTCAAAAGAAAATATGCAAATATTTCGCTAGCGAAGGATTTCGCTGTAAGTGGAAATCCGCCTTAAGTGTTGCCAATTTGGTCAAAATTCACGACTTTTTCAATACTCCAAAAACTAAATAAACATGCCCCAAAACAAAAGATATTAGTCTTAGCAAGCAATGTTTAACATGTTTTAAAACATGTTTTAGAAAATTTTAATTCAATTTTCGTGGAAATGGTAAGGGGTAAGCCTTACCATTTTGGTCAATGTTCCAAAAACAAACCAAATATGTTCAAAAACCAAACGGATTAGTCCTAGCAAGCAATGTTTAACATGTTAACACATGCAGTTTTAGAAAATTTTGAAAAGTTGTCAACTGATGACTTTTTCAATGTTCCAAAAACCAAATTTCAAAAATTGACGAAAATTAGGATTTTTTCTTTGGTCCCCCATTGCCGATTTGCCTGAAATTTTGAAATTTATGAAAGTATGATTTTATGTGTTTATATGTAATCTTTTCATGAAATAATGTAATTCCACCTACTTCGGCAGCATTTCGACGTATTTCTAACCGAATTTTGAAACTTCAAAAAATTGAGGAAAATCAGGATTTTTCCATTGGCCACGTTGCGATTTGCCTGTAATTTTGAAATTCATGAAAGTATGATTTTATTTGTTCATATGTAATCTTTTCATGAAAGAATGCAGTTCTACTTAATTCGACAGGATTTCGACGTATTTTCCACCGAATTTTGAATTTTCATAAAAGTGACGAAAATTAGGATTTTCCTTTTGGTCTCCCGTTGCCGATTTGCCTTAAATTTTGAAATTTATGAAAGTATGATTTTATGCGTTTAAATGTAGTGTTTTCATGAAAGAATGCAATTCTACTTACTTCGACAGCATTTAGACGTATTTTCAACCAAATTTTGAAACTTCATAAAAGTGACGACAATAAGGATTTTCCCTTTGGTCCCCCGTTGCCGATTTGCCTAAAATTTTGAAATTGATGAAAGTGTGATTTTATGTGCTCATATGTAATCTTCTCATGAACAAATGTAATTCTACTTAGTTTGAAGCATTTTGAGGTATTTTCAACCAAATTTTGAAATTTAAAAAATTGACGAAAATCAGGATTTTTCCTTTGGTCCCCCGTTGCCGATACACCTGAAATTTTGAAATTCATAAAAGTTATGTTTTATGTTTTCAAATGGAGTGCTTTCACGAAGGAATGTAATTCAACTTAGTTTTCAAGCATTTTGAGGTATTTTCAACCCAACTATGAAATTTCGAAAATTGACGAAAATTGGGATTTTTCCTTTGGTCCTCCATTGCCGATTTTCCTGAAATTTTGAAATTCATGAAATTAAGTATGCTTTTATTTGTTCATATGTAATCTTTTCATGAAAGAATGCAATTCTACTTACTTCGGCAGCATTTCGACGTATTTTCAACCGAATTTTGAGTTTCGAGAAATTGACTAAAAAAAAAGGCCTATTTTATTTCCCTACAATTTTGAAATTCATGAAAGTAAAATTTTGTGTGTTCAAATGTAGTGTTTTCATGAAGGATAGTAATTCAACTTAGTTTTGAACCATTTTGATGTATTTTCAACCGAACTTTGAAATTTCAAAAATTGACGAAAATTGATTTTCCCTTTGGCCCTTTGCCGATTTGCCTAAAATTTTGAAATTGATGAATGTGTGCTTTTATGTGTTCATATGTAAATTTTTCATGAAGGAATGTAATTCTACTTAGTTTTGAAGTATTTTGAAGTATTTTCAACCGAACTTTGAAATTTCAAAAATTGACGAAAATTGGGATTTTTTCTTTGGTCCCCCATTGCCGATTTGCCTGAAATTTTGAAATTCGTGAAAGTATGATTTTATGCGTTCAAATGTAATGTTTTCATGAAAAAATGCAATTCTACTTATACTTCGACAGGATTTCGACGTATTTTCCACCGAATTTTGAAACTTCATAAAAGTGACGACAATTAGGATTTTCCCTTTGGTCTCCCGTTGCCGATTTGCCTAAAATTTTGAAATTGATGAAAGTGTGATTTTATGTACATGTGTTTATATGTAATCTTCTCATGAAGGAATGTAATTCTATTTATTTTTGAAGCATTTTGAGGTATTTTCAACCAAATTTTAAAATTTTAAAAAATTGACGAAAATCAGGATTTTTCCTTTGGTTCCCCATTGCCGATTTCCCTGTAATTTTGAAATTCATGAGAGTATGATTTTATGCGTTCAAATGTAATGTTTTCATGAAAGAATGCAATTCTACTGACGACAATTAGGATTTTCCCTTTGGTCTCCCGTTGCCGATTTGCCTTAAATTTTGAAATTTATGAAAGTATGATTTTATGCGTTCAAATGTAGTGTTTTCATGAAAGAATGCAATACGAAAATTGGTATTTTTCTTTGGTCCCCCATTGCCGATATACCTGAAATTTTGAAATTTATGAAAGTATGATTTTATGTGTTCATATGTAATCTTTTCATGAAAGAATGCAATTCCACCTACTTCGGCAGCATTTCGACGTATTTTTAACCGAATTTTGAAACTTCAAAAAATTGAAGAAAATCAGGATTTTTCCATTGGCCCCCGTTGCCGATTTCCCTGTAATTTTGAAATTGATGAAAGTATGATTTTATTTGTTCATATGTAATCTTCTCATGAAAGAATGCAATTCTACGTACTTCGGCAGCATTTCGACGTATTTTTAACCGAATTTTGAAATTTCAAAAGATTGACGAAAATTGGGATTTTTTCTTTGGTCTCCCATTGCCGATTTGTCTGAAATTTTGAAATTCATGAAAGTATGATTTTATGCGTTCAAATGTAATGTTTTCATGAAAGAATGCAATTCTACTTACTTCGGCAGCATTTCGACGTATTTTCAACCAAATTTTGAAACTTCATAAAAGTGACGACAATTAGGATTTTCCCTTTGGTCCCCCCGTGCCGATTTGCCTAAAATTTTGAAATTGATGAAAGTGTGATTTTATGTACATGTGTTTATATGTAATCTTCTCATGAATGAATGTAATTCTACTTATTTTTGAAGCATTTTGAGGTATTTTCAACCAAATTTTAAAATTTTAAAAAATTGACGAAAATCAGGATTTTTCCTTTGGTTCCCCGTTGCCGATTTGGCTGAAATTTTGAAATTGATGAGAGTATGATTTTATGCGTTCAAATGTAGTGTTTTATGAAAGAATGTAATTCTACTTAGTTTTAAACCATTTTGATGTATTTTCAACCGAACTTTGAAATTTCAAAAGATTGACGAAAATTGGGATTTTTCCTTTGGTCCCCGATTGCCGATTTCCCTGAAATTTTGAAATTGATGAAAGTGTGATTTTATGTGTTCATATGTAATCTTCTCATGAATAAATGTAATTCTACTTAGTTTTGAAGCATTTTGATGTATTTTCAACCAAACTTTTAAATTTCAAAAATTGACGAAAATTGGGATTTTTTCTTTGGTCTCCCATTGCCGATTTGTCTGAAATTTTGAAATTCATGAAAGTATGATTTTATGCGTTCAAATGTAATGTTTTCATGAAAGAATGCAATTCTACTTACTTCGGCAGCATTTCGACGTATTTTCAACCAAATTTTGAAACTTCATAAAAGTGACGACAATTAGGATTTTCCCTTTGGTCCCCCCGTGCCGATTTGCCTAAAATTTTGAAATTGATGAAAGTGTGATTTTATGTACATGTGTTTATATGTAATCTTCTCATGAATGAATGTAATTCTACTTATTTTTGAAGCATTTTGAGGTATTTTCAACCAAATTTTAAAATTTTAAAAAATTGACGAAAATCAGGATTTTTCCTTTGGTCCCCAATTGCCGATTTGCCTGTAATTTTGAAAATCATGAAAGTATGATTTTATTTGTTCATATGTAATCTTTTCATTAAAGAATGAAATTCTACTTAGTTTTGAAGCATTTTGAGGTATTTTCAACCAAACTTTTAAATTTCAAAAATTGACGAAAATTGGGATTTTTTCTTTGGTCTCCCATTGCCGATTTGCCTGAAATTTTGAAATTCATGAAAGTATGATTTTATGCGTTCAAATGTAATGTTTTCATGAAAGAATGCAATTCTACTCACTTCGGCAGCATTTCGACGTATTTTCCACCGAATTTTGAAATTTCATAAAAGTGACGAAAATTAGGATTTTCCCTTTGGTCTCCCGTCGCCGATTTGCCTAAAATTTTGAAATTGATGAAAGTGTGATTTTATGTGTTCATATGCAATATTTTCATTAAGGAATGTAATTCTATTTAGTTTTTAAGATTTTGAGGTATTTTCAACCGAACTTGGAAATTTCAAAAATTGACGAAAATTGGTATTTTTCTTTGGTCCCCCATTGCCGATATACCTGAAATTTTGAAATATATGAAAGTATGATTTTATTTGTTCATATGTAATCTTTTCATGAAAGAATGCAATTCTACTTAGTTTTGAAGCATTTTGAGGTATTTTCAACCGAATTTTGAAATTTCAAAAAATTGACGAAAATCAGGATTATTCTTTGGTTCCCCATTGCCGATTTCCCTGTAATTTTGAAATTCATGAAAGTATGATTTTATTTGTTCATATGTAATCTTTTCATGAAAGAATGCAATTCTACTTACCTGGGCAGCATTTCGGGATATTTTTAACCGAATTTTGAAATTTCATAAAAGTGACGAAAATTAGGATTTTCCCTTTGGTCTTCCGTTGCCGAGTTGACTAAAATTTTGAAATTCATGAAAGTGTGATTTTATGTGTTCATATGTAATCTTGTCTTGAAGGAATGTAATTCTACTTAGTTATGAAACATTTTGAGGTACTATCAACCGAATTTCAAATTTGAAAACGATTTTCATGGGCTGAACTTTACAACACATTTCTGTTTCAATCAATAAAAAAGCTTCGTTCTTTAGAAGGCATAGAAAAGCATTATCCAATTGGACGAAAGCTTCCGAGAGCTGCGACATGTGCCATCTTCCTTAGCACGTTTCCGGAATAACGACGAGTTGTCCTAAATATTGCATACTAGCATTCTAGCACGATTTTGTGGGTACATATTTCGACCAAATTACAGTTCCTGCTGACTTCGATACAATTTCCTCTTTAATATAACACATTTGCATGGTATTGTCGTTCAGTTCTTACTCTCGGACCCAGTCTGTACTTACAAGTAAACAAAAAAAACATTGACAAAACAACTCAACAATTATTTTAAAGACACGCAGCCATGCATGTAGCCAATTTATTAAAGTGCTAGTTTACCCTGATCAGATTTTTCTTATTCGAAATCATTGGCTTATTTTTAAATGCAATGGAAAAAAGGTTTCTTGTAGTTTCTCCACTTTATTGACGTCATGATATTGAGATCATTTGGGACCTTTCGGAACCTTGCAATTTGACGCAAAAATTTTATGCAAGATAACAATAAAATATATTTAAAATCTGATTTGGGGTTGAGCACTAAACTAACGAAAACTGAAAACAATTATATATAACGATAATGTAATCATTATTCTCTGGTTACAAAATATCTGTTCACTTCACGTTGTTCTCTTCCCAGCCTGCTTCGCTGTCAGGTGATCAGGTGATTCTTTTCTACACTTCTATTGTATACAACAATCACCCTGTTTCTTGGGAATCTTTGTGTTCCGTACAACATCATCTACATGTTGTGCTGCTTTCTCCGCTCTTAAAGTTGAAAAGTTCAATTTAAATACATTTCGAATTGATCATTTTGATCATTTTGACAAATGATCGCATATAGGACAGTTTTAATTTCTAACACAACACTTACTCCTGTACTTGGGAATCTTCTATTCTCACAAGCTCGTCGCGCTTGTCTACCAAACGAACTAACTCCGCCAGCAACAATTCCTCACGTTTCTTCTCTTGTGCACTTTTTTCTCGTTCTTTGAAGAAGCAATGATAGCAACATCTAACCACATTTTTCAACCATTACCGTTTTTCAATGCCGATGCATGCAATTTTAGTGTATTGATGTTATATAGGTGTAATCATTCGTTATTAGTTTAGCTATAGCATTTTCTTAAAAAAATTGCGTGCGGTAAAAATTTAATACCAAAGAAAAAATGCGTTCACTTACTATTATCAGCCATTAAAAAGCGAAGTTCTCTGTTTAACAATTCAAAACGTTTCTCTAAATCTTCTTCCTTTTCTCTGAAATGAATATTTAAAAAGATTATTGCTATAAATGTCTACACGGTCTGTTTTAAACAGTCGTGCTTCTCGTTATTAAAACCATTCATAATAGTTTGAGGTGAGCAGCATATTTGTAGCTTGTGAACAATCCAAGATACTTGAAATAATTTTTGGTAATTAGAATAAGAACGCGTGGAAACTGCCAAAATTGTTGCAAACAGGTTTCACGTTCTATGGCAAATTATTAACGACATTGTCGTCGATAAAATTTCATGGAAACTCGAGGCCTGAGAGCACATATGCAGGCATCAGATCATAGACTTTGTTGACTCAAACAGGTCATAGACTTTGTTAAATAAATACCACACATACTTACAATATACTTAATTCCGTCTGTCGTCTGACAATTTCATTCCTCTTGTTCACAAGCAAAAACCATTCTTGGAATAATCTCTGTTCCTCATCTTTACAATCTTTAGAGAAATTGTAATTGTTTACTTTTTAAACTTTTGATCTTTACTCAGTGAGCCATACATATATACTGAGCCATAATGATTGCGGTATATCTGTAATATGCCAAAGAGCTCTGGAGGTGTTGAACCTGTGTGACTTTCACGTAATCAAATATTATGATTTAATTTTTAATACGATCGAATTATATGAATGCTTCAAGATTTGAACTGGGGACTCATCATAAAATGTACAAAAATTTCTTTTCGGTTACCTGCTGTGTTCATGGCTTCCCGCAATTCTTTCTCGAGTTTTACCGCCACTCGATCTAATGCCACACGATCCTCCTCTAAAACAGCAATCTCGTGCTCAACATACTGAGATGTATCTTGGAAGCCCTGTGGATTCAGATCAATATATCTTTATTCACATTTTGATATAAACAGAATGCTTGCTGGTTTCATAAGGCTAACAGGAATTTCTGGTCGAAAACTGCAAATAATCTACAGCATGTCCCCAAACAAGTGACACTAAAGAAATCCTATTGTTATTTAAATACCAGGGTCCGGTTGTATAAAAGACTAGTTAACTTTTAAGAGCAGAAGTGGCCAAAGACTAGTTAACTTGTAGTTAAGAGCAGAAGTGGCCAATCAGAGTCGTGGATGTATTTCTGAGTTAACTAGGATTTTAACTTTGTAAGTTAACGTGTAGTTAAGTGGTAGTTTTATGCAACCGGCCCCAGAGCGCTATGTTAAAGAAACCTACAGGTGCAAAGACATTAGCTTTTTGAACAGTAAATCTCCAATTACCATGAAAGTGGAAGTCATGGTTCAACTGACAAAGCAGGGTATTTGGCTGTAAAACAGTTTTAAAATAGAATTTCATAATAAATTTCCTTGTGTGAAATTAGTACATACTTCCTCGTCTTCACCATTATCGTACAATTCTTCATCTGATCCATTTTCGTTTTCAGAGCCATGACCAACCTACGGCGAAAATTGAAAATGGTAAAAATTGTAATACAGAGTCTTCCGGTGATCGTAATACAGAGCTCCAACATGGATGAATAGGTATTTCCACTATTGGTTCGATAGAAGCAGGAGAGAACTAAATGTTGTACCATTTTATCGCAGTGGATTTATATAATTCATATAATTCCTTGCTCAATTAGCTACCTTTCTAATTTCCTATCTGGCAATAAAAAACTACCAAACAAAAAACTTTTTTCCCTGCTTCGTTATCAGGTTTTGCCTTCAATGCCTTGTCAATTTTGAGTACGCCCTCCTGTTCTATTAGGTATCTATCCACTTACATTATCTAATATATCATTAACGTCCTCTTCAGATGAATGGCCATGATCTGACGACAATGACTCTGGAAGCCAAAACATGACAACAGTTATGACCAGACACATACGTGAGTATAGTAACAATGATAGTAAATTATATACAGGATGCTCAAAAACGTTCCTTTAAGTCGATGAGAAGGACACGTATTAGGACAGTCGTTCGTACACATGGAGAACATCGACATTAAAGGGAAGCGGTTGATTATATGGAGCCTTCCTTACCCTGCATGGGGTTGACCACATATTGAATAAGGGGATTTTTGTTAAATCATATATTGTATTTTATACGGTGTGTTTACAATTAAACTGCATTCATCCCATGGCCGACTTTGAGTAGCAATCTGAACTCGGCTGTGTATGGAAGTTGGCTGGCATCATAGCGACCACTCAGATGAAAAATAAAGCAAATATAAAATGTATTTACCGCGACTACGGGACAGTTGACCAAAGGCTGTACTTATGTTACTCTCATTGTTAGTTTCACTCAATTTGCGAGACTTGATGCTGTACTTCTTCAAGTCAATCTTTGTCTCCCGACCTGAAAATCAACAAAACCGAACATAAATAAAACAATACTTTGGTCCGTGTGTTCGTTTAGTTAAATCTCATCTGTCATTTCTTGGGTATTTATTTCCCGTCAGCTGCATGTTATGCAATTTCTTCACTTTGAATTTACTAACAACAACAGGGACATATGCCTTACCAGAACTCTTTTAAAATAGTTTAGAACTAATGAGCTATTCAATATCTATAAACAGGCGGAAAACCAGTCTAGATGGACTAATGCAAAACATTCTTATAAACATACTCGTGGTTGAAGATAGAGGTTTCACAACAGCGTGCGGTACAGTTTCTTTTCTTTTGAAAGTCAGTTTAAACGGATTTTGTTGTAAAGATGGATTTGGCTCATTTTCTTCATCTCCCTGCGTGTTCAATGGTTCCTCTACCGTTTCATTTTTATTTGCAGTCGTTTGGTGATCAATTTGCTGCTCATCCCCACTCTCTTGAGGTTCATCTTCAGACTTGGCTCCTTCCTCAGTATATGTATACACACGCGGTGGCTTCGGTGGGCTTGTCATACTAGCGGTTTTCTTCACATCATCAGCAGGGGGGTGCGATTCAGTTTCAGGGGGGTTAGTTTTCCTGTTTGGTCTCTCCCTGGCCTCCCTTATCGCTTGTTGTACTTTCTCACTTCGCTCGCTTCGCTGCTCAACTTCGGGCTAAAAGAGGATATCTCAGACGTGATAGGTATTATAACAGCCAGAATGGTCAGTAACTGCATTTTGATTCCGGCAGTGTTTGCAATTATGCTGATCACTAAACGTGGGTCACTAGCTTCAATGAATTCAGCGCAAGCAGTTCTCCACAGACGTCAGAAATGACAGAGGTAACAAATGAGCTACCTAAAGACACGAAAAAAACTTCCCAAACCCTCAGGAGCAGGGGTCTCTTGTCAAGAAGATTTTTCTTTCAGAATTCGGAACGAATTGGTCGCCGAAGTCAAACATGCATCAAATCTAGGGCAAGCCATATTGAAGGCAGATGATATCTCTCCCTAACTTACCACATTCTCCTGTTTTGGATTGATTCTTTTAATACGAGAAGACTCCAAAGTTTTTCGAGTTTTTTCAGTGATTCTCTTCTGATATTCAATCTCATCCTTAAACGATTAATTCGGTTCAGTTGAGAAATTGCAATGATATACAGATCTTCACAACACGATATCGGGTGGAAATGCAGTACCTTTAACTTGGATGCCAAAGTCCCGCGTCTATTTTCACCGGGAGGTTCTGGTGCCTTGTACTTCTTCGACGATGTTAATCGCGGGAGATTGGCGCTAGCTTGTACAGGAATTCTAGAAGCCACGTTGTTTCTTGGTTCTAGAACAATTAAAACCCGTGTCCTTAAGGATATATTGTTATTTTGGTGTCTCACTCGAGAAACCGCGACGCATTGCTGAAGGGAGACCCCTATCGATATTAAAGATATTTTTTTGGATTATATCTCCGAAATATTGGAATCCCCGGGAGGTAGATGCGGTGAGCATGGAGATCTAGATGAATATGTTAGACAAGATTCTTAAAATATTGCACAAAGTCATTTAGGAAATATTGTCTTCATGGCGGATACAAACTGGATAGCGCTTTTTAAAGCAATAAATCATGAATTCTAGTTACCCTGGTTAGTGGTTTGAGATTTTGCCGTTCTTGCTCTAGCTTCTTTGATCATTTGTCTTGCTTGAGCTTTGATTTCTTCTTGTTTTGCAGCATCGTCCTTGAGCAGAACAACGTAATTATGGATAAACTACTCAAGCACTTATGTCGGTAACTGGCTTTATATTGTTTCCCAAAATTCCGCCACATACTTTCATGGAAATTCGACGATTTTAAGGAATCGAGTAAAAAAGAATGGTTTGAACTATCAGAGTTGTTCTAATCGGATTAGGAATTTTGTAAATGTAAAATGTATTAGTAACTCTTTTTGCAGAAAATTGTTAACCTTTTTTAAGATATTGCATATTGTAGATATTGCCGCAAAATGACGTCATATGGCACAGGAAATTGCATGTTTCTTGCTTTGTATAACTGTCATTGTTTCAAATTTATGATCTAATTGATAACTCTGATACCTCGTGCAGTAGCTTTATATAAATATTAACATCAAGGCGTTTAACACATTATCCTCACAAGAATGAAACGTTTTCTATTCGAAAATGCATTGTGCTGTGCATGTGATGTCATTCAAGTCATATACTGTATGTGCAATATCTCAAGAGACGGAAAGACTAAACAAATTTTTACAAAGGAAAATACATTCGCATTGCGATTCTGACTTTGCAGTGTAATTATAAGGCTTTTATTTAGACGTGTGTTTAGGGCGAATGCAACTATAAAGCAACAGATAATAACTAAATGAGCCTCATTATGACCATCATTATTATTTCATTATCCTAATTGCATTTGACGCGACGTAAATGCCACAACGTCTTAATCAAGTGTAAAAAAATTAACCCACTCGACATTCTTACCAGTTAATCAGGTTTAAACTTACATAAAGTTCATGGTCACAAAAATACTGGAAAATCTTGTTGAAAACAAGCGCGGTGTCGCTGTCTGCATGAATTAAATTACTAAAAATTGGCGGCTCTTAACTGTCATTGCAATATTTCAAGAATTTTGATAGATTATAAGCCACACAAAATCAATATACCAATAAACACAAAAGCAATCAAGGTCAACTTCCAAACAAGGATTCGATAAATGGTACCATATAAGAAATATAACAAGCGTTTTGGTAGCTTTCAAAAATCTGTGCACCATGACCATGATCATAGCATTTGATGTGGCGATTATTAATGAAATGACAATTTATCTATACTGACATTTAGTTATAACATCACATCTCAGTGATCTCACCACACACGAGAAATAATAAATGCAAAGCGGAACTTAATTAACATCATTAAATAGCATCATTAAATAGCATCACTAAACGTACCGATTTCTTTGCTTTCCATTCTTCGAATGATGGAATCCTACTTCGTGGCGACGTTGGTAGGCTAAGCTGCCCGCGACCAGGTGTTGGTGACGTAGGTGTTCCTTTTCTACCCTGAATTTTTCAGATTTTATGATAAATGGACAGCGAAAAAAAAACTAGACGATAGATTGTCGTTACGAATAAAACATTGAGATAAACTCTACCAAACTCTACCTCTCTTTAAATAAACTTACCAGATTCTCTGATTCTGGTCTTTTTGGTTTGATATGACTCTCAGTCAACTGTTTCCTAAAAGGCGGCTATAATACAAAGAAAATAAATCATTCCAATTTTAGTCCATAACTTTTCTCCAGAATTCTCTATGGTTATAGTATAGACCAGCATCTGGAGGTGATAGTTAAGCACACAGATTTGAGCACTCCAGTCGGAATATGGTTGCCGATATTAGTTTCCCCCAATGTTTCTACAGTAGGTAAAGTTACATACCTTTGCGCTCAGTGCTGTTGGTCGCTCCATAGAACCAGTTCGATCTCCGGGCCGTCTTATTTCCTTACGATGCATTTGAGTAACTTGTACATTTTCTGTAGATCTCGCAGGAGGAGGAGAATTAGTTTGACTTGTATCTACAGTCCTTGCTGATGATGTGTGACTGTGGACTACAGGTGAAGTACTTCTCTGTGTATTATCAGTTTTATTGGTATATTTGTCTTTGGTAACACCAAGGTTATTATCTGTTTGTAGTCTACTTGAATTAGTTATTGGGCTACGCCTTGGGCTTGTATTGGCAACGAGAACTTCATTAATGCTAGTTGTTCCCATTCCTCTCTCAGGACTACCTCTCTCTTCCCTTACCGAGTCACGACTCCTCGGATCTTTGTCCACGTGACTTTCTTCACCGGTTTTCACTTCATTATTTTTACTTAGAACTTGGTCTAAATCAGTCTCAAGTGGTTCGTCATAGTCCTCATCAAAAGGATTCAAACTTTTAGGTGCTTCCTTCTGAGTTACATTACTTTCCTCGACATCATCTATATAATCATCATCAAACGGATTTAGCGACTTTCCTTTAATGGAAGTCTCATCCTCTGTTTTTAACTCTTGTTTATTCTGATTTAAATCTTCATCCACCTCTTCATCAAATGGATTAAATCCTGGTTGAGGAGAATATTGCACAGTATTTTCATGTTTTGATTTATAATCTTTTATGTCATGTTCTTCTGGTGGTTTTGGGGCTTTCTCTTTTGTTTTTGCCTGGTTTGTTCTACTATCATTAGTCCCCAACCTCCACGGGTCTTCGCTCGTAATCGCTTTTCTTTCTTGCGGTTTTACAGATGGTTTTTTGATACCCGTTTTTTGGTTGTGCTCCCATACACTGGGCTCGTTTTCTTTCGCCTGATTTTCTCGCAATTTTTCATGATTACATTTGTCAATGGTTTGTGAATGATTTTCTGACGATATATTATGTTCCTCATCTTTCAAGACCACATCACTCCTGTTCTTTTCCTTTGATTCAACAACTGCAGCGTCAAATTCAATATTTCCTTCTTCCAAACTTGTCGGAGTGAATCCGATATTAATACCCGCCTGAGCGATGGGTTCATCTTCATCAAACGGATTATACCCAGGATTGGCTTTATACTCAATCTTACCGTCTGTCAAGGTGTCTGTTTTACTATCGTTTGAGATATCCGTTTTAACGTCTTTTGGGGGATCTGTTTTTGTATCAGATTCCTTACTGTCTTTTAACTTTGTAAAATCATTGCTCTCAATATCGTTTATTAGAGTTTCGGTATTCAGTCTCAGGTTCCGCTCGGCCTCAACTATGGTATCCAAGGTGAGGCCATCATCCTCATCACGTTCCTCAATTGTTTTCTTTTTTGTTGTAAAATACTGTTTGATCTGATGTAAGTAGGTCATAATGAGAAGTTTATCAGGGACTGAGGAGAGAACCATCTGATGTGGGTCTAACATTCTGGATATACCCAGATATTCAAATGCTTCAAAAGCCTATATCAAGAGGAAAACGAACATTTATTGATTAAAATTTTTATCAACACTTCACAGTATACTCCAAAGGATGCATAAAACTGCCAAGAATTAAGGACTTTCGTCAGAAAAGAAAAATATGCAAAGAAAAAATAAGTACAACTTACAAGTCTGTTGTTTTCTCTGACATCGTCCTCCTTTAGACTTGAGAAGTCTCTAAACATATTATGAGGTAATTTTTAACATAGCCCAAGTGTCAGGCCCCTACGTGGAAGAGAATAGTAATCCTAGACCCAGGCTGCCTGACGAGTAACCCCCGTTAACGAAGTCCCAGCTTCACCTACTTCTATTATCCAACACCCGAAAATTCTCCTGTGATAACTTTACCAGCGATAACACTCTATTGTTTTACTGTTTAGCTTTTCCTGACTTATTATGAATTTCATAAATTGTACTTACATCATATCAGAGTTGAAATGATGTATAATGGCACAAAATGCCAAGCCATTTCTCCATGACGTCGTCATGTTAGTCAGTTCTACATTAGGATAATCTTTCACACATTCCTGACACCACTCTAAATAAAAAATCAAACACATGTCAATGAATTCCCCAACACATGGTGAACCGTGAACTACCATATCAATGGATACATACTCAGTAAACTTTGTTCAGGGGCAGACATTTCATCTTCCTTCTTCTAAAAAATTAATGAAAAATAGAATACCTTTGAAAGACACACAATGAATGGCCAATTCTCAGATCCTCATAGTGGACTCTCTGAAATAACCATCTCTCCAACATGGTTATCATTCAATAAGCAATGGCACTCTTGATAAACTCACCTTTTTAGGACTAGACCTGTTTTCTATTTTTGAAAGATCAGTGTCACTTGTGCTCAGTGGTTTATTTAAACCATTTTCAATAACATGATTAGCCACAGGCAATGACATATTCATTGTGTCATTCTTGTGTGTCTTTCCTTTGCTTTTTACATGTTTTTTCACCTCCTTAGAGCTTGTTGTGTTGGTTGCCATGTTAAATGTTGGCTTGCTTTTTGATTTTGCTACACAATAGGTTAAAAATTTTAATTAATACTTTAAAAGTGCTGTTTAATCAATACCACCAGTGTCTTTGTCTAGTGATTCTAACCTGCATTTTAGGGTATATAACACTGTATATATAATTATATATGTATCTTTTGGTTGCAGGGCATTCTTCCCTTTAGTACCGTAAGACTAAAACTAACCTGATCTTAGAGATAGTCTTTTTCCAGCATTTCTTTTAAAGTTCTTTCCGGCATCGAAATCAGACTCACGAGATCCATAGGGATCATTCAGACTAAGGAGACTACTCATACTTATCATATCTTCATCTCTACAAAGGCACAAAAGGTTTTAAATGAGATTTGACAAGCTCTTTGCATGGATCTGACAGCAACAAATAGACATACAGCAGAAACCCATGGTTTCTTATGTTGCTATTGGATTATTTGATTCCCACTGCTATCAAGCCTGGTGTAAGCAACAGGCTTCCAAAAAATATAAAAAGCAATAACATACGTTGCATTCCCTTCTTTAAGGAGCACACAAGCAAGGTTCAGATCTAGAGAAGCAGAGACAACTTTCTTTGATGCAGGTCGCAGTGGAAGATTCAGACAAAATGTTTGAAGATCAATGCTATGATAGTCCACCATGTTGATAGAAACACTTGCTACTGGACGACGTTTTCCAGTCACTGACTCCTAAAAATTATTTATAACAAAAGTACAAACATAATTAAAAAAAGCTAAATGAAAAACCAATGTTTCCTCTGCACAATTCACTCACATCTTCAATCAAAAATGTCCAAAGCTTATCTTCAAAGGGGCTCCCTTCCCTCGCATCCTTGTATAAAGTCACACTGATCTCCACTTCCTCAGGATCAGTCCAGACAATCATTCCTCGGAAAGGATTGGCAATACTTGGTTGCCATGTTTCTGGCTATATTTGAAATAAAATAATAAATCTATACATTAATTCTTGCAAATTTGCAGATATCAAATGAAATTCTATGCAAATAGCATGATCAACGGTTTTGAACCAATACACATATGTGAGAATCATGTAGAACTCTAAATTCCTAGAATGGCATTTCTTGCAGTGAACTAAAATTGTAATCAATTTTTTGGCTCACTTTTACACACCGTAATAGTAGTTAAAAAGGAAAAATTGCACACAGCACAAAAGTGCTGAGTAAACATTAAAAAATTCAGTTACTGGACTGTCAAATTTCTGTGAGCCCCACATTGGTCTTTCAGGTCTAGTATATTGCATAAAGCATTAATATTATTCTGATTAGGACACAATTCCACAATATTTTAGGGTAATTTTGATATTGGACAATGGGACTGACGAATTGTTAATACAAGGCAAACTTTTGTTATTTGCGAAGGTCGTAAAATATGTCCTGATTGAGACAGTCACCTAATTTTAGACATGTTTATTTTGAAATATACCTTGACAGCTTTTCGTCTATTCCGTCTCGTCCAGATCACGCTAAGTTTATTTGGTTGCCTAAAAATTGAACACTGTTAAACTATTGCACTTGAATTAAAAGCCACTGTGCAAGATTATATTGACCTAATGTAAGTTAAAGTGGCACTTGCAATATATATAATTCAAGACTATGGCAGTTGTTAGAAAGAAGCATTTAACACAACATTTGCTAGTACCAGCTGCATATGAAATGCATTATCAGTGGTAGGAAAATATTTAGGCAATACAGTAAGCCATGAATCTTTTCCTTGGTCAAGGGCTGTTCATTAGAAATGGGTTTGTAAGACTTGATAAGATATCAAATTATCTCTTAGGCCAGAACAAGGGCACAAAACCACAATTATAATATCTAACATGACCTGGAGACATGTTGGCTAATACAACCAGTTTTTTGGCTAACTTCAAAACTGTAAAAAAAACTTATAGAATTTAACCATTATATTCAGTACTGTACAAAATGACACAAGGTAACAAGAACAAGAAAGTCAAGAAGCACGTATCTAGTAGTTAAACTGAAATTCACCCTTTCTGAATCAAAAGTTTATTTTTAAAACGCACATTGTATAAAGAAGACAAAATATTGACATTACATCTTGATTAAATTTGGGATTAGATTTCACAACACGCTGTTGTTACAGATAATGTGTGGCAATCGACACCTAATATTGTAATAAACATTGCATTTTCAATTCCTTGTCAAATTATTTATTTAAGTTGTTAAAACTTCACTCAACAAACGCGAATTTTAAATTGAAATTGTTGCGGAAAAGAGTCATAAACATCCGTATTTATATATCTTTCGGTTTTGTTTCCATGTTGTAGTAAAACTAATGCAATATTGTATAAAAAAATACAATGTTTTTATGCTGGAACAACAAGCGTTTCATATAACATCTGCTAAAATAAAATGCAAATAATTCTCTCACTGTTTAACCATTTATTAAACTGAAACTAAGTTTACACGGAAAAACACACAAGGGCAATTTGCGAGTCCCAAACAAAATTTTGCAATGAATGGAGGTGAATAGTTACAAGGAACACGAGACTTTTACTAATTCACAAACAGATCAGATCTCTTATTAATGGATCGCATTAGGGGGGTACAAATACCATAGAATCTTTAGAAAATACCTTATTAAATTCAGAATACAGTTTATCACAGTATGTCGAGGACATTAATAAAATATTCAGTTCTGAAACGCCGGAATACGTAACTATATCTAGATTTTGTTCTCTATTTAATTTGAAGTTTGTGACTATTATGTGTCATCCCGTTATATTTACGCTATTAAACAAAAACACAGCAGTAAAGCTAAAGCTTCAAGGGGTATGTATGTCGACAATCAAGCTTCTAGAAGTCTGTCAAAGTCGGACGGATAGCATTCATTAAACATGTATTTAGAAAGCCAAAATCCTACCATTTCCCATCTCTAGAACACTCCAATGTTAGTGTCTGATACGAAGCGATAAACTGGAATTTCGAGGCCCGTTTGCCAACGCGTTGAATTCGTTTCCAAACGGAACTCATAGTTCAATTCTGGCCGCTTTTAGCCAGTTTCTAGTCAAATTCAAAATACATTTGATACCACATTGAAGAAAGCCGCTTTCTCAGTTCTTCCATATTTTCATAAATGAATCATGTTTTTGAGGCTGGCAGTGTTTCGCAAATAAATAAATTAGGGGATTGGAACTAGGCGCAGATTAATTACGTTTGTACGCTATACCAAAGACAGCAATTTTCTAATTACTGTTGATTGATTTATTATTGGTTATTTTGATACCTATTTGTATTATTTGTATCACACGAGAAGCAATACTTTGATAACAGTTAGACTAAGTAATATATGAAACCTGATCAAACCAAACAATGAAACAAGTTCGCGGAATTCTACAAGTTGGCTGTAGGTTGGCTGTTGGGCAGAATTTCCGCAAAGTATGTCAAAAATGAGCCATTTGTAAAATGACGTGGCCGTTGCATTCAGAGAGGCATAACCAGGGGTCTGGAAAAGTTTGACCCCTCTTGAGAAAATTCATTTTGTACAAATTAGTAGGCCCGACACAGCTTTTGTATTTGTTGGCCGGTTGGCCCTCCCTCAAAAACGTCTATTGAGACACATTTTCAGTATTAATTAAAACACGTCAATAAATAGACATCTTGACTGCATGAATTTTTTCAATGCCTTAAACTATCAGCACGCAAGTGCTCCTGCGTGTTTTTCCCAGAAGCGGAACTGAAATTTATATAGTAATGGTATTCGGTACGGAAAAAATTCTCTCCGGAATTACGCGCTATAATCATAAATCGTCATTCGATGTAACTAACAGCGCGTCCGTTTTCAACCCTTCGAGGGTGAGTACCATTTACTACACGGTAAGTCGCAAACAGCTTAAACAAGCTTTATATCTTAACATTTGTGTTCAAGTATTCAAGTTAAGCACCAATTAAGTCAAACTCTAACTTGTGAGACGAAATCAACCAAAGTACTTCACTTCATAACTCACACTCTGCCAATTATGTATGTATACACATTTTTTGTCCCATGTTTGGTTATATCTTCGAAAACTACTTGGAGAGACTACTACTTTTTTACCATCACCCTTTTTAAGCTATTTATGAAGGTTACTCTACCGCATACTGCGTAAAGTTTATGAGACTTAAGACCTACTATGTCTATTGTTAACACTAACTGCGTGACATTCTTTTACCCATTAGGGAAAGTGGTTGAAGACAGACACAATTCCGGTAGTACCTACCGCCATTATTGTATTTGTATATTGTTTCATTGCTAAATTTATATTGTAAAATTGTTATCATTTGACGTCATAGATTCCAGTGGATTCCATTCGAGTGTAATCAGAGCGGTTTTGGGTTTGGCAGAAAATATTTAGATTGTCGTGGCTATATCCAGAGTTGCTTGCTGAAACATGTTTCAAAGCAACGTATTTTCAAACCAGGACAAAGTATCAGGCATACGCTGTGCATGATATTAGCACGCAACGTGAAATCAATACGTGAAACCAACGGCTGTCCGGCTCCATTTACCTTTTCTGTTGTCTTATGTTACGTCCAAATCTTCGGCGTCGCAATTTCATTTTCCCGCCTGCAATTCCCAAGCTCATTAGGACAGCTATGTATGACGTCACAATGCTAAACTTGCTATTTTTAATATTATTAATTCCTTCGCGTTTGCAAGGAAACATTAACAGGAACAAGGAACAGGAGTGTTTGGTATGGAAAGAGCTGCAATATGCCCTGCTCAATAAAATGCTGTTTTTAGATTTTAGATTTTCGAAGCGCAGTGTGGTGAAGGATTAAGGACTCCATTATCTTCATCGATAATCCGAAAATCACATCAGAACAAAACCATCATCATTCATTACGGCCAAAAATCGACATGAATTAAGTTTACTAACCTGAAGGCGCTGAATCTAAAGCATCAAAGCAAGTTTTTTTGTTAATCACGAATTATTATCAAAATCAGTAATCATGTGTACTTAGCTATGATTTTTTAACAGCATGGTTAGATCATGCAGAGGTTGCACGCGTTCTTAAATGAGGGCTACCTTAAAGTGATCTAATGATGTACAAAACTTGTGCGAGTAGACTCTCTCCTGCGTTCGCTCTCAGTTGAACGAATTAAGTATGATTAGATCACGTTAGACAGTTCGCGGATTGGAGATACGTCTTAATTGGGACGAAGATAGCCATTTAGACGATTTAGTTATCTGCATAGCACCGATAGGAGTCTCGTCTCGTCCCGTCCAGAGACTGCAGACCTGTATTAGCCTTGTTTTCGAATGAATGCCATCATATATAGCTGGCCACCGGTCCACCACACTTCTTCTAAATATATTGAAGTGCTTCCAGAAACTTTTTGTTTCTGCAAGATTTTCATCAGGCTTTTCAAGATGGAAACCTTTCTAGCCTCCTCCGCAGGCATCTCTTATGTATTTATATTAGGCATTTATATTTGGCTTGGGTTAGACATAACGGATGATGTAATCATCGAAGGAAATAAAATTGCACTAAGATGGTACCAAGAGTTAAAACTTAATATTAAGCCATTAATACAAGGATCAAGAAAACGCAAACTTCATCCCATCTTGATTTTCTTTCAAGAAAAAATTTAAATGTACGCAGGGGGACATCTATGGTATCAACGACGCGTGGATAGATTTTCGTAATATGAACTGTCGGGAGCTTTAGTATTCTTTCTAAGCTAAATAGTATTTCGCTGGAAGATAGATGAACTACATAAAATAATACTGTATTTGTTTTCAGATTTTTCACGAAGTATTCTGAACTCTAGCTGTTTGTTTTGTGTTTCTCCCGTTTGTGCTTCCACCTTCGGCCCGAATGAAGATAGCCATTTAGACGATTTAGTTCTCTGCATAGCACCGATAGGAGGGAGTCTCGTCTCGTTCCGTCTCGTCCAGAGACCACAGACCTGTATTAGCCTTAATTCGCAGTGAACTCTTAAATACACAAATCTGATTGGCCAATCTATTTGCTCACTATAGTAAACTACCTTTTATACAACTGGTCTTGGGCATTCGAAAACAACTTATCATATTGGCGTTATGCTTTTATTAAAATGTCACAACCTGGCTTCCATCCAGCCAGTGAATTCAAATCAATTTGACCAAAGTAGATTTCTATTAACTAGGTTTGCGCGATGAATATTGTAATGAAATAACATTGGAATATAGTGGAATATAGCAGTTACAGAAAGATCCCCAACACTGACATGAAACACTGATAATCATGAGAAAATTTTTAGAACCACCAAGTGTTACATTTATTGCCTGAATTTATTGCCATTTAATGGCAGAAAATAAGTTGTGACTTACAAACGGGAAGCGAGAACGTTCACTCGTAAGTTGGTTAATAGAATACAAAGGGAAAGTGTCTTATGTAAGTCGAGACCTATTCAGTTTCTCCGTATAAATGGCCCTACAGTAGTTTTATTATAAGGATAAAAAACTCGACATAAAAATAACGAGGTTGCTGGCCTTACAGAGGGGAATGTGAAATTTTCTGGTGCGCTATATCAGCCTAGATGCCTTAAATTCATATTTCATAAGCATGAGTTTCAATAATTTTATAGCTTGCTTTCGAATAACTAATTTGATCAATGACCGCACAACATTTGGCCATTTGTTTCGAGTAGAAAAAATGTATGCAAATCGTTTCGAGTACTTCTTGCACTGTCTCCTTTAAACAAAAACTGTAAACTGGAAGGCCAGCAACAAGACTGCACGAAACTTAGTGAAATAATTAATCGACGTTATATGCTGGAAATTTATGAATAATTTGAGAGGCTGACGTCAGCATTGCGTTCTTTCCACACACTATGTATAACGTACAAAAATTCATCTAAATTATTATCAATTTACCAAGTGGAGTGAATAAAGAGATCTGATTTGATCCTCTTCCACTGTACGAATTTTGAGATTGGTACAGTTTACAAAAGGTATTAAATACACATTAATTACGCTAGAGACTTCAGTAAGATGCAATAAAATACCGAAAAACCTCTAACTACCAATAGATTTGACCTAAATTATCTTAATTTCAACAATACAGTCTATACACATTCCTTAGCAGTTGCATTTGTCTTGACTTTCTTTTTGGTCTGTCGCGATGGCGTTTGGGGCTCTTCCCGCCAGCGGTTTGTGTTGGACACCAGATTCTGCTGCATTTAGGTCCAAACTTCAATTTTTTTAGAAAATGAACACAAAAAATTGAGTTAACTTGATGGTTGCTTACACAAAAGGTCGCTGCTAGTATTTTATTATATAAAATAAGTTGCCGTATAATAGAGTGTGGCGTTGAATGCAAAGAACTTGAAGACTTTATCTCATTTACATTAGGTTCGGCACATGAAAATTTCGACATTTGAGGCCTGTTTCAGACGTCGAACTTTTCATGTACCGAATCGAATACAAATGAACTTAAACAAAAGGCTTTAGTTCTTTAACATTAAGTTCGGCACATGTAAAGTTCGACGTCTGAAACAGTCCTGAAACCGGTCTTAGCCAACCCCCGATTAAGTGTACAGATATTCAAACACTCTGACTCATGTAATTTATTATAACACACACTAGTCAACTTTACCTTCCATCTTGAATATTCTGATAAATCTTTTTAGCCGTTTCGAGGAAAGCCTCTTCCACATTTTCTCCCCTGAGTAAGGAATAATAAAATCAAAAACTTGACATTACTTAAGACTGCATAAGTTAAGGAATATATTAACTGATTGGCATTTTAAAAATGTATTTTGGATTGGATTATCCACCTGTTTAAGCTAAACGGGCTTGATACACCCGGCCCCAGATGTAAAAGTGCTCTTATTTGAACATCCGTAAAGGCCTATTTAGACTACACGATAAGTTGTATGCCCTTATCATTCTGACGAATGCAAAAGAGTGCCTATGCCACAATTTTCATTCAATTTAGTTCAGAGTGGAATTTAAAGTGTCACGTTTGTACGTGTGTTCATACGTTCACATACGCCAGGGTACGAATCGTATACGACAAATCGCATAGTGTAAATGGGCCTTAACTTATCCACTCATTTACATCTATCAAACGAAGATGTTATTGCAAATGCAAACGGGAAAATGTAAATGTTAATATAATACTTACGTTTTCGCACTAGCTTCACAGTATAACAAACCTGTTAAAATATAATTTAATATATTTAGAACCTATTTTCCTTCCGTCAAAATAAAATAATAAAGCAGGATATAGGAGCAAAAGATATATAGGAGCAAAACAGGATAAATATGAGCATTAATACCATTTTCCTCTGCAAACTGTTTGGCTTCGTCATAGGTAACATCTCTTTGAGCATCTAAATCTGATTTATTACCAATCAGAAATATAACCTGGAAATACATGAAAAACATCCAGAATGTAAATTTAAGAGTCAATAAAGATAAACACAATCATAATTGTAGAACTTATTCTACCAACAGCTGATTCTAAACTTGTGTGTGTATATAATTCAGAGGTTTGACAGCCCCTTCCCCATAACATTTTAAAAGCAGTTATATTCTTCTCAAAGTCAGGGACAAACAAACAGTAGAAAGCAGATTAGATAAACCTTAGCTACCCTAAGCACCACCTAAGGAAGACATTCCTCCCCTAAAGAAGGTAGGGGTTAAATTCTAACAGTTTACAATTTAAGATATTAGACAATCTATCAGTAAATCCAGGAAAATCATATTCAGCAATATTTACGGTAGCTGTGTATCCATAGCCAGAAATGGAAAATGGATCAGATTAATTGCTTTGGCAAGATTTTATTGTCCCCAAAACCCAGCTAACATGACACTTACTGTGTTAGGATTGGTTAAATTTCTAGCATCTGTAAGCCAACTACTTAGATGATTGTAGGTACTCCTCCTACATATTGAAAGTAGAATATGTGGGACTTTAATGGTTCAGTGTACATTAACTAATGCTTGTTTGAACTAAATGGGATTCCAAATGAACTTTTTATATGGGATGATATACAATGTATGACATTAAACAGGGACTCTCGCACATAAATAATTCAAATGCATCAATAATTACATTAAATTTGTAAAAGTTAATTTATAGTTTCAAATGTTCTTTAAAAATAAAAACTCTTCCTTTTATACTTTTACAATATAAAATTCATTATGATAATGCAATACTATGTGGGAACAGGAAGGAAAAAAACTCAGACCTTGAATTCAGACAGGGGCGAAGATATGAAATATATTTCTGACCACAAATGGATTTGGGATGTCCATATTGGGTGAACATAGCCTGCAGCTTAGTAGAGATATTTTCTGATTTTGTACTGGTCTCATGTATTTAAAGATGTTCCACTGCAACTATTTCCCCGCAACTACTTTAACACAATGACATTGTAACTTAGTTTTTATCAACTACCCTAAGGATCACTTTGATGATGGTCAAAATTAATAGGAATCCTTACTCCTTGTCTTGCATCACACCTCCATTTTGAGGTTAACATTTCCGATAAATAAATTGTATCCAACAAATGTGTCCATTGGACTGTTCAAGGCAGCAGTAAATAGTATTTTCAGACAACCCACCTTGTAATATCATAAACCATCAATGCTCCTGCAGCTCCTCTATAGTAACTTCTTGTTACAGCCCTGAGATATAAAATCAAAGTTCAATAAATTTCAAATTACTTTAAAAAAATACTTGTTTGTGGGAATGTCCCTTGTGTGACAAAAAATGTTTTAAGTGACAATTAAACCTTACCTAAACCTCTCCTGGCCAGCTGTATCCCAGATTTGTAGCTTTATTTTTTGTCCAGCCACTTCAATAATTCTTGTTCCAAATTCCACACCAATGGTGTGGGGGCAATCAGCCATAACTATTTCAACAAGACAGCATCAACATTATTTGAGCGGCAAATTCTTTTTAGGATGCCCAAAAGGTTGAAATATGGAGAGAGGACTGGGTTAGGATCCATCCCAGTTCTCTCTCCAAATTTGAACCTTTTAGGTATCTTAAAAAGCCACAACATTTTTTTAACCCAATTTTCCAATATTTAGTAAAGAGCATTACAACATGCATTTTTAAAATATGAAGCAAAACCAACACAAAAGATGCCTTACATTTCTTTTCTGTGAATTGATGGAGTAGACAAGACTTTCCAACCCCCATATCACCTGGAATAAACAGTTCAAAAATAAATTTAAACTGGGTTCATATGATAATGAAATATTGGCTAATGATAAATATTGGGTAATAAAGGTTAGGTAATGCATACAAGTTTGGTAAAATTAGGTTTAATGACTAGTTAAATGTTGGGTAAAAAGTTGAATGTAATGTTCAAATATCCTCATAAACAATCCATACTATAGCATCTGCAAGTTTACTTGACCTAAGAGTCTTTGCTAGGCCTAATTCTAACTCAATCAGAGATGCAAAACCAAAGTACTCTCATTTTTAATTTCTTCAAGTCACATAGCCAATTAAATAAGTAAATAATTAAATTTTTAATCCTTTCTTTACATATTGAACACATGTAATTTGGTAATGAACTGATATCATTCTATTATCATAATACTAAAATTGGAATAACAACAAATTGGCAGCCATAATACTAAAACTTACCAATTATAATATACTTGAAAATATAGGAATAATTGTAAGGCCCTGTGGCTGCCATACTGCGTCCTGAAAGTTAAATATTTTCAAACAACAATCAATTCAACTCAATACTTTGACAAGTCGTAACGTGATATTACATAAAGCCTATAGAATACCAACATTTACTTCGGAATTTAAGCAAGCAATTTTTGGAAATCCACTAATTTTCACAGCATATTAGGGTTAAACAAACGGTAGGAATGATAAAAATATTGATTAGCGTAAAATTGATGGAATTTATTATGATATAAAATTCTACATATGATGACAATATGATTCTACGACTACCTATCTACAAATGAATATTAAATGACAGACCAACTGATATATTATGAATTATGCTTGTGAGGAATGAGATAAAGGAAACTTACTTATTTTTTAAATTAAAGTTCGGACTTGACCCTTCCAAAACAAAAACAAAAAAATACGAGCAAAGATTTTCCAAATTTTATAATAGAAGAGACTGATTTAGACTCGAATGGCCTTATGGGTATTTCGAGCGTACCGTGTGTTCATATGTGGGTCAGCGGTGAAAAATAATTACAAGTCATGCAGATTATGCAGAGGTATAAAGATGATGCAGATGTCTGTCGTCGTCGAAAGATTCGATGATTTTAGTTGGCTAAGCTTGCGTGTGCGATTTTAATCCGATTTTAGTCGGCAGACTGCAATCGGAATAGCTATATCAAAACAGTTTGATATTTGCCGACTAAAATCGTACGCCAAAAATCGCGTCGTGTGCGGCTGGCTTAATTTTTTGGCTCGAGCTCAGGGTTAGAAGAATTATGCATACCACAAGGTGCTCTCAGAGAATTTTTAGGAATAACTAAGAGTGAAAGTTAGTGTAGTTTAAGTTATAAAAATTACGTAAAGAACTGTTTTATATCGTTTTTTTCACACCCAGTGTTTTCTTTTCCAGTTTGTGTAAGAATTAGATGACCGACTTCGATCACCTGACTGCACTACCCACCTTAATATAGAATCAGTAGAATGCGTTTTGATATTGAACGCATAATTCCGAACTTTATCACTAAATTATCCGTTCTTACTCAAACGAATCCATTATTTGAACAACAATATCCACCATATTGTAGTTTATAATATCCATTCCTACCATACTTAAAACTAAATATATTTGACAGTATAACCAGTCATCTGTTTGTCTTGTCTACATCATGCATAGGCAGACTATCCACTCCACCATAACTTCTTCTGGCGTCTGATTCTTGATCAGGATCTATCTCATGATCACGTCTTTTTCCTAATGCCCAGTAGATGGATATCACAGGAAGTTTCATAAGGTTTTCTATTGCGTTGAATATTTTGGAAAATGTCTTGCCGACAGGACACAGTTTTTTGACTGCAGGTAAATGAATGAGAGTTAACTGTCTGAAATTTGGTCCCGCATTTTAGTCTTTAGATCATATATTGGTAAGAAAGGGCTTTACTAAAGCGTAGGATGATTTTGAGGTATTAAATTATCTTTTTGAGACAAAAAAGCGCATACTATTGTTAGAATGATTTAATACAAGACTACCAGAAGTCCAAAATCATGTTATTTACTCGTTTTAATACCTTTGTCATCTTACGTTTCGTATAATCTCGGGTAACCGGGCTCATGTACACACGACTGATACGAGTGTCGTTTTCAAATTCGTTTTTGGGTTGTCTATTTAATTATTGTGGATCGCCTGTCCACACGATCCAAGAAAAAATATACATGCTTTATAAGATATTAAATTATCTTCAACTTGAAAACTTCTATTGTAAATTTACGGTTTTTGAAACAGTTTTGGCATGAAAACGAATGTGAAAACGCTCGAAAACGTTAGTCTACCATTACTTACTTGGCCATAGCAGCAGCCAACCAATACAACCAACAATAGATAGAACTAATATAAGAGGCATAAAAATGCTAATGAAAAGCCATCGTTGACAAGCACAACCGGACTGTGTTTCGTCGTCATCGTCACCTTCGGCATGTTCATCCTGAAGCAACTTTTTGTCACCACCTGAAACAGGAGAAGTTCTAAAATAAACTGACAGATATTTGCACGATTTGATCTTTGATGATGATATACTTTACCTTAACTAAGCTATAGCTCTGCATGTAGAATTCAGTGAAGTAATAATCGTTTCAATTTTATTCTTTATTCTACTATGCTTATGTCGTACATGTGTCGTAAATATTTTGAGGTGGCTGATGTGATAAAATATTTTTATGTGTGTGCAGTCAGTAATGACAGATCTTAATACATAAAGAAAAATTTACACTCGGACTATTTCTCATCGGTGAAAATGACTTGTTCACGACAATTACGACAAAATGGAAACCAGGCTTAGCCGTCAACTTATATTTAATTCTTTTGTATACGGGTAATGAGGTTCTAAGGCTCTGGCTCTATTCACTGTCAGGTCGTTATTTCTAACATCAAATTGTACACTTTAAATCGTAATTTCTACACTGGCAGTATAATTTATACATCATTTATACCAGTTCGTCTCTTTCTATTATACCAAAACTGATCGAAAACCGTAATCTATGCATAAATAGTTTAGTAAACGTGGATTAACGAGACTGGATTGTTTGAGTCTAGCGTTTAAAATCATCTCTCTATATGGATGACAGGTTTTGAGAGCATTGAACACATGGCTGCTTTTATGCACAATATACTGAAGAATAGAGATAAACTAAAGACTCTTCAATGAAGATAAAAGCGAGCGTTTAAAACTAAACCATAGCATATTGGTGGTATAGCTACTGAAGTTCTAAACTATAATATTCCGTCTCTTAGACGCCACGTAAGAACTGATCACTATCACGTGTATGCATTAACGGCAGAAAACCGAACAGTCAAACTTGAAGCATTCATATACGTCACATACGACAACAAGATTAGGATCATGCAAGAAAGAGCCCGCCTGCATATTGCAGGAGCCAAAATATCATAAATGATCCAAGGTATATATGCATTGAGTCAAAACTATCGCGGAACTAAATTATATAAGTGACACCTATATATATAGATAAGTCTAAAAGCAAATCTCACCACAAAACGTTTCGCCAAGTTCTACTCCCATTTCTTCAGATATCTCAAAGTTATTAAATCTAAAATAATCCCCGTGTCTATTACCGCGTTCAACAGGTGATTCGACATCACTTAACATGCTTTTATACGTTGGAACCTCCACATCAACTCTTCTTGCCGGAGACGGTGCTTCTTCATATGTGTATTCTGCATGAAGTTTTATGACCGCTTCTTGGAAGAGCCTTGCTTGACCGATTGGTAAACCTAGGTTTGCAATATCCCTGCTACGTAACGCTAAGACCGCAGGCAAAGAATCGATTTGATGTATTTCAACCAAGGCTTCAATAGTCTTCGGTTTTAAAAGAGAGTCATGTGCCCAAGCATGAAAAACCTCTTGAGTGCTGAACGAACCGAGACGAGTTAATTTTTTTTTCTTTCCAGATCCGCGCGCGTTGTTTTCTGATGGTGAAGCCATGAATTTTCAACATGAAATCTTAGACTTGTTTGCAGTAATATTTATGAAAGATCGCGGCGATTAACAATGAGGAATACATCCGAATACCTAATTTCTTTGTGATTGAGTTATTATCAATATGAGGCTATAATACGGTTGCACCTGTCTGCCCTATTGATTATAATTTGAATAGATCTTAGAATATACATATGTCAAAAAACTGATGGAAGAAAGGTGCTGTATTCAAAAGAGAAACTCGTTTTCTGTTTGCTAACCCTTAGAAAATTTAGAAAATTACGTGCAGGAAGATATTTAAAAACTTTATATGGATGCATAATTCTGTGCATGCGGGAGAAATTATTGTTACATACAGGTATCTCGGTTTAGGAAATAGGACAAACAAACAATGTTTACGAATATGGACTATTTAAGAAATAGAAAGCATTTTTCGTGTTTCTATAGTTATAAAAACACGCGTGGGCGGTTGGGAGAACGAGAAATAATGTAGGAAAACGAGCCCGTATATAGAAACACGCTTCTCGACCAATCAGCACGCGCGTACTATAAATGTTATATTATTATAAATATGCTTTGTTGAACTCCGTTGAAATTAGGTAGGCTTGTATATTGTGATTGGTCGGGGTTGAACTACTTTGATGATATTAAGGAGGTAATTTTGGAAACGTAAATTATCGCCAGGCGAACCAAAAACTGTTTATGGAAAGTTGAATGTGTGCGTATCACAAAATATTATAACAGTCTTCACTATATTTATGATTGGTAACATATGCAAAACTAACCTTACGTTTGGGTAGCATTCAATAATACGTTTGTATCATCTTTGAAACTAGACAGAGTAGAGACGGTGGAAACATGGGACATAAAAGGGAAAAGAATGGACATGAGGGGCAGAAATCAAGGAAAAAATGCATGAGAAGAATAAATAAGTATATGTTGAGGAACCTAACAGATATAACTGATGAACTAAGTAACATTTTTTAACATTCTCTACAGATTCAAACGTATTTAATCAATGATTGAGATATTAATGAAAAATTATAGCTATATATATATATATATGATATGTCGAGCAGTAAAAACCTAAAAACGATTATCTATAAATGTAATACGCCTACGAAAAGTGTTCTAATCTTGTGATGTTTTCACTCGGAATACAATTCGAATTGTCTGATTTATGCGCTCAAACGGTTCCCAAGTGCAAAAAGTAAATATCGCACTGTGCAATTGCGTTTTAACACGATCGCATATGGAACACAAATTTCCCGATGCTTTTCCCAGTATATAGCTTTATAAATAGGTCGTGGGCCGCGGTCCTGGCGATGTTTTGGGTGATGCTGTTTTGGGTGATGCTGTTTTAGGTGATGCTGTTTTGGTGTTAGCTGAAACTGAGGATTCAACTGGGTCTCTAAAATAAAATATTGTGTAACAATAAAAATTGCCTTCGTTACAGTATATGGCGTGCATGTAAAGTTCAAATGAATTTCACTCAAATTTGGGGATACTCCACGGATGGAACGTTCATTGCGAAAAAATAAAATCCAGTGTCGACCCATATTTTCAGCTAACACAAAGCTAAAGTAATGTAACAACGTTACTCACCCCGATAAATCAGGTTGGGGGAAGTTGAATTCTGTGCTGGCCACTAAACACTTAGGATCGTCTAACGGAGCGGCCTCCTGGAAAGAAAATAATGTTTATATGTGCAGTAATATTAATTAAGACACACTGAGAAGTCGTACCCAGGAGTATTTTTAAAGGTCGGGATTACCTATTTTTTGCTGCTAATAAATTTTCTTAGGGAGGGCCAAAATGTTACAAGGAGGGGGAACAGCCCCCACCCACCCTGCATAGCGCCCCTCCTACATGCACAGTACTGTGTACCGTATTCCTCGTGGATGGAGACATAGGTACAATAGTTACCTCAGGAATTCGTTGGTGATAAATCATTGAATTCTCGCGATTGCTTTTGTCCATTTTTAACGCGACTAATTTCTGCACCCTGAAGACAGAGAGAGAAAGATTGTAAAACTTATCTATGGTATAGCTACTTCCAATTTCACATTATAAAAAAATTATTTATAGATACAGTACCAGATAAAGTCACGAGAATCCATTAACGGATGTTTAGCCTTGGGTTTTAACTTAGCATACTCCTGCACAATACAAGAGAATAAAAACTGAATAAAAAAACTGATTTACTGTATGTCAAGTAAAATGGAATTCTAGACATTATACCTTAGCAAGATGATGACAAGCAGCGATATGCTTCGAAGCAACGGTTAACACGGCTACAGACATGCCCGATCTGAAAAAAGAATGAAACCTGATTTACCAAAACAAAAACTCGCCCGGGAAAGACAATTCTTGATACAAGTTGCGTGCCACGACAGTTTCTCATTTGACGAAAAACGTATCGCACACGAAATCAGCTAGTGAACGAACGCTTATTCACGGAATCGGAGTGGTTCCGGGAGAGAAACAGGGCATGCAGGGCAGGCTTCGAAAAAACGAGAGCGCAATAATTACAAGATTAAGATGATGAACAACTAATCGTACAGTAACATACACTCATGCATGTTTACACACCATAAATCCATCGCTTTCTCAGTAAATAAATTGGGTGCATGAAGAATTATATGAATATCCCAGTGAAATGAAAATAACAGTTATTTATTACAGTTCACTGGAATATCCCTAATTACCACTAGAATGATACGCTAGAAGATAGCAGGGAGAAATGCAGGAAGAAATAGACGGACCCGTTAGAGTCACGCGGCCAAAATTGCCTGCATGGTAAACATCGTATATAGATTATGTACACCATTGAACAATTCAAATACTTACTGTTCGTTTTCTTCGAGGAAAGAAACACCTTGAAAACATCTTGCGACGGCAAGATACAGTTCCACTAAACAAATATTCCAATTTATTGTGCTCAATTATAGTTAAACTATAGAATATAAACTACGTTGTGACTCCTTATGACAGTTACCTTTGAACATGAGAAAGAGTCTCCATTTCTCCACTGCTTTCCCACATTTCTTTAAAAGAACATACAAAAACTCGGGAATAAATGTAATGTTTTCACTCCGGAAAGTACTATTTTCATTTAAAATTCACCTGCAATGTTGTGGATGCTGTAATAAACTTTTTTGCTACTTCATGTGCAAGTTGGCTGATCAGGGCTGGTTTGTTGCCTTTGCGAACTGCACGATTTATCGTTACCATCTAAGAACAAAAGCTGTTTGTAATTAAGTACCAATAAAACGGGCACCTACCATAGACCCAGAGTATACGCAAAATACAGATTTTGCGCGATCATATTCAGACTGCATCTTTACTTTTTCAGTATTTTTTGAATTTTTTGCCTCATTTACTATAAAAAGCACTACTATAATGACCTATAGCGCTAGCGATCTAACCTTCAAACTACCGTCAGTCTATTTATCATTTGACAAGTTTCTGGTGTATGTTATTGAGAAAATTTAATGAAGTAGATCACTTTGCTTTGCCAAACATATACAATTGTGCACATAATGTACTCAACAGCCTACGCTAGAAAGAGAATATCGCTCGTGTAGCCGCGATTACCTTGATAAATGGACGAATGATATATAAATACATACCTGAGCCTCAGCCAAGCATTGATGCCTTAGAGCCTGGTTTACAGGAACTAAATACAAAAAGAAAGTTGACAACTTATTGCGATGCAAAAACTTAAAATAGTACATCTTTTGAAATTGCCAAGTAAGACCCTGAGAGATAATGTTATTGATTGATTCAATTACCTGTTAAATCTAAGTAATCTGATTTAGGTCGTTGCTCCACACATTCACAGACACCAGCAGCCAGTTTAAGAGAATTTAGTGCATCCTGTTAAATACGATTATAACTTACATACAGCATAGTAAGCTACTGTAAAAGAGGTCTTATATCAACATTAGCAATGCGGGTAACACAAATGAAGAAAATAAATTTCTCACTCAACGATCATATCTTTCTTCATTACCTTCATTTTTTCCTCATCCAAGTCATCCTCTTGTGGATATAGTGGAAACACCTAGTAATCAAACATTTAATGGTCTAAAAAAGCGTATAAATCATTTTAAAAGTTTATTCTATACTAGTTAATGTGACTGAGGCTTCATTGACACGGTACTAAATTCGTTTGACACGGTACTAAATTCGTTTGTCACGATATCTTCATTTGCAGTTATGGAGCAATGGTTAGGTGCGAATCCTTCTGGATCATTAGTTAAATGAACCAACATAATAAAAAAAATTAAATAAAAATTACCAAATGTGCATGTTCAATGAGCCAGAGTGATACAGCGACTAGGAATGAGACTTGATCAAAATCCGAATCTTTACTCGTAGATGCCTCTTCTTCAGGATTGGTAAAACTTGTCCACTTAAACCTAGATTTTTTAAATCCACTTACAATACTCCACCATAAATAATACTATTTTTTGTTGCCAGAAACTGTTCTCCATTTAAGGAGAGTGGGAAAGGGTGAATTGCAAATAATTGCTCACATGGAATGCTTGATTTCAGTGTTATGAAACTGTAGTGATGGTTGAAAAAATACTTCTTGAAATTACAATGAGGTTCATCAGTGTCATGAACAATGTTTTAAAACTTTGATTTTTAAGGTTGCTTTAAAATTACCTGTGGGCATACTGGCATAGTTTGGTATAACTCAGATTTAAGTTTCAGGGTTTCTCTTTAAATAGTTGGGTCAACATCTGTAGTTTTTTTTCCTTCTCAAGAATAATAACTTCATTCTTAATTTATTATAACAATATTATAATAACTTGCATTATGGACAGTGAGTATAATGAATTTCAGCCAAATCCAGAATAATTTTTTTTTGCCCTTGCTCACAGTTCAAACACCTTCTAAAATTACTATCATACTAATAATAGTTGTTGCTCCAAAAGCAATCTAATTTAAGCTGAAGTTTATTAGAATTTAGCAGAAAGGCATATCCTAAAACTATAATTTGAAAAACTTACTTGAGCTTTAATGGCCGTCTTGCCTAAAACAAAATGAATTGTTAAATTACAATAGTCAATGTGATGTGAGTAAATGTCATAAAATATAAAACTGGCAAATCTCCTATATATGTCCCCCCTCCACTTCAAATGAGCTAAAACAGACTTTGACAGAATTTATTTTGATGTTGTTATAGCTAGAGCCTTCTCAGAAAAGTTGGTAGCAGATTCATCATAGTAGTGGCCTAAAATTTACAAACCTAGGCCATAAAATATATATAAAGTTTCTTAAAATTGGCAGAGGTAAAGGGGATTCCCTCTGATAATAGTCATAATACACCATGGGCCTCATGAATGGTCAATCCCGCAATGAATGGATTCACAAAATGGCAAAAATTTGTGTAGTTACCATACCTCGCTTAAAACATTTCTTATTGGCATAACAAGGTATTCATGCAAGGTGTTCATGACTGTTACAGTTGATGTGTCAGGATACTTGAGAACATCTTCCAATGCTTGGCGCCTTGTAATGCAAGTAAAATGTTATAAGAAAAAACCATGGATTATAAACTTTTGGGACCCATGAGATCAAGCTTTAAATTTGATGGTCTTTTCTACTACAGGCACATTTAATTTTACGACGCTAGCTGTACATGCAACTTCTAGATAATTATTTTTCAATAGAGTAATGTACAATTTGGCAAATACAATATATACAGAAGTAATAACATTGCTGATGATTGGTCAACCTTTTGTGAGAATTTCTAGTTAAATTACATGTCATTGCCACATTAATGTCTTAAAATATTTTATCTACCTTCTAGTGATCTCATGAAGAATTCTGTTTGCATAGGTTCCATTTGGTATGCCCTCAACAGCCTTTCCAAAGTTTATATGCTCTGTAGTTTTTCTGCCAGATGCAGGATGTGCCATAATTCAAGTTCACTTTACTATAAATATCTGAATTGTTGGGTTTCAATCACAACGATCAGTTAGTAATTAAAATCTTACGTACTCGCTAAATTGTTACTTCACAAGATAAACCCAAACCGATCGAAACATTATCGAAACATTATCATTTTAATTATAACCGAAACAAAAAACTAATTTCCTTTATGCTTTACAGCTCTTATATTAGACGATAGACACACTGCAGGTATATTACACAACCAAAACAATACTGCAGAAACATTCACCCAATTCATATGCAGATTTCTACAAAAATTATAAAGTGTTTACACTCAAATTACGTCGTTTTTAAAATTATTTTCGTGTGCGCGCTAGATGGTAAGTGCTGCGACGTGCATCAACGCTGACGCCCGGTCATGATAGGACGGCTCAAGAAACGTCGAAAGCAGTCGTCTTTTCTTCCCGTGGATTTATTCTTTTGTATTTGAGCAATTTGTTTCAGATGGGTGCAGTGAGAGCTCTGAAAAGTAAAATGTCACTTCGCGCCAAAATTATCGCTAATGAAAACAAGCCTTGCATAAGACATTCTTGACATTCTAATTAAAACTAATTTAAACTAACAAGACGCCTGTTCTGGCGTTAACTCCGGCGCACGTGCCAGTCTTCAATATAGAGCTTCTGAACATAAACAATGCAGATCATATTCGCATTTAGACGCCTTGCGAACCTAAATGTTCCATCGCGAAATTCAGAAGCACATCGTACTTTAAAAAGTATAGAAGTTCAATTGTTCAAAAATGTAAATAAACCGCATGATACATTCGCTTTGTCTTACACTTTGCTTTTGGCATTCGCGCTTATATATATTATATCTTCAATCCTGTGCAAACTACGACGAGTCAAAGCGCCCATACACGACCACATCATCTTGTTAAACGGCGAAATAGCAGCGATATTACTAAAATAGGACCAGAATCTACATGTATTAAATATATTCTTACCCCAATTCAGTCTAAACTTAATCGAAAAGCATGAAAAGAACGGTTTATTTGTTCCTCTTGGAGGAATTGCCGTATCATGCGAGCGAAATCGAATCGCGCATCGGAAAATTAGCCAAAGCTGTGCACCACAACTCTTGGGAGACAAGACTGGGACATAGATAAATCCAATCACATACACATTTTAAATACTAGAATGTTTCGCGCCATTACAGACTTGCGACGACGAAAAATAATAAAAAAAAAAATAAAAAAAAAAAAAACAAAAACAAAACAAAACCGAGGCGAATTTTCAACTCCGTCGCTGACGCCGGAGTAATTAACTATTCTAATAGTAATTCTCTCCTTTCCCGAGAGATGTTGATATTCGTTTTACGCTACATTTTCAATTTCTCGGTGACTTCATCACTCCTATAGCGTCTTGCATATTGTTACATAAGGCAGGGGTTGCACTATGCAAGGAAATTTCCTTGCAATTGACAACCACAAGGGAGGGAGGGATCTGTATTAATAAATATATTATGCATTCTTACTTTGTTTCTCTTTTTTGTCATTGTTATCCCCCTATGAGGACAGCCATATGCAAATAAGTTGTAGAAACCCTGATTATACAAAACATATATATTGTAAGTACTAATATTGAACAAAAGTGCTCAATGCTCTGCACTTCTATTGTCCTACCACTACAGCTAGTATAAGTATATAAATTTTGCTTGATTCTCCACGACACGAACCCTACCCTAAACTAAGATATTATGTATAAATATGTTAAAAACGAGAGTACCAAAAGTCCCTGTTAGTCTAATCATAACGCCAGCTCCAATAACTAAATAATACCTGTTTCCATTGTTAGTACTTGGCCGTACATAAACGGAGAGTGAAAGATTTTAACTAAACTATTGTTCTAATTCACAATGTAAATGTCCCTCAGTAAGATCATTCTGTGTTAAAATTCGTCTATATTTAGCCCGAGCGTTCTGAAACCAAACTTGTAAAACACGTTTCGATAACCCAGTTTTGAGAGAGAGCTGCTTTAAATCTTTAGAGTCCGGATTGTGATTAAGAGCAAAGTATGTTTTCATGATGAGTAGTTGGTGTTGCTTGAACGAAGTGCGTACTCGTTTTGTCTTTGTACTACAGTGTGTTCGACTATCTAGACCAAAACCTTGACATCCATCTTGAAATGCCAACCCTAGAAAAATACAACGAAAAATCAATGCCATGGCATGTGGTAACTACTGTGTTTACTTTACCCAAGCTACGGCCAGTAAACTGGACCTATATTAAAGTCCTCAGTCCACCTCACTGACCTCATGCAGAGTTGTATTGTTATTTCAAATCCAATGTAATCGCTACCACTTGTCGTGAACTTACGCATGGGATTCCCATGTTACTTGATGAATAACTGCAACTGCCAAACACATACTTTCACTTTCACATACTTTTATAGTTTTCCTACGTAATATTAAGGCCTAGCTGTTGTGTCATGTAAATCGATATGCGACAATGTTGCAAGTCAGTTGTTTTATCGTAGTTTTTCTGACACTGGAAACCTTACCTTCACAGTTAAGGACTTCGTGTTTCCGTTTTCTCGATCTTCCTTCGCCGTTTTCTTTTTTTCTTCTCACTTGTTTCTGAACAACAAGTGTTTGAAAATCCAAATGACAAAAAACCTTCTTACCATTCATCCCAAAACTGTCTCCCGTAGTAAGAACCCGTTTGCAGTGCACGCACGCAAAACAATTGAGATGAAAAACGCAATCTCGGGCACGCATCACCATCTCCGTGCTGTCGATCGTCTGTGAGCACGCTGCACATCTTTTGTTCCCGTAACGCCTAAAACAATATCAATGACATTTGAATTAGTTGATCTATCGCACAAAATTAGAGATACTAGAACGTTCTGTAAAGAGTTATATACTAAACTAAACCATACTATTTTTTTTCTAAAAAATTGCTTTTTTTTGTTCTGAAACTGCACATGTTGATTAATTCTTGCCCAGGTAATGCTGGGTCTTTCTATCTTTTTTTCCTAAGTCATACTATACTATACAGTTGGAAAGTGGAAACACGTGCAATTCTACACAAATTGTTTAGTCTAAATCCAACCGTTACCTAGCAGTTACCTAATATATATAACCTCATTTACCTATGATCAATTGGTGCAAGCTTCAACAGTTATATAGAAACTATATAGAAACACACAGGCATAAGGCCCAAAAGTTTGAGGTAGCATGATCCGAATGATATAAACATCAATTACCCGACTAAAGATCACAAATTTAGCACATATATAAAAATGTACCCATGGACCTATGGCTATGAACAAAACGTTTGCCACTGCCATTCTCTCATAACAGCATCAAGAGCAAATTAAGAATGTTGAGAACTCCTTACTTGTAATAATCCATGCGACATAACACGAGGGCATCCTTAATAAAACACGTTAGTTCAGTTTCCAACTCCACTTGACAGTCGGAACATTTCAAACAATGGATGTGCCAACAATCCTGGGACACCATTAAGAAATATTGGTCATAGATATCATGGCCACAGCCACGGCAGTTATTTACTTTAATACAAGGGAGATTTTCGTTGCAGGATTGCATACAGCTACTGTTTTCATGGAGTGACATCACCTTGAATGAGAAAAAAAAACTATGTCAACTAACCATTTTATTTCCAGCGATTCTTTATTTTATGTATTGATCTTATCAACATCATGTATCGAGTTTAAAACTGGTGGAAACTGATCAGTATAACTGAGGACAGTTATTCGGTCCCAGGCTGCATTTATACTCTGTATCTGGTAAAAAATTTAAACTGGCACCAAAACATGTCCACAGTGCCGTTTGGTTGTATGGCTAATTGTATTTGGTATTGTGGGGCGACTAGTTCCAGGGCCACGAAAATAAATTAATTAAATAGACAAAAGTCACTTTTGGGGACGTTTCCGACAGACACCCTTTTCTTTCCTTTATTTCCTTGTAGCCTAATCTTCATTTTGAGCCTCTCTTAAAGCCCGTGGCTATAATTGCTTTCTTTATACTTCCCCTCCATCGAGAGGCCCTGAGTAGTGTTAATACACCCCATTCTAGTTTTCATTTAGTTAATAAACATCGTTTGAATTCGTTGTACTGCATGAGTCTATACATCAACTGGATAACCTAACCTAGTGTTCGCTGGTTAACGATGGAACATACTAAAAAATGAAATACATTTCATAAGATAAATCTATAACAGCCTAATCTGAAAGTTATAGTTTAGACATGCATTCCATGATGCAATATAGGATGAGACTAAGAGCGGTTTGCCCTCGTCGGAGTAAATGCATAATTGTAACAATATATTTAGCCGTCAAAATCATTTGATCATTCATTTTTCAGAAGGTATAAAATGAAACAAAATTAATCTATTGATACAACTTCATTTCGCCGGGTAATGATATACTGCATGCATTCAATATATCATATCATGACTAACAAATAATAAGTTTAATATTCTATAGTTAACGAACTAATTAGCTTGCTCATTTTAATGTACATGTGCAGTGTGAATGATTTTTTCTCACATTACCGCCAAACAAGCACATATTGAAAATCCGCTAAACTCACCGTTTCACAGTATAAGCAAACGTTTTCGTGTCAAACTCTCTTCGCCAATTCAAAAGAGTTTGGCATCAAGTAAACACACGATCCTCAATAAAAGCTGTGCGTCAAAAAGATCTGATAAAAGTAGTTTATCAAATGCAAACAAAGACAAAATATTTATGAGATTTATAAGGGATATATTTTGACGTCAAAATTTATAATTTTAGATAAGTTCACTACAATATCGCGTGCATACGTAAACTGTGCATATAAATAACAAATTTGAGATAAATACAATATGAATACATAAAATTGATATAGAATTAGTAATCTTAATATCGTTCAGTTTATTTACATTGATCTAAAGTAGGCAAGAACCTGATGATATCTGACATGCGCTTGTAAGGTTATTGTTGCAAAAGAAAACTCTCAGTTATATGGTTGAATAAAGCTATATAGAAGTCGAAAATTACCATTGTTCAGTGGGTTTTGGGTGAGGGTCCATTATATGATTCTAACGTTTCAAAATGAAGCCAGTTAGTCTCCTCTGATGCGATCTAGTATATTACTACGAAATCCTAAACTAACTAAAGGCACTTAGGTTGAAACGTCTAAAAAAGTTTCCTTGTAGTTATATATTTTGGGCAGTTTACATATATGAACTGATATTTCCAGGTGATAAATGAATTGAGGCTGGGCACATCAGTGCAGATGATAAGCTCTATCGCTTATCCTAAAAACATGTTTCCTGTTGAAAAAATTGCAAGAGAAAAAAATAGTCGAGTTTGTTGAAAAATTCAATCCGTTTTACTGTTTTGCACCTACGCCGCAGTTTCCTTAAAAATGAATTTATCAGCCGGAAAGAAGAAATGACTATCCAGTTATATAAACACAGATAGCTACTCCATCACACAAAATTGCATGAGAAAGCAATGGTAAATAAAAAAGTTTTTCTGCTGGACTAAACTCTTTTAAAAGGGCCAATCAGAATTGCATGGTAACGCGCGTTTCAAAGTCAAACGAAACAGAATAAAATTAATTTATAGAGCATCAGTTTTTAGTTTAGATTTTCATCGTTCTTATATTGCTCAACGAGATTCTGATCACGTTATATTGATACTCATTTCCTACCTTTAGAAACAAAGTATCAATCTTATCCAGATCTTTTAATCTTCCGCTGGATCCTATCCTTCTTCTCCACTCAACAGCTTTGTAGTATACATCTGTCATCGAACTCTCGAGATCAAGTGCATTTATTCTGCGGTCAAATGTGATGGACACATCTCTAAGTAAAGATGAGAATGCCCCAGTCTTAGTTGACACAAATCACAGCACGTATTAAACCCGATTCCTAACCGTCTTCCTCCCCGCTAGGACGAGAAGCCCACAAAACAGATGGAAAAAACACAGTCGAATGTTTTGTTGTGACACTTCAAAAAATTTAGTCGGGTTTTTTAGTCTCCATACAAATGCATAGCTGACTACGGATTTTACATCTTATGCAAACAGTGAAATGAAATTTATTACAAATATCATTTATTCTTGTGTCAGTTAAGTAAACCGACAGCTTATGAATATTTTAGCGCACTGATAAAAATAAACGGTTATGTGCTATTGTGTGTTTTGCGATTTTTTTTAGGTTTTAAGAGATTTTATCCCAATATAAAGTTGTTGTATATAGGGTATTGATGTGCAGGATTACCAGCCTAACAATTTTAAATTTTACTTCGAAATGATTATTTATCTTGGTATAATCTATTTTGCCAAATAAAGTATATAGACACGACCCAGATTTAGTCGTGTCATGCGCAGGCGCCTTGTCTTTTGCGAGTGAATCAGGGCGTTTTTTTCTGTGGTTTTTATTAGTTCAAAAACGCCTGGCTAAAAACTATAACATTAGTTTTAAATTGGCGAATATTGTCTGAAATAAAGTTGGGCAGAAATAGAATTATAAGAATACCTCTGGAAGAGGAAGTAGAACTTTTCTGCACACATGCAGGGTATGAAAGTGATCTTCCTTGGTGAACCGTTGACAGAGCGCCAGCGTGACTAAAAGGGAAGTCTGTCCAAAGTACGAGAAAGTGACAGAGTTGCAGAAAAAGAAAGGGGAAAAAGTTGCAAGCACTCGTTCGTATTTGATTGCTATCTAACTTCTACCAACCTTATTTCCCAATCAGAACACATGAGGCACAAAAATTCAGTATTCGCGTTGTTGAATTGTTCTAAACTTAAGTTGATAAAAGAATTATTTTGTGGCTCAAAGTCGATCTTTGTGACACTTTCCCCGGTGGGAAAATCTATAATATTAACTGTCCTTAATTTGCATGTTATCCTCGATGAAGAACTCTTACATCAGAACATAGAATCATCACTCGTGCGAGTTCGCAATTTATACATTTATCTTTATTTGACCTGGAGCTAGGCTGAATACAATTCAGGACATAGCTGACTATTATACCGTAGTCCACTAGTTCTGTCACTTTAGCTTGAGCCAAGAACTAGCTTAGCATATACAAGTGGTTGTTTCTCTGACCTACCGTTGGAATCTCACCAAGAACTGTTTAAAAGATTTTGGGGGGTTTTAACTATTAATTTCACAGCTTCAACTGAGCGTAGGATGCGGGTTAGGTATACAGAAATAACATAAAAACCACGCAAAAGATTATTAATTAATGATCTTTGATCATGTTGTGTATCTTTAACTAAATTAAATTATCTTAGGCCATCAGCCTCCCGTCGGCAGGATACATCAAACAAGAAAATGAACTTGGTTTCTGGTTGCCTAAATTTTAATACCCTAATATAAATAAAAGATTTAACCTAATTAGTAATGGCTTCTTCGGAATATTTGAACCTTAATATAGCCTTAATATAAAGTGTATTGCACGCACTGAAATTACACCTCACATAGCACTATTCGGAGGTCTTACTGAAAGGCTAAGGCCCGTATTCAAAAAGCTCACTCACACTCACACTCATTGAGTGTGACATATAAATTTTGTTAATGCTGATCAATGAGAAAGTTTTCTCTCAATAGATGAAAAGATATAAGGTAAATCACTGAAAATCAAGCCCCTGTTCGGCTGAAAATACCGCCATTGAAACGTTATGGGCAGATTAAGATCTCCCACTCAATGAGTTTGAGTGTGAGTGAGCTTTTTGAATACGGGCCTAAGACTAGGCTAAGCCAAGGCGGGAACTTTGTTCACACAATGGATGTATTATTTTCGTAGCTGAGACAGAAATAGTCGACCCAGTCCCCAATTTCCATGATATCCTAGTGCTCATATATCCTTGAGCTCGTGAGTCGTACTGATCAGCAACGAGGCAAAGCCGAGAGAAGCCAATCAATCAGGTTGCGTGACATCTCATATAGAGAGTCAGACTCAGAGAGTAGTTATATTATAGTAGTCATCATATTGGCAGAGAATCAAAAATGATTTTAAATGGAATAAAAACTGACGAATGCCCGTAAAAATGTTTAAACTCGCTTAATCCAAAACTTAAATATTTTCTTTCTTCGTTGAAAGGCGAAACTGAAATTGTCCAGCCCATTTCTTTTGAATTTACCTTATTTACAGGTTTGTTTACAATAAATGAGCTACCCCACGCTTTCTCTATAAACAATGGAAATAAAAGTTTAAGATCCTTGACAGAATATATCCTTGTGGCAGATGGCATGAATAAACACAGCTGAAAGGCTTTTCATACTTTGCAAATAGAAGATATTTAAAACAGGCCACACAATTCGTTTGTTTTCTTTGCTTACTGTCTGATAAATAATTGAATTGACTATAGTGGAAGACCACAGAATGGATTTAATATATACGGCAAACAGAGGAAGGACATTCGACCACAAATGCCATAGACACGTAGTTAAGCTCTGCACCTCCCTATATGAGATTACCTTAACATTGAATGAGATATGTGAAAAGATAACACTAAACAGTGAAACAATTTATTAGTTTTAATAATTCTATCACAATAACATAGGGACACCCCAATATGTAACACTTGAATAGACAAAGACACAACTCATTTGTAAAACATATGATATGAAATGATAAGAGATGATAAGAGGGTTTATGTTATTTAACAAGTATTGACGTACGAAATTAGAATTGCAAAAAAAGGAAATGTACACACAGACGAATAGGCATAAGGTTTCTAAATTTAAAAAGTTTAAAAACGTGGCGCACGAAATGTTCCGATCCATGATTTCACTGACGTTGCTCGGAATTGCTAAATATGAAAAAATACGCTAAAAACCACAGAATATACCTATTCCCGGCCGGCACAAATCACAAAAATTATCTGAATTTTCTTGCATTTCACTGCAAAACTATGGGTGCGGCCAAGTAATTACAGACGAGACCCAGAATCCAGATGATTTCGCAGGAGATTGTGGGAACCTATATACTGTATAGGGGCTTTATTGAAAAACGTATAGATTTCAGAATGTTACTAGAATAATACAAAAAAGCGACCGCGCGAGGACGCTTGGGGAGATGCTAACAAAGAATTGAAAGAAACTTAGGAAAGTTCCCATTGCATTTTCCAAAAGAGTTTTGACTGCCGACTGGTGACTGGTGCGGTTAAAGATTACTACACGGCCGTTTGTGCGCCTGCGTGGACGAGGTTAACGCTGGCACAAATTGCGGGCTGATTTAAACTATAATTTCTATAAAGGGTGAAAAGAAAGAAATGTATAGCTCCAAAGCAGTCTAGTTTTTGTCAAAGAATAGTAAATAGTAATTATAATGGTAAGGTTACATGCGATTTTTACGGTTGTGAAGACTAGCCGTAGTAGACAGCTGCCTATGTGAAACTTACTATGGAATTTATAAATATGGAATATGGGGTCAAAAACAGATTAATTAAATTAGTGCGGTGCATTGCAAACTCAGAACGAGTCTCAGTCAGTGACCGTGCGAAAGCATCCAATCCAGATATTTCCTGCAAACAATTTTGGAATATAAATGGAGAAAATTGTCATATCAGGTCTGACAGCTCTTAAAAATGCATTTGCCACTGGGTTGCTTAAATTATACTGATAGCAAGTTAGCATATAAAGGGAGCAAAATACCCTGATTTTTCCAAAATATCCGCTGTCCCCAGTGGAAAATATCCAATCAAGAGGCCAATGAATAGGCCTTCCACTTCAAGCCAACTATGCAATTTAGACCTTTCCTGTCTTTCCTTTGCAGTCATCTAGTCATCTTACAACTAGAGATCACTAGAAATATATAGAACCTAATCTGAAACAAAATATTTAAGCATGTGATGTGAAGCACTATGACAAAAAACCTGACCAGCAGAAAATTTCAAAAGTAAAGGCTGTAAAGCAAAAAAAAATTTTGAAAAAGCAAGACATATTAAGAATGATTAACACAAAGTGTAAATATTCGATTCTATTCCAAAGTTATCTTTAGACAAAATGAAGCACTATGATATGAAAATATTCATACCTAATTCTTATAGTAACCATGATTGTCTAGTTAATCAACCAACCATTAATATATAATTATAAAATATTTGAAGACATTTTGTTACCACTTTGAATATTGATAGGCAACAGGGTTGGATCAAGTGGTTGGCATGGCAATGATGTCTCTTGGTTCATTAATATTTATTTACTATACCCTGTGGGTTGTTCTTTTGGTAAGTATGATTATTTGACAGTAAATCCATTCCTAAATTTCATCATCCTTCATTGTTATGAGAATATATATTTGTTCATCCTATGTTTCAGCCCTTTGTTGACGCAGACCATGTTATCCAAAGTTATTTTCCAGATAGAATGTATGCTATGTTAATACCAGTTGTTGCTGGGGTATTAGCATTGTTGGTTATTGGTATGAACCATTTCTTTTTTCTGCCATAGAGTCTCATATTCATGCCTTTAGTGGAAGGGTTTCTGTCATAGTTCATCAATTAATGAAAGGTTTAGAGATATTCATGTGACATAAATTTTTAAAAATTTTTCAGGGTCATTTATTTTTGTAATTCTACTGAAGAAAAGAGCATCAGAAAAGAAATCTAAGTGACAACAATAGCTTGCACTCAATACATACATTATTGAACTGTTAGTGATCTTATTTATGGAACGTTGCAAGAAATTGTCCCTCTGAAAACCTAAACTCAGTTATTAGGGATTTTGTGAGTGAACAAATGGGGAAAGCAAAAAGGTAGCCTATTGGCTAGCAAATGTTTCTATTAAATTGTTGTTTAACATACCCTTTCTGAAAACCATCCAATTAAAAAATAATAAAGTATTATTAAGCTTTCAAGAAACAGAAGAATAGTTAATTAGTATTTGGTATTATGAACAAAACTATATATATATACAATCTGATATGTCTTTATATATATTAATAATCTAATAGTTCCTTCAGTCCTAAAATAATCTGTGATATATGATTTAAAGCAAGCCACATGTTTGAAAACTCTTTTAGAGAAAGATTGTTAATGCTAATTAGCAAAGAACACAAGGGGTACTTTGGAACCTATCCTTTTCATTAACTTCAACTGAATATCTACAAACAACATTTAGTATGACATACGATTCTAGAAAACCAGGATGAAAACTGGGATGAAAATGGGATTCCAGGTCTTCAGGCCATACGAACACACTCCCTCACCGCAGGGACAAGGAAATTCTGTACTCATCAAAGAATGTGATTACGTTCTTTAATAATTCTCGCTTCAGCGCTACTACTCTTGCCAGACCTAGTATCAGACATCTTGCCAAGACCAACACGAGTAAGGTCAGGATTGGAGTGCGTCTTTGTTTGTTGCCATTTGTACTTACGATCTGTAACGAGAATACTCTGAGATAACTTCACTCACTGGAGTAAAATATTAAAATTAATCAATGACTGGATTAAAAGGATTATAGGAACGTCCGAACGGTCTGTTAACCAAGTTCTAACTAGAACAATTGCAGCGTTATTAATCGCTTTCAGTGGGAGCTGAGTTGGGAAAGACGTGATGAAATCACTGGCGGTAAACTTCGGGATTTAGGCGGAAAATGTGAGATTATAGCACCTGAGTTTGGGTCCTAGTCATATGGCTCAGACAATTACTGGAGTTTTTGCAAATTAACAGTTTACTTACATGAACCAATTTCTACATCCCCAGAATGCATAGACGGTGTTCTTGGGTTTCCCACGGGACTTGCCTAAAAGCAATAAGATTTCATATGAAAAATTATATTTAGCAACCACGTAACAAGCGTGTATGTATGACACACTGTTCATACCACTAATGGAAGGTTCCGCCCAGCCAAAATCACTGGATCCATTTGCGGTAAGATCACTCCTGGTGGAGACCTGAAAATATAGTCAACATGATATCAACAATGGACATTAGCATTATCTTGCAACTTGAAAAGCAATTCTTCTTTTAAGAGATGTAAATTTGGCAACTACCGAACTTTTCGAGCGCTTCTTACACTAACATTTTAAAGACTCTTCACCAATTTGCATCTCTTAAAAGAAGAATTGCATTGCAAGTTGCAAGAAAAATTGCACCGTGTAACATGGTCTTTAGTCTCGTTTAACCCAGTTCCTAAAATTCTTACCTTTCATGACTGTTTTTGCCTGGTCTTGTCTCGCTATAATATTCTCTGGTGTCTCGTATTATCTCTTCTCCTTGATCCTTATGCAGGACAGCTTGGTCATAAACCCAACTGAAGATCAGGAAGAAAGGATAAAAAAAAGATATAGACAAATGAACTAAGACAATACACCTCTGTCTTGCACAGATTTGGGAGATTTGAAAAATATAATAGACAACTTTTTAGTAGAATTATCACCTTTAGATCAACCATGCGTTTGCTACAGTTTTCAAAACAAGAATGAATAAACACTATTTGATTAAAAGTTGTCTAAAACTTTTGTTTATGTTATATACTGCAATATCCTGTACCTAAATGTCATTTCTTTCTTTGCTTTCGTGTCTTCTTTTTCTTTTGTATTCTCATAATCCCCGTATGGTCGTCCTACAAATGAACGTTAGCAGATCAGTGTTTGATCGTGGCTTGCTCTCAACACAAAACGCATCGGTGGGAAACGCACGTCGTTACAACGAGTGAAACAAGGATAGGTGGGGGGGGGGGATTAAGGGGAAAGGATGTCATGAGACTGGTGGTGAAAATTTACAAATCAACATCAAAGAAATACGCTTATCAGGAAACGACTAACGCGAATATTTAAAAAATATTATCACGCAGATATTCGAAGATACCCTTAGGAGTAAAATATTAAATATGCCTTTTGTACGCCTAAACACTGCGTGCATCCGTTTTCACCCTTGGTGGGGGTGGGCCTATTACAAGAATGAATAATAAGGGAAATTAACAAGCTATGTATTAGCTCATATTACCGCTGAAATAATCCACTCTTTGTTTCTCTTTTCTCTTCTGCACTGTCTGAACACCACGGGCTTTGTTCGTTTCATCTGCCTTCTTAAAGAGTTGAAACCGTTTATCAGGATCTGCAAACAACAAGAACTTCTAAAGTTTGACTCGTGTTTTACAAATCACGAGTTCGTCATAGAGCATCTCTCCAGGAATATACACCCGCCATTCTTATACCTGTTAATTTCTTCTTGCGAAGGGCGTTGTATTTCATTTTATTCGCTCGTTTAACCATCAACTCAGCTGTGGTGTTCTTTCGAAATCCCCTGAAACAAAATAAAAAAATTCTAATTTTTCATCAAAATCGCCGACGCAATGAAGATCTTTTCCAATTCTTTCTTTAACCGGACATCGCCACTGTTTTATAGAAATCTAAAGAATTTCGTTCGTTGAAAAACGAACACAAGCTCTCTGTACATTAGGCCTTTATAAAGAATAGTCTAGATTGATTAAGTTCATGCAAGATCTATTAGACACCCACCATTCACTGGACAGTTCACTGGTTCTATGAGATCGATGGGTTTCACCAGGCGGGGATGTTTGCTCAGACAGGACACTCGGAGCTTGTATCGGAGGAATAACGTTTCTTGGGTTGGGACTGTGTAGTGGGGAATCGGGTGATCTCCACGCGTGTTTGCGAGGAAATGTTCGACTGTTATCTTCTTGAGGCGTTGACTCTGTTTGCTGTTAGAATATACAGGAAAACGTTTTAGAGAACCAAGCGATTAAGATGTAAAATTTTCACTCTTATATACCAAACCAGTTCCTGAATTGATTAGTTTTATCGATAGCTCACTAACTTTTCTGCCTAAGTCAGATTTTTTCGGAAATGAGACTTTGCTTTACTCTTACATCCAGTGTTAGCAATTTAAACTAGCAATTTTTACTCATTACTTGCAAAAGTTTATTCAGGCAGAAAAGTTAGTAGGCTATGGTTATAAACTTACAAGTCCATAATCGCCAACTTGATAGTGTGTGGGTGTTTCATCTAAACTCGAATCTCTAGATGAGTATAAACATTCAATTTATGAATTATGAGCAAATAAAACGACTTCAGACAAGACTTCCTTTTTATAAATCACAGTGAGTAAATACCTTGACTTTAACTGTCGTAGCTATCTATTATATATTTAACAAATAGATAACATTGAACCGTCGTCTGTTCACTTATAGATACACGGATGACGTCATTTGTGATAAGAACAAAACAAATAGATACACGGATGACGTCATTTGTTCTTATCACAAATTACGTCATCCATGTATTTATAACAGAACAGACAACGGATCAATGTTATCTATTTGTTTCATATAATAAAATCGAAAAAATTCCGAAATTAAACAGGCAAATAGTTTCCCCAGCACTTGGAAAATTGTCAAAGTAGAAATTTTGCAGATATCACGCGTACATGATCTATAGAATTGACGAAATGCTATTGGCTAGCTTAAGACACGTGCTAAAATGTGATTGGCTGACAAAGTAAAACAAAAGATTACCGATTAAATTCGTTAAAATTATCTGTGAGGTCATGGCTCTCGACTAATGAGATTGCTTGAATTCTTAACGTTATTATATAAAATCATTTAAGTTACCTTGCAGTTTGAGGCAAGTTTGTAGGTACCCAGGAACTATCTAAAGCAGCTTCATCCATATCAAACATATCGAGATCAACTTCTTCATCGAAATTGAAATCCTCCGTCTCCAAATCTATGTCCGAGAATTGGGCTGTCTTAGTCGCTTCTAAATATCTTTTCCGTATACGATACCCGCGAAACTTTGCCTGAAACATGTAACAATTACTACAGTTGGAACGTGTTTAGTAGAAGATATTGAAAAATTTTAATTTCAATCGTAGATCACAGGTAAAAACGCCTAAATTGTTTCCATTTTAAGGATCGAACAATATTGTGGCCCACACACATGGTAGTAATAATGATGCTCATACTTCTTGAGGCTTAGAACGTTGTGAAAAAATAATGCAAACTATCCTTGCCGTGTGCAGCACAACATTGTTCAATCCTGTTTTTCATCAACAAGAAACTGATTTAGGAATTTTAATTTTCTCAAGACATATTTATAGACACCTATTTTCTACTATCTTCGTTAAGGAATTGCAATAACTAATCTAAGAACATTGTTCAGCCGTTTGTACTTCGTCAAAACAAGACGTACGATAATAATATTCCGCACCGTTTTGCATTATTAACGCTCACAGAAAGACGTAAAGCATCGCAAGCTTGGCTTCGTACCTGTATGAGAGTGGCAGCCTGGTTTCGTTTCATCATGCCATCTTCATCCATTCTAATATTTGGGGACGGAACACAAGGTGATCGAACGTCTCTGTCAATAGTAAAAGACGCATCCTTTCCAGCACTCACTGATTTCCCTGAATCCTTTTTCTCAACCATCTTGTTTGGTGAGGTAAGATCAGACAAGACCGAAACATTATCCTTCGGCGACACCTCGTTGGTAGAAGCTATCTTAAAGTTCTCATGTTCCAACCGCTGTTTGATGATTAGGCTTTGCAATTCTTGATAATGTCCACTCTGGAAATTGAAAACACTCAGTTTATTGGATTAAGCTTTGTAGCAACTCAAACTCTAGCCTGAAGATTCAAGTGACTAAACCCATGTCAAATGTTGAACAACTAATAATAAAATTATCTACTTACTTCAAGTTTCAATCTCTTCACAACCTGATTATTATGACCAGTTTCATCTTGGCAAGTGCTGGAAAAAAATAAACTTGTTGGCTGTCTAGCATCAGAAAAGATAACATCATTCGAAATACACTTCACTCAACATGAACTTACTCTATTTCCGCTTTTTGTCTATTGAGCATGTCATCTTGCGCAATAATTTGTGCGCAGAAAATGGAATGGAAAATTGTCTTAACGCCAGAATGATCGTTATTCATGTTAGTTTCGAGTGTTTCTCCATCCAAGGATCTCAGTTCTGGCAACGTCTTCAATATACCAAATCTAAAATACGATTCAGGTTTCAGAAGACTGGTTTATCAACTATAAGTGTTAAACCCATTTTTGTGTAGATTGTCTGAGAGGAATTGCCTTTTCTGCAAACAGACATTAAAGTTCTACTCCAGGCCAGTTTTTCAAAGCTGGGTTAGCACTAACCCCGGGTTATATTTTACTTTGCTGTTTTGGTTTATATGCTTCTGCACCGCTGTTTGTTTCAAGACTTTACAAAACTTCTATTAATCCAGAAAATATTTATGGAAAAACATGTTCAGCGATTAAAGAAATTGATGTAAAAATTTGAGTTAACCTAGGTTTGCTAACCGGCTTTTGAACAACCAGCCCCAGATGTGATATCTGTTACAGAATATGCCTTCAAAGGCTGCGTTCAGACTAAGTGCCAGACACCGGTGCCCAAAGTCAAAACTGGATCATCAAACATGCAGAGCACAGTGCCCTTGCTAAGTAGCTACTATCTCTTGAAGTAGTTCTTGTTCTTGGGCACCGGGCCCAATTTCATTTGGCAGCGGAATGACTTACTTACTTAAGATCCTAAGAATGACTTACTTGAGATCCGAGTCTTCGCACACCGGGTTTCCCTGTATATTCAGTACTCGTAATTGATGGCATTCCGTAAGGCCGGGTAAAATATTCTCCTCCTCTGGTTATGAACACAACAAAATGTTAAATGAATGACGGGTGATAAAAATATTAAAGGTCAAACAAAGATTGTGAAGAAGCAGACACTCAAGAAGAGGAAGGTTATGCGTCCCTGGATTAGTACGAATATCTAAGAGTGGTGATGAAGAGCTGGTTGGAAAGACCAATGATGGAGGAAAGATAAAACATGATGAGGTGGAAATCAAGGAAGGTCTTGAAGAATAAGAGAAGCAAAGTACTTCAAAGCTACGTATTGGTAATCGGAAGGGTATTGCTACGGTGGGTGGGGTAATTGTCGGAAGCTGACTCAGAGCTGGCGATAACCAAGAAACAGAAGTAAAACGTACCTGAAATCAAATTGTTTTGCACATCCAAAGTTTCCAACATCGGAAAAGCTCTCAAAGGACACACGCTGGATAAGCTAATGAAATGAAATTATGCTTTAACCACTGTGATTAAGGTTTCAATTAAAAAACGCATCATTACATGCATATTTGGGGGGACTCCAGTGTTCCAATGCAGCCTGAGGATTCCCTCAGAAAGTTAATGAAGTAATTTGACACTAATTATGGATCCCGTAACCGGGAGGACCAAAACCGTTAGCCCAAGGCTTGGACCAGGTTGAGTCTAATTACAAGAATAGTGAATATACTCACCTGTTGTTGTCAAGATATAGATGTTGCAGAAGTGGCAGCCACTGACTGGAGAGACAATCCATGGAGGAGATATTGTTCTCACTCAGATGAAGTTCTCGTAGTAAAACATGATTTGATAACTCTGGGGGCTGAAGGAACGAACGCATTATTAGGATACAAAAACAGTCAAATAGTAGAACACATCATGAACCATAGAGTATTTTCATAACATACTAATGCATACACCAGGCTTAACTAAGCTGTTTTTTCATTATAACCAGCATTATGATTATATCATGTATATTAATGAATAATTCACCTTTCTCAGATTGTTTCCTCGTAATTTCAGAATTCGTAGTAAAGGACAACACTCCAATTCTTGGATTTGACTCAAATGATTATTTGAACAATCCAGGATTTGTAAGTATTTCCAAATGGATAAACCCTTGGTGGTGATGAGTTGATTATTTTTCAGTGAGAGAAAAAATACTTGGTTGGATTGTATTGTTCCTAAAATATGGAATTAGAACATCGTAATTGAATATATGTGTATATACACCCAGACTTCAATTATACATATAGAAAAAGCAAAATATAATGGCATATCAAAGGAATTCTTTCTATGGTATGCACACGAATATAACACGAAATGGATAAATAGCACAATGTTTGTAGTACGTAGATTCTAGTACGTAGATTCTGGAATAACTTCTGTCCCTTAATCGTGAATTACCTATTCTGGTAATCTTGTTTCCATTTAGATAAAGTGATCGCAAATTCTTACAGTCATCAAGGCCATGTATAGACGTCAGTTGGTTGTTTCTTAAATCGAGCTGTTCGAGAGATTCCAAGTTCTGACAGCTTACATTCTGAATGCTGTTGTCCTAGGAAATGAAGGTATATTTAGGTAGATGGGCTGAGTTGATCTTCGGGCGTAGTTGTTGATCCTCCCACTGAGCTGAGATGAATTATGAAGGACTCAGACAACCTCGCAGCCAACCCCCACAACCAACTTCGCAGCCAACCCCACAGCCAACCTAAGAGCTAACCTCTTAGCCAACCTCCCAATCACCTCACAGCCAACCTCCCAATCACCTCGCAGCCAGCCAACCTCCCAACCACCTCGCAGCCAACCTCGCAGCCAACCCCACAGCCAACCTAAGAGCTAACCTCTTAGCCAACCTCCCAATCATCTCCTAGCCAACCCTCCAGCTCACCTCACGAGGTCAGCTTGGGGCTTATCTAAACCCACGTCATTCGATGCGACAACGTGCGAACCTATCATCAATCTATCCTTTTTTGAGGCCTGCCTGTATTAATTCCATGCAAACTTACGGAAAGATTTAGTTCAATTAATTGTTTACAATTATCAAAACCCTCTGCTGATAACACGCTACAGTTTGTGACAGTGACAGACTTGACGTTGGGACATCTCGACATGGTCTTAAAATTGCGCGGAGGAAGATCCTTCACGTTGATACAAACAATCTACAGTAGAAAGAACATGACAAAATGAGGATATGTGAAGGTCCAGTATCACCCCAGAAGAACAGTATTCATATACAGGGCACACTGCTTGATCTGTTTTTAAATGTCGAGAGACGATGGTATTCCCTATACAGGTATATCCTATGTTAGGGTGACGAAATAGCGGTCTTAACACGGAATGATGATGTTTCTCTCTAATTCAATCCGCTAGGTTGTTAAAAGAACGTTCCTTGCACGGAAAGTTGAATGTGTAAAGTACAAACCACTATAAAGACAAAACAGAAAGCAACCTATCGCTCGCTTCTTTTGACGATGGTTCCTGTCTGGACTAAAATATTATTATTCATAGTAACGTGACGTAACTTCTTTAGATTCTTCTTTACCTATTTAGTTTTAGAGGTCCAGAAAAAATTATCGTACGAGGTTGGTTGGTAGCTCCTTCAGTTATAGCAAATCCCTCTAACAGGCTATCTTAATTAATATATTATATTTAGGTGGAATTATTTTCGGCTGAGAAAGTGCGTGATGCACACAAATCGAACCAGGTTCACAGAAGCAATTAACATTAAAGTAATTAACTTACTTTATCCACAGACGTTACTCCTTTAGAAAAATTTAACAACTCCTCTTCAGATAAAGAAGGCAGTTTTTGTGAAGCAGAAAGCGGTCGTCTAGAAGTACAAAAGTCCGTGTAAGAAACACAAAGCATATTACATCCGAGGGTGCAGTATTTTCTATGACCAAATATAACTAGAAGTGATAAAATACTCTGGATCCTTTTAAAAACTGGCTAAAACCCTTTTGGTCTCTAGCTATCATAAAACAGTTAACAAGATCTTTTATAAATGTCCTGAATTGAAAGATATAATCATGATAATGTGAAAAACTAGTGGCACGCACTACACTCGTCTACCTTGGTTTGGATCGTATCTTCACATCCGTCTTCTCATCCACGGCCGCCGTGCTGTGTACAGATTAAATTGTGTTATGATAAAAAGTTTTGCTACTTAATGACCATTAAAACATTGATAGCGCATACATACAGTATATATTTATTCTATTTTTGAATACGTAAGAGAAAAATTACCTCCATGAAGTAGTTCGTTTCAGCCAGTCATCTCTACGTCTTTCCCATCCTACGCACAATTCAGAACAATCGCAAGCAACTGTAGACATTTCCTTTGACATATTGTAATCGTTATTCTGAAGTGTTTTTGAAATTGTATTATTTTGTTCTAATATTTTTTGTTTCTCTATTTGATTTTGTTCTTCCATTTTCATTTGTTTTTCTAATTTCTTTTCTTCCTCCATTTGCCTTTGCTCTCTCAACTTTTTTTCTTCCTCCAATTTCTTCTGTTCTTCTAATTTCCGTTGCCTTTCAAATTTCTTCTGTTCTTCTAATTTCTTTTGTTCTTCCACTTTTCTTTGTTCGTCTAATTTCCTTTGCTTTTCTAATTCCTTTTGTTCTTCTAATTTCTTTTGTTCTTCTAATTTCCTCTGTTCTTTTAATTTTCTTTGTTCTTCTAATTTCTTTTGTTCTTCTAATTTTCTTTGTTCTTCTAATTTCTTTTGTTCTTCTAATTTTCTTTGTTCTTCAAATTTTCTTTGTTCTTCTAATTTTCTCTGTTTTTCCAACCTCTCTCTTTCCTGTACTCTCTCGATTTCTAATTTCTTTCTAAGCTCTTCCTCCTCAGCTTTTCTCTTTTCATCTTCTAATCTTTTTCTTTCCCCCGCTTCCTTTCTCTCTCTTTCCATTTCAATTTCTTTCAACCTCCTTTCTTCTTCTTCCATTGCCATTTTCACAGCTTCTTCCGCTAGTCTCTTCTCTTTCTTATCTAACGCCTCCAACTCCTCCAGTCTTCGTTTACGTCTTTCTTCTCTCTTCACCTTCAGGGTCTTACCAAACTTTGACTGAACTCTAAATGAAAGATCAGTGTTGGCAGAACGTTGATCATATACATGTAATACAGATGTAAAACAAAACATATACAATTGAAGCCGCAGATATAAAGAGGTTCGACCATTAAAAATACAGGAAACAAGACAGATCTGGAGGTCTGTATAACATTATACAACTTAAATATCAAAACTTCTCAATCTAAATACACAATGCAAATATTAACAAGCATTACCTGAACTTCCGAAAATTCTTTTGGATTGTGATACAAGCAAGTTCTCTCTGAGCTTGACGTTTTCTCCTCTCATCACTCTGAAATACAACAGAATAAAGTTGAGTGAAGTGTGTTGATCATTCTTAGCTGCAACTGTGCGGAGAATCTTCCAAATCAGCTAATTGGTCAGAGATACTCAACACAAAGGGCATTGGAATCTTTAACAAACACAGTGATCTAGCTTCGGAGCCTTGATTACTTTTTCCACCTGCCCTCGGAAATAATTGAAATGCTCAATCTCAGCGAGGGCTTAAATGTGCTTGCTATTATGACATCAATATCAAAGCATCTATACAATGTTATATTTACAAGGCAAACGTAATTTAAAGACCTTCAATTGTTCCAATGCTAATCTTTCATCTTCCCGTCTTTTTTCCAAATCTTTCATTTCCATCTGAAAAAAATTTTCATAAAGAATGCATTTATAGACAGCAAGACTCATACGGAATTACAGAAAATCTATCAAAAGGAAGACAAGTTGGCAATAGATACACAAAATGTGAACTTTGCAAATGTGATTCAGAGAACAACATGGGCAAGAGAGTTTATAATAACCTCAAATTGTTTCTGAAGATTGTATAGCTTCTTTTGACATTGCTCAGCCTCATTTTCCAACTTCTTTTTAACATTCTATCAAAAATAGAAAAATATAATTTGAAAAAGTTATGGACCATAGAGTATTGCAAAACCTGACCTTGATCAATCTCAATAACAATTTTACCTTACCATGTTGAAATTGTTTATGGAAAAAAATTATAACTTTATACTGTGTTGTGGGTTGGTATGTTGGGCTGTTGTGGGTGTCATATCCTCCCCTTGATTGGTCATGCAGTTAAGCGTAATTTGAATCAAAATTCAATAAACTCGTCTGACCCACAGCTCCACAAAGCATGATCAAATTTTGGAAGAATACTGTGGACAGGGAATCATGGTTCTGAAGTCTAAACTTTAATGGATGTATGCTAGGAAAAGATTGTACTTTGAAGCATAAACCTGATTCTCGGTCATCTTCAATTGATGTTCTTCATTTGCCTTCCTTTTATTTTCTTCTCTTATCCTTTTTTCTTTCTCATATCTCAACTTTTCATCCTCTTTTATTTCATTAAAGACGTTCTTCAATTGATCACTTCTTTCTTCTTGTTTCATTTCCAGCTCTTTTAAATTTTTTAATGCAATTTGTTCCAGGGATGCAATATTTTCATCATCAATTTCTATAACTTTGCCCGAAAAAACCCTAATTATTCAGCTACTCTATGTAAGTATCAAAATATCTCTAATAGAAATACAAATTTATACAATGGTTCAAAAATTAAAATAGATTTTTTTTTGCCTCTAATCATATGCAGAAATAGTACATTAAAAAGAGTTTTAAACTTATAACTAGGTAGTAGTTTGTAAAAAATGCAATGATAGCCCTACATTAAGCTGATACAATCAACTTCCTAAATATATTTATTTACCATTTTTTTTAGTTCCTGCAACATCTGCTTCAAGTTCCTCGATTTCATGTAAAACCTACACAATATGAAACTTTGGTGAACCATTTAAACTATTTTTCTCCATAATACAATCTGATTTGTTGGACAAAAAATGCCTGAAAACTCTAAAAGACAAACTCCAAAATAATTTTTGAAAATTAGCCCTTCAGTATAACTGCCAGGGTTTAAAAAAGCAACAACAAAGCATGTACTTTTTCTTTTTCTTCTGTTGATATTTTTGTCCCATCCTCATCCAACTCATTGTTGACAGCACCAACATCTTCATGTAATGGTGTCAAGCTTACAGCAACTTCGGTTGTTGCTAATTGCTCTTGCAGCTCATTGTTCCTTGATTGCAACAGCTTGATAAACATCTCAACTGAGTCTGGTGGCACACCATACTTCTCCTCACTGGATAGTGTCTAAAAGGATGCAGTACATGCACATCAGTCCTGGACCTAGTCCAGATTTTAATAGGAACTTTAGATCAGCTAAAGCTACAAAATCTAGTACAACACTTTTTTATTGAATAGCCTGTAGCAGCAGATACTTGCCTAGGAAAATATCATGGTCATTGGTCATACTAGATTTTATAGTGGTAGCAAATCTAATTAATGTTCCCAAATGTCATATCAATTGATATTGATTGACATTCATACTGCAAGGCACTGGTTCAAATATCTCGCCTCAACACACATAATCACACAAAAAAGCCCTTACTGTTTCATAGTCCGACAAATCTGCTCGGGGTTTTTCATGTTTTGTGCCTGAAAAATCTTCTATATTTTCTAAATTAGAGTCGTCCAACGTTTCCAGCTCTCGCCGTATAGCTTCTACAATATCGGCTTCATCCAGTTCTTCTAACCCAGTCATAGTTTAAGACATAGTTGTACTTTTAACATTACTTTCTATCTATATTTGTACTATTGCACCTTCTGTCGTCCATGTTTGTTTTGTAGTTCCCGGGCTTACCATAGAGACGCGTTCTTCTTATTACCACCAGTGGTGAAATACGGGGGGGAACAACATAGTTAAGCTAAAATGTCCGAGAAAACGACAAAATAAAGCATAGTTTAATTAGTTTTACCAAGAATATGGATTGTTAAAGACGCCTAAAATGATTTAACTTATTATTTTAGAATTAATGCCTTTTTTTGGAGTTCTAGTAAATCATAAATTACAAAACGTCAGTGTTTTTAGGCTGTTTTCGAACCAGACTTTCAGCCTAACCAATTTGCCATTCTGTTGAAACGGGGGGTGTGCTTACTTTTAAAACCAATATGGCTGCTTCACCGGACATAAAAGTAGAACAATGTACATTTTTGGTTTACGGTAAATAACTGGACAGAATCGGAATTAAACGTATCAATACTTGTAAAACGTGATGTTTTCTTCTCTGAGAGGCTTTTTTGAACGGCATCGTCGAAAAATATTTATAACTGGGGCACTCATAGGTGGTGCTTTTGCCCTGGGCAAGTTGGCTGAATGGAAACTTGGCGACTGGTACGAAACGCAACATGTCGAGTTTCTTGCTCAATCAAAGAAACAACTACACTTTGATGGAAACCAAAAGACGTGTAACACCACCCTTCGTAGTTTACTTCCAAGTTTACAAGATGCAGTATTTGAGTTAGTTGATTCCACAACGATTACAGAAAAATTAAAAAACAAACCCTCTGATAAACTCATCCTTTGGGAACGGTTAAAGATCCTCAGTTTTACAAGAACTGTGACAGCAATTTATGCTAGTTCATTGTTAGCGGTGTTTTTGCGTGTTCAATTGAATGTTCTAGGGGGTTACATGTACTTGGATGTAGAGAGTGAGGATACGACCAGTTCTGCTTCTACAGGTGGGCAAAGGGCCGGCACAAGTGATGTGACGCAAAAGAAATATCTTGGAATTGTGAGGTTTTTCCTGGAGTCTTCTGTGAAAGATTTAGTTACGGTTATACAGCATGTTGTAGAAGGTAAACATTTTATAAATTATAATAATACCATTTAACTTTGTGCAATGTAAACCTTATTCCAAAAATGCAACCCTCATCAAATCTGAAATCCAAACAAAAATCCTATGCTCTTGTAATTAGAGTTGAGCTGATAAGATTATGTAGAATGTCACACACTTGATAACATTCAGCCATCATAATAAGAAGCTCGATCAATGACAGCCACCCTTATTGAACCTCTTTTATGGATAGACTATTCTTTTTTGTAGGTGTGTTAGGAAGTGTTTCACTAAAGCAGAAGCTCAGTTATCATGATATTAAAAGAATGTTGGGCCAAATACGGCAATGTCTAAAGTTCTCTGATCCCAAACAAGTAATGGAAGGATCAACAACATCTCAGCTCAAAATATCCTCAATTCTGTTACCAAAAGATGATATTTCAGAGTCAGATGTGATATCCAGTCAACTTCTAAATGAAACAGCAGATGTTTTAGAAAGTGAAGATTTCCAAGTAGTCTTCAATGCCTGTCTTGACATTGGTTTTATGTTTGTCATGAGACGAATAAAGTCATCATTTATTGTTGATCAACAAGGTCATTCCATCTATTTAATTTAAAAGGCCAAACAGTAACTTATCCCCCAAATCACATCAGCTTATAAAAAAAATGATTAAATCATCACTATCCCTGGAGCATTCCAAGCTGCCAGATTTCATGTTTCTGGCATCCTCATGGATAATTCTGCTGCAAAATTATAGTTCAGAATAAAGCAATTTTACCCGATTTTTTTAACATGTAGTACCTTTTTTATAGATTGCCCAGCAGATATGATTTGCTCCATAGAGGATGGTCTATGTTCAATACATCTCCCACTTGCTAAGATATGTCCGATCATTAATAGTAAAGCAAACGAAGTGTTTTCAGAGGACAAGAATGACTATTTGGATGATCTTGGATCACTAGAATGTGTTAAGAGCTTTGCAGCCAATATTTACGAATCTTTTAGTAGTAAACCTAGGAACTAATTTGTAAGACTGATTATACACTTCTGGAATTTCTTATCTGCACAATCAGGGGCGTAGCCAGGAAAGACGTCCGTAACCATCATGCCAGAGAGAACTGTAGATTTCCTATAACTCTTCCTAATTTTTTCCCTGAATTTTAGTGTTTTCAAGATATGGCTTCCGCGACCTCTCTTGGCTACGCCACTATCCACAATTCTCGATAATTATTAAATATGATTGTATTATTTTCTGCATCAGAGTGAATATATTTATAAATCTCAATTAGTCCATACCGATGGTGGGCTAAGAGCAATATGACATTACCAGACCCTTTCTAAAAGTGATTAGTGTACGTCCAACAGGGTTCAAAATATTTGTAGGCTGCGGCTTGTAAAGTGGCAAACGCTAGGCGAAGAAACACATTCACTTCGAAGGTGACAAGGAGTAACTTAACAAGATTTTTTAAAACTCCGGTTTCCTCGTAGGAATGAAAATATGAAACGAAGAAGTTTAACGAAAATTCTCCAACTGTCAGAAGTTCGGCCTTGCCTTTTAGAAGCGCGATCTCTAATAACTCGCTAATTATCGCTTGCGAATTTCTCGACGGCTGTTCAGGAACATATGCCCGTAGAGATAGCATGTCAAAGGTTTCTACGAGGCGGACGTGACATGGAATCAGCCGGTAGTGTTAGGAACCCAGTTTTAATTAGTTTTACATACAGCTCTATCCTGGTTTACCAAAAGAAGTCCATAAATTTTATTCCTGTTGTGAAACTGTGGAAATATTACTTCAGTTTTAGAAACAGTATTTACTTCACGTTCGCGTCGTGGAATTGGTGTATCTTAACTAGTGTTTCTAATTAATATCTGTCGGAAGTTTATTGAACACTAAAGCAAAGAAAGGTAATCTTTAAGTCTTGAGAGGTACCTTTCTCTAATGGTACCTCGAGTTTGAGCTCGTTTGAAGATCGAAATGTTCTGCTAGGCGTACGCTTTTTTAGCTTTAAAAAATAGTCTGGCCAATGTTCGAAATATAAGGTTTTAAATGTTAAATTTAGTAACTAGATTATAGTCTCTTCGTTCAATGTCGGTAAGAATCCAAGATCTAAGCAGTCTTTCTCTTTCACATATAGCGTCCAATGACGTAGCCGGCACACAAATTTTGAACTAGCTGAAGCTGATTTTGTATTTGGACAGCACTACAATAGTTCAGCTTTGAAAAAATTAATGTTCCATCAATAATTTACGTATATGGATGGGTCCCAATTTACAAAATTAAAAATTTCTTAGGAACTGCAGAGAACTATACCGCGATACGAGCAGTGATGTTTTGAAGTTATGTGCTATAGATGGTCATCGTCTGAGAATAAAATTGAATTTTTTCAATCGAATTTTTCAATTTGGTAGTGACGCCATAAATAACAACACTGCAAGACCCATTTAGTCTTGAAACAAGTACAGATGGATTATCACCGATAGAAAAATAATGAAGAAATTGAAAGAATAAATAGAAACAACAAACGTATTACGTTATAACGTAATGTCATTATAAGTTACACAAAATACAACTCACTCACAATACAGCATTTGGTTTCAAAGATATAAATAATTTAGACCCAGTGCAAATACCCGGTACTTTTTTTATTAAATACCAATGTACCCAAATTACCTAGAAACTTAACTAGGCAATAAATAGTACACATTCACAAAATTCCCTATTCTTTACACCATACTACAGGTGATACCAAAAACCCAGAATTAAAGCTTCATTAAGATCTCACACAGTGCACAGTGATTCGTTTTTGCTTATAAAAATTTAGGTAGTATATAGATATACAATATTAACTGGGCCAATTATTGACCTCATCTTACGAGTCTTATTGTGCAATGGAAAATGATCAAGTCCTTTCACTAAGTTCTTCGAAGGTGTCTAACGTAACGATTGTCTACCATCGACAATGTCATTACTGCTTCACAATAAAGACTTCCAATGCAAGTTATAGGAGGCCAGGAAAAGTGCAACTCTTTTCAATTGTTTTAACTACTGTGATACCAGTTTGCCCTCATGATCAACATGGAACTTGGGACTTGTAATGATGATTATCTGTTACCGTCATTGATCATTATTAACAGTATTATGGTACATCAACAATAATCTTCGGGATGCACGATCAATCAATAATACACTGGTGATGGTAACGATTATCTGTTACCATCAATGATCACTAACAGTAATCCGCGATTATGGTACATCAGCAAGGATTTTCGGGTTTACCATCAACGAATAATAACAAGGTGGGGAAGTCACAATTATCACATTAATAATTATTGTCACGATAACCTTTAATATTCCGAGTCACTACTTTCCACTGCACGGCCAATAACGATAATTGCAGCTAATCGGACGCGTTGATAAGCAGCGACAAAACTGAAACCAAGCCACCTGGGGATAATAAGACACGCAATAAGAAATGGTCAACACTTGTTTTGCATGCGGCTCACAGTGAATACTGCATGTACAGGTTACTTGTTATAATGTGTATTCACAATAAGCAAGATTAGACGTCAAATATATGCAACTTCTATTCTTCAAGACTGGCACAGGCAGTACGCGGAGAACCTTGGAATGAGGATGAGTTGGATGAGTTAACCCGAACTCCCCTCCAAGCCTCACTCGAATTGGATTTTGAATGATCTCATGATGCTACTACACTGGATAGTTGTGTCAAAAGCCAAGTTGAAAAAATCTTACGACAGCTCTACTATAATCTTTTTATTAGCTTTTATTAGTTTAGGCCGAGAAAAGAATGCAAATGTTAGCAGTGATGTAAGCATTTTTTTAGGCGAAGAAGCTGGATTTGCCAACTCCAACATCGCCATTTCTGCATGGTGGTTTCATTATACTTTCATATGGCTTCGATGAACTCGCCTCTATCTAACTTTATTCGCAGATCTGTGACTATGTACTGTGTGTGATTCACATGTCACGAAGATTAAATGCAGCTAAAGACTGTAACCTCAGTTTAAAGTAGATGTTGTAACGGGATTCTTACCTAAAGAGTATACATTCACATAGTAAAGCAATGCCAACAAAGCCAACTTTGGACAGAGTTGATTCGTTATCCACACAAAAACGATATGTGCCCACTGCGACCGAGATCATAACAGCAATGATAAAGAATGTTTGGACGTAATGCCTATGGACATAAACGTAAAACAGTTTTCATTAAAACACGGCTATCGGAGGTTTACCGCCGCCTATATATTTCACCACTGACAGCTGTGTTTTCGTTTATAATTTAACTTGTTTTTCTCCGTTTCATTTAGTCCAAAGACGTGAGGTTGGCTAAAAGGGTGCCCAATCTGAATATCAAAAACAATGCTAGAAATTCTTCAGTAGGTCATTTTCGCTGATATTGAGTAAAAACGTGCCACACTAGAGAGATAATTTAAATCGTGTTTTATACAAAACAAAGACCAAGATGCAACCATTTCTACTCTCTGCAAATCTGTAATCATCAGGAATAATGAACGGACATGCAAAAAAAAATTCAGTCGAACAGAATTTTTCGCTTAACCCTCCCTTCAATAGACCTTTTACGTCACAATATTATCGTTTTAAAATTAGAACCACCTTAAATGAGATGGATTTCAAGTTTTACTCTCACAAGCTATGTGCAAAGATGAAAAACATCCTTCTATAACCCATGCATGAAAAATAATTTTTTATTTTGACTAATAAGTATGGAAATAAGCGATAACGCGGGAACGAGGCTCGCGGTCTTGGCCCCTCAGCCTTGTTCTCGTGTTATGGCTTATTTCCAGATTTATTGGACAAAACAAAAAATATTTTTCATGCATGTGTTGAAGAAGGATGTTTTGCATCTTTGCACGTGGCTCGAGAGATTAAACTTGAAGTCCATGGTTCTAAATTTAAAATGTTGTGACGTAATTATCGAAAAGGTCTATTGTGATTGGGTCACGTGGATCGGCCGACTTCTACAAATTGGCAAAAAAATGTGCTGTATTGACACCAACCTAAATTTAAAGCCACTAGGAACACATCTTTTATCTTCTTTTATTATGTACTAAATAAATAGAAAAATGCCTCAGTAAGAAATTTTTGACGATATTTTTCTTACCACTACAATTAGTGTAGGTGCAAGGAATACCAGTGCAAGATAGTGCCTTAGGTTTTAGACTCACCTTCGTCTTACAAACTCTGCATCTCGGGACTTCATTAGAATCAAGTGATAGCTAGGGCAGAAATACGAAAGAGGAATATTGTTATTCCATATTTCTAAAAATAATCATAGGCTTTATTAGGGAACAAAAAATGCAAAACTTTAACCAACCTCCATTAACCAACGTTTGAGACAGTTTTGATGTACAGCGGCAACATCGCCTTTACATTTACAAGGAAATATCATAGCACCCGCATCTTGGCGGTCAGCATCGTAACACACCCAACAATCATATTTATTTGGTTTTACTAGAAAATAAATAAAATAATCAAAGTCAGAATACACTTTTCACAACCCAAAGAAATTCCTGGAAAAGGGAACGAGGCAACATGTATTTGAGTCCGCTCACGTGACGCGCAAGCGAATAATATATACTTTTGAAATGCTCCCATAGGCACAGCCATAGGCATAGCACTTTTTCGTTCTAGTGACCAAAAGGTTTTTTTACTACGCGTAGAGAAATTCCCTTGCGAAAAAACGGGCATAGACTATTATCAGTACCGCAAGTAGTACTGATCTAAAATACTAGTTGGTATATGGTCGACCATCACGTTATTTGGGGGTAAAGTCAGGTGTCTGATAATTGCCACTCATGACTCATCAAATGTGTCAAAAAATGGCCAGAGCATCAAATATTTAAACAGCCCCCTAGGGGTAAACTGCCCCCTAGCGGTAAACAGCCCCCTTTCCTATTTTCTTGTGGAAGAAATAGCTCATAGACATAGCGGTAGGTAGCCACGCCCTTAGGTCCGACTTCTGATGTCAAATGTGGCCTTTTTTATTTCTTAACAATAACCACACACTCATTCAGAAATCAGAGTATAGGCATAGTCCCAGATAAAAAATATGTATTATTTGTATTCTTTGATACAGGTTACAAACCTTGATTTTCATTCATAGTATTATAACACTTCTGTCCTCCTAGAAGCACAGTAGTCTCATCTTCACTGACTGCCTAAAAAACACAATGCAAATATTCAGTAAGACATGCTTTCTTGCTTAAAACGAATTGCAAATATGATGGTGCTGAATCATACCTGTTCTATCAAAGGTACTTTAATAAGTTTTTTGGGGTTTAATATCCATAGTTCTTTCGAACTAAAGTATAAAAATATACATACAATTTGTAAACATAAAAAAGTGAGCCATCATCAATCAGCAAAAGTTTGAAGGATTTCTGCAAACCTAAAACAGTTCCATAAAACACAAGGAAACCATAGCGCTACTGCTAGTTCAGATATTCGTGCAACAATTTCTAGGGCATTTCTGCTCTCGACACCGGTACTAGAAAGAAAAAAGTACAGTAGGTACTTTGCAATGTTTAAATGTGTCAGAAAACTTTGCCTACGGAGTTCAATGATAAACTTGAGTATAACAAAAAGACAACATAAACAGTAAATTTTCTGCCAAAATCTTGTACAAAAACTGTGAGGTGACCTCATAAAATGCACAACAAGTCAACATCTATTGTTTCATTGATTGTACAATTTACAAACCAGGAAAATACCATTATACCAACCTATATTGCCATTTTCTTTGTAAAACATCACATAAAAAGAAAACTGCTGCAGAAAGCTAAAAATGAGAAATGGTTTTCCATTATTAAGGACCATATAAATTCAACCAATTTCAATCATTTCTCAAAATTTCTAAACAAAAATGTTCTTCCAACTCACCTGAAATATAGACTGAGCAACTAAGCCAAGTCTTGACATGCTTAATTGAGTCCAGTTGATAACATTTGATCCAGACTTGAAAGCTCCTTCAACCTAATGAGATACATCAAATGGTCAGTCACAGAAAGGGTTGTGCCAGTATGGAAACTCATCCAATATATATATATACTTTGCATTCATCTGCAAAAACTGTACCTTGCAAAATATTTCAATGCCATAAATTAGAAAGAATAATAAAACTGTGAACATTAAGAAAACAAAACAACCAGAGAAGACATCGGCCAACAACATCTATTAAGACAAATTTAAAAAAATTGTTCGGTCAACAAGTAACCACATTTGTTTTCAAGAAAAAAATTATATATTAGTATTGGAAAATCATTGTAACATATTATTTCAAAAGGAGAACACAATACATTTAGCCAATTAACTGCCAGATTTGGTCAGCCAAAAAAATGTGTCATACTATTTACCAGAGTTTTAGAGTCTTTGACTGTCTTGGTTGTAATTATTTGAGCTAATGTGACTGTGAAGATGAATAAATTAAATACTATGAAAAACTGTGATGATTTCTTTAGAAATTGAGATTTCTCTGCTGTCCAGCCAGATAGATGAAATGCCTAGAGGAAAATGCAAACAAATCATACTCTTAGCCACAAAACACACAGATAGATGATAGCACAGAGCAGCTCATGGAGGTACAGGCCTAAATATTTAGGGGGAAAGACAAATTACTAAGGACGAAAAATCAAATTTGCAATACAGTGCAAACCTGGTGATTGCTGTATTTGCACTGTTGCAATTTGCAAATGTATAGCAAAGGTGGTTGCTATATTTGCACAAACAATCAGTGCAAATTTGGACACAATATAAGATAATAATAATATAATATTAATTTTGTTCATATAGCACAAATATCACACTGGCATTTTTTCTCACCTCTGCCCAAAAACAAATTAAAGCGGTGAATGAGCATATTACAAATGGATAGTATACATCAAATAAATCAACCCTCCACTGTTGTGGTAATGTTACCTTAAAAAGTTAAAATATAAAAAGCCATTTAATTGTGAACCATTTAAAAGGGTTATCAAGTTTGTAAATAGTATTGGATACATACCTCTGTTGTATAATAAACTCCTCGGCTTCCAGCTGCAACAATCACGTATAAATAAAGTAATTTTTGGATAGTTACATGACAGGCCTTCCAAAACTGAGGTCTGGCCATACGCTGGAGCTCACTTCGAATGCAAAACACCTGTTAAACAATAAAAGAATCCAACTTACAATAATCCTAGCTCAAACTCTTCTTAAAAATCTAACAGGACAATAATATCATTGGTGTATTTGAAATCCACTTAAAAATGGATTTAATCCCAGTGATTTTACCCTGTAAGTAAGTGTGCCAGACTACCAGTAATTTCATAGCTATGAAAAAATGACCTCTAGATGACCTCTAAATGAAAGGCCTAACAAATAAAATTTTGATACTTGATATGATAAAGGACTCACTCACTCAGATTTTGAGGAAGTAATGCATTTAGTGATGTTTTGACCATTGTCTTAGGACTACAAAAAATACATTTTGTAACTACCCTCACACTCACCAGCTGTAGCAACGAAATAAAAGATATTAGGTAAAAAACAATTCCAAATCCAATATAATATCCGAGGTTGGGGTCTTTACAAGCATTGCCAGAAAATTTAACCTAAAGAATGTTTAAAAAAAGTCAAAATAGAGGATCAGGTTTACATGGGCTGGAGATAAAATACATTCATGGTCATGAAACTTGCAAAGCTTTCAGTTTCAGCAGTTTGGTTCACATGTCATATGTGACAATGTTTTGACAGAGACATTTTCCCAGGCCTAGATTACACCTTGCATTTTGGTCACATCAAATGCAATTTAAACTATAGATAATAAGATGGCAAACCTCATTATCATCTCATTATATATTGTTTTAATTGCATTTGGCGCGACCAAAATGCGACATTGAACCTCGGCCTTAGCTGTTCCATCATACCACGGTTAATATTTCGCAGTCTATTTTTATGACATTAGGTCATTTATAGTGGCCATTACTAGGTATGCTTGACTTTAGTGTTTCTAAAAAATATCCCATTTACTTTCGAATTCCAATACAAGCATGTTGATGTAAACTATATTAAACAAGGACAAAACCGTAGTTTCAATTAAATATTTCGAACCAAACATTAGTAATTAACTAACCACAGTTTTTTATTAAGAGGTTTTGAAAATTGCTTCGAAACAGGTATATATATATACGACATTCTCATATTAACGACTTTTACAATTCGACAAACATAATGCTTATATTGTTTATAGACATCGGTCGCCACATTTTCTTCGTTGCTATGCCGTTCCGTATTGAATGCCTCAAAATATGCCAGTTATAAAATAGTCGAAGTCAATCTCCTTAAAATGCTAAACTAGGCAAGTCGAAACATATTTGGACATGCATACGCTAAACAAATACCAATAGTTTGGGAAACCACATTACAGAAGTCGTATACAAACTTTGAACACGTACTGATATAGAAGAGGTTTGATCAAATCAACGTGAAAACTTACTTCACACACACAAGAGCCAGACTCACAAGCCCCATGTATACACGATATGTTTGTACAAGTTATATTTTCTTCTGTGGTTGTCGGTCTAGAAAAATGGACGGACATTTTCCCGCCTCTTCAAGTTCAGTTTAAAATCAAAAACAGCTCGAGAGATGTAGTCACTTTTGCTTGAAAATATGAAATACTTCCTCAATTTATTAAACGCCTACAGAAAACCACACTTTTGCATGTTAATTTGATATACGACTATAGGAGGCTAAATGTCTTTGAAATAGTTTTTTACCATCACATGACCTTCCTTAACCAATCATGGTCTTGTGGCCATAAAATCATGACTGGTGTCTGGCGACAGTCACATGACAGGATGAATGAAAATGATTATTAATAATCCTCTGTTTCCCTCCATTGTATAAATAAAGTATCAATTATTCAGCATGTGGCACGTGGGCTGAATTCAAACATAGATATGTGAAAACATGACTGAATTACAGACATAAAAATTCTATCATAGGCATTCTACTTTGACTACCAGTACAAGGATACAGGATTTGTTCCAATTAAACCATTACATTGTTAGATGGGTATGGAAATATCAAAATAGTGAAAATACGAAGTAAACACATGTATATGAAATAAATTTTGTGTCATCTTTTGGAGGGGATCCAAGATTCTTTAGTTAAATATTAAGTATTAATTTAATATGTAATAAGACATTTTTGTGATAATTGATGCCTAATTACCTTTTTTCAGAAAAAAGAGCAAAAGGTTCAAAGTGCAAAGGAACTGGAAGTGACTTACAGAAGAGGCTTACTAAATGCAAGGGAATATTCTAGCATTATACTGTTTTCCCAAACACCACAGAACATTACATAGAGATAGATAGGCGGATGTAAACACAGGCAGCCCGGTCACTGCTGTTACGTCATGCTATTATATACATATATAATAGCATGACGTAACAGCAGTGACCGGGCTGCCTGTGATGTAAAGGGGGAAAAAAAGCATAATTAATATATTCAGTGAACAACAACTATGCCTGAAATAAAAGATTTGATTTATTCAAATTCACTGTTCACTACAAGTTAGAAAATCAACTCTTTGCTTTTGCAACTCCAACTTTAGCTGGCCTTAAAACCCTTGCATTCAATGTATATCCAATTTGATTAACAAGGATTACAGTGCCTTCTTTTCCTGGAACATCTTGTTCAAAAAGTGCTTCATGAAAATTTGGATCAAATTTCTCTCCAACAGGACTTAGTTTCTCAAGACCATTTTTTGTAAAAACTTTGTGAAGTTGCTGGTCAGTCAAGATAAGACCTTCATACAAGCTCTTCAAGTGAGAATTACTTTGTATTTCATCTTGTGGGACACTTTCTGTTGCCTTTCCAAGTATGTCAGCAACTTCTAGAAGGTCTTTAGCAAAACCTTGGATGCCAAACAGTCTTATATCCTCAATTTGTTTTTTCATTCTGTTTTTTACATTTTCACTTTCTGCCAAGGCTCTTTTGTATTTATCCTGCAAAACAATGATATCTGCATTACGGAAAGCAATTAGAGGGCAGCAGATTAGCCAGGTAAATGATTAGCATGTATCATTAGCATGATAATCATAAAAATTATCATCTGATCAATAATTACAAATAATTATGGCAAAACAACAAAAGTAACCACAGTGCAAAAGTTAAAACGAATCTTTGAACCAGAACAAATCACAATCAAGGATTTTGAGTTATCTACCAAAAAGCAAGAATAGGCAGTTGCGATATATCGATATTTTCGATAAATATCGATATATCAAAAATATCGATATTCGATATTCCATTTTTCGTATATCGAAAATATCGAAAGTTGTAACTAAACAACTTAATCTCCGATTATTCGGCCATTATTGTTTTGAAAGAAACTGTGATCACTGAAGATCATCAAGCAGCGGCATTGAATGCTGGAAAACAATAGTTTTGTGTTGACTCATAGAGATGAAATTCGCGATAATTTTAATAATAATGTTAATGACGCGTATCGACGCGGGTTTAAAAACAAGGTATCAAAATAACACTGCTCATTCAAACTCGTTATTCTGTTGCAAAGGGAAGTAATAATGTCGCAGTATGTCCGACGATATCTGGCGATTCCGGCGAGCAGTGCTCCAACTGAAAGACTTTTTAGTAAAGCGGGACAGATATATTTACAGCGAAGCGAGTAAACCTCAAGCCAAGCCAGGCAAACATGTTAGTGTTTCTCGCAGAAAATTTATAAACATATATATATTTAACTGTAGTGCGAAACCATTAGGCTTGTAAATAATATATATCTTTCATAAACGCATAAACCGTTGTTAATAAAATAATAAATAAATCTTCAAGACGTGCCATGACTGGTTTCATGCACTTTTTCTTAACTGTTTGTGATGCGTATACATGCAAGTTGACTAAATTACGTTTTCTCATTTGCATAATTCGATATAGTCGATATTATCGATATTTTTATTCCGATGTCGATATATCGATTTTTTTCTATATCGCAACTGCCTAAGCAAGAGTTACATAACACCCCAAATGTGCAGTGGCGTATGGGAGACAATAATTGGGGGGGGGGCACATATTCATATATTCATGTTAACAGACCTGTAAAGACAATGGATTTGAAAAGAATTAACCTTGAAAAGAATTAACCTTAACCTAAAATGGACAAAAAGAACTTTTCAATGTTTTGACCCAGGAGTTTTATCAGTTCAGGAGAGTTAGATATCATACTAAGTAAGTTATGCTAACTCTTCTGATGATTGAAGTCCCCTAGGTTGAAACACTGAAAAGTGCTTTTATGGGCAGTTATCACATAACACTAATTGAAAGTTTATATATTGTAATATAGTAACTAGTATAGTGGACTTTAACAGGGCATGCACATTATTCTGAAATTTCTTTTAGAATAATACGGGACTATTTTGGAACTGGAAATAATAGATAAACTATAGGAATGTTGAGAATAGTGCTTTTTTTCTATTATGATCATGTGTGTGTGTATGTCATGCTACAATAAGTGTATTCAAATAAAATTTTTGTAATATTAACACTTAATGAAATGGATTAATAGGTGTCCCCTGGAATAGTACTATAGAACAAGGGCTTGGGGCATAGTTTTGAACTTTTTCTGAATGGCCATGACCATGGAATTTTATATTTGTGTTAAATACCTCAAGATCACTTATAATACCATCCTTTTCTTGGATAAGTTTGATTTTCTGATCTAATTCTGATAATTCTCCTTCAGAGCTTTCTGTCTCAGTGTCTCCTTTCGTTGCGTCATCTGTAGTCTTTTCAGCAGTGCACATTATTCGTGACCGTGATGCGGCTGATGCCGTTTCAATGTCGAAGCTTTTTCCCATAAAACGACTCAAAAATACCCTCGTCATGAACGGCCGCCACATTTCGACAATAAATTACGAAAAATAAGGGAAAAGGAAAACTTACTCCTTTATATTAACATCAGAAATTTCACACATGGCATGATCAATGATCAAATATCAATTGACGTAAAAATTGGGAATGGGCTCGAGCAGGCGAGCTCCTCCCGTATTCCCCCCGTATTTTAACGTCCAATTTGTTCTATTGAATCTATTCAGTATCAAACATAGTTATCTCTATGATATCAATCTGGAAAGAATATTTCAACGAAGTGGTAAAAAATAAATGAGCACTGTGAGTGTGAAGGTACAATTGATATTTGATAGTGAACTCTGGGTGTTAGATTTATGTTGTTCCTGTAGTTGCCGGAGATCCTTACTGTGAAGTTCCTGTAATTCCTGTTCCTGTAGTCCATGGTTTCCACACAACCTTGGAGGCTAGGAAATATGAGTAATAGTTGAAAAACAACATAGCAACTGTTGTTGACTTAGGTGAAGATATATCTTAACTCCATTGACATTTAATATTTGTTCATGTTGTGTTTGCTTTTATATAAGTAGAAAACAAAAGTTCCCGGAGTTCCTGTACTTTCTGTGAGGTTCCTGTAATCCCTGTGAGGTTCCTGTAATCCCTGTTCCTGTAGTTCCTGGGTTTTCAACTTATCCTCGTTCCCAGATTTTCCGCATACTCAAACTCTTCAGGCATGTGCACAGCAAACAGTTCATCTCGATTCTCGATAGAACCTTGGGATTGTGATAAACCTCAAAACGTCTTGTTTCCGTACAACGCAACAGCTAAAGTTTCTGGAGTTCATATAAATTATCAAGTAAAATATAAGACATCAAGAGCGTAGCGAAGGGGAACACAAATACACGTTGGCGAAATTTTGGTACATAAAGATACTAGCAGCACACACTGCTACGATTCATAAATACAACCCCCAACTATAATAAACCACGCCCATTTGCGCCCCCCTCCCAACTTGTAACCCCCCCCCCCAAGTATGATGTGCTCATCCCAACTCATTCATCATAAAGCTTTGCCGGAGACTGTATACGACAACATTTATATCCCAGCCAACTTTACCGTCCAAATTTCATCTGGACCCAAAGTCTAAGCGTCATCTCTTCATCAGCTATCACAGAGCACACAAACCTGTGACATCGTGTTTTGTTGCTCTATTGTTTGTTTTACTGATTTTGAGTTAGGTCGGTGTTTTAGGCAAAATGCCAGTTGGATTACGCAAAGTACGTAATATTGTGGTTCACGCATGCTCATTAGTTACGTCAGTGTTTGCTATAAAAAGGCCTCCGTGTGTGCACGATATGCATAACACGGAGACGTGCGTTCCAGCAACAACTTGGCCAACGACCCGTAAGGCATTAGTCACGTTTTTTTGAAGAAGACGTTGAAGACAGATCATTCACCATCGCATTACTTCCATGCAGGTAAATATACGGCTTGTACACCCTAAGACTGCTGTATGGTTGGTGTAGTATAATTACACTAGTGCCTTACAGTAATACCACTTGTATTAAGAAATCAGCAATAATACTCAGGTCACTTTCACGTAGCATACGTTATGTCATTTTCACGTAACAACCCTATATTCCTCGCCGATGAGCTTTCACTCGTTATTTCTTGTTCAATCATCCTCATATGATTCAGTTTTTTTTTCCTACCTTACGCACCTTATCACCACTAATGTTAAAAAGCCGATGTTGGACAATGATAATAATTATCAGATGCCAGTTGTATAAAAGACTAGTTCACGTTTAACTGTAGTTAAGGACAGCCGGAATTCTGAGTTAACTAGGATTTAATTATTTGATTTAAAGCAATACATCAAAATTCGTAAAAAAATTAATCAAATCAGTATCACAGCACAAATGAAGACGTGTAATTAAATAATTTTTTTTGTAATGCCTAGGAGAGACATTAATTTCAGGAGAGAGGAATAACTAACATGTACTTTTACCTCTTTTGGTTTAAGTCATCACTTAACGTTATCATCATAGGTTGCATCTCGCCCCAAGATAAGGCAGAATTAGTGTATCCAGGGGCGCTAGAGTTGAGGGGCAGCAAAAGCAGCTGACTAGCTTGCTTTTTACTGGTAGTGGAAAGGGCGAAGCAGGGGTACCCTCTCACTGAATGTTTTAGGAATAGCACAATAATCTCGCGAAAACCAGTAACTGAAATAGATCTGGCACACAGAAACACGATGAGACAAAGTTCACCTGATGCAGTTTTAGAAACGCTTTTTAGTATTCGCCAATATAGGAGTGGCCTTAAACGATATATAAAAGAAATTTGTAGTTTTGAGGGTCGGATAATTTTTGCTGAATTATTCTTCGCTTGCATGTTAATTTAGGCACGTTCACACGCCGGAACCGGACGAATTTGGGACTGTGCATGAATTTTGTCCTGTTTCTCGTGTGGGCGCGTAGAGCCGGACAAATATTTATCCATTTTTACCGTGTTAACACTTGAACCGGACCCTTGGCAACGTGGCCTTTAATTAATATTTTCGTCGATTGCATATTTTCGTTGTGAAGAACGATTCTTGTGTACCTATCTCATATCTATTTCCTATCAATTGCTGAGCAGCGAAAATATGCCATGAATTGAAATCCTAAAATCAATAAATTTCTATGAAATCCTAAAATCAATAAATTTCTATGAAATTGACATGAGCTCCCCTTTGAGCAATTACCGCCATTTGCAGTTGAGTTCCATTGTTTGAAACGGTGCGTTGATTGGTTAGCAACACGATGGGCGTAGTGTAACGTTCCGAGTGAGATTGCATCATAAATTTATTTCAAGTTGGAATATGGTGCCGAAAAATTTTCATCATTTTTGGTATAGTAGCCTGAACACAGACCTACAGTTTCGTAGAAAAGAGTAAAAAAAACCTTTTCCAGCAGACAATTTTGCGAAATATAAGAGAAAACAAACTCCGAAAAAAAACATCTTGTATATAGTCAAGATATGAGCTGTTAAAAAACAAGACACAATATTCAAGGTGATATTTCGACTCTATTTCAAAGTCATTGACAATCACTGTCAAAATAGCCGAATTCACATTAGAGACGGGAAAGTTTATGGTATAAAAACCTGCGTCTAAATATGAATAGGAATGGATAAATTTATACTTAAGTGTGATGGGTCGGGTAATGCTAAAAAGTGCATGCATGTATCATAATTATTACGATAATCATTTTGTCTATAGATTTGTTCCGTCCTTGATCGTGTTGATATTTCAGAAACTCGTCTGATTTATCCGTCTATAAATAGCCGAATTCATTAGAGGCTGCAGAAACCCGTCTTAGACGGGAAATTCGTCGAAGACGGGTTTCAAAAATATATCAGATAAATCAGACGAGTTTCTGAAATATCAACACGGTCAAGGAAGGAACAAAGCTAAGAGATTAACAAAATGATTATCGTAATAATTACGATACACTTTTTAACATTACTGGACCCATCACACTTATAAATTTATCCATGCATTCCTATTCATATTTAGACGGGTTTTTACCATCAACTTTTCCGTCTATAAGATGAGTTTCTCGTCTGTGAATTCGGCTAATGCGAATTTAAGACGAGTTTCTCGTCCATGCAAATGGGATTCCCATCTATAACTTTCCCGTCTAAACAGACGGGAAAATCAGACGAGTTTTCCGTCTTCGACTGACGAGTTTTCCGTCTTCGATGAGTTTCCCGTCTTTAATATGAATTCGGCTAATATCATTAGAAATTTAGAAATAACGGCTTTTCATGGCTTAGTCGACTAATACGGCATAACATTCTTATATTCCAGTCCAGTTTTTTTAAAAAAACTGAAAGACTTTTGTTTTGGCTGTTCTGTATATTCCGTGTACAAGAATATTACACAAGATTATTGTTTGTGTTCCTCATGAAATATAGTAACGAGTTGTGTTATCACTTTATACATTTCGAATATGAATGAATTGTGAGGTTTTCAAATGTTTTTGTATACCGACGTTTAAGCCGAATTTGACTAAATAAATCGTAGCTCAATGCTTGCTATAAGTCTAGCTGCCTTTTCATGATTTCATCAGTTAAAAAAGTATCGACCAATTTAATGATTTTCTCTTCAGAAAGATGTTTCTCCCAAACCTCATTTTGTTGACAACAGTTCTGCTCAGTTTGGTAATGTCAACTCCAGCTGAAGCAGGCATGAAACGAGAATCAGTTGCGAGCAGTGGTGGTTATATTGATGTCGCAAAACTGGTACTCCTCAGATTAAGTAACGAGTGGCAGACGAACATAAATTATCGCAATTCCATGAAAGCACATGTGGTTATTCCTTGTCCTCAAAACCGTACTGCAGATTGGCAATCTTCTATGGACCGTCTCGGATGGTCCTTGTGTGGAAATGACTGGTACATGACGGGAATGTGGAGACATGACTTTCGCAGTGAAGACGAGAGAATAGGCAGAATTGAATATGCAGAATGCCATAACGCACCCCGTAATTTGTACCCAGTTAAGGGGGAACAGGATTGTTACGAACATGATTGGTCGCGCAGTTTCGATCATCAGGGATGGTCCACATGCAAAAATGGTTACTACATGACAGGTCTTTACAAGAGTAATGGACAACAATTGCGCAATATTGAAACAGCCAAATGCTGCCGACCGAGGACACAAGTGGAACAGTGGGGACAATGCTACAATCTCAATGTGGCATTTAACCATCGAGGTTGGAGCAAATGTCCACATGGATACTACATGGCGGGGCTTTATAGGAATGCATGTGAGAGCTTGAGCTGTATAGAACGTTTTAAATGCTGCAAGATGGGCCCATTAGATGGAAACTCATGGATTGAATCACCAAATCTTCGTATCGTAGTAAAAGACGCATTCGGACAGTTCAAGCAATGCTCTATAAACGCGACGGATAATTCCGGTAGTACATACCAATGCAAGTCAGTCTCAAGTAGCGCTAATCTGTTGGAACTCAGTGCATTAAAATTCATTATATTAAATCAGACGTCAATCTACGACGCAAACCCTGAAACAATTGATTACTCCCATACTGTCACTTGCTCAGCTTATCTATGCACACCCTATCAATGCAATAAAACGCTCATAACAAAAGGGTCAACCTTTTCTACCCTCAAACCTGACACGTGGTTCTCTGTGAAAGTTAAAATTGAAGCAACAGTAGATATCGATGCAGAATTGTTTGACGCAGAAACAAGAGCAAACTTCACGGAAATAATCAATTCATCATCTTTAAATCAGCAGCAATTCATAAAAAAAACGTATACGAAAACGTACAAGACGGACCTAAGAGTTCTCCTGCCAGAAAATACCAAGCTTACTGTAAACTTCAAGAGAAAGCAGTTTCAATACCTGGAATACAAATGGAAAGGACTGTTAGAATTGTCGGGGAAATACTCCATAAAGTGGCAACACGGTCGAGAAAGTATCCTGGATGTGAAGAATGCGCTATCTGGGCCGAAGAGAGAGATAAACGTGTTTGGGAAATGGATTTATCCTGGCAATGACGACGAACAGTTTTAGAAACTAAGTAATTATAATAATGGCCTATTAAAACTGGGTAGGTGCCCGACTTGTTTTTTAGTGTAGTACGAAGATGTAACCGCTCCTCTTTAATTGCACGTCTCTATTGTAACTTTTTATTTCCCACTGGGACAGTCATAGTGTATCTCACCAAGTCCCTGTTCACCTGATGGAGGCGATTTACCGGGGCTACTGGGACAAAACGGTTGTGTTATCTGGAGCCGAGTAACTCGGTATTTGTTTCAATGTCTTTGTCATCTCCTTGCGAAGAGTTTTGTAATGCAGTGTTTCATCTGCATCAAAATCAATAACTTTCTTTTCTTCATCATATTTACGTTCTTTGATTCAGCCATATTGTTTATTTATAACTCGTCTTGCCAAGATCCCGGCAAGCCGAGTAACTCGGATACATCATATAAACAGTTAACAGGGTTATCCATACAATATATAGAACAAACGAAAACTCGTTTCTGCCGCCGGGTAACTCGTTTAGCCGGGTAAGTCGACTCCATGTTCCATGTAAACAGGGCTTTAACACTGTAGTACAATAAATGTATCCATTATTGTACATATGTACCACTAGATCTAGATGACCCCTGTGCCATTAGGGTTGACAGTATAGACGATTGGTCCTCGTCCGCGATAGCTGCGCAGTGCTCATTATTATTACATGTTATACAGTAGAAATCGTCACCAGTCGTCGCACACGTTGATATATAAAAGTTATTTTCTAGTAAAAAAAGTTTTGCAATTTTTTGTGTGTTATTTGCCTCTGCATTAATGCAAGAAGTTTGACTTGCATGTCAATGCCGATGAGGATGTCAAGCCCCCCCGGTCGACACAGACCGGACGCGATTTGGCAACGCGCTGCGATTTTTCAAAGTTTTTCATTTTCCAAGAGCAAATAAATCTTAAACTATCATTATATTCTTGCAGATTACTTAACGATAATATATTGTGACTACTCTGGCGTTGATAGATTCCAAATTTTGCTTCCAAAAATTCAAGCCGTATAAATGGGGCAGTGGGGCTTTTCTGAAAAACTGATCGATATTGCCCCTCCAATATGCTCGAACAAATGTCCTCCCCTAAATTCTGAGGACTGACGCCGCCAGGCTATTTTCAGTTGTAAAATGTTTTTCAAAAAAGGATATTTCCCACGAAACTAGAAATACATAAATGCAACGACCCCTCGCTATTAAACCAAGTGACACAATTTCAGGAGTGGATCCAGACTGATGTGACTTATGCGATGGCATTAGTCAATATTTCACAAACACAAAAAATTAAATACGAAATTGGCGTGAAATTAAAACTAGTCTATATTGAGACACATAAAACCCTGTGATTGAGACAGATAAAACACTGCCATAGTCGAATATACCGGAATTCGACCCCTTAGTATGGTATACCATAGTCGAATATGCCATGGAATCAATAGTCACCTCGAAATTTATACTAAAACTGTATAGAAACACAGAAATTGTTTTCTATTTCTTAAATGGAAAATAGGATTCAGGACTCAGGTTGACATCAGCTTCGTTCCCAGGCGCTTTAAATAAAATAAAATATAGGAACACTACAGACTTTTTACATAGATCAGTGGCTAAGCAGAGCGAGCACGCAAGGAATTTTGGGGAGGTCGCAGAGAAGGAAGCTCCATTTCTCCGTCGCGTCCTCCCCAAAATTCCTTGCGTGCTCGCTCTGCTTAGCCACTGATCTATGTAAAGTCTGTAGTGTTCCTATATTTTATTTTATTTAAAGCGCCTGGGAACGAGGCTGGGTTGACATAGTTATGTAAAAATAGGGTGTTCATCGAAAACTATGACCCCCTGGGGCCGGTTGTTCAAAGCTAGGTTAACGTTAGCGCTAACCCTGGGTTAATTTTTACTCTGCTGTTTTGGTTTATATGGTTCTGCACCGCTGTTTGTTTTAAGACTTTTACAAAATAAGACTTTTATTGATCCACAAAATATTTATGAAAAAACATGCTCAACTTCATAAACGAGCGATTAAAAAAATTGATGTGAAAATTTGAGTTACCCCAGGGTGAAGCTAACCGGCTTTTGAACAACCGGCCCCTGGTCACGATATGGGACTGGCTCAAATTTTGGCGCGCTGTGCAAGTTTTGCGAGGTTGCTAAGCAAGCTTTGATAGAACACGAGTGAATTGTTGTCTTTTTGTTTGGATTTCGAAGGAGGCTGTTACAATTTCGGTTACATTTAAATGGCTACAACGGCTAGTCCTAGGAAATCAAGAAAGGTAGAAGGAGAAGCAAACGGCGGGGACGAACACGAAATTGTCGTGGAGATAGATAGTGTTCAGAATGAAATAGACACCTTGAATGAAAAAGCCTCGGAAGAGATTCTGAAAGTTGAGCAGAAATTTAACTTGTTAAGAAAGCCACATTTTGAACGGCGGACAGATCTTATCTCAAAGATTCCACATTTTTGGGTCACTGCTGTATCCTTGCAAATTTATTATTTTTTTTATTATGCTCTATAATTCTTTAGTGTCACTGTGGGGAAACCCCCTGGAGACGTACTATTTTATATTCTTTCCAGGGGTGGCATGTAGAATCTTCCACTAGTATATGGCTTTCTAGATAAAATATTTGCTTTGAACAATCAAGAGTGAATACTCTCTTAAAAATATACTACAATAATAATATAAATAATTCAACTCATTCTAAGTTGTTGCATCATTTTCCATGCACCTATAGGATGTGCAATTTTTCATAGATTCTAAAAAGGTCAGACATATGTAGGTGTTGTGCATGTATTCTTGAAAGGTTAAAAGACAAAGGGAATGTTGATGTGTTGGGTGACATTAAAATTCCAAACAACTGAAACAAGGAAAATCCTTTGTAAATGTTGTAAAAAATGGAGACAATGACAAAATGTGAATACAATGTTTCAGATATTGGTCAAAAATTGTAATATAAAGTTCTTTCCCACTTTCTCAATTGTTCAGAAAGCATAAAAATTAGTTTCTTAACATTAACAAGTTTTTAAACCATCAACAAATTAGTGCCCTGCTTGACGAAGAAGATGAAGAAGCATTACAATATCTTAAATCAGTTGAAGTTGAGGAGTTTGAGGATATAAAATCTGGATATAGGATAAAATTTGTATGTTAGCACATATTTTCAATTTATGTATGAATAATCATGTAAAAATATGTTGTGTGCAAAATATTGTTTCTTTTTCCTAGCATTTTACAGACAATCCATTCTTTGAAAATGATTTGATTAGCAAAGAGTTTTCTTTAAATGACAGTGGTGATCAAGTAGCAAACTCAACAACTATCAAATGGAAAGAAGGAATGGTTAGTTCCAGAAATAGCATTTTTAATTGCACAGTAGATTGTGCTTGCTTAATTTTATAGCTCTTTTGTAGGATTTAACGAAAAGGTTCCAGGAAAGTGCAGCTGGTTCCAAACGTGCCCACCAAGAAGCACAAAGTTTTTTTAGCTGGTTTACAGATGAGTCTGATGGAGCAACGGATGAATTAGGAGAAATGATCAAAGATGAAATATGGCCTAATCCATTGCAATATTATTTTGTAATTATTTTGATTCTTCATTTGTTACAATTGAAGCTTAATTATTATGTATGAATATATGTATGTTAATATGCTGAAGAAACAATAAAGGTCCTATCTTTGATTTCTAAATTTGATCAAAATTTAGACATTTGCAGGACAAGATGATGATGGTGATGATGAAGGTGAAGATGATGATGAGGAGGTTGGTGTTTATTTAAAACACATAATCTTAAATTATGTTATTTGCATGAAAATTATTTTTTTTATCTGATTGTTTTAGGGTGATGAAGATATAGTTGAAATTGATGAGGATGATGAAGATGATGACGATGAAGTTGTTGTTATTGAGGAAGACGAGGAGGACTTTGATGAAGATGAGGGTGATGAAGGAGAAGACGAAGATGTGGATGGACAGGAAGGTGGAGAAGATGAAGATGAGTATGTTGAAGAGGAGGAAGAAGAGGAAGGTGATGATGAACAGGTAAAGCTCAATTGACTAGTTTAAATGCTCACATTCACAGTGTTGGTTAGAAATCTGTCATACATAAATATAGAAATGTTTAGTGACAAGTAATTGTCTTACATAATGCATCTAACTGCATTATAAAATATACTACATTAAAAAAAACCCCAAAGAATTTGCCAAAATGTATATCCTTCACATCTTGTATAGGAGGTAGAGGATCCAGAAGCTGATCCTGCACCCCAAGATGATGCTGCCTGAGTATTGCCATATAGAACAGTGTAAAGATATGAACAATTTTATCATCTTCAACGGCGATGAGCCTAAAGGCTGTCCATCTATCACACGCAAAAACAGACATTTCAAAAACAACCTGTAAACTAAGACCTCATTTTTACTTTTCTTGCTTGTGTGTATATTAGGCTATTGAACCCAAGTGATACAAGTCATGTTTATAATCTAGAATGTTTTCGTATAGTTTTGTTAGCGCGAGTTTACAATTTCCACGAAATCAACTGCTAAGCCTAAGGGTTGTGTTGGAATTGCATGAGTCACAGCTTCAATATTGAAGTTTTTGGTTTATAAAGAAGAGTTTATCTCTATACGAGGTCTCCGCGCAAAAGAATTTCAATATTTTTATTGCTTGGGGAAAATGGATACGGTAAACATTACCAATTCACAATTTCGGATAACTCAGTAGCGAAACAAAACGATTTACCAGTTTGAAATATGAATGCAGGGATTGAATGGCGCATAAAATTGAATATAACTTTCCAGTTTACTTATGACATTATAGAGTTTAAGGTATCCGGACAGAATTTGTATAATTAAACAAGCAAAAAGAAAAATGCACGAATGAAAACAATGCTACCTGTGGTACCTAATCTCTCTGTGAGGCATCTGGAATTATGCGTAACTACTTAGTGGTGTGGATTTTTCAAATACTGCGCCTGCGCGGAGTTATGACGAAGTTGTGAAAAACAATACAGACGTATGACAATTGTCGTTAAGTTTAAAGAACATATATTAAGGATAAATGGCCACTACTGGTTTAAAATGCAGTTTTGAAACTGCGCGTTTGAAACGCAATCAAACAGCTCATGGAGTAATGTGTTATTTTGTGTAAATTTGATTGCATAAGAGAAATTCACTTTTTGCGTACGACGTTTCACGCATTGTAATTTGTTGTAAATCACGGTTTTTATTAAAACTCGCAATAACTCTAAATAACTGTAAATGCTTTAATTATTTGTGTCCCTTACCGTTTTACCGAAAATAATTCAAGATATAGAATATGCTGAAATTGCTGCGATTCTTATTACGGCATGCCCCCCTTCCTTCCTTCCTTCCTCCCTCCCTTGGACCTTTTCTCCCTGGATCCCCTTGGATCTTTTGCGACCCTGCCTGTATGAAAGAATGTCACTACTTGTATGAAAGAAATAGGACATATATAGAAATACGACATTTGATTGGAAAGTTCTGAAAGAGGGTATTACATTCCCCCCTGACTGCTGCTCGCGAACACCCACCCACATATTCCGTGAGTACCTTTCTAGTGCATGTTTTGGTATAGGCCTTTCTCCCCCTCAGAGAAGCCAGTCTCGTATTAAGGCGAAGGGGTGCATCGGAAGGTTTTAAACACGCGCGCTCACTTGCGCCAATTCTCTGTCTCTATATTAGTATAAAACGCGAATTCTCAAGAACTACCGGCTCAAGAACCACTGCTATAATGCCACCTTAAAATGTATTACCAGTGAAGTACATTTTTATGACTTGTCTTGATTTTTCGAAAGGGTATTATGCTTTGAAAGTATGCTTTTATAAAAATAAAAAAAATTTATTAGCTATAGTTAATTTGATACGGACAGTATGTTAATCCAGCGGTAATTTCCACTCAAAAGTATCTTTAATGAGATCTAGTTCTTTAGGTGATAAACGAAGCAGATGGCCAACTATAGGTAGCATTTGTCTTGACTGAACAAAATAAAGAATATTGCTGTATTAATTTACAGTATCTCAATTCATAGTTAGTCATGCACATAATTGGTTAGAAATAATACATAATTGCACGGTCACTAATCAGGGACCTGGGGCCGGTTGTATCAAGCACGTTTAGCTCAAACGGTGGATAAGTGAAAATTAAATAACACTCTTACATTCCCCTTGAACGAGTCAACTTGAATATTATGCACTGAATATATAGTTGCAAACAGTATCTTTGTATTAAGGGTAAAAAAAATTAGTTCGGTTGTTGAATAAAACGATAGACCTGCTTTCTATTTTGAACTTAACCACCGTTTAAGCTAAACGGGCTTAATACAACCGGCCCCTGGGAGCAGTTGCTCAAAGCTAGGTTAGCGCTAAACCTGGATTAAATTTTAATCCAGTATTTTACTTTAGAAAATATGACACATCCAGAACATATTTATGAAAAAAAGATATTCAACTCTGGTTAAGCTAACCGCCCTGGAATGTATGCTACAAAATGGTGGGTTTAAAATTGGCGCTTTAAGCTGCTTTCATAACCAGCCCATTGCCCACAACGGGTGACGTGCGTCTCATAAACCTGAACTCAAGCTTGTTAAAATATATAAGGGAGCAAAGATAAACCATGCGCATGACGTAAGGGGTGCTACCGTCGACACCAGAAGGCCCTCTTCCCAGTAGTTACCTTCCACAATATCTAGTGTCCTAACTCCTAAGTGTAACTTTAATCCTACCTTTTCGTTCGTGCTGCACATATACTTAATGATGACATGCTTGAGATATCTAGTGAGTTGATTGTTAAGTTATTTTCTATCAATGCTAAATTATTTCGTTCTCTAAAGAGGCCAAAGTTTACGTTATCCTTGTGAATGGTTGAGTCAAACAATTAAACAGCAACTTTCGCTTTAAGCAAAAGGTATTTGTATGTGTTAAAGGATACTTGAAGTTCATGTCTAAATACTCCAATTCTTCATTATCAGTTTGGGTAGAGGAAGAGACCAATAATCCAGTCTTGACATTATATTTCTCTGTTGTACCGTTTATCTCAAGACAATCGACTGAAGACGATTTCTATAAACACAGACAAACTGTCTCTAGAAATTTTCATCATGTGGTATTATTATATGGGCGCCGCATGACGGAAGTATGAAGTAATATCACGGACAAAATTATGGATGGTCAACTTCGGTTGTTCTGGAGAAGAATAGTTATACTAATATGGTCGACGGTACGAGTGCATGAACATGGTTGAGTATTTGTAGTTTCATAAATGTCCATGCAGTTTTGGAACCAAACAGAGGGCCCAAAAGAAACGTATCAGCCTTTCAAGACTTACTAGCTCGCGTTGAAAAGCTTTTTTAAGATCAACTAATTTCTGTTGAAGCGTCTTTATTCTCTGAAAGACATGAGACATAAATGAGACACGAATTAATCAAATTATTTAGAGCTCACATGTTCTGTATGATACAAAGGGATAATGGACAAAGACTCCGTGCCAGATGGGGACTGTGTGTTCATCGGATCCATCTTATGATAGTAAGGGATACATCTCTTGGACGATAGTAAACCCTCGTCGCCTAATTTATGCACAATGAATAACGGATTGCAATACTATGATTAAAAAAAAACAATTTGAAAAAAAAGCACTGATCTGTAGGATCCTTATATCTGGATTGGGTCACATTAAACATATTTCTGACATACCAAGTCCTTCTCGTTGATTTGTCTTCGTAAACTTTCGTTTTCCTCCAAACTAATTCTTTCTAAGTCCTTTAGAAAAAATAGAGTAGGTAGCATTAGGAAATTCCATTGGGAAATTACTGTCAAACCCAATCACTAATCTACGGGAAGCAGGGGCCTTTGGGGGCAATATGATTTGCCAGTACACACCTCTGGAGTAATATAATTTGTCAATACACAGCCCTCTGGGGTAATATCATTTGCCGGTATATGGGATAATATAATTTGTTAGTACACACCTCTCGCAATTTAAGTTGATCATCCAATTCTTTTAATCGCGTCTTGTGTGAAAAACTATTTTTATAAGAATCTAGATCAATCAGAGCGAAAGATGTCAGAGTACAATGTGTTTCGGAAGAAGGTAATACAACTTTTAGGCCAGTTACACACGCACATTTTGTGCAATTTTATATGCAATTTTCTTCCCCTGATGGATGTGAACGAGTCAGATAGTTATGGATGCGGTGATATCTACACAGTATGGTTTACCTTTCGTCGTGTGGTGATAATCATTCCTGTTCGATGTTACGTCGATCATTCGTTTTCTGTCGGCGAGTTTGTTGTTTTCCTCAAACTGTACCAGCTTGAATGAGAATATAACATTGAAAATAAGATCAAGAACATATAATGCACTGCGATTTTATGTTTCATAATCTTGTGCTTACTTTCGTTCGGTATCGTTTAAGCTCGTCATCTTTCTGTCGTACTTCATTTCGTAAACCAGAAATTGTATCATTTCTGAAAAAAATCGAATATTTCATCCACTTAAAACACATCAAATATAAGGATTGAGAATTGTCGAGAGAGATATCCCATGTCACAAGTGGCAGTGATGTGTCGACATTGGTTATGAAGGTGAATCATTATTTAACGAAGCTATATGAAGGTATTTCGCAAACGAACACTCCAGCAAAACCCAATCATGACCCTAGCAAACTCCCAACCTCCCAAACAGGGTTTTTACACTTCCAATAAACTGCCATGCATGACATTTGAGTATATTCACCTACCTTTCCTGCAGCTCGTCATCCACGTGTTTATTATGTTCCTTAAAAAAAATACTAATGAAAATCTAAATCCTTGCCTAAAGTTAAACACTAAAGCTGAACACCCCATTTCGCAAGATTTAGCACAATGTTCTGGTACAAGAAGCACTGTATCGTTGGTAACCAGGCCTTACTTGCTATGATATCGCATGATTCAAGGGGGCATGGGAAGTATGAAATGGTAAAACCACGCACAGTGTATCTCATTATTTCATACATGTCGTCACTCTTTCCTGTGTTTTGTTTAATTAAGGTATCGTCAAGAATAACTCACTCTGCTCTGTTCTAGTTCTCTACGAAGTGCTTCCATGATTTCAACACTTCCAGTCATTCCTTGAACTTCTCCAGACTATAAAAAAATATAGCAGTCTTCGATTCAAGTCAACGCCAAACGTCAAAGGCAAAAATATATGTTCTACAATCTTTTCTAGAGTATTAAAATCGGTGCAACTATCGAGAACGTCCCATATAAATACATTGCATCCTATACAAATACATTGCATAAATCTAATTTGAGAATCCACGTGACAAAGTTCCATCATACCACGTGATCATACCTTTATTCGTAATCCACCAACATTTACTTTCTCTCCTAACTCCAGTTCTAGGGTTTTGATCTAATTAATTAAAATTTACAGTAGAAAAATTAATAGATGGTTCATTGTTCTTCACCCTGGCAGGGCCCGGATATACCTGCTGTTTTAAATCGTTGGTATTCTTCAACGCTTCATCAAGACAAAGAGAGACTTGGGCACATTCGTCATCTTTGATCAGTAACTCAGACTGAACACAAGAAAAAATTATATTACTTTCTGTAATTCGGGGCAAATCATTACTAGAACATCACTTTTTTGGGGGAACGGATGCATGGAAGCGAGGGTACGTCTCTTTTCAAACCGTGACTAAACCAAGTCTAAAGGTAATGGAAAGGATTACTAGCAATGGAAACCTGGGACCGGTGTCGCTATTTTTGTTCAACCTTTTATATGCTGATGCAACCACGCCCAAGAAACATTTTCTTCTCCCCCGTAATTTCTACCCGCCACCTCGCAGGAAAGCATATGTGTATACCCGGTGCATATGCCTATCCATACGTGTATACCCGTGCATCTTAACCCCTCTATTAAATACCTGCAGTTGGTCTCTTTCCTCTTGTAAATCAGCCAGTTGACTTTCGTATCTCGCTTCTTTCTGACGAAATTCTTTCTCTGTGTTACGAGATCTCTCCTATGTGTTAAATAGTTCATAAAATTGGTCATTGTATACAATTTTATCCAAATATGCCTGTGACCCTACTACTGGCTATCCATTTTTGGCTCGTATTTTCTAGTATATTTTCTGGGCAAATATATATGATGTATGAAGTATTACTTCAAGGTAGCACGTTCCAATTTAATAAAACTGTGAGAGGTCATAATATCTATTGTAGCAGTGATATTACAAAAAGGCAACTTAGAGGGGATGGCAAGAGTAAATGTTCGTAACTTATCGAGTGATGTCAGTAAAAAATGGCAGAGTGGTCGCAACATAGTTGCAGAAGAGATATACCTCAGTCTTAGTGTCATTGGACCGTCTCCATGTTGGTCGAGTCTCCTTTGATCTTTTTGCTGACGTCAGCTGACCACGGACATTTTCAAGTTCTTTCTCCAAATATGAATTCTTGCGGAAATATAAATAACAGATACATCAATAATCTTGTAGTTTGAAACCTATTTCTACTATGTATATACAACTGATTCACCGAGCTTGTCTTTTTAAAAGATATGCCGTCACCTACTTATTAAGCCCTTGATGTCAGAAAACTGTCTTTGAAGCATATTTTTTTGCTTTACCCTCTATAATATTGCCTCGGATATTGTCGACAAGACCTAGTTTAACGTTACTTGAATAAATCAGCTTCAGATTGACGAGCACAGTATATTAACTTCATAGTGCATGCATGGGCGGGACCGAAACTGGTAATCTGGTCTATATAATGGAACACTGGATGTTTCAGTTGGACATATTATCAATACTAGCTGTAATGCACTTACTCGTTGTTTTAAAGCGTCTAACTGATCATTGCTTCGTTCTTCATTCTGATATTTCTCTAGATTGCTTTCTAAGTTTCTAATCTGACGAATTGAGGATGAAAATAAGAAGGATACCACCAGTAAACGTAGACCGCGAAACTCTTCACTAACGAAGGTATTCAAAGGTATTCATAGTAAGTAATTCAAAGTATTTGATACCTTTTGTTTAAGTTCATCCATAGTTTCTTCAGCAACCAATTTACAGCTTGTAAGCTCCTTGTCTTTTCTTTCGAGTTTTTCATTTAGTGATCCAACCTATTTTAAAAAACAGGACTTTTATCTCTGTTGTCCAATTGGAACTTCGTATTAAGACATATGGTGGACATCCCTATTGAACGCCAAAACAGGTATTTTATTTCAATACCGGACAACAGAGAAAAGAGCACAAGGACTAATAAGGTTAATGAGAATCTCGTATTGGTTCAAGTGGATCGATTTTCGTGCACGGAGTGATTCTTTTGCTTAAAATGAGTGCTCTGAACCAAAAGACCTACCAAAGTCGCGAGAGCATTTATTTCGGAGGATTTATCTCTTCCTTCTTTCAAACAATCGCCCATCCAATCATCTTCACTATTTGCTAAATCTGAATGGGACGATTCACCCTTCGCAATCCTATATAACGATCGAAGAAAAATTTCTCATTCCAAACTAACAATTACAGTTTACTATTCCATCTAAGATTAAAACAAACCTGTTCTCTAAATTTTTAATCTTGTTGTCCTTTTCTACTACATCGGTGGACGTCTATGAAATAAAGTATTAAAGGCGATCTAGGTTTTTTGTTGAAAAGAACTTTTATAGCAGTACTTTAATAACTTTATTGCGAAATAGTTTCATACAGCTTGTACAAAGGTGTACAAAGTTTCGACCCCCGGACGCCCACAAAGTTAGTTTTTTTCACACACCAATAAGGTTATTTTTACACACTGACACAGTTTCTGTGATCACAGAAATTTTAAACAGCAAATCCATCCAAAAGGATTTGCTGGAACTATTCAATGGGTCATTTAATCCTAGTATTTTAAAACTATGCTAGTCTGCATGGTTATTAATTCATGTTCTACAATTCTTAAACATTTTAAAACCCATGCAGTCAATCTGCATGATATAAGCTTGATATTGATCACATTGTTGCAAGAAGTTTTCTGCACTATGATGTTGATTAACAACGTTGCGTCATACGAGTTGACCAATCAAGATCTACCTGTGTCTTCAGATTATTATACGACTCTTGCAAATCGTTTAATTCCTTCTCTCTTATCTCCAAGCATTTCTGAACTTTACTCAACTCAACCGATTTCTACAGAAATAAAGTCATATGGATTGGAGTGCTTGTATGAGTGATAACATTATACTATAGAGAGAGAGAGAGAGAGTCGACCTTTAAGACAAATACCAGTCATGCATCAGAACATTTCTCACTATCCTTAACATATATTCCGCTCTCTCATCCGACCAACATATATTCCGCTATTTTTTCAAGTATTGCAATTTGCAAATGCCCGAAAAGCAATAAAACCACAGCTACATGGACCTCATTGATGAAAAAGATTCATTTTAAAAAAACCTTTTGAAGGTTCGATCCAGATTTCAAACTACGTACAAGTAAATAACCACCCATTTGATCCTTATTCGCGGTCTCTATTGCTGAATGAGTTTGCATGAACCTGCGTTAAAGGAGGGCGTATCGCATACGCACGCATAGATATAATCCTCACAGGGGTATATAGGATATTGTGGTCACCAAAATAAGCAATATATATTTATATTACCTGTGTTACTTCTGTAATAATGTCATTCAATTGACATTTTAATGTTTTATTTTCCGTTTCCAATTTCGAGGTTTGTTGTTTTAACTTTTGTTCTTCTTCTTCAAAATGACATCTGTGGACAAAATTATAAACGATTGATCGACATCAGATTATTTCACCTTCTTTGAATATACAATAGAAAACAGAAATATGTAAACCATACACAATGATCGACAGTAAAGTACCAAAGAATAACAAGCAAGATATGTCATATGGTATATAAGTTTTTAATTTTAAATTTATTTTTACAGTTTATACTATTCTGGTACGTTAAATCAATAAAAAAAAATTATAGAACACCGTGGGTTATTCCAGTTAACCTTCTGGCGGCGCCACACGGTAAAGCCAGTAAAGAAGCGAGTTTTTTACTTCTCGCGGACACAAACATCATCTTCAAAGACATAGCATAGAAAATTTAGCATTCGAAAAGGTCGTAAAAAATCAGGAAAAATTGATAATCATAAAACTGACTAAAAAAATTGTGTTCTTTTTTGTGTTACTTCAATTATTGGATGCATGTTGAAGAGAGGATAATTTTTTGACTGTAGTCTAATAAAAATCAGCGTATTGGGAACTTGTGCAGTATATCCACTACTACTGAAAAAGATAATTTTTCTACTCAGTTTTCTTCCATGAAATTTGGTTTCCAACAATTTTTTTGAGAAAAAAGCAACAAGCCCTATAATTGCCCAGATCATTGCAAAATTTTGTTTAATGTTAATTGATTGCATATTTACAAACTTATACGTTAGTATCTACCTTTGTTTTGTTAATTCGTCAAGTTTTTCCATCATAGAGGAAAGTTGAGATTTTTGGTCTTTATATGCTTGATCAAGTTCATCCAATTGCTGTTTATTTTAAAATACTAGTATTGAAGTTTAAATATTTAGTAATTAGTACATTTAGAGAGCCACATACTGCCATAGCTATAGGCCTAGCAATATTTTGAAGAAATTGAACCTATATTAACTATACCTCCGTTTGGTATTTTACTTATATACTTTAATTATAATTAATTAACACATTTGGAAATCCAATAGCCACATGGCCATAGATGAATTATGAGGATTGGAAATAGGGAAAGACTTGTGTTTTACTATGTGTGGATACACATTTTAAAATTCTTTAAATATTATTTAGTGATTGAGTTAGGCTTTCCATATATACACTTGTCAATTAATTCGATCAATTTAGATGACAAAACAAATACTCTAGCTCTGCCTTCAGACACGTCACACATATTAGGATGTGAATTAAATTTTGTTTGGTCGCTATCAAGTAATAATTATACAAACCAAGTTATAATTATACAAACCGAACTTTTTTCTAAGATATCAAGTGCTTTCTGTCTGGCATCAATTTGGGTTCGAGACATCTATAATGGTACACATAAAAATATATGTTGTTGTGTATCATGTAAGGGTGGCCAAAAATTCTCAGAACATTCACAAGTAACATGACACACATTGTATATGTATCCTTTCATGTCTGCTAGCTATTAAATGACATATTGAAACACAGAACACTTTGCAGGACTCAAGACCCAAAAATTCTCAGAACCTTCACAAGTAACATGACACACATTGTATATGTATCCTTTCATGTCTGCTAGCTATCAAATGACTATTGAAACACAGAACACTTTGCAAGACTCATGCAGTCACCTGATATTTGTTCCCAACATTTTTTCTCAATTCTTTCTCCCTAATGGCTTGCCCCTCATATAACCCTTTCCATCTTTCAATTTCCTCTTCATATTCTACACACAAAGTTTAAAACAATTGGCTTAACAGATTAATATACGAATCCAATGAAATTCTTGTTGCCCAATAAATAAAGTTACTGGTCAATAAATTTTGGTTGAGGCTTCACATATGCAGGCCCAACTGACCACCTATTGTTATACAAATATTGTTATACAAAGATTATTATTCAAGGCCTGCTTTTCCACTTCAAAAATCCTGAACTGTCATTGATCAGTAAAGAACAATTCAAAGATGACTCGAAGTTTGTATACCTGATAATTTATCCTTCAATTTATTGATTTCTTGCATTTTCTCACGTAAGACAGACATTAGATCTTTTCTTGGTTTATTGCGTTTAGACTAAAATGACATAATTTCATGAAGGTTAACAATTATTAAACCAGGAGAACTTGCTAACACCCAGCATTGCTAGCCTGTGTGGCAGCAAAGTTGAAACATTTGGTTCAAAACATTTTAAATGAGATTTCACAAATCAAGGTCAATTTTATTGGTGCATTTTTCTTAGGCAAATAATTTGCAATTGAGAAATGTCCAGTCAAGCAGAGTACACCATTCCGCCTGGCTGAATTTTGAGACAAAACAGTAAGCCAAAACAGTCAATATAATAGTTAATAATAAACTACAGTGCTGTTACAATAATTCTGTCAAAAGGTTCTTAACTAAATTACAAAATGCTACAGTACTTTGTATATTTATGCAACTATAAGGGGGTATTTCATTAGTACTTTCTAGTAATCATTGTTTAAAAAGCTAGCTCTGAGTGAAAGAGTAAACAAGGTACAACTATAAGTCTATAACTACATTTCTATTAAAGACCCAGCAGGTTAATTAAATATTTAAATATACCCGTGACTTAGTAAATGGCCATTTATTTTCAAATTCTATATTTCAAATTACAAAATGTTCCCAGTAAGGAATTCATTGGAACTTACAATCCCATCTAAATTATCAGAGGCATCACCAATACCATTTGCCACATTACTCGTGAATGATGGATCTCTTGATATAAAACCAGGTTCTGTAAAAATAGATTCCCTCGATCCATAGTAACTACTAACACTATTCATGCGGCGCCTGTGCCACTTATTTTCTTTCGAAACAGGGCGAAATTTTCTGCTTGACGATGGACTCGAAGGTAACGACGAGCCTAAATCACTGTGGTCTTCTTCCGCTATCTTTTGTTTTAGTTTTGTGAACATTTTAACGGTTTTCAACCATAAAATTGACAATAAAATGTGGTTAAACGACGGCTTGATCACCGCCAATAATTAAATTGTTACATTGCTTTGTTATTGTTTGAGTTACCCGCCATAGCGCATGGCCATTTGAAACTAACCGCAGCAGGATACGCATTCACTCATTCATTGATCTGATCAGTGCCGATTGAACCCGATTCACTATCTACTCATTCTACTGTACATTCCAAATATTTTATATGGTGGCCTTCCAAAGATTCTTACAAAGAAATTAGTGAATACATTTCCTTGGTTTCTTTCACTGTATTTTCCATTTTTTTTTAATCATTTTGCCACATTTATCCCATATAAAACCTTATCACATTCTCAATCCTCATATTGAGAATGTGGCAATCTTTTAATTCATATACTTCACTCCAATCCTAAACCTTATCAACTTTTCCTCACCCTTTATAACCTCAGGATAAAAATGTTCATTATCTAGTAGTTATACCACTTGTATGAGGTGAATAATGAATATCAGCAAGCAACCTGCTGCACCTGCATGTTTTATCTTTTGCAAACATCACCTAACTGTCCCATTTATTTTATTGCATAACTTGAGGAAATCCAATAAACATTTCAGATTCTTAGGTTTTTACACTGGCTTGACCCAAATTACTCCAGCTGCAGTGTTTGTCAAAGATGCCATTCTGCCAACTAATCACAAATTGGATTATTTATTCCATTCTAATTTTCTGGTAGTTACAGTTGAGACTTGTAAATGTTCTCCTTGTGCTACATCCAACATCATATTGGTCCACCATGAATAACTGTCCACACACACCTTTTTCTTTTCAAATGTAGCTGGTTGAAACTTGCGTTTCCTTTCATTTCTTTGTTCCAGCTTTGTTGGTACATCCATATCCATCTCAATGATAGTACTGAAGTATCAGAAGTAACACTTGTTGGTCTAGAATGTCTCTGAATGGTTAACACACTATAGTTCGTCGAAAAAAAATACTCTGCCTATGGTAAAATACCATCAACTGGTAAAATACCATCAACAAGTTTGAAATACCCAGATATTTACAGTAAAACCAAAGAAAGTCAACAAGGCAACAAAGCAAAACAAATTAAGTGAGCCTTCGTGAACCTTGAAACGAATATTAGGAGGCAATAAACAATATAAAAATCAAATCTATAGTTTTAGTAATAGTACTACCAATCTCAATCTCGTTGCAACATTACCAAATTAGTTCCCAGGCTTTCTTTCTTCTCGCGGTTTTTCGAAAAAAAAATCATAATTTATAAACACGAAACATCGAAAACATGGCTGATCCGTTGTCTTTGTTGCGACAATATAATGTTCAACGAAAGGAGATATTGGAGAAGGATGATTACATTAGCTTTGACGAATTTGCATTCCCAAAGACTGCAAAAACCAACTATATTATATACAGGTAGATCCATCGTGGTTTCTGTTAGTATATTAGTTCGTGCATTTATAATTAGCTTGGCTATCATATTGTTTACACAGATTTCTTCACAATTAGTAAGAAAACGTTAGCGATATTGCAAAAGCATGATTTTGGGCTCATGCTCCACGTAAATAGCCCATTCCTCACGAAAAGTTTAAAATATAATTGTTTAATTTAGTTTCAAATTCGACTAGAATAAATGATTACTTTCCAAACTGGCAAACTATCTAACCAATCAATTTCATGCTAGAGAAGAGTTAACGGCTCTGTGGCATCAGAATGCAGTTGTCTGTTTGGTAAATAGAAAGCAGACTTTTCATATGCTATTATTTGACAACTGTATTGCAGCAATAAAGATGTGCAAGGCTGCATATATCGTATTAGCAGGCATGCACCAACACATGCTTGGCTGTACTCTGTCAAATTATACGTCAGATAATGTTACCCATCAACGTACTATCTGTAAAGGGTGACCTGCTAACTGCCAAATAAGTCCAACTACACTATTACCTCTAATACCAAATATTTATCATTATCAATATTCTTTAGGACTCAACCAAAGGAGTACTATACATTAGAGTCAATGCTGTTCTTGTTAAAAAATGTGCATTTATCTCATGCAATCTATGTCCAACGTGCTGCAGTAAGTTATTTTGTTAAACTCATTATTTGGTAATAATTTCTACAATAATAAAATGATGTCATTTAAATCCAGCTGGCAACACACTTAATTTATCTTTGGTCTATCATTTATCTTTCAGGCCTCAAAAATTCCAGTTGTCAGATTGCCTGATAAGAAGGTAATTTTTTAGCATCTAAACACGTGGGTTTGTTATGAATTTATATATTTTATATTGACCCAATATTTTTTTGCTTTTTCAATACTTTAGGCTCTCCTCAGCTACTTGAATGGAGAGACAGGTGACATAAGAACCATTACCAAAATACTTTCCCAGCAATACAAAAAATGTTTTCCATTATAAAGCAAAAACAATTACTTTTATATATTCTACAGAAATATCATCAAGTATTGATAAAAGTGTTCCACTTGAGCTCCCAACACAAAGACCTTCAGCAAGATATCAAAATTGTTAGTATCACTAATTTTTTTCAGTGGTTTATAAAAAAATTGGTTTAAAAAAGAATGATAAAAACTTTTCAGTAAAAAGACCTGGGGAAGATGGGGCAGCTGGAGAATTCAAGAGACCTAAAGTCGAGGTAAAAACAAACTGAACTGAATTCTTTACATTTCATTAGAAAATATATTGTAGTCTGCATATGAAATTATGATGAATATGTCAAATGCAATTCAATGTTTCTAATTGGATTTTAGGAGGAACAAGTGAGACGTGACAAGGTAATGTGTTTCAACATTTTTGGACATTTTAGGCTACCATTGTATGCCTTATATATACCAATGTTTGACTAAATCTATATGTAACTGACACTTGCAAGAAATAAGAAATACATGCAACATCACTATAGGAAAGGCTGGAAGCTCGTCTTGAAGGTCACAAAGAGGGAACAGTAACAACTGAACAAATTCGGTAATGGAAATGTATGCACAATAGTGAATACTCTGATGTTATTCAAAGCATGGTTTATCAATGTGTATCTGATATGTATAGCTCCTTGAGTGACACAATGTCAGCAGAAAAGATAGCAGCCATCAAGGCAAAACGTTTAGCAAAGAAGAGAACAACAATTAAAGTTGATGATGAACTTGATGCTGGACTTCTTGTAAGTTTGGAATATATATGTTTTGGTTCTAATAATGGACACCTCATTAAAACGGTGGTGTTCCACTTTATTTTGCTCCATTAGGAAAGACGTGTGTTTGTTGATGCTGAAGTGGATGTAACAAGAGACATTGTTAGCCGTGAGAGACTGCTTCGTACAAGAGCAAGTGTCCTCCAAAGTACTGGAAAAGTAAGGAAATTATATTACAGCATCACATCCACCATTTAATTCAATAGGCAAATATTAGCAGATTTGGATGTCCAGCTCACAAATTATCTTTCATAGCAACCTGTTTGCTTAACTAGTTTAACATTCTTTATCCTTCAGCATTTTCTAAAGAACATCCTGGCAATCCTACAGTCAGTGAAAGCACATGAAGATGGCTCGGCTGCAAAACAACCCCAAAAACCTGCTCCTGTTGCAGTATGTCACTCACTTCTTAAAAATATTTAATGAAAGATCTGTCTTTATTCTGCCTTACTTCAGGTTGTGTAGGATTGTGAAGTGGCTATAAAAATTCTCCAAAATGACCAAATTGTTTATTTCTGAAGGAGGTTCCCAAGAAGAAAGCTGTTATGCCAGTTTCATATAACAGATATGATCAGGAACGATTCAATAGAAAAGAAGGTATCAAATAATTCATCTTTATCATTTTGTAAAACTATAATTTTACTATGTTTATGTAATACATCAGTTCAAATTTATTCCTGCTTTCAAATGGATCAGATCAGACGGTTTAATTAGATTCTTGTTTTGTTGCACAGAAACGGAGGGATTCAACATTGACACCATGGGAACATATCATGGCTTGAGTTTGGATCGTGTAAAGGTAGGATTTGCATATGATACCAATGGAATGCAAGCTGTAACCATTAAAACCACTGACCAATCAAATAACAAACAAATTACAACCAAGAATTGCAACTCATTTTCATACTGTAGGATTATCAATCCTCATCAACTTTTTGTTTCTATTCCACTGGGTCATAAACACTCGTCAAAAATGACCAAAAAACACAAACACCTTTGCACAAGTGTCCTTAATTTTGATTGGTAATTTTTATACCCGCAGGAAGGTGTCCATAAAACAGAGCAAAAGCGATCATCGCATTCCATGCAACAAAGATCAACAAAATCTCATTCTTCAGGTAAACATTTTTTATACGATCCAGCAACCTTAATTTATTGGAAGGCTATAATGTTTAGGGTTCGATTCGGTTTTCTTTTAAGAGGCAATTTAACTGATCTGAATCTTTTCTTTATACATATAAGTTCAACAGAAGCCAGCTCCACAAATGCCACAGAAAAGAGGTAAAGTTAACTCACCAGTGACCAGTAGATTTATTTTTTCATTCTTCTGTTTGTTAAGATTACGGCTTTGCTTGTTGCAGAATCTCGAACTCCGATCATTATTGTGCCTGCCGGGACTACATCGTTAATCACGTTGTATAACTGCAAAGATTTACTTCAAGATTTCAGGTAGAGCAAAAGATAATATGCACTTCCTACATATGAAAGTATTGGGGTGAAAGTATTGAAAATCTTTACATATTTCGCTTAAGGTTTATAACAGCGGACGAAAAGAAACAAAATGGAACTCGAAAAGAGAATGAGGTTTTAATACAGCGTCGCAAGGAAGCAACAGTTCACGGGGCACCAGGAACTGTTACTGTGCCATACAGAGTGATTGATAGTACACAGAGACTACAGCCCAATGACTGGTAAGAATCAGTGGCGTAGGAAGCATCCAGAGATTGGGAGGCACAAGCTTCCAGGGGCACTTTTGGTTAATAAAAAGGGCAGCTAAAAGTATGTATAGGGATGGTTTGATTGCCAAAGCTGCAAGGACAGTACTAGTGTGGTTTATATTTACACTCAAGTACAAGTAAGTGGGCATACGTAGGAAAACAAAAGGGCATTTTCGATTTTAAAATCGTATTTACAGCTTACATTAGCTTCTCCAAAAAGGCATTTTTCATCACAAAAGGGCACTTTTGGTCTCTTGAAAAATTTGGAGTGGGGGAGCACGTGCCCCCTGTGCTGCGTGGCTCCTACGCTCCTGGTAAGAATAGCTTAAAAACTATCAAGAAGAAATCCCGATCTTCCACTTGATCAACTGCAAACATTTTTACATCGATATTTTAATATATTTTTTTACAAGGAACCGTGTCGTGGCTGTATTTGTTCAAGGACCAACGTGGCAATTTAAGGGATGGCCTTGGCTTGCCAGCGATGGTTCGCCTGTAAATATTTTTACAAAAGGTGACGCACATGCACTAAAATAACCATTATATTTCGTAAACATTTTTCTGTTTTCCAAATGAACATTGCCCAAAAGGGCAATGGAATATATTTTAAATACTCGGCATATGAAACGGTTGACTATTTTTGTAGTAAAAGCATTTTACCTCAAATTCGATGAGATGGAAACGGATGCTAATGTGAAAAAGTGGGATGTACAAGTTCTAACCGTAAGAATATACAACATAAATATTGCTTTGACATACCTAGCAGTCTGAATGTCCTAGTTAAGAGCGGTGATGTACATTGAAGGATGATTTCTGCTCGTAGATAAGCCGCAGTAAACGCCATCTTGATCGTGCTTCAATGTTGAAATTTTGGGAAGCTCTGGATAAGTAAGTTAAACATAAATCAGTAATTTTTAACAATATTTGCGTATGTCAGACTGGAATAATTCTTTTCATGGTATTATTGTTACAACAGGCTCTATGCAGTGCATGTGTGTATCTGTGAGGAAAATACATGACCGCCAGTAGGGAGTATAGTTATTTCAGGCACCGCCACATTGGTGGTAGAGTTTTGAAAAATTGGCAGTTACGATGGCGGTTGATATGATCATAGAACCCATTTCCCGCAGCTAATTAGGTTGAGAATGTCTTATGCATGTACCTATAGATCACTTCGTTGCTAAACCAAAATGGTGCATGTCAATTATATATAGTTTATAGCCGGAAGAATGTAGAACGAAGGCGGTCGTGGTTAGCAAGCAGCAGACAGCAGCCAAAATACAAACATCATGCTAATGACATCGTATATTTTCTTTATTCTATAGGTTCATCATCAAGACCAAGCCACAATTAAGACATTGAACTCGGGATATCGACCACGAGAACGAAACAAATCCTAATTGTGATAGAAACACTAAATGAAGTCGTGTGTGGGAGGCCGTCTGTATTTGACCTTCTTTCCTGATAATAATAAATAGTCCTGGACTTAGCGAAAGACAATTATTCTATGCAAAAATAATAGTTTTAAGTGCAATGAATGAAAGCTACTGACAGCATACTTAGGCAATTTTTTTATCTTATTTAAGCAATTAACACTGAAAACTATAACTTCACCGTTCAAGGTGTATCAAAGCTTAGCTAACTGTGATCAAAGCATTGATCTAGGATTAGATTTATACATACGACCAATTCGACGTGTGTAAATTAGTAAATGGAATCATTTAACAGATATTGTAAACATTTAGTTATTAAATGTCATGAAAATAAACCATCATAAAAAATACTTGTTGATTGAGTGATCTTTGGTTGAGTGATCATACTAGTATTATAGGTATTATTATAACCTGTGTGGTTGAACTTCACGCAGGGGCATAAAGGCATTCAAGGTACAGATTAAACAAGGAGGTCAACTAATTAATAGTTTACTGAGAAAGGTAAGTAGAAAACTCTGACGACACGGAAGCTTTCTATTTGAAAAATTTTCTTGATCGGTGCCACACATGGTGGTGTCACATTGAACGGAAAAATAAATAAATGACCCTACAGGGCCGGCCACCAAGGCCCCTCGATAACCTTGTAAAACCCGATGCCTACGACCTATATGTTACAAAGCACACTCAACTCAGTTGTGAGCGGACCAAATAACATTGCCCTCCAGGAATCAATTAAATGTATGACGCTCTGTTCGCTGTATGCTGTTTGGCGAGTAGGCGAGGTTCTTTAAATAAAAAAGTTCATTTAAACTATCTGGGTCCTGTTAAAACAGTTTATCTTCCGTGAAGGAAACGAATGTCTAATCCACTTAGATACAGGTAATAGCCGAATTCATATAAAATCATATTAGGGACGGGAAAGTTGATTGTAAAAACCCGTCTGAATGTGAATAGGGGTGGATAAATTTAGACTATGGTGAGTCGGGTAATGCTAACAAAGTATCCTAATCTTTACGATAATTTGTTTATTTTCTCTTAGCCTTGATCCGTTCTTGACCGTTTTGATATTTCTCGTCCAGACGGGATCTCCGTCCAACTTACCCGTTACTTGGACGGGAAAGTTAGACGGGAAAATTAGGACGAGAAACCCGTCTGTTACCGGATTCATTTCAGACGAGTTATCCCATCCAAGAGATGTTTCGGTGTTCCTCTTCGAAGAAAAACAATAAATATCTTGCGTGGATGGTTTAATGTAATGAAATCCTTATTGTTGATTCTTTTAGCATGGTATACCATATACCATTCTGGGTTTTTTCAATCAAGAAGTTGCCCATGAGCATACCTTACCACCAATTAAAGAGTTTTTTTTTGTCTACCTTAGCGCAACGCACCCGCTGTATAGCAATTGTGTTGGCGTCGGGAAGTTATGTTTCAACTTTTAATATTTACTATCGCGTTTCAACTTTTAATATTTACTATCCTCGTCAAATTTGAAATTTCAGGCCTCCAAATGCATGTGGGCCTTGTGGCTACAACCATCACCAAAATATGTCGTACATTTACAATTGCATTTTATTTCGTCCCTCGACGCGATTCTTGGGATTTCTTGCACCTTTTACTGTTGTTGTGAAATTTAGTATCCTCGGTCCTCAATCTCCAGCACCACCAAGAGACGGTTGAGGGATCTGACTTACTCGTCTACATTGTATTGGCAGGGCATTTGCAATTGCTATTGTGTTCATGGCAATCATGGCACCAGGGGCGCCAGAAGCAGTTTAGGGTGGTGGCGGAGGCAGAGTTTTAGTTTTAATTTCAATCTCTATGATAATTTCGACATAATCTTAAAGTGAAGGCATGATCAAATCACGTGATCAAATGGAGAATGTGTGATACTACAGTATGGTAAGCAAATGGCACAGGGCTGCCCACTTACGTCCCCGCACACAAGTTGCCCACGCTGCCCTCGGTGGTTCCGGTGTCCCTGCAGGGCATAGAATCAATTAACCTATGAACTGAAGCACTGCTGACAGTAAGTCAATTAAATATTTGGCTTTTTTTTAACATACTCATACTATGGGTTTGCTTTTACGTTTAAAAAAAATGCAATGTTTCTATGATGGTTTCTTTTTTGAGGCGCAAGTAATTGCGTGCGTAATGAATATTTGAACTCTTATTGTAATGTTGTTAATCATAGATATGGTTGTCATACAGTGGTTACCGGGTTTTTGGTACCAGGCACCATTTACCTGCAATCGGAGGCAGTTATCGGAGGGGGGTTAGTAATTTGTATAGCCATTAGTGATTTACATATTTTTGATAAATGATCATGATCATGACGATCATGATTTTGAGTCGACAGCAGTAGAATATAAATTTAACAACATGACTTCAAATTTTGAGGAAATATTTCAGGTAAATAGCCACTCTATATAACCATATCACATCTATTACTCGGTTTTTAACAAGGTAGAAGAAATGTTACACTCATGATAGGTTCGAGCATGCTTATATAATGCTATTATTCATTTTTCAAATGTCGATTTAAAAGGATATAGATTAGGGAATTATAGTTATTTCATCGCAGTCAAACTATAGAAAGTTATGTCAATTTAATTACACGTTATTACTTTTACAACTAATTCAGGAGAATGATCAGGCGCAATTACTCAGACTACTATTGCCAGGGCATGTTGTTTTGTATAAACACATTTTGTTTTGACGTGGTCTTTTATTAGTGAAATTGCGACTGTTCTTTCGCCCGATATGCTATTACTTTAATTCAAAATAAAGGCGATTTATATATCCATACTGGTCTGCCCATGTGCTTATTTACAAAGAGAAAGTATTTACTTTTTAAGTGTTTTTCTATGTATTTTGCTGTGATTTCTATTAAAGGTTATTGCCTTCTCACTTCCGGTTTCTCTTTATATTGGTTACGCGAGTAGCTCCATAATCATCAATCTATAATTTGTAGTATGGCAGTGCTGGTTCTTGATGGTATACTATGTTATTATACACAAATTATATTATTGTGTAATACTACTTATTATGTAGATTGTACTACATCTAAGTTCTAATTCAGAAGTTGTTATTACTTTGACTTGTAGGAATGCTATTTTCATTATTCACATTTCACATTATTAAAAAGCTATTCAAATAATTTTACATTATTGTCATTGGTTCAACATGGTTATGACTCCACCAGATAATTGTTCTATTCCCAAAACCTATTGCCTGCATTTCTACAACTCTATCACTGTCTATAGCATATTTAAATAAAGGAATTTCAATGCTATCATTTAAAGTAAAAGGCATCCTTTGCCCTGCTGGAAAACGTTTCCACTGCTTCCCCTGGTTCCAGCATCACTGGCAGGCCCATAACTAAATGTGATAATCGGGGAAGTACATATTCATATATCTGTTCAGCCCTATGATAAGAAACCTGTTGGGCAGAACTGAAATGTAGGCTATACATAATTTTTGTGTCAAAAACAACAACATTATTAAAGTGACCAATTGTGTATATTTCTTTCTAACCAGGGATGGTTAGAAAAAGAAGAATACAACACAAACAAAAGCTTCCTCAAAAAGAGTAAGTTTTGGAAGAAATGTTTCTGTGTCTTGCGGAGATATGACGGTGATTCCAATGTTTACCTGCAATGGTTTGAAAAGGAGGAAGACTGGAGGAGAGAATTTCCAAAGGGATCATTTGGACTTTTCCCAAAGTATTCTGTTTATAAGCATAAGACCGATAAAGGGAAGAACTATTTTGAGGTTTCAAATGATGAAGAAGCTCACTATTTCTTAGCTAATAATGAAACAACTATGGATTTATGGGTAATACAGCTGATGATGCAGACAAGACTTAACTCATCTATGATTGGTAAGAATGTCCCACAAGAAACAAATTAGAATTGTTGAAATTGGTTAAATTGATTAAATTTACATTGTGTATTACTGCGCTCTGACCAAGTTCAGTGATATAATTAGTTATCATGCATAAGCTCTACAATGTCACTAAACTTACAGCACAACTGGACTGTCAAAACACATAAAACTATTTTTATTTTCTAATGTTAGTGAAAGATTTATGAAGGGCAAAGTAACTCAACTTGTTACCATAAAGTTACCAGCCATTAAAATTGTAAAGTTATGTCAAATTCTAGCCATCCCCCATTCCCCTTGAAAGGTATTAGCGAGGTTCAGATTTGATTTCCACTACCACTACCGCTACCTTTTGCTGACCTATTCAGCATGTGATTGGTTAATCAGGTAGCATCTGATTGGTTTATTTGCCATTTAAGGTCTCGGTAGTGGTAGTGGTAGTGGAAGTCAAATCTGAACCTCGCTAATAACAAAAACAAAAACAGAGGATTACTTTAAAAAGTTGTCTTTTTATTCAGAAACCAGCTTCAGGGTGAAGGGAGCTGAGAGCAAGCACCTCCAAAGAATTGGTGCAAAGAATCTTAACTGTTTATTGCACTTATCTGAATGGGGAATCACACTTGCCTTAGAGCGAACCCACTCTGTTCTATCACAATGGCCGCTAACCACCATACGGAACTACGAATGCACAGACAGCAATGAGTTTGTGTTCGAAGCAGGCAGAAAATCTCCAATGGGTGAAGGAAAGTATGAATTACTTACAACCAACAGTGAAGACAACCTAATTTTTGATCAACTTGATCACTACACAAGTTTGCGAGCTAGCCGATTCAGGTCAGCAGGTGGAAGGAATCGATTAAACTCTGCAAATGACGAGGAAATTGCTCAGGCCTATGGACAGTTACGTTGGAGTGTCATGTTGACTAGTTCACAGCTTAATTTGGGAGGTATTTTATATTATATCAAGCTTATTCACTATGTACTTTCACTTTCAAAGTTTAAAAATAATAAATAGATTTTCACGAGATGCACTGATTTTTTTGTCTTTTTGTTGCAGTAATCAATACGATGCCAAGTCAGCCTCAAGCCATCGTACAAAACAACCATCATCAAGGCGTGTACGACCATTTGGAGCGCAAGTCAAGTATTCAATCAACGAGTACCGCAGTTGCTGTTTCGTATGATCGTCTCGATCGCAGTGGAAGCCTCAGTGATCGTTTATCTTTAGAAAGATCATACAGTCGACTGAACAATAACAAGACTCCACCTCATAGAAGCCAAAGCCAACGCTCTATTCAGGAACGGAATATCAGCGATTCCTACGACCATCTAGAACGAACGCTAAGTTTTGACGGAAGTCCCTCTAAAGAGGATAGCCGTAGCAGGTCTTTTGGTAGCCTAGAGCGGACCCGGTTCAAGCTCGCAAGTCCACCGCCCGAGGATAGTTATAGCCATCTGTCGCGGCACCGGCATGCATCGCTGCCGAGCAGCAGTAGTCCAAGAAAGAATATGGAGTTTTATGATAAGCTTGATAGATCTACAGCTAATTTGGATCAAGGATCTATTGTGAACAGTTACGATCGACTTAACAGTATGCAGGGAAGTGTGATGTTGGATAGGGATATAGGAATGAGTCCTCCCACAACACCCTCCAATGTACGTATATTGCGCAATATTTAAAAATCCTAGGAGAAATCCGAGAGGAAAAATCTCATGTCTTCCCACAATTGCTTTCCTTTTTCCAGTGAAGACAATAAATTATTTAATGAATAGTTTGTTTAAAGCGTCTATAATCAGCTATGGTGGAGCTCTGCAGAAATGTTGTAATTTTATCCATCATGCATTTCAAAGAATTTGCATGAGCAGGAAACAAAAATATGGGTAGAAAATAAGGAGATTGAGAAACTTCCGTTGATCATAAAAGAGAGTGAAATACAGGAGGCAAGGAGTTTTCAAACCATGTCAAAATCGACTATATACAGCTTTAGAAATAACGCAGATATTGATTTTTTGATTTTAGGATCCAAACGCGTATGATACCTTTGGTAATAAGAGAGCGCACACTCCTTCCTCGTATCCATTTGTCAAACCAGGCTTTGGGGCTCAGGACACAGAGCCGTTGGTGGTTGAACTTCCCCCACCTCTACCACATAAACCATCTTTTATGTCAGGAAGCGGACAAAAGGCGTCGATTAGTTCTGAGAAGAAAAACGAACCCTTGCCACCAAGACCACCTGTGAATGAACAGGACAAACCTTTAGGACCTGAACAAGATGTTTTTGATTTGCAAAGTAGTGGAGAAAACCTAGAAAACAGGCAGGATACAAAAATGGAGGGAAACATTGGTTCGCTTTATCAATCGGTAGATGACGAAGAATCTAAAAATAACCCAGAAACTAATGGTTCTCACTACCAGGCTGTAGACGATCAGAAGATAGCGTCCGAGTACGACGAACCCCAACCACGGGGTAGGCTAAACACACACTCCAGTAACCCTGATCTAACCAAGATATCATGGAGTAGTAGAGGAACATTGGATCCATCAAAACGGACAACTCTTCATCGCAGTGCACCCTCGCTAGCACTTTATTCTGTCGTTGACAAGAAGAAGGGATCCAAAGGATCGCCGAAGTTATCAAAATCTGGCAGTACTTTTAAACTGTTTAAAAAGATCGGCCGCTCATCGAAGAAAGAAGAAGACAGTTACGAAAAAGTCCCACGAAAGAATAAGAAATCCCAAAAGAGGGATAATAAGATTTTATCTACTTCAAGTTTGAAGCCTTTGGTGGCGGAAGATGACACAGTGTCGTATGTTGATATTGATGGAGAGGAGAGTGCGATTGCGCGAGATTTGATGGAAAGACGTGATTCAAAGCGTCCTCTACCAGATTTGCCCGCAGCCTCAACTGCGGCCGTCTAGTTTAGCCTATTAGGTGTAGGGGAGCCTTCGAGCACCAGGCGTTGGCAAATGTCAATCGCTCAAAACTAATAAGAAATTAGCAAAATTAAACGCATGTTTTTCTGACACAAATAAGTCCATGTTGAAGCTTTTTTAAATCTTCCTACCGAACATTATGTATTTTAATAACATGTTCTAATAACTCGAGTCGACCGTTCGACCACGAACCTAATTATTGAAACCTATCTGTACTAAAAATGTTTAAAAATGGGAAATCAAATGATGAAAACGTATGATTGAAAAGCTCGTGAGTTGTGTTGGTTGCCCTGCTATGCACACCTAATATAATAAGAACTTTTTTAGATTTTAAAATGCAATGTAATTGTAAAATTTAGTATCTTAGAACTCGTATTGCAAAGCAAAGATTTTCTTTTAACATTTTAGTAAACATTATAATTAGCACGGGATAACGGTAAGGTATATCCCAAGGGCATAACTTCTTCAAACTGATTCATAGATTAAAAATGGTAATTATGTAATTTATGTTATCTTAAATCAATTAGAAATATATATTTAATTAGCACAAAATATTTGTTTTGATAATATGGGGCTTAATATCAATGTATTGTGAGGTGCATGGCCCGCGTATTGATTTTGAAAGTGAAATGAGATACAGCTACGAAATTCAAAATAGGACCCCATAAGAGGCCCTGAGCGACAAAGCTAGAAATGAAAAGCGTGATTATAATAGGGGACAACTGACAATAGGGGACACAAAGTACCTCAGATTTGTGCGATTGTTTGCTGGCTCGATTGGTTGCTATGGACGCGAAAATCTTGTAAATAAATTTGTAAATATTACAAAAATCACTGAAATTGTAATTGTTCGATTGATTTAGTTAAAAAATATTAAAAATAAACTCAACTACAACAAGAGCTTCTAAATATAGATTAATACGAGGCACGAGAGTTATGGAGAATCCCGTAGGAATCCCGGCAGATTCGAACCAGGTTTAGTGCATCAAATTATGTATTTTTTAGTATTCTATGCCTAAATATAAATAGCCAAAGGCCTCGCCCGATATATATAAATAAATATGTTGTCAGTTGAAGGTATTAAATTAGGAAAGTCGTATGACGGTATAACTTGTTATGCTAATTTTAAAACTACAATAACTTAGATTGACGAAACAAAACGTGCAGCTAAAAAAATGTTAAACGAAGGCAGCTACTTACAGTCATTGGAGATATTCTCAAAGATCCTTGTTGAACATCCTAATGACCAGGAAGCTCTGGAAGGAAAAGTAACTGCTTCTCTGGAGTTAAAACTGTTCCATCGTTGCCTGAAAGATGTTGAAACATTGAGTCACCTAAATCCGCACAGCGCAAAGGTGAGTGGAGTTAAGGCAAATCAGACTTTAGAAAGTGTAGAGCTTTTCAAAAATATGGTGTAGTGTAAATTATGCTCATTGCAATAGACAAATGATTTCAGTACAAGTTTTAATTCTCAAGTTTTAATTCTCAACTACAAGTCACCTAAATTATCACAATCTTTGCCAACCTAACCTAGGATAATGCATATTGTAGCATGGACATGATTCTGGTATTTGCAAAAATTTATAAATAAGGTCATGATGAAATAGAAAGAATATACTTTGCATTCAAAAACAAAAAACTGGTGAATTAACTTAATTGTATAACTTTGCCTTCATCTGGCTGGTGCAGTTTTATGATGTAGATAAGTATAACATAGAGTACAGTAAATCAAAATATAATAAGGACAAGTGATAAATAGAGACTAATTTAACCCTTGTTCTGCTTCCTGCTCACCCATATTATCACACTAATGACACTATAGTAGATGGCGGATCCCAAAGACATCCAAAGTGAAAGAGAGTGACCTACCACAACCTATGGCCAGTTGTTGATAGCCAGTTCATAGATAAAATGAGTGAATAATTGTGAATGTTCTATGTACAAGTTCTCTTATATTTGTAACCTATCCACTTGATGACATCTATTAAAAAAAAATTGTACCTAAACTCACGGCAAAAACCACCTGTGTGAACAGGACTTTAAATGCACATGCTGATGCAACATACAGAATATCCAGCTGCATTCGTCTTAGTTGCCTGTAATTGAATCTTAATATGCATGCAGAGGAACCTTGATCTTAAATTGCATACAACACGTCCAGTACACCAATTGAAGATGTTTGGATATTTTTGCACCATGAAAAACTATTCCTATTGCTGTCTATTTAAAACAGTCAGTCTTTCAGACTCCTTCTCGGCTTCTCGTCAAATGGTGTTTAGAGAATCATAAAAAATTACAATTAATGCTCATTATTATATCTTGTTTACTGGTCTACTAGATCCACAATTTGGCTGGACAGATTTATGAACAAATTGGCTCCAATGAGAGGAGCATTTGTGCCTATCTGAAAGCGTATTTGTACGAACAAGACGTCGAAAATCGTCCTGAAACGGTGCAGAAAATAAGCAGATTGTGTTCTACTGTTTTGCCGGAACATAAAGAAATGACAGGTGAAGACTCTATAGTTCATTGAATGGCTTATTGTATCTCTTAGGAACATCATACGCGATTTAATCTTATTTTATTTTTTTACCTACCTGAACGAGAAGTTCAAATTTGCCTCCATGATAAAATTTAAAAGGCTTCGATAGGATTAGTTTCAGTCCTCCAAATAGAATGACCGTGCTAATAATTAACCATAAAGGCGGGAAGGTGGGTAGTGTCGCAGCTCCTCGCAAGAATGATTTTCATTGGCTGAACTTTACAATACATTTCTGTTTCAACCAATAGCATAGCTTCGTTCTTTAGAAAGCATAGATAAGCATTATCCAAATGGGCGAAAGCTTCCGAGAGCTAGCTGCGACCAGTGGCTGCGACCAGTGGCTGCGACCAGTGGCTGCGACCACTGACTGCGACATGTCCAATAAAGGCTCTCACCCGCTCATCGCAAAAACTTATTCGCAAGCTCGCTGCGAGTAGTTTCGTCCAATCACAGTGCTTGTCAGTCTATTTTAATTAGATACAAGCACTCGCAGCGAGTTTACCAGTTGATTTTACAACGAGTAGAAAAGAAGCCTAAAACCTTCCTTAAGATGACCAAAGCACTAATCGTAATCCAAATCTTAAAACCTTTGCAGTCCCAGCCCAGGGGTGCCACAGGGCAGTAAATTAATCAGTTAACTTGCGGAGGGAGGGGGGTAGGGTCTTGGAGGCCCGCTTCGGTGCGTCTAAATGGTGGACGTAAATCGTATAAATCTGCGTGATAGTCAGGTTGCCAGTAGACCAATAACAACTTTCTCTCTTTTTAGGCAATCTCGATTGTTTCCAAAGTCTTTTTCTGCTGTCCGAAAAATTAGCAGAACAAGAGAAATTCCAAGTCTGCCTGGAGATATTAATTACTTTAATGATGACTCATTGTTTGGATGAAAAAAACTCCAAAGCCTTCAAAAACAAGCTGAATGTTTGCTCAAAAATGGACAATGTTGAAGCCTGCAAAAATATAGAAGCCTGCACGTTTCAACAAAATATGCAACATGAGAATATTGAAACAAAAAATAACCGTACAATATTAAGTCGTATGGAAACGTTAAAAGAAAGCAAGTTAGATGCAAAGATCCGTAGTTCTCTCCTTCAAAATATGCATTCAGGTAATAAATGCGAAACCGCATCTGTTGAAGAAAAGAATTCAGAAAGTGTTCCAGATTCCGATGAAGAATTTCCAGACAGTGTCAGCAAAGAACCAACTATAACGTTCTTGCCGAATTCTGACCAACAAACAATTAATGAGATGCTTTTACAAGCCTCTGACTGTTGTCACAAACTTGGAAGAAAAGGGACGTCTCTTTGGTTTGCAAGGAAACAATTAGAACACGTCCAAGCATCCAATAATTCAATTCATGTACTGAAAGCGTACGACCGAGTGGGGACTCTATACGTTGAAAATGGCGATTATGATGCTGGTGTATTTCATTACACCAAAGTGCGGGCAAAATGTCGAGAGGTTTTGGCCACCAAGATTACGATGGAACAAGAGATAGAGATTTCCGCAATAGAGCGGAGAAGTATTTTGAAGCTGTGTTCGTTGTTTAAGGATTTGGAACTGTACGAGCAAGCCAAGGTGTATTTGAAAGAGTTCTTCTCAAAAGTTGAGGTTGTGGAGCAACAAAGTTTAGTGAAGGCATACAGTCTTCTAGGAGAAGTAGAATTAGCACAAAATCTCTACGAAGAGGCTGTAAAAACCCACAGAACTCAGTTAGCTTTGTGTCTTAAATATGACGATCAAAAAGGGCTTGTCCTTGCGTATAAGTGCCTTGGTAAGGCTCACCTGGCTTCGGGAGATAATGTAGCAGCGATGGAATGGTTTCAATTGAGCATTCACACAGCAAAGATTCTGAACGATCCTTTTTGTTTAGCAACAGCATATAACTGTATCGGCGAAGAGCTGCTGTCACAAAACAATCCTCAACATGCGTTGACATATTTTCAAAAACAGCTGGACTTGTCAACTACCATGGATGATGAACAGACGCTGCGTATTCAAGCGCTGTACTGCTTAGGAAAGAGTTACCAGAACCTACGATTGTTTCAACACTCCGAGTTTTTTTTCAAAAGAGCCATATTGGAGTCTAAAGATTTGAAAATGCATCTGCAGGAGACGTATAAGGAGTCATTGGTTCAAGTTCTTCTCATTTTGGGAAAGCGTGAAGAGGCTTTGGAATTGTTGCTTGACATTCGAGATACTTTAGAGGCAACATTTCAAAGAATACGTGGACACACGATTGTTGTTTCCCATCCACTGCTTGATAGACTCAATACATGTGTTGATCAGATCTTAGAACTATTAGCTGAGGAAGGTCGACTGGATGAGGCTCTTGAGGTAGCCGAAACAACTAATTCCATGCTTCTGAAAGAGATGTTAACCTATAAGGCACATGTACAAGGATCAGAGATGGATTCGATAGCTAAAGAGTGTATGGATCTCTCAGAAATATACCGCGTTGTTAATGATAGTAATAAGGTTGTCCTTTATTACAGAGTTGTTAGGAATGGTTTTATCGTTTGGGTTGTTGCCCCAACACATGGTATAGTACATTATCACTGGTTCAAACCTCCGTCTAACTCATCGCTGGAAGAAATCATTGAGGAGTTCATGAACGGATTACTTCAACCAAGCGACCAACTAGTGAATTATAGTTGTGATCACCGGAAAGTATTCAAAGGTTCAACGTTGACGCAAGATACTCCGCCAAGTCCAACTGCAAGTCACAGAAGTAGCCCTCAAGGTTCCACTTCAAAATCAAGATGTACTCCTCAAAGTTCGAATTCAATGGATTTCCTACGAGAGCTTTCTAAACTATTCATTTTTCCAATTGAAGAATCTTTGATACGTCCAGACTCAAATGGCCATGATGTAATTATCATAAACAACGCATTTTTGAGTATGGTTCCATTTGCAGACCTTCACTTCTCTAATGGCACCACGATAGCAGATTTTGCCAATTCTGTCCAACTTCTACCGTGTATCTCTGTTTTAAAAATCACCAAGGTGGACAAGAATTTCCCAAAAGGGATGGCAGTTATTGGAAATCCGGAAATGCGATTCTCCGAAATGCAAGCTGGCTTTCAGGGACATATGCAGCAAGACTTCTTAGAACAAGAACTTAATGACGTTGCCGTCGTTCTAGGAACGATACCCGAAGTCGGCTCAAGAGCTACGAAGGATATGTTTTTGAATGAATGTAATTCAACTACTCTGATGCACTTGTCTACCTATGGCTCCCACGAGCACGGGACTATTACCCTAGCACCAATTCCTGATATTGATCCACGTGTGGGTAGCTCGCGTGGATTCTTCTCGCGGGATCCGTGGGAAATCACTTTGGCGGACATCGTTGCGTTACAAAATGCTCCGGAGGTTCTAGTTTTGAGTGCAGGTTCTGGATGCCGAAATGAGTTTAGAGAGTTGGTCTCTTTCAATACTTGTCTGCCACTGGCTTTCATGTTAGCTGGTGTCAAAACAGTTGTCATGGCGACGTGGTCGACCCCTCAGAATGCATTGATGGCGTGTCTACGCCAGTTTTACAAAAATATTTCTGATGTAAGTAAGACTAAGTATGTTCATATTTTAACAGTTCAAGAGCCGACCTATTTATACCAGGGATAGGGATGGGTTTTTTTGAGACTCTGATTTTTAAGCTGTTATATTACTTATGTACCTGTGGAAAGGTGATACACAAAGATTAACTACGCTTGCACATAATTCGATAAGAGTAGACGATAGTAGATAGTTTACCTAGGTCTAGGATGATTGCACAGACATTTTTCCAAACGAGCTTCCTGTATCAGCCTAGTTTAGGGTATTTGCTTTACAATAACCACACCCAGAACCACTTTTTTAAATATTGTGTAGGGTTTGACCGTATCTTGCGCATTATCGAGAGCTAAAACGCACGTACAAGCAATTGAAGGATTAGACGAACCACTATTTTGGGCATCATTCCGTGTATATGGTCAAGATAGCCTGGTTAATGTGGAAGAAATAAGACGGAGTAAGGCCGAGGAATCATTTTATGAAGCACAGGAAATCGCTTTAGAGAGATTTCGGTTGGTTCCTCGAAACAAAGGTAAAACTAATGTCTTTTGAAAGACTACCCACCTAATTTTTTTCTTCGGATGGAATGGGCAAGCTTTACTGTGATAGCAAATTCCATCTGGACATATACGCAAAAGTGAGGCAGTTACTATAGGTGACAGATAGGATGCTAAATTCGTACTTACTGTTTTCAGAAAGTTCCGATGGCCTTGTAACAAACCGTTTGAAGGAAACCGTCATTGAACTTCTTCATCGTCATCATTTACATCCTGATCTGATTGCAATATTGCTACAAGTGGTAGTTGATCTTAATTATTGACATGTATCATATCGCGGCTATTACTTATTATGTTATACAAGCATTTTTGGAGATTAGCTTTTCAAAACCCGCAAGTCATTCCCCCCACGTAATCTTAACGAACAGATATAGTAATTGTCTAATAGCAAAGGAAATATGCGGAGACCGAACTTCGATAATATTAGGGAGACATGCCTGACATGGCTACCTGTAATATTTCTTTCACTCTATGTATAAATATAGATCAAAGAGGCTCTAACGATCCTGGAAACTCCGTCCGACAAAGCTGCAACAACTAGCCTACCTTATCGTGAGATCACTGCTTCATGGCTGACTTTAATCCTCAAGGCTGAGAAATTCTTGCTTTCTGTTGGATTTCTGATTAAAACCACCAGCTCAAGACAGACAATACTTGTGTATCCACACTGGAATCAAAATGGATGTCTGGAAAAAGTAGAGTCGCTTCTTCAATCTGTTTTTTGTAAGTACACTAGATATCCTCCCTATACAATCCATCTATCTCGCATGGTATAGCAACTTCATTGTGTATCATAACGCATGGTATAGCAACTTCATTTTATATTATTAAGATACTATACGCAATTCCTTTACAATCTTCAGGTATTCTTTTTTATTCTCCCGTCCTCGCGGATGCTTTGCGAGTCGTTCTTTCAGACGAGAAGAGTTTGCTTGTTGATCTTCGAGACACGGTAAGTGAACATCATCTCTCAAACCCATTCAAGCCTCAGAAGTTTGATTCCTTCAGTACTCAGTTCTCAAATTATAATAGTTTCTCATTGGCTCTCAATGACTCTTCAACTTTTTCCTTTGTTTGCAGTTAATACTATTTCGTACGCTACAGCCATTGATAGTTCTTTACTTGCTTCTGTTTAGCCCTTTCTTCTTTTCCAAGGAAGGTTTCCACTGTTATTCCAGGCAAATTATATTTTACTGAACTCTGTTTTTGTAGCTTCAGAAAACGTTGACATGCCCTTATGAAGTAATAGAAATATGTAATACCACGTTGCTTCGAAAGTTCTGGCTTAAACGAAGTACTCGAAGACTGATGGCTGAGTTAGGCTTTCGTCAAGTTGGTTATGAACTGCTTGAATTTAGGAACAGCAAAGAGGACAGAAATGCTGCGGAATCATGTTTGAATATTTTCGGTCTTCTTTCAGGTAAAAAAATTATCTATAATTTAAGTTTATGGTCATGCACAGACACAGTATCGTAAATTACGGGAACCACCAAGTATTTTCATAAAATATAAAACAACAGAAACTCCGTTAAGAATAAACAAGATGTGTACTAAATAATGGGTAAAATATGTGAAGTAATTAAGGGACAAATATTATTGATCCGATTCTCTCTTTGACGTATGTGATTTACTGGACTATTTAACAATTAGTCCCCGAAGGCGAGGTGATTACAAGCCTAATGAATATATAGCCGAAGGCGAAATAAATATAGGCTTGTAATCACCGAGCCTGAGGCGTTTACAAATGAATGTTTTCGTATAAATGTCAAGGGGTTTACAAATAATAATCAACATAATTTCATCAAAAATTATGAAATTTCTTATTTGAAAACAGCAAAAAAGCCATAGTCACCGACCAGTGACTATCACTTACATACAGCAAATCTTGACCAATCAGAATGCAGGAAAATCAATAGTCACCTCGAAATTTATACTAAAAGTTATCACTCCAACCCCTAGATATACCACCCCATTATTTTAATTATCAAACTATACATGGCAGAAGCAGAATATGGCCCACTGCACGGACGTCCAGAGGTTTTTCTTTTATATATACTTTTCTTAATTCAGGATTGGAAACATCGACAGAAATAAAACAACATCCAATGCTGTCAAAGGTAATAATAATTCTGAATGATTATATGAACTTTTTTCCTAAATCGTTTTAATGTCAATTTCGATCCTTTCGTGCCCCAAATAATAATATTTGTTTATTCTTAATAATTTTTTAAGGTTAATCTTCGTGCATCCTGGATGAGTTATCGAGTTAGTGATGAAGAAAACACAGCAAGATATCATGTAGCACACAGGTACGGTCGTGCATTTAGTTGAGAGATCAAAACAAGGACATTTTCTAGCGTTAAGTATGAAAGTAAATATTTAGCGATGACTTTTTCAGCTTGGATTCAATTAATGCAAAATACAAGTTGGCGATGACTGATGTCAGAAAATGGCACAACGGTGTTTTGTTAACACAGGTAGTACATACTACTTTGTGACTGTGTATACTTTTTTAGATATTTGTCATGGTAGCATAAGCAAGTCATTTGTAAACTATGTTTATGCTAATATTTTTAACCAGAGTTTTGTTATGGTTCCACATTCAGCAGCTTGCACTGCATGAACTCTGAAGCTAAAGTTTCACTCATTCATTTGACTCAATTGCCATGCAGTGATTATTTAATTTGATGTTGAGCATACTGATAATTTATTTAAGACTTGCAACAAGTGTAAAGTATGCGAGCGTTTAAAAATGCAATATTTGTTTACATATCTCATGTCCAGGCAAAAGTAGCGAAGTCAAAAAACGAGAAAGAGAAAGAAAAGCTTGACCACGCGTCAATTGCACGTAGGCCTATCAAACAAACAGAAACGTCAAAGCTTCCAGAAATTAACAACAGGAAAGGGGAACCTATCGACCTGGTGAAACTTGGGGAGAAGTTGACGAAGATTAAAGTGCAAAGCGGTGCTGGTCCGTCGTCTGTGCGAAGGCCAGTTGAAAAAGAAGCGTCGCTGCCTTTGGTCGAGTGTCTGATGAAACGACACGAAGCTGCCAAGAATTTGAGGCAGTGTTTAGGAGGAATACGAAGCCAGAGACGCGAAGAAATTAGAAAACTTCTTTCTTTGTAAAAGATTTTGGAAAACTTATTTCCATGAAAAATGTATAATTTAAAACATCAATCAACTCAATTCATTTGCTTCCCGTGTAGCACTTGAATAGGGCTTTCCCTTTTAGCGGCTGAAATGCATGGTCAAACCGGTGGGATTATCTTTATGATTAGATCACCTTGTCTATTGGAAGATAATACAATGTATCTATACTTCTTCGGAGCTAATGTGGAGCTCCGTTTACACCGTACCGGATGGCGGATTTGTTCGTCATAACGTCGTCGTTTGCCGTTAGTGGAGCAACGGTTAGTTGCTTAATTTGATAGATTTGGTATATTTATCCAGGTCTCATACATGAAAAATCTTCATTGACCTGTTCCGATAGCAATCAGGTACCTTGTAAACCGGGTCTGAAGCCTAAGATAAGTGTGAATCAGCGTTTAAAACCTGTTCCCCCATTGTTCTATAAGATTCAGCCATTCAGGGTTATAATTATATTCAAACCGCAAGCATGTCAAAGTGAACATGCAAATTGTAAACATCGTTAAAATTCATTATTCCATTATTTTGACTATGGCTTATGTACTGCAGCTGCATGCTTACAACTGTTTCCTTATGTATAAAGCTGAAGATATTTGACTTCCCTAACGGAACAAACGTGTAGTCAAAGACAGAAAACCGATAATGATATTAAAATTCATTTGTTTTGTTAATCTATTATCTGTGGTTGTCGCCACAAACACCGCTAGGCAACTAAAGTGGCAAAATTGCGGTAAGTATATTCAAAGACTATGCTCATGTGATAAAGTAGTTACGCAGTTACCAAGAAATTAGTAACTGGGAAACTGAATAACATATTTAGTAAGATGAATGATATTTACATGCTCTAAATTCAGAGAGCATTCAAGTTTACGACTACAGTTTCTTTGATGAATCTCGTATGTATTACGATGAGCAATTTTTTCCTCAACATGTTTCACTCGAATACAAGTCAGTACGGAATATTTTTAATAGTCATCTGACATCATATTTTACCCATATACATAATAAGGGGCATTCACATCTGTCTGTCGAACGTTCATAATTCAAACCATTTTCCTTGTTGCAAATTGCTGCTCTGTTGGTTAAGTACGTCGTCTTTTACACATCTATACTTGCACTTCCCGAAATAACGCACTCGACAACTTGTCAAGTTCTTCTCGACAAATACAGTATTTCTTTGTTTTGAAAAGTTTGATGAAATTCTAATTGCTTGTAAGGGAAAATTGTTCATTTTCTATACCGCTACATTAAAAACTTTTCTACTATAAAATTTTTTCGCGCGAAGCCAGTTTTTTCTTATCTGTGGGCAATTTGTTATATAGATGCATGGTTAATTGCACTTAGGAGGTCTGACACAAGAGTAAACTGACACGAAGGAGGCTAGCTTCGTGTGGGAAATTGTTAGTGGAAAACCAGCTTTAAAGAAACACTAAGGCTAAGGCTGACCAAGAACCGGTCAAATGTTCATCTATTTCTACCGTGTCAACACCTGAACCGGACGAATTAGCGCTGCATGCTACATGAGGATCCTCTAATTCAACGTTAGGCCTGTTTTTCGAAGGAGAGCGCTAGCGTATATCATTGTTTCCTGCGCACTACTGTTCGTTGTGAAAACAAGCCTTATCAAGCGTGGTTCACACTTGTTGTAAGAATCTGAGATCCCTTTTGTCTAAGGTCACTGGTGAGCAAAATCCCTTGTCTATCGGAAAATAATACAATGGTTCCCCGATTTTTAGGAGCTAGTGTGAATCAAGCCTTATTAATTTCTCCCTCGAAGCGACAAAATGTAATAATAGATTTCACACTGGCTCACACTCAAACACTACATGAAGTGCAGGTGAAACCCAACAACTAGTTTTTGACTGAGTAGTGCATGGCTCTGCCGGAAAAAAAGGAAACAGATCAATCAGTGGATTTGCTGGTATAAAATTAGAGAATCATTTGCGGGAATTACAGTTGTCCCCAATACTCACCATAAAACCGATCAAATATATGAAAAAGGTGTTGATATAGTTTGAATAACACGCATGTGAATTACAATTTTTCAATAGATGACACTGCTCCAGTATTGATAAAAAACCTGACAATTTTACCATATCCAATTTCGTTGGAAGAAGGTGTAAAACTGCGTGTCAGTGGCGTTGTCAACCTGAAATACACCGTGTCACTTAAGATTGAACGAAAATTTCTTGCTTGGTGGCCCACATTACCTTGCATAAAATCTGTTGGATCATGGTAAGGGATTTTAGTTTCGCTCGAAAATCAAATTTCACATGCCAATTCCGCTGATAATTCCTCTATTTTCAGCGAATACCATATTGGAGAGAAAAAAATTCCAACCCAAACTATTGACGTCCCAGATATCACCGTTCCTGCTTTCATAACAGACGTAAGTTAGGTCACTTATGCACATACAGCACTAAACTCAATGCATATGCATGATTTTAATGGAGAAAAAAGACTGGAAACTAGTGGGAGTTTTGAGACGGGGCCGTGGACATCACCCCCCCCCTAAATTTTTTGTGAGTTTGCTTTGAGTGGTTGTCAACTGGAATGATTTAGCGATAATCAGGCTTTCAAGTTCAAACAAAAGCTTCATTTCAATAAGGGATGTATTTTTTACACACCCTGTATATTCATAACTAGTCATATGGTTATCACTGTAGTTTAGATTCTATAATGACGTCACATGAAACCTGAGAATTCAATAAAGTGGGGCTTGGCTTAAGCTTGATCTCGACGCTGTTGCTACGACTTCCGCTTACAGTGAATTATTATACTTTTGTTGATAAAAATAGGACGGCATACCGCATACGGGGAACAAAACTCATCAAAAGGAAGTCAGCCCTCACTAAATTACTTTGACATAACAAACCATTTAAAATTGTTTTCTTTAATTCACTTAAATTATTATTACTATCAATATATTTACACACTACCCAGGATGCCCACATCACCGAAGTGTTTTTCAGTTTTTAAATGCACAAAATCGATACGCCGTCATTTTTATGAAGGAGAATTTGATACAATACAAGAATTTTAAATATGTATTTTCTTTTATCCAGGGAACATACAGAGTGAATGCTGATGTTAAAGAAGACGGAACGGGAAATCGTCTGTTTTGCATCAATCTTGAATTTGAGCTTGATAGTTGAACAAACAATTTTAAAAGTATAAAAAATATTCGGGTAAAATAATTAATTAAGGAAATCGTTTACAATAAATTTTACCAAACTGAAAAATTGACTTTGTAAAAATTGGCTTCAGTGTATATATGTATATCTATATGTGCTACCTTCCGAATAGTTAGCTATAATGCTTTTTTCATATACAGTCTCACAATGACACTAGTCTATATGAGCCTACAAAATGCACACAAATACGAAAATCTTCAGACTAAAGCCCCATTTACACTATGGACAATTTTTGGTACAATACGGGAAAAATGGTACAGAGACAAAATTTTATCCGTACCAGTTTCTTCCGCACCAAGCCTAAAATTGTGAGCTCGAGTACTGTATTTGGCTTAAACTGATATACAAGTTACTTCATGTAGATAACTCCACCGCTAGCTCCGCTGCATGCCTCTAAACACGCAAAGGGTTCGGGATAGCGAGAACAATGGCATTTATTAAACAATGAAAAAGCAGCAGAATATCCAGAGTGAAAATGGATCGACTACACCTAGGCTATGCCTAGGCCTTATCTCCTGTCTCCTACTACATGGGGATGCGCAGTTGGTCTAACAACGGGCCAACCGTCATCGTAAATAAAATCTACAAATTTGAAACAGCTTTCATGGTGAAAGATATTTTTCCTGAAACGTTCTCTTGGTTCGAATGATTTTTTGTCGCTAAAAAAGTGTTTACGATTTAACCCAGGATTATGCTCTTTTTGAACAGCTGCCGAATAAATTCATTGACCCTGTCATTATTTAACCGACAACGCCTATAAAATCACTAGTGTGGGTGGGTTTACTGAAATTCTCACGAGATCTGATGCGTTCAAACATGTCTCAGATGAACGGATGTTTGGAAACGGAGTGATAGAAAGAAACCCAACTGACAAACCTGCATGTTGTCATGTACGTAAGCCAAAAAGTTTCCCAGACTAGATTTGTTTTAATCAATTATAGGAAGCACCTCATCACTACGGGAATAACTTTAATAGGGAAGGATTCGAACCCCGCCTTACGGATATCTCTCTAATATCAGTAATATGGAATATAGACATGCCGTACACCGTCACATATTTGAAAGGGAGCTATAAAACGAGTGGCGCAAAGCATGTACGGGATTCTTCTCTTTTCGTTTTCTTTAGTTTTAAGCCTTAATTCACAGTTTAATTCCATTAACCTACAGATTTTATTTTCTGAACCTTAAGTGCAGATTTAGGCCCCAATTACACATATCGGATTCGCTGGCCACAAAATTTTTGCTTACGACTAAAGCCGAAGCTATAGCTGCATGGTAGCAAATGCTTGCCTTTGACAGATACAAATATCAACAGTTTCATTTTGACACGTTGAAAAAGCAAAGCCGCGGCTAACAAATATAAACATCTTGTGTTTTTGATATTCCAGGAAAAACAATAAGAACCGTGTTTGTTCTCTCGAATATCAAGAACATATGTGTGACTTCAAAATTTGGAATCTGTTTTTAAAAGTTTTAACTACTTTGTATGTAGGCTACCAAGGAAAGGATATAGTAGCCAAATTACCTTTAAAACAGATCAAGGTACCGGTTACTATAAAACTTTGTGAATAATCCATAACCCATGAAAAGTCTGCTTTCTATAGTTACAAAATTTTCCATCAAACTTCTATCCATCTATATTTATCAATTTTGGTGTCAGTGTAAAGTTCATAAACTCTTTGCGGGGTCAGTCATTGCAAATTTCATTGCAGCGTTGTTAAAACATTTCAATTGTTACCAATGCAAGAAATGATCATATCAAAATATGAGCATAGGGCTTTTGTAGGTTTCTATATCAATACGATTAGATAGTTGTAGCCACTACCTAGTCACTGCCTGGGTGAGGCGAGGCATGTCTAGTTGTCTATTACTTGCTGGGTGTTATTCACAGTTAGTTTGACGTTAATTCGCTGTTGAAAAGGAAAAACTGATTAGACGGCAGATAACAGAGAATAACAGAGAATGTCAGTTGATATCTTAAGGCTGTAATGTACGTATAACAATAATTTAAAGACGAGAAAGTTGCATGAAGTTAGAAAAAAGTTCTGTAAATTGTCTTTACCTCAAACGTTAGAAGTCTCACAATTTCCGTGAATTTGAATAAATTGCGCATGAATTACTGACGGCAGCAGGTCGGTGTCTGTCAATGAGACAAATTTAATTTTTTTCAACTAAATGCTTTATGTTTTGTGTCGCTAAAACTAAGACAAGTCTAAATTCAGGGTGGTGAATTTATAAGACTTTGCTTTTGTCTGTGCGAACTCAAATACCTATAATCTTGACCCTGGGTGACAATCCCAGTTCATGCAGACATTTAAGAAAGAAATATTTCTAACATTGATTGATTACAATGGACGGAAAGTGGAATAATTTAAGCCTACTTAGTCTTAGACTCTTATCTACGACTTTTGAACTTTCCTTGACGCCATCTAACGTCATAAAACAGTTCGATTCGTTAATCGCTGTATTTTCATTTTTTACGCGTAGCTAAAATTTATATAAATTTCCTCATCCAAATTCTATATGATATATAGCTACTTTGTTTTTGTAAGGGGTAATATTTCTATTACAAATATAAAAAAACACATTATAAACATTGTGTTTGGCACCCTGTTACAATGATATAATTTAATCGACAGACAAAATGTGGAAAATAATTAAACCATATGTTTCGAGACAATTTATTGAGGATATATTAATCGACCAGATCGATAATCAGTCGTATACATCGGGCGCTAATTGATCGCGCGGTTTCTTTTGTTGCCGGAAAGACAGCTTCAGCACAGCGTGTGTCCCGAAGATTAACACCTTCGTCTCAATTCACTCAACACAATCAACACGAGAGCATCGGGAGAGGTTGCTTCAAGCAAGTCAAGCTGGCTGAAGGCAAAGTTCATTTACAGGAGAGTTTGCTTAATTCCGAAACACCAAATAGTGGATGCTTTGAAAGCTTAAAGAGTCTGTATCAACACGGTTTATCATCGTATTCATGGAGTTAAAATCACATCTTTCATGCGGTTTTATCAGCGTATTTTTGTTCCTGTCTATCTGCTGTTTAAGTGCAGAGGCGCGACCAATCGATCAGCCAGATAGCGAATCAAGTCAAAATCAAACAAAGCTCAGCGATACCAGAGGGAGATTTCTTAATGTCTCCGCCGGCAACAGTACGTCGTTGAACCCAACAAGTAAGTCAGATAACACTTTGTTACATCTTACTCTAGATTTTAATCTGTAATTTTTGTAATTGCGCAGTGATGTATATACTGCATTTTCGCGGCTTTGCGCGATGAATTTTTTTGCTGTAATGAATATTTTGCAGTGTTATACACATTTGTTTATTTTTTGCGTTGCAAACGTTCGAGTTTGCGAATGGATCCCTATTCTTCCGTTCAGAGGCTGGTTTTAAAAAAACAAGATTAGCGCTACCAATGAACTCAACTACTTTTTTTCAATAAGATGTAAATGGAATCGCACACGAAAATACATAATGCGTTGCAAGAGAGCGTGTAATATTTTGACGCAAAATATGACGCAGACTCGCAATTCAACTGTGTTGGCTCTATCCCAAACTAAGCCTTTTTATCAGCAAATATAAGCATTGAACAATATAGAAAAAACCAGATGCGTTAAATATTTGTTTTCTGTTAGCCCTCTGGCAAGTGCACGAGTTCAGTAAATTCGGTATAACATTTTTTTTCATACGGCAAACAATATTGTCATTTAATATGGATATCCGAGTGCATTGTTAGTGATCATGATTGTTGTAAACACCGGATCTGCCGGTGAGGTTGTTATATGAGCAGCATGGATAAGACATGAATATGACATGCGTGTGATCATGAAAAAAAACATGATTTTGCATTAAAACTTTGCTATGCTGAAAACTTTTAAAAAGTTACGGATTCACAGACGCGATCTATTCCAAAATCCTAGTTGCGCACAGCGCGCGCACTTCCCACGCAAAATCCAAGGCGCTTCTGTGGTTAACCAAGGGTGATTTTTTTCGTTCGATGAAAATAAAAATGTCAGATTTTGACATTGACGTGAAGTTTGTGAACCCTAAAATAGCCTCGCCGCATGGCTCAAACAATGAATGGCATCTATGAAGCCGTGTCTGTTAAATTGAGAATCATGGCGTCACATCAACGAATATGATAAGAATTTACAACACTTCAATAGAGACCAGACAATGGAGTATATTACTCATGAGATCTGGTTGTGGGCATGAAAATGATGCAAACGTAACACGCATTTCTCAGATGTTGAGTTTCGCTGAGACTTTCGCAAACACTATAAACTATAAAGTGAGGAATACTACTTTTAAATTCGCTCGATGCATGCAGGAACAGCGTTGGATTTGAATTGTTTTTGTTTGGGGAAATCTTTATCGTTTATTTTGCAAATGCTTCCATGCATTAGTCTAATTTTAGGATTTTTCGATGGTTTAAAATTTCTACTGGATCTCATTGAAATTTAGTTTAACCCACGTCGAGAAAGCAAGTTAATGAAATCAACCGCTAATTCTATATTTCTAAGCGCTTTCAACAGGCTTTGCTTTTGTTAAGTCCATATTAACCACTCGACGTAACTACTTAACGTGAACTAAAGCTTACTAAGTTGTCACAAACTTGAAAGATGAGAAACATCTTCTAGAAACAAAGTCATGAGTCACGCGCGCCACCATAATATAAGGCGTGGGGATCAAAGACTTATTCAAGTATATATAGTTTCGTTTTACAACAAAAACATTTTGCGCTGCATTCACCCTCACAGTCCCCTTTGCATTGCCTGAGTTACCTTTGAATGTTGGAGGTTCGTTCCCCCCAGGGTAATCCCTTTGAAGCAAATCTAATTCTTTCTTTCAACGTCACAGCAAATCACGCGTCAACAAATTCGTAGCTAATACTCTCTTCCTGCATGGTAGAGTGCTTTAGCCTGAACCTTAAAGCACTTTAGTCTAGTGCTTTTAGCCTTTTTCAGGCAGATCAGACACAAACCAAAGCAGTTTTAATGAAAACAAATTAGAGTACACCGACATTGAATCCCAGCATGCTGTTAAGTATTTTAAATCGCGTGCCATTGGCAATTTAGCATTGTCATTGAGAACTTTACAGCTAGACGGTTAAACAAAGTAGAAATAATGGAATCTATTAATTGTACCTGTTGCTGTCAATATATTGTTGCCGTTGCGTCTGAGAAAAGCAGAAAAGCAAACACGCTACTTGTCATGAAAGCTGGCACAGGAACACACATGAACAAATAAAACTTTGCTTTTAATAACACTTTGCCCACAGCCACAGGGTTTTGACGGAAACGAAGCACCGCTTCCTGGTTGCGTGGAATTATGCAAGAGCGATTTTTTTTTCTTCTTAATAAAACACCCGCTATATTTATTTCCGATAAAATTTCTTTTATTTCAAATTCTAAGACATGCAATTCACAAAGAGCGGTATTCAATTTTTTGGCACAGTTTGTCGGTGTGTTACGTGCCGGCAACCATTCGACTTTGCGCTTGTTTAAACTTAGTGTATTCTCCATTTTGCAAATATGATTCATGCATGATGTATTTAAAAAGCGAAACATATTGACTATGTTTGAAGTGGTTTAAATTGCAATAAAACAACTTATAGTTACGTTGTCTAATAAATCAACTTTTCCTAGAAGTTACATAGTTACGAAATTTATATAAAGGAAATGGCATTTTGACTTTGGAGTGACTTTTATGAGGACATTAAATAATGTCATAAATAATGTCAGACTGTCATGCATGCAGAAACGAGTATTATGCATAAAACAGATAAATTCCAATAAGGAAAATTACACTTGGCTTGCACAGCAATCACTTCAGTGATTTTATTGTTCACGTGTGAATGAATCAGGAAATCTATTCAGGTTATAAACACATGCTTGTTGGTATTGTACACCTTATATTTTCCGGTATGATTTTGAACTCTTTTCTATTCCCCAAACAATGGACAGTACAAAGCCATGAGAGTTTTAGCTTTCACCGATTCTCGGAGTCGTTTGGCCAGAGCAATGCCAATGGCCAATATCGGTCACATTGCAGTCATCAGGGGTCCCTTCAACTGTGTTCAATTTCTGAGATCCACCAATAAACTATTAATACTAGTACACCTTAAGAAGCTGCACAACCCCTTACATAACACGGTCCTGCGATTCTTTTAATCTTCACGGCGATACTAAGAAGATTTGTCACAAGAACTTAATTCGTGGCACAATGTGAGGAAGAGATTACATGAGGTGTATACTTGATCTGTTAATGGTATCTTGACTGGATTTCAGAAATTTTCCCATCCATGTAAAATCAAAACACAATTTTGAAGTAAAATCTCAGTTACTTTCGCACGCTCGTCTCATAAGGTTTTGATTGCTCATTGCTCCATTTAATTTCTTTTCACAATAAGACAAAGGGTCACCCCTTCCCCCAAAATTTTCCACAGTCAGGCAATTAAGGGTCGTACCTTTCCCCATAACAATGGAAAGTCTTTACAGGTCTCTTACACGAAGGGTCGCCCTTGTCCCGTGCTTTTTACACGAAGCCGCCCCGCTTTTTACACCACGCTAAGAACGCCCCTTCTCTTGCTCTTTACTCGTCTCGTCTCAGTCCTTCTAAAGTACAACCTAAAGTACTTCCTAAATACCTAGCCAGGTAGTCGGCTAAATAAAGAGTTGACTTGTAAATCGACCGCGCAAACAGGAGACCGCCTTGACGTTAATTAATTTTCTCAATGTCGGTTGATCATTATCAAATAATTGCTGTACAGGTTATCGGTCTTAACCACATTTCCTTGTCGAGTCTGCCAGCCATTACTTCAAAATAACAAACGGTAAATAGTCGCTTATTTTTAATGCGCTAGAGGGTTAAATGTAGAAAATATTCTCGGTGAACCTTATCTCAACATTAGATTGATAAGCCAGGCCGCCAGGGAAACTATCATCTTTGAGAGATGGTTTCTTACTGCATTCTTGATAGTATATTCTGAATAATATATTGATAGCATACGTATACTAAAAAAGTACTGTCTAGATTACTGTACAATCAACTGTGGTATACAGCTATACAGAAAATAAGCTTCAGAAAAGTGCGTACGGGCGTTATAGGTGCTTAAATGTTTCACTATATAGTTAGATCTAGCGTTACGACTGCATTAATTTGGAACCGAACACTAATCTCTGATTGTGGAAACATCCCCGATTTCCCAATTTCAACGGGTCGTTTAGTTTGCCGAGGTACCGTTATCTGCATTAATGTTTTCCTAATTTTTTTATTATCAGTGACACAATATCTAACGAAGCAATTTGTCGTGGCGTTGCCAAACATCACTGGCAAGTTCAAACAAAAAGAAATTATCAGCGTGACTATCATCGCTGAGGTGAACAACACCGTGGTCGAAGTTAGAATACCAACCATTAACAATATTATGACTTATCAAGTGGAGATGAACCAAGTGATAAAACTTAATTTTACAAGCGCAATAATGCAATCGTCGTTTGATGGTAAAGAACATAATAATCTGAAAATTTAGATAATCAAGCAACGGGAAGTTGTCTTTCTTCTTGAAAATACAATGAGTTAGGACTACGTGAAAACATTTTCGTAATTTGCTACGAAATTGGAAATAATTTGCCCATTAGTTCTGGAGATAGTTTTAACTGAATCGAGAGAGTCAAAGAGTGGTCTCAGTGACATATTTTAATATTTCAGAATTAGAATTAGCCTTAGATGTAGGTTTGGAAAGGATGTAGGTTACAAGGAAATTGCTTGGAAAAGCTTTCAAGAACTTTCTAGTATTGACAAAGTACATTTTCATCACATTTTTTAGACTCTTCCAACACCATCAGAACACAGGAAACCAATTACGACACGGCGTATAAAATACAAGAGACACAAAGCAAACAACTCCAGCAATACAGATCAGCAACTATTATCTTAGCAGTATTGTGCGCTCTAATGTTCCTGGCTCTCTCATTCCTAACACTGCGACGCAGAGCAGCACGGAGTACGTCGAAGAAACCAGAGGAGGTTGCATTTGAAGTTGTCAAGCAAGCAGTAGAAAGTGAGTACCAGAGCATACGTGGGTTGCCAAGACGCGAGACTGGGAACTCGTATGGCTACGAGACGGTAAGATTTCACATTTCATGATACTGTCCTAAAGTATAATCACATGAATTAAGGGAAGAATTTAGTTGAAGTTATGGTCAGATTAGAATTCGGGTCAGGGCGTTTCAGAGAAATTTGTCTATCATTCCTACGCTTTTTGGTCTGCGTTGTGACAACAAACTACAGTGTACGTTATGACACGAATTTCTATAAATACTCTATAAATATTTCTTGATCATTCTGGGGGTATTCTTCAGCCCGGAGCATAGGAGAATTAGATTGAGGGTATTATTCATATTATTATCCATCTGTGTTGAATTTACTATCATTATATTCTAGGAATACTCAAGCTAAAATAGGTTTGTAGCAACATTGATAGACGAAATTCAAGGCGCAATAATTTGAGTAGCTATCTTTTTTGTTAAGGTAAAGCCCAGGCTTCCCCAACCACGGTCGACTATAAACTATCTCATACAGTCCAACGAAAACGAATACGAAAACCTCAAGGCAAATGTTCGTGAAAGTGACGTGTATGTGCCGATGGATGAAGCGCTTGTCGCAAGTACGCTGACCGGAAGTACAGCGGTGCTTTCCGACGAGAATGAAGACTTGTACCTCACCATGAAAAAACTTATAAGAACGCCAGAAGATGAGGCAGATAACATAACTTGTGAGCTCACAAATATCTAAAATTTCCTCAGAGTCATTGACTTCCAAGAACGGTTCTTCCTCTTGATTCGTAATTTAGTGGCTTCGCTTACAAGAGTAGCGTTTTTGGATCATTTCTTATCAAAAGGTGTGCAATTATTGCACTATGGAAAATCACATACTTCAAGAGGCGATTCGGCTGATCATTCAACCCACTATTTACAAGTCCTAGAAAAGAGATCTCAGGACACACAGGATAAACTGGACGCTAGCTAACAACTGATTGTGAATACTTTCGCCAAAGACATTCTGCTATAAACCATTTCATTATTTATAAACCATTTTGGATCATTTACATACATTTCTATATTTGTAGCATATTTTATAAATAATTGATGATACTTTCCATTAAATTTAATGAAAACATCAGTTTAAATTTTTTCTTCAATAAATTCATCAATCACACAACTACAATAAAATAAAAATAATTATATTCAACCTTTATGACCAAACCAGGAGCAGTTGCCAAAAAACTCAAACAATAGTTCATCTTTAGTTAAAAAACTTGTTGCTGAAACTTAGTAACTTGATTTAGCCCGATCAGGACTAGTTCGAGGTTGATATAAATTTCGTTGCAGTATTTCGTGTAAAAATTCTCTACTATCGGATAGATTTTTTGAACAATATAAAGGTGGTTTAAAGGTAAACAACAAATCAACAATTCAATTTCGGAATGTATAAGTATTACGAAAGTGATTAGAGGTTTGTACAGTCTGCCATGTATGGGTAAAACCAATAATACGCGACAATGTGATGAGGTTAGAAGTGTAGAAAAAACGTACCGTTTGCGTACGGCATGCAGCAAAATTTACTTCGCTCTCTTTGTTCGATGGTTGTGTTTTCTGCGAAGGACGCGTTTTTGACGAGCGAATTCCGGGAAGTAATCTAATAGTTGCAAAAATATTAGCAGAGTTGTGGATTGTCGGGGAGTGACCCTAGATCCGGGTCAAGGAGGTTAGAGTATATGGGCGTGGGGCGTAGTGGGAGAAGGGCGTGGGAGAGGGGGCAGAGGAAGGTGGGAACGATTACGGGGTGCGACCACTTATTCCCGGAAACCGGAGGAACTGAATACATATTATAAAAAAACCTAAAAATATTAACCAGTATAATGAATGGTGAAACTTACTAGTAGCAAGAGCATTTTGAGCTGCATTCATTTCAGCTTCACGAATACTAGAAGACAATGATAGCCCGGTGATATAATTGTTTTTTTCATTGTATGTACGGAGTTTATTCATGCACAGATAACCAGCTAGCAGATAGATAGTCTCGTGAAAGGGTAGTGTCGCAGCTCCTCGCAAGAACGATTTTCATTGGCTGAACTTTACGATACATTTCTGTTTCAACCAATGGCATAGCTTCGTTCTTTAGAGAGTATAGAAACGCATTATCCAATTGGACGAAAACCTCCGAGAGCTGCGACATGTCCCTGGTGAAATAAACATTTATGATCACATCCTACCTATCACCAAAGCCAGTTCCCAGTCTTTTACCATTGAAATACACTCCAACTACGAAATGACAAAGTTGTTAATTCACGTCACATTGCATTGGAGTTAGAGTTGTAGTAGAAGATGCATGAAGTTGTAGTTGAAGATGCATGCTAAATTACACCAACCTGTGTATAGCTTCATATTCGGGGAGCCAACATCTTTCAAAACTCTGAAACATAAATGATGTTATATGTAATAACTTGCTTTTGTATAGACTTGGGGTTTATCGAGGGTATAGCAAAAAACATCCACGGACTAAATAGACACCTATAAACAGCATATAGAAAATGCGAAAGTCATAAAGTATGGTATAGTATCCGTATTTAAACCATAGGGTATGGTATAGTATCCGTATTTAAATCATAGGGTGTGGTATAGTATCCGTATTTAAATCATAGGGTGTGGTATAGTATCCGTATTTAAGTCATAGAGTTTGGTAAAGTATCCCTACTTAAACCAGTACTTACTTATAAATAGGAACATTGTGAGAGAATTGTGACTGGGTCAAACAACAACTTTGAAGTTGAGATTTGAAATCCATCCACTCCTGATTTACAATTACGTTCTAAAATTCAAAAATATTTAGCACGATTTTCCACGGGGTTCCATCCTTCCCCGAATAATGATAGCAATAAAAGCAATAAAAATGTCAATAAGAGTGCATGTCTTATGAAGGGAAAACAACAGATCCATGTTACGATGTCCCTAAGTTTTAAAGATAGTAGTATTCCATTTATAGGGTGTTTAATACCTAGGCAGCAGAAATTGAAGTGACTCTTATATATGCATTATATAGTTAGTTAGATTAATAACGGTCGTTTTGTCATGTATGTTACTAAGCAATATTACCCGAAGTCTTGGAAAGAGGCACACTTTACAAAAAACTTCAACTGGTTCAATTCCTTTATCGACGAACAATGCGGCTAGGAAAGCTACAAATACATCAATTCATAGATGATCTTCTTCAAGTCTGCCGGAAAACGTAATTTTAACTTAATTTCAACAAACCTTCAAACAAGTCCGACATATGTTTTTGTCGTATCTTTTGTACACCCTGAAATCAGGCAGACCTTTAGTAAGAATGTTTGAGAATTGGATGAAAATATACTCGGGTTAAAATTTTTGAGTGAGATCCCACAAAGAAAGGTAAATTAAAGGGACACTTTGATTGAAAAAATACGTTGATCGCAATGACAGACAACTATAATCGTATTGGATTATTAAACAAGTTGCATGCATGTGCATGGGATTTCAGCCAGACCTCTTTTGGTTTTATTTCTTGGACAATAACATTATTAGCATAAGAAGAGGTCCATCCAGTGTTAACTCGTAGCTTACCGGTCCAACTCCAAAGTGGACATACTGATCCAAACCAATCTCACCGGCGATTTGAGCCTGGATTGTACGGTTTACCAACGAACTTCTTAACAAAGTTAGATGACCTTCGTGATGTTTAGGAAAGTGTCGATATAGATAAGCCGTGACCACCCATTGAACCAGAGAGTCGCCGAGCAATTCCATTCTTTGGTTGTTTCCTCTGAAACAAATGGACCATTTCATTAAAATGCCAAAAAGACATTGGTTAAATCCTGGCGTAAATGGGTAAGGGCAATGGTAAGTAACATTTGAAAGAGGGTTGGTAAAACGTGTAACTTTTGAGAGAATGTTGATCAGTGAGATGGTATGACTATTATAAACTTACAGAGTGAGATGATTGTAACCAACTTGCGGGTGAGTGAAGGCTCTTGCCAACAACCGAATATGCTTGAACTGCATGCCAATAGCTTCTTCCAGTTTCACGAGCCTCTAATGAAGATGAATACAGTAAAACATGGCCGCTACGTGTAGAAACACTCTCAACTACGTACAAAAATTGACTGCGCACAGTTGTAATCCATGCAGTCGTTATCCTAACCTTTAGCATATCTGAAGATGAAATAAATTGACGGTCTCCGTCTGGTTGTTGTTCCTGGAAAAGTACAGTGGCATAAGAGTTCAATGAATTAACGATATTTTGCCTTCTCGAAGTAGCTAGGCAAGGAGAGATGGATGGGTGGAGATATGCCTTGATCTGTCAAATAGCCCGAATGCTATTCAGGCCACTGGACGAGAGTGATATCCGAAGAACTAAATTCATCTCTTTGGTATATTGCTTATCATTTTTTGCAACGTTTTGCAAAGTTTTGCAATCTTACAGAATAATAAATTGCACAGAATAAGTAATATCTCGCTGGCTATGAACACTGAGATGGATTGGCAATTGGTTGGAACCACAGTTAATAGAATATACATGGTTTAGAGACTACATAAAACTACGATAGAACTCATTATCTATGTCGGAGAACATTTATGCAAAAAATTGTTCCTTATTCGTCACGTGTCTATTGTATTTTGAACAAATAAACCAATAGTAAGGTTTGAATTAACATGTTGTTCAAGTCATGGTTGAGGAGCTAAGCCAAGCCATTGCTATTGGTTAGTTGGGCAAAAATACAATAGACATGTGACGGATAAGGAACCATTTTTTGCATAAACCTGGACAATAACATAGATAATGAGTTGTATTGTACTTCCATCTAGTCTCCAAACCATGTATATTCTAATAACTGTGTTGGAACCTAGAATTATATGGACATAAATCTACGAGATGTGGTTACTCACTTGCAGTGGGTGTCGGGGGAGTGAACACCACAGCTTACGTAGTTCCTACAGACAAAAGAAGCATTCAATGAATCCTAGTTGGCAAAATAGACAGAAACAAGCCAAAATTACTTACACTTTCTTCAAATGCAAGTTTACAGAATACTTTTTGCACAGTGTTTACATCCGAATCCAGATATATAGCTCCTACGAAGAAAATCACGGTTTTGTAACTGGCTGCATGAACTTTATGTGCATGGTGGGTGTCCCAATACCACACGTTAGAATGCGGTTTGTGTCGTGTGCATAAAATTCGACTGATATTAAATATCAAAAAATCTCCATCGAGCCATAGGTGTGACTCGTACACACATGATGGTTTAACAAACACGAAAAACATTGTTTTTCTACGAAAGATCTACTTCTTTTACCCAGTATAGCTTCCAAACAATTTGCCATTGCATGTTCCATGTCTTCTTGATGACAAAGATCTGGCCTAAAAATTACAAAATTTGAAAAGCGAAAGATTCAAGAGTTTGAAAGTTTGATGCTCTCGGGGTGCATCAAAGGTAAATATGATGTTAAAGCAAACAGCAGATGTGGATGTTACATATTACCCATGAGAAAACTGCATAAAATCATCCAATCCAATTTTCTAAAAGGATAGAGAAACAAAGAAAAGATAAATTGGTAGGTTTTATTGGGTTTGTTTTTGTGGGTTAGGCCTCAATTATTCTCCAAAAACCGTCCCAGCGTATCAGACCCAGTCATATCACGGATTAAAATGTTTTTAATAAAACCCAACAACTGGCACCATTCGGGTTGATTCTAAAACGTTTAGTTCTGCTTTTCAGAAAGACAAACAGAGTTGATTCCGTTGTCTTTAAGATTTGGAAAATAGTGACTAACGATAGAGAAAATGATGGCTTCACGAACATGTTTTGGTAAATCAACGAAGATGGCAGCAATTGCAAACCACCGGAAAAGACATATGCGGCAGCTGCATGGTTCGCTAGTGGTTACCTTGGCAACATGAGCAAGATGCTTGTTTTGCACCAGTGAAGATCTGTGGGTTACCAGTCCTCCCTCGGCCATATCAGGAAACAGAAAATAAAGATGACACGTTGCGACAAATTCTAAAATGGCGTCACCGAGAAACTCTAGTCGTTCGTTATGTTGGATACTAAACGAGAAACAAAAATACCATAATACGTAACACCCAGGCGCTGTCGGCATTAAGATTAATAACGATGCTTTTGATCACCGAGACTTGGGTCTGATTAGCTCTTGTAGAAATTACTTATGGGTATGGCTGTCACTCTCCCTAAACTCGTTTGCGAATAACTAATTTGGAGTATTCAACATGGCGCCATATAAGCCTCGTTATGCTGTGTATAAAACGTTCTAAAACTAGTATTACCAAATATCGGTAACTTTATTTTACAAAGTGGGGACATATTCATATATATACGTATTCTACACTATTCAATTATTTTCAATTTAAGCGCTTTTACGGTCTTTAATATACTTGAACTTTAATATTGAAATATGCTCCTTCCTCTGTTATTGATGCAATATTGATGCTGTAACTACCTAATTTTAGTTACAATTTAGTAACGGTTGAAGATATAAAGCTGCATGTATAAACACGATACCACAAATCATAACTTACAAAGAATGACTGCCATCTAGATCTTCAAGTTTTGCCATGATATCAATGAGCCGAACAATGCCTAAGAGAAATGTTAGATACAAGGTTCAAGGATAAAGATTAAATTATACCACGATCACAGTTAGAGTGAATGTGATACTAGGTAGCAGCATTTGGGGATTACGTAAATAAAGATTAGGATTAGGTTAACGATACAATTAGGGATTAATTTCAGAGGTTAGGTTTCGGCAATGATTCAGTTGGGGATCAGGTTGTTAGGATTAAGTTAACAACAACAGTTAGGGATTAGGTTAGGACAAGGGTAGCTAGGGTAGTCGGTGGTAACAGACATAAATTGGGGTTATATCATGATATCCATTAATATCTATCATTATACCTTTCTTTCTGCTTTGATTTAAGCGATTCCTTCTATCACCATAACGAGGTTGTTTCACTCCACAGTTTGATAACGTGTTACGCGCGTGATCAGGATTAGTCCCATAGTTCATCACGTACGACGGATGAGTCAAAGCAAGCTATGGATGATATAGATCATGAAACCGTGGTATGAAATATCAAACCCAGCTGACAGGAGTAAGAATGACATGTACTATATACTGTAGTAACCACAGCGGTTTCAATACCATTCACATAAATACATGTATTTATACAACAGACCTGCAGAAGAGCTCTATCCTTAAACACATATCCAATCTTCTCGTCAAAGGATTGTAGACTCAGATGATATCTCACATGATGAACAAGCACGGGTAACAATAAAGCGTGCTAGAAAATAGCGGACATAATTACTATTCTGACATTTGTTTTCTTTTTTCTTTTTCAAATGGACAAAGAACTCATCTCTATTGAATCATTCCGCAATTACACGTCAAGTCATATACACTACTCTGGGAAATTTCGTGGTTATGTGTGAATCAGAGTATTGAATGAAAATACAGTGAAAGAAGACAGTTATCGTGGCCTGTGATTTACTTTATATCATCATAATTGTTCATTTCTTCGTAACCTTCTATGCTATTTTGTAGAAAACGAAGGCTCGTAAAACGACACTCGTGCTAATAATTCTCTGCCAATACTAGCTCTCTTAAACCGCGGCTACACGGGCCATTTTCATCGGCGATTTGGTCTTTCTAGGATTCTAGCGTATGCTATTGTGTGAATTATATACGCAAATGTATAAGCTGGGCGAAGTAAACTAACCTGCTCTGTTAAATTTACTTAATAGCATACATCAAGAGAAGAATCCACGCGATAGAGAATTTGACTTCTATCAGGAATCCTACTGACAGCAGGAATATATGATTTCTCAGTCACACTTAACGCACGAGTGTGTGCTATAGTGCGTGTCCAGAACTCACACTCTAATTACCTGGGTAATATCGGAGTTCAGTCCTGTTCTCATCATGCCAGTTGAACTTACACGAACACAGCAATTGCGACGAAGTGAACTAGAGGAGAATGTATACGAAGAGAATTTCAATCAAAAACGAAACTAAGATATATGAAAGTAAATTATTGTTTCACTTACTCCTTCATCCTCATGTTATCCAGGGTCAACTAAAAAACGCATATGAAATTGTCTTGTATGTTTACATGCTACCCGGGAGGGGGGGGGGGGCAAGAAAGCAAGGGCACCCCAAGCAAACTTGCATGGAGACACAGCACCATGATGACAGTGAAACACGGAGTGCACGAAAATTAATAAGATATGGATGGGGAAATATAAAGCTGACTCATATAAAAACATATAATAGTATGAAACGTGATTACGATGTAAAACGAGACAAGAAACCATTAAGATGTGATATGTAAAAGAAAGGGAGATAAAAATACCGGAGCAGCATTTATTTCCCGAAAAAATTGATTTGTCCAGAGTTCCGTATCTTAGCAAATCTAAAGCTACTAATATTTAAACAGTTGACGCTATCTTTGCTGGTGTAATGAATTTATTCTTTACCTTCATTTTTTTAAGTTGAAGTCGTTCTTTCTGTGTGGCGTCTGGTCTAAAGCGATAGAATCATATGTGATGTAAGCTCCTGCATTAACACAAGAGATATATGAATGCGCATGGTCATTCTCCAGCAGACTTACTTGTTCATGATTAAAATTCTCATCTTTAGGTAACTCTTCATTAATTTTTGACACCTTGAATCACGAAGACATTTTCTCATGAAAATTTCAAACAAATAAACAGCGAGAGCTGGGGCTAAAAGATTAAAGCTTGACACAGGATTATTATGATCTATAAACTGATAGGCATAATGGGGTAAGTAGTGGATGGAAAGACTTCGACTTACTTTGGATCCCCAGAAAAGCTGAGTTGCACAGGTCGGATACCATGATGAATAATGATAGGATTAGGATTGTCCTACCAAAAGACGAAACGTCAGGGGGAGTGGTCTGTTATATTAGTGGAGTGAAAGAAGTAGGTTGTGTTGTTATAGAGGAAAGTAGAGTAGTTGTTTGAATTGCCATTTAATTTGCGTGGCAAAAGCATGACATTACATGACCTCATCTAGACCATAATTATAAATTGTTAAATAAAAAAAATTTTTGTAATCCCCACAGACCCCACTCGTTCACTTAAAAGCTATCAATAGTATCTTTGTATACCATTGAATCACCAAGTACCCCCCAAACATTCTACTGAAACATCGCTAAAATTTCTTACTAGGGTAAATAACATTTATGTTCTTCGGATTTTTTTGCAGGCGTTGCATCCAATATCATTACCTTATCCTGGCTACGTTCAAGATCATCAATTCTTATTGAACTTGGTTTCTGAAAGATACCCCAACAATCACTGAGACTGTTGTTCGTAGTAATACAACAAAATAGAGGTATTACATGAAGGCATATTACATTTCCAGGGATATTAAAGAGATACATTTCCCGGGGATGTACATCCGACAAAAGCAATAGTGGTTTTATCAAAATATTACTATCTGTAAATAGAATACGTGATAAGAAAACATTCCTACCCAGCCGGGTCTGGTTACCACAGAATTGACGCAGGAAGAAACAAAATCCTTCCAAGATTCTCCTTCACTCGCTAAGGTTTTCTAGAAAAAATACGAAACCATTACCTGTATTAGCGCAAAACAACTCCAGAGTGCTAAATGACACTCAACACTCCAACCTACCTCTGAAATCAAAGGTTCAAAGCTCATTTTCAGGTATTCAAACACTTTTCTCATCGAGAGGAGCTCATATTTCTCACATCCATCGGAAGCTAAATAATATTAAGAGGCTTATAATGACGGCTTCAGATGTTTGATGTCCACAGTGTAGGAAAGTCAACGAGTGTTACCAACGAGTGTTTCGTGCAATGTCGTTTGTGTTATCATACAAATATAACAATAAAAACGACGCAACAATTTATGGTAAAAGGCACGTGAAGGGCAATCAATCAATACGTCAATTGTACAACCACCATTCAAGATAAAAAATACGTACTGCCAGTTCTGTTTGTAAATCTTGGTAAGAAATGGAATAAACTACAATGCTCTTCACTTTCTGTAGAAGGAGAGGAAAGCGAGCAATGTGAAATACCACTTTGCACAAGAACTCTAGTGATTCTTCATATATCATGTACATGCATTTTCCATAACCTGCATATACAGTGATGTCACAAAAAACATAAATAAAACCAGTATATGTTAAGCATTTACATTTATATACGAGATGTTGTTTGTGTTTCTAGCTTCTTCAGCTGGTTCCTTTGTTGTTTTACTCTACTCATTGTGACTTTTACCTTTGTCCATTTCAATTTTCCAATCATGCATCTCCAAAATATCCTTGAATAAGAAGTTCGAAAATAGATCAAGATCCCTGATACAGAAATTCTAAAAAGTAAAACACATAACTCAATCAAATTTTCAAGTTCTTTCTAGAACCAATCAACACATCGTCTCCACCGGACAGCTTTATAAATGATTATGCACTTTAAACTGAGCTTTATAATATAGAAACCAACGACGCTTCTTTTCAACCTAATATAATTACTGCATGGGGAAATCGATAGCGCCTAAAATGTAGATTTTGCGGCTTAAGATATTTAACTAATAAATACAAGTGTACTAACTGTAGGTATTGGTTCTTGTATGAAGAAAACTTCGTATTTGAAGTTGAATCGTGTAAGAAAACATCTTGGTACAGCACCAAGCGGAGAATGAGAGAGAAGTGAAAATCCTTCGAAAGTGTATGTCCGGCCATTGCACTCGATTTTTGTAGGATTTTCTGTCTGTTAAAACAAATATTCAATTTTACTTTATACACATGTACTAAACACCAAATGACTAACCACAGCTTCGATCCATACACCAAAATGTGCAGGTTATGTTGATCGAGGTTCCGTGACAACTTGATATTGTAGTCGCTTTTAGGTTTACCCTATTTTTTTCATGGTGTCAGGTAATTTAAATTTTCCTTTGAGTTCACTGGCCCTTACAAGTTACAAGTCGCCCTTTTTTGGTGCAAGCTGTTCCTCCGGGAATTATTATACACACCTCAGAGGTAGTAACCTTGAACATTTTGGTCCAGTACTCACCATGAAGTTTGGATGAGGAAAGACAGTGACCCAGTAGTGATAGAGCTGCAATCCGTTGTTACCCATGGCTTCACATGGTCTTGGCAACTGAAATAAATTTCACATATTCAGGCGACTGACTGATTAAGGCACGTTCACGCTAGTTATTAAACTTCGGCCATCGTTAAGTTCAACGGCCAACCAGAAGTTATAAAAGAATGGAAATACACAAACCTGTTCATTTGGATAGACATTGTGAACGATCCATTTATTTTTATCTTTCAAACTGCAGAGACATTCTTTGCCGTGGTTCAACTAAGGAAAGCAGAGCAAAAATTTCACCGTCTCCGAATCCAGATAGACCATACAAATAATAGACATCGATTATTTCCATAATAATAAACATCTATAATATCTATTATTTCTATTAGATAGACCCTTTCGATAATTACGTCACAACATTATCGTTCTTAATTTAGAACCACCTTAACTGAGAGGGATTTCAAGTTTTATTTTAAAAGCCATGGAAAGATACAAAGCATCCTTCTTCAACACATGCATGAAAAATAATTTTTAACTTTGACAAACAAGTGTGAAAATAAGCCTAAACACAAGAACAAGGCTGCCCGCCGTGGCCTGGTAGCCTCGTTTTAGTGTTACGACTTATTTCCACATGAAAAATTATTTTTCATGCATGTGTTATAGAAGGATGTTTTGCATCTTTCCACATAGCTTGTGAGAGCAAAATTTGAAATCCCTCTCAATTAAGGTGATTCTAAATTAAAAACGATAATGTTGTGACGTAATTATCGAAAGGGTCTGTTGAAGAGAAAACAGGAATATTGCTTCAAACGTACCTCCCCCTCGACATTGAACCACATTTCCGGATGCAGCTTTCGTGGATATTCTTGATTCTTGAACCTGATCTTTGTTGGTAGAGGCGTGCCATCGTCCTCACTCTCCTCATCACTATCATACTCATCAATAACGTCATAACCCTCTAGGTCTACCTCACTTTCGCTGCTGTCGTCATCATCTTTTTTGTTCAGTAGTTCGGAGACATACTGGCTGTCTTCCTCTGGGTTTTGCACTGGGTCTAACGCAGTCATTTCACTATATTGAAATGAGAAAATCACTATCAATCCGCGGCAACGTGATGAAAGGTATTGAAAAGAAGTTAAAACTAAGCAGAACTATTAAATGATGTACACCCGTGAAGCCTTACTAAGACTAGTGCACACGAGCGTCGTTTCCGGGCGTTTTGAAGATCGTTTTTATCCATTTTATTGTTTGGATGCCCTGTCGACACGATTCAAGGGAAAATATGCTTAGCTTCAACTTTTATTGTAAATTGACGGTGTTTAAAACCGTTTTGGTATGAAAACGAACGTGAAAACGCTCGAAAACGTTACGTTGCTATACTATACCTCGTGGTAGCTGGACAATCCTCGACGTTCTGGGATTTTGAAAGCATCTCCTTAAACTCCGTGTGCAACTTCGCGACTTTCTCGGTTGCAGAACTTGTTGACTTCTAGCAAGCAAAGTAATATATTGTCTTCTGTAAGAAAACGAATCTAAAAGCATGTTTATATAAAAGCGAGGAAGCCCTAATACCCGAGCTGAATCGTTCATTATCCCGCTAAAATGTCGATGCTTTTATCACACACTTCGCTACATTTCATTGTTTTGCCCTTGGCTTACAGCGGGAGCTACTAGGCAAACCAGGCAAACTAGGCAATAGACAATAGCGTTATTGAAAAGACAATAAAACATAGTCACTGATGTTGGTTGAATGGCATCATTCAAACAGAGATGGAATTAAAAAACAGTGAGAAAAGCAAAAGAACAGGACGTTGCGAAGAACAGCTAAGGATTATAACAAAAGAGTGATCTAGCTTTAACCTAGGCCTAGCTTGAAACGTTTTTGTAAGCGGACTCCAGCCAAGCCTTGGCCAGAAAATCCGGACCAGTCAGGTGACCCAGGTCCTTGACAAAGTGTATTTTTGTGCTAAACGCGTACAAACCTGAGAGGATGAACTTGCTTGATAATATCTTGAAGATTGTTCGTAAACAAATTTCCGTTCTATGTTTGGCTCTGGTAGCACAAAACATTTGAGAGCACGCCTAAAAATTATATAATTACATCACTGCATGCCTGGTTATAATATTTCATAAATGTATATAATACATGGAGGCTCGTTTACAGACAGGCTTTGTCGGGCTGATTCAGAGATGATTAAGGTCTCTTCACACGATCCAATTTTATTGGATCCAATTCACTTCTGACGTATGGAATATAGTCAGTTATTGATGAAGCTGTAGTGAATTGGCTTCAGTGGATTTGCTGCTCGTATACATTACAAGACAACAGACTATAAAACATCCATCAGAAGTGAACTGGATGCAACAAAATTGGATCGTGTGAACAGACCTTTAGTAATGATAGATCATGGAACGTTGATAATAAATACATAACAAAATGGGAAACTATGATTTTCTAATGTCACCAAAAATACATAATAAATAATCGCCGATGACGTTTTGTGTGCTCTATATACGTACCTAGTATCTTTATCATTAACGTTTGGTCTTTTGGGCGAAGAAACTGTCCTCTTCTCTTCTTTCACCTCTGTCAATTTATTGTCAGATATCTTGCTTCTGGTCCTATCTAATGATTCGCTTCTTTGACGAAGCGATGTATCACTTCTTGTTTCTTTATCCCGAGAGCTGTCTCGTTTTCTTTCAGGGGACACCCGGCGTCGTTCTCTTCTGTCTTGTCGCTCTCTTTCTCGTTCTGTCCTTTCAACACTTTTTCGTGACGAGGAATATCTGTGTCTTTCAGCAGGAGAACGACTTCTGTTTCTATCTCTTGATGACCTCCTTGAGTAACCCTGTGTAGACGTGCTTCTCTCTTTTAGCCTTCCCCGAGCGTCAAAACTCCGTGTTTTTAACTGTGAGTAACGTTGAATATCCTCACAAGAGCTCCTATCTGCAGAATATGATCTTCTGGAAATGTCCTTTTCAACCATATCATAGCTGGCCACCCTGTCGTACATTGTGTTGTCTGTTTCATAGCTAGGTGAATACCTTTCCTCCATCCTTTCTGAATGCAAATATGGCTCATTATCCTCAGATAAATATGAGCTTCCAGCAATAGAGCCTTTGTTTGCATATGATTCATTATTCACAGGATATCCAGTATCTAGTACATAATCTTTGCCTGTAATTGGTTCCCTGTTTGTAACCACAACTGCTTTTTCACCTTCAAAACTACCTCCACTGGAATTTCTTGGTTGAAGACTACAGTCCCCAAAAAATGGGACATTTCTGTTCAAAGTTGATGGCCAATCTTTATTGGCAAGATCTGATGAGCGTTCCATCATTTCATTCTTAGCATATGATGGTTTCCTAATTGCATGAAGTTGACTTGGTGAATCACTCTGAAACCCAGGGTAAGGTATAGTTGGATTGTAACCCTGACCTCTCACTATGTCAGGTATATCATAAACATCATATTGAGGATTCATGCCCATCACATCAAAACTACCTTGGGTCGGTAAACTTTGCTCTACATGTGATTTTGCAACACCCTCAAAACGTCTTGATTCATTCGAATTTCTCAGGCTCAAAGGTGCCAAATTCGTGTTGGTGGCAAGGCCATGAGCTGGTATCATGGTTGGAGCTGGTATTTGGCCATGTTTATATACTTCAGAACTGTGTCTAAGTGGCACTAAACAGGGTGCATTGTTTCTTGGAAATGGCAGCACTCTGTTCTGTGTAGCTATTTCATAAGGTGGTAATGGGTTATAAGAGACATTATGATTGTTTAAACTATCATAACCACGAGGGAGTACAAATGGTGGTATTGGTGGAGTATTAGAGTGGTTTAAGGGATTATAACCAGCAACATTGGATAGATAAGGTCTAGATATAGTAAGATCTGTTGGAGTTGTATATAATGTTGAATTTGGATGGCAAACAGATGGCAACAAAGGCTTGTTCTCCGGAACTGTAGTAAACGTTGGTCGGTTGACATTTCCTGAAAACGGAAGTTTGCCTTGCATCTGGTGTTCATTTATCTGCTGGATGGTAAAATCATGGCACCTTGGTTATTATGGGCAGTATAAAAATAAAATTGAAGTTTTAAAATGGAAAGCTGAGAACATATACAACATGTGTATTTTTTTACATTACTACAGAGTCATCATCAGACACAACGAAACTTAATACTCTACATACAGCATACAGGATATGTACACACGGAGATACAAACGCCAAAAAGCGTTACTACTTTTTGAGGTTTTTTCGTGTGCACGCGAAATTTAATTACTTTTTCAGCTAAAATGTCACACTGGTCATCGCGATTTTCATACCTTGGCATCGTCTGATAAATATGTCTTTGCAGGATGCATAGTTTATTTATTTTTACCCAAATTTGACTGAAAACGTTTGAAATAAACTGCAGACGACAATCGGAAATTTTTCACATTTTCCGCCATCTTGCGTGTTCACTAGTGCCAGTCCATCAGATTCTCAATGAGCGAACATGTTGATACTTGATAGCAGTGAAGCGAACTGGTTGTCGATGGTTGTTGCATCAATCGTCTCCACCGCCTCCACCACAGGGTTTTCATAGTGGAAATCTACTGCGATAATATAGTGGAAATCTACTGCGATAAATACTGTCATAACACTATCGTTTTACGCGGTGATATCAGTTCAGATCTCCGCTATAAAAAGCTTTGGCGGAGATGAGAGGTATTTGAATCAACTCAATCAAGAAGAGTGGCACTGGCGCCAAGAACATACAGGATGTTGCAAAACCATTTGCAAAACAAGCGCATACTATGTTTCATGTGCAGCTCCAGATAACCTTTGCAGAAAAGCGTTGAACTGATCGAATTATATATCATAGAATACAATTCATATACTTTTTAGTAGATCAGTAACTTCGATCCATCCGAGTTCAAATAGTCTGTTCAATATTTATGGGTAAGACATCCATTGGTAGTTGAGCCATTACGTGGATTATGCATTGGGTTTATGCCATAGTTATTCATCAGTTTGCCCAAAATTATACAAATGATTTATACACATTATATGTATATGATTCTGCAAAAAAATTATACCGCGAGATAATTTCAACATAACATGGTTAAAGTAATATAAATACAAAATTTGCGCTCTGATTTACAATACGATGTCTTTGATCCCAACATATATATATATAATCTCTTTCAGCACAAATAAGCGTGCTGCACTATATAAATATAATATATAATACAGCTAATTCATTTAAGGTTGTAGACTACAAGACTGCGAGACCCGACCAACTACTTTTTTAAAGCGTTATTTAACTATTTAGTTTAGAATACGAATTCAGCCTGTATAATTGTGAAATGATAAAAAGCACTAGGTAAATATACAATATGGGCGTGAAAGGATGGAATAGAAATTATTATTCTCATCATAACGCTTCAATTGTACATTTGTCCATTGTGATAACAACCTTAACTGTATTCGCTGTATCAGTATCTGTATGTTTTGGAACATTGCGTGCTATAGTCTCGTGTCTTCCGATTCGTTTTCGTCGAAAGAGATGAGATTTTGTGGTGTCTAAAAGAACAGAATGTTAATAAACCTAGATATAAGAAAATAAGGGGGAAATAGAACCGGGAAACATTAAGGGGGAAATAGAACCGGGAAACATTAAGGGGGAAATAGAACCGGGAAACACAAAGAAATATTTAATAAACACCTTTTGAAGATCGTGATCGATAACATCTTTGAGTAAGCCGTACCACGTCTTAGTGCTAATATCTGTTTGCGAATAAAACCTATACACGTAACCTGAAAAAATAAAAATTATATTAGAACAATAATATCCATCTTTATAAATGTCCTAATGACACCTTCACCTACCGTTATTTTCGTCCTCCAGTTGAAAGAAAAAGCGAACATTATCACGAAATAATGATATTTTCCAATCACTTAACAGGAACGGTTTACCATGAGGAGCTTGCTTAAACTAGAGGAGAATAGGTAAATACAAAAGTGTCAGGAATGGGTCAATAGGCCATGCTCAAATGGGGGAGCCTGGGTGCGAGGCTGCAGCTGTATAGGAAGCCGGATACTGGATAGTGATTGCGGTGCCCGCGCCAAGTTTGGCACCGCATTATATTCTGCCTGTGAGTTTGTTTGTTCGCATCAATACGTTTCCTTAATCGCCTAGTAAAAATTCCTTGCACATGCTTAGAATGCTTGGTATTTTTTCCTAATTATTACTATTAATCTTGTTGTACGTTTGCCAAATTCCTTTTTTAAGGGAACGTTCTTTTTTCAATTTCAATCTCAAACTCTGATAATTGCGTGCATCTCTGCTTTTATGCACCCAAGAAGGACAAAAATGCCACCATTCGATTCAGTGTAAGATATTAGATATTATACTTACAGGTCTGAATATATTACTAAATAAGAGTATTCGCAGCGATTTATGACGTTTGAAAGACAAACGAAATTGAATTGTTGACAAATCGCTCAAAATTACTATGCTATACTTTACTAGTAATAGTAAGTTTAGTCTTTGATATCTTTCATATCGTTGGTTTTCTCTTTTAATTTTCGTCCTTAAATAAGTGGATCGGTCTTACATTACGATTTATTTTATAGTACTTTGAGCCAAATATATTCTATTTCGAAGGTTTTAAAGTATAGTTTCAATAAGCGAACTTTATGACAAACCGCTCAAAATTATTAAACAAAATAAAAATGCAGTACGCTTAATCCTTGACTTCTGTATCGTTGCTTTTCTAGTTTCCGGCTCTACACCAGTTTATTCGTTTTGATAGTATTTTTAGATAGTATTTTTAGCCTAAATACTTTATTTCTGAAGATTTTAAAACGGCGCAATTTTGACCTTAATGTACCAACCAACCAGGCTGCGGCCGACAGGAGAATGTAAGTTGGTGATGTCGTTAGAAATGAGCGGACGTTTTATTTCTAGGCAAGCATTGCGGGCACCGCATTTTAGTACTGTGTCTGGTTTTTCACGTTTTCTTACCTTACTAGTAAGCTATATAAAACTACGATTAAACTGTTACTGTAGTATTCTTAGTAAAGTTTCTTACCCCTTTTCTATCGTTTCCTGATAACTTATGTCGTGCACGAAAGAAAAACAGATAATTCCCAGAAAGGCCGACCCAGTACCGCCTCCATGATGAAAACTAAACAGATAAATAACGGAAGTGTGAATTTCCCCCGGACATTTCTTTTCTCGGTGAGTCGAGGTTCTTCTTGAATTAAGGACTTAAATAAAAGTTCATCCAATTGTGACGAAAAGCTCGATGCCAATCTCAAGAGAGTGCATGTATGTGCAAGGTAGTTCATAGGCTTGAAATCTATTATTGAAGATATTTTTTGCCTACCGGAGGTCTTTTTCCTTTTTTGACTTGTGCTTTTCTCTTTAAACAGTCCTCCCAACTGAACTGTAAATTGTCGACCAAATTCGCCTCCTCGCTGTTGGTAAAGAGAGTGAGGACTTCAGTTAAACAATGGCTTACAGGACTATATAGTGTTTATCACACAAGAATAAACAAATGTCGAAATTGTCAATGGAGATAATAGAACGTTCAACAAAAATGAGATTAAAAAGGATGAAGTACCTGGTTTTACTGTGATCGGACTGAATACTTATATCTGTGCTTTCTAACAAAAATAATGTAGAAAGAAAATAAATAAAGAAAACGATGTTGCTATGAGCCCGGAAAAAGATCTGCGACTTAAAGTACATAGCGTCTAATTAACGCAAGAAAATAAAACTTGGCATGCAAACAAGATTGACTCCCATGCCTCAGTCGACAAGACGATCCAGCCTAACACGCAGCGAGGCGGGAACTCTCGCGCGTGTTTCATTCGGTGACGTCATGGAAATATAAAACACGCGCAATGAGGCCTTGGGACTAGGCTGAAAACGATCGATGGTCGGCAGGTGTAGATGTTCTTGGACGTAATTATAACCCCCCTGGAGCTAATTTTAACCTTTGCCAAAGCTCGAGCGAAAATGATAGTTGCATTTGAGTTCACTGGATGTGACTCGAGTTCTTAGTTTATCCTACCTGAGGAGGAACAACTCCAGTCCAGTATGCTGCCATCAATGGGATGAGTTCTTGGTGAGACCTCTGATGATGTATCACACGTTGTGTCAGAAAATGGATCTTCGTTTGAATGATGACTGCACGAAAAATGATGACCGTACATTTAGGGCCTGTTTATATGGAGCGAGTTATCCCGGCTAGGCGAGGTAAAAAGTGGGGTAGTGTCGCAGCTCCTCGCAAGAATGATTTTCATTGGCTGAACTTTACAATACATTTCTGTTTCAACCAATAGCATAGCTTCGTTCTTTAGAAAGCATAGAAAGCATTATCCAATTGGACGAAAGCTTCCGAGAGCTGCGACATGTCCCAAAAAGTACATCACATCAAAGGCCTAGCCTGATTAGTCTTTCATTATATGCAGTTTTCACCTCGTCTAGCCGGGATAACTCCTCCATGTTACCGGCCCTTAGTAGAAGACTAACAATATTTGACTAGCTTAAACTTTGCTTACCTCAGGCAGTTCATTGACGAAGAAAGATGAGTGGATGAGAATATACTTGAAAGAAATAAAAGAAAATCTTTTGTGATTAAAATTTGAGTATTATGAAGCATGTTATATTGAGCACATACTTTACACCTAGACTTGCGGACTTCCGATGTCCTGGTTGGATTTTTGCAGTGGATGTTTCAGGAACGTGTGATGCTTTTCTTGAAACTGTTGCTGATAATGGTGCTCTTATGGAAATAACATCAGATCCAACTAAAATATATATATATAATCATTAATTCTTACAAACTCCTGCCTTGATTTGAACTGATTTGACTAAACCTAAACGTGCACTCTCTTGGCTATGGTAAGATGTTGCCTGTTAAAGTACACTGGGTCTAAAAACCCGAAGTTCAAATCCTTCTCAGGGCAATGAAACAGCCGTTGTTTTACCCAATATCAGATTACACTAATATGAAACTATAAAGTAATAAGTTAAACCGCGTTTCTGACAGGTAAGTTTGGTATCTAGAAACTGTAACTACGTATTCTTCTCTTTTTACAGTCCCATGTAAACAATGTTTTTATGATTGCGCAAACATTTTAAAAACTCAGGTGATATACTGATAACAAATATGAGGTCAATACTTCGTAGATATTTTTCTTTTGGGTTGGAATGACTAAGTAAACTTGATTTGGAACCTTTTGGGGGTTCTCTTTCCAATGAAGTTCTAAAAAATAAAAGAAATCAGTCAATTGCACCACCGGGGACGTATTAAGGCCTATTTAAACTACACGATAAGTTGCATGCAATTATTATTCTGATGGATGCAAAAGAGGGCCTATGCCACAGTCTTCATTCATATTGTTCTGGGTGGAATTTAAAGTGTTATGTTTGTACGTGTGTTCAAACGTTCACATACGCCAGGGTACGAATCGTATACGACAAATCGCATAGTGTAAATGGGCCTTTAAGATGTCACAGTATGGACAAAGCACAGGAAGAACCTAAACTAAGATTTACATACAGTGTATGCAAGCAGATCAGTTGTGGACTGTATGGGTAGTTGAAGTATACTGAACTCAATAATAAACTATTCAAACCTGCAAATTTTGTTACTATTACTAAATATAATTAAAAGATGATAAGCATGGACCAGTTATATGAAGCTAATATCATCATACTTATAGTTTCTGTCTTCCATAAATTTTTGAAATTCATCAATATAGTTGACTGAATTCAAGTAGTTCATGATGTATGGGACTTCTTCCAAATCATCTGCAATAAATGGTTTAAAACAATTTCATAACAATTAATTGTTAAATTAACGAAAAAGATAATCAGTAAGATTAAAACTACACAGTATTTATTTACCATAATCAGACATTTGAAACTCTGCTATAACTCGTATTACATTATTCATCTACAGGTGTGTAAAAAAAAAATTTTAGAAGCTGATGTGATAAAACAATAAAGTAAAGCTATTTGGTATGCCAAAGGAAATTTAACCTTCTGATCTCTATCTTTATCAAGACCACCAGTTGAAGGATGGACTGTGTCAAGGTAGGTAAGGTCTGTCAGGTAGATACCTAATGAAAAAATACATATGCATCAATTTGTCTTTCAGTTTGATATGTACAAATTGCCTCTGGTTTCCTAATCTGAGTCACAAAATGTATATATGAAGCAAGAGATATGTTTGCAATACATACCTAGATATGGTATGCATGGTAATTTTGCTTCCTCTAAAAGTGTACGGAGTTTTAGCCTAAAAAGAGCATTTACTACTTTAGTCTCATGCTTTTGTGATGATATTCTGAAAAAACTGGATTGCTGCATGCAAACATACTTGTTTTCTGTAACGGAAAAGACATTGTCTAATTTATCAAAAGTGAGCTTGTCTTTTCTGTTGACCATCTGAAAGAGAAATGTACTATAGTGTGAACTTCACTTTAAGTTTATTTCTATTTTAATCCAGTATTTCTATATATGTGTTACCTAATGGGTAAACATTATTTTAAAACATACCATCCATGTCTGTTCTAGTCGGTACACAGGTTCACTTTGAAGACCAGAGAGAATTGCTTTTGAAGAGTGAAAATTATTCATGTCCAATAGTTTCTAGAACACAGTTATTTCATTTTGTTTAATGCATGTGGTTAAAATCAATCAGGATTAAATTTCCCTAGATTGAAAGCAGGTGTTTAGACACTAATTAGGGTAGCTTGAAACTACATGCCTAATTTCAAGATGGGAATAGAAATAAATTACCTTTGCCACTCTTATGAACAATGACAAAACATCTGCTCGTGTCTTTGTTAACGTAGCCTTTAGAATCTCTCTGACAGCCCAAAAACTCACCTGTAATGAATACATTTTATTAGTATTACAATATTTTAATACTAATATAAAATTATATTAGTATTATAGCATTATGATTATAATTTGCATGGCATTGCAATAAAAAAATGACATACTCGTTATTGAGATGAGAGCGGTGAAGATTAATATATGGTAAAAAGATTTTATATTAATAATGTCACAGAGAATACTGTGATGTCGATAACAGTACTAGTTATAATGATGGTAATGCTGAAGCATGTAATTGTACATATGGCAATCAGTTTGTAATCCATTACAATTATCAGATTGCATTGAATTTAACCAGAGTAGCAACAATTGAATTATGATGGCACAAAGATTATATTACATGTCTAGTTGTAACTCAAAGCAAACAACATACATGATTAAATCTTTTAGTCATTGCCACAACATTTGGAGATAACTCCAGTTTGTTCTTTTTATTCCAACCACATGATGACAGCTCCTAAAAAAAATGTTGTTTGTACATCAGCACTTGAATGAAATTTTAATATCTTATATTGTCACAAAGACCAAGTTCATACCTCAGGTTTGATGGCTTTGAAGACTGGAATATCCATTAGAGTTATTTGTTTCTATAAATGATGCAAAATTTAGCATAAATTAAACATTATTTAGGGTAATTGTTTGCTAAAAGTGCACTTACTGCAAAATCCTCTGGATCCACTTTGAGTATGTCAAATACAACTTCATCATAACTTCTATCACTAATTGAGGAATATACTTGGCCATCTGTATCCTAAGTAAGTATGTTTGCACAAAGAAATAATTAACATATATCCAGATAACAAGCAAAGATAAGGGTATTATTATACCTTTGAGTCTTCATGTTGAACTAGATAATTTCCCCTCCATGGGAGATGATTTAGCATCCAAGAAAATATTTGCTTCATTACTTTATTAAACAACTTTCAGCAATTTACCTAACCAGTTCCGAAATTTATTTTCTACATTTTTTAGCAAATCATAACTTCCCTTAGGCTATATTGATAGTCACATAGGTTTTCAGAGAAATAGGATTGCACCAATTTTAGCCCAATCTTGTAGTTTGTAATGGTTTAAATGCATTAGTCTGACCACTAGGATATTGAACAAAAATTATGTTGTACATTCTTTATGTATATGATAGCCACAAGTCCTTATATAAATTTGGTCATGCCAATATATAGAAAAGCAACATAATTGCTATATTATGAATGGTATTTATTTAAATTATTTAGCGCTGTGAATCTGCTTAACTATGTAATAATTTTTTCCTTTTAATCTTAGCAGATGGGATATTACTGTTCAAACACACATGGGCCATGATAGTGTAAATGACACATGTCATATTAAGCAGGATTAATGATTTAGAAATTGATATTAGTCAGTCTGCAAAAATGTATTGACAAACAATACAATATTTAATGAGGTATTCTGTAGGATTTTTTGCAGCTTTTTCTAACAGACAAATTATGAATAGAACTTGACATTCAATTATACTGCAACAGGTAGCCAATGTTATAAACTCCCATATTCCTCTGTATATATAGTATTTAGTTTAGAGTTAGTCTTAGTATTATACAGGATTAGATTTAGTTGAGATCTATGAACAAATGATTTAGCTTCGTAAACATATGAAAACCCTAATATCAATACATCTGACATACCAAGAATAGGCATGACATGTAAATCTTTTTGCAAGTCATAACAATGCATACCTCATGAAAATGAGTGCTATCATCATTTGAGCTGTCTTCTTCACCAAAATTGCTGATTCCATTTGCTTTTGATTCTAAGCCAGGATAATCGCATTGCTTGTATTTCCCACTGAGTGTCATGGTAAGAATGTGGCACTCTCAACACATGTACAGCATTTCACTGGATACATTTAAACTTGCAGCTAAAACATACATGGATTTACTTATCCAAATATTTGAGAAGGTTTTTTCTCACCATCATATGCAAAAATTAGTATACTTCTACTGTTGCTTTCCTAAAATTAAGTTGCGTTGTTGTAAGAGGAAATAGGTGCAATTATTCTTGTAAACAATATATCAGCCCCTGCATCACCGGTGAAGGAAATGCCTGAGAGTGGTAGTTAAAAGCACTCAAAACATTACACAACGACCCGTATGAACAAATAATGTCTTTGTTTTACGGATATTCTAAAGAACTAATGATTAATCTTGAGTATAGTAGCAGAATAGCGGTACAATAAATTATCGACAAATGCTTGGGCAACGATGATTAAAATATAATAATCCCAAATCCTTGAAGCAAATTTAATTATTTTGTGTAAATTGTCTGAGAAATAGCGTGAGAATATGCCGTAAACTTCATATTTTTGACATTGATTTAAGTGCTTTGAATCCAAAGTATACTAAAAACTCTTCTAATGCCAACTAACAATGGTTTTAACTTACATTTGGGATGGGTTTTGCTTTTATTGCCATATTCACTAACTTCACTTCCACAAGATCGTGCTGCGTGCACAGCTGTGTTTCCCACACATTTAAACGGTTAGAAATGACAAATATACCACCAAGTGAAACGCCACCGAATCGTAAATATCACTCTCTTCTCGTTTTAATAAAAATAGGAGGAAACTGCAATACTTTGAAAAAAACCATGAAAGGCATAAATAAATCGCATACAAATTTACGTTTGTTTGGGTTGTATCTGTGGTATCGAGTTGCAAGGCGACAATGTCCGGAAATGAGCCGAATACTTTTCCGACCAATTAGAGAAGCAAATTTCCCACGCGATAAGAAGCGAATATCCACGATTTTGTTTATGTAGTGGCGTGTTTTTTCTGTTTTATAATGCGACGTTTCATTTTTCGGTTTTAATTCTAGTGTGACATTTTCTTTATTTTGTAATTATATATCAGAAAATTTTAGGGTTGACTGATCCAACATTTACATAAACATAATAGCGAAATCGATTAGGGTCAGATTTAAATAGTAGGTTTGGTAATTCACTGTTGGACATGGTGCTATATAAACAGGACTTTTGCCTCTTATGTTACAGCAGGGTTCCAGTCTACAAAATAATTGTTTTTGTATAAATTCTTTATTGAAATATTTGTTCAGTCTGAGCAGCATACAACTTTCCAGTCTAAATACCATACAATAAAGCAAAAACAAGAAAAAGGTGTGTTTTCATTTGATGACTACAATAGCTTTTTATTTACAATCTTCTTGATGGTAACATTATATAGGTGACTAAGCTTGCTTCCTGGTGCACTTACAAAATGTAAATATATGTATAATGGATTGTTCCTATGGATACATGACCAATGCAGTGCATGGTTCAAAGTCTCTTTTCTAACATGAACTTTCTAAGGCTTCTTTGCTCTCCTTGTTGACAACAATAATAGTGTCTGTGATGAGACTAATCAGTCCACCCATGACGTCCATACTAAATTTTTCATCTTTTACCCATGGGCTGTCCTCCTTTAAATACCTTCCAACAAGTCCTTCACGATCAACCTCGTTTGAGCCAATTTGATAACTATGTGGTAATGTGATGGTAAATATAATTGCTGCTTCTTTATACATAGGATTGTCATGGTCACAATATGCATAAAACAGACTGGTAGTTCCATATGGGATTGAATCAAAGTTGTGAATTATGGCTGCTGTTGGAAACTTTTCTTTTCCAAATTCATCTCTGAGAAGTTCATCAATAGTCTCTTTTGCATCATCTGATGGAGTATCTGAGTATTTGGAGCCATTTATTATTACAGCTGCTGTTGTGAGTAGTTTTGCAATCCGATTTGCAAAACATTCAGCTGTCTGTTGGTTGTCTTCAGCTGATGCAACCATCAAGACGAAAGGTTGTGGTGATGTTTTATGATGGATATATGATCTCATTCTGCTTCTCAACTTTTTATAGCTAAATTGAGGTTGATTTTGGTAATCATTTTCAAGCTGACTTAGACCTAATTCTATGTTGTTAGCAACACTATCCTTTGAACTGGATGAACTGAATAGACCTAAACCAGTGACAGCAATTAATACAATTATTAATACAACACCTATTGTACTAATATTATTTTGGTCCACTTTAGTTTCTTTTTTGCCGTCAGTCTGGTCAGCAGTACCCTCTAGGTGCAGATATTTTTTTTTGTCAACATTTAGCCCTGTCAACGTCTCTTCCTCTTCTTTTTGTTCGTTTTCTGCCTTTGTTTCTGAGTCCTCCGGTCGTGAACTTTCGTCTTCGACGTCTTCGGGTGGTTGCTTCGCATTTTTTCTGCCCTTTTTCTTTTCAGTCTTTCTTGGCTCTTTTGTCGTACCCGTCATTGCAAACCTAACGCAGTATAAATAGTCGTCGTCGTACTGCTTTGGTGTGGCTTTGGACTTCGACTAAAGTGAAACTTTTATCACCTCAAGTCACCACCAACACCACCCCCTGTCTTATAGACTTCTTAAGAACCTTTAAACAGTAAATTACGTCCTTCCCAGGGGGGTGATTTGGAGCGAAATTGTACCCGTCAGCAACCTGTTGTTTGTATTTCTGGGAACCAGTTGCTTGATGCTCCCTATACAAAAGACGAAACTGAATGCAACTGTTTGTATCAAGATGAAAAAAGCTATAGGGATATTTATGATACTATGTTTCTTTACTACTTATACTGTTGCATCACCGTTACTAGCCGGTGGCACACTGGTAGTTGTTGCAGGTCTTGTTGGTAAACCATTATTCTGCCACTTTAAAGAATGTTGTAATAACAAGTGGATATCACAAGAATTGCCAAACCTAAAAGCTGAACTAAATAATAAGGTTTTTGGCCAACATATTGCAATTCAGGTTGTACATAAGGCAATAGAGGGCCACATAAAAAATAAAAGTCCATCAAAAGCTTTGGTGCTTTCGCTTCATGGATCAACTGGTTGTGGTAAAAATCATGTCAGCAACATTATTGCAGACAGTCTGTACAAGTTAGGAAGGAATAGCAAGTACAGGCATCAAATAATTGCAACGCATGATTTTCCACACAAGGAAAGATTGCCAGAATATAAAGATAAATTAATAAATTTCATTAGCGAAAAAGTGAAGGCCTGCCCAAAGACGTTGTTCATCTTCCATGAAGTGGATAAAGTCCCTGAAGGATTGATGGACACCTTGCGACCATTCTTAGAACACCATGAGAAGGTTGATGGAGTAGACTATCGCAAGAGTATATTTATTTTGTTAAGTAACACAGGTGCAGAGATGATTAACGGATTTGTTATCAACCACTGGCGAAAGGGTAACAAACAAGAAGATTTAACATTTAAGGATCTGGAGCCAGTTATAAATAATGGGGCATTTAATATAAAAGGTGGTTTATGGCATAGCAATTTAATCAAAAATTTTCCGATTGACTTCTTTGTTCCATTCTTACCACTAGAAAGATCACATGTCAAGGAATGTATCAGGGCAGACCTTTTAGCAAAGAATGTAAAAGTCACAGAAACAATGGTTAATGAGGTTGCAAATTTATTGCAGTATAGTAGCCCTGACAAAATATTTTCCTCAACAGGATGTAAACAGGTCTCTACTAAAGTTTATTATGTTATTTAGAAATCAAATTCTTAATCAAAGAAATAAGAGAACATTTTCTAAAACATACCTGACACCATTGTACTCATACATAATATAAACTATGTATTTTAAAATAATACACACCATTATGAATAGCATTACAAGAAACCACATCATCCCTGCATGTCAATCTCATCAACCCTATAGTAGTAATTGTCCATACAAAATGAAGACAAAGGTTCCATAGGTTTTGGCCAGGTAAAATTTTGCTGAATGCCCAAGGAAAGTGCATGGTCAAATTGGAACCTGAGCATTATCTGCTAGCTGGTACATGTACTCAGATGTGCTATACCACTGTCACCAAATTGTAACCATCTAATGAGCCAAGTTTTTAATACAGAGTAATTCACAACACAAATATCCTTTGAAAACACAACTATTACATACTCTCTTTATTTATGCTATATAATTTAATTTTACATTTAATTGCACAAACTGTTAAGATAAACATTAATATTCCGATGACGTCAGTCTATCTATGAACACGTGTCATGATCACATGAACACTAGCAGGATAAAGTTTTTGTTTCATGTAGTTTTTAAGTTAGTTGTTAGTTGTTAGTTGGAACTGTTACTTGTAAGTTGTATAAGTTTTCGTTAATAAATATTGTTATATATAAGTCTTCCACCGTCATGAGTTTAACAGGTTATGGGCCCAGTCACAGTCACGGCCGCTTATTGTTCGACGGTGATGAACGAAAGTACGAGTTATGGGAAGTAAAGTTTCTAGGGTATCTAAGGCTCAAAAAATTAAGCGATACCATACAAGGACCATTGGCTGATGATGCGTCTGAAGAACAACTACGAACAGACACAACCAAAAATGCGGACGCATTTGCCGAACTGATACAAGTACTAGATGATCGCAGTTTGTCGCTAATTATCCGAGACGCACCACTGTATCCAAGATGTTTATCAGCTATCCACCCATGCAAAAACAGAAAGGATGTGATGACTGTGGTCTATTTGCACTTGCTGTTGCCTTTAGTTTGTTGGCTGGTGATGATCCAAGCCAATTGACCTATGACCAGAGTTGCATGAGAGAGCACCTGGCTCTATGTTTTCAAGTTGGTGAATTAGGACCATTTCCTCTTAAAAATTGTCATGTTAAATTGTAAGTATATTATGCTAATTGTAAATTTTTAAGTGTCGAATTGTAAATAGATTAGCTAATTGTAAATTATTAAATATTAAATTGTAAATAGATTAGCTAATTGTAAATTCATGCATTAAACTGATATTGTGCAGTAGATGAGTCATATTGGTCAAAGGGGATGAGTGAGACTAACTGATGTTGTATGAAGGGGATGAGTGAGATCAACTGATATTGGTCAAAGGGGATGGGTGAGACTGACTGATGTTGTATGAAGGGGATGAGTGAGATCAACTGATATTGGTCAAAGGGGATGGGTGAGACTGACTGATGTTGTATGAAGGGGATGAGTGAGTTCAACTGATATTGGTCAAAGGATATGAGTGAAACTGACTGATGTCGTATGAAGAGGATGAGTGAGTTCAACTGATATTGGTCAAAGGGGATGAGTGAGACTGACTGATGTCGTATGAAGGGGATGAGTGAGATCAACTGATATTGGTCAAAGGATATGAGTAAGACTGACTGATGTTGTATGAAGGGGATGAGTGAGATCAACTGATATTGGTCAAAGGATATGAGTAAGACTGACTGATGTCGTATGAAGGGGATGAGTGAGATCAACTGATATTGGTCAAAGGATATGAGTAAGACTGACTGATGTTGTATGAAGGGGATGAGTGAGATCAACTGATATTGGTCAAAGGATATGAGTAAGACTGACTGATGTCGTATGAAGGGGATGAGTGAGATCAACTGATATTGGTCAAAGGATATGAGTAAGACTGACTGATGTTGTATGAAGGGGATGAGTGAGATCAACTGATATTGGTCAAAGGGGATGGGTGAGACTGACTGATGTTGTATGAAGGGGATGAGTGAGATCAACTGATATTGGTCAAAGGGGATGGGTGAGACTGACTGATGTTGTATGAAGGGGATGAGTGAGTTCAACTGATATTGGTCAAAGGATATGAGTGAAACTGACTGATGTCGTATGAAGAGGATGAGTGAGTTCAACTGATATTGGTCAAAGGGGATGAGTGAAACTGACTGATGTTGTATGAGGCTAATGAAGGGGATGAATGAGACAGACGATTGAAAATTGAATGATTAATCATCAACAAACATGCTCGGCCAGTCGGCCTCCTGCGGAGTCACAAGTCACAAAAAACTGTTAAAATAAGGAAAATTTGTGCTCATTTCATCTTATACTACAGAAAATTACCCACAATTACAAGAAATCCCTGTGTGACACATTTTAACAAGGCTACCTGTTACCCAAACAGTTTCTTTGCTTTAATATGCATCAAGTTTTTTGTGGGATCGTTGAGATTGGGGGAGAACTGAGCCCGCCGTGCTACGTGCTCAGTTATCCCCCTAGACAGCGCATGCGCAGTTGTTACAAGGGGAGTACTCAGAACGGGGGAGGACTGAGATCGTGACAACGGACGAAAGGCCCTGGCAATCCTGCGTGAACATTATTTATCGAAGGGCAAACCACGTGTTATATCCCTATACACTGAACTAACCTCTCTAACGAAGTCGAGAGAAGAATCTGTGACAGATTACATGCTGCGGGCAGAGACAGCATCCACATCTCTAAAATCCGCTGGGGAAACCATAAGTGATAGTTTACTGATCGCGATGATAATCAAAGGACTACCTACGGAAGAGTATAAAGCGTTTTCAACTGTGGTAACGCAAAGAGACAAAGAACAATCGTTTAGCGAGTTTAAAGTCTCATTAAGAAGTTTTGAAGAGACCCAAAAGCTATCAGAAAAAGGAAACCCAAAAGAAGATAGCGTCTTAGAAGTTCTCGGTAAATCTGGCAAGCAAGACAAAGGAAAAATCATCTGCTATGGGTGTGGAAAACCAGGACATAAAATTTCAGAATGTCGTTCAAGAAACCGCTGGTGCGCTGTTTGTAAAAACAACACCCACAACACGGAAAGATGCCAAAAGAAGAGGACAAGGAAACCGACAAACGATGCCTCGAAATTCGTAAGAAATAATAATTATTATGATAGTGAGCACGATGATCAGTCATATCTTTTCGGAGTAGGTGTTGATATAGATAATATTGATAAGGTTAATGGTATATTAGTTGATTGTGGGGCTACAACACACATAGTGCATGATGTTAGCAAATTTGTTAAGTTTGATACGCAATTTAATCCTGAAAGGCACTTCATTGAGTTGGCAGACGGGAAAAGGTCAAACAACGTTGCGCAGAAAAGGGGTGATGCTGAGGTGGAAATCTGTGATGTTGAAGGTAAAACACATAAGGCTCTTCTTAAAAATGCTCTTTATATTCCTTCTTACAAGCAGAATATATTCTCAGTCCATGCAGCAGTTAGTAGGGGTGCCACTGTGAATTTCTCTCCTAATCATGCTAAATTAATTAGTCCAGATGGTACAGAATTTAAAATAGAACAGGAAGGTAAGTTATATTACTTAAACAGCGTAATCTCATCTGGCATGTCAAAACAGGATAGCAAGTCTAAGTCTTTGAAGGATTGGCATGAAATTTTAGGACACTGTAATCTGAATGATGTTTTAGCTTTGGAAAGTGTAGTTGAAGGAATGAAAATTGTAGGAAAGAAAGAATTTGATTGCGGTACATGTGTGGAAGGAAAAATGACACAATGTAGAAGCAGAAAGCCAGACAAGCGAGCTAATAATATTCTGGAATTAGTTCATTGTGATTTAGCCGGCCCGATAGATCCTATAGCAAGAGAAGGTTACCGCTATGTATTAGCTTTTGTAGACGATTTTTCGGGTATGATTATGATTTATTTTCTATTCAATAAGAGTGACTCGTTAAAGGCAACTGAGAAGTTTTTGGCAGAAATAAGTCCATTTGGTAAGGTTAAGCGCATTAGAAGTGATAATGGCGCGGAATTTACTTCGCAAAAATTTCAAGATCTTCTAATTAAACATTGCATAAAACATGAGAAATCAGCTCCGTATTCGCCGCATCAAAATGGCACGATTGAGCGTAATTGGAGATCACTATTTGATATGGCTAGATGCCTATTAATTCAGTCAAAGTTGGCAAAAACATTTTGGCCTTACGCACTTAGGACATCCGCATACATTAGGAACCGCTGTTATAATCCGCGAATAAAGCAAACACCGTATCAAGCTTTCACACGGCACAAGCCAAATATTCAGAACATGCATATTTTTGGTACCGTTTGCTATGCATACAAACAGGAAAAGAAGAAACTAGATGCGAGAGGGGAACAAGGAATATTTGTTGGGTACGATAAGGGAAGTCCAGCTTATCTAGTATACTTTCCCCAAACCGAGACTATTAAACGTTGCCGTATTGTCCGTTTTTCTGATAAATTTGAAATTGTAAGCGATACCCCAAAACAAAAACATGAAATGAATGAAGAACCAATGATTGTCAACATGCCAATAAGCAGTGAAGATGAAAAACAAGTTGAAGGGGATAATACTAACGAATTGCCTGCAACTAATCAAAGCACAAACAATGAGCAAACTAATACAAGCAGATATCCCAGGCGTGAACGCACAAAACCTAAGTATTTAGAGCAGTTTGTTGATGGCGATGAAATTGAAGAAAACGAACTTGTCAATTTCACAATCGATTACTGCTACAGAATAACAGATGCTCCCAAGTCTTATCAGGAAGCAATGTCTTCCGATGATTCTTCCAAGTGGCAAATAGCCATGGAAGATGAAATGCAAGCCCTAAAACATAACAACACATTTGAACTAACGAAACTACCAGAGGGTAAAAATGCAGTGGGGGGAAGATGGGTATATGCCATTAAGAATAATCCAAACGGAAAGGAAAGCTACAAGGCACGCTATGTCGCAAAGGGGTATTCCCAAACTCCCGAAATTGATTATAAGGAAACATTCTCTCCAACAGCAAAAATGACATCTGTTAGAATTTTGATGCAACTAGCAGTACAATACAATTTGACTATACATCAGATGGATGTCAAGACAGCCTTTCTAAACGCACCAATTGATTGCGAGTTGTATGTAGAACAGCCGGAAGGTTTTATTGTCAAAGGGAAAAATGGCGAAAACCTTGTTCTAAAATTGCATAAATCGTTATATGGTTTGAAACAAAGCAGTCGTAATTGGAACAGTGTGTTGCATTCTTATCTAACAAGTGAGGGTTTTATTCAGTCGGAATCTGACAATTGCGTTTATGTTAAGGTAGAAAGTAGTGCAACTACAATCCTAATAGTTTGGGTAGACGATATTCTAGTAGCGTCAAATAGTACAGACAGTTTAACACAGGTGAAGAGAAATCTAGGAGACAGATTTCAAATGAAAGACCTAGGTGTTTTGTCGTGGTTTTTAGGAATAGAATTTAACTGTACAGAAGGCACTATTACGATGAGTCAGACTAAATACATAGAGAAAGTTCTATCTAGATTCGGAATGCAAAACTGTAAGCCTAGGACATCACCATGTGAAATGAACTCAACGAAGAATGTCAGAGACAGAGTAGAATCAGAACCAGCTGACAAACGATTATATAGAGAGATAGTTGGCAGTTTAGTCTATGTGATGACTTCTACCAGACCAGATCTTTGCTACAGCGTGACAAAACTCTCTCAATATTTGTCCGCTCCCACAGTGGATCACCTGAACACTGCCAAGCATGTCCTACGATATCTGAAAGGTACTTCAGATAAAGGTCTTGTTTTCCGGAAGGTTGATAAACCAATGACTTTGATTGGTTATTGTGATGCAGATTGGGCTTCGTCAGAAGACAGGCGTAGCATCACAGGGTATGGATTTCAGTTGAGTGAGAATGGACCTTTGGTTTCTTGGAAAAGTCGAAAGCAAGCAACAGTGGCTCTGTCCACTTGCGAGGCTGAATACATGTCACTTGCTGCTGCTGTGCAAGAGGCAAAGTTTCTTTTCCAATTGTTGAAAAGCTTCCTAGATACATCCAGAAATGTGTTTGATTCTATCATTCTATATTGCGATAATCAGGGTGCATTAGCATTAGCTAAGAATCCAGTCCAACATCAAAGATCTAAGCATATAGATGTACGATATCATTTTGTAAGATCTGAGATTGAGAAACATTTGTTAAAAGTAATGTATGTTCCATCGAATGATAATTTGGCTGACATATTTACGAAGCCAGTCACAGGATCAAAAATGAAAGTATTTCTGAAACGTATCCTAGCAGAGTAAACTCAATTTTTGTAAATAGTTATATTTCTATCAATGTTAATATTATATGTTTAAGTGGGGGTGTTAAGATAAACATTAATATTCCGATGACGTCAGTCTATCTATGAACACGTGTCATGATCACATGAACACTAGCAGGATAAAGTTTTTGTTTCATGTAGTTTTTAAGTTAGTTGTTAGTTGTTAGTTGGAACTGTTACTTGTAAGTTGTATAAGTTTTCGTTAATAAATATTGTTATATATAAGTCTTCCACCGTCATGAGTTTAACACAAACATTAACATTTGATTTCAAATCTTATACAAAGAACATGTAAAGGACAATTTGAACAATTTCTATCAATTTCAAGTATGATTCTAATAGTTGCACATTCCCTGTGATTTGGTCTGCACAGGCTTTAAGGTTGCAAATCAAATTATTACAATTTGGTTTTTAAAATGTTTGCATGGTAGTTTAATGTTTATGTAGAGTTTACACGAAACCAAATTTTATAAAATACATTTTGGTTCATGTTGGTGTACGCAAGAACAACTCTTCCAAAGATGTGTTTGCAATACGTTGTAACAATGACATGGTGTTCTTCTTTTGCTATAGCCTATACTGTTGCAACCACATCTGGTTGGCCAATTTCTGAATTGCTAGACAATAGCAGGTTGTTAAAACAACTTTTCCTGGTGTTGGCTACCTGTTGCAATTGTCAATCTTTATCCTGGTATACAACAAATTGTGCATGTCCAAAGCAAAACCATATACCAGCTATAATATGTTATTGTTACAACCTTCAAACAACAGTGTGATGTTAGTTTTTTGACTATGTGCTAGGCCTCATCCACAGGCAAAACAGGCTTTCCACCATACACAGAATACAGGAAATCCCAAACTGCTTTCGGAACTTAAAAGAATATATGCAATATTTGATATTAAATGATTGATATCAAACAACCTAAAACAATGGCTTCATTAATAAAGAGTACATAGCACATAAAATAGTCAAGTTTACAAGTTAGAAAAGAAAGGTTTTAATAAGGTGTTACATTAAGTTACCTCTTTTTCTTTGAAGTCCTATTTTAAAGTTATTGATAGGACCAGGCGGATCTAATATGAAAAGATGAAATATTAACTATTGATACAATAATAAAAATGAAATGACAACCTTGATTAGCAGTAAAGACTGTAATAGAGATATTAGATCCTCTTATGATGCTCCGCAACCCACTGTCTGTACTCAATAAGAAGGATTCAGACAGGAAGCATCACCTTTATTGACACCTTCACCAAAATTCTTCCACTCTTTAAACCATTTTAAACTGATGATATACTGAGGACCTGAGCTGTCACTGTTATCAAAGATCTAAATCAAAATTATAATTACCAAAAATTTTAATATTGTTTTTATCTTGTTTAATATTACCATTTTACAATTTTTACCTCTTTCACATTGACCATCAATGGGATGATAGGTTCAATAGGTTGTAAAATAACAGGACAGGTGATAATTGTGAAACAGTACAGCACAAAAAATTATACCACCAACCATCAAAATATTCAGTCAGGAAAACAAATTAATTTCACAGTCATCAAGCACAGGTTGTTTCAATTATGGGACAAAAAATTGCTGTTGGATCAGACAAGATAGTTTATTTTGTGTGAATTATACCTTGCATATTGGACAGATATCCAAAGTCTTAACCTCAGGACCTCCACCAAACTTTTTCAACAAGAAATCCCAACAGGTCTGCTGTAAAGGACTCACCAAATCATCTACAAATGACTCTTTGAGAGGATCGATTGCTGGAAGAAACAGGAATTGAATTGATAAGTCACCTTGCTTACCATGTATGCAGTATTTGTACAAATAAAGTCCAATCTCTTAGCTATAAAATGACACCAGATACGATGTGATTAAACCTGATATGATAGAAAAAACAGCAATGACTTGATTCTATGTTTCTTTTATTTATGAGGCTGTATCATGCCCACAAGGACATGCCAAGCCAAAGTTCAACTTGGACCCCCATTTTTTATTCACATTGCATATATTAACCTAACCTGCATCAGCTAGGCTTTTATTAACCCTGTAGGTAAAATGCTGCTGACTCTTACCTTCATGCTTACACATGAAACTGTTATTCGAAATTGGCCCTGGATTGAGAGAGAAAAAATAAAATAAGCATTTGAATGGGTAAACTATTTCAGTTTATCATTTTGTAAAAAGTACTGTAAAGTTCAATATTTGTCTTATTGGTCTTATAGTACAACACATATACAGTTGATTACTGGTTTGCCCATGAGTTGCAAAAATCTCGTCATTTTATCGAGATTTTATCGAGCACAAGTGACAAGCCTGTCACTTAATAATATTTACTGAATTGTAGGACGTAAACAAGTTTTTATAACAATGCTTGTAACAAGTGTGGAATATAAAACAAGTAGTTGACATTTTGTTCACCCTAATAACAACTCGCTGTAACATTGTTGCAAACAAGTTAAGTCAACTTAAGTTGGAAGTGATGATGTGGTGGATGTGCTATTCATAATGGTGTGTATTATTTTAAAATACATAGTTTATATTATGTATGAGTACAATGGTGTCAGGTATGTTTTAGAAAATGTTCTCTTATTTCTTTGATTAAGAATTTTATTTCTAAATAACATAATAAACTTTAGTAGAGACCTGTTTACATCCTGTTGAGGAAAATATTTTGTCAGGGCTACTATACTGCAATAAATTTGCAACCTCATTAATCATTGTTTCTGTGACTGTTACATTCTTTGCTAAAAGGTCTGCCCTGATACATTCCTTGACATGTGATCTTTCTAGTGGTAAGAATGGAACAAAGAAGTCGATCGGAAAATTTTTGATTAAATTGCTATGCCATAAACCACCTTTTATATTAAATGCACCATTATTTATAACTGGCTCCAGATCCTTAAATGTTAAATCCTCTCGTTTGTTACCCTTTCGCCAGTGGTTGATAACAAATCCGTTAATCATCTCTGCACCTGTGTTACTTAACAAAATAAATATACTCTTGCGATAGTCTACTCCATCAACCTTCTCATGGTGTTCTAAGAATGGTCGCAAGGTGTCCATCAATCCTTCAGGGACTTTATCCACTTCATGGAAGATGAACAACGTCTTTGGGCAGGCCTTCACTTTTTCGCTAATGAAATTTATTAATTTATCTTTATATTCTGGCAATCTTTCCTTGTGTGGAAAATCATGCGTTGCAATTATTTGATGCCTGTACTTGCTATTCCTTCCTAACTTGTACAGACTGTCTGCAATAATGTTGCTGACATGATTTTTACCACAACCAGTTGATCCATGAAGCGAAAGCACCAAAGCTTTTGATGGACTTTTATTTTTTATGTGGCCCTCTATTGCCTTATGTACAACCTGAATTGCAATATGTTGGCCAAAAACCTTATTATTTAGTTCAGCTTTTAGGTTTGGCAATTCTTGTGATATCCACTTGTCATTACAACATTCTTTAAAGTGGCAGAATAATGGTTTACCAACAAGACCTGCAACAACTACCAGTGTGCCACCGGCTAGTAACGGTGATGCAACAGTATAAGTAGTAAAGAAACATAGTATCATAAATATCCCTATAGCTTTTTTCATCTTGATACAAACAGTTGCATTCAGTTTCGTCTTTTGTATAGGGAGCATCAAGCAACTGGTTCCCAGAAATACAAACAACAGGTTGCTGACGGGTACAATTTCGCTCCAAATCACCCCCCTGGGAAGGACGTAATTTACTGTTTAAAGGTTCTTAAGAAGTCTATAAGACAGGGGGTGGTGTTGGTGGTGACTTGAGGTGATAAAAGTTTCACTTTAGTCGAAGTCCAAAGCCACACCAAAGCAGTACGACGACGACTATTTATACTGCGTTAGGTTTGCAATGACGGGTACGACAAAAGAGCCAAGAAAGACTGAAAAGAAAAAGGGCAGAAAAAATGCGAAGCAACCACCCGACGATGAGCTAATTGGCTCTATTTTCACATTCCTGGCTCCACATTCAGATTCGAATGTAGAGCCAGACAGGGGATTTTTGCAATGAAACCGCGATAACTTCGGAGCGGTTTGAGCTATCGAAAAAAAATTAAATGCCATTCTTTATAAACATTTAATGAATGAAATAAAGCGACTTAGAGCTTTTTAGCTTATCGCGTTTATGCTGGAGGCCGAGCAAAACATATGGTAATTTTTCTTCGCCTCGCGATCGAATGCAGAGCCAGATTTAAAACTCTGCACGAAAATGATTATATCTCAAAAACCATTTCGTATACAACAAAAATATTCAATGCCATTCTGCATCAGCCTTAAATGTTCAAACTAAAAGTTTCTAGGACTTTGTAGCTTGTAAGCCTCTCTGCGTAGAACGAGCAAAACGATTGTTTTGACGCGGCGTCTAAATGCCGTGTGACGGCCGCAGATGCTGAAATAGAAAATTAAAATGTTATATTTTCGAAGCCCGCGCATATATCGAAATATGCTTAAATGCCATTCTGCGTCAGCATTGGAAAAATCCAATTTATCAATCCGAAACTTTTTAACTTGTGTCGTATGGTCTGTAGACCGAGCAAAACGTATGTGCCATCATGCGCCGCCATATGTTAATTTGAAACACCAAACTACATGTCGCGAACATATCGCCGTATTTCTCCAAAACGAAAAAGCGTGGCACAAAACGCTTCGATGCCATTCTTCGTAAATATAAAAGCCACAATATCTATGAGTTTTGGCCTTCGAGGTCATTCCGTCTGATAGGAATTGCGAGCATAACAAGTCTTGCTGAAACCACTAATCTTGTCGGAAACGCAAATGAGTGGGCACATTTTTGAGGCGAAATTAAAATATCTCCTCAATGCAAGGTTGTTTGGCTAAAATCTCTTACGCCATTCTTCGTTGGCATTAGAGGCACAAATTTAAGTAAAATTCATTTGTTTCTGTAGTTTAGTTTTAAACGTAGAGCGAGAAGAAGCAAACGATATTGAAGTAGGCACCCCCTGATTCACCGGTCAAAACAAAGCATTAATTCGTTATCATTTCTGGGGGTTTTCCCTGTGTGCTTGGACGAAAGATTTTTTTTATTTGATCATAGTTAATATGAGAACCGTTTATTAACCATGGTGCAGGCATTATAATACGGAATTTTTACAAGGACACACATTGTCTTTAGGTTCAATAATCACTTAGTCTTAGAAATTACTACGTGAAATTACAATGCAAGCATATAAAAAAAGAGCATAGCCATGCAAAGCACGGTCCGTCAGTCTCTAGCCTTTTTTAATATATAATATATTCAATAATGTCAATTTTATAATAGAAACAATAATTATTTTAAATAGTCAGATTAAAATTATATTAGACATTTTTGTCCATGAGGCATGATTTTTAACTACACTCTTTTCCATTTACAAGGACACATTCGCCTTTTACAAGGACACAAAGTGTGTCAAAAACACGCGTATTATAATGCCTGCCATGGTGTGATTGATCTTCTTTACATACTTGATGTTGCTATTATCTTGCTTATAACTATAAGCTAAACCCTGCTTATAAATTACAGTTACATTAGTTGGTTTCCAAACGTAACAGGATGTTTTTCTGTATTTTTGTAAATGCGAAACAAACAAGTTTGTTATTTTCCGCTGCTAGCTAACTGTTTCCGGGTTAACAGCGCGTTTTAGCAAATAATGCGCAAACTGCGGTAAGCAAGCTGTATCCGTTGCGCAAGCGCCAAGTTCTAGGTATTTCATTCCGGTGGTGTTGCGCATAAATACTGGCCAAAATCTCAGTTTAGGGCAGTTAATGTGGACGCTTGTGAGCAAGCAACTTTGTAAGCAACTTTGTATTGGATACCTCATTGTACTTGCATAAGGGCTAAATCTCAATTGTAAGCCGAAAATAGTCATGAAGTCGGAAATGTTTGTGTCGCATAAACCAAGAAGCTTAATAATACAGAAACGCTACAGATTCCAGCGTTCGCGTAGTTTGTCACCTTGCAAAAATTTGAAAAGGAGATTACACGCAAGAAGATTGGTTGGTATTGCCGAAAAAGAGAGGTTATTCAAAAAAAATTGTGTGTTTCATTGCAATGAGGTTTGTACTGGTTTACTTGGCGGTGGTAGATCTAAAAGTAAAAGAAAAAATTGCAAGAATGTGTTGGATCAAGCACGGTTTGTTGATTCCATTCGCTTTGCCAAATCGCTTCTCTCGTCTACTAAGAAGCAGTTTTGGAAAACTGTAGCTTCTCAATACTTCGGTGATATGAAGGTAAGCAATAAGAAAGTTGATAAGTTACGTTTAGCCTGGCGAAGGGATGAAGGTGGAATTCGGAAAAAGTGTGAGAACAACAACGATGATGATAATGTGGTAGGTCACACTTCAACAGGGTCTGCGACAAGTGAATTTGAATTTCAAAGCGGTTCCGAAAGTATAAGCAGCGAAATATCAGATTTAAAAACTAAGTTAATGGAGGCACATTCGGAAAGTACAGCGTCCAGAAGCATAGCAATGGATAAGCCCTGTCACAACGGTGACGAAATGACCGAATTCCTTGGCAATGTTATAGGAAGTGCTATAAGCTCAATTTATCGGAAAAATTTCATGGGCCAAAATGAGCATCAACGCGTAAAAACTGAAACTATACCGCCACAGCAAGGTAATTTCACATCTAGTATTAAAAAGACGCAAAGGTTATCGAAGCGTAACTCGAAAACTAATTTCGTAAGTAACTTGACTTCAGATGAATGTCTCAGCTACGAACAAGTTAACCCATCTGCGACCGGATTAGAGTTTCTTAACATCCCAAACGTTTCAGGCGCAACAGCTATGTCGTTATCTTGCAGCAATGTCCCTTCTTCTGGTACGTTTTGTGCAAAACTCCACAAAGAGGTGTCTCTTATTCCACTTCCCTTGGCATGGCGTGATTTACCCGTAAAGAACATCTCAGATAATAATCAAAGAAGAAGTCACAGAGCGTTTGATACTGGTTACACCTCATTTTTCTCAGATATTCTAAAAAAATTTAATCCATACTGCTGTTGGATTTTTAAACGAAACTATATAAAGAAGGAAGATTCCAGGAAAAAATCGTCTCCGTATTGGTGCGGTATGGCAACATGCAAATTCGGAGATGTTACAGTGCGCTTAAGGATTGAAAACAGAGATGAAGGTATATTAGAAATTCGCTTCTCTGGAGATGTCTGTCATGATATAACATCAGCAAAGGCAAAGAAAATTACTGGTGATCAAAGAGCAAAATTGATTGAACATGCCTGGAACTCAAACCAAGAACCATCGAAGATGCACCGAGACAATCTTCTAGGAATAGACGCAGATTGTTTCGCTGCTGGTGTACGAACAGGAGCAGGTCTTACCAACAGCACAATGAAAGGAATTAAACACGAAGCGAAAGCCAGACACCAAAGTGACCAACACCTAGCCACAAGTTTATCACAGTTGCATGTTTCCATTGCGGTTCGTATTACCTGGTTCAGCGCATGTGTAAAACATCGTCATCCATTTCTTTGAGATGTAGTGCGTTGTTGGCTGACCCTTGAAAACATAGAGAAATAAAACCATTAGCTGCCTGTATGTTTGCATGGTCTAACAAAAAACTGATACACCCTTGTATAATTACGTCGCAAAGACGCTTTTGGTAGTTGACTAAAGGTAGGTTAACACGATCTAATTTTGACACTAGTTAACACGATCTAATTTTGACACTGGTTAACACGATCTAATTTTGACAATGGTTAACACGATCTAATTCTGACACTGGTTAACACGATCTAATTTTGACACTAGTTAACACGATCTAATTTTGACACTAGTTAACACGATCTAATTTTGAGACTAGTGCATATAAGAGTGTGTTTTTGTGAAAAGCATCAGCGGACGATACCTCGCAACGTTTACTCAGTCGAAAGAATTTTTGTCGATACTTCACAATATCTTCACCTCTTTTCCTGGTGATAAAGAATGAATGTTATATTGATTTAGTTATTTTACAGACCAGTTGTAGTGTATTACAATGGTGTATAAAGTACATCCTAATACGTAATTAGCGGGTAGGAAGAGGGTTAGACACGGGTGTGTTTTTCATCAACAACTGAAATATACGGGGGCGAAATATGCGCGCAGCTTTGGCTTATTCCATAAGGATACCTAGAATAAAATTTTGCTGCCGTTAGTGCCGTATAGTGCTCGGCTGCAACTATCCGACGGACCGACACAAATTTCCCCAGGACGAGAAAATCAATTCACAAACGCGAAAAAAAAGACCTATTGCCATTGGGGAACTGGTATGTATCAACGCAGTATACTCAACCTGTAGAACAACACATAGGCTTCACAGCTCTGCACATAACTTGCCGATACTGCAATGAAAAATTGAAATAGCTGTACTTCCGTTCTTCTGTATCGTCTTCCAACACATTTTTTCGACGAAATAATAAAACAACGACTAATGTGCATGAAAGTACCTTCAGTGACGTAAGAGTCGTTGAATTCATACCACTTTGCCGTTACGAAATTCTTGCAATAGGCGACATAATGTCCTCCCCCAACGCTACCATGATGTGTAATGATAGCCACCAGATCGTATTTTGTACATTTCCCTGAAAAGTCTAAAGAAGTTTTTTGATATAGGAAATCCTGCACGAATATTTTATCAAGTGAGATCGCACTCACTCTTTTCACAAGAATATGAATTACGTACCATTTGTCAAATATTTTTTCACGTCGAAGGCTTCGAGAGGAAAAGATATAAAGCTGCTTATTTTCGACGAATGGTAATATTCATGTCGGAAGCGTTTGAGATGAATACACAACATCTAAAACATAATATGCAATTTTTAATAGTTGTTATAATTGTGGCGTTTCTCGTGGATATTTTTGTGTGGTGTTTCAACTGAGCAGAATCAACTGGGTGGGATGAAAATGTTCCAATACCATGGGACTCGAGCCTAGTTTGGTTGTCTAAAGGTCTGGTTACACGATCCGATTTTGTCGGATCCAATTCACAGCAAATCAACTAGAGCCAACGCATCCAGTATACTACTGTATCAATAACAAACTACATTCTATCAATTCTATCATAGTGAATTTATAATTCTATACGTCAGACGTGTATTGGATGACAGAAACTGGCCGAAATAACAAATCAGGAAACAAGAGTGGTATTGTCCCGATTACCGTTGGGCCCTTCTCCAGCAGCGAACCAAGTTAACTAATACAAACGTCCTTCTTTGTTTCGAATTTATTGAGTTTTATGTGTTAAATACATGGTAAAAACAGAATGCTTGCTCGCGAACCAAGGCTTTTCCAGAAAACAACGCGGCCGCCCCCCCCCCCAGTATGGCTTTTAACAGCCAATTACGAGGCGCGAACCGCGGAATACGCGCGAAAACACCGTCCAACAATAATATTAATAACTCGAGGCCGAATGGCCAGAACAGGTATAATCTCACCTCAGGTAGTTTAAATACTTTGCATTCTTTCATCCCATTTCTTAACCTACAGGAATAACGCGTAAGATAATACTCAGATTTACTACAATATTTTGATTCTTCAACTGAGAAAAGAACTATTACTTTTAAACGGAACAAAGAAAGGCTACTGCATGTACAAGGAAATATTCGCAAGAACTTACATCGAACAGTGCTCACAACGATACATATTGTCTCCTATAACGAAATGAGCAATGTGATCTTTGATTCATGAAATATGGGTGCGAAGCCAGGAGTTGTTGCAGCCGGGGGTGCGCGTCACCCCCCTGGAGACTTTCAGAAAATAAATATTCTAGATGCAGCATTTACGTCATGTCAAATGCCATAATGCAATGTCAATCTCTGGTCTCTTTTGTATGTTATTTCCTTCATGCAACCGATACAAGTTTCAGAGATCAACAATTATGGTTTTCTGTTTTACCTTTCAGTTCGTCGGCGGAGAAAAACGCAGCCAGACAATCTTCGAAAGAAACACGAGGACCAAATATCCAGCTAAATTTTTTGAACAGTATAGACAAGGGTTTTAGCAAATGTCTTAAACTGGGATATCTATCAGCAGTTTATATCATAGGAACAAATTTGATAGGTATATGAACGAGTGAAATAGTTACGGATGTTTAATTAAATAAGAGCTTTTAAACATCAGAGCATTTCGTAACTAATTACTCGTTCAAAAGAAGAAAATCGCAGCAAAAATCGCCTTTATAAATCTAGTGAAGGCGTAAGTTGTGTGGTTGAATAGAATTTAAACTCCACAATCAAACCCTAAAATTGGAGACTATGTGCCATTGGAATGACTTTTCTACAGACTGGGGCATAGAATCTTCGTGAAGCCATTTGAATTAGGAAGATCTTACACAATTCTAACGGATTTTGCTTAAAAGCAAGGCGAGAACTGGAAAAACTGGCACTATGAAAGACCAGCTTGGCAACATGAAAAGTCACGAAATTCTTAGTCGTTCGGGTAAATATGATAGATATTATCATAGATATATAGAGTTTAAGATACGAGTTAATATTGTATTTCACATTTAGAATAAAAGTAAATAACCTGGAAATCCAGTCAAAAAGAGTGCCAAAGATTCCTCTCGAACTGTCTGATGACGAGTATGACATGATAGGATTGCATTGCGTGGTCGAATGTATGGCTGAGAGTTCTTCTTTTTCTAAAGAAATCAAGTGCGTATTAAATGGGATTTTGATCAGAAATCCGTGAAACCTATTTTAAAAGTCTGAGCAAGTTCTGCATGTATAAAAATTTTAATCATACCTGGTATTGGTAATGAGAGATCTTGGAACGTTTCCATTGTAGATGAAATCTTTAGGAGGAAAAACCATAGAAATAAATCAGGAGTTTGTGGCTAAATTGTTAATACAGATAGCCCATACATGCAGGCTGCATAATCAGCTGCCCTTCAACCAATTAACAGAGGCTGTTGCGGGTAAACGTCAAATGTTTGGTTATGTTAATTTTCCAGGTGCCTTCAAAACCTCTAGCAATATGACATATATGACAACACGCTTTGCAATATAAAACTGTCATAAGCGTATGTTCTGAATAGTGTCTGTGATTTAATAAATGATATACCTTTTTACAAGTCAGACATTGCACGGAACTTCGTATCTTGCCATTGAATAAATCTGATATAATACTCGAGTACTCAACTGCTGCTGGTTTTTGCTCTAAAAATGAAGACAATTATAAGAATAGTCAATTTAAGAGTGATAAATAATTAAACAGTGATAAATGTTTCGTCTGTTAGTAGTTGATTGAAGTTCGTCCTTAAGGTATGGACTATGCGACAACCTATGCTAGTAACACAGGTTTCATTCTAAAGTTACTCGTCCTATAAGTCTCGCATGGAACTGGAGTAAATAGAGAACGGAAAACCTCTATAATAAGGCACATAACTACGGCAATCTAATTTATCATCAACCTATAGTATTGTCTCTTACTCCGGATTCAGATTTTTACCAAGGAGAACAGTCTTCGTCACAAAATAATTATGACCACTCCCGGTCATGTGGGGCAAGGGCCCATATTCCTAGAAATACTAACCTGAGTTCACATTCCTCTCCCCATATCCCCCAAGGTGATAATAATTAATCTCGGAATCAGAAACTGATCTCTCAAAATTACTCTCTTCTTCATCAGTATCATTCCCCTCTGAATGATCTGACGCCATATTTACAAATCCCATTGAAATCGCCGGTTCTTTGGGCTCAACACTTGGATCCCTAGCTGCTTGTGACGTAAGCTCTTCTCGCAACTCTGGGCAGCTACGACTGTTACTAAGCAACGTGTCCTTGATGACGACATCATCTTCTGTGACTGGTTTATCAACAGTCTCTCTCTGTGAGTTGGTTTTCATGGCTTCAGCCTTCCGGCGGGAAAAACTTCTAAGATTGTAGCGATTTGTTCGTGATTTCCTCGAACCGTCTGAAAAGTATTTTTAATATCTCACTTCGCTGCTTTCACTTGCCCAGGGAGGATTCACTACCAGATAATACAGTAAGTGGAGCGTTTAACCATATGTACCTAGTGATACCGCGGAAATTGGTAAAATTAAAGAGGACTTCTCAGCATTTCAACTGTTAGGTTTGTATACTTTTGTATTACTAAATTAAATGTAACTGGAAATTCCCTTTTTCTCGCCTAAATTAAAAGTTGGTCTATTATGCAAAAGGTCAATTGCTAAATTAGATAATTACTTTGCAGCAACTCTCCATTCTGTCTGTCAGCTTGCATAGTTTGTCCTCCAAGTAATCGCTTTGATCTTGTTGATACGTTGTTAACAGGTTTTTCTGGTGAAGCGTCTTGAATGTTGGCAACAGGAGGAACTGGTTCTTTAAGTTCCTCGTGGAGAAGTCCATCAACCTCGCAAAAACTCTTGAGTGTCCTGAAAAAAGACATTTCCATGTAATATTAAGAACATTAATGCACCAACGACACTAGCTCAACTTTAATAAAATGACATCTTTAGAGACGTTTAGCGAGACCTTCACGACAAACAGCAAGAAGGTAGTGAGGTAGCATGACAAAAATTTTCTGCCAACACTACCTTTCGAGGCTGAGGACTCCGCCTCCCGGAGGAAAGATAAGACCTGTTTACACTTCACACTTGCAATTTTCGCTGCGATTTTATATGCGATTCTCTTCTTTTGACAGATGCGAACGAGGAATTAGTTACCGATGTTCAAATAAGAGATCTTACACATCAGAACATTCGTAACTAATTACTCATTCACATCCAAGAAAAGAAGAAATCACACATAAAATCGCGGCAAAACTCGCAAGTGTAAACGCGTGAAATTGAACACACGGGATAGCAAAGGATGTAACATACCTGTTGTCTAAAGCCGCGAAATTGAGGATTCAATTTTTGAAAACACGACATTAGGTCTGAAGGATTGACGCTTTTTGGCCTACAAATCCAACGAAACATATTTTAATTCCAGATCATAAACAGCTGAAAGAAAGTAACCTCAAGAACACACCTTTTCTTTGACCACATTTCGGTGACAAGCAAGCGATATTTTTCGGAAACGTTTGCTTGAGACAGATACCTCACATATCCTGGACATTCCAGGAAGAATTGCATCAATGATGGGCTGAAATGAACAGAATATTCTAGCAACCACCCAATAGCTTTCACCTTGATAACAACAATAATAATCATAATCGGTTTCAAGTAATTCCATGCAGCACATTTCAAACGAATGTTTCGAATTTGACTTTACTACTTTCCATCAAACGTTTCCTAACGTTTTCAGAACTGTTCAATCAGCATTTCAACCCCAGCAGCCAATAATATGGTAAAACCTAATTATTCTAAATAGAATTTCAGTTCTCCAATATAGCTGCCTTATCTGAATTTTTCTACTGGAAATCACCTTATTATGCATACTTGTTCTCTATCATTATCTTTAGGTTGAAGACAACAAAAGCCAGTATGATGCAAATTCTCACCTATTTGATAATGCCTGAAGAGCTGAATTCGATTAGGGTCAGATTTAAATAGTAGGTTTGATAATTCACTGTTGGACATGGTGCTATATAAACAGGACTTTTGCCTCTTATATTACAGCAGGGTTCCAATCTACAAAATAATTGTTTTTGTATAAATTCTTTATTGAAATATTTGTTCAGTCTGAGCAGCATACAACTTTCTAGTCTAAATACTATACAATAAAGCAAAAACAAGAAAAAAGTGATGTTTTCATTTGATGACTACAATAGCTTTTTATTTACAATCTCCTTGATGGTAACATTATATAGGTGACTAAGCTTGCTTCCTGGTGCACTTACAAAATGTAAATATATGTATAGTGGATTGTTCCTATGGATACATGACCAATGCTGTGCATGGTTCAAAGTTTCTTTCCTAACATGAACTTTCTAAGGCTTCTTTGCTCTCCTTGTTGACAACAATAACAGTGTCTGTGATGCGACTAATCAGTGCACCCATGACGTCCATACTAAATTTTTCATCTTTAACCCATGAGCTGTTCTCAGTTAAATACCTTCCAACAAGTCCTTCACGATCTACCTCGTTTGAGCCAATTTGATAACTATGTGGTAATGTGATGGTAAATATAATTGCTGCTTCTTTATACATAGGATTGTCATGGTCACAATATGCATAAAACAGACTGGTAGTTCCATATGGGATTGAATCAAAGTTGTGAATTATGGCTGCTGTTGGAAACTTTTCTTTTCCAAATTCATCTCTGAGAAGTTCATCAATAGTCTCTTTTGCATCATCTGATGGAGTATCTGAGTATTTGGAGCCATTTATTATTACAGCTGCTGTTGTGAGTAGTTTTGCAATCCGATTTGCAAAACATTCAGCTGTCTGTTGGTTGTCTTGAGCTGATGCAACCATCAAGACGAAAGGTTGTGGTGATGTTTTATGATGGATATATGATCTCATTCTGCTTCTCAACTTTTTATAGCTAAATTGAGGTTGATTTTGATAATCATCTTCAAGCTGCATTAGATCTGATTCTATGTTGTCAGCAACACTATCCTTTGAACTGGATGAACTGAATAGACGTAAACCAGTGACAGCAATTAATACAATTATTAATACAACACCTATTGTACTAATATTATTTTGGTCCACTTTAGTTTCTTTTTTGCCGTCAGTCTGGTCAGCAGTACCCTCTAGGTGCAGATATTTTTTTTTGTCAACATTTAGCCCTGTCAACGTCTCTTCCTCTTCTTTTTGTTCGTTTTCTGCCTTTGTTTCTGAGTCCTCCGGTCGTGAACTTTCGTCTTCGACGTCTTCGGGTGGTTGCTTCGCATTTTTTCTGCCCTTTTTCTTTTCAGTCTTTCTTGGCTCTTTTGTCGTACCCGTCATTGCAAACCTACGCAGTATATATAGTCGTCGTCGTACTGCTTTGGTGTGGCTTCGGACTTCGACTAAAGTGAAACTTTTATCACCTCAAGACACCCACCAACTGACCCACACTACCCCCTGTCTTATAGACTTCTTAAGAACCTTTAAACAGTAAATTACGTCCTTCCCAGGGGGGTGACTTGGAGCGAAATTGTACCCGTCAGCAACCTGTTGTTTGTATTTCTGGGAACCAGTTGCTTGATGCTCCCTATACAATAGACGAAACTGAATGCAACTGTTTGTATCAAGATGAAAAAAGCTATAGTGATATTTATGATACTATGTTTCTTTACTACTTATACTGTTGCGTCACCGTTACTAGCTGGTGGCACACTGGTAGTTGTTGCAGGTCTTGTTGGTAAACTATTTTTCTGCCACTTTAAAGAATGTTGTAATGACAAGTGGATATCACAAGAATTGCCAAACCTAAAAGCTGAACTAAGTAATAAGGTTTTTGGCCAACATATTGCAATTCAGGTTGTACATAAGGCAATAGAGGGCCACATAAAAAATAAAAGTCCATCAAAAGCTTTGGTGCTTTCGCTTCATGGATCAACTGGTTGTGGTAAAAATCATGTCAGCAACATTATTGCAGACAGTCTGTACAAGTTGGGAAGGAAAAGCAAGTACAGGCATCTAATAATTGCAACGCATGATTTTCCACACAAGGAAAGATTACCAGAATATAAAGATAAATTAATAAATTTCATTAGCGAAAAAGTGAAGGCCTGCCCAAAGACGTTGTTCATCTTCGATGAAGTGGATAAAGTCCCTGAAGGATTGATGGACACCTTGCGACCATTCTTAGAACACCATGAGAAGGTTGATGGAGTAGACTATCGCAAGAGTATATTTATTTTGTTAAGTAACACAGGTGCAGAGATGATTAACGGATTTGTTATCAACCACTGGCGAAAGGGTAACAAACGAGAGGATTTAACATTTAAGGATCTGGAGCCAGTTATAAATAATGGTGCATTTAATATAAAAGGTGGTCTATGGCATAGCAATTTGATCAAAAATTTTCTGATCGACTTCTTTGTTCCATTCTTACCACTAGAAAGATCACATGTCAAGGAATGTATCAGGGCAGACCTTTTAGCAAAGAATGTAACAGTCACAGAAACAATGATTAATGAGGTTGCAAATTTATTGCAGTATAGTAGCCCTGACAAAATATTTTCCTCAACAGGATGTAAACAGGTCTCTACTAAAGTTTATTATGTTATTTAGAAATAAAATTCTTAATCAAAGAAATAAGAGAACATTTTCTAAAACATACCTGACACCATTGTACTCATACATAATATAAACTATGTATTTTAAAATAATACACACCATTATGAATAGCATTACAAGAAACCACATCATCACTGCATGTCAATCTCATCAACCCTATAGTAGTAATTGTCCATACAAAATGAAGACAAAGGTTGCATAGGTTTTGGCCAGGTAAAATTTTGCTGAATGCCCAAGGAAAGTGCATGGTCGAATTGGAACCTGAGCATTATCTGCTAGCTGGTACATGTACTCAAATGTGTTATACCACTGTCACCAAATTGTAACCATCTAATGAACCAAGTTTTCAATAGAGTAATTCACAACACAAACATCCTTTGAAACCACAACTATTACATACTCTCTTTATTTATGTTACATAATTTAATTTTACATTTAATTTGCACAAACATTAACATTTGATTTCAAATCTTATACAAAGAACATGTAAAGGACAATTTGAACAATTTCTATCAACATCAAGTATGATTCTAATAGTTGCATTCCCTGTGATTTGGTCTGCACAGGCTTTGAGGTTGCAATCAAATTATTACAATTTGGTTTTTAAAATGTTTGCATGGTAGTTTAATGTTTATGTAGAGTTTACATGAAATCAAATTTTATAAAATACATTTTGGTTCATGTTGGTGTATGCAAGAACAACTCTTCCAAAGATGTGTTTGAAATGCGTTGTAACAATGACATGGTGTTGTTCTTTTGCTATAGCCTATACTGTTGCAACCACATCTGGTTGGCCGATTTCTGAATTGCTAGACAATAGCATATTGTTAAAACAACTTTTCATGGTGTTGGCTACCTGTTGCAATTATCAATCTTTATCCTGGTATAGAACAATTTGTGCATGCAAAACCATATACCAGCTATAATATGTTATTGTTACAACCTTCAAACAACAGTGTGATGTTAGTTTTTTGACTATGTGCTAGGCCTCATCCACAGGCAAAACAGGCTTTCCACCATACACAGAATACAGGAAATCCCAAACTGCTTTCGGAACTTAAAAGAATATATGCAATATTTGATATTAAATTATTGATATCAAATAACCTAAAACAATGGCTTCATTAAAGGGTACATAGCACAAAAAATAGTCAAGTTTACAAGTTAGGAAAGAAAGGTTTTAATAAGGTGTTACACTAAGTTACCTCTTTTTCTTTGAAGTCCTATTTTAAAGTTATTGATAGGGCCAGGCGGATCTAATATGAAAAGATGAAATATTAACTATTGATACAATAATAAAAATGAAATGACAACCTTGATTAGCAGTAAAGACTGTCAGGGGCGTAGGAACCGGGGGGGGGCCAAGGGGGCCAAGGCCCCCCCAACTTTCAAAAATAACAGAAAAAGTGCCCTTTTGCTGAGGAAAAGTGCCCTTTTTCTTCGTGGAAACGTCTATGCCAACGCAACAATATAACAATATAATTCAACTTTTTTCAACAATAATACGTGCCAATGTTAAATGCCCTTCTCATCAGGCAAGTGCCCTAGACTTTAATGGCCCCCCCAACTTAAATATGGTTCCTACACCCCTGAAGACTGTAATAGAGATATTAGATCCTCTTATGATGCTTTGCAACCCATTGTCTGTACTCAATAAGAAGGATTCAGACAGGAAGCATCACCTTTATTGACACCTTCACCAAAATTCTTCCACTCTTTAAACCATTTTAAACTGATGATATACTGAGGACCTGAGCTGTCACTGTTATCAAAGATCTAAATCAAAATTATAATTACCAAAAATTTTAATATTGTTTTTATCTTGTTTAATGTTACCATTTTACAATTTTTACCTCTTTCACAGACTCATATTCATACGTTCTCCGTTTTTCCAACTCTATCAATTCTTTCTAAGAGAAAAGCGTTTTCCTCGTATAAAGGCTGTTAAATGCTCTATTTTAGTTGACCATCGGATGATAGGTTCAATAGGTTGTAAAATAACAGGACAGGTGATAATTGTGAAACAGTACAGCAAAAAATTATACCACCAACCATCAAAATATTCAGTCAGGAAAACAAATTAATTTCACAGTCATCATGCACAGGTTGTTTCAATTATGGGACAAACAATTGCTGTTGGATCAGACAAGATAGTTTATTTTGTGTGAATTATACCTTGCATATTGGACAGATATCCAAAGTCTTAACCTCAGGACCTCCACCAAACTTTTTCAACAAGAAATCCCAACAGGTCTGCTGTAAAGGACTCACCAAATCATTTACAAATGACTCTTTGAGAGGATCGATTGCTGGAAGAAACAGGAATTGAATTGATAAGTCACCTTGCTTACCATGTATGCAGTATTTGTACAAATAAAGTCCAATCTCTTAGCTATAAAATGACACCAGATACGGTGTGATTAAATCTGATATGATAGAAAAAACAGCAATGACTTGATTCTATATTTATTTTACTTAAAGCGCCTGGGAATGAGGCTGTATCATGCCCACAATGACATGCCAAGCCAAAGTTCAACTTGGACCCCATTTTTTTATTCACATTGCATATATTAACCTAACCTGCATCAGCTAGGCTTTTATTAACCCTGTACATAGGTAAAATGCTACTGACTCTTACCTTCATGCTTACACATGAAACTGTTATTCGAAATTGGCCCTGGATTGAGAGAGAAAAAATAAAATAAGCATTTGAAAGGGTAAACTGTTTCAGTTTATCATTTTGTTAGAAGTACTGTAAAGTTCAATATTTGTCTTATTGGTCTTATAGTACAACACATATACAGTTGATTACTGGTTTGCCCATGAGTTGCAAAAATCTCGTCATTTTATCGAGTTGCACAAGCCTGTTACTTTTAAAATGATATTTACTGAATTTTAGGACGTAAACAAGTTTGTTTTTATAACAATGCTTGTAACAAGTATGGAATATAAAACAAGTACTTGACATTTTGTTCACAGTTCACCCCTAATAACAACTCGCTGTAACATTGTTGCAAACAAGTTAAGTGCTCGTATTACCTGGTTCAGCGCATGTGTAAAACATCGTCATCCATTTCTTTGAGATGTAGTGCGTTGTTGGCTGACCCTTGGAAACATAGAGAAATAAAACCATTAGCTGCCTGTATGTTTGCATGGTCTAACAAAAAACTGATACACCCTTGTATAATTACGTCGCAAAGACGCTTTTAGTAGTTGACTAAAGGTAGGTTTACACGATCTAATTTTGACACTAGTTAACACGATCTAATTTTGAGACTAGTGCATATTAAGGGTGTATTTTTGTGAAAAGCATCAGCGGACGATACCTCGCAACGTTTACTCAGTCGAAAGAATTTTTGTCGATACTTCACAATATCTTCACCTCTTTTCCTGGTGATAAAGAATGAATGTTATATTGATTTAGTTATTTTACAGAACAGTTGTAGTGTATTACAATGGTGTATAAAGTACATCCTAATACGTAGTTAGCGGGTAGGAAGAGGGTTAGACACGGGTGTGTTTTTCATCAACAACTGAAATATACGGGGGCGAAATATGGGCGCATACTAGAATAAAATTTTGCTGCCAGTGCCGTATAGCGCTCGGCTGCAACTATCAGACACAAATTGCCCCAGGACGAAATAATCAATTCGCAAACGCGAAAAAAGACCCATTGCCTTTGGGGAACTGGTATATATTAACGCAGTATACTCAACCTGTAAAACAACACATAGGCTTCACAGCTCTGCACATAACTTGCCGATACTGCAATGAAAAATTGAAATAGTTGTACTTCCGTTCTTCTGTATCGTCTTCCAACACACTTTTTCAACGGAAATAATAAGATAGCGACTAATGTGCATGAAAGTACCTTCAGTGACGTAAGAGTCGTTGAATTCATACCACTTTGCCGTTACGAAATTCTTGCAATAGGCGACATAATGTCCTCCCCCAACGCTACCATGATGTGTGATGATAGCCACCAGATCGTATTTTGTACATTTACCTGAAAAATCTAAAGACGTTTTCTGATATAGGAAATCCTGCACGAATATTTTATCAAGTGAGATCGCACTCACTCTTTTCACAAGAATATGAATTACGTACCATTTGTCAAATATTTTTTCACGTCGAAGGCTTCGAGAGGAAAAGATATAAAGCTGCTTATTTTCGACGAATGGTAATATTCATGTCGGAAGCGTTTGAGATGAATACACAACATCTAAAACATAATATGCAATTTTTAATAGTTGTTATAATTGTGGCGTTTCTCGTGGGTATTTTTGTGTGGTGTTTCAACTGAGCAGAATCAACTGGGTGGGATGAAAATGTTCCAATACCATGGGACTCGAGCCTAGTTTGGTAGTCTAAAGGTCTGGTTACACGATCCGATTTTGTCGGATCCAATTCACAGCAAATCAACTAGAGCCAATGCATGCAGTATACTACAGTATCAATAACAAACTACATTCTATCACAGTGAATATAATTCTATACGTCAGAGGTGTATTGAATGACAGAAACTGGTCGAAATAACAAATCAAGAAACAAGAGTGGTATAATCTCACCTCAGGTAGTTTAAATACTTTGCATTCTTTCATCCCATTTCTTAACCTAGAGGAAAAACGCGTAAGATAATACTCAGATTTACTACAATATTTTGATACTTCAACTGAGAAAAGAACTATTACTTTTAAACGGAACAAAGAAAGGCTACTGCATGTACAAGAAAATATTCGCAAGAACTTACATCGAACAGTGCTCACAACGATACATATTGTCTCCTATAACGAAATGAGCAATGTGATTTTTAATTAATGAAATATGGGCGCGAAGCCAGGAGTTGTTGCAGCCGGGGGTGCGCGTCACCTCCCAGCAGGCTTTCAGGAAATAAATATTCCAGTTGCAGCATTTACGTCATGCCAAATGCCATAATGCAATGTCAATCTCTGGTCTCTTTTGTATGTTATTTCCTTCATGCAACCGATACAAGTTTCAGAGATCAACAATTATGGTTTTCTGTTTTACCTTTCAGTTCATCGGCGGAGAAAAACGCAGCCAGACAATCTTCGAAAGAAACACGAGGACCAAATATCCAGCTAAATTTTTTGAACAGTATAGACAAGGGTTTTAGCAAATGTCTTAAACTGGGATATCTATCAGCAGTTCATATCATAGGAACAAATTTGATAGGTATGAACGAGTGAAATAGTTACGGATGTTTAATTAAATAAGAGCTTTTAAACATCAGAGCATTTCGTAACTAATTACTCGTTCAAAAGAAGAAAATCGCAGCAAAAATCGCCTTTATAAATCAAGTGAAGGCGTAAATTGTGTGGTTGAATGGAGTTTAAACTCCACAATCCAACCCTAAAATTGGAGACTATGTGCCATTGGAATGACTTTTCTACAGGCTGGGGCATAGAATCTTCGTAAAGCCATTTGAATTAGGAAGATCTTACACAAATGCGAGAGAACTGAAAAAATTGGGAGGAAAAACGTCAACCCTGCCCAAAAGAGAGACTAACTTTGCAACATGAAAGGTCATGAAATGCTTAGTCGGGTAAATATGATAGATATTTTCATAGATATATAGAGTTTAAGATAAGGGTTAATATTGTATTTCACATTTAGAATAAAAGTAAATAACCTTGAAATCCAGTCAAAAAGAGTGCCAAAGATTCCTCTCGAACTGTCTGATGACGAGTATGACATGATAGGGTTGCATTGCGTGGTCGAGTGTATGGCTGAGAGTTCTTCTTTTCCTAAAGAAATCAAGTGCGTATTAAATGGGATTTTGATCAGAAATCCGTGAAACCTATTTTACAAGTCTGAGCAAGTTCTGTATAAAAATTTTAATCATACCTGGTATTGGTAATGAGAGATCTTGGAACGTTTCCATTGTAGATGAAATCTTTAGGAGGAAAAAACCATAGAAATAAATCAGGAGTTTGTGGCTAAATTGTTAATACAGATAGCCAATACATGCAGGCGGCATAATCAGCTGCCTTTCAACCAATTAACAAAGGCTGTTGCGGGTAAACGTCAAATGTTTGGTTATGTTAATTTTCTAGGTGCCTTCAAACCTCTAGCAATATGACATATATGACAACACGCTTTGCAATATAAAACTGTCATAAGCGTATGTTCTGAATAGTGTCTGTGATTTAATAAATGACATACCTTTTTACAAGTGAGACATTGCACGGAACTTCGTATCTTGCCATTGAACAAATCTGATATAATACTCGAGTACTCAACTGCTGCTGGTTTTTGCTCTAAAAATGAAGACAATTATAAGAATAGTCAATTATAAGAGTGATAAATAATTAAACAGTGATAAATGTTTCGTCTGTCAGTAGTTGATTGAAGTTCGTCCTTAAGGCTTCAGCTTCTTGTATGGACTGTGCGACAACCTATGCTAGTAACACAGGTTTCATTCTAAAGTTACTCGTCCTAAGTCTCGCATGGAACTGGAGTATATAGAGAACAGAGAACCTATATAATAAGGTACCTAACTACGGCAATCTAATTTGTCATCAACCTATAGTATTGTCTGTTACTCCGGATTCAGATTTTTACCAAGGAGAACAGTCTTCGTCACTTCGTCACAAAATAATTATGACCACCCGCGGTCATGTAGGCCGAGGGTTTATATTCCTTGAAATACTAACCTGAGTTCACATTCCTCTCCCCATATCCCCCAAGGTGATAATAATTAATCTCGGAATCAGAAACTGATCTCTCAAAATTACTCTCTTCTTCATCAGTATCATTCCCCTCTGAATGATCTGACGCCATATTTACAAATCCCATTGAAATCGCCGGTTCTTTGGGCTCAACACTTGGATCCCCAGCTGCTTGTGACGTAAGCTCTTCTCGCAACTCTGGGCAGCTACGACTGTTACTAAGCAACGTGTCCTTGATGACGACATTATCTTCTGTGACTGGTTTATCAACAGCCTCTCTCTGTGAGTTGGTTTTCATGGCTTCAGCCTTCCGGCGGGAAAAACTTCTAAGATTGTAGCGATTTGTTCGTGATTTCCTCGAACCGTCTGAAAAGTATTTTTAATATCATCACTTCGCTGCAATTTCACTTGCCCAGGGAGGATTCACTACCAGATAATACAGTAAGTGGAGCGTTTAACCATATGTACCTAGTCATACCGCGGAAATTGGTAAAATTAAAGAGGACTTCTCAGCATTTCAACTGTTAGGTTTGTATACTTTTGTATTACTAAATTAAATGTAACTGGAAATTCCCTTTTTCTCGCCTAAATTAAAAGTTGGTCTATTATGCAAAAGGTCAATTGCTAAATTAGATAATTACTTTGCGGCAACTCTCCATTCTGTCTGTCAGCTTGCATAGTTTGTCCTCCAAGTAATCGCTTTGATCTTGTTGATACGTTGTTAACAGGTTTTTCTGGTGAAGCGTCTTGAATGTTGGCAACAGGAGGAACTGGTTCTTTAAGTTCCTCGTGGAGAAGATCCATCAACACTCGCAAAAACTCTTGAGTGTCCTGAAAAAGACATTTGCATGTAACATTAAGAACATTAATGCACCAACGACACTAGCTCAACTTTAATAAAATGACATCTTTAGAGACGTTTAGCGAGACCTTCACGACAAACAGCAAGAAGGTAGTGAGGTAGCATGACAAAAATTTTCTGCCAACACTACCTTTCGAGGCTGAGGACTCCGCCTCCCGGAGGAAAGATAAAGGCCTGTTTACACTTCACACTTGCAATTTTTGCTGCGATTTTATATGCGATTCTCTTCTTTTGACAGATGCGAACGAGGAATTAGTTACCGATGTTCAAATAAGAGATCTTACACATCAGAACATTCGTAACTAATTACTCATTCACATCCAAGAAAAGAAGAAATCACACATAAAATCGCGGCAAAAATCGCAAGTGTAAACGCGTGAAATTGAACACACGAGATAGCAAAGGATGTAACATACCTGTTGTCTAAAGCCGCGAAATTGAGGATTCAATTTTTGAAAACACGACATTAGGTCTGAAGGATTGACGCTTTTTGGTCTACAAATCCAACGAAACATATTTTAATTCCAGATCATAAACAGCTGAAAGAAAGTAACCTCAAGAACACACCTTTTCTTTGACCACATTTCGGTGACAAGCAAGCGATATTTTTCGGAAACGTTTGCTTGAGACAGATACCTCACATATCCTGGACATTCCAGGAAGAATTGCATCAATGATGGGCTGAAATGAACAGAATATTCTAGCAACCACCCAATAGCTTTCACCTTACAATAATCATAATCGGTTTCAAGTAATTCCATGCAGCACATTTCAAACGAATGTTTCGAATTTGACTTTACTACTTTCCATCAAACGTTTCCTAACGTTTTCAGAACTGTTCAATCAGCATTTCAACCCCAGCAGCCAATAATATGGTAAAACCTAATTATTCTAAATAGAATTTCAGTTCTCCAATATAGCTGCCTTATCTGAATTTTTCTACTGGAAATCACCTTATTATGCATACTTGTTCTCTATCATTATCTTTAGGTTGAAGACAACAAAAGCCAGTATGATGCAAATTCTCACCTATTTGATAATGCCTGAAGAGCTGAATTCATATAACAAGTATTGCCAATGTTTACCAATCCAGTTAAACCTTGAATGTAAGAAATATTGTCAACTATTTATCTCTAAGTGGCATAGCAGCAGAGGCTAGAGTCAAGTGGCAACATTGTTCCTTAACAGAAAATATGATAGTGATTTTTCATTTTTTCATCATTCAAATATATCTCAATTACCTCTGGGTTTCATTCCTTTTTCAAAACCATCAAAATAATCCTTGTCTATCATAGCTGCTTCTTCCTCCTTTCATTGTACCCAAATAACATGACATTAATGAAATTAGTGAAACTATGTTTTTAAGGCATGGTTTAAAACAAACAATAGAGTTGATCGAGCTTTGTGGAAGCTTATAGGTACACCACATACGCTAAATTACTAATACATTATTACATAAACTTTATTATCAAATATGCCATACCATATCCATGGTATCATTATCATCACTGTCATATTCCTCTTCCATTTCCTGATACTCATCAATATCCCGAGAAAATGCCAACTTTACATCTTCAAGTTTGCGACCACATCCAAAGCACCATACTTGACGGTCTTTTTTACACACATAGATTGCATGGTCTGTTTTCTAAATGAATTTTCCCTGATTCAGTATACAAAAATTAAGTGTTTCTAGCACAGATAATCAGAGAAAATGAGAATCCTTATGAATCCATATTAGATAATATCCAGACATCTTTTATTCCCCCTCTTTTATTGTCGATTTCACATAACTTTTCAAAGCGTGGTTGTGAAGTTCGGAACTATGTTTCAAATGTTCGAAGTTCAAAACAAACTTCAAAGGTCAAGTTCAGAAACAATTTGAAAACAGAACTTAGTTAACTTCCTACTGCTAAAACAATTTTGTTTTGATTTGTTCTCATTGTATGCAGTTACTTTATAAGAAACGAGCTTGACCTTCAAAGTTCGTTTTGAACTTCGATCATTCGAAGCGTAATTGCAAACTTCGCAAGGATCTTCGCAACCGCATTTTGAAATGTTATGTGAAATCTACAATAACACTCATAAGGGTTTACAATATACACAAATTCCTCTGCATGTAAGATCATGATATGTAAATTTGATTGGATTCTTAAAATATATGAAGGACATTTTCTTATTGCAGTTGCTCCATAGTTTCTAATTCAATAATGAAATACCTGATGATGACTTTCCACATGGTTCTTTGAATGTCTTCCACAACCAACAAATGAACAACACCTCTGAAAATGAAAGTTAAAAATTAACATTGTTGTTTTGCTGTCTTCCCAATGTTGAATTCCTAAAGTAATTCAATTGATTAAATGAAAGACAAATCAGCCCTCGATAAAATAATGCTTGCTTACCTGCATACACATCCACATCTCACCTACTTTGTCACTGCATTCATCGCACTATAGTTAGGTTTAAATATATATTGTAGGTATAAACATACTTGGAATCCATTGGAAGTGGTTGGAATACCCCTAATTGTAGCCCATCTTTGTTTGCTTTCTTGTGAAAGCAGATGTTATGCATTTTTTTTCTTGCTATAGAACAAGTTCATGATGCAAAGAAACTATTTGTTGATAAATTCTTAAATAAAGTTCTTAAATTCCTTGGCACTGCCACTTAGCAAGCAAAAACAAAAACACTTCAACTATAATTTTGTGAATATGAAACTATACCTGTTGTCGCTGATTCATGTCTGTAAAACTAATTTCTCTTATGCATTTAATATGAATATGTGGACAGTTCATTGTTTTCACACTATACCAATAACACAAAATTACAAAAAGTTGTAAGCAGATAACACATCACAACTCTGAGTACTTCGTAAGTATATTATATATAAAACTTGGCAAAAAAATGTAAATATTGATAAATTTTAACATTATGATATATTTACCTCTGATTTATGCTAGGTTGCTGCTATATGTAAAACAGCGTTGAAATTGGCTTCTTTTAAACAGGATCCTGTGGGTCTCTTACAAAACTTGCAAAAAATTTTTTTTGTATTTGTATCATGATTTGTATTTGCGAAAGCTGGTATAAGCAGCCATTTTGTTTTTCCCATACGCGTGTCATTCGTATACAGTCGGACCACGAACTAGTTCCGAGCGCAATTCGAATAATTCCGAATTTAAAGTTGAATGTTTTTCGTTTGGCGCTATCTTTAAAATAAGGAACCGAGGAACGGGAAACCGGGGAACGGAAGAACAGGGGAGCAGCGGAATGGAAACTGGGACGGGGAAACCGGTGAACAGGGAAACGCCTATCGAACAACCGGCCCCTGACCATTATCTCTCAAATTATTCATATGAACGCAATTTACAAAAGTTTAACTTGGCTTCTTAAAGAAAGACGTTCTCAACTATGCAACAGGTGGTTTTCGTCCATTGTGGGTTCGGAGTTTCATAGGTTACAGTTACACATGGTTACACACCCTTACGTTCCCCTGTTCCCTATTTTAAAGATAGCCTTTTCACTTTCACCGTTCACTGAGCGTCGTTCAATTTAGGCAGAGGTTTAGGCTCATTGCCTGCACACTGGCAACTGCAACTGATGTATTTTTACACGCAACATTTCCGTTTGTCCACCCTTCGGAAACGTAAATGGCTAGGAACAGAGTTAGTAGATTTTATGAATAAATAAGCCAAATATTATTAACATAACATTTGTTTTCTTTCTTTCTTTAAAACAAAGGAATTAAAGGGCCGCCAAAGCAATGCTTGGCTTATTTATTCAGTAACTTACCAACCCTGGCTAGGAAACAGCTAGGCTATATCAGCTATGTTCATTTGTGCACCATTGAGAAGCGATGTTCCAAACGACGTTTTCTGGTTTTCCTCAGTAACAGAATCAGGGAACAGATTAGGGACGTTCTTTAATTTCAAAGGTAGCCCTGTTAAATAAGGACAAATAAATCTACATGCACAACTATATATAAAAAAGTACTAAACTTTAAACTGTCTTGTTGAATATACGCCACTAAAATCTAAATAACGGATGCAATACAGTTCCTATTTCCTTCTAGTATAGATACAAAATTCGATGGATTAATCACGATTTTCCAGGACCGTTCACAAAAAATGCCAGGCCGATAATTAATTGGTTTGATACAAGGATACGATCTGGCATGCAATTATATGACTTTAAAAAATCCATGTTCTTCCACACAGGAGATAAAAGTAATAAGCATTCTCGTATCTTGGTCATAGATCAGTTTGGAGGAGGATCCTCTTTTTGACATATCTTCGGTAAAATTTCATGATTCTTAGTGAGTTTTAATCAAGGCTTCCTGTAACTTTTTTAAATCCACATGATAACGCTGAATCTTCATTTAATTATCTATCTGATAATTCCCTATGTTTGCTAGATCTGACCAAGCTGGAAATGAAGCGCCATCGATTTCAGGCGCTAGCTCGTTATTATCTGCTAAGCGATGATTCTGACCACCAATGACTGCATTGCATTCAGGACAATTGCTTTGTTGCATCGCTCCCCCACATTCTCCGATGGCATAGAAATGACCATTGGGACACTTGAACCAATGTCCTCGCTTCAAGCCAATTGCTTGAACAATTTGAATTTTTTCTTCTTCAGATATAGGAGAAAGCTGGGGGTTTCGGGAATAAATATCAGTTATTCCTTCTTTAAGTTTTTCAAGGTGACTTTGTTCGATAACATCTTTGTAACCTAAGATCTTTTGAATTTTTGAGACGATATCTTCATCTTCTTGGTTAAGGGTAAATTCCAGACTTGCACAATTCAATTTGAGAACTAATACATTTTTTTTTAAAGATAATCTTTCGAGTTCCAAGTTCAATTGACGCAGGATACGTTCACTGGTGTACGATGGAAGCATCAATATTCGACTTAATACATGCTGCATTTCACTTTCAAATTCTTTATGGGTAGATGATCGACGATGAGAACCATGAGCACTTTCGTAAGACTTGCTAATTAGAATCCAATTTTCCAAAAGACGCATTTCAAATACCAACAACGAAATATCTTGATTGCACACAAACGCGTTCTTTCCTCTGTTTACGTAGGCAACAATCTTCCCCCATGCATTTTCTATGGACTTTGATTTCATATTCATGGGTATTAAATCAATTTTTGGGATGATATTACAAACAAGTTTCTTCAGCAGCATACAATTCTCTTCAAATTCGAAGGTGCTTCCAAGAATCTTTTTCTTTATATTGTCAATATCGTTATGAATTGTCTTTATAATATTTCCATATCTGAACGACTTGACAATTGGCACAGTGCAAAGTGGACAAACTTTAGGTTTTATCTCTTCATCAACCGCATCCATCACTCGATCCAAGGCAGTGCATTCGAAAATATGTTCACAATCTTTTAGCATGACAAACCTTGCATTTTCTTCGTCTTCGCTCCCAAACAAGATCGTTCTCACATCTTCACCATTATTTTTATTGCAAATTGTGCAGACGCAACGTTCTCCACAGAGGCTACGGCAGACGTGGGCTTTTCCGCATGTGAGCTTTCGTTTACATGGTTCGTTGCATCTAGGGCGATTACACATTTCACCACAGAGTCGTGTACACTTATAGTGGTCGCATTCCCATTCACACTTTTCCGTGCATGAAACGCAAACTTCTCCACAGTTTTTCTCGCATCTGCTGTGACGACATCTTCGAGGACACTCCTCTTTGCAAGGGGGACAATCCTTGGCGCATTTGCTTTTACATTGATGTAAACATACGAGGTTTCGGCTGCAAGTCTGCCCACATTTTTTGTGAACTCTTCCTTGAATGCATTCTCCACACTTTCCAACACAAGGATGTTCACACTCTAACAATGCATTACATGGAACTCGGCAATCTTTTTGTGTTGCTGAGCAAGCAATTGTGTTTTCATGTCCACACGACAGATCAGTTTTCTTTACTAATTCCATACACAGTTTTGTACACGGTACACTGCATAAGGCTTGGCAACGATGGCCACAAATCAGTGTCTTTTTACATTGTTCTTTACACTTTGCAATGTTAGGATCATCGCTGCACGGCAAAGTCATCTTATGTTCACAATTCAGAACTCTCTCAACGGGGTACATACAATAATTATCACACATTTCGTAGCAAAGCTTTAAGCACTTGTGCCCTGAAACATTACATCCGACGATATTTTTTGCACAAGGTTTCTCACACTTAAAATTCTCATGGCTACTCGGATGACACATTTGGGGACAGGAATGACCACATTCAAGACGATGTTGACATTTCTCTAGGCAGCCACCATTAGGAACGAGTTTCATAAAATCTGCTGCACTGGAAACAAAATTTTCTGTTTGATGATTACTGCATGAAAGAGGCAATGCTTTGCCAATGCAACTATCTTCATCGAAATCAGTAAGCACTTTTTTCCACAGTGCGCTTTGGTTTGTCAGCATTTTACTGTTGCCAATGATGTACAATCCCATTTTGGCACGCGAAAGGGCAACACAAACACGATTGTTGATTTTTAAGAAACCTATGTTTTCTTCTTCATTATTGCGTACCAAGGACAGCAAGACGATATCATTTTCTTCTCCTTGGAAATTATCTACACTGGAAACTCGAGGTAAATCGTCTTGAAATTCATCTTTTTTGCTCCTTATGATATCTCTTATGACAAACATCTGACCCGTATACGTTGTCAAAATCGTAATCCGCGATGATTCGTAGCATTGCCGCTTAAGATATAAACAAAGTTCAACAAGAAATTCTGCCTCATGCTGGTTGACTTTACTATGAACATTGTCGTGGACACTTTCCTGGACATCATGATCAATAAAAAACAAGTTTTTGCTAACACCTCGAATATTCTCGTACTCAGTAACAGACGAATGGTCTTCAAGCCCATCATAGATGTGACGAAGCATTTTAGAAATTTCAGGCCGCATTCTGTGTTGCACGGACAAACGATTATAGGGCACACCTGCTTCTATCATTCTTTCCAATAAAGATACATCAAGGCTGTAATTTACACTTAAATTGTAGACACTTGGGTTTGGACGTAGCTGTTGATGATCTCCGATAAGAATTAAATGTCCACAGAACTCTGTTAAACAACTGATGATGTGGGCTTCAAACACTTCTGCTGCTTCTTCAATGATTACAACTCGAGGACGAAGTTGTTGAAGAAGTTTATGATTTCTTGCTGCACATGTTGTTGTCATGCCAACAACTCGGGAACTTCGAATTATATCAAGATCTTCGATATTGCGTAGTTCTTCATACTCATTACTAAGATTCAGATATTCTGTTTGCTTCTCTTTTATTTTAACCCGCAAATAATGACGAAGTCGTGTCAACCAAAGTAAGTACAGTAACCGTGCCTGTTCGACATTTAAGAACAAAAGTTCTGCGGCGTCTATTCTCTCGTTAAGCTCTTCAGCTCTTTCAAGGTGGAGTTCATCTAAATCGCTTTTTAGTAGTTCTAATATTCCCTCAGGTTTGAGTGTCTCTTCTGCAAAGCAAATCAATATGGAAGTCTTGGACTCTTGTGTTTCAATTTCCTCAAAATGTCCTAGGTAGAAATGGCCTTCCAGCTCATGCCCGTTAAAATCCTCATAATCTTGCTCTTCATCTGCTAACATATTTTCATCTTCCTCGGCTTTAAAATTAAGGGAAACTCCAAGAAATTTGAGCATATCTTTGCTTTCTGTGAGGTATTCCAGGTGTTCCTTTTGCATAAACCTAGCAAATTCTTTAGCCGGAAGAATTCCCTTAAATGACTTGGTGTAAACCTCAGTATCCCTATTTAATACTGCTTGACACGCATTCTTTTCTTCTTCAACTTCACGAAATCTTCTCATTCTTTGCCCCCGTGAACGTCTCACACCTCTTTCATATGATGTCTTTTGTCGCTCTTTTCTCACCGCACTAATGTTGCATTCTTTCAGTGCAAGGCTTGAGCTGCGTCCCCCAACACGAACGATATCTACACGTGGTTAGAATGTATAAATCGTTCTGAATCGTTTTTATCCTTTTTTTGTTTTTCCTTCAAATTAATATTCGCATAATTATTTTGCTCTGAATGTCGATCTTAAAACTTATGGCAGAATTGTGTGGCTACAGGATGTTTAAAAAAAATTCGAATCCAACTTTGACAGACTTTGACAGATGGCAATAAAGACTATTAGGTTTTCGATTATATCTTTCATATATGAATACGACCAGAAATAAGCAAGTTATCGTCTGCTAAAAATTGTTGCTTGAAATCAAAATTTTCCGCTTATGGGAATTCGAAGTGACATTTAAAGAGAAAAGATAATGCAGACTTAATTCAATGAAGAAAGCGCTTGTTTTGCATAAGAAGAAGTTTGCGATAAATTTACATTTCTGTTTTCAGTGATAATTAGCATTTCAAAGCCTTGTTTGACAAATTCTCAAAAGAAAAAGGTCCAATTCCCATCGGCGGAGGAATGTAATTTTTATCGACTTTTTTTGTCGACCCAATATTCGTTCATTTTTTAACAGAATGACGCGTACATGGATGTCATTTGAAAGGCAAATAAATAAACTTAACGATGGTGTAAAAATCAACCAATTTTGCCACATATATTCTGCGTAAATACACGCCAAATTTGGATTCGAATTTTTTTTATACATACTGCAGTGTAGTGCGATAAATCGTTATCTTGTCAGTTAATTTTTAACAACTCTTTGCACTAAGCTCTTCGTAAAGCACCACAAAATTAGGTCAAATCACATGCAATGCATACCTTTTCGATCAATGGCAATTCCTTCTAAGAATGAATCTAAAGCGTGGTTAGTGTAGGCCAACATAAGGATCGGACATGACTTCTTATCATCCGCTTCTTCCCACAGGTGATTATTAGCCAGAAGAGTGTGAGCAATTTTCAGTCCCAGATATGTCTTACCGGTACCCGGTGGTCCCTGAATAACGGCAAATTCTCGTTGTATTGCAAATTGGAACGCTTTATATTGGGACTCATTCAAACCAATAACATTCCCATCTGGCCACGTGGTCAGGTCGTATGGAGAAACATGGTCGACACGTGATATCTCGTCATTGTCGGGTACCTTCCCCGATTTAACTGATTCCAAGTTAATCGTCTTTGGAATACCTTCGTTCGATTTTACCTTAAAGTAAGCAGGCTACAAAAAATATTATTAGCTGACAATGACATTTGCATAAACGGTTAAATTACCTTTACCAAAACGTTTGCACATGGCGTGATAGGGACGTTGCAATAGCTAATCGAGCAATTACCACCAACTGACCAGATACCACCAGCCTCGTTTCCAGGCTCTTTGAAGTACTTCGCAGTTAGTGCTTTCTCCACGAAGTACTTCAAAGAGCCCGGGAACGAGGCTGAGGTAGCACAATGAAGTAGAAGCAACGTTTAAATAAATAACAGGGTTCCGGGTTTCTACTGATACGACTACTGAGACCATTACATACCTTGTCAATTTCGTGTCCACACAAGACAATATAGGATTTGAATGGCATCGTTTCTTCTTTAATTTGTTGAAGTCGTTCAAGAATATGACGATACGCGACAAAATATGCTGAACTGCTTTCGACCATGCGGTACTTCTCCCCCATATCATCTGGACATGTATTTCCTTCAAAACGTAACTGAATGTTACCTTCTTTGAGCATGTCAGGTTTGCGGTCGTGCACTGTAGCAAAATGAACTGTTTTGAAATCAGTCGTTATCAAACATACAAGTGAACCGAACAAAAGACGCTTTGATCGTACCCAGTTTATACGTTTGATACTCGAATGCTTGGAATCAAATGAAACGTTATAGACAATGCCTTTGGTAAAATTCCGGCGATTCGTGGCAAGCACTTGGTCGATAATCGTGACGTCATTATATACCATTACGTCATTTTGTTGTCTGACATTCTGAGATTTAGACAACTTAGCTAGTGCTGTTTGGCCATATTCTAGTTTTTTGGAGTTTCTCTTGAGATTCCGAATTCCGTTACGTAGCCCTGCTACAGAATCCTCCTTCAAAAGACGAAAGTGAATATCCAGGTACTGATCAACACTTGAGAAAGGCTTTTTAACAATGTTTTCCCTTAGGAAGGGTTTTCCTCGATTGAAAATATCTTCTTCTGTTGGAAATACACTTAATGTTCGAAAATTATCTGGTGGCTCAGCTTGCAACTGTCCTTTTTCTCGGATTCTCTCTTTTTCACGTTCACATTTTCCAACAATATCTACCAAAAGACTACCAATAACTGCGTCCATAGGTTCGTCCATGGTTTCTTCAAAAAATGTCACGGCACTTTGTAATTGATGGATGGGAATGCGGGAGTAAAGAGAAGGTAAACGTTCTAATGAGACATTGACAAACGTACAAAGGTGTTTAAGGATAGTAGCTACCTGTGGGTCTGATAAGCACTCTTTTTTAGTCTCCAGCTCAGAAATGAATTCGCAAAGAGTGGCCCAGAATCTCACCTTGTTTAAAATACCAAGAATCGTGTGCAAATGACTTGGTATTCTTGAGCGAGAAACTTTGTCGAACACAGATATAATTAATTTCATAAGATCATATCTTATCTCGTTTTCTTGCAACAATGCTTCGAAACGTTGAAGTTGCGCATGTTCACACAATCGTAAAGATGCATTTTCAGGAGAAACCTCATCATCAATTTTTTTAAGACATGTATAACTCATAGGTATAGGAGGTGTTGCTGTATTTGCACGATTTGGACATTTAAAATTTTGGCTCATGCTCTCCCCGATTTTTGACGTTTTCGGTACAGTATTACGGTTACGACCACGTTCCTGGCTTGTCAAAACATTTTGACCCATATGACGTTTTACTTTTTGGTCAAGGCACTGTTTTTGCGCAAATCCTCCAGATTTATTGTCATGTTGACCCGAAACGTTTCGTTGTTCGTGAGGTATACCAGTCGAGATGGAATTTTGAGATGGTATAGATATTCTATTATTATTATTGCATATTCGTTTGCTAAGATGATCTTTACCGTCGCGAGTTCTTTTTCTTTTCAGAATATTACACGATTCTCTGTTTTCTATAAAAATATATATAGCAAATGACTCAGTGGAAAGTTGTTTCACCCATCGATATTTTCAGTTATAAAACAACGTAAATCTACGCAAGGAAAACGCTATATTTTAATAAGGCCACTGAGTTTATGAATATGACATACTACCTGGCGAAGGGCGGTTAACAAATGAATCGTTTGTTGACGATGAAGTAGAGAACACGTGTCTGTCCAACGACTTTCTCTTCCTTCCTTTCTTCAAATTTTTCGACATAATTTGGACAGCTCAATTTGGTAATGGAAAAAACGAGACTACATCTACAAAAATATGCAATTTATATCTATATTATCATCAAAATCTAAGTTACAGCTTGTGAATTTCGTCATTTTACGCACATTTTTAAATATATGGGTAATTTTTTTGTTTACTGTTTATTCCCCATTGCGTTTTATCATTATTTTATCATATTAATGTTATAAAAATGTTATAATTTCATTTAAATCACATGAAATAAAGAAAAATAGGACTACTTACAAGACCACTTTTGTGGGACATTACTTCATTAAATTTGGGGTTTGCGATTTCATTGAATATTAAATAACTATGGGTGTGCGGGACTTGTCTTAAGGCTTGGGCTTGAGGATATGTCAAGTCAAACTCATAAACAAGTTATACAAGTTTTGGAGGTAATTATAAGCCATGTGTTCTCATAATAATTATAAATAAATTGGCTTGTAGGTAAACCATACACCACAGAAGTATGTAACTTACATGACCTACAAGCTAATTTATTTATATTGTGACATCACCATGCAAAATTACAAGAATATCCTTATTATTACTCACTTTTTACAGTCAATATTGACTACCTCATATGAGGATATATGAGGTAGTCTAGCCATGCAGATTATAACTTTATATGGGCATTTTAATTCCCCTTAGAGGCTGTTTACATGGAAGCTGGGCTAGCCCCCTTAGCAAGACAGCCTGGCTAGCGAGATCTCGCCATGAATACAATCCTTAAAAAAAGGATTGGGCTGGCCGGCGAGATCCTGCTTTAAAGAGGCGAGATCTTGCTTAGCAGGATGAAAATGTTTTCTTAAAACACACGTACCAAGCCGGTTACCCAGGTGGAACCAATTTTCATAATTTTTACTACTCACACAATTGGTCAAAATCAATCACATCGTTTCTTGTTGCCTGGCAACAGATCATGGGAATTCTAATTTATTCGAAATAACCATCAATATCATGGTTTATTCAAAAATGACAGCCTGCCAGGATGCTTGGACCTTCAATGCAGCAATCAATGAACTCAGATTGTATATTAAAAGTGTTAGAGACTTTATGTTCGTGTTTTGTTTACAAATAAACGCACTTGCCGACCATAAAATGAAATTTTATTATTATCATATTGAAATTTCTCATTCATTATATGGTCAGCGCGTGCGTTTATTTGTGAACAAAACATTATTACCAAGATTTATGTGAAGTCAATTTATCTAGGTTCATGTAAATTGAATATACGATTAGTGATCGTAATGTAATGTATCTCAAACCTATAACCACGGTACGTTTCTAGTTTCTACTTTCACTTTCATTTTCAACTAGTATTTATCGTACATACTTACATACTTACGGAATGTTGCGTTTTGTTTATACCAACTATTTAATGGTTTACCTACCGCACAATTTGAAAAAGCTAGCCCTTTACTGCCTTCGGCTTTGCATCACTTCCACGCCAGTTTGATGTGATTATGATGATGTGAAATATGATTAAACTTTGAAGCACTCAACGATTCAATATAATATTGAATACATCAATTCAATACAAAATACATTATACATCGTTGCCTTGGCGTTAAACATATACCACGAGATATATCCACGAAAATCAGACCATTTACAAAAGCCTATATTCAGTATATTGTGGTCAAAGAAATTAGTCAAAACTAGTTCGAAGAAGGATGATTCGAAGAAAACATAAAAAACCAAAATATGAAACCGCAGATGACGATGACAGATGAAACTGAAGCTAATGTACGCATGCGCAACGTGGTTGGCAACTAGTGTCATCACTGAGCTATATGTAAAATAGGTAGTGACACTAATGAATATTATTCACACATTCACACCTGCTCCAAGATGCAATAACAAGTTCACTTTGGCCATGGTTACTAGCCACAAAAACACCTGTCACCAAGAGGACAAGCAAACACGAAAATAATAATTCCTGGAGGCCGGCTCTTGACAAAAAAGTGAAGCAAAAAACATGGCGGATTTTTTCGTGCTGACGCCAGATATGGTCCAACCATTGAACTATATAGTTCAATGGGTCCCACTGGGCAATGGTAATGACCCACTGAGTAATGACCACTGACAACCGCGATACAGTGCTTCAGGCGCACTCCTTCGCCCTCCGGCTGCCTTCGAAAAATATTTTTTGTTTTTTTTTTCAAACGAATCCGACTATTTTCTACTATTTTTTTGACCTTTAAAAACAATGGACTCTTTTTGCAGTGTGTTGATGCAATTAGTCTCCAGAAGGGATGAATATCGACTCATACTTGTAAGCCGATTTATATTTACTTCTGAAGTTCATCGATGGCATTTTTGACAGCTCTCATAGAAAATGAATTGAGATTCACGTTTATAGTTTTATCCGCATAAATTGTTTCTCATATAAAATTTATAAGTAGAGTTGTTTTTGCAATCCTTTGGATTTCTTGTCCTAAATTATATATTTTATAATTATTATATAGCTCAGCGGAATGGAAACTGGGACGGGGAAACCGGCGAACAGGGAAACGCCTATCGAATAACCGGTCCCTGACCATTATCTCTCCAAATTATTCATATGAACGCAATTTACAAAAGTTTAACTTGGCTTCTTAAAGAAAGACGTTCTCAACTATGCGACAGGTGGTTTTCGTCCATTGTGGGTTCGGAGTTTCACAGGTTACAGTTACACATGGTTACACACCCTTACGTTCCCCTGTTCCCTATTTTAAAGATAGCCTTTTCACTTTCACCGTTCACTGAACGTCGTTCAATTTAAGCAGAGGTTTAGGCTCATTGCCTGCACACTGGCAACTGCAACTGAGATGTATTTTTACACGCAACATTTCCGTTTGTCCACCCTTCGGAAACGTAAATGGCTAGGAACAGAGTAAGTAGATTTTATGAATAAATAAGCCAAATATTATTAAAATAACATTTGTTTTCTTTCTTTAAAACAAAGGAATTAAAGGGCCGCCAAAGCAATGTTTGGCTTATTTATTCAGTAACTTACCAACCCTGGCCAGGAAACAGCTAGGCTATATCAGCTATGTTGTTCATTTGTGCACCATTGAGAAGCGATGTCCAAAACGACGTTTTCTGGTTTTCCTAAGTAACAGAATCAGGGAACAGATTAGGGACGTTCTTTAATTTCAAAGGTAGCCCTGTTAAATAAGGACAAATAAATCTACATGCACAACTATATATAAAAAACTACTAAACTTTAAACTGTCTTGTTGAATATACGCCACTAAAATCTAAATAACGGAATGCAATACAGTTCCTATTTCCTTCTAGTATAGATACAAAATTCGATGGATTAACCACGATTTTCCAGGACCGTTCACAAAAAATGCCAGGCCGATAATTAATTGGTTTGATACAAGGATACGATCTGGCATGCAATTATATGACTTTAAAAAATCCATGTTCTTCCACACAGGAGATAAAAGTAATAAGCATTCTCGTATCTTGGTCAAAGATCAGTTTGGAGGAGGATCCTCTTTTTGACATATCTTCGGTAAAATTTCATGATTCTTAGTGAGTTCAATCAAGGCTTCCTGTAACTCTTTTAAATCCACATGATAACGCTGAATCTTCAGATCAATCTCTAATTTCTTATCACGGATCACTTTAATATCTGTTTCAAATTCTTTGTCTTTGTTTTGCTGCTCCTTAATTTTCTCCTCCAGTCTTTTCAATTCTTCTTCCTCATCTACCAGGCCTGGGATATCAGAAATCATCGAGTCTATTGCAATGATATCATAACCAACGTTCTTTATTCTTTCCATCACAGATATAGCCATATTTTTCGACTCGTTTGCCACTTTTGTAGAATTCTTCACAATTCTGGTATTCTTGTCAGCCTGCTCCTCGTAGTTCTTTAATTTCTTTTCAGCACTCTTTACATCATCATATACTTTGGCGTCCGGAACGACCAAACCGTTAGCGCGAGTTTTCAGTTCTTCTGCATCCTGTTAAAAATGAGATCATCGATCATATTAAAAGAAATGCATCCTGTTAAAAAATGAAAATCATCGAACATATTTTATCACGCTAACATCAAATTCACAAGCCTGAACAACTTAGGATTATTCTGTGGGCTTCCGGCTTGGGGACAACAAGTTTCCTCGTGTGTTATTATCTAAACATTTCAAACCACACGCACCTCATCCGTGTCATCTGATGTCTGTGTACCGCGATCAGCAACATCATTCGCCTCCTTCACATCATTTTTTGCATCGCCAATCTCCTTAGTAGCCTGATCTGTGTTATCGTTTGCTGAGTCGATAAGACGCCGTATTTCAGGCAAATCATCTCTTGCCTTTTCAGCTCTGCCTCTGCTTTCATTCACTCTCTTATTGAAGTTCTGCGTAAAAAAAACACATTGGAATCCTGTCGTTATTTTTGTGGCAGTTTGTGTTATTCACCACCTCCCACTTTCTATATAAAACCATTGTCTAATGGGGATAAGATTTGATTACAGAAGGCGCGCTAGAGCATAGATGCTTTTTAAGTCGCCTTAATCCGCGCTGACTGAACTTACTGTTTAAAAAATCCCTCTCCGCCAAATTTACCTGACAAATTTTACCTTTTTTCTCCGCTTGGAATTGTTACTGCTACTTATGCATGCCCACAGCGACAACAATCCTTAGCTCCTAATCGCGCTCAGCCAGTAATATAGAGATCAGTTACAGAGACAAGCCAGCGCACAGGGTTGAAAGGTGTTAGACTGATTCGATAAAGTGTGCCTGAGGACGAGGCTGTTACTGCATCTAAATTCGAACGAAAGCTGCATATCTCATCACGTACCTCAAGTAACTCAAGATCTTCTCTCGCTTCAGCCAAGGTTTTGGTACCATTGAGAATGGCAAAATGCGCAGTTTCGTTCGCTTTCTTCGCTTGTTTTAACAAATCATCTGTTGTATTCTCTGCTTCGTAAAGTTCTGTTATTCTTCTTTGCACCTCGCTCTTATCTAAATCTTTTCGACCACTTTGTGCCTTATCCTTCAAACGTCTGGCCTCTTCTTGCACATCCTTTGCCTCTTTGATCGTTTCTACTGCCTTGGCTGAAAAAGCACGTCACAATATAGTCAATTGTGTGTAAACATCCTTTAGAGCTGTCTAAATGATTCCTTGGGAAATACAGTGTCCAGTATTCAGAACCTTCTACAGGTATTGTCCGGAGATTAACTTCTAACGGGGGACACAACCATTGAGAGTTAAATTATTACGTTTGCTGTACACTTTTATACTTCGTTACTAGATAGAAGACCTCTATCCTACCTTTTGTTTCATTAGCACCCACTTTATCCAGGGGGGTTTCTGCCTCGGCAAGCAGTCTCTCGGATTCACTAACCGTATTATCGGCCAGTTTGTACGCTGCCGTAGCATTCGCCATGGCAACATCAGCAAGTGACTTGATACCACCGATTGTGTTGTCGATGACTGTAATTTCTTGCTTCGTTTCTTCTTGTTGTTTTATAGCCTTGTCCGTTCTATTGTTGGCTGTTTTCGAGGTCTCCAAAGCAGAGTCCGCAATACGCTTGAGGTCCTGGATCTCATTCCACTGAGCGTTGGAAAGATTTTGAACCTAGGACGAAATTAGTTCAACGAGAACATATAGTTCATAATCATGATAAATTTAATATATGTAGCTTTATACACAGGCAGCCCCCCCCCCAAAAAAAAGCGTGCGTCGTCAATGTTTCATCAGCACGCTTATTTTTGGGCTACTATGCTTTATAGAGCATTTTTACGACTGTTGAAAAAATCACTATTCAATGGATAACTTTATCCAGCTTTGGAACAACCGGCCCCAGAAGAATAAATGGATGCAAACCTAAGTCGAGAACTTGACTTAAAAGCAGCCGCTAGTGTTAGAAATCTAGTTTGTTCGACAAACGGCCCTGATTTTGTTTATAGCATATGGAGTTTATATTTTTTATCACTGTTATGAAATGGTAGACATCACGACAAAATCTCTCCGTTCGCGTTTTACGCTTTCTAAATTTGATGAGGTTTTACACAGTTTGGAATTATCGCGTTGATCGCCCATTAGTTAGTGTACGGTTAAATCACAGGATTTGCGGTTTCCTAGTCCTGGTGTTAGAGATAAATAATAGAGATAAACCTTGAATACCTATGATGACCCGTGGTTTGCTGAATGCAAATAATGAAATTTCAAAGAATTTACCTTTCTTACAGTTTCGCTGATACGAATGGTCGTTTTAGTCCAGTTACTCAAAACTTTATGGATTTCATTGATAATCTTTGCTGTCCTATTGGCTGGACCACGAATCTTTTTTACTAGATCCCAGGACCTTTCAATGGAGTTTTCAGACAAATCGATTTCACCCGACGCGTCTCTCGAGTTTTCATCGGCTTCTTCTGTTTTTCCTTCGGCCTCTTTCAATTTTCCTTCAATGATGGTTAACGTCTGATTAACTGCGTCTAATCGTTTCATTAGTTCTTTGTCGTGCACTGAGGTATCTTGCGCCCTCGACAGTAAGATAAGGAGTTGTGTTTTAGCGCTATTTAAGCGTTTTAAGAATTCTTCGTCGGGATTTGTGCTCGCATCACCTGTGGGACCATCACTGCCTTTCGTCTCGTTCAAGGCTTTTAGGATTGCACGGAGTTTGTTCACCTTGATTTGTAATTCGTCGTAGCATGGAGGACATCCTGAAGAGAAATTTAGATTCTGAAAATCTGGAACCGTCAAAAGGACTAAAGCCATCTTGTTAAATGGGGAAGAGAGCCAATGAGAGTTCAACCTCTCTCTCCAGTTTGATCGACTCTTGCAGACTTTTATTAGTATCATCATCTCGAGTAAGGGGGTAACTAGAACGATAATTGGGGGGGGGGGAATATTCATATATTCAGTTCTGCCCCACGGATTTCTATTGTAAGCTATTGCATTTACAAAAGAAATCCGCCGGGCAGAACTGGATATATGAATATTCAGCCCCCCAATTATCGTTCTAGTAACGCCACTGACTCGAGTTATTGTTTGAACAAAGCTTTATAACTAAAACCCGGGGATGATTCACATACAGGTATCTATATATGCGTGAGATTGCAAACAGCGTCAACTTACGTGTACATCCGGCGGAAAGATTGAAGCGATTTTCCCCACATTGATCACATTTCACCCCAAGTACCCCGGGACGACAGACACAACGGCCATTCTCGTCACATGACACACCAAGCGAGCCATCGGGATGACAGTTGCAAGCTGGAATATATGTAAAGAACCGTTTACGATTTTATGCGCGTTTTCTTTTTTTGATAGATGTAAACGAACGAATTAGTTACGGATGTTCAAATAAGAGCTTTTCTTAGAGCCGCTGAGCTTAAATAAATCAGAGCATTTGTAACTAATTACTCTCTCCCATCTATCAAAAGAGGAAAACAGCAAAAATCTAAAATTTAAGTTTATTCGAGTGTTTAACCAGCCTGTGAGATTTAGGTCAAGAAGAGCCTCAGCGACGATTGAGTTTTGCTTTGAATGATCTTGTTTTATAATATATTTTTACCTTTGCATCCTTCGGGCGAGAAGCGATAATGATCTGGTAAACATCGGTCACATTGTCTTCCTCCTACTCCTGGTTTACAATTACACTGCCCTGAATGTAATTCACAGCTATCATTATAAGCTCCGGTTGAATGACAACCGCATGCCTCACAACCATTGCCTGAATTAATGTTCCAATAATTCTCCCGGCATTGATCGCATTTTAAACCAATCACGTTCTCTCGGCAAACACACTGGCCATTTTCGTCGCATGGAAGAGGTGTGTTGCTTGTTGTCTGCGGTGGAACGTATGTCCCGTTTTCATGACAGTCACAAGCTGTAGAGAAAACGGTTGATCACAAATCAAAACCAGAAAACAATGATAAATTTCAAAAAGGAACAGAAACACATGACAAGAAAGTAGTTTTCACTTTTCACTCACGTTTGCATCCGGGCTTTGGGTATGACGTGGCATCGCCATAGTAGCCGACCTTACAAAGTTCGCATTGATTCTTAGGACCATTTCTGGTGTTATAAATACATTTAAGACAATCTCCTGTTTCCGAATCACAGTTCTGTACAGCATTCGTATCAATGTTTCCATTGCAGTTGCACTTCGTGCATTTGGTCTTCGGTCCTCGGCTGCCAGTGGGATCACCATAAAATCCATCGATACAAGAGTCACACAGGTCACCTTGGGGTAAAATATATACATTCAGAAGTACATGTTTCATCTACTTATATAAATGTCTTGCACTTATCGACTTATTTAATAAAAAACGAGAGATTAAGCTACGAGAGTCCAAGTGCTGGTAATGGCTCACCTGACCTCTTATGAATGTGAAAAGGTACAAGCACACATTTGGAATTTATCCAAAATTTGTTAACATTCTTTTGGATAGAAATCCGAGTAACCGATGAAAAACCAAGTTTTTTAAAACAGTGTTGATATAAGACTATGAATAGGCTCAACCTAGGCCCTTTCACATCACCCCTTTTTCATACCTTGATGCCCTTCTGGACAATCCGTGCACTTGACTTTAGAACCAATCAAAATGCACTGCTTTCCAAACACACACGGACATGGTTTGCAGTCGTCTTTTGTCCCAGCAGTTGGGTTGCCATAATAACCATCCTCGCAACGCGAGCAGTCAACACCGACTGTGTTATCTTGGCAGAGACACTTGCCTGTGTCAGGATCACAGATCTCTGCGTGGTTATTACATTCACATCGGACACACCTGATGATAGATAAACAAATGAAACAAGATAACTTGCGGGCAAGCTTTTTCGAGCAATTTGTCAAAGAAAATTTCAATCCAATGTAATTATTTATCTATTTATTGTTTCACTTGAAGTTAAAAGCTTTCGTATTCGTATTTGTATGCGAAATCGCTATTTCAGTCAAGTCCACAATGGTTTGAGAAACAATGTTTTATAAAATCGCTCTACCAAATTTTATTCGTTTTGAGCCAAGATGTTCTGAAGTTGACAAATCTGTCAGTTCGCCCTTCTTTGAAACGGTTTGAAATTGATACTGGAGTTGAATGATACATTCAAATTAAAAAGAGAGAATAGATCTTTCTCATAAATGACGTCAAACGTGAAAAGCTTCGCAAAACTAACGCGCTAATCAAACTCATGTATCATCAAGCCTTTCTCGTTTGACGTCATTATGAGAAAGGCGGTCTAGCCAGTCCGTAAAAATGCAATCACAATGGATCAAAATGTAATCACAATGGATCTCTAGAGATAAGTTGCAGTCTTACCTATCATATGAAGAACCGTTAACAGTTTCGTGTTTATGACCTTCGCGACAAGCACCACAGGACAACCCCACATAAGGTGGGGGGCATGTGCATTCCTCCACCCAGTTCACAAAGTCAACAGAATTTTCATCTTTCGTCGCATACTCCAACGAGATATCATCAATGATTCCGGTGCCTTGGTCTGAGTAAGTCATCCGGATCTTAATTTCGTCCAAATGGTTGAGCAAACGTTGGAAATCGAAGGCTGAAAGCTGAGGTTTCCAGTCAAATGATCGATCTTCGTGTAAACGGAACTGATACAATTGGAATTGACGGGTTGGTACAGGATTGCCTGTCGGGAAATGAGTCAAAAGTAAATTGTGTATTCTTGCATGCTACGGTAAATTAGGAAGGCTCGTAAGTAGTAATCAGTCAATTAAACGCACTCGCCATTCAGTTTTATTAAGCTTGTTAAAACGGCAAGTTTGAACTGTCGATCTGGTTAACCTTATAGGTTTAGGAAATAATTATACCCACGCGTGGGTACCAAATGTCTCGAATAAGCTCCTTTTCAAACACGCCGCCTCTAATCTTTATCTTTTTCGGTCAAAAAATTGATTGAAAATTATTTTAAAACTATGTTCCTCCGCCTTATGCACTAAATCACACCAAACGTCTTGCTAAGTTTATTATATTGCCCTTGTTACTACCTTAAAATTAATACGCCGTTGGACCTGGGGCTTTAAGAGATATGTGGGCCTAAAAATCTTTATTTATCCTATCGCTACGCTGTTGCAAACTTATGGTTTTCCAAAGAAAAGGGCCTATCCTTTTACACCAGGGGCCGGTTGGAATGACGTACTTAAACATAACTAACAATGAATACTCTTGTTTTATTGTTTTCATTTAACAAAGAGTGCTGGTAATTACGTCATTCCAACTATCACTCATGCATGTAATCATTCTTGCGTGTAAAAAGTTGCGAGAGAGCGGAGTAAACGGGGGAAAAAATCCAATTTTGAAACGTTTCGCGGCGGACCTAATGTTTATCAAATTTTTTGAAATTGCGATACATTGCACAAAAGATTCCAAACTTTCACCTCTTCAACTGAACTTGGATTTTCAACGTCTCATTTTCTTTGCACAAGCGGTTAAAAATGAGGCTTTTACAAACCGTTCTCCCGCTTTTCGAGGTTAATTTTTCTGCTAGTTTTTACTGTTAGATAAGCCAGAAGATGCTAAAATACTTAGACGTAAATATATTTTTGAGATATCTTGATAAAATGATAGTTTTCTGAACATTTTAAAATCTTCTAGTTTTTTCTGATACACCCTGTATATAGAGGTGTCTAACTAATCTAGATTAATAATTTTTCGTTCCAAAGCTTTTGCTTTTCATACATTTTTAGAACGGTTGAAAAAAGCACTATCCAGCTTCGTACCACCGGCCCCATGCAGGGGCTGAAGCTGTGCCCTATCCTCCCCAGGGTAATCCTCCCCTGGGTGAGTAACTATTCGTGATTCTCTTATTCTTACCTTGTCCAGTTATAGAAGTAGATATTTTGAGTCCATCTTTGCTCCTGGATACCAACATGATGTCATCTTGAGTGAACTGCATGTTCGCTGTATCGGCAACTTTGAAACGGAATGAGAGTATCCTGGAGTAACTACTTCGTTTCATATTAAGATACGAGGCTGGAGCTGTGAGGTACAGCGAGTCTTGATTAATCGATGTTACGCTGAGGCTCTCGCTGCCCGCATTCCACGTGGCAAGCTCACGAGTCACATCTTCACCTAAAAAGAAAGAATTCCCTGTTGTTAATTAGAGGCAAGAGAGATTGACAGATGCTAGCAAAGCTGCTTATGGTTCTGTACCTTTACTATTCAAAGCCCGCCATTCTTCTCTTCCAAAGCGGAACACTGACGTGAGGTTGATACTGGAATATCCACCAGCAGACTTACAGTCTGAAGAGTGGCCGTAGCAAAAACATTGTCGGCAACCATACGGGTTATCAGCCTCCAGAGCGAAATGACCCTCCAAACATTGGTCACAGTTCTTACCAATCACATTTTTCTTACAAGTACATTGTCCGTTCTCATCACATTGAAAGTTGTCTGGTCTGGTGCCTAGGACTGAACATTCGCATGGACTACAAGGAGGAAATGCGTTTTATTTCAATCAGAATTTCTTCCAATCGATGTGCAAATATGTATCGTGTTCTTGCAGTCAGGAATGTTTCTAGTCAGACCTAATACTTCAGCAAGAAGTTTTTGAATCAGAAATACATGACTTTGCGGTGGGATTCTCAACAGGAATCATGACACGGGTTGTGACAATTGATATGTGCGAATTATAATTTTAGGATCTCTGATCGAGGCTATAGCCAGAAATTTTTGAGATAAAGAGTACCCAGATGATCCTTAAGGCCCTAAAATAGCTCTGTTTTATGTTTCAATCTTGTTTGTATGGACCTAAATAGCCTGGCGACTTAACAGAGTGCAACACACTATTCCGTTCAAGTATTGAGATGAACAAACTACATTAGATTATACACTAACCTGCATCCGTCGGCAGAGAAACCATAATAGTTGGGTCTACAACGGTCGCACTTGTCCCCAGTCACTCCGGGCTTGCAATAACACCTTCCGTCTTTGTAACATTGAAGACTCTGGGAACCAACAGGATTACAATTGCATGCCTTGCATTCTTCTTCTTCAGTTTCACGATGGTAATTTTCTTTGCATCTCTCACAATGAGGGCCACCAGTGTTGTTGCGGCAGTCTAAACATCTTCCACCGCGGCCTGTTCGTTGGTATAGCTGGTCGTCAAATTCACACGTTTCCGCCAAACCATTGCATTCGCATGCTAAAAGAGATGAACAACAACATACAGGTTAATCCGGAGAGTAACTTGGAGCGTAAAAAAACACCAAAATTTAAAAGCGGTGGACCCAGGCATTATTCTGAGGAAAATTTGTCACGGCAAGGGCAAGAAATGGTTAAATTTTTGTAGGAATTCTCTGACTGCCCTGTTAATCAGTACATGTTCTGATTCTGTAACTTAAAACTTACGTAGTTGACTAATTCTATACGGCTAAATCCGAATAAATATACATGTACTCCCTGCTTACAACAATGTGCATATATATATGAGTATATATAAAAGTGATAAATATCGCGCATATTATCACTGCACAAATCTTATTCATCATTGTCCGGATTGGTTATCATTGCCTCTTAGAATAATCCCCAGCCCCCAAGTGACTACACCACGGGTGTTCGTTGTAGCTGACGCCATTCCCTGATTTGAAAGCATTATTTAATATAAGCACCAAAATTAACATTAACCCTATTAAACCCTGACATCCACGAAGAACCTTTGTGGGTATAATGGTATATAAGTTTGTTAACTTTGTAAGGACGTGATCATTATAGAATCGTCAGCATGAGCTATCGCATGCACGTTGTATAGAAACACACTCAAGGCACGTTTTAACAACCAACGTACAGCTTCGGCTTCAAACCTAGATTATAAAAGTATAAAAAAGTATACCTAATCACAGCTGTATTTGCTGAGTACCGACTCGCCCACTCGTCCTTCGCGTGTGGTTTTTGTGAAAAGGTTATATATCAATGTTTTTTTTTAACAAATATGGTCATGGTTTGTTAACAACTTTGTGCTAGACAATACATACTAACTATACCCAAATCACATCTATTGAATTCTCAAGTACCTGCAAAAACCATTTCTAACGGTAGCTAAAACATTCGCAGATAGATGAAAAACAACTAAATTGGCACTTCAGCATAGCTACCTCGCTAGACTTAAAATGATGCATTTTACAAGTGTTGAGAGATATATAAGTAATAGTCAAGATGGTCTGTCAGATAAAAAGTTCTGTCGCTCTTACTTAGTTCTGTAAAACCACTGGGCATTTGAAAAACGTTTGGAAGCTTGAGATAAGCCACGTACATTGAGCCACGTACGGCAAATGATAACTATAGAGCAAGACTATAAGTACTGGTTATTTGGAAATAGGATTTTGTACATAAGCTCGTTTTCGTGTGTTCTTGCATGGATAACGACAGGACATTCTTAATTTCCACAACTAAAACCTCCTGGAGAAATAAAGTCGGCTGCGTTGAAACCTTGTTTACGTTTTCTCAAAAATGAAGAATTCACATTTATGAATGGATAGTATTGAAACAGGTGAAATATAGCCATATATGTCCATCTATGGATCAAAAGGAAATAAATAAACAGAGACGTGTTAATTGAACAGAAACTACGGTGACAAAACGGGAAAACAAGTATTCTAATGTTATCGTGTATAGGATTACATGCATATCAACACGTTCTCTTGATACGGTGCCAAAAAACCATGCCCTGCGACACCTTATAATAGAACCAAGGTCATGTTATTAATCTGAGAAATCACGTTCTCTCGTCGACGTCGTGTCTGGATGAATTTTGACGATATGAAAAATATTTGCCAGTTTCAGATTTTTGAATTTTTATGGGACACTGCAAAGTAACTGTATCACAATGTTAAATTCATATCACATTCAAGACAATGTTCATAATCTCAAAAACAATGTAAAGGCCTATGAATTTGACTTATTTGTCAATTTGGCAAAAGTTAACTACGCTAAATTACATCATGCTGGAAGGCGAAACTGTTCCTGTTTCGTAGTGCTTTTTGGTGAGCCTTGTGCCTAACCGGTCCGTGATTCACGCGCTGTTTGACAGATAAGTAATTTTAAGGGTCCTAAGGGATAAAAAACTCGGGTATGAATATTTGAATAGATGGAGTCTGAGAACAATTTGATTGTTTCGAGAACCCACGTTGAAATATAGCTTTTCACGGGTCGAAATTTGATAATGTGTAAATGACGTATTAGTACTATATTTGGTGATGATTCTTGGCTGAATTCCTACAGTTTTATGCATCTACATTGCCAAAATTCTTTGCCAGTATAAACCAATGTACATTACGTAAACATATCTGAACTACCCTTTGACCCTCTTAACAACGTAAATAACACAAGTTCATATATAGGCCTTATATGTCATATCGAGGCTCTGGGGTAATTTCGAAGATATCAATACTTCACATTAGGCTAAGTATTAAAACTGTCCTGTGACGGAGGTTGTATCATGTCACTCCCTCTTCCCGGTTTGACCACCAACGCTATAGGCTATAGTGACAGTTGTTCCCTTCTTTTCCCGAATGTATAAAAATAGGTGTGAAACCCTCCAAATATTCTGACCTACCAATTGGGCAGGTCAATCAATGATGCAGGGATCAAGGTGGGGCAGGGGAAGTATAGATGTATTTTAACTTTTTAGTAATCCCAGTTCGATACAGCTTTTTATTTAATGATATTGAAATCTTATCTTCTGATGATTTATGGTGGTAGCTATTACGTTAAGAATTGTTCTCTTTAAAAGTGCACAACCATGAAACAGTACCATGCATATACAAAATTTTATCTCACTGATCTCAGTAGCCATACTATGGTTTATGGATATGAGTAATTACCATTCATCTGGGTAGCTCTAGTCTACAAGTGGAATGGAATTTTGATCTTTTCTAGACCCCCAGAAGCATCACGGAATCCAGTAAATATCAATTATTACAAGTTAAAATAGCCTAATAGATAAACATCTAACATCGGGCATTTATCAGCAGAATTAGAATACATGTAAAAAATCTTCTTGAAAGCTTTTAGACAAGGTGTACCGTATTAAGGTTTTAATAGTCTGCGATAGGAAACCGATCCTTTCCGCAGGGCCTACAGATCTTCATGGTATCAGAAAACTTGGAAAAGGACTTCCACACCATGAAAATATTTCCCACATATTGAGAAAAATATTTCTAAACATTTCTGTGATACTCGACGGTCAAAAACCACACACGCACCTCTCCTATTTTAAAAACGTGCGACAGCTTATAACATAGATGTTCCTTTTAAAGATTTGGTCAAATTGCCAAAAAATGTAGCTTTGAGTCTGCTTGTATCTCATATTATTTCTATTGTCAACTATCCAGAATCCTAAATTTTAACAAATTTTATAACATTGTTAACAATACTCGCCAGAGGGTTCTCCTTGTGACGTTTTTTTAAGGATCGGAATTGAATATTTTTTCATATTGGTTGTGTTGCTTTAACTCAGTTGATGAACAGTCAAATTAACGCAAAAGCATTTGTATTTTGTGTCCAGCTGAGAATTAGAAAAAAAGAAACCTGTTTGTTTTGTTCTTTAATTTCAGAAATTACCGCCAAATATTACTAAACCACAATCCTTCTTAAATCCCACGCTTCTCGTAAACCTATCCACGATCCGCGGTTGTTTATCAGATATTTATCGATGAAAATCAACGAAAACGTATATACCACTCTTAAACCTAACCAGAATCAGCAATGAAAAATGCAAGAGATTGTTATCTTTGGGAGAAATCGAACAAATCTCGTCATTCTTCTATAATGATAAACAACTATCCTCGATTTCACACGCGAGGGGAGTGGAAAGAGTGTTAACTAAATAATTTCATACCTTCACAAGCGTGTGCATTTGTACTGGTAGCCATTCCCCAGGGTTTGTTATTATGAGTTGGTAAACATCTCTCGCAGTCCACACCAGCCGTATTGTGTTGGCATTCGCAAGCATAATTCCCAGTCGTATTGCTTTTCTTGCACTCCGAAGCGTGTCCATTGCACAGACATTTGCCGACAACACTAAGATCAATGATCGCATAGTAATAGCTCCTCAGGACATTAGGGTCACCAAAAATATCATCTCCAAAAGTATTTAAACGATCAAGATCGAACTTAAGGGAATACGCGCGAATCCAGTCTTGAAGTTGAGGTAACCTTTCTATCTCGTTTCGGCCCGGTCGATTTGCTAGTGTTCTAAAGAGAACCTCACCACCAAAAATAGGCACCAGGTTACTATACTTCGCAGTGCACAACGCAGTCTGTAAGTCATCTCGGCCTTCGATTATATAATTGGGATCAACACTATAAGTCGACAAACAAGACCGTGAGTAATATTGATAAGGAATCCATTGAGCGTCTCCATCAGACGTGCTTTGCTTGAAAATAGCCATTGATTCTGGCCGAGTCGAGCGAAATCGTAAACGTATACTGACAATCTCGAATGTTTTCCCCAAGTCGAGCGTTAGTACAACTCTAGACAATCTGGTTCGCCTGTCATAAAGATCATTTCGGATGAATGTGAAAAGAGTATCAGACTGCCACCAAGAGTAGTTTTTGTCGTTTTTAATATCGGTTATAAAGAATTCCCTATGTGACAAATCCTCATTGTTGTTGTCGCAGATCTGGCATTCTTTCGTTTGACCGGTTGATAACGTCTGTACACAGTATTTGCTTGGAGGTGTACCGCATGTGTTAGTTGAAACCATCCGACGGTTAAAAGCAGCGTTTACAAAATCAGGAACACATCGAATCGGCCTTGAATTGAAATCGTAGCATTTCATTTTATCGCGGTTTGCGTCTTTTGCTGCCACGCCGAATAGCAGAAACGCAACGGCAAAAATTACCCTACAATGCGTCATCTTTGAACGCGCAAATTGTGAGTCCAGAAATGCGCAAACCTTCGTCTGACAACTTCGAGCTTTTCGACTTGTGATGTCGGACAGGTCGAGCGAAATTGGATCTTTTGGCATTTATCATAAAACACAACATTCTTGCACCCGAGAGGTGTTGCGATGACAGAAAGGCTTAATTCATCAAAGGAAATGTGTGTAATTAACGGCATCTCATAAAAACCGAACTATATCTAAACTGGACTCGAACACTGAAAGACCGTTTTATTCAACCACCAGGACACATATCTTGCAATCAAAACACGGAGAAATATTGCATAGTCGCTATTAACCGAATTCACATTGGTATGTACTTAAGGCTCTGTTACACGGTGCAATTTTTCTTGCAACTTGCAATGCAATTCTTCTTTTGAGAGATGTAAATTTGGCAACTACCGAACTATTGTCTTTATTACAATCCATGGCTTTTCTTACATTTACATTTTGAGCCCTTTTACAATTTTACATCTCTTAAAAGTAGAATTGCATTGCAAGTTGCAAGAAAAATTGCATCGTGTAACATGGCTTTTAGTCGAATACAGTTAGTTTCATTGAAATTTTGAATAAACCATGCATATTTTCTCTGAGCATGCATGCACAGAAGGGTCAAAATTCAAAAGCGACAACAGTATGCAGGGACCGATTCAAGTTTTTGGCCTTGTACTTTGCAGCTCATTTTTGGTTTTCAAGATTTGTTTTTGAGGAAAATACCCGTAGTATATCATGTATGATAATACCCGTAGTATGATAATACCCGTATAGTATACCATGATATTACCCGTAATTATATCATTGTAATTTTTTTTAAAAAAATAGCAAGAGGTGTTATTATTGAAGAACATTTTTGAAATATTTCAATTTAAGCAAGAAACGTCAAAAATACAAACCAAACAAACCCAACCAGTCCCGAAATTATAGTGCTGTTAGACAGTCCAGCCTTTATTTTGGAGCTTATAGATCCTGTTATCTGATTGGCTCACAGGCCATAATATGGCGTGGCGGAATTTCCCTCAGGGGTTTTCAAATATCCCGACCTTTTTTGGCCGATAATATTTCTCACAGACAACACACCCTCAAATTTGTAAATCATTAAGGGATGCATCAACCTATTCAAAAAATTGCCTATCCTAATTGGTTAAATGGGCAAATAGTATGCTTTAATATGAATTGTTGGGCAAATATACAAACGTTCGTGTGTTTTTCGCACTAAATAAACAGATAAGCACTGCAAAGGCCGCCGGTCAGGGCTAGGACGGAAACACAGCATGCTAGGTGGCATCGCTAAACAGGAAACATTACATTTCCCACGGGGCAAAATTTTTCGACATCAATTTCAATTACATATTTTGATAGCAGTCAAGAACATTGTTGACATTGTTTACGAAGCAGTTGCAAACGTTTTTTCTCTTTTTTGAGCCATCGTGTAAAAGTAATGCTTCTCGTTACATTACGGTGTACTGCAGAGTAGATGGTCTTAGAATTAGAACTAAAATGTGACGGAAAAAATAATTTGAAAAATAAAAATTAAAGCCCAAGGCTTGGCTTTTTTGTCATTTTTAAGTGTCGTTCGACGTTGTGGATTAAATATATTGATCATCACCTAAAATAGGCAGTGAATACAAGTTTACGTTGTTGCAGGACTTGCGTCGAGGAAAATCATTAAGAAGTTCTCTTGAAGTTATTGAATCTTGAAGATATTGATGACTCTATATTTGACGGAACCACAAACTAAAACAAATCACGCGTAAAACATCCTCATCCCCCTAGTTTAGACCTCCAACAACTTGACTTGCGTTGGGTGGATTGAACAGTACACGATAAAAGGTGGATCGCAAAAACAACACTGACGCTAAGAAGTTAAGCAGTTGAAACGGATGCAGATATATATCCCTAAATTTCATTTGCATTTCAAGATAACCTACTCCCATTTACGATGCAGGTGCGGTGCCCTGAAGGCGGGTTTTCACTAAGGGGAATTCTTCGATGGAGCGAAATTTCATGCTTTGAAAGATCACAATTGATTTGAAAATCAAGCGAAAAATATCATTCGAACCGGTTCTTTAACAAACCCTAGTCCCTACTCCCTAGACGACTAAAGGTTGATTTTCCCGAACTATTCTGATTTGCTGTTGAGGTAATCGCATGGTTTTGCTCCTCGTAACCTCATTTAATGGAGGGCGGAGGGCGAAACGGGTGAGCTCGACCTTCAGAGTATGCCGTGACAGTTTATCTGTTGGTGGGCTAAAGGCGCAAGTTTAACAATCATGCAGCTGTTAGCTGGATGATAACGTTTTGTATACTAATGCAAATTATTGCGACTCGAACTGGTTCTATTGTGAAGTATACATATTATATTATAGCTATACATATGACTATTCAAAAAGCCACGAGTCAACTCCCACGATGGTTAGATCATAACTGCATCCCTGTGTATTTTAATTGTTTACTTTATCATGTTGTATGGCCTTTCATTTCATTGTTATTTCTACCGGCATGATGCTGTTAAAATGTTATCAAAACCTCTTCTAAGTCGCCTTTGTAATATAAATCATCAGGTATAGGACACAGAGAATGGAAAGAGGCAAGGAATTGTTTTGATATAACGAGGTGAAAGAAAACTAGCCTGAAGGGAAAAAGGGAACCGTATTCTGGTCTTCGATATTTAAGCCCAAAATATTACTAATATTATTTGTATTATCACATGCGAGTCACGAGTGGTCAAACTGATCCACGATCCTCGTTTTATGTAAAATTTGAGCAGACGCAATGGGTGTTGTCTGCTGTTTCCGCCAGGTCAAACCTGATTTACCCAAATTATTTTCCTAATAGAAAGTTAGCGTGATACTTTTTGTTGCGGCAGTGATCTTTTAAATAAACGACCGATTGTATTAAACCTACAGTAAACGCGTTAAAGTTTTCTCTCTTTGAATTTTTCGCGCCATTTCCGGAGAACAATGACCGATTGATTTAAATACAGAAAATAAAGATAAATTTAGATCCGCACTATTTCACATCGGTGAGGATGCCTTGTTCACTACAATTACGACAAAATGAAAACTAGGCTTTTACAATCATTCAATGGGCTTTACTTCGCTATTTGGTTGCGCGAATGCAATCTAAATTCTAAACAATAGTAAAGTTTTAATGATGTTGATTATCAAACTCGCTCCGTTAATTATCTTATGATCTTATCTAGAATTATTTTAGCGCAATTGACGCGCCCGAAATGCGACGCCAAACTGGCAAACTAGGCCTATAAGTATGTTGCTTACTAATGTAACAACACTTATGTTAAGTGTTTGAAAGGAGACAATAGACAATTTTCATTCATGTCACAATTCTTGGTTTAATCAACAGCTGTTAAACAAACACAATTCACGAATTAAGCAACTGTATTGTTTAGTCGGAGTTTGTGTTTCTGTGTTCGCGATTTCTGATGTCCCTCTTTTTTAAGCGACCGTCCACTACTGACATCAATAAACTTTGCCTGGAACCAGTTAAGAGCTCTCGCATTTGTAATTTTGTGTATTGCTGACTGCTTTCCAATTTTCAAAAATGTTCAAAGCGAGATTTCTTAGCAATTCTAGAGTGTCATGACCCTAACTCCTTCTTAGTTTTTTTTTACCTGTAAACCTGACGCCCTCTTTGTAACATACCGCGTCCACTCGTCCAGGACCACGAGTGTCATCTGTCATGCAGCAAAGTTGGTGGAATTAATGCTGCTCCAGTCACTCTACCTTCCTCCAAAAGAAAGTTATATGTTGCACAAGCATTGGCCTGGAAAAAACACAAAAAAAATGAACAGAATACAAGTATACCAAGCTGTTACTGAAAAGAAATATGACCATCAAAAAATAATTATAACAAGGATGCAATTTATGGAATCAATCTATTTTTTTTCCTGCAAATGTACTCATTGCTCTTACTGTGTCTTGGACTTCCAAAGCAATCCTTTTCTTTCTCAACTCTCTGTGAATTTCTTTATCTAACTTTACAACCTTATCGCCTGTTCCAATTACAATAATATCTAAATGATAAGTAAAATATATACAAATGTATAATATGATGTAAATCAAAAACAAATTATATCATTAATAATAATAAATTTCTAATTTTTTCTAATTTCATTAATAAATATGGCAAGCTTATTAATGGTGAAAAATTGTAGCTACTAAAATCAAACAACTTGCCTATAGGTGGTTTGACAAGGGTAAATAATTCTAAACTTTCAAGACATATTTCATGAGGATTTTTTACCTAAACAAAAATAAAATATATGAAGTGAGAAACAAAAACCCTCCTTCCTGTCAGTTGTGTGCCCTTGAAAAACACCAGATGTCAGAACTTCATCATCACTATACAGAACACATCTTTTGATCAACATCATTACCTTCCAATGCAAAAATAAACCTGGTAATATAACCAATGATCCAAGCACTCTTGAACCATGAACAACAAATCCTTTGGGACCATATCTGGTGACATATGCTGGCTTGTGCTTGCTAGATCCCTCTTTTGGATGTGTGATAAAGTTTACTGAAGTTTTCATGTGTTCATCCTCAATATCACGATACATCTGACTTGATGTTTGGATACTGCAATGAAACGAATGGTCAACTTCAAAAATGTCTAAAATTCAACTAGAGATTCCAGACTGTCATTTCGGCAGTGAACAGAGAAGATATTCCTGCACCTTTGCTAACTGTTAACATATACTGTGAATAGGTCTGGGGCTTGAATCTGCGCTATATGCAATGTTTAATTTCGTAATTTTTATATCAAGAGTCGTTTGTGATTTTATGACATAAACTTATTAATCGACCGATGACCATCATGCTGATGGTTACGGTCCCACTAAAAACAGCCCGAGACCGCCCGAGAGTATAGAAAAACCGCCCGAGAGTAAAGTAAACCGCCCGAGACTTCGACGGTCCTGTCAAAATATTTATTACTACTATTTCACTTCACTTGTTCAAACAAATTCAAAATATGTGAAAGTTTGGCAATTTCTAAATCCCTAATGTTATGAGCAGAACCAATGCGCAGAAGCCGGCTGAATAATAAATGTGACATGGTGTTGGCTCTAAGAGCAGCAGATGAACAGGATATAGTTCAACTGAAAAAACTCTAAACTATAGATCTAGAGACCTTTTATTTTAAAATTGATTGAAATTTAGGGACGAACCAGTCATTTTTTTTAAAGGCATGGGGGGGGGGTAGAATCTGAAAGATGAATTACAGCAAAATATTATCATCAAAAGTTGTTCGTTTAGCAGCGAAACACATATATTTATTATACATTGATATAGCTGGTATACGGTATGCCGTACATTAAATATATATTGATATGACTATAGCAGTATTCGGCCCTTTAACAATGTTGTTGAACCTTGTCCTTTAGAAGATTTCTGTCAGCCGCTTTTTTAAAGTCTCGGGCGGTTTTTCTATACTCTCGGGCGGTCTCGGGCGGTTTTTAGTAGGACCCGATGGTTAACGTAAGACTTTTCGCAAAAATTTTCAAGATTACGGTCAAGTACAGTCTTGATTCGATTTATTTGCTCAACTGTGAAACCTAAAACTATTATATTTTATAACTGAAAATACTCAAGCACACTGTGTCAACTGCCAAGCACGCGATTAAATGCCGGTATCAAAATCTGGTATAGTTTTCTTGTACCCATGCAGGCTTGTACATTAAAAAGAGATAAGACATACATACCTTCTCCATACGACTCGAAGACAATTCTTGAAACTACCTCTTTTGAACCTTACAGAAAGCATAATATGATCAATTCTGTCTATTTTACAAAATTTAGAACATAAAAAACAAAATTCTCAACAATATAAAGTTCGCCGCCATATTGCACCGATAATTACACGCAATCTTACATAAAGTAACGGCAACGTGCAAATTGACAAATTCCATTTTGTGAATTGTGACCATTGGACCAATAGTGTCTGCCTGTATCAGTGGTCTGTATGTTTTGTAAAAAAATGGCCTAAAATCTGCACAGGTTTTCTAGACCCAAATATTTCTGGGGTGACAGCTGGCCCCTGTTTTCCGTCCCGTACACTATGCCAAAATGTATCATGTTGAGTTTAGGATCAATTCATCAAATGGTGAATCTATGGTAATGGTATTGGTTATGTGGCAAAGCGCGCGGAATTTCCGTCGCTGCCCCTGCTATTTACTCAGTCGTTATGGTGAATGGTGATGCAGCAGAAATGAAATCAGATTATAATTTATTAATAATTTATAGATTTTATATGATACATCTATTTACACTGAACTATGTACACCCGGCAGAACAACAAAATTAAGTTTCAGTAAGGACAGATCAAACCACACAAACGGTAGTCGGCGCATATTTAAACTTCTTCTGTGGCATAGAAAATCACTGATTAAAAATAAAGCTAGAAACATCAGATTTGCAAGTGAACACGTATATCTAAGTCTACTGTCTACGCCGGCAGTGTATGTACACTTTGACAAATAGCCGACTCGTTTTCATACTTTCTGCTATACGTTCAAGCTAGATTAATATTCAGTTCACATTTCTCAAAAGAGAGTATAAATTTGCGACGACTTGCCGTTCGTTTTTGTGCTGATCATGGTATAAATATAATAAGAGATTAAGAGAAACAGATAAAAAGTGTGTTGAAGCACATATATCTGCTTTGAATGGGCCCTGAATGCGTGTTATATTCAACGACATCTTCGGATAAAAAATATTCAAGAACTGATATGAAACAAAACTAATCAAAACCCAACTTTCACGAAAACAGTAGTAAAAAATATTCTGCATTTAAAAATCACACCGATTCGACATAGACATCTTTCCAATATTTTTTGGGAAGTTCCGGAGTTCTGTAACTGCTTTGATAGTGTTTCTCTTGGAACAATGGATTTTCCACTGTCATATCCTCTCCCTAAATAACAAAACACTGTATTATTATTACACTGACTGACACAAAGACACGCACTAAATAGCGTGTTCCTATTTTTTGTTTCATAGTCTAGTCTGTCTAGGTCCTATCAGGCATCAATTGGTCGCCCAAATCACGGCTGGGATTATAGATGTGTAAAGAGCTAATATACGCTCAGCTGATAGTGACATAACCGTCCAACACGTTCAACTTAAAGACGTAGGAACCAGAACGCAGTCACTTATACGTAATATTTTGAACAATATTCATAGCTTTGCAGAAAATCAAACGCAATGCAGTAAATGACAGTCATCGACCTCGATCTGAGTCTGATTATGAAGATAATGGACCTATTCGGTAATTACGTCACATTGTCTTAAATTTAGAACCACCTTAAATGAGATGGATTTCAAGTTTTACTCTCACAAGCTATGTGCAAAGATGCAAAACATCCTTCTATAACCCGTGCATGAAGAATAATCATTTTGACTAATAAGTATGGAAATAAGCCATAACGCGGGAACGAGGCTCGCGGTCTTGGCCCCTTAGCCTCGTTCTCGTGTTATGGCTTATTTCCACATTTATTGGTCAAAATAAAAAATTTTTCATGCATTTGGTGAAGAACAATGTTTTGTAACTTTGCACGTGGCTCGTGAGAGTAAAACTTGAAATCCATTTCATTTTAGGTGGTTCTAAATTTTAAACGTTGTGATGTTAAAATGTTGTGACGTAATTGCCGAAAAGGTCTATTGCATTAATGCATTTTACCTATTATCCATAATTTAGCTGCATGACAAAATTTAATTTCAACCTACCGAAGCAGCTAATCCGGGACATTCATAAATGAAATCTTCGCCATCCTCAGAATCAGATTCTTCGTCAGAAGACTCGGAAATATACACATCAGGAATACTTTCATTACTCGCTCTGTGTAAAGAAAAATGTAAAGTAAGAGAATATGTATAACATTTGTTGACATTTTACAATTTAAGTCTGTTTGAGCGTTTTCATTGCTATATATAGGGGAGTAATGTCCTGTGAATCAGTACAAATTTTTTTGTGATCTTTAGATCATTAAAGAAAGATGCTAGTATATGTATCCACTTTCTAATAGTTTAGCATTACCCTATAAAATATATTTTTCTAGGTGAATATTGGGTTTTCCAAGTTTGCTTTTAACAAAACAGGGAATCATTTACGAAAAAGAAACTATTTTTACAGATTCAAAGATAATCAAAACTGTGAAAGAAGAAGTATCTCACTGATTCCTTTTTACTATCAGGGTCAGTATAAGACATTTAATTTTGTAAGATTTAACGTATACTCTTTTATTTAAGAGCGGAAAGTGAAAGTCATTCTTTATTTGTGACCGAGTTTCTCTTGCAAATTTACCGCCTAAAAGAGACAATTGTTCAAAAATCTGACTTGTTAACTGAAAATTCGTCTGCAGCATTTACATGTCTTACTTTAACAAAAAGAATTTCCGCCTATTTGGACATCTTCCAAATTTCGTTTTGAAAAATATTTATGAAATGTTTTAAAAGTGAAGTGGGTGTATTTTAGAGTTAGACAACAACACATAAGGAGGAGAAACAAAAAGCCTGTTATTACAACTCCATGCCAATGATTTGCATGGTACGCCCTGAAAACTTGTGTTCGAGTGTCTTAACGAAAATTGTACGAAACTACTTTATATATACACCCGCACATATCCGGCCCTACCTCAACTTAATTGTTTACTGAGGTAATACTGCTTTTTTAAAATCACATGAATAGGAAGAAATCTACCAAAAAGTATTTGCTGCGAGCGAGGCGAGCAACCCTATATTCTTGACGATTATATTCTTGACGATATTCAGCGATTTCAGGATGATTTTTGAGCATACGTACTGCGCATAGTACTGCATAGACCACATTGTACTGCGGTTTCATCCTATTGTGAATGCGTAATGCTTCATATTCACACTTATGTGCGATCTCAACTCGGGAGAGTATTCTCATCAGCATAAAGACGATATAATAATGTATATACGTTTATCATATTGATATAAACAAGGTTTTTGACACGCAATATTGCCATTAATACTATCCTGAAGACTAGCCAAGAGATGACTGGGGGAAGATAAAGGATTCACTTGCAACATATTTCACTCACTTACAATTTGTAATTCAAAACTAACGGATCATTTAATGTACATTCCTAAAACGTGCACAATCCGCTGTGACAACTAAAATGTCCATCAATGTTTCCGAAATACTTATACTCTTTGTTATTCTATGCAATATACTTCCCAGGTTTGATCGAAAGTTTTTTGTGTTCTTCTACCCAATGATCCCAAAACTGCACCCTATTGTATGACTAGAATTACGTGAACATTCTAACTTTCGTAGGGGGTTATATGTGTAGCCCTCTCGTACGCGTTCCAAGCGAACGAATCTTCTTATATCGTTACTACAATATGTCTAAAGCGTTACATCATTCTTACTTTATAATATTGATGACAGGAACACGAGGCTTTATCAAAGTGGGAGGTTTTGGCAACGAATTCGTTGTTTGTGGTGGGATTTTCTGTAACAAAGAGAAAAAAGGGTAACGTTTTCCTGATTATGCAGTCTGAACAAGTCAGAGAGATATTGCTCTAAGGAAAAAATATGCGAAATAAAGTGTCTTATAGGAAATTATTTTCCTGTCAAGAGCATTTTTTCAAGGAGGCTAAAAAGGATTACTGTGCCAAAAATGGTTACTACATTTTTTGTCATGGACACCCTGGTTGTAAAGGACATCTGACCGATTTTATGAGATGTCATCAGAACACTCTCAACTTCGTCATTAACATTCGGCGAGTTTATGAATTTGTTTCATGTTATTAATGTTGATCGACTAAAATAAATTCCTTTAAATGTGACGTCATACTTAGAATTCTTCTTCGTGATCATGGCCGTAGTTGGGCTATAGTTGGGGAGAGGGGTGGAAATATCATGCGTATCCCATGCATTCATTTCACTATCTTACTTTTTCTCTTTTTTCAACAGTTTCAACTTTAGTGAATATGATGTCATCGAATGTCCTGGACCGGTGTCGCGGTTTTACGTGTTTTGTTTTATTGCATCTAGCATGTGCCTTCCTTCGTACGGAGAATACGTTTGATGCTGTTAACAATCTGAAAAAAAGATTATTCGCTATTTAGGCAGAGTCTGACAAAATGGAAGAAGGACTATTACGACAGTTAGTCAGCATGTTTGGTATTCACATAAATGTATTCCGAATAGGTGGTTGTTATGTAAACTCTAGATGGTTGTTGAGAAAATGAGGGTTGTTAAGTTTTTGGCAAATCAATTACTTACTCAAGCCAATTTTGACTTCCAGCTAAAGTGATCGCACCAAACGGTGTCATTCCCAGACCAAATCTTATATCTAAAAAATGATAGAAAGTTAAAAAAGAGTGTTACTGTATAAGCATTCTTCTAATTTACTTTCATACTTTCACGTTTTCCCTTAGTTCAAAAGATCGTAGAAATGATTTCACTTCAAACTTGCACCATCTATTACCTTTATATTGCTCAGGGTTGCATTGTGGGTAGCATTAAATAAGCTGACTCATCATAAAAATATGTATAGATGTTGCTTCTCAATCAATATTATGAAAATTGTGTAACTATTGATAACAATCAGGATATTGGCAAGTGCCCTGTTAAAATACTCATGCATGTATGCATGACTAACAAAAGTAATGTCTAATTGTCATTGGCAAAGTGTACTGTGACTGGAGTTTCGGATCAGGAATGGGCAAGGAAATGAAGGAATACTTTTACTTATACTAAGTCTTCATTGCGAAACTCTCTACGAGAAAACTGCTGTTTGAAGCTGATTTTTTTCAAACGATGTGTACATGCAAATGATGATATTAGGGACCTTGAGATGCACCAAACTACGACGCGGACGTGACATGAAACAACGACTAGTGTTAGGAATCCAGTTTTAATTTGCTTTACATACGGTTTTGAGTTTTCTATACGGGTCTTATACTTTGTTTACCAAAAGTCTATGATTTCTTAGTTCTGTTGTGAGACTGTGGAAATAACGAAAGTATATTACTTCACGTCCGCGTCTAAGTCTAAGATTTGATGCATCTTAAGATCCCTAGCTATTACAGTAAGTAATACTCGGTAGAGTTTCAGCTAACTTCGCCAACTGAATCGCGGTGATTTTAACTCCTAAGATGGAGATGGTTGCTATTACGTAACCTGACTAACTTCTATTGTTGTATGTTTTTCTGAATCCAGGAAGTGATTTATGAGATATTATATCACCAAAGCAATTCGTTTGCATCGGCAGCAATATTTGCATTTCAAAGCGAAATCGCTATAACCTTAGCGAGTCATGCATTAAAGGCAGGAAGTAGATGATATTCAAAAAAATTGTGAATAAGTTATATAATAAAAATTATTATCATTAATACACAATAATTACAGACTTTGAATGATCAACACACAGTAAATTATTTAGATAACTGTGTCTAGATTTGGGCGAACCTTTTCCCGAGTGATCCTTCAAAAATTGTATTTATAATTCATATAACATTTTTCACATTCATGAGGTCAACGAATCAAGTGTTAGGTTGTGTTAGGTTAAAACGAAAGAGCGTTTTATCATATTTATAAGGAATACTAATGAACGTGGTACTCAGTTATCACGAAATGAATAAGCATGACTGATTCGATCACATATTTCCTGCTGATGATCTGACTTTATACCCGCCATAGTTATAGGGATTTCGACGTTTTCAATTTAATATTTGAGTATTATTTCAGACACATGCTTACACCATCATGCAAAGTTCTTTGCAAAAACATCTAATACTTTGCAAAAAACATCTTGTTTAGGACCCGTTTAGCCAAAGAAAGGGAAGTTCATACGATCCGATTTTGGCGGATCCAATTCACCTGTTATAGATGTTTTGAATTGTATATGGGCAGTCCTGCTTTTATCAATACCCAGGCTTTATCACTGGCCTATATTCCATGTATGTATACGTCAATAGTGAATTGCATTTGGATCCGAAAAACTGGATCAGTTTGAAGTTTGAATTTCGGAACGGCGTTTTTGAGCAAAATAATCTAAGCTTGAGACTTCATAACCTGACCTTAGATGGTGATAATGAGATTGGAGACATTGAAGTCACGTTATATATACGTACACGACTACACGCACCAATTTTACTATACTATATACACTTTATTAGTTTATTGACACTGCAAGTTTTCTCACCCACAATACAAAGCTGAAAGCCTGCTTCAAATATTTAATGCCCAGCAGCTGTCATATCCAGACTAACAATACACGGTATAGCTTTATAATTCGTATTCAGCAACTAGCTGCAATCATGGTATTGACAGATAGGGTGAGAGTAATCAATAATTCCCTTATATATATGTAGAGTTTAGGACCATTTGAGGATGTTGATCTAGGGTATGTGTATATATCGCAAACTTCGTGTAACTTCGTGTATAATGTTTTTAACTAAAACAAAAGCTGCCAGCTCAAACATTGAACCCTCGCATTCATGATACCAGGCTTCAGCATACACCAATGAATGTCAGAGTGATTGAGGAGTACCCAGGGAGGGTATAAGCCGGGCAGAGCCAGAGTCAAGACAATAATTTATCGCGTTGCCAGTAATCATGTAAGACAAGAGAGGTACGTTGAAAAATGATATGAAATGACTGATAAAACCGTATTAATTTTTAAGAAATATACATACCTGAAGGCACTGGCTCCTGTTCAACTCGATGTGCTGGCATCCTCCGTGCAAACCACTTGATGTACCAAGACAAAGTACAATAATATTTTTCCGCTTATCGGCTGCCAAAGTCAACGCTGAGGAACTGCTGCAGTTGCTCCTGTTAGGTTTGTGAGCCTTCGCCTATCTGTTGTTGTTATTCTCAGCTTGTAGAATTTAAATAAGCCACAAGCTTATATATAAATGACACCCAGCAGCGATTCTTGATGATATTGACTTTTCATGACAATAGTTTGATCAATGTCGAATATTATTATTATCACGCCTCAAATTACAGATGACTTGAAAATAACCAGGCAGAAGACGTCAAGATTCTTTTGTCTTTCGACTGTAATCTTGTAGGATGCTAAGATAAACCACAGTGCATCTTGTTATTTATCCAATGCGGCGACCACGCTGAGCTACGCCTGAGAAATGATCATTGAATGACCTTTATAAGAGTCTTTGACGTTATACAGTAAATATTTTCCATTCCCTACGGAACTTATATATGCAAATGATTATTCTGACGCACGTAAAAATCTAATGGTTATGGCTGGGGTGTATGATTTGCATAAAAATTCATGGCTATGTTATCCATCAACTAAAGTTTATTTTGTTACGAGGAGGGAAAACATATTCCGTTTGACCTCTGCCTCAAAATCGGCTGAATCTCTGTGGCTGAATGCCACCGTCGTGTGACTCGTGACTTCCTTAGCTGACTTAAAAGGTTATGAGGTCACTAGCTAAAAACTTAACGAAAGCCGCCTTCAGTAGAGTTAGACATATTAGGTGATAAAAAAATTACCCCCGGCTCTTGAGACACGTAAAACTCAGAGTGGATGAGTATGAGTATTGAGTATATGACTATAATAATATATACTAATACAGATGTTCTTTCTTATGCCATGGTGATAGAAAGGTGTGATTGCAAGGGGTTTCTTTCGTTCGAGCCAATCACTAGAAGTTGCATGATGTGAAGACAGTGAAGTTATAACACATTTGTTTAACCGCAATACCTATCATTATATTCCGTTTCGACATCATGCATGTCACGGTTTTAAAAATTAAGAGAAAAAATAATACTGTTTTTTCATTTGCTTGTATAGTTCTGTATTTTACACAGCAAAATGGCATTATTAATGCATAGGTATGTTCTGTGTTTAATAAGTCTTCCACTTCTTTGCATGAAACAGCGGTGAAATATATTCACATTCATAAACCGCCCTATACTTATCGTGGGTGTTTCCTTCCTCATTTCAAGATACCAAACTGCTCTAATAAGTGTCGTTTCTATACCTCTCAAATTGTCGTTAATATGGTGACTTCTCTGGCATTCACTCTGCATGCATATAATTATTTCAAGCCCACGTATACGATGATACATTTAAACAATTAAACATGAGTGGAGACTTCCACTCGCCATTATACCGAAAGAGCTTTGACGTAAACATTGAATATTTTATTTTAGAAACATGAAAATATGAAAAATACAAAGAAAATTGTTTTTTCGTCCCCCTACCTCATAAGCTATACTTGGACTTTCCCCCATCGCGTGGTAATGGAGTAACTTGAAGTTGGCTTTACCTTAGCTGTATTCTCAGTTTCTTTCTGTAAAAATCCCCTGTTAAACGATTCAATCTTGAAAACTTTTGTATATTCTTGTTGGGTATACACAACTGATACAAGGCTTCGTTTTAGGTATTTTTTATTTCAATCTCGAATAGACAAATTCTGCCACATTCGGCTAGAGACCTATTTTGAAAACGAGGCTGCTTATAATGTCGTCTACCGAATTTCATTTTTTAAAACTTTTTGTCTGTTAGAAGCTACAGCAAAGTAAGGGTTATTCAGCTGATTTTTTTTCCGAAAATTCCTTAATTTCTAAATTTTTACTAAACTCGTTCCGGGACGATACTCGCTACAGGCATGTCTCTTTTATTCGAATGAGTGACGTATGATATACGTAGCGACCATCGAAAAGACTATACACCTAATAAAGCTTGCACGTATTGTTGACAAATCAAATTAGGTACAGCACACATGTAAATCAAATGAGATTATATGTGAAAATATGAGATTATACTTGTAATAATCAAAGATTAGGTAAGTGCGTTCGATTTTTTATTACCAAATGATTTTTGTACTCTAAATTTTCTATGGACTTTTTCTTGCTAATATACTGCGAAATATGTCAGTATAACTCTAGTAATAGAATAACAAAACATTGAAAAAAAAATACGATTGCAGAAAGACTGCAGAACAAAATGTGAACATTTGTGCTAGAGTTAAAGTTCATAACTCATGTGGTCGCATCCATAAAAAGAGTGTACAGTAATAGGATTATAAAATCAAGTACGTCACACACGAAATCGAGGCGAGACGTGAGACATCTAAAATCTAAAATCGAATGGCATGCCGTGAAAACCACGCGGGACACCGCGCGAGTCAGAATTAGAATGGTTCTCCTTCGTCAAAGAAGTCTAACGACAGGTTTAACAACGATTCAGAACAGTAAGAACACTACATAAAAAATCGTTTTTGCTCTTTTCTTCAAAAATTCCTTGAAGTTCCTTGCACTGGTTCTCCCATGCAGCTTAGTTTTATTATCCAACTAGCACAGCCGTCATGACTTTGATCTGAGATCTTTCTTTAATATAATCTCATATTTTGAAAACTTTTTTCCCAAATCATCCCACTATATTCAAATGTTGCGAATTAGACACGAAGTATCCAATAATATAAATCTTTTATAATGGTGCAATCAGCCATTTCCCAATAGAGTAGGGGACTGGGTCTAGTCGCGAACCGCAAGGCCATCTATTGACTGTTTGGAGGGACAGGAAATATAAGTCTGCAGCCATTTGTCCCTCCAAACAGTCCATAGATGCTTTGCGGTTCGCGACTAGAGCCAGCACCCTGCTCGATTGGGAAATGGCTAATTTCGCTTTCTGGTTGGCAAATTGGAATTGCCCATATATAGTGCTACCGTTTTTATAAGGAACGGGTGCAAAAAATATTGACCAATATATACTCCCACACACACAGAACATCACATTATTCACATAGTGGAAAGTTTAGATTTAAAGGCACTTTTGATGATATCGATTTTCTTCAAAATAGCTGTTAAAAAATGTATCTGTTCAAAGCTGAACTAAGTGAATAATTATGAAGATAACAAGCTTCTATTAAGTTAAATGTCACGCTTAATAATTTTGATTGTCAGTGAGTAGGATATTGAGTTTATATTTACTAAAATACAAAAAGTATGCTTTTTGCTTTTCCCAAGTCCCCGGTCCCCGCATCTTTATTCCTGTTCAAAAGAAACTAGTTTCGAGTTGTTTCAGTCTTCATGATCTTTGATCTTTACTTTCGAGTTCATTAAATTAATGAATCTCTCGTTAACACACCACAACTTTACCGCTTTAATTCAACCTAGGACCATTTTAGATGAAATGCACTTCAAGTTATTTTCTCTCGGGTTATATCTTGGCCATATCGTTCTGAGACACTTGCAGGGAATTAGGAAACAAACATAACACTAAGCGGAATGACCGCGTTTTTAGCCTGTCAGGCCCACTGATCAGGCCTTACTACAGCATGAACACTTGCTACAACTTGCACTCCTAATTAAACTTATGCTTGTGTGTATGATGAAAATAGTTTCGGTAGTGAAAATCGTTTTGGACAGGAAAAAACATAAAACGTAGTACAATTTTGCGTGATAATTTGTACGCGAGAAATTTTTCGGCTTCGGAGGGACATAGAAGCGACACTATGTTACTTTCTCAAGCTAATCATTCGTTTTAAGCCGAATATATTTACATAAGATTTGAATATATATACCTTAGATCTTGTAACAGACGTTCAAACACGACAAATTATATAACAGTACCTTGAGACTGTGCGGCACCTGCACTGACGTCGTCTCATACGATATGACTTGTTTTTTTAATTGAATTGAAGCTTGTTGAATATACGCATGATAGCGTTGCCGGTGAACCAGACGTAAAATTTTGAGCAAATTCAGGGCAGATGAATTAACGAAAACAAACACAGCAGAGAAGTCGCGGGTAAAGACTAAAGTGAATGTTATTAAAATTAGCCGTATCCTTGATAGTAATTGCGGTCTTTAGTTGAAAGCCAAACATACGTAACAACGAATTTTAAACGTTACCTTCAAGAACGGTCCTAATACCCTTTGTTTCTTTGCTGCTTTATTGGGGAGAATAAATTTATCCGAGTAAATAAGCCATTTTAATGACCAAGCACTGATAGTATAGAATATATAAAGACGATTTGGGGATTTACATTTGTATACACACAAGCGAGGATTAATTGGACGTATACGTATATACCTACAACTGCTGCATGATGTGTTGAAGTCTTGAAGATGAAGTGAAAATTTCATCCAGGTATACACAATTATAACAGTTCTAGAACTGATCTAAGGCCAGACAGTAAAACGGTATATGTTTAGTCTTTTCAAATAAATATATCATATCTCAATATTTCAATATGTTCATGCGCAGCACCTTGAAATGTTCAGACTTCCCTTACTAATATTCCCCACTTTCTAGTCACTTTGCACTATATAGACCAATACAGAAATAAAGATGATTTAAAATCAAACGATATAATAACTACAGTTGTAAACATGCAGGGATGATGCCACGATCATCTAACGAGTAAAATTCATAGAGAACTTAGACTCCCATTCTTTTCTTTCGTTTATATTATATATTTTGTCCTATGTGCAATTTTAGGCACTCAGACACGAGAATTATCCGAATCACGTATGGCGTCAATGGAATAGCCTCAGAACTGCTAATCAAGAAATGTCGAAGGTGCGGACCGCACGACGGAAAATAGCAAATTACAAATCAGCGGCAGAATTGAATGGAAATCAATTTAACTAAATTCAAATGATAACAATCATCGTAGGAAATTAACGACGAAGAGTTTTGTTGAATATTGCAACAGGAAAGTCAGAATTACAGAGATGAACAAGATGTCTTTTAAGAAACCAACTTAGAAGCACAAGAGATTTAAAGAGAAGCAGCCCCCAGTATAACTACAAAAGATTACTTTGGAGTCCAAGGTAAAGAGGAAGTGTTCTATATTTCATGTTGAACGGTAAAAGAAGACAAGTACGGTCGTTCTGAAAAACTACAGTACAGAAATCATATCTTGAGAGGATCTTATATATAGTAACAATGTTCAATGATGGCAAATCAACATTTCGAACAAGATCAATTCAGCTTGCAACGACACGAAATTACATGGAAAAAAGACGTCTGGGACAAACTATACTGCAGTATCAAAAAGAATGCAGAGGAATTATGAAACAATTAAGAGATAAGCAATATAGCTTTTTGAAAGCAAAATATCCGCATATAGTTGCAAGGAACAGCCTGATCAATACCACAAGAAAGGACAATTATCCCTTAACTAAAACAGAGTTTAATAAACATAAATCAAACCCGCCTATGAAAATGACAACAATTAGGCCTGCGACAAACACTCAAACACAAAAGGAAATGAATACGGCGGGAAAAAGACAAGAGACATTAAAACATCTGTCAAGTAAAAACGACAGGATGTGGGACAGACAAAAAAGTACAATTTCGCTACCGTCTTTAACGGAAAAGCGTATCGCACGTAGTCAAAAACTCGAAGTTAGGTACGTTCCAACAAGATTACCACCACTGGATGAACTTCGTTTATAAATGGCTTGTAAACAATTTTTGAGAATTTAAGAAAACTGATCGTCGCCATGGAGCAAAAATTGCTTTATAAACAAGTGAAATCAGCTGCCAAAGGGAAATATTGGGGCATGCATGGTATTGCGAATGAAATTAGGCACTACAATACATTGGGAACACAAAAGATGTGATTCGATGGAAGGACAAATATTTAGGTTTTATAGAAAACTATTATTTAACGGAATGGTTCAAAATGAACAATGTACAATATATATAATGAATTCAATAAATATATTATGTAAATTGTCATCTTTTTTACTATATAGAAACTAAAGTACGAGTCTCTCATGTAATCGATGAAACATTACATGAAGCTTCACCCCGCGCACAATATTTACTTTACAACAAATACATTTCGCCTGTGGGATTGGGGTATTTCAGTCATCAATTATTTACGCTAAATGAATTTAGACAAAAAGATTGAATAATAATTCTCCATATCAAAGAAAATTTACCGAAGGAAATTCGCTCTTGTAAAGGGGTCCGAAGTGTCCGATCAACAGAAAATCAATCTGATAATATTTCAGCCAGACTATGTTTTACAACCTATGCTTCGTTAAAAGAAATTTCAATACCTTAGTATAGTAGCGATACTAGCCAAAAATTGGTTACCTCGGCTAGTTACCCTTACTATGAATTACACGTTATTACCGTCAAATTCTTCAAAGATATTTCTCAGCAGCGATGGCTATTTTGTTGAATCCTCCAAGTAGTCTTTTGCTTCGTTAATTTTAGCGGCGAGATATGGAGAGCCCCCTGAAAAAAACGACAAAAATACGCTTTCATCAATTGGACATCATTCTGAGCCAAGCCTGCGAGTGGTAATCTTGCCATGATACATGGACGTTCTAGGTTACTCCAGACTTTTTCATAGGTAGTTTTGCATGATTTGTAGTGTTAACTATTAGAAGCACACAATTTGATATAGAGTTTTAGTGCTTCATCACATGGCAGCTGATGAATTACAGTAGGAATTGTGAAGAAATTAGCTTAATACCAACAACAAATCATGTAATTTGTTTTTATCGCCAGAAAACGTAGTGTTGGAAATTTGTGAAAATTTTTAAGATCAGAGTTTTTACTAATGCTATTGTACAAAACCATTCATCAAAGGTTTTTGTAGAGTTACAACTTTGTACTTGAGTTACCTTAATCTGATTAAAAACAAAATAAATTGGGCTGCATGACCATCAGGGTAGGGTGATTGACAAAAAGGCTGGGCCCTAGCTATCTACTTCAATACAGATATGTGAAACCTAAAAATTGGTCCAAAGATAAAATAGTGTGCACATTCCCTTAAAAAGGGGCCATATCTTAAACTGTTCCCCAGTGACTTCCATTTTTGTAGCCTTTATATTGAATTTGCTTGCCAGTTTTTCAAGTATTTTTTACTCAGCTAGTATATATATGTCAAGTGTCATGTTATATAATCTTGACTACCAAACGCACCTCTATCAGGATGATTTAGCAGCATAATTCTCCTATGAGAATCTCTTATTCTGGCTTTAGGAGCTGAAGCACTAAAAAAGATAAGGTTAAGAATTAATATAGTTCAATTAAATAGCACTGACTACTGAGGTGTAGCAAGAAAAATGACCATTCAGTGATAATTTTGAACAACAACTGGCTGATTATGCAAAAAATCGACATCACTTGTATGTTACGAAATCAATTCTAAATATTAAGACAACCTCATCCCCAGAGTTTACGAGGTTGATATTGAGAAAAACCAGTATTAAAGAGGCTTCAGAATACCTGATACCCAGTATTAAAGAGGCTTCTCGTTTTGTCATTTTTGGTTCAAATCCACCTTTATAATATCCTTTTAATGCCTGTTGGTAAAATGTACGTAGGTCTTAGATTTTCTACATGAATAAAAACCCACAACTCCTAAACTTGTGGCACATCTTGGGAAGTGATCAATAAAGAAGTGAACATTAAAAGTGGGGGTTTAATTAGTTTTCACAGGCAATCTCTTCAATCAATGGTAGAAAAGTAGAGCTATAGAAAATATGGGACAGAATAAAGTGAAAAATTGACATAAAATGCAGACTTGGTTTCAACAATGAATTAATTCGACAAGGAATTAAATACTAATTCATTGTTACAGTGTATTTTTAGCTTATAACCCAAGTTATTATTCTTCAAATCATTCCTCACATTTGCATTTGGTAGTGTCTTTGGAATAGCTTCAAACGCTGCTGCAAAATTTACTTTCTTCAATGCTTGAACTGCAAACCGGCCTGTCAAAGAATAGTCGTTTTTAGCATATATAAGCCTTGTTGGAAAATGAAAATGAGAAAAATCTAGGCATGTGAGAAAACATATAGATTGTTTCTAAAGTTTGCAACATTTTTTGTAACCCCAAAATACCTAAAAGCATAATCATATTAAATCATAGGTTTTTTTCATAACATTCACAATTTGCCATTGGGCTGCCTAAGAATCTATGCCAAACTAAACTCAACAAAATCAAAGAGGTCAGATAATTTCTGACATTAAATTTTGTTTTCCTTACAGAAAACCTAATAACACAAATACCAACTTTTATTATGGTGTACTACAATATAAATATACATACCAGCAAAAGCTGCACCAGCAATGCCAAGACCAGCCAAAACTAAAGTTGTCTATTTGGTAGAAAAGTTTTCCCTTCATTAAAAATACATACGAAATAAATACAAACAAATCGAGTTTGACAATACTGTACCTACCATTTCAAGAAGAACTTCAGTTCACTCACTTATTGAAGATAGGAAATGACGCAATAATAAATAAAACGTGTCCACGCATTCTCCACGCATGGGTAAAAATTCGATTCAAGGCGATTGTTTTGTTTTAATACTGAAATTTGATGAAATGGATTAATTACATGAGACTTGCTAACTCATATTATAGTCATACACGTAAAAAAATCCTTCTATTATAAACTGGGAAATATATTTTTCAATTTTTTTGTGCATTAAAACTGCATTTGCTAGTAATTTGTCATGAATAACACGCGTGTTAATCTCGAAACCCTGTCAACAGTATTTTTGCATATTTTCCCAACTCATCTGTGCACAAATGATTTCAGTGGCCACACTCCTCTTAAGGGAAAATGCAATGAACCAAATACTTATTAGCGAAATAATAATTTTTTGATAATTTTTAGATAAAATTTTCCCATCCGAATTACCGACAACCACCACCACCTCATCCTTTATCTTAGGGACTTAGGGGAAATTTTTATCAAGGTTCACTCATGTTTAGTGATGTTTACCTCCTCCACAAATGTCCACTGCATGCCCTTCGATCTATTTCAGATAATTTAGTTCAACAGTCAAAAGTGAAGGAGCAGTAAGCGGGTAAGAGAGAGGGATTAGACTTTAGAGAGGACATTAGAAGAAAAGGGATGAAGGAAATTCTCGTGATGAAAGTGGTAGCATGATTGCAGAAAAGGACCTAAGGACGTGTCTTGTCTTCCTTTCCCAAGTGTGTGGCTAAACTAAAATAATGGCAGACGATTTATTGAACACAAATGGCAGCGCAGAAGTCGATCCTGCTGCCGAGTTTCTTGCTCGAGAGCAGGACGAACTCGCCGAGTTAGGGGAAGATTTTCAAACAGATGAAAACGGCGGTGTAAGTTTAAAAAACTGCAGTGCACCAAAGTGCCCGTTTTGACATGATAGTAAAAATCTATCAAATATTTGCTTACAATTGACAGAATTTTTACAGTAGTTATTAGTTATAAAGCACAATGTGAATTCTTTTCTTTAAATTTATTATTACAACGGGTGAAAAAAGTTTATTTCACAGTCGAAAAAATCGTTTAGGATCGCTGTTTATTCTATCAATATATGTAGTTGCTGAATGATATTTCGAAATTGTGCGTTTTTTTTGTTCATACATATTTGGATAAAGTTCTCAATATAAAAAAAAGTGAAGGAAAAAATGTGATGGTTGATTCCAAATATCTAAATTTGAAAAGAAGGAAAGTATTTTCCCATTCAAAGTGTGTTTGACTGTAGTGAAATAGTGAACAATTTTAAGTGATCTAAAAAATACTCTTCAATGGTTGTAGGCACCCACAGATGATAATGCTGGTGATTTGATTGGTGGTAATGAAGATGTTGGTGGTCCAGCTATAAATGGTTTTTCAGAGGATGTATGAAAATTATACTTTATTGTGTCACTTTTCTTGAAAGCTGATTTAAACCTAAATTTTTTTACAAACATTCATGAAGTTATGTTGTTTTAAAAAGGAAAGAAAAATAGGAAACATTGCAATAATATTTTGTGGACTCTTGAGTTGACAATCTTGCTACAAGTTCTTAAGTTGCTAAAATAATGGCAATGACAACAGCCTTGAAGATTACTGCCTTGTAAGCTTAACTAATTTGATTCAAAGTGGTTAAAACACATCTCATTTGCTACATGTGTAGTGTATTCCTGACTACCCTATTTGCCTATTAACAGGAAAGTTGCTTAGGTATATCACAAGTATACTATTATATGTTTAGGATGACAATGATATACCATTAAATTCAATGTCTGGAGGTAGTCTGGTCCCAGAAATTGAACCAGAATGTATCAGGTAAACGTTTGAAGTGGCATTAATGCAAAGTAATGGTGAACTATATAGTAAATAGCACTATGCATAACAACCTGTTTTATACAATCAAAACATGAAGATCAACAATATATTTTGATAGGAAATGGAGGGAAGAAAAGTCTGCACTGTTAGATGAGATGGATGAGAAAGAAAGGCAAGACCAGGAAGACTGGATTGCTCAAGGCAAGAAAGAGCTAGAAGAATGGTATGCAAGATTAAATGAACAACTTGGAAAGACTAAAGAAAATAACAGGTATGAAATATATTTGGGTAAGAAAATATTAGTCATGAAGAGCTTTCAAAGTAACTGAGGAAGACTGTTAAGTTATCTCTAGTGATATTCTAAATAATTTGTTTTATTACCGAAATATTTATGTATCCATTTCTCAGGGCGGACGAAGAACAATTCATTGCCGAGCGAGATGAAACAAAGCCTGGTACTGAATGGGAGAAAGTCTGTCGTTTGTGTGATTTTAATCCGAAAGGTGCTAAACCTACAAAAGATACATCAAGAATGCGTTCAATATTTTTACAATTGAAACAAACTCCGTTAATCCGATGATGTACAAACATTCTTTAGTTTACTTCATATTCCTTCAATGAGTCTCGCTGTCTTTGTAATTAATGACACATGAAAATGAACTAACTATATAATTCTGATCTCAATATAAAAATTCTAGTCGTTTAGCACATAGCGAATGAACTATAGCTAGCTATACTTTGTCTTTGAATTAAATAGTTACACTTTTTGCTGCAAAGTTTACAATGTGTAGTTTTTACATAGTTTCTGTATTAGTTATATCAAAATAAATTGTTGATTTTTGCCTTTTAAAATTGAGAATTTCAAAAACCACAAACTGGGATTATGGACAAAAAAATCAAAATGAAATCCACAAGGGACAGTATATGCATATGAAGCCAGTTGGCTGCAGTTCCATAGCATAATAAATATTAGGCTCCCTATTTTTATGCATTGGATTGATAAATTGGTTGCGAACAGGGCGCCACGGTTGCCAATTAGAATATGGTAAAATAGATATTCCAAGGTCTGGATCTGCCCCATGGGTGCCAAGATTATCACCTACGATGACTATGGCAACCCTTTGTGTACTTGATGCTAATTGATTGAGAAGAGTGCAATTTGAATGTTATTGCAGTTTTCTCTCGGCATCAAGAGATTGTTTTATACACTGCAAGGAACAGTATCTCGGATGCGCTATTTGCAGTCTTTAGTAAAATACCCAGTTGCTCGTGTGAGCGGTCTTTAGCTAGTGAAATACCAAGTAGCTCGCAACTATACCATGACCTAAATTAACAGATTAACTGACAGTTGACAGAAATGCTTATAGTTTACCACTGTCAACAGTAATGTTAGGTAGAGTTAGGTCAAGTACTCTATTAGGTAGAGTTAGGTCAAAAGCCATAAACCAGTGGCAGTGTCCCCATTGGTGCGGTCGTCGCCAGGATGGACAAAGAAACGTATGTTAAAAAAACAAGTTGGTTAGCATACAAATACTTTATTACTGGTATGTAATGTATTAATGTAACTACTGATTTACTCGTACAATAAAATTTATTTGAATGTATATATACTGTATTCGGAATAAAGGGCGTTAATCCATGGCAAAAATTGGAGGGGGAGTACGGTAATAGAGTGTTTTATAAAAACCAGACAATTGAAGTTAGGGAGCCCTATAAACACGAAAAAGATTTCAAACATGAGAAAATTAGGGGGATAATAATGATAATTAGATATTTGTCCCCCTCATTTCTAAAACTGGGTTACTGGGGAATGTTCCCCCCATTCCCAGGATTGATGCCCTTTAGTTGGAATGAGTGCTAGAGTAAATACAGGAACAGAAGGTTATATCTTGATAATATCTGGTGAATAATAAGCTATTACGTACAACACCTAGCAAACACGGTCTATACAGAGAGGCTTATATAATTATTGCCCATATAATAACATTTACATCAATGACAATGTTTCTTATATAAAAAGAAAGCTGAGCGTGTCTAAATGCTGGCTGAAACAGTTAAAGAAATATGACTACTGCCTGTACTGGTCCTACTGTATTGACATGAATAAGAACACAAATCCAATCAATCCAGGTATATTTCCGGGGAATAAGGAGATCATGTTCTTACACTCCCCGTCGCTTATAATTTGACTAAAGCTGGCTGTGTATGAATAAACTCGTACAAGCTGATCACAGTAACAGCAGCTTACCAGAATTAAACTTTTACGTAAATTTACAAAACTTTTAAAAATCTATACAATTGGCGTTTAGGCAACTCGTTGACAAAAAAGCAAAACCATTTATGAAAACAAAGTTATCGGCTTCCATGACCGTTGCTCTGATGAAGTAAGGCCATTTCATGATTGGCAGTACGTTTAGGAACGCTACTTGGAGTACGCCTGTTCACGCACCAGATAAGTACCACAATAAAAGCAATCCAAAATACGGTCCCTAATAATATGGCCCACCAGTATTTTCGGGTGATCGTTTTCACATCTTAAGTAAAAAAAGTTGAACAAATCATTCGAATGGTGAACTACCAAAAATCCTACACTTTAGTACGTGACCCCCTTATCTTTCCCCAGAGCTTGATGTAAAAAAGTTACCCTTTTGACGTGTTCTTAAATTCACCCTTCCAGCTCTGTGAAAACTCCCTCACCTCAAAATGGATCACCATCAGTGGACTAATGTCATCTGTACATGTCATAGCTTTTCAACCTTTCAAGTGTAGTTTGTAACAAAGGCTGCACTATCAGGGCAAAACTAAAAGTATTTTCATAACTGAACTCTGCCAACATTGTTGACTATATTTTCCTCTAGTCCCAGTCCAGATCAGAACAATTTTGAGATTTAACTCAATGGAATAAACTTAGAGAAGGCTTAGGACCCTTAGTCCCCTCTAGAATTCTAAAAGAGGCAATGCCATGAAATATCAGTATACTTGCCTTCTCTTTTATAGTACAATTCTTCAATGTTATTAATCGGTGTCTGTAAATCCACAATCTCGCATACATGGAAGAGGTCGCAGTAACCAGTATCATTTGCACAGGGTGCACCGATTGGTAAAGTTGGTTTCCTAAAACCAGTCACCTAAAGCCAGCAAAATGATTGCTACATTAGTGGTCAGATCATTCTGGGAATATGTATAAAAAGTGATCACAAAGTGAAGACATATTTTCAGTTTTGGGAAATTTGGCAAGACCAATTTATGGTAAGACGAAGCAAGCAGACAAATTATAACTCTTCTGCATGGTGTTCATATAAAACTGTGCAAAAATAAACTACTTGCTTACACTAACCTTAGGGATACGTAATGCTGGAACACACATATTCAGGAAGTTACAACAAACATAACATTGGTACTTTGTCTCAGAACACTGGCATTCTGTCAAACCATATCTACGACACACAGAATTAGAACAGATCCCATCCATGCACACTTGAGCTTCGACTGCACAAGGTTTGAAGTCACCTTTCTTGACTCGCCCCGGACACTGGTAGTTTGCAAAGCCCTTAAGGTTACGGCATCGTGATGCAAAAGCACATTCAGTTCCATTACGGCAAACATAATCAGCACTTCTATGGCTGCATGTCATTGGATCGCAACATGGCCCTAAAGTTTCCAAATACATTTACAAATTACAATATTGTTGGGTATGATACAGAAACATGTTGTTATTGACCTAAGGGTTGTGCCATGAGGGAAACCAGGCTAGCTACATGTAAAATCTAAACAATGTTGGCAGCCAATCAAAGTGTAATACAAATTAAATGGGTAAAATTGCAGTTAGGAAATACTTTTCTGGTCCTGTATGTATTTATGTCTACCCAGTAAGGGTGGTTAAAGGATTTTATTTGAACTAGTTTTCAAGAAACCAAAAAACTGTAACTTGATTCTGTAAGATCAAGATAAAGAAAGGGTTTTAAATGCAACATAACACTATAATAAATAAAACATACCATCATTGGGACTGCAGTAAGATCCTGCACGTAATTTGCATGTCTTAGGATCACAACAGTTTCCTGGATCACTGATTTTACACTCTTCTGGCGAGCCACAATCACACTGTTCTTGATTTTGACGAACTGTATCACCGCATTTAGGCCTACGCTCAATAATTCTTGCTGGAGTTTCAAAACACTTCAGCTCTGCATTGTCATTCCTATCTTTTATCAAAGGTCGAGTGATTTTACTGGATTTCAAGGTACGAATGATTGCTCGTATGCTACATGGGGAGTATTTATCATTGTTTACTCGACCTCCATTTGATGCTTTGTTGTACATGATGTAATTTCCACCTTTACCTATGCCAGGTTGACATTCGCTTGTGTCTGGATCATCCTGAAGAAAAAGTTGCGAAGAATCAATAAGTTATCATATTACTGATGAGTGAAATTTATCTACAACAGTATGACCTGAGAATGCATGACAAACTATATTAATTCAAAATTTGTTTGCCAGTGAAAAAACTTACTGGTGCACCAAAGGCTGTTCCAACTTGACGAAGAAATGCAATTTCTGCAATTTTAGGCTTTACCATCTCCCCGAAAAACTTGTATGTGACAACACCTGTATTGTAACTTTTCAACTTTTGCACATTGAAATTTTCATAGATTTTAATAAAGTAACGCCTTGCTTCACAAATGCCACCATCATCTTCAAGACTCCATGATAGACCTATAATCATAATTATAAAGTTACCAATTTAGGACTAAGGCGCACAACATTTGTAGGGAACCAGGTGAATTATTCCTGAGATGGTTGGTTTTACTAAGAATAAAAAGTTATGCAACTGTTACCCAATCAATTTGGAGTTTTAAACTAGTTCTAAGGTACAAGATATTTGTGTAATTCATCCAGTGTCATTGGTCTACACAGGGTCTTGCTAACTACATAAATTCACCTGACTGCTGTGAATTTTTGCGACTAAATTGCAAAAGCTATACCTGTAATTCCTCCTTCAAAGTCTCGGTAAGTGAGAAAGAATGCTTGGCAGTAACTGTCGTAATCTAGATCAGACACGAAATCTAGAAAGGTGGAAACACCCATGTTTTTCGGTCTGAGTGCTTCAGGAGTTGTTTCATAGGTGTATGCCATAATATGACCTATCATTAGACGAACTTGGAACAATTTTGCCCTTTTCCATTCGGGAGTCTGCGCCATTTCCTTGAATTTTTGATTCGCCAATCTCACAAGATAAACCATTTCGCCAATAGCTCTGCCAGTGTCATTTCCCCAGGCTTCTGTGAAAAGATAATCACCCTCTATCGAAATATTGCAAACCTTCATGTTATCATTATTTTCCTCGTTGTACAAGTTGAATTCATCTGGTTCATCAAACGCATTTGTCTCCCTTCGGCGTCTTTTCGAGCGGGGTTCATCTGTTAGAATATTTCTTCTCCGTCTTAGGCTTTCGTCCTCATCTTTTGAACGATAAATAACTGAATGAAACTTTTGGGGCTCTGTGAAATACATTTGTGCCGGCCTTACAGTATATTCTTCGTCATTCGTGAATATTGTTCCCTCGAATTTTCCGTCTCGTATTGTGCCGAATGCCTCAGAATTAGGTTCATCTTCAAGATATCCAGCCAGTGCGGAGTTGATATGATCCTTTACTTCGTCGTTTATTCCTGCTAAATCAGGGAAAAACGTATCTCTATCTGGTTCTAAACGAAGTTTGAAATCCCGTCCGAAAGCTTTGAAGTCTAAGGACTTAGTTTCGAGTCCCTTTTTAAACGAATCTTTTATATCGTCTTCAGCATAGTCAAGCGGTTCATAATGATGAATAAGTTCAGTTAAGGGTCTCCGTTCAACGCTAAAAGCCCAAAAGACTTGAATAGAAAAAGCAAAAAGCCAAAACAACGCCTTCATTCTGGTCTTCTCGCCAGAATTCCTTCAAGTGAAGTCTTTAAAACCTAAAAAACGCAACGTAAATTTTGTTGTTATCGAAGCGCCTAGCGAGAGCGTCCTGAATATTTGTCAGAATGGAATGTACGAATTCGCACAAATACACAAACGACACGAAATTTGCAATTCAAATGAGCTCATATACTTACAAGGCGAATGCGCAGAAATACAGTCAATATAGGCAAGAATTCTTTCTGTAAAGAAGAATAAAGAACTTGCAACTTGCAATCAACGATTGATTATAGAGTAAAAGAATTCAGGAAATGTGGCAATTTTAGTGATTATGGCATTTCCTATAAGGGGGGGAGGGGCTCAGCGGATTAAAATGTAGATAAAATCAAGGGGGGTTACTCTCAAATATAGGTTCGCACGCGTACAGCATTATTTTGAGTTGAAATCTTTGTTGCACAAGAATTGGCGCACATAGCGGTAGTATGCCACCGTTACAATATACACTGTTGTATCTTGATCATAAGCACGAACTAAAAATTGTGTCAATAGAATTTGCACGAAATCATTTTGTTTTGAATAATAACCTCATACTCTAGTATGAGGAAACCTTCGCCAAGATTGTTTGAATGAATTGTAGAGTCAGGCGTACACAACGCGATTTTCGACTAAATTCTTGCGTGTGCGATGTCATTTTGCGAAATGATTTTAATCGGCAGACTGCAACAGTTTGATATTTGCCGATTAAAATCGCACAACGAAAATCGCGTCGTGTGCGCCTGGCTTTAGTTTAAGAACGAAAACCTACGTATCGCCGATCTTTGTACCCGGAAAAATCATTGCTTGGTTTGGTGGCAAATATGTATGGTTGTACCCACTGACCTATACTATCTAATATACGTCAGTGGTTGTGCCTCATTAGTGTGGTTCCCTGTTAAACATGGGTCCCCCCCTTAACTTAACACCCCGCCCGATTCTTCTGTAAGGAAGAGATCCGCGGTGGCATGATTAGTTGTTCACATACCTACATCTCAAGGGTTCAATACTTTAGATTGTCATAAATACATTTACTTGAGATAACCTACACTTTTAGGAATCAGCCTTGTAAAGCCTAGTTTCCATTTGGTCGTTTCTTGTCGTGTACAAGTGACGGATGTAAAAGAGTGTCTTGTATCCCTGCGACAAGTGAAGACTGACTTGCATACCACTTGATGCACAAGACAAGATATAAACTTACATCAACCTTTTTCCAGGGTATTTATGACTTGTAACCGTAGGCCTGTTTTAGACGTCGAACTTTTCATCTGCCGTAACTATTGTTAATGGAGCTAAAGTCTTTGTTTAAGTTCATTTGCATTCGATTTGGCACATGAAAAGTTCGACGTCTGAAACAGGTAGTAGTGACACGCAACGACAAAATGGTAACTAGACTTTATATCACTATACAAATTTTGGCTATATTTAAAATGTGTATGTTAAATGTGGAATTCATTCGGTCATGTCCACGGGGTCCACCAGAAATGATTGACCGAGTTTCAAATCTAGATATATTAGGATAAGCCAAAACGCCTTTCCAAGTATGCTATGAAGATCTATGAGATCCCCCTGCCCATATCACGGGTGCGTCCCCTTAACACCGCTCTGTCTATTTGCTACAAGTCTATTACAGCATCCTGGCAACGCCTGCAGGGCTTGAAATGATGTTTGCGGGCAGCGGGTGAGAACCAGCCCGCTTGAACACCCTCACCCGAAACGTTTAATTGATTAAATATTTGCAAAATTTGCTGTGTTGTGCCATCCTTGGCTGCCAATTCCTCCAGGTCTTCCAAGTCGACCGCTTCTAGTCCTAGGGATATGGCACTAGACTCGGACGCAGTCTCCTGCTCGTCCTGAGTATCAGTTCGCCTAAGCGCCTCAATACGGTTTTGGGCACTGCTGTCATTGTCTAGGGTTTTCGAAAACTTTTCGTCTACATTTCGATGTATTGTCTCTCGAGCACTACTTCTCTCGTGATTTTCACGGTGGTGCATACGGCCTTGAATTTGCTGCATGACCAGCGACTGAAGCTGCCCAATCTTTGCCTGTGTAAAGAAGGAAAATCAGACAAATTTTTGTACACAATTTAATGAGACAAATCGCATTATATTACTGCATACAAAAAGACAATCCTTGCATCATTTATATACTATTTCTACCTTTATTTATTACACATACCTGCATCTGGGCACGTTCATTGGATAAATGAGTAATTAATTTTTCTCTCTCATGATAATACTTTTTCAAAGCAGTTCTCTGCATTTGATACAATGAAATATATTCTCCTAAAACACGTACGATTCATGATCAGTCGCGGAAACATGCTAATGCATTTCTAGAGGAAGACTAGTATAACCAGGCTAATCTTTATCGTACCTATTGTTTCTGTTTCAGCCGATAACTGTTGGCATATATGTTCAAGTTCTTGTACTTTATCTAAAAGTTCTGCCTTTTCGTTCATGATTTGCAAAAACCTCGTCTGTAGGAGAAAAATCAGACAACAAACATTAAAGACGTTTTACTAGTGCTTCAATATCTTAAAATATTTCCTATTTTCCGCCTTAGCGACGATGATAAAGAAAGAGAGCTTTGCATGGTGATGTTTCTTTGGTGATGAACTTAGGACTTATCCTTAGAACTTGAATTAAATGTTTTTGTTTTCTTTTGTTTTTTTTTGCAAAAATATACACATTACGTTGTTCGAGAAGCTTACCTGCAGTTTGGCAAATGCTGGTTTCAGTTGTTCAACCGGTATAGCAGCATTCTCCAAATTGATTTCATCGACGGCAAGATCTTGATTTTCAATTTGTAGTTTCTGTTTCTGAACAAGTTGTTGCAAAGCGCTGATCTGTTGTTGCTGTTCGTGAAGTTGTTCGTGTACTTGTTCCAACAAGTCTCGTTGTCGTTGTTGGACCTGTTGATGTATCTGCATTTCCATGTGTTGCTGAAGAATGTTGATTTCAGATTGTGATTTGTCTGAGACTTCTGAAAGCTGATGCCGGAGTTGATCTCGTTCCATTTCTAACTGTCTGATCGAGGCAGACATTGAGCTCACCTAAATTACATGGGTAAATTGGGTAACCTCAGTTCTAATCGTTCACAAGCGAGAGATTCTAATCGGACAAAAAGTGATAGATATGAAATTAAGCAATATGATGTGGTTATGAAGTAGTTAAATACGCCAGAAAAAGAAGATTGTATGAAATATTTATGATATTTTCAGTACTTGTTATTAGATAACATGTATATGGAATTTTATAGCTGTCATTTTGAGACGTTAACCATCAGAGACAAAGAAAATCTGTTGCGGAAAATACAAAAATCTTATCTTAAACATACCACATCTTCTCTGTTGCTGTACGTCGTTGGAGCAGAATATGATGTTGTCATCTCTGGTTCGTCAACAAATTCTGAATCACTCTCACTCGGCCAACTATCTTCATCTTCAGAAACGTTAGATTCGTCAACAGGATCGCTTTCTACACGAGCATCACCCGTCTTGAGAACGAGATCTGGCATTTGCTGAACGCTGTCGCTCTCGGGAGTAACATCAAGGTGGTTGATATCTAGGATATAACAGAGAATAATGGATGTAGTGGGTACAATTCGTGTTGAACGATAGCAGGCATAGAGCAGAAAACATGCAAATCATTATGGCTTACTTTCCACTTGACTGTAGTGTCTGCGTTCCTCTACAATAAGTAGTTCCTTCAGTTCGCTATTTTGACTTGAAAGTTGGTTGATAGTGTCCTAGTAAAAATAGATTTCGAAACACGGGGTCAGTTAATATACTGGGAAAATAAATGTACGATCAGGATAGTGCGATCCAGATCGATAAGTATTCGTCCTGAGATGCAAGTATACAGAAAACAAATTAATGTGGAATTTTGCCGCCTTTATAGACAGCCTTAGCAAGAAGATATCGCTGCAACCAAGCTGTGGTAACAATTTCCTCGGCACAGTGAAACTGAGAGAAATTGAGCGACGTTTTAACTCTGGCCCAATAACCTATAATGTATATCGTTGTAAATTCGATTAACCTATATGTATTAGATTCATCACAAGCGCTTCATCCCGAGTATTTTAATAATTTTATTCGAAATTTTGCCCTAGTTAAGGTGGGCCCCTGACGTTGATCAACAGCAAGATGTTCCACACAGCGAATAAATATAGCTGATAAACTCCTACTTAGTGAAGCTGGGCAACTGATTTTCCCACTCACAAGCGGGATTTTATCCACAATTAAATATACTGAAAGAAAGAATGACTATATATAATTAAATAGTATTTAGTATGATTTACTTGTGCAGACTGTAATTCCTGATGCAAGACATCGGTCAGACGTCCTTGTGCTTCAAAATGTTGGTTTTTAGCGTTAACTTCGATCTACAAGGCAAAATATTAATAATAATTGCACCGATTAATAAAACATTTCATTACAGGATCTTGCACTGAGCCATATTTTCTCACATTTGGTCAACTTGGACAATAAAACCAAGCGCGATATAGCTACTAACTTGTTCATTGAGACTCTTGTTTAGATTGTCAATATCAGCTTGACTGTTTGATAACTATTGGGGAAAAACAAGTACGAAAAATGTCTGAGTAAGGTTCTGGTAACTTTACATTTCTTACCAGTATCGAGCGTAAAAATCTTCAACACTTAACATGTACATATAACATTACAATAGGGATACTGCTTTTTTACAGCTTTGAATATGGACTATTTGATTAGGCAAGCAAACAAGAATATATCCACGAATATGTTTTATCACGGTATGCATGGTCAGTATATTGACGGGCCCGTTTGGTAGTTGGTACAGGCTATAAATAGGGCCAAATAGGAAGTTATCCCATTAATTTTTCGCGGATCTGAGGACGCTAATAAGTAAGGCATAATTTTGAACGAATAAATACCATCTGTTGAGTCTCTGCGAGTTCCATTGTTTTTTCACTCAATTTCTCTCCTATATCTCTGCTAGCGTGTCTTTCTGATTCAAGAGTGCTTGTTAATTCCATGTTGTCATTACTCTACAATATACAAAACATCATTTAGGAATAATAACAATCCATATAAGAAAAATAAAAAAGAAAACTGTTTAACAGGTTCTTCGGTTATAACGTTTATTTTTCATGAGCTTTCGAGTGTCAACGTACAGTTTTTAACCAGTAGAAAACAATGAATTCATTGAATCATAGACTGCTAGTCAAAAGCACGTAAAAAAAAATATAATCATACCCATGCATCCGTTTTTTTTTGTAATTCTGGTTTCATTTGTATCAAATACATTTAGGTATCACTTGTATCAAATACAACTCACCATCTCAATGAAACGGCTTTCCAGTTCTCCCAGTTGCTCCTTGAGTTCTTTGTTTTGTTGCAGTGCCCTGCAGGGAAAATATCCATTAAGATTCGCAGATTAAATAGCTAGTAACAATCTACCTAAAAAACTCGGTTTACAAACTCCTAGACAATGTTTCTCGGTGAAATTTAGTGCATATGCTCAAAAAATGATGAACGGCGTGCTCGTACACGACACGCAATCAGGTGTAATAACCTAGAATTCCTGAAATGTAACTTTTAAAGTTGCTCTGTTTTAAAGTAGTTGTTATCGTAAAGGTTTACACAACTAAATCAGAATTATCTTCTGATTATCGTAAAGGTTTAGTCACAACATTCAACCCACTTGCTTATCGTTTCTTTATCACTCTGGATGCTTTCTAACAATTCTCGTTTGTCTTGTGATTCACGACTCAAGTTCGCCACAATGTTCTCCAGTTCTGTAACTTTTGCCTCACTCTCCGCAAGTTCACTAAATGAAAACAAAATTGAAGAAAATTTAATCGCCAGAGCGAAGCAGGCACATGGAGGTGAAAGGGCTAGAGGGGCGGGTAGATCTGGGGTACGCGGGTCTGCTAGGGATGTGTACACTGTTGTACAGTATATACGAGAATGTATTTGGATAATTCGGTTAGTAATGGGTTAACAAAGTGATCGTTAAAAATATCAAATCTCCACTGTGATCACAAACAACCACTTGAAATGAAAGTGAAGATACACATAGTTATTAAAAATATTTACCGATTTAATTTGTCATTTGCATCGCTCTAAAATTTAGAAACAAAGGAAAAAGGCAATTACATGTACTGTATACGTACATTTCATTCACGAAAAATATAACTGGTTTGTTTTCTTTATATTCTAAACGGCAAACTAGGGCAAAAATACCTGAACAAGAGAATATTCTATATTGCGGGAATTTAAAGAACTAAAAAAAGTGCCTATCCATTTGGAAAGCATATAATGAGTGAAAAGGGTGAAGTAGAATACCTGTTGTTGTAAATACTTTGCTAAACTTTCTTTTTCCTCGACGAGTTTTTGTATTTCTTGTGCAGCAAGTCTCGTTGCTTCAGATTGATGGCTGGCTTCTTCGTCGTTAAGTTGATCTAAAAACGAGAGGTTGTAAGTAACAGCAGTATATTCATGTGAGTTGCCTTAAATGCCATACATTTGTGACTGAAGAGTCTTCAGTGAAGACGTACTATTGTGGTTTTATCGAGATAATTCGGAGCCTATATCTAAAGGTTACAGTAGATCTAATGATTATAATTTGCTTGCAAGATCATACCAAGACTTTTTCGCAATTCGGTAATAGTTTCTTCATATTCCTGCTGCATCTCTGTCCATTGAAGTCTGTGATTTTCAAGTTGTTCATTCTAACAAAAATATGTCATTTGTTCAGCTCATGAACTCCCTTTCAAACGTCGATCATCCAAATACCCACTGTGTAATCGGTATCAACACAGTTGATAATCGTTGATAATCAAAAAGATGCCAGGAAAACTACGTATACTATTTACCACAGCAATACTCCAATTCTTAGCTCTCCTATTTAACAAACTGCGTAGAAATGGGAGAAATGTGGAATAAAATATTCCTTAGCCAACACCAATGAAACCCGCGGGGAATTTTCTCCTTCACACACACAAGAAAAGTCCGCCAAAACTTTATAATGATGAAAGCAATCCTCTACAATCGCACAAGCTTGGATTTGATTCCTACCCGGAGGGCCCGGGTTTAGCATTTTTTCCAACGACTCCCCTGCAATCACCCCCCCCCCCCCCCGCAATCACCCCCCCCCCCCACCCTAGTGACATGAATTATATATCATTCAGTTGGATCTCTATCATCTCTATTACGTACCAGATCAACAAGTTTCTGTAGTTTAAATTCATATTGTTCAACCTCTTGATTGTGTCTTTCTATTATTTGTCCTTTATCGGTGGCTAATTTTTGTAAGGACGCGGTTTGCTGAAAAACGTATTAAAAAATTTTTTAACTTGTTTTAACTCGTGAAAATATATTGCCAATATGGAGGTAAATGTGAATTTGGAGGCGGGGTTACGTACTTACCTTTTCTAATTTTTGCTCGAGTTCTGCCTTTTCATCACGTAATTGTTTAGTCAACTCTTGAACTGCTGATGCGGACGGATTGTTTGACAACTAGAAATTGATTACACCATTATGTACATGTTTAGAATTACCGCATATTTCATATCACAGACTCGTTCCACCTCTCATGGAAACGGAATTGGATTCGGAATTCTTGCATTCTACATACTCTGCATCTACACTACTTTTTTACTATTTCATAGTGGGTATGTTTTGAGCTAACCTGTTGTATGAGAAGCTGTGTTTCGTTGAATTTCTTTGCTGTTTCATCTTTAGATTTTTCCAAAGACAAACATTCGTTCACTTTTCCTTGTAACTTCTGCCTAATTTCAGAACTTTGTTGTTGTAGATCTTCTTTCTCTCGGCTGCCAAGAAATTCAGAAAATTATGAAACAACTGCAAAAAACTTTCTCGCTGGCAAGGAAAATCAACAATGGTCAATTACAATGTTTTCAAAGTATTGTTTTGTGCATGGGCACTATCGCTGTAAGTGTCTGGTTATCTATCGTTCAGGGGCCGGTTGTATCAAGCCCGCTTAGCTTAAACGGTGGATAAGTCAAAATTAAATAACACTCTTACATCTGTCTTGAATGAGTTAACTTGAATATTATGCACTAAATATGTAGTTGTAAACAGTATCTTTGCATTAAGGTTAAAAACATTAGTTTGCTTGTTGAATAAAACGATAGACTAATTAGACTTGCTTTCTATTTTGAACTTAACCACCGTTTAAGCTAAACAGGCTTAATACAACCGGCCCCAGGTCATTCTTACGTAGGATGATATACTACCATCACTCTGAAACAAGGGAAATATACTACAGGCTGATAAAATTTTCAAGCACGACTTACTTTAAGGTGTAATTTAACGTCTGAACTCGATCCCGATCTTTCCGAAGCTCGCTATTTTCCTAAAGTTTAAGGAAAATTGACATTACCATTACTGAATTTAGCTTGCAACAGGCACATACTGTATATAAATATTACGTGTAATCCACCAGATTGAGAATAATCTTGTTTATTTTTACTACATGAAGAACTTAATTCATTGTCTAACATTTTACCTCGGAAAACTTTTCCAACTTGCTTTTCTGTGTAGCAATGTCTCGTTCGTGCTCAGCATTTTGATGTCTCAACTTTTGAACACGACTGGACAACTCCGAACATTCATCTAGATTTGGACATAAAAATCTTTATGTAAGCAAAAAAAACGTATACGGACCCAATAGACAGAACACATTGTGACATTTTGTTAGCTTTCTGCTACACTTACTATCTTTTGTTTTAAATTTCTTTTGTAGTTGTGCCAATGTGGTTTGCAGGTCAGATTTTTCTGACACAAGAATACCAATCGTCTGAATATGTACCTGTGAAGGCAACAAGACGAGCAGGAAAAAATAAGAAAAGGATGCATATTTATGTATATGCCAAATCATGGCCAGAATAACAAACATGTTTAAATAAGTCTCAAATATTTTAAACACACATTGAACTTACTTCAAGTTGCTCTTTCAAAGACCTTTGTTCCAAAAGTTGTCTATTTGCAAGCTCTGTTCTTTCCTATAATAACAAAACACATTTATATCAATAAAATATGAATTGCAATATGATGTGCACTGCAGTATCTGGCAATAAAATCATTGAGCAAAAGAGGATCAAAAACAACAAATCTATTATCTAAACTGCAGAACAAACTTAATACTATCGAATCTTGCATCATTTTCACTGGTTTATATGCAATATGCAATTGACCTACTTTTTTGATCTGCTCTTGAAGTTGGATAATTTGTTTTCTCTAAAAATAAAATACTATAAAATTAAGGCTGAACATTTTGATTTGACAACAAGGTTAATAATGAAATGCTCTTGATGGATCAATCTTGGCATTTACTTGTTTGGAAAAGGGAACACATGCAGACAAACAAGTGATCAATCACTAGCCATTAAAACAATTTGTACTTGTAGTTACTACACACTGGTTGGCTGAAACAATGACACTTCACATCCATACCTGTTCATTCACATGGTTTCCTAGCTGTTCATTGTTCCGTTTATGTGATGATAAATTTCTCTCCAAATCAGAATTTCTTCTCTACAAATATTAACATAAATTCGAGCTGTCACACCAAATCCTTCATAACATTTTCTTTGCAACCAATGTCTACTAAAGCTAGTAGTATCAACATCTTGAATCTGTTTGGTGCAATATTTATTTTGTGCATCACTTGCGCCACAACATTACCTCTAATGCATCTATTTCTGAGATTATTGGATCTTCACCATTTTCCAGTTCCTGAATAAAACAAAACAAGGCTATAGGCAAAAACTTGAATTGAACTATTAGTTGGAAGAATTCTCCTACTGACACAAGCATATGAAAAATATGCCTTTAGAAAAGCAAAGTATGAGTGTAACAAATACACTTTCAAAAAGCTTTTCACTATACCTGCTTAGCAAAACCATTTAACTGTTGGTGAATTGAAAGAAAAAATAATAACACAATTAGGGCTAAATACACATGTTTTTTATTAACCAATTTACTCTCATAAACAAGTAAAATCCATGGCAAAAAAAAACATAATACAAAAAAAACATAATAGTATATCTGTGCACATTCTAACAGGTTAATATTGCTCATTGCAAACATACAGTAGAATACAGTAGTAAAGTGCACAAAGAGAGTATCTACAACAATTTTCATTATGTAGCATATTTAACATACCATCTGTTTGATTTTGTTAACTGAAGGTGAAGAATAGGATCCATTTTTCAAAGTTTGATCAATTGGTGAAGCATTAACAACCTCCTAAACAACATTACCAGTACTTATTAGTGTTATCAGTGCTAATTACATTGGAATGACCTCATTGGTTCTTTAGATGGATCAAAACAGGAATATACCTCAGGCATTAAACTATTAAAACTAAATGATCGATTTTTTCACGTTCATTAGGTACAAAGAGTATCAATTAAACTTATTTAATGAAGGTTTGAACAGCAATTAAAAAATTTGCTGTATTCCTCTTAGTGGCCCTCTTGTCTGTTATCCGTTGTACAAAAGATGATGGTAATGAAGGTGAAATGGTAATTATTTAGTTTCTTTAAATCTGTGACCTTACTGCACTTTAAACAATTTGACATATTTGACCAGTGTAAAAAAATACATGCGACGTTTCAATCTTTTTGAAAAACAAATAAAGTTGATACAATATGGATATTAATGCGTTTTAAAACTTTTAATTTTATGTCTACCCCGATCACACAAACTCCCTATGAAAGAAATGAAGTCCTTTAGCATAAAAATTCGCCAAAAAATCATAATATTGATATATAGCATACGAGAGACAAATATCAATTTCAGTATTATGTATTCATCATGTAAAATGATTTAGTATTTATTCCTTACAAATTAATATCTTATCGTTTGAAAATAGACTTACAAAATCATTTTTTACTTCTCCTTGGCTTGTTTCAACTGTTGCAGGCTTGATCGGCAATTTAGGCGGCGTCGAAGAAGGTCCTTTCTTGTCTTGAAATTTCTTAAGCTGGGAAAACATGTCATCCACATTCCAGTTAAAAACACGTAACTTTGGCTACACATACCTTAGCTAATATTCACTAAATTTTCAAATCTAAAACGCTTAATCCTTAATCAGTATCTCACCTTTTTTCTAGCAGAAGCAATCTTCTCTAAACGGGCTTTATCAGCCATTATTTCCAAACGATCTCTTACCATAATTCAATAAAAATAAAAATACAGCCATATTGATCAGTCATCTGAACATTCGTTATATGGTAAACAGTGGTAATTACCATTATGCCACGTATTTGTCCCGCGCGAAATCTCACGCGCAAATTGGAATAATTTGCGCAGGTTTCACACGTTCACTCGTTCAGTGTAATCTCTAAAAAGTTCCACCTTCCTTTATGTATAACTGAGCCTGTAAGCATATAGCCAGTTAGCTGCTCTGAGTCTCTCCTCCTTGACTGTTCTTTGTTTTTAATTCATTTTGGCCTTTTTGCTGGGAATAGCTACCTTTCAATGTCATTTTTCATATTACGTAATGTTGTTCCTTCAGCATCTCTGTACTTCTTGCAAACCTTCACCGCCTTCACGCGTTGTTTTCATTTGTTCTTCGCATATTATCTGCCTGGACTTCCATTTCAAGTCTGGACTCACTTCATCATCCTGTTTATCATTATACCTCATCTGCAATGGTGTCAGCGAGGCTCCTAACGTTTTTGGAATCACCCACAAAGCTTCGTTTCAATACTTCATTTTAAAAGGATGAATTTGTTTCGTAGATACACGACTGTAACGACCTACTGATTGCTATTATACTCTCACTTCAGTCCTTTCATATTCTAAGTAGTGGTTTGGTTTAGAGTCACTCAGTAAAGCGCACGCGCCAGTTACGATTGCAGTCAAAGATTTACGAGGTAAAGCCATTCGAATATAATTATGGAATCATATCATTTTATTTCAAAAGCAGAAATTATTTAGCAATTTATACACAGCTTTTACGACAAATTCCGTTTTGGGAAAGACAATTTGACAGCTTAAATTCGTTCCATAAATTCCTGGCATCTTTACAATATAATGCAATAAGGAGGTAAGGAGTCAGTCGTTTTGTCATCACCCTGAGTACTGTTTACAGAACTGCGAGACTGAAAAGAGTGCAGGCTGGTATTGGCTAAAAGATCTTTCGTCTTCTTCAATACCTCTCGTGGTTCGCGTCCTTTTATGAAGCTAAGAATGACATCCATCTGACCCACCAATGTTCCAGTGATGTGGCAGAATGTCTCAAGCCACATAACGCGTTTTAAGTAGTTCTTTACTTCACCTGCAGTGAGAAAATATTGTAAAGATCATGTCAAAACGAGGTTCTTGTTTGTTTCCAGCAATGTTTTATATACATGGAGTCATGGACCACAGCACTTGTGCAGTCGGATTTGCAAAAATAGAATCTGAGCAAAACCGCGTCCATGAATGCCAAGCCTTTTTCAGTGATACAAATGAATTTTCAGGGAAACGGTCTCTTCGGCAAGTAAAGGTTCGTTCGAACCAAAGATTTGTCTCTAACCATAGATTGATTTATTAAATTTTCATCCCTTTTCCATTTGGGACTGGGGTGCTGAGCACAAGTACGCTATACTGTCAGAAATTAACCTGTCTCGGGTGGTGCAGACTCCAAATGTACAGCTTGAGTAATGAATCCTCCATAGCGGTGACTCCAGGCAAATCTCTGAACTCTTGAATAAATGTCTGCATTTTTAGATATTTATCTCCGCTCATTTTTTGTTGCATGTCATAGACAACACGCGATAGCTCGCCCGCTGCAGGGGCGCCAGCCCGAATGCGCGATAAACTTTTACCCCGCTTGTTATCGGCCAGATATGCAATCCATTCTTTTGAGAGCATCACTCGCATTTCTTCTAGTAGCAAACATTCCGCGCTGTCGGACACTTTGAGGCGCGAAAAATCCGAATTGATTGATTCTACATCGTTTACGGACATGCTTCTTCAAGTAGTTTTGTAAACAATCGACACGCAATTACCGCGTTAATTAGGCCAATTAGAACGGGGAGCGTTGTAATAATTGGTTAATTGTTAATTCTAAAATTTTCACGGAAGCAGTATTTTGTTTGCGAAATAATTAAGTTTAATTTTCTCCTATAAAAATATTCAACAATAGTTTCAATAAATAAATGACATGTGGATTTTCTATAAATACGAATTATTGAAATTAATTTATTTTTGGACAAAGGAGTGACTAAAGGTTTAGCAACATAATATACGTCTCAACCAAGACCCCATATCCAACTTCTTTTTTGATCTTTGAACGGATTACTTGTGGGTTGTGGTAAACATCTTGCATTGCCCAGTGATCCTCTGCTTTCTGCTGTAGATATGGCAATGTCAGATAGAGCTAACTTGTTCTCATAACACTCTCCAGAACTTTTCGATCTGACAAGCTTTGTACCTGGTGCATTAGGCCGTCCTCCCGCAAGCCGCGCCTCGGCAAACGTTTTCGTTTTTCCGTCATGCGTGTCATCTTTATTACGGAAAAACACTTTCTTCGACTTCGGTGAAGATGCAGATTTTTTAACATTCCATCTTCGCTCGTCTTGAGACAGACTGTGTATACTATCGTTGCTCTGGGATCGTTGTGTGCCGGAATCTTTCGCAACAGGTCGGAGATTGTCGGGGGCTCCTTGTGCATGGAAAAGAAGACCAGCAGTTCTGGAGACGATATTTTGAGCCTGGTTAGATGTGGCATCGAATGAGTGGTCCGAGACCACAGAATTCGGGCGGTTTTTCCGACGTCGGCGACGTTTAGTGTCGGATGTAGCGTCAAGTGTTAGCGGCTAACAAAAAAAGCAACTAGAATTTAGACTACAAAATTAATCGCTTTAAAGGGCATTGGTATCATAATTAAATACTGATTTTGATAATCTTGTCTGTGAAGATTACGTGAATAAATTATTACTAAGTGCAGACATGATTACCTTAGATGGACTGCATTCTTCAAGGTAATTTTTCTCGTTTTCAATATGTTCAATATTTCCTGAAAAACAAAGCAAGACACATGTGTTATGACGCTACATACTGTCGCATAAACACTTTCAAATATATCACGTATTCTTTGACGTTCTAACGCAACGCTATTGCAAACTTTCATTTAACTTTAAAAACTTTAATATACAGAACGCAATGGTGATTTTTGTCGGGCATTTGTAGTTAATAACATCAAAAGTTTTTGTGTTAGTTTTAGTAGTTCGGGCACGGGGCATCCACGAACATCTCAAGCTTAAAATCTACCAAAATGTTTCTCCGATATATTATAGTTCTTACCATTTTGTTGTCGATAATCAGTACCATTACACAGCACACTGCCATTTTTCACATGTCCATTTCCAACGAGAGTGTGCCTTGCAGGGGGGTCAGTATTTCCTGTTGCGCGGGGGCGCAGTAGAAACCACATGATAATCAGAAACAGAATTTGTAAACACAATCCGACAACATGGCGTTCCACCACCTGAACAGAAACATGTTGAGCGGTTATTTTTGAATTGTTTTTGTGCAATGCAATTACAAACTACGGTGGTAGAAATCTCGTTCCGTATGCACAAACGTACCTCCTGGTTTACGACTTTTAATCTTGAAATGGCTTCATTTAATTTCACTTCCAGTTCTTTAACTCTGCTTGTCAGAGCAAGGATAGTGGAATTTTGTGCTAAATTCTAACAGCAAAAAATTGAGATAGGATTACTGCTAAGACGGTTCAGAACACTGTGAAAGATAAGAATATGAGAAAGGCAAATCAGGCTTTCTTTCATGACGAAGTTGACGTGTTTGTCGAAATATCTTCAGAATGAATTGGTTTACCCTATTATTATCTTATAGCACAAAAGAATGTTACACATACCACTTTGGTAAGAAGCTTGGAGTTTTTTGACAACATGGAAAACTTCTTTTCCATTTTCTTTTGCATTTCATCCATCGACTTTCGGTATCTTTAAATGAAGAACAAATATAATAAGTCTACACAATAAATTTAGATGAATTCTTTAACAAAGAATTCGTCGTTCATCTTAAACTACACTATTTGATACAACAGTCGACTAAATATATATGATAATCATAGTAAGTTAAGCCGCAGAATTCCTTGATTTTCAAAATAACTGAAGTAAAATCATATGTAGCTGGCTGTAAAACGTATACTGGATGATAATTTCATGTGGTACCTTTGACTAAGTTCTTCCAAGAACAAATTCGTCATCGTAACATTCTGCTCCAAAGCTTTAATCTTTCTGCTCAATGTAACAAATATCGATTCTTTTTTCCCATATGTATTTCCATTACCAACGTGAGTTGTGACTGCTTCGGCGTTAATTGTGGGACCGGGATCAAGGTTTGGTGAACTAAAATCCTCCGGATTCCTGGAAACTGTAGCATCTTTCATCTCACATTGCCCTTCGGATAAAGGTGAAAAATCTTGTTCGATTAAACTGGGGTCTGGTAACTCAGTTTGTCTGTGATCTTCATTTAGAAGAACAGCATCTTTCTGTTCCTCAATGGTTTCAACTTTTTCGTTTACTTCACTACCCATTCTGCTATCTTCCAATTCATCCTGTTAAAAATGTAATTTTTACATACGTATACTGTAAGAAACAATACAAATTTTGGGGGTCTACTCACAAAAAAATCATGCCTTAGATTATGAACAGCCATGTGAAAGCTATAGCGTGCAATATCAAACTTCTATGGTGTATATCTACCTTTATGGTGTCTACCTGATGTGCTTCCACTTCTTTGTCTTTACTGCCAACATCTATGTCGGGTTTTTCTATCTCTTTTTCTCCCTCAAGCTGACTTATGGTTGTTTTATTGGGTTTAGCTATTAAATCACGGGCTGTATCTTCATTGGGTTGCTCAGGTTCGGCTCTTCCTTCCTTAGTCTCTGCGTCGGTCAATGTTGTTTTGAGGACATCAACATGTGGGTCGACAATATCGTGCTCCTTGTCAACAATAGGCGTACCCTCGCCGTGTTCATTGGTATCCCTATCTGATCCTTCAGGTACATTGTTATCCCTAGACAATCCCTCATCGACTGGTGTATCCTGATGTGAAGTTGAAATCTTCGGCATCTGGGCTCCACTTTCCACAGTAGAACTTAAAGTTGGCATACTCTCCATCTGTAATGTCGATGAAGGACTGGGAACGGCATTGGGGATAGTCTCGGTGGTGGCTGTGACACAATCGAAATTGTCGCATGATACGGAATTAGGAGAATCTGAACTTGCTTGGATGATAATTTCCTTCTCGACGCCCTCGGGTGGCGGAGTCGGGGGTTCAATCGTATTTGGGTTGTCATTCACAGCCAACGGGGGTTGTGCTAGAGGGGTTGGTGATGAAGCAAAATCTAAATCATTTATTGAACTTGTAACACCGCTACTGATGGTAGCAGAAGGTACACTGCTGCTGCTGCTGCTGCTGACACAGTTATTGCAAGTGCTGCTATGCAACACAGTTGAGGTAGTTGTGCTATCTGGGCTTGTCTGAGAGTCAACGTGAACTGATTCAGATAGTCCACTATCCTCTGACGATGCAGTGCGGCTTGAAGTTGTAGTATCTTCAGGTTTTTGCATTTTTTCAATCGAAACGATGTCGCTATCAACATTGTTTCCAATATCTTTAGAAGACCTCTCGTCAGCTTTACTTTCACCGTCACTCACGTCAACCTCAGTATTTATCTCTTCCTTGTTTCCCCTTGAATCTATCTCAATTTCTTCAGTGAGATTTTTCCGACTCGCTTCCTGGTTCGTCACATTCCCCACTAAACTTTTACTGAAGTTAGCGAAACATGCCTTGGCACGCCTAAAATTTCGGCCGCATACGTTATGCACGATTTCTAGAAAAGCCTGATACGAATGAGGTAAGTACTCCGTTGAAACGCATTCGTCTCCAGGCAAACACGGTGGGTTAGGTGCGTCATCACTGTCTCCATGGCAACTTGCCTCGAAGTCTTCTCGAGGCATAAGTTGTACGATAGTCTTTGGTTGAAGGGGTTGACTGGAGTTGTCTTCAGAATACGTGGTTGCATTTTCAGTCGAGTTGTTTTGTTCCTCTGTTTTAACAAGCTTCTTAGCTGTCTCCTTCACGAAGTTCAGTACAGCATCAGTGGCACTCTTCAGAATGCCTTTGGCCTGGTTTTTATTTTCAGTAGTATTAGATGAAGTATTGAGATCTTCGTCGACGTTAGTGTTCTCGTCGTGAGATGATTCATGTTCTTCGTACTCCTCTACCATGCTGTTGCCATAGACACGAAGTAAGCTCCAAGGACAATAATGTTCTGAACCATGGTGAGTTAACTGTTCAATCTACACGAAAAAAAATTTCGAAAAGTTGAGGTTTAGATAAGCCCCGTTCACATTTGCAATTTTTGCTGCGATTTTGTGCAATTTTTTTTACTTTTGACAGATGGAAACGAGCAAAAAGTTATGAATGCTCTAATGTACAAGTCTCCTTATTTGAACATCCGTAACTTATTCACTTAGTCACTCGTTTACATCCACTAAAAGAAGAAAATCGCAGCAAAAATCGCACCTCAAATTGCAAGTGTAAACGGGCCTTATAAGAGCAGAATTCATTTAAACTCAACACCCCATAAAATCCACACTTAGTATACCTTGATGTACTTTGCAAAAATAGGATCTATTGTGAAAGTCTGGATGGATTTCTCAGGCTTGGCCTCGAATGTCTGCAGTTGACTCCACTCCCTCGTAGGGTATCTTGTGCTGAACGATACTTGGAATTCTTTGGTGGTTGAGGAAAACATCTCAAAATTTGCAAGCTGTAAGGACGTGACTTGGACGTGATCACAAAGCTCAACTATAAACCAAATGTTGGCGCTACATGGGTTTAACATGTACAAATCTTTGTTTTCCAGGAGAATGGAATGTGCATTTTGGGCCTCAGAGTTCTTCTCGGGTATGTTAGCCCCACAATCCACGGAGGCGTAGTTGTTTTGCTTGCGTTCTATAGTCTTTTTCTTCTGTGGAATACCAGGGTCTGACGTTCCTTTCTCGTTGTTTAGTTGAACTTTCTTCTCCTCTTCCTGGGCAAGAAACTTTTGACTCCATTCATTAAAGGAAGGCATATCCTCCTGGGCGGCCCCAAGTGCATCTTGTGAATTCTCAAGCTCCTCTTGTGTGGCCTCAAAACCATCTTGTGTTCCCGGTAAATCCTCGTCAACTTGTAAATTCTGGCTTTTGCTGTCAAGTTGATGTGTTGGTAATTCACTGGCCGGGGGCATCTCATCTAAAATGTCCTTCTTATTTGATGAGATTGCTTTTTCTTCATTAAGACTATAAATAAAGACGTTTGTTACTTAACTGTTTTTATAACACCTTCATCAGGTTGTTCAAAGTTAGTGTATCGAATAAAAACCAATTATAAGAAACTGTGGTAAGGAACACAACAGGTGAATGTGAACAACAATCATTAATCATGTGGTCTGGAATGATTCTTTGATCATGTGACAGGATACACTGTGGGGGTGCAATGCAAAAACATGTAAGATGACTTATTTTTTATAATTGGGTTGAATATTGAGTTTTCATATACTTGTCCTTTAGGAGACTTTCTAAATTTGTTCCACACAAGATCCTTTGAATATAGCATTCCTCAGGACTTAAGTATGAAACTCTTGGGTGCTCTGAGTTGTTTTTAAAGCTTATAGGTTTATAATGTTTATCCTGTTCACTATGCTCACACACCCCACAAAAATATGTAAAAAAAGTACCACCATTTTTAATCCAGAATTTAATTGCAGGACAAAATTAGACGTTCACATGGAGTAATGTTGACAGCTGGACAAATTTAGCACTGCAACTCCCAACTCCCATAATTACAAACCTAAACTGTTGATTTTCAGAGAGCTCAACATTCTCAACTCCTTCTGGAATCTGCCTTTGCTCCTCCCTATCTTCAACTTTTTCCAGTTCTCCACCATCTTTATCACTGGCTTTTCTGGAGGATATTTCTGAAATGTTATCCTTGTTTCCTGTAATTTCCACTGCAATGTCTTTATCAGCAGCATTACTAGAACTGCCCACCTAAGTATATAGACCTTGCTTATTTTGGTACACTGGTTCAGGCACAGCTGCTGCAGCATAATTATTAAATACTAAATATGGTAATCATTATACTCTCCTGACAAAGGCCCCTAGGTCAAAACATTTAGAAGTGTTTCTGTTTATTTTAGGCAGGTGTTATACCAAATTTGAAGCAAAGTTATGTAATTAACCAAGCATTTTTTTAATTGCATAGCTAGTTTCCTTCCACTGAATATATTGATGATAACTTATCATTGCTTTATTTATAAAGTCAACATGAAAATACCCCCCTTGAATACATTAACTGGCAATGTATTATAATTTAATCAGCCTAACACCAGATGATTGTATTTGCCTGTGAAGGAATACTACTAGCTAGCAGGAACAAAGGTGAAAAACGTCTTTGGCCAATCAGCGCTTTTGTTGACATTTTTATTATTAACCAATCAGAGTCTTCGATTTTACGCTACCTCCGCTAACACACAAGAAATTTACTAGGGGTATAGTATGTTGAATTATGCCTTTGGGGGGACAGGATTTTGAACTTTTTTGATTAAATACAACGGAATATGAAAAAATATTCATTTATCTAAAAATCTGTCGGCCAGATTTTCGCTTTAAGGTCTAGTGTTAATACTATCGACATTTGAACAACGACGTACGCCCTACGAAAAGTATGCATGTGCTTCCAATCAAAATTGTGTTTGCATAATATTAAATATATTAAAAATAAGTTAAATAACTATGCAATGTTTTGATATTTGATGTGCCAGAAGAGATGTGAAATTTAACACAAAATTTATGAAGCAGCTTCACAGGAATTATCTAAATTTAAACTTACGATTTCGTTGCTTTAATTCTGGGGCGGGTGAGCGACAGACCAAGAGGATATTCGAAAAATCATATCTTGAATGTCTCCTTCGTTGCAAGACTGCTCTGTGTGAATATCGCCGTCGTCATCGTCCTCATCGTTGTCACTTGTGGTATCATCATCTTCATCATCGCTATGTTCATTGTCGTCTACACTCTGCATTGTACACTCTGTGACTGTCTTATTTGCTGTGTTACCAAGTTTGGTGATCTTCAACTGAAGGAGACTCATGCAAACGGAGCAAACACTGATCTTAGGAAGATTACACTCTACGTGAAAAGAATGCCCACAGCCGCGAAAAATACGCCACAAATGACTGTCACGGTCGCAGTTGATCTTGTCACATTTGCTGTTTGAATGAGATTTATGGTAATGTAAATCATTAATTAATTCTATCTTACAAGGAACCTAACCCTGACTTAGATGTTTTGCATTTGCTTGTTAACATATCAAATAAATAAAAATATCAATTGCCATAAGGTAAGACTATATTAATACAGTCTTTCCTAAGCTTACTGTGCAATCAACCATTTTACACTATAAAAATGCCCTCAATCAAAGGAATGAACTTATTATTTCATTACTTACATTTGAGGGTTAGGAGGTCTTTCAACTGAAGTGAATCCTAGTGGCAAAATTTTACTGGTAACAATCTTGTTGCCAAACAGATTTGGTAATTCCCATTTTGTTATATCCTTTCTTTCACCTCGAGCTCTTGGGATCAACACAGCTTGGCTGGGATTGTTATGTAGCAATTCAAACTTCTTTGTTAGGAATTCTGCTGCTTTGACTTTCAGTTTACTGATGCTTTTCCTGCTGAAATCTAGCTTTCTTGGAGGCACAAAATTTGACTTAAACATATGCATCTCATGTTTACACACATCAATCTCTTTAGCCTTTCGACTAATTTGATCAGCATTGTCAGTGGAATTAGTTCTAGCACGAAGGACAGAATGAAAATTTTCAATGGGATATTCGTCAAAGGCTGCCAAGGCATTGTTTAACGTATCAAACATAGGGTGATTGTTCTCTTGCCAGTACATAAATGCTGAGAGTTTAACCAGCAATGCTTTGTCATAATGTCGACGACGGAACACCATACACATAATCCAGCAGCGTAACAATGATTTGCAATACAATTGGTAATCATTACATTTAAATATCACAGAATAAATACTTAAAACCAAGGGCACATAATTGTCGACCAGGTTGATAAGAGTAAGGAATTCGACTTCTTTACAATGATAAAAAATTGAAATGATGTTTTCCCGAATTAGAGTCCATCCACCATATAGCACTTCCAGTAGCAGGGAGACTCTCCAGGGCTTTGGCTTTTTAGCTAATTTAGCTTTCTTTCCAAACAGGAAGGAGTAAAGTTCAGCAAATATTGGATGGAAGTACTTCACAACACATTCTCTGGTATTCAAAGAAATGTGCAAGGGACCTATTAATGGAACAACGTTTTGGACAATAGGTGGTAAAGAAACTTTGGCTGAGTTGTATACAAGTTGACGCATGAAAAATTGGGTTGGCCAGTCACCCATGAATGGTGCTAAGAAACTGTCAAGATAGATTTTCAAACCATTATCGAGCATGTGCTTAAAAGCTGTGAGTAGATCATTAAGTGATTTGAGAGGCAAATGAAGGCTGTCCACAAGTTTAGTGTTGTCCATACACCTCATCTCCTGTATTTCAGTTTGTTGATAATCATGCAGCAAAAGTCTGCGTCTTTCTTCCTCCGGGTCAAAATATTTGGCTACTACCCAATCTGGGTTTGTTGTTGAGTAGCTTTGGGATAAGCTTGCCATTTCCTTGTTTAAAAGTTTAAACAAGGTATCACACTGAACTGGAGAAGGAGGCAGCAGAGGTGATTTGTGATGTTCTTTTGAAATTGCCTTAACATTCGAGAATACTTTTACCAAAAGTGTGCTCATGTGGACTGCTTCGGTCTGTGATTTTGTTTCAGGGCGATGCTGCGTATGTATATTATGAAAGTCGTCAATGCAAATAACCAGAAACTGCTCATTGTCCACAACTTCTTGAAAGAAAGTTTCCACATTGCCAAGGTGAGAAGCAGCAGATAATTCTGATGCCATCTTAACAGTCCGGGGGTGTGTTGCCACTCCTAGATTCCGTAGTGATGCTAAGCCTTGGTCACTTATCCCAAATTGTTGGAGTGTTCTGGCAAGAGTGACTTGAAACCAATTAGCCTTTTGGGATTGTGAAAACATCATGATGTAAATCACCACCATTGTTCTCAGTTTTGTCAGATGCTTTCTTTCAGCAGACATTCTTGAAAGACTCATTGCATTGCACAATTTGTTAAAAAGCTTTTCAGCTCCAATTTGAAGACAGACCTGCTCAAATTTATCTGGATCCATCTCTGGATAAGGATTTGAACTCTTAAAAAAATGTGAACTTATTTTTTCAAGCTCTTGTTTCATGTCAACATATTTTGAAGCCTGTTCAATTAATTCTTCATACTCACTGGGAGAAATGCAAATGCATTGATCAGTTTGAATTTCTTTCTCTAGACATGTTGTTGCAGGCACAGTCTGTTCACAGTCACTAAAAGAATATAAACTAGGGCTGTTCAGACTGATGGTTGATTCGTGTCCTGACTACATATCTGTGTACATGTTGTGTTTACTTCTACATCAGCTGTCATAGATGGTGAGTAAGAAGCAGTATGAGCATTTGTTTCTGTTATACTTGATATGCGTGTGTTAACTGTAGTTATACTTGATATGCTGGGCTCCATCTCATTATCCACAATCTTGTCTACTGCTCCAGGATTTTTGAACAATGCTGCAAGCTAAAAGTATTTTCAAATCATTATGGATGAAAAGAGTAAAATTGAAATTTGAGAATTAAGATAAATGGCAATAAATTACAGTAAACCTACCTTGTTTTCTATTGTTGTGTGATCATTTTCTTCTAGGTATTTCGTAAAGCAACGCCTTTTAAGACATTGTTTTAGGCAGGCAGTGCAGACGTTTGTTACAGATGGTGTTTTTAAAACATGTTCTTTTTTTAAAAAATGCTCAAAAATATTGGCTAGATCTGACAAGCCATTCCTGCGAAGGTTAATAAATTGAACGTCCTTTTCAGTTTTCCACTTTTCGTGAAGGAAACGATTGCTGCAGACTTTCGAAAACTTAGGCATTTTCAGTGAAGTTGCATGATTTTAAAAAAAGGTTTGTGTTTTCGCGCTCTTTACTTTAGCTAAATATGGAATATTTTAAAGATCTTACAGTGCATGGTCTCACTGTCTGGTCAGTCACAAGCCGATCGAATGTTTAATATTATTGCAAAGAACGTCTATAAAACTTTTCCCCGTTTAACTTGGCCTAAAATCAAGGGGTATCTTATATTATTGTAGATATAATTGTTGTTTTTTAGAGGCCCAAAAACCAAGACCAGCAATTATATAATAAACCCTTACTCGCGGCGTGCGTACGTCGTTGTTCAAATGTCGATAGTATTAACACTAGACCTTAAAGCGAAAATCTGGCCGACAGATTTTTAGATAAATGAATATTTTTTCATATTCCGTTGTATTTAATCAAAAAAGTTCAAAATCCTGTCCCCCCAAAGGCATAATTCAACATACTATACCCCTAGTAAATTTCTTGTGTGTTAGCGGAGGTAGCGTAAAATCGAAAACTCTGATTGGTTAATAATAAAAATGTCAACAAAAGCGCTGATTGGCCAAAGACGTTTTTCACCTTTGTTGCTAGCAGGTTAATGCACAGAAAATGGGGGCATCTTGACAGCTACTATCATAAGACAGGTTAAGTACAATTGACTATTATTTTACCCTGATTTTGGCATTGGATCACAATGAAAGGCTGGGCATGTCTAGACCTAACACCTTATTGACCAATTATTTTATTCAATGCCAATGGCTAGGCACATAGATACCCCACCTCTATCTCCTTTTGGTTTTCACCAGCTGATTTAGAATCATCAATGTTAGAAATAGATATTTCCACGTCAGGAATTTGTTTTTCAGTTATTATTTGATGTTCTATGGAAGACTCTGCATCTCCCCCTGAGACAGTTGATATTACTTGTGTGTCATCCCAAGGGGTGGCTGGTGCAATTGCAGGTCTTGTCACCAACGTATTTAGCTCTACAATGTCATGAATAATGGTCTGTGTCTGATGAATTAATGCCAAATGAGGAGTAGCCTTTTGTTCGGTGAAGCCAATATTTTCCTAAGGTTAAAAAAGATTTGTAATGTATCATAAAGATATAATAAAAATATTATTATTAACACTGTTATTGCTAACTCAGCTGGAGTAAAAAATCTGTACATATATTTGTACAGTCTGTTGTTTAAATATTTTTTTGACTTTGGCTTGTCACATTGTGTAATTTAATCGATTAAACTGGGTCAAATCAGGCTTGACCAGAATCAAACAAAGCAACCAACCACATGCTGACATTTGTTTGACAATGACAACTAATGAATACTGATATTAATAATAATGTAAATACCAAGTGGTAAATGGTGTATCCTAAGTATTGTATAAAGAAATCATCAAAGTAGTCTTGGTTATGTGAAGAATATCTTCTTCCAAATACTAAATATATAGCATATCGCTTTTCATTTGCATTTAATCCAAATGATTTGTTATATAATGATACATCAATATAAGCAAACATATCATTTCATTTCAAACAATATGTCTAGGAGACGTAACACTTCGATGCGTACTAGAAATGCTTATACTAAAAGCCAGACCCTTTGTTATAGGTCAAATTGCAAAAAGCTTCGAAAGATTTTAGAAAACCGAATAAAAATATATCTGCGACTGTAATTGTGACAAATGTTTAACCACAAACCACAAAAGAAAGCTAAAAAGTGAATGATTCACCATCGGTTATAATTAAATTGCTTTAATTAACAAGTTAGACAACCAGAATTCGACTTCAGATATACCTTTTCTGTGGACAAGCTTTCTATGTCTGATTCAGTTTCTTGCGTAACAGGATCGCCTCGTAGTGCAAACCTAAGATTGGATACAAAATATACTCAGTGAAATTAAATTAATCCGAGATTATTTCTAACGTTCTTTCCCAATTGTACAAAGTGGAATAATATATATTTGTCTCCCTCTCAAATAAGAGGTCTAAAAACTTGAAAGTATAAAAATTATCGCCATCTTACCAACATAGTAGAAACGTCAACCATAACTGTATGCAACGACAAAGCTTACTCGCCATTTTAAAGTGTGATTTGTTGCCCGCTTGGCCAACATAATTCTTCACAATATCATCTTAAATGAAAGGCAGGAAGTGTATAGTCACTTCGAATAAGTTTACAAGTCCTTTGTACAGATTTTTCATTCATTTTTGAGCTAAAATATGACGTGTTTGTACATATGATAATGTATTAGTATTTGTAATTTTGTAAATTTGAGATCTTACGAATCCAGTTAAACCAGAATCAAAATCCCGGGGGGAGGAGTGTGAGGAGGAATATTAGCCTTTCTCACGATGACGAAATCCGCCATTTTTGGGGCACTTTCAATTTTCTTAAATCCGTTTAAACAATAATAGCAATGTAAGTAAGAGGCATTTTTTAAGAGTCCATAGACCATTTGAACAATATATTACGCCTAAAATTAAAGACAGCCGCCCTGACAAGATCTTGCGCTCACAATTTAAAAAAAAAGTACCCCAAAAATGGTGGCACATTCGTCATCGTGAGAAAGGCTAATTGGGTCGCATTAAATAGCTGACGGAGAGTGGTAGCCAACGGGGAAGTGGAATGTGAAAAAAGCCTACAAAAAGCCTACGAAATTGTTTTCTAACAACATGAGCTGTTGTATTTCTTCCAACAGCAAACTGGGTAGTGACAGGTTTGATTGGTGCCCACGTATTTTGAATATTTTTTTGCCAATAAAGGTGTCTGTTTTCTTGTCTAGTCTTTCTACCAACATCTTTATAATCGAACTGCACCCATACTGTACCAATATTGCTGGAACCATTTGTCAAGCCATCATCAATTCTTACGTTTATGAAAATTTCAGTTCTCTCACCTACGGCAATATGGAGTTTGGAAATAAGTTGCTTTGTCTTTTTTGGCTCGTTTGGAATTTGCCTCATTATTCTTTCTTTGAGTTCCCTGCTTCTAGCGCCTATGACACTATCCTGAGCGTCTATTATATACTTTGCACCTGTCGCTGTTGAATAAACTTGGTTGTTAAACTCATCCACGTACGCGTTTTGTATAAATAAATGGGGCGCATGTTTTGGAGAGTTTTGCTCTAAGACTACTCTTTGTTTGATTTTAGAAATATCGTTTTCAGTATGATTTCCTTCCCTTAATCTACTTAAAAGTTCTGCAAATATCTTGCTGTCTCTTTGTCGCATTATTGTCTGTAATTCAAACATTCGAAAGTGTTGTTTCCATAAATTTGGAGTGAGAACACCATATTCTGAATTATGAAAATTATCGAAAATGAAACTGTCCATGACGGGCTTTAATTGAAACAAATCACCAATTGCAATGATGCTCACACCACCAAAATCTTCCTTACTACCTTTGATGTCCTTTAATCGATTATTTATTTGCACATTAAACATACTGTTTCCAACCATATAGATATTTCATCTAGTAATATGAGTTTTACATGCACCTATTTGACATCTTAAAGTGTTTAATCTGTTAGAATCTAGTGGTCTATATTTTTTTAATGACTGATTTGCAGGTATTGCAAGTGCACTGTGTATTGTATTGCCCTGAATAATAAATGCAGCTTTACCTGTCGGGGCTAAAAGTAAAACATTAATCTGTCTGAAATCTTCACCAGCTTTGCTGTTATACAGGGTGTATCAAAAAAAATGTCCCAAATGTAAAAATTCCGTTTTTCAGGATATTTTGCAGAATTTGGCAAATTTTTGTGTTCCTAGAGATAGTTAAGACTTATCTGGTATACCTAGGCCAAGTTTGGTTTTTCAGTAACAAAATTATGTTAACGGGGGGGTGGTCCCTTTCAACTGATATTTAGAGGGCTTGCGCGCGAAAATGTGAAGCTGAAATTGAGATATTATTTAGCTGTCTAAAAGTAGGAAAGCTTTTTAATAAACTGTCAAAGTTTCAGGAAAAATAATGCATACTGGGAGCAACGCGCGACCCCTAAAGGTGACAAATATTTCATTGCGCGCAGTGGATTAAATGCATCGTTGATTTTAACGTGACCGATCTCATACAAGGTGGGCAAATGAATAAATTAAATTGAGAAACTGAACACAAAAACAAAGCGATTTATTCGGGATGTTAATCCTCAGCATGTCCACCATTTCATTCTAAGCAAACTGCGGCTTGTCTAAGCATACTAAACACTGAACAGCGAACCATTTGTCTGTCCATTCACCTAGATTTGCCGGTGGTAGCGTAGGCGATTTGCAAGAAAGAATTTCGAACGAAATGGATAATTTGAGGCAGGGCAGACAAATGTGGTTCTCCGTTCAGTGTTTACCATGCTCAGACGAGCCGCAGTTTGCTTAGAAAGAAATGGTAGAAATGTTGAGGATTAACATCACGAATAAAAATCTTGTTATTAAATCGCTTCGTCTTCTTGTTCAGTTTCTCGCTTTAATTTATTCATTTGCACAGCCTTGCATGAGATCGGTCACGCTAAAATCAACCATGCATTTAATCCACTGCGCGCAATGAAATATTTGTCACTTTTAGGGGTCGCGCGTTGCTCCCAGTTTGCATTATTTTCCTGAAACTTTGACAGTTTATTAAAAAGCTTTCCTACTTTTAGACAGCTAAATAATATCTCAATTTCAGCTTCACATTTTCGCGCGCAAGCCCTCTCAATATCAGTGGAAAGGAACCACCCCCCCGGTAACATAATTTTGTTAATGAAAAACCAAACTTGGCCTAGGTATACCAGATAAGTCTTAACTATTTCTAGGAACACAAAAAATTGCCAAATTCTGCAAAATATCCTGAAAAACGGAAATTTTACATTTGGGACATTTTTTTTGATACACCCTGTAGTATTTTAATGCGGCTTGATAAATTGATTTTGTAAGAGGTGATTTACCAACTCCTGCACCTCCACTAAGGAATCCGTAAAATGGTTTATCTGAAGTCTTTATAAGATGCACTATATGATAAAAGAATTCCTTTTGTTCTATATTTAACATTTGGATCATTTTTCTGTATTCGTTGTCTGGTAGTTCATTTTGAACAAGGGGTTCATTATTTGCCGCTGCAGAAGGAATTCCAATGTCGTGTGATAAGTCATAATTTTCGTTAAAATCAGGGTTTAAATCAATAGTTCCTTCATCTAGATCTTGTTGTTCGGTCTCTTGAGTCAATGGTGCAAGATAGTCAAATTGGTCTTCTTCATGGTCAAAAGCTGAATCTATTTGTTTTTGGGCGTTATTCAGTTCGTCATTACATACTGCTTACATACTCATTTGATTTCTTATTGAATCTTGTAAAAATAAATAATTTTCTTCATAAGATGAATATTCTCCAATTAAATCAGTTTCTTCATTTCTCCACGGTGTAAAAAACATAATTGATTCTCTAAAATGTTTCTCTGGATGTGTTTCTTTATTGAACCACACACATCGTATGATTCTCGCTTTTGATCGTTTTTTTGGGCTGTCGTTTTTCTTTCGTCTTTCAATTTTATCGTTTGCTGTTTTGGAGTCGTCAGAAAGGTCATCATCATTATTTTCATCATATGAAATTTCTAATGGCAGATCATCAATATCTAGTTTCGAAGCGGTTTTTTTGTATGATTTTTTATTTACACCATCATACCACGCTGCCCAATCTGCTAAAGTTACTTCTTCAAGATTACGGGGGCGTTCAGTGTACCTCTTCAACATTCCACTAAAGTGTATTTCCTCACAATCATCGGGCATTTTCTCATATTCGGAAAGTGGTTTTAGCAACTGAACTCTTTCGTTCGGTGGAGAAGTGTTGATGAAAATTACTTCTCTCGACGATTTCCTCATTGGTAACTGTAAAATTATATACACAGCTTCCTGGGCACTAATCTCGACACTATTCAAGAATTTATTACCATGATGTCTCTCATTTGCTGCTTAATACTGGCATTACCCTGCTTTGCTTCAGCACATGCTTTGCGTAATAGTTCACTCATTCCCTTTTGTGCTTTGGATATATATGAAACAATATAAACTGCACAAGCATATTCATCAAGAACATATTGAATGTCCATATTTGCTCTCCAGGCACTCAAACATGTAGAGTTATAATTGTTTATTCTGAGTTCATTCGGTTTTCGTTTCAAAAAGATTGTAGTGCAATTGATTTGAGAGACGAACGAATTGCAAGTATGTAGTCTTGTTGAGATACATTTAAGAGATGTAATAGTTCTTCATGGCTCAGAGTATTATCACCTTTCATGTCATCTAACTGTTGCTTTAATTATTGCTTTCCACAAGACTTTTAATTGTGTAATACGGCTTTGAGGAATGCCGTCTTCCAAAGGGTAAAGAATTGTTGTTGAGTTCATTGGGGGTTGTGGATAGTTAAATCTACATTCCTTCTTTACTCGTTTTCGACAAGTATGTGAATGTTTGTGAGTTTGGCGATTGACAAGATTAACTAGATCGGATTGGCCACTTGGTAGTTGACACGTGATTATTTTATCAACAAACGATACCACATCATCATCTGCAGCAACACCAAATATTGGGGAATTTTCTAGCCATATCAACATATGAATATGAGGTGAACCTCTTTGCTGATATTCAACTCTATAAAACCAATCACTAATTTTTCCCAAAGCAGCAATATTGCTCATTAAGAACTGTCTTAGAAATTTATTAAATTGATAGTGCCTAGCACAAGTCACTGGGTCGCTTTGAATGAGTCTGCATTTCTCTTCCCAACTCATATTCTCTAGTTCATCATCAGTGTATTCTTTGTGATCAACAAGATGACCTAAAATTCGAAGGAGATGTAGCCACTTTGTTTCAGCAGATGAAAAGCTACAATTCAATGTTGCAGGACCTAATTGTCTTATCATAGCGAACAAATCTTTCTTAGCTTTTTCAAAATAAGGTGGCGACCCTCGTAGAGCTCGTAAAAATTTAAAACCTTCATCGTGATGGACAATACTTTCTAAAGTACCTGCTTGCTTCAATTGATCAGCTGTTAAAGATGTATTTTTTCTCTTAGATTTTCGTAATGCGATTTGTGATTTACCCAGAAGTATTTTCATCTGCAGTTTTTTTGTCTTAAAGAATATGTTTTCCATACACATTGCTACCCTTTTGTTAGACCTTCGTAATTCTGATTTGCAAATGTCACTGTAGAAAACCTTTATTTTGTTTTTTGGTCTTTTCTGTCCAAAAAATATTCCAGGGTAGGCTAATTCCTCCGAGTATTTATCGCGAAATATGCTCAGTGGTATGGAGCCTTCACTTGGTGCTATACTATAGATAGTTTCTCTTTCGTCATCTTCAATGAAATCTGCAGGGGTTAACATACTATCAGTTATTCCTGCAGGAACATCAGTGTCATCTTCACTCCAGTCATCATCTTGGCATTCTTGATTTTTTGCATCAATATTTATTTTGTCCTTCCTTGAATTAAGTTCTTGTTTGCTGGGGCATTCCTTACGTGCTGTTGTAGCATCATCTGATTTGGACAAACTTTGCCGATAATCGTTCTTCCAGTTTTCATTGAGACATATGCCTTGCTCGCGATACAATATACTATTTTTGGCTAAATAAGTTGCAGCTTGGAATACTTTATGTGGTCTTACATTTAAAGACATGGTACAACTTTTATATTGCAGTTTTCGTTTTAGTTGAACTTTAATTGTTCCAGTTTCACTTGGTAATCTCGGTAAGATATTTACCGTATTTGTAACGTCAGCTGGCACGTTTACAACGTTACCATTTATTTTAAATTGTTTGCCCCTTGGTGCTTGCATATATAAGCTTCAGAAAAGCAAGTCTAGGTGCAACAAGTCTCCATTCTAATGCATTTAAGTCAAAATTTTCTGGAATATCTGGAAATACCATCCCATTTGTTTGGGAGCAGGGAGGCATCTTATTGTTTTTTAAATGTTTTTCACACGTTTTACAGATCCACTCAACATTTTCAACACTTCTTTTGTTAAACAAGTATTGTGCTATTGTAGGTTTTGACATTCTTAGTTTTTCAACAGGATTAACACTATGCTTATACCACAACTGGTCACAACAAGTATAAATATATATTGGGCCTTTGATACATCGGTCTGAAACTTACTTATAAGATCAGAAACACTACTACAATTTCTTCTTTTTTTGTCACGCTGTTGTTGTTTGGCTGGTCTGTAACTTGCATTCTTCAGACTCGGTTTGTCTCAAATTGTCATTAAATATTTGCTGTCTGTGTAGTCGATTTTTTCTGTGTTCCTCGGACTCATTTTCCCTCCTGTTTATGTCACAAATTTGTTGTGCGCGTAGTCGATTTTTTCTGTTTTCCTCAATCTCATTTTCCCTTCTATTTATGTCACAAATTTGCTGTGCGCGTAGTCGATTTTTTCTGTTTTCCTCCATCTCATTCTCCCTTCTATTTATGTCACAAATTTGTTGTGCGTGTAGTCGATTTTTTCTGTGTTCCTCAATCTCATTTTCCCTTCTATTTATGTCACAAATTTGCTGTGCGCGTAGTCGATTTTTTCTGTTTTCCTCAATCTCATTTTCCCTTCTATTTATGTCACAAATTTGCTGTGCGCGTAGTCGATTTTTTCTGTGTTCCTCAATCTCATTTTCCCTTCTATTTATGTCACAAATTTGCTGTGCGTGTAGTCGATTTTTTCTGTGTTCCTCAATCTTATTTTCCCTTCTGTTTATGTCACAAATTTGTTGTGCGTGTAGTCGATTTTTTCTGTTTTCCTCAATCTCATTTTCCCTTCTATTTATGTCACAAATTTGCTGTGCGCGTAGTCGATTTTTTCTGTGTTCCTCAATCTCATTTTCCCTTCTATTTATGTCACAAATTTGCTGTGCGCGTAGTCGATTTTTTCTGTGTTCCTCAATCTCATTTTCCCTTCTATTTATGTCACAAATTTGCTGTGCGCGTAGTCGATTTTTTCTGTGTTCCTCAATCTCATTTTCCCTTCTATTTATGTCACAAATTTGCTGTGCGTGTAGTCGATTTTTTCTGTGTTCCTCAATCTTATTTTCCCTTCTGTTTATGTCACAAATTTGTTGTGCGTGTAGTCGATTTTTTCTGTGTTCCTCAATCTCATTTTCCCTTCTGTTTATGTCACAAATTTGTTGTGTGTGTAGTCGATTTTTTCTGTGTTCCTCAATCTCATTTTCCCTTCTATTTATGTCACAAATTTGCTGCGCGCGTAGTCGATTTTTTCTGTGTTCCTCAATCTCATTTTCCCTTCTATTTATGTCACAAATTTGCTGCGCGCGTAGTCGATTTTTTCTGTGTTCCTCAATCTCATTTTCCCTTCTATTTATGTCACAAATTTGTTGTGCGTGTAGTCGATTTTTTCTGTGTTCCTCAATCTCATTTTCCCTTCTATTTATGTCACAAATTTTCTGCGCGCGTAGTCGATTTTTTCTGTGTTCCTCAATCTCATTTTCTTTTCTATTTATGTCACAAATTTGCTGTGCGCGTAGTCGATTTTTTCTGTGTTCTTCAGATTCATTTTCCCTGGTTTTTATATCACGTATTTGCTGCGCTTCCAATCGACATTTCTTTTGTTGATTAGATTCTCTTGCTATTCTAAAAGCATCACAAACTTTTTGTCGCAACAAGCGTTCGTTCTTGTCTTTTTCAGACTCATTTGCTATTCTGCTTATGTTACGTGACTTTTGAACTTGTAATCTACTCGTCGATGTTCACTTGATTCACTTGCTCTCCTTTGCCTATCGCGTACGTTTTGTGCCCTCAGACGACTTTGCTTGTGTTCATTAGATTCATTTACTCTCTGTTCCTTTTTATATTTGCGACATTTTTCAAGCCTTTCCTTTTTTGTTTCAGCACTTTCTGCATTTTTTCGCTTCAAATAATTCATACGCCTAACTTGCAGTTGCTCTTCCCTACTCTTTTGATCTTCTGTTTCGAGTTCTTTTGTTGTATTTTTATCCTGCTTACTGTTTTTGTCTTGGGCTGTGTGACCTACATTCTTAGAGTTGCTTTCAGTCTGACACATACTCCGAGTGTTTCATTAGTGTCCGTGTTTTTCATGTCCGTGTTTTCCATGTCCGCGTTTTCCATGTCCGTGTGTCCGTGTCCGCGTTTTCCAGCTAACCATAATATACTGATTATCACTACAACAACATCGGTTTATACTGTTTAATTCTGAGTTCCACTGCACGGGCTACATTCAGTGACAATGTAATCGTTTCCAAACACAATTTTGATGTCTTCTTAGTTTAATAATTTCTCGCTTATTTCGTCCTCTGTAAGTTCAGTTAAATTCGTTGTTTTCAGAATTCTTTCAAGCACATTGGCAAAAATTGTTAACCCTATTTCATCATTCCCATTATCATCAGTTGCTTTGATAAACACTTGACATGCGATCTCGAATTTACAATCGGCAATGCGTATGCGTTTAGGAAACCGTGGACATCAAAATAACTTTACTTTGTAGACCTGGATGTATCTTTTTCTTTCAATGTAGACAAGACTGATACTTGTCAGCCTCTACTGACCTGAAACGTTTAACATATAATATAGTTTCACTTGGCTCTTGCAGCATTTCTACCGCCAAAGAATCGTCCAGCGTCTCCATTTCATCATTATCAACTTGTGAGAAAAACAGTACTTGGTGTTGTGGAGAGCGTCTTGTTCTGGTCCACTTGTCTCACACTGACGTTCGTAAAGATGTACACTTTACCATCCTCGATTCTCTCAATTTCGTCTTCCCACAAAGTCAGTGAGAAATAATGTCGTCGTACCGTCATTGATAGTACTCTTCAACATTTTTAGATTCTTCTTTTTAGTTTTCTCGACCGTTTCTCCTTTCTTAACGACGCCTTTAATACGCACCTTGCTGCCCGTTTCTATGTTCTTCTTTACGCCGATTAATGCAACGATCGCTGGTTCTTCGTCGGGAGTGTATTGAAAATTGTACTGTGACGCTTTTGGCGATGCGATAACGGTCATGTCGTTGATTTTGTATTCATCTTCTGTACTTCTCCAGCCTGGACCGATCAGATAGTTCGAGATCTGCACTGGCATTAGAGTTTTCTCTTTCTCCGCCAGAATATCATACTTTGCTTTTGAAAAGCACACGACTCGTACCCGTTTGTCTTGCATTTGTAGTTCGAAGTCGCACCATTCAGTTTTTTTACCTTTTTTTAAAGGTGACAGGTTGTGGATGTAGCCAATAACGGCCGGATTATTTCTTCGCGAAGCCATGAATATCGTCTGATTAAACTGATTCACTGAATCAGCACGGTAAACTGGGTGTGACTTTTTATACTAAAGCGCGTGGTTGACACTACTGTAGTCTAAAGAATGGGCCATGTCATTACCGGAGATCATTGGTGCATGTGTAAAATCCTTTGTCAGTCACAGAAGAATACAATGGATCAGTGAGGATCGGCATATTATTATCACTGTTCATTGCTGATGATTAATGAAGGGGGTCATTCTTTCCTAAATAAGCAGGCTATTTTACTCACCATGCCAATAATTACCACATTCATTGATCATATTCAATGATGGCAGTAAAGCTAATGCTGAAATGAATGACGATGCGTGACGATGTATAAAATAATTGGGATCACGTTCAGACCTCTTCGGCCGAAGCATAATATTAGGTAGAATGACACGGCGTTCCTGCCTCTACTTATGTTTACAGAAACTGATTGTGCATGTGAGCTATATGCTAAAGTTTCAGCAGACAGCATTCACATCTACAAATATTACATGTTACTACTAGAAATTTCTAATAGAAAGTGAAGTGCTGCGAAATGTACATATCGATTTTTATTTAATTTTTTCATAACATAATGTGACACATATCTAAATTATATGAAACATATCTAAAATAGGTTTAATATTTATCATGACGTCACACATCATGAAATTTATCATGACGTCACACACTACATACATACCAAAACAGCGAGATCGTATACGCATACAGAATAGAATGTATGGAGGGGAATTAGGGACTAAATTGTTGTATAATCGTAGGCAATAGGTCGTACTAGATAGGCAATGGGTCCTACTAGATAAGCAATGGGTCGTATTGCATAGGCAATGGGTCGTATTGCATAGGCAATGGGTCGTATTTTTAGGCAATGGGTCGTATTGCATAGGCAATGGGTCGTAATGGATAGGCAATGGGTCGTATTGCATAGGCAATAGGTCGTATTGGATAGGCAATGGATAGCCAATACGAATCTACAACTATATTATGAAGTACTACCTTCCATGCACGCGGGCGCATAAATCATTTTAAATTTTCTGGCCAGCTTTCAAATGTTTTTGGAAACAGCAAATTTATACAATTCATTTAAAACATTTTGACCAAGATATATGTCATCTCGTACATTACAAAACGAAGGTCAACACCAAACGCCGCAGGTACTGTTGACTAACAATTTTAAGGCAGTTATTTGTGATCTACTCAACTGTTTGAATGGTGTAGGAAATCATGATGTTGATGTTGACTACGCTATGTACCGACTTGAATGGCTCATTTCTTTGTGCACAAGGTTTGGAGATTATTTTGAAAGGGAAGAAACGTTCGTTGAGCATCTTCTTCAAGCCCAAGAATTATTATCAGCTATTAATAATTGCGAATTAAGGCAAAATACTTCTAGTTTTTTCATGTACAACGAGACTACTTCATGTACTTCTACTCAAACTAGTGGAAGACCAAAGCTTAAGATTCCCAAGGAACAAATTGAACTTTTTCTTGAATATGGCTTTAAAGTTACAGACATTGCAAAAATGCTATGTGTCAGTAAAAAAACAGTCCATCGACGACTTCGGGAGTACAATTTATCCATTAAAAAGTCTTATGCCAGTTTTAGTGATGAGGAACTAGATAATATTGTTGTGGAAATCAGTTCACAATTTAAAAATTGTGGTTACAAGGCAATGCGAGGTCATCTGCTTGCAAGGGGATTTAAGATACAAGAGGAAAGAGTGAGGCAGTCAATGAGACGGACTGACCCAGAAGGGACTTTCATTCGCGCTCTTCAACTGAAAATTACCCATAGGAGAGTATACAATGTGCCAGGACCACTTGCACTCTGGCATATTGATGGCAACCACAAACTGAAAAGGTGACATATATTTTTTTTTATTAAAATTAATAAGTTTTATAATACATCATGTGACATTTGGCTTTCCTGCCACCACGCACCCATAAAATTGGAGCACTCTTATTTTCTTATTTGGAGAAAAAAAGTATGATGAAAAAGTCATGCATTTCACTAATATTACAGTGGTCTATAACCTAAATATTATTTATAAAGTAACTGGACTATAAAGAGCCATTTTTAATGATTATTTAGGTGGAAAATAATTATTCACGGTGGTATAGATGGATTTTCAAGAAAAGTAATGTTTATGTCGTGCAGTGGGAATAACAAGGCAACAACAGTTTTAAGTCATTTTGTCAAAGCTGTGGATGAACATGGTTTACCTTCCCGTGTTCGTGCTGATCAGGGTACTGAAAATGTCGGTGTTGCACGATACATGTTAAACCATCCAGCTAGAGGACCTGGAAGAGGGAGCTTCATCACTGGCCCAAGCGTTCACAACCAAAGGATTGAACGTTTTTGGAGGGATCTTTTTGTTGGTTGTCTTTATATTTACTACTCTGTTTTCTTCTATATGGAAGAAGCAGGTTATTTAGATTTAAGCAACGAGGTCCATATGTTCTGCTTGCATTATGTATTTATTGACAGAATAAACAAACATATTTCTCATTTTGTTAATGGATGGAATGATCATCCTATACGAACAGCACAGAACAAGACTCCAAACCAACTTTGGATCAGCGGGTTGTGTAACATTGCAGCAAGTAATGACTTGGCAGCACAAACAATTCTAAATCAACCATCACAGGACTGTGAGGTATATATGCAATTGATTTGCATGGAATAGAATATATAATGTAGACTATATCATACTGAAAAATGCATAATCTTTTTTATCCAGCAGTTTTGGTCTGAGTTTGGAATAGAGACTGAAGAACATTCATTCTGTTCAGAAGGAGGGTGTGAAGTTGACCTGCTTGATGTGGGCCAACCCATTTCTGATGATGAGTTGGAGGAGCTAAAAGAAAAGATTCACCCACTTCAAGATGACGATGCATATGGCATTAACACCTACATCCAAGTATGCCTGTTTGTAACAGAAATACTTAACCAATCAACATCACAGTCACCACACTAAATGAATTACAAAATGAAGACTTCTTTAAAAATGTATGTATAAAATATGTAATAATAAATATATTATCCATTAATCATTTTCTTAGTTTAACAGTCACAACAATTACTATCAAGTAAATATTCTTTCTGTTTGTTTTATATTTTGACATAGGTAATTGGAACCATATTGTAGTTCTTATATAGTTATAAGTTAATTTGTAACAATTGTCTGAATTAGACAAACTAGAGAAAAAAAGACGTTATGTGTATGTGGGCTAAAGGGGAACATAATGAGTAATTTGTTGAATGGTTAATTGCGAATTGAGGGGCGTAGAAATAGAAATAAAAATAACCAGATGGGGTAGTTTGGAATTTGTTGGACAACCGCCAACCATGTGGTGTGTTTGAAATAAAATTTTTTTTAAAAAGGGGGTTTTGTTTGTTTATGATGGAGTTCTTCAAGAAACTATGTAGTTGCGTTTGTAGTAATAGGTTGTGTAGCGTTATTGGTGGTGTTTAAGTCAAGGTTATGTAAGGAGGTAGGTAGAAAAGTAAAATTTCATAAAATATGAGCGATTAGCCGTTTTCACATCAGAAGACGAACGAATCGTCTATAGACAAACAAATCGCCTGCTGTCGGCGGTCTGCAGGTGTTCTCTAAATACTGTAGCTGTTTTCACACTAGAAGACCATATGTGTCGTTTAAATATTGATTATTATATTTGAGTAAGACGTGCAAAGTTCAAACAGCTCAAAAATGTAAGCAAAACAACGTACGTATAGAAAAGCTGTGTTGATACTAAAATAATTTGCATTTGAATTGCATATTTGATTGCAAACTGCATTCGAAAACTGCAGAGTGTCTGTGACGTACATCAGTTGTGTGACGTAGTGCTGAGTGTGACGTCATCGTCTAAGACAAGCATTCAAGAAAGCAAGCAAGCAAGCAAGCAAGCAAGCAAGCAAGCAAGCAAGCAAGCAAGCAAGCAAGCAAGCAAGCAAGCAAGCAAGCAAGCAAGCCTCTGACATAGTGGCTACCGCTTACACCGTAGTCCTGTTGAGTTCGAAAACTGAAATTTTGTCGCAAGTTCTATAGTATGAATAAATTGCATCATAGGGATACGAGGAACTTCCTGGTTTACGACTTTTGATCTTGAAATGGCCTCATTTAACTTCTCTTCCAGTTCTTTAACTCTGCTTGTCAGAGCAAGGATAGTGGAATTTTGTTCTAAATTCTAACAGCAAAAAATTGAAATAGGATTACTGCTAAGACGGTTCAGAACACTGTGAAAGATCAGAATATGAGAAAGGCAAATCAGGCTTTCTTTCATGACGAAGTTGACGTATTTGTCGAAATATCTTCAGAATGAATTGGTTTACCCTACTATTATCTTTTGGCACAAAGAATGTTACACATACCACTTTGGTAAGAAACTTGGAGTTTTTTGACAACATGGAAAACTTCTTTTCCATTTTCTTTTGCATTTCACCCATCGACTTTCGGTATCTTTAAATGAAGAACAAATATAATAAGTCTACACAATAAATTTAGATGAATTCTTTAACAAAGACTTCGTTGTTTATCTTGAACTACACTATTTGATATAACAGCCGACTAAATATGTATATGATAATCATAGTGAGTTAAGCTGCAGAATTCCTTGATTTTCAAAATAACTGAAGTAAAATCATATGTAGCTGGCTGTAAAACGTATACTGGATGATAATTTCATGTGGTACCTTTGACTGAGTTCTTCCAAGAACAAATTCGTCATCGTAACATTCTGCTCCAAAGCTTTAATCTTTCTGCTCAATGTAACAAATATCGATTCTTTTTTCCCATATGTATTTCCATTACCAGCCTGAGTCGTGACTGCTTCGGCGTTAATTGTGGGACCGGGATCAAGGTTTGGTGAACTAAAATCCTCCGGATTCCTGGAAACTGTAGCATTTTTCATCTCACATTGCCCTTCGGATAAAGGTGAAAAATCTTGTTCGATTAAACTGGGGTCTGGTAACTCAGTTTGTCTGTGATCTTCATTTAGAAGAACAGCGTCTTTCTGCTCCTCAATGGTTTCAACTTTTTCGTTTACTTCACTACCCATTTTGCTATCTTCCAATTCATCCTGTTAAAAATGTAAATTTTTACATACGTATACTGTAAGAAACAATACAAATTTTGGGGGTCTACTCACAAAAAAATCGTGCCTTAGATTATGAACAGCCATGTGAAAGCTATAGCGTGCAATATCAAACTTCTATGGTGTATATCTACCTCTATGGTGTCTACCTGATGTGCTTCCACTTCTTTGTCTTTACTGCCAACATCTATCTCAATTTCTTTAGTGAGATTTTTCCGACTCGCTTCCTGGTTCGTCACATTCCCCACTAAACTTTTACTGAAGTTAGCGAAACATGCCTTGGCACGCCTAAAATTTCGGCCGCATACGTTATGCACGATTTCTAGAAAAGCCTGATACGAATAAGGTAAGTACTCCGTTGAAACGCATTCGTCTCCAGGCAAACACGGTGGGTTAGGTGCGTCATCACTGTCTCCATGGCAACTTGCCTCGAAGTCTTCTCGAGGCATAAGTTGTACGACAGTCTTTGGTTGAAGGGGTTGACTGGAGTTGTCTTCAGAATACGTGGTTGCATTTTCAGTGGAGTTGTTTTGTTCCTCTGTTTTAACAAGCTTCTTAACTGTCTTCACGAAGTTCAAAACGAAGTTCAGTACAGCATCAGTGGCACTCTTTAGAATGCCTTTGGCCTGGTTTTTATTTTCAGTAGTATTAGATGAAGTATTGAGATCTTCGTCGACGTTAGTGTTCTCGTCGTGAGATGATTCATGTTCTTCGTACTCCTCTACCATGCTGTTGCCATAGACACGAAGTAAGCTCCAAGGACAATAATATTCTGAACCATGGTGAGTTAACTGTTCAATCTACACGAAAACAAATTTCGAAAAATTGAAGTTTAGATAAGCCCCGTTCACATTTGCAATTTTTGTTGCGATTTTGTGCAATTTTCTTCTTTTGACAGATGGAAACGAGAAAAAAGTTATGAATGCTATAATGTACAAGTCACCATAGGCGTACGAGACAGGGGGGCAGGGGGGGCAGTTGCCCCCCCAAAAATTTCGAGAATCAAGAAATTCGGGCAAAGTTCAGCCGAAACTTCGGGCAAACTGAAAGCTAAATTACATAGCTAAAATTTTTAAAACCAAATTTTGTAATATATATAACATATTTGTATTCTATTTCGCTATTTTTGTTATACTTTCTTAAAAGTACATCCGCCGCTTTGCCAAATCTATTGTTACAAATCTGGTAAAAGTTATAATTCGGGCACATTGTGTAATTCAAAAATTCGGGCGATTTTTTTTTGCCCCCCCAAACGAAGTTGCACCCGTACGCCTATGCAAGTCACCTTGTTTGAACATCCGTAACTTATTCACTTATTCGCATCTATCAAAAGGAGGAAATCGCATATAAAATCGCATGTGACGAGTGGATTAGTTACAAACGTTGAAATAAAAGCTCTTATTCACCAGAGCAATCGTAACTAGTCACTCGTTCACATCTACTAAAAGAAGAAAATCGCACATAAAATCGCACCTCAAATTGCAAGTGTAAACGGGCCTTATAAGAGCAAAATTCATTTAAGCTCAACACCCCATAAAATCCACACTTAGTATATATACCTTGATGTACTTTGCAAAAATAGGATCTATTGTGAAAGTCTGGATGGATTTCTCAGGCTTGGCCTCAAATGTCTGCAGTTGACTCCACTCCCTCGTAGGGTATCTTGTGCTGAACGATACTTGGAATTCTTTGGTGGTTGAGGAAAACATCTCAAAATTTGCAAGCTGTAAGGACGTGACTTGGACATGATCACAAAGCTCAACAATAAACCAAATGTTGGCGCTACATGGGTTTAACATGTACAAATCTTTGTTTTCCAGGAGAATGGAATGTGCATTTTGGGCCTCAGAGTTCTTCTCGGGGATGTTAGCCCCACAATCCACGGAGGCGTAGTTGTTTTGTTTGCGTTCTATAGTCTTTTTCTTCTGTGGAATACCAGGGTCTGACGTTCCTTTCTCATTGTTTAGTTGAACTTTCTTCTCCTCTTCCTGGGCAAGAAACTTTTGACTCCATTCATTAAAGGAAGGCATATCCTCCTGGGCAGCCCCAAGTGCATCTTGTGAATTCTCAAGATCCTCTTGTGTGGCCTCAAGACCATCTTGTGTTCCCGGTAAATCCTCGTCAACTTGTAAAGTCTGGCTTTTGCTGTCAAGTTGATGTGTTGGTAATTCACTGGCCCGAGGCATCTCATCTAAAATGTCCTTCTTATTTGATGAGATTGCTTCTTCCTTATTAAGACTATAAATAAAGACGTTTGTTACTTAATGTTTTTATAACACCTTCATCAGGTTGTTCAAAGTTAGTGTATCGAATAAAAACTGATTATAAGAAACTGTGGTAAAGAACACAACAGAGTGAATGTGAACAACAATCATTAATCATGTGGTCCGGAATGATTCATTGATCATGTGACAGGATACATGCAATGCAAATGCAAAAGTGTGCATGGAATGCAAAAACATGCAAGATGACATATTTTTTATAATTTCGATGAATATTGAGTTTTCATATACTTGTCCTTTAGGAGACTTTCTAAATTTGTCCCACACAAGATCCTTTGAATATAGCATTCCTCGGGACTTAAGTATGAAATTATTGGGTGCTATGAGTTGTTCAAGGTTACAGGTTTATAATGTTTATCTTGATCACTAAGCTCACACACCCCACGAAAATTATAAAGGTAGGTACCAAAAAAGACATTTTTAATCCAGAATTTAATTGTAGGAAAAATTGGAGGTGCACACAGAGGAATGTTGACAGGTAGACAAATTTAGCGCTGCAACTCCCAACCCCCATGATCACAAACCTGAACTGTTGATTTTCAGAGAGTTCAACATTCTCAACTCCTTCTGGAATCTGCCTTTGCTCCTCCCTATCTTCAACTTTTTCCAGTTCTCCACCATCTTTATCACTGGCTTTTCTGGAGGATGTTTCTGAAATGTTATCCTTGTTTCCTGCAATTTCCACTGCAATGTCTTTATCAGCAGCATTACTAGAACTGCCCACCTAAGCATATAGACCTTGCTTATTTTTGTACTCTGGTTCAGGCACAGCTGCTGCTGCATAATTATCAAATACTAAATATGGTAAACATCATACTCTTCTGACAAAGGCCCCTAGGTCAAAACATTTAGAAGTGTTTCTGTTCATTTTAGGCAGGTGTTATACTAAATTTGAAGCAAAGTTATGTAATTAACCATGCATTTTTTTAACTGCATAGCTAGTTTCCTTCCACTGAATATATTGATGATAACTTATCATTGCTTCATTTTTCTTCATTACCAGCATATTTTCAGATTGCTGTAGAATCGCATAATGATGAATCTCAAACACTAATGACCCCACCTAATGGCAAAGCCAACATGAAAATACCCCCCTTGAATGCATTAACTGGCAATGTATTATAATTTAATCAGCCTAACACCAGATAATTGTATTTGCCTGTGAAGGAATACTACTAGCTAGCAGGTTAATGCACAGAAAATGGGGGCATCTTGACAGTCAATATCATAAGACAGGTTATGTACAATTGACTATTAGTTTACCCTGATTTTGGCATTGGATCACAATGAAAGGCTGGGCATGTCTAGACCTAACACCTTATTGACCAATTATTTTATTCAATGCCAATGGCTAGGCATATAGATACCCCACCTCTATCTCCTTTTGGTTTTCACCAGCTGATTTAGAATCATCAATGTTAGAAATAGGTATTTCCACGTCAGGGATTTGTTTAGCAGTTATTATTTGATGTTCTATGGAAGACTCTGCATCTCCCCCTGAGACAGTTGATATTACTTGTGTGTCATCCCAAGGGGTGGCTGGTGCAATTGCAGGTCTTGTCACCAACGTATTTAGCTCTACAATGTCATGAATAATGGTCTGTGTCTGATGAATTAATGCCAAATGAGGAGTAGCCTTTTGTTCGGTGAAGCCAATATTTTCCTAAGGTTAAAAAAGATTTGTAATGTATCATAATGATATAATAAAATGATATAATAAAAAATATTATTATTAACACTCTTATTGCTAACTCAGCTGGAGTAAAAAATCTGTACATATATTTGTACAGTCTGTTGCTTAAATATTTTTTTGACTTTGGCTTGTCACATTGTGTAAATTAATCGATTAAACTGGGAATAACTATAGAATACCCCACCACATGTAAGTGTTGTTTTCCTGTGGCTACCTGGCAACATACATGGGAACATCTCTTCCTTATTCCTATACCAACACGACTACATGGCTACATGGCTACGTGACTACATGGCTACATAGCTACATGCGTGGCTACATGGCTACACAGCTACATCAGTACGTGACTACATGGCTACGTGACTACATGGCTACATGCGTGGCTACATGGCTACATAGCTACGTGCCTAATGGCTACTTGCCTACATGCATGGCTATATGGCTACTTGGCTACTTGACCACTTGGTGACCCTAACCCTAACCTCCAACCCCTTACGTAATTAAAATTCCGATACTTACTAATTCTGCACAAAACCATTAAAATACCGAAATATTAAAATACAATCTTCTCAAAATAGAACCTTAATTCCAATAATTAGCTAACTTCTATTATTTAACGTCCTATAAAACAACCAGTTGAATTACTTTAACTTAAACGCAGTGTTACTCACTAAAAAGCCTCCTAAACAAGCACCTTCAAACTTTAAATACCGTACAACCCTAAATGTAACCAAAAATATATACACGTAGCCACATAGCCACGTAGCCAGTAAAAACTAGGTCAAATCAGGCTTGACCAGAATCAAACAAAGCAACCAACCACATGCTGACATTTGTTTGACAATGACAACTAATGAATACAGATATTAATAATAATTTAAATACCAAGTGGTAAATGGTGTATCCTAAGTATTGTATAAAGAAATCATCAAAGTAGTCTTGGTTATGTGAAGAATATCTTCTTCCAAATACTAAATATATAGCATATCGCTTTTCATTTGCATTTAATCCAGATGCTTGTTATATAATGATACAACCATTTGCAAGCTTCCATTAACCGCGCACTCGAAACAAGGTTTTAAAACGTTTGAATTAATAAGATTTTCAACGGAAACACATTTGTTTTGACATTCAAACGTTTTCTGGGAGGGGCCAAAACAATTAGTTTCGCGATCAAAACATCACACTTTTGCCTATAATTGTAACCAAAATTTGTAGCTTTGTTACGGAGTTTAAGATAAACAGACATGGTAGATATAGACATCTTATTGCTCAAGAATGGATTTACAATTAGTAAATTCCCCTAAAATTCTCTAAATAAAGATGAAAATTGCGAACGACGCAAATTTCATATTACAAAGTGTATCCCGATCAAAATTGATAACTTTACATCGTTCATAACCACCCCCCATAAAACACTTTCACTTTAACAGTAAACATTTTCAGTTCAGACTTTGCATGTACTATGACATTGACATCTATGTGTGATATATAACACATATATCTGTAATATTCTCTATTCTATATTTTTGGCTACCTTCTTGATTGACTAGTGCTTAATATATATACTAATTGCACCTGTCAAATCACGGATATTTTCGTCACTTACGTAATTTTCATCTTTATTTAGAGAATTTTAGGGGAATTTACTAATTGTAAATCCATTCTTGAGCAATAAGATGTCTATATCTACCATGTCTGTTTATCTTAAACTCCGTAACAAAGCTACAAATTTTGGTTACAATTATAGGGCAAAAGTGTGATGTTTTGATCGCGAAACTAATTGTTTTGGCCCCTCCCAGAAAACGTTTGAATGTCAAAACAAATGTGTTTCCGTTGAAAATCTTATTAATTCAAACGTTTCAAAACCTTGTTTCGAGTGCGCGGTTAATGGAAGCTTGCAAATGGTTGTACATGAATATAAGCAAACATATCATTTCATTTCAAACAATATGTCTAGGAGACGTAACACTTCGATGCGTACTAGAAATGCTTATACTAAAAGCCAGACCCTTTGTTATAGGTCAAATTGCAAAAAGCTTCGAAAGGTTTTAGAAAACCGAACAAAAATATATCTGCGACTGTAATTGTGACAAATGTTTAACCACAAACCACAAAAGGAAGCTAAAAAGTAAATGATTCACCATCGGTTATAGTTAAATTGCTTTAATTAACAAGTTAGACAACCAGAATTCGACTTCAGATATACCTTTTCTGTGAACAAGCTTTCTATGTCTGATTCAGTTTCTTGCGTATAAACCGGATCGCCTCGTAGTGCAAACCTAAGATTTGGATACAAATATACCCAGTGAAATTAAATAAAACCGAGATTATTTCTAACGTTCTTTCACAATTGTACAAAGTGGAATAATATATATTTGTCTCCCTCTCAAATAAGAGGTCTAAAAACTGGAAGGTATAAAATTTATCGCCAGCTTACCAACATAGTAGAAACGTCAACCATAACGTTAACTGTATCATAGATTAATGAGTATAAGATGGCCAACTCGCAGTGATTTCTGGGTTATACTTTCATGTTTTAATTGCGCATGCGCTAACCTCTGGTAAGTGTTTTTGCGTGGATTAATATAGGAAAACACTGATTTTTTGCATAGAAACAGCGATTTTAAAAAATATATTTGCCCGATTTGTTTATTGCTTTCAATTTTTGGAAAATGTACTGGGGCCGGTTGTTCAAAAGCCGGTTAACGCTAACCCTGGGTTAAATTTAACCCGCTTTTGAACAACCGGCCCAGAGTTGATATTTTAAACGACTAATGGCATAAAAAAATTACTTGGACGGCCAGAAAAACGGAAAAAAAGATGCAAGGAGTGGAGAATTCGCAAATTTGAAAAAGAATGCTTCGAATGGACTTACAAGACTCCAAAAACAACATCAAACTAAACTTAAAATAAGCTGAAAAAGTATTCTACGTATGAAACATCGAAGAATCCCAAACTAAAAAGGTGAGTGGATGTCATTTAAACTCATTTTGGTACGAAAACGAAGCAGACAAAATCCAAAGCCTGCATGATCAAGATGCCAATAAACTTTCAATATATACAATTTAAAAGCTCTTCTGTTTGTCCTAAACAGGAAATATACGCGTTTTACAACAAGACAAAAGGATAAAACCTCGGTACTAAAACAACGCTACTTTTAATATTTTATGTTTAAGATGCTGTTTTTTCCACCGTTTAAATTGGTCACGGCTAACTTGTTTTACTGTAATGGCTGTGAAAAATTTCCCGAAATAGTGCCAGTTTACACAAGGGACGAGATATAAAGCATCACAATAAGTTTAGGAAATACTGTTCAGAAAAACAATACCTGTACTGGAACGTTTTAACATCTCTCCACGTATCATTTGATCAGTAGCTACTCAAAAACACGAATAATAATGTGCAAAATGTTTAACTATGTTTTGCTTGTAGAATATACACAGTGGAATTGTGGATCAGTCAATGGTTCAGTTTGGTGTGACTTATTGTGGACTCTTATATTAACACATTTTGAACAGCCATCATTCAGTGCAAACTATTTTAGTTGGCAGTTGCAGGTTTTACAATTACAAAGAATACTTGCCCTGTATGATCCAGCAGCTGCTCTCAGTATTCTCAAGAATGTGATAAATTTTAAAGAAAGTCTGACTTAGTGTTCATGTTTACATGCAGTGTACATAGCATTTTAGTGACTATATATATTAATGAACAAATTTCCAAGACCAATGCCAACAGCAATGATTATCTAACTCTTTTTAGTTTGCCCTAAGGTAAAAATCTTCAAATGTTTAATATTATGTATACCTATTCCAAATTTAATGGTAATAAACAACAGTTTTCCTCAGTAAAATGACCTTTTTCCTGAATATAGGTGTTTGAAAACAATATTGAAGAGCAATATCCACAATAATTGTAGGAACAATTATTATAGTTAGTACTGTGAAAGTACCAATTATTTATTGTTCTCCGAAATAAGTTCTTCCATGCTATATAAATCTTTCATATAGAACAATACCAATAATTATACCATATTTAGAGTAACATATGCAACTACATATTTCAAATATCCGTTGGCTAGGAGCGTTATATTACTATTATATACATCTGTATCATAGATCTGTATTTATAACAAGAGTGTATAATCTATGACGTTGTTTACAACTTTTGTTACTTGCCATTTGGCGAAACGGTGTTGAACGAAAGCTGAAAAAAAAGGATATTTAATATACCATAACTCCTAACCTATTAGAATTATCGGTAAATTAATAGTACAAAAACGAGATGGCTTCAAATGAAAAGTTGGCGAAAAAGAAACGCAAAAAAGGCACTTGCTGGTGCTCGGCTCCAAACTGTCGTAACAATAAACAAAAAAATCCGAATATTAGTTTTTTCCGTTTTCCCAAAGACGCAGTAAGGTGAGTTCACAGTTCTCACTTGAAAACTGCCCTTTTTTACTATTAATATCGTAATTTTATGAAAAAGTGATAAAACCTGTGGATATTGCATTAAAAACAGATCGAAAAAATGGGCCATTAACACAAGTATGGCACGCCGATTGTAGCAATATTCAAACCACCAATATATACTAAATTCAATGAAAAATCTAACCAATTCAATAAAAAAACTTATTCAATTCAATAGAAATCTTATTCAATGCAATAGAAAACTTATTTTAATGCAATAAAAAACTTATTCAGTTCAATAAAAAATATTCAATTCAATGAAAAATTCAATTCAATGAAAAATTCAATTCAATCAAGCGCGGTCGCTAAGCAAACTTGTCGACGGTTTCCATGACAACGGCTGCCATTATTTTTTGCATCATTATTTGTACTTTTTAAAATCAGATCATCAGATACTAGTAGAGTTCTTTCCTTGAGTGTAAAATAGTAGACTGTCACAAACTACTGCGCTGCGTAAAATAGTAGACTGTCACAAACTACTGTGCAGTAGTACTGTCACAAACCAGCTACGATGTCTGAAAGGATTTGAGATGACCTTGAATGGTGTTCTCTTTTTGTGGGACCAGCTACACAGTGGTTGGCATTTGGAATACCTGCTTACCAGGCGACTCAATCAAGACCCGTTGGAAAATTTCTTTGGGTTGATACGACAGCAAGGTGGAAACTCCGATAATCCTACGCCCCAACATTTCTGCAGAGCTTTTAGAACCCTTTTCTTCGACAACTTCCTCACACCATTATCAAGTGGCAACTGTGCCATGGATTTGGACAACATTCTTGTGGGTTCCAGTGGTCATGTTGGTCATGCAGTTACCAATGATGCGTCCTCCACACCATTCACCTTCAGTGAATCAGACTTTAAAATGCAAGAAATTGAGCAAAATCTGGTAAGATTGAATGCATTAACCTATGTTGCTGGTTATTTGCTGAAGAAATGCCTAGAAAAACATCCTTGTGAGTACTGCAAAGAAAGTTTTCAAGCAAAAGAACTTACTAGTAGTGGCCAGCTTTTCTGTCATTTCAAAGCTTATGACACAACATCAAGTTTTGGCAGTTTAACAGTCCCTCAAGATAACTTTGTTAGTTATGTTTCAACAATTGATTCAAAATTTACTGAAGAATTTAACAATGGAATACAGAAGTTAAATATTGGCAAACACCTGGTGTCAAGTTTGCCAAGGTCCAATTTAGCGTTATGTCAGCAGTTTCCACAAACATACCTTTTAAACCTATTTGTTAAAATGCGATTACATTATGCACTTAAATTTGGCAACAGAGAGTTGCAATGCAAGAAAAGGAAAAGCAGAAAGTTTATCAAGATCCAACATTTATGATGACAGAACTGATTTCAAAGACACATGTCCAAGTTGGAATGAATGACAGATAACATTTTTGACAATCTTATGTCACCATGACGTTCGAGTAACTTTTTAGAGATAATACTTGTTTTAAAAATCAATCATTGTAAAATATTTTTTATCTTGAAACTATGTTGAATTTGAATGCTAACATTTTAACAAAGTGAATACTTTTGACACGACATGCAGCCAAGGTGTATTTAATTCCTTTTAAAATCCACTGATTAACTGCAAACTTTCCCAAATTTCTGAATAGTAAGACTTAGTTCACTTTTAATGACATTTATATCAAAAGCAAAAGCACTTATATCAAAGTAAACAGTTCTTAAAAAGTGTGTGTGAAGCTGACACGAGCTGTGTCGTGGACAATGGCCGCATGGTCATGCGACAACAAACAATCGCGGTTTTTAAAAAAAATAATGAATTGTCACGCACTATAAACAAATATTTTAAAAAACTTACCTGTGTTGTCAAATATTCTAGCCCAAAGATGTGGATCGGATGCGCCTGTTTTTTTAAAAAAATGATTTTCCGTCTTTCTAACGCCTATTTCAGTACTATTTATATGGGAATTCGACGATTGACACTTACCAGAGCATTTCGCGTGGCGCGTGGAAATGACGTATTACATTGAAAAGCAGAGGACACAAACATCAAAGGGATCGCCGCGAGTTGGCCATCTTATACTCATTAATCTATGACTGTATGCAACGACAAAGCTTACTCGCCATTTTAAAGTATGATTTTTTGCCCGCTTGGCCAACATAATTCTTCACAATATCATTTTAAATGAAAAGCAGGAAGTCTATAGTCACTTCGAATAAGTTTACCAGTCCTTTGTACAGATTTTTCATTCATTTTTGAGCTAAAATATGACATGTTTATACTTATGATAATGTATTAGTATTTGTAATTTTGTAAATTTGACTTATTTGAGATCTTACGAATCCAGTTAAACCAGCTGAACCAGGCTCGTTCCCAGGCGCTTTAAATAAAATAAAATATAGGAACACTACTGGCTTTTTACATAGATCAGTGGCTAATCAGAGCGCAAGGAATTTTGGGGAGGACGCAGAGAAAGAAGCATAGAAAGAAGCGCCTGGCAGAAAATGCATACAACATGGTCAAAAGTGCAAAAGAGGAACTTGTTAAAATATTAATTCTGCCCGACTTTTTAAGAGCGATACACAGAATTATATGCATGGGGAAAATTTTATGCACGAGTGTTTAGGTATCGCACTGTCATCATTTCCAAATAAAGAATTTTCAAGCGGGGCAAAAGGCGAATCCATTTGAATTTGCAAAATTCTACATGAAGAAACAAGAAAATGTATGGATAAGATATTTGATTATCGTAAAACAAAGGTATGCACCTCTATATACATTTATTTTAACTCTTATGAAGTTCTAAAATATATCATTTTTGTATTTTTATTAGAATTTGGGAAACGTCCCTTGATAATATGCTTTTCTCCTCACTGGACAAATCGAGGGAAGCCATCAACAGTGACTGTTCTACATATACATTTGGATCCATATTATATTCCACAATTCATTCCAAATCTGCAGCCAATCTGTGCCTTCTTTTATTGCATTGGCCACTTGACAAATTATATGCTAGAATATAGTAGCCACTAGCCAGTAGGTATAATGCATTAATGCATTATTAAAAAAGATTCTAAAGATATTTTGTGTTAACACCCAAGTTCATTAGAAATGTGATAAGAGGTTATATATGAAGTTGAATACATATATTACAAAATGCTTACTTACATGCAAACCTTTTGGACTTGGATTAAAATTTCAACAACATGCAGAGACAGCGGATGTTTTCCTGGTCTTTTATTAACTGCTGACTAGTAGCATCAGGCTCTAGATGTCTTTGAAAAGGTGTTTTTAAAACACAAATATGTATCATAACCTGTTGGACATAACCCATGAGGTTGCATGTAGATGGCAATAACACAAAGAACACTAAATATAATTATTGCCTAGCAATCTCTGTAACCCCCTCCTCTCTATCTATGACAGTGTGCAACACCATACATGAATTATAATTGTAATATGGTATAATATAATTATAGTGTATATATGAATTATATTTCAAATTAAATTTTAATCTCCATGCGTTATGGTGGTTTATTGACCCAGACATCCATCTGCAAGAGAAGATAGCTTTAGTTGGCTGCTAGACTACATTTAGAGTATTCAAGCACACATCTCCAGCAGGAGATAACTATATGAAATAGCTGAAAGTTTCGAACTAGCACACAGTCATAAACAAAAAATAGCAATTGTTGCAGGATTTTCATTCTGGTTAAAATGATCTCCTAGATTGTCCAGTTATTTTACACATTACACATTGGTATATTACAGTGAACATGTGTACAGTATTTATTGTTAAACACAGGAACATGTTGGGGCATACAAATGAAAGACATACTGTGAGGCAAATCAATGTAAATGTCAACTTCAGGTTTGACTGGCAGAGCTGGCCCAGTTAACATGCATAAAAAGTATTTGAAATATACATACTGTATGACATTTAAAAACATAGAAACATGTGCATACATATATTTTAATGTCAATTGAAAATATACCAGCTTATTAATGTACTCAGCAGATAGAATAAAATGCCAACAGCCAACGCTTATACCAACTGACTTACTTGGAACATTTTGTCCCCCAAGCGACGATAAATCCAAATCATCAGAACTTGAAGATGCTATTGTAAGGATAATTTTATCATCAAAATATGATAACGGTCGACAGATATTATTATTAGCATATTTAAGAACAACACGAAAGATTCACTGACAGTCTACTCTAAAAAGTACTAAATATTATATAAAATGCAACCAAATTCTGTAATAAAATATTACCGTCAAATGAGAACTTCTTCAGTGATTGCTCCAGGTCATTCATATGGCCACAAACCACCAAAAACACAAGAATGCACGAGTAAAACGCCGAAAAGCTCGATTTGTCAGAAATCGTATTTCTGGCAAAAAATATTTGCATTTAAAGCGCCTGTGAACGAGGCTGCAGTTAAACCAGAATCAAAATCCCGGGGGGAGGAGTGTGAGGAGGAATATTAGCCTTTCTCACGATGACGAAATCCGCCATTTTTGGGGCACTTTCAATTTTCTTAAATCCGTTTAAACAATAATAGCAATGTAAGTAAGAGGCATTTTTTAAGAGTCCATAGACCATTTGAACAATATATTACGCCTAAAATTAAAGACAGCCGCCCTGACAAGATCTTGCGCTCACAATTTAAAAAAAAAGTACCCCAAAAATGGTGGCACATTCGTCATCCTTAGAAAGGCTAATTGGGTCGCATTAAATAGCTGACGGAGAGTGGTAGGCGTGAGCACGAAGTATAGTGGAATGAAGTGGAATGTGAAAAAAGTGTGTTTAAAAAGCCTACAAAAAGCGGATTACCAGTGACATATTTAAAGTTCGCCAATCACCATTGCCATCTAAGATATATTCAGTTCTCTAAGTTTCTTCTTCATAGCCACCCTCTTTGCAGTACACGAAAAACGTGAAAACGAGGATGCTTTCGAACCATCACCGAACCATGAGCATCTGTTTGTGAAACACAAGCTCCCAGTTACTGCTTACTGATCTGTTGATATTTACTGTAAATACGATGGAATGGGCCTTGGAGCAATAATATCTCTAAAACCCACCAATATCTAAACATCACATAACCATCCGAACATTAAAAAAACCTGCGTTTTTAAGAAACGAACCAGCTGCTTCCGAAAATCACAATGACATTTAAAAAACAAATGTACTTTTGAATATCTTAAAACCATTTATGACCCACCCGTTTTGGAAACATTTTTTGAGAACTGAGAGAACTACTGAGTTACACGTTTTGTTAGTATATTTTAGGCTGCTATTATGATGAGGTTTAGCCGTTAAGGGCTGTTTTGCCTGTATTCTATCTGAAAAATACCAGTCCAAATGCAACAAAACAGAGCAAGTGGTATCATAACCTTCCACAAAGAAGGACATTCTGAGGACTAAGCGGTACTTGTATCCTGTAAGCTATCAATAATTCTTATCCTGAAGAGGTGAATTTAATCATTGAATGATGTTTTGAAGAAATTCTCATGATGAAAGAAGCAGCTGTAAAAACATATCTTTATAGACGGACCAGAGCAGAGCAGGACACGTAAACAAAGTGAGATTCCAAAGAAGATTGGGTCGTCTGATAATGTGCCAAATAATTAGCCATTAATCCAGCCAGGAAGTTGTTCTTTTGGATCGAGTTTCTGGTGTGAAGATAAATTTGTGGCTATGTGGAACAAAGCAGCATGCCAGCGTCTGATTCTTGAATGGCCGCTTTTATCCAATGACGTCAGTTAGACAACAATTATTTTTCTCATTTTCTCAAGTGATTCCGTTCTATTCTTAATTAACATCTAACACATTTTCGTGGAAGATAATTGAAATATACAGCACACTTTTTTATTACTTTTCTATCACAAAACTAACTGTTCCCCAAATTAGGTATGGCTGAAAACATGGTGCTGAAAAGGAAGTAATTATGGAGTAACCTAATACTCTGTTCTTTGCTTATATTTTCATTTCACAAAAGGATAAAATACAAGTCATTTAGACAGATACAATACGACGCCACTTTGTAACGCACTTGAAGGTGGGTAAAGTTTCTTGTCATTCGTACGGGTCGATAGACTTTACATCGCGGGTTTGTTATCAATATAACCGGGTGATTTATGTAGTCAATTTTAGGGTGCTTTTAGAACTTGTATACTCGTACAGTAGCACTGTGCATGGTCGATTTTCAATGCGCAGTTTGCTAGGATATAATGTTTTTGTAATTAATACACTGTGAATAAACAACGGCCGTATTCCTGTAGAGTTCGAAAACTGAAACAGAACACTAATATATTGTGAATGGTGATTTTTGTAGTTAGCTTCGCTGGTTTAGTAAGAGTTGTGTCTCATATGGGTTACCACTAGCTATGAGCTTACAACCGTGTCCGGGTGATTTCTACAATCAGGTTCCAGTCAACGGAATTTTAAAGTGTAAAGCGCAACTAATTTTGTCGCATGTTGTATAGTATGAATAAATTGCGTCATAGGGATAATTCGTCGTCGAGTGGCTAGTTTTGCCATTTGCCATGAAAAAGCTATTCAATCAATCGATTGCGGCGGTCAGTGTCAACATTTATACTTGATGTTTTATGACCTCTTGTATACATATGGAGTGTTTTTCAAAGAAAGAAAATACATGATAAGCTATTTTTACAACACAACCCATCAGTTTATCGCCTACTCAGTTATCACTTATTTATATCCACACTTTTCAGGTTTTACAAGATGTTGGCTCTTTTGCGATTAATCGCCACTTTTGTGAGTGTGTGTCTCGTGGTCATCGCGGCTGCCAATAGTATGTATTAAAATATATCAATTTCCCTTCGTCTGCTAGTTTAAAACTTGGAGAACAGTGTCCAAAATAAATGGATGTAATTCACAAACAAATGTGTTACACTCCAAGTTTAGTTTATCCTGGTTAATTTCTATAACCTAGTTACATAATGATTAAGGACAGAAACTATTCTTTCACATACTCCTGCCTTCCCCTCATTAAAATGTGTTTCTAATCACACAAACGTGTGGTGTATGTAATGCTGTTAGCCCTGTGTGAATTCATATGTGTTCTTTCACAAATTACTTTAGACAACTGCTCAAGACCCGCGATGACGTCAATGTTGTTCATACATGGAACAAATAAAGGTGTGACATCTTTCAAGTCCGGTAAATTGCTGTTTTTCCGATGCAAAAATAAGAGTCAGTTGGTTGGTAGTGCTTTTCGCCGTTGTATCTCTGGATCTTGGAGTGGAACTGCACCCATCTGCATAGGTATGTTAGGGAATCGAACATTATTAGGGAACATTGTTATCCACTAGGGGTTAAAATGTGACTTCAGTCCTGTTTTATTCCATTTGAACCTGTGAATATGGTTTGTTGTTTTTTTCAAAAGCATACATAAGATACAATCATACATTTTATAAAGATATACTTTCCATGAAACATTTTAATAGCTGCGTTTTTTCCTTGCGATAAGAAATGCTTACTGAACGATGAGACTTCTTGTCTGACCAAAATTATTGAAGAGTTGCATTGACTATTACAGCGAAAAGAAAAGTCCCACAGCCAGTGAGATGTAAGAGGTTACGTCATATAAGAAAAGGTGTGATACGAGGTTACCGACGCCAGGTTAATACTGTTGTGAGTTTTAGTTGTGTAGCCGGGTTTAACTTGATGGGACCGAGGAGAATCAAGTGTTTGGCTACAGGAAATTGGAGCGGCCCTATACCACGATGTCTGAAAGGTAACTTTTTTGAACGGACAGTTTCATCTATAAAAAAGGAGCATTACGAGAAAAGGCATTTTTACTTTCAGAAGAGGGCACATATTTCCATTTGCACAAAAGGTTGGGTCAATTGCCCCAATTTCCGGTCACTGTGAGTGGTTAGTTCATGTGATCTCTATCACGGAGCTCACATACAAACTGTAGTTTGTCTTTTTACCTGGCATTTTCTAGATATATCCTGTCCTAACCTGCGACCACCAAGAAATGGCGTGCTTGATGGAAGGGTATTCAAATATGGCCGAAGAGTGAAGTATTCCTGTAATACCGGTTATAAACTGGTTGGTTCATTATCACGCAAGTGCATGTCAACTGGCAGATGGACAGGGAAGCGGTCCAAGTGTGTGAAGATAGGTAAGAATATAGTGGACTACGTAGGTACTGGCGCAAGCATAGGAAACATGTGATTGCATGACCACTTTGAGAGGACATGAAATGAACAACAGCCATTGTTTTGCATAAATGACACAAAAGACGAGTTAGATCAGGACCAATTCGCGTCAGTTAGTTTAAATTAGAAAGCACAACCAGATTCTGCCTTGTTTTGTTCCAAGGACATTTATTCTGAAAATATCCTGATCTTCTAGTGTCTTCTTCGAGGGACTGGAGTGTCAAAACGTTGGGTCGTGAATGTAGTCTTTGTGTGGTGATTACTTTTAATATTAAAGCCAGCCGAGATTAATTTTCTATATTTGATACAGATCCTGCAAAAGAACTAAAAGAAGTGGCAGACAATTTACGCAAGAATTTGGTGAACAAATTTAGCTTGGTAACAGTAGACAGTCGGGCTAGAGTCGGAATATCCTCGGGCGCTTCCGGACTCGACTTCATTTTTGTTCTCGACAGTTCGGCGAGCGTTGGAAGAACGAACTTTCAACGAGGAATCGAGTTCGTGCAAACGATCATCAGAGAGTATGGAGTGTCGACCAAACCACAGGGAACCCGGGTAGCCATTGTGACTTTCAATGCTGTAGCAGAAGTAAGGTTTAACTTGGCTACCAATGTGATTAACGATACAGACCGAGCTATGAGGGAACTGGGTAAGACAATGCGGGATTTCGTCATGGTAAATATACCACCCCTACATGAACAGGTTCTTAGAAAAACCAATTTGGAAATAGTGGAGCAGTATGTGATATGACATAACCGCACTTTCAGGTCTTTGCCATTAAAACGGTCTTCTTTTTACAAGTTCATAGTCTTGGCTTGAAGTCCCTCTCCTAAGCGCTAACATTGAGTTCTTTCCCGTCAACAGGTAATATACATTTCCAAGGAGGTGGTACGAATACGGAAGCCGCTTTGAGTAAAGTCTTTCATGAGGTTCTACCACAAGCGAGGAAACGAACGCACAAAGTTCTCTTCCTCATCACAGACGGCCGCTCAAACACAGGAACCGATCCGCGAATTTTCGCAAGGAAGCTTAGGGAGCGAAAATACGAAATCTTTGCGATTGGCATTACAAAGAATGCCAATAAGGACGAGCTAAAAAGCATCGCATCGCAGCCGTACAGATCACATATTTACTTGTTGGCTGACTACAAAACCTTAGAGAAATTGAAGAATATGATCACTGGGGAAGAAAAAAGTAAGAATAGTAACGGCCGCGACAGTTTTCACGTCATCTCTGAAACGCTTCGCGAAATAATGTTTGAAGCATTTTTGATTGTATGTTGAACTGTTGTGGAGAACCCTCGGCAATTTCTATCATGTGGTACAAAAGTAGTCGCAATATCGAAGGAAATCATGTAGAATTGTAACTGTAAAATTATACCATTGTTGCTCCAGAATCTTCAAGGAGTTTAAAACTGAACATATAAGTTTGTTTCGTCAGTTGTTTCGGTTCAGTTAAAGACTTCGTTATTCTTGCTCTAGATGAATGGGAATGCGGTCAGGCTGGTGACACGAGCTTACGCGAAAGCATCACAACTCCGCACCACCAAGTTTCTAGAGAAGATGCGTGGCCATGGCAGGTTGCTATATATGTCAATACACCTTTCAAATGTGGCGGAGCATTGGTTGCGGACAACTGGGTTTTAACAGCTGCCAGTTGTTTCGACGAGGAAATGTTTAAAAACTTAACAGGGCATACCATTGAAGTTGTCGTGGGTAAGTAGATACAAATTAGAGGGTCTTAAAGGATATTAAAGACGCATCCTTTAATTTAGAGATCTCTGTATTAGGAAGGTTGTTATAGGTGTTCATAAGGTAATAAGGTTTTAAGTGTGACACTGGTAAATAACCTAAAAACCGGAATTCTAACGAATGCCTATTTTAGGTGAGCATGATCGGCTTGATGAAGCTGGAACTGAGCAAACGTACGAAGCAGTGAAATTAATCCGTCCTCCGAAACTTGGCAAAAAGATACGTGATGACATAGCAATGGTAAAATTACAATATCCTATTAAACAAACTGCTTATGCGCATTCGGTGTGTTACGATGAAGATCCGGACAGCTCGTTGATCTGGCCAACACAGTATGGTGTCGTTACTGGTTGGGGATCCAAGGTATGGTTTATTTAAGTATTTAAGCTCTTGACCAACAAGAATTAATTATCCTGCGTAACACAACACAAAGAGGAAAAGGATTTCGTCTGTACACAGGTTAAAAAGTGCTATAATTGAAGAGCTATCTCGTTTTCATTTGAACACCCTTTACGTTCAACGTTACTGGCAGCCATTTGAGACTTTGTTCGCTTGACTGACAGAGGAAACAGTATTTTTCATTGAAGACATACTATATGAAAATGTTTCATTCCGTCGTTACATCATTTGGGCTGGGACTTTCAACCTAACAATTTCTTTGTGAATCATATATTCACTTTACACACATACTTCACCAACTCTTTTTTCGGAATTCCTTAGCAGAATATCGCTATATCGCTTCCTTAAAAGTATATCGCTATACGTATTACGTATATCTGAGATTTAGTGACTTGATACCCAACACACTCAGCACTTTTCCTGGTGTAATCGTTGTCTTGTATGTCATGAAATGATGCGTCTTTGCCATCCCTCTGATTAATTGAAAAGGCAATGCTATAGTTCTGCTTTTAAGCATCAAAGTTGGCATTAAAGTATATATCTGTCCAATTGCAGAGTATCAACAATGCTGTAGCCATCCCTGAATATACCAAAACTCATCAAACAGTCATCAAGTTTGCAACGCAAAGGACATGTCGAAGGAAATCAAATTTGAAAAATTTGAGAAGAAGCGTGTTTTGTGGCAGCAGTTATAATGATAATGTTGATAGGTGCTTGGGTGATACCGGAGGACCTGTAGTGGTAAGTATAGTCACTTAATATACTTCAGGTGAATGAATAGAGGTGATTATATCCCATCAAATCCCATATCGTATTGTGTCGTATGATGTAGCGTTTATAAGAAACGACCAGCACACTACAAAACTCCATCAACTATTTGCCAGTTAGTCTCGGCGTCCTCGCACACTCAGGCCACGCGCAATTTTGTCAAAAATACGTAATGCGTGAAGATTTCTACAAAACACTTCTGTACATCTCGCTTAGGTTAAACTGATTGACGATAGTTGGACTTTGGTTGGAGTGATGAAGGTGAATGAAGGATGCACCGCTGACTCGAAGTACTCACTGTTCACAAAAGTTGGCTATTACTCAAAGTGGATTAACGAAACTATATCATTGGAATAACGACAATGGATTTAATTCCGTTTATATACCCTATTCATTTATTCTGTTTATAGAAAAATAATACGCTAAATTAGTCTAGTTTAAAAAAGCAGCTTAAAATAGTTGAGAAGTCAAATAACTATGTGCTGTGGTCATACGAAAAAATACCTCGTCTTAAACTGCATGGTAAACTGGTAGTCTAGTTCTATGCATGTATTAATTTCCTGTTTGTAGAAATATATAATGTTTCTAAGTCTTCGATTGTCCTTGCGCGAAATTGGACAGTTTAGTACATTGATTATAAATTTGAAAAACTAGCTAAAAAATCATTCATCATTCATTAGATTATTTCATCAATCATCCCAACCAAACTATCAATGCCCAAAATGTTGTTTTCTACTTGGTAGAACGCAACGATACATCTTTGGACGTATTCGTACCCGTAATATTTTCATTTCCGTGTTGGAGAGACGACATAACTATCAAAGGCTTCCCAAACTACCGTAGTCATACGAAGTGCAGGGAGGACATCTGAGCCACGACTCAAACTTACATCCAGTTCTTTTCCTGAAGAAGAATTTACGATTTGTACATTTTAATAATAGACAAACTTTGGAATTTCTGCAGATGAGATTCAAACTCAGGGTGTGACGAGTTCATGAGAAATCTCTTCACTAACTTTAGTTAAATGTTAACTCACCTTATACAACCTGCCTCAGGATATTAGGACTTCTCATCCCAAAATCAGTCTGAGGGTTTGGCCTCCCAATGCCTTATCAGTGCACGTGTATATCATATACGATTTTATAGAACGCCATATAAATCTGATGTCTTTATTTAAAGCCTTTTGTGTCTTACTCGGAAAGATGTATTCGTTTAGATCGTTCGCTGCAATAACATAACACTCACCTTATTTGGACGTCAGAATATTTCTTACATATGGCTTTACATTCTTGGGAGTCCTCACGAAACAAGCACAACAATTTATCATGCTCTTTGTTCAACTGTGAGAAAAACTCAAGTCGCATCTTCAACCTTTCTGTTGTATCTTCGTTGACAACGTTTCGAAATGCATCCAGTCGATGCTTTTCTTTTGCGATCAGTTCATCCTGTGCTAGTTGCGAAGCCTTGAGCTGACTTAGTAATCCTACAACATTTCGTCTGCATTCATCTCTTGGTTCACCATTCCGAGCTTTCGTTCTCCAGGTTTCCAACTCCACTCTGATCTGTGATTCAAGATTTTTCTTCTGACCTTGTAGTTCAAGACAGCGTTTCATGAAATGTTCAAATTTATAATCTGGTGGAGACGTGCTTTTAGTAAGAGGTACCTACAGAGACGAACAAAAGAGCAAGTTTTACTTCTGCCTCAGACTAAATTTGAATATACACCAGAACATTTGATTGGAATTACCTCACCCCAATATGGACATCAGGCCAAACGTTTTGAGAGAATTGATACATACTCTTACAGAAAATTACCTCAAATTATATCCCACCTCAAGATGAAGGATAATTGAAGAAATGAAGTTGACACTATTTCTCAACTATTCTATAGTATGAAAATGTAGTAGAGCAAATAGGGATAACTTAGAGCAAGAATGCATTGTTCATTCCTTCGGATCTTAGTAGTCTAGCTCTATGCGAGGACCATGCATTAGCTGATTATAATTATTGAGTTTGTTTCGTAATCATTTTGTAGCTATAGTAGTTACCTCTCTTGGTATACCTACATGTAACATCGTTTGAACACGAGTCCGTCATGCCGTGAGCATGTGATGTGTCACTGCATGTATTCGTTCGTCATAGTAGTAGTAATGTTCTGTTCAGTGTATATATCTGTAGATCTAGTATATAATTAGTATACAAATATGTTTTACAAGGGACCTGAAACCAGGAGCGCCTTCCAGTCAAGTCAGTCTTTACGATAAAGTTTCGCATGCGTGAAATTATCAGAAACTACCAAAGAAAAAATCTGCATCTACCCCAAATTTTAGCTATCCGAAATAATATCAAACCTCACTCATCAGAAGAAATAAAGAATATCCTACTAGTACTGATATAAGACGTTGGTAAGATACCATCTATAGCTAACTAAGCTAAGGTCAAATACCACCTACAAGGCTATAGCTAAGGTAAGATGCCACCTTTATCTACCTAAATTAAGGTATAAGATACTATAGCTGAGGTAAGTTACTAGCTATTGTCGTCGATGTAAGATCTTCAGAATCTCACCCAGTCGGGCTGGTTCGACCATGATATGAACTCTTTAACCAAGAGGAGACTCTTTAGGGACATCCCTCATAACTTACAAGTTAAGTTATACATAACTTACCCGATCATAGTAATGCCGTAATGCTGGTCTGTTATAATCGTGATCATTCCCAGATCTGGATTGTTCTGCACGACCACCCTGTCTACTGGAAGAGGAACCCATTCCAGGCGACGTGCAACTGCCACTAAATTATAAATACGACCACGGGCACAGAACTTGTGACACGTCTGTAATTGTGAACATGAGATGACCCTTGTTCAACCAGGAACAGCTGCTAGAAATACAAACATAGACACATCGATGGCAATCCATGGCGAACGTGGAAGTTCCAGAGCCCTAATTATATCCCTCTTGTCCTACTAACTTTTTAACTCTAGGGACTGAATTTGTTTGAAATTGTCAGGGCTACCGGCCTACCCTCCTGTTGTGGAGATTCCCCGTTTTATTGGTATAACAAATGTCGTTATCAACGACTGTTACTATGTCAAAGATGACTCTCGTGCATGTTTACACAGTTGGCTACAATTAATGCAGTGATAATTTTGCTTTCAAGTTCTCTCAAATGCGAGAGATTTTTTTGTATAAATTTTAGAAAGAACATCACCGTAACAGTCGAAAAGATCTCATGACATTAAAACGAAATTTGTCATGTCCAAAAAACACATTGAACTATAAGCAGTGCCAGTGGATAAGAATTTGTACTTACTTCTAAATTCGACCTATTTTGTACTATGTGCACCTGCATCCATCTTTGCCTAACAAATTTCAGCTACAAAGCCGAAGAATATAAAACGTTTGAAGTATAGAACATGTTTGCAATAAGCATATTAACATATTTCAAGCGTGTATACAATTGCCACCAGTTAAATTTCGCCGCGCCCTGATGGAATTAAGGCGACGAATACAGGTTGTCAAAAGTGCTAAAAGCTCGGTTATTTAGCGTAACATTTTAAAACAAGCAAACGAAAATTCAATTTACCTTATTTCCTATAGCCCCGATTCAATAAAATATTCGGTTTCCGAAGATGAGGCAGGAAAATAGAAGCAGGAAATTTTGTAGGAAGTTCATGTGTTTTTTACAAATGAAAACATAAAAACATAATTATATATTGCGGAGGGAACACTAAGCGTAAGGTAATTGAGTTTCCATGCAGCAAAAGTTCTCAAAGATAATTAGCAAAACTGAAGTATGTTTTTCACAAGGTTGTTCCAACTCTGCAATAGCATGCAATGGGTTTTAGGAGACGAATTGTTTGTGTTTCGCTAAAATGATAAACTAGGAAACATTGTCTCTTATCAGAAAATCTTATCTATTGTCTCAGACCCATAAAAAAAAATAATGCGAAATTTATTACTAATATAACCTTCCGTTTGCTACAACGAATATATAACTAAAAATCGTAAATAAGCATAACACGCACTTCTTTAGTTTTAATTTATGCAGGGTCAAGTAGCTTAAATTTTAAAATGTTATGTTATGTCTATAAGCTGAGCTTACGTTGTGCGTGTGTTACATTCAGACGGACAAATGGGTGTATTTCTCTCTATCAGCAACAGCAGCAACGAATTAACAAGATCGCAAAAGTTGTTTCGTCTTACTGAAAGCAACGAGGTAATGCAACTATATAGTAAAAGATTTAAAACGTTTTGAAATTAAAATGGAATATTCAAGGTGAACAATGACAATGTCTATGTCGCAAATTTGCATGCCTATAACTCATTTTGAAAGACATTATCAAGTATTATCGCGAGGCTCATAAAAAACATGCAAATCCAAAGACTGTATATTTAAAATTCAAAAAGTATATACGTTTATATAGTATTTGCCCTATAAACATCCATGTATTTATTTGTTTTGACACAAGACAGCTTCTCAAAAGTAAATGATAATTATATGTATAACGGTCTCATGTACTATATATGTCTATCTCTATGACATACCGTGCTGCTGTATGAGTACAATAGGAAAATCGTCATTTAAACTAGTTTAGGATAATTTTTTTAGGTTGAGTTGGTTTAAACTTATATAAATTTGGAGGGCAAACACATGCAGAGACGTCGTTGATATGCATACATGATTTATGTTTACATCTCCAAGTCTCTCTCTCTCTCTCTAGTAACAAACAAAACGCGTTAAGGGCACGAAATTTTTAATCATCAGTATATACTTATGATATAGATTAAAGTAGTACTCTCTTTCCACCGTATATATACTCTAGAGTTACATACGACTTCAGTGTAAAGATGTTTTAGTCATATTTGCATATAAATTAAATGGAACACCTGTTTTGTGGCGGTTTATTTAACAGTTTACGCATAAGACGCAAGATCCGGTTTTGAAGATCCTAATTCAGATTACCGGTGACTTACCGTTACAGGGATATTTACGCTACGGGTGTCGTTTTGTTTATAAACCCGGCCTGCGATTACAGTTAGTGGGTTATGCTATAATATTTACAGGTTAAAGGTTTAATAAAAGAATTATTGTTTTAAAATTTCTAGTGTGTATAAATTATATAACGGCAAATTTTCTTTACCAGTTAATTGATTAGAAAGTGTGCAACAAATTTTCCCTCTCATCATCAATATACGAAATTTATTAGTTTATCTTTTAACAAGGGGTGCATATGCTCTCCTTTGCAATTTAGAAATAATTTAGGAAATTTAAAATACGCCGAGTTTTACAACCATAAATACAGACTGTATATTTTCGAAATTATTGAGACTACAGTAAGGCCTGTTTCAGACGTCGAACTTTTCATGTGCCGAACGTAATGTTAATGAACTAAAGTCTTTGTTTAAGCTCATTTGCATTCGATTCGGCACATGAAAAGTTCGACGTCTGAAACGGGCCTAAATCAGTAATTTGTGAAAGAAATGATGTAGCCTGTACCATCCAAGGATGGCTTTGCGTCGATTCACCTTTCCTTGATATGGACGATGAAATTTCCTGACGCAAACGGCAACAGCTGGAAGATAATAAAATTTATGAACCAGCACACAAGAATGAATATTTTAAATGCCACGCCCTGTCTACAATGACAAACCAAACACTTTGAGGCCCCTCGAAATGCCAACATCCGATCAAAACCTCAACTTGCGTTGAAATGAGAATGGTGTATAGAGTCGTTGCGCATTTGGAAATATTTTTTAGTTTTGGGTCTATCATTAGACATTACGGTGGTAATGGCACTATTTTCCCTAGAAATTATGGCCCCACTTTCTCTATGAGGTCAGTTTAGGATCTACGACGCGCGGTTAGCTGACCCTTGTCCACGTCGCTAGTCAAATATTTGCTTGAAATAAGGGAAATTAATTATGCAGCCAGGACTTCAAAATATTCATACAAAAATAACGTGTCAATGTCGTTCCCTGTCAATGACTATCGAGTAAACTCGAGTCCGTACGTACATGTTTATGAATACAATAAGCTTCAATCCGCCAATTTCAATTATTCATTCTTGCTTCCATTATAACGCCGGGTTATTGTTGTAAATTGCGAACACAGCTAAATTAATTATCCTGGCCGGAAAATGAGTTTTGGACTGAAAGTTTTGTTGCCAATTTCGGTTAAAAACGAGGTTAAAAAGACCGGTCACCTAAAGTAAATACATTTCTTTTCTAGATCATCGTAGATCCAGCCGATTTTCAAACGTTTATCAAGACATTTCGATCGCTGCAGTGTAAGAAAGAAGACAACCAAATAGACCTAAGAAACCTTGTTTTGGAATGGAAGAGTCATTTGAAGGGCAACCTAAACACGCAAGATATACGAAGTCAAGCCTATGAACTTATCGATACCATAGAGAACCTTCACGACGAGCAGGACATCTTGCTGGAAGGTGAAAAAAAGAAATTGGAACTCATGGCTCGGGAGGTTGCTACAAATAACAGCGCTGGATCACACCATCATGTTGGGTTAGCTATGAATGATCAGAGTAATTCATTGCTTGGCGGCGGGGGTTTAAAAGGTACAAGTGGGGAACAATCGACCAAGGGTGGTGATTTTACGGACATGCATAAAGAGATATCGCGAAGACAGCAATATTTACAGATGTTTAATAACCAAAGCACTATTGCTCTGAAGCGAGCCCTTCTTGATATCGAAGCCTGCAGGAAGATGGTTGATTATAGCAAGGACTTTGTTGATAACTCAGAAGAGATCTCGTCCAGCGAAGAGAGTAGTGAAGAACCCTTTCCTCATCCCGTATAAAAACATCAATTGATGCGGGGAACTAATCAATTTTGTATTAAATGGTAAAAGTGCAGTCAATGTTTTTTAAAAGCTTACAAGAAGTACGTCGCGCAGATGTCTTGACAGTCTGTGAAGATAATTCTAAATGAGTGCATGGTGAATGTAATACGCTTGTGTTAATTATTGGTATATATTTTATGTTTTGGTTCAAAATACTCTTTGAATTTCACCCTATTCGAATGAGTGAGGTAACAGTTCAGTATCATCTGGCAAACACTGTTGGATCCACATTGACTGGCGTCGCGCATATGTTAAGCAATGTGTCCGAAACTTCACCCCATTAAGATCATCGAATTAACAATATGGAATCTGCCTCGTTATGGTGAACTAGTTCGACAGCCGATCCAAATGCAACAAGTTGTTCAATATCAATCTGTTTCCCAGCTCTTTGTCAATGACAATGCTCAATGCCGAATAATATTGATGATGCAATGCAGGACATTCTTTCAATCTAGCGTATATGATTTTCTCGTAATACGGCATTTGACGAGGAATTTGACGTCCACGAGCTATGCCTTCCATGCAAAGCTTTCGTCAGAATAAGCAATGAACAGCTCAAAGGATACAGAAAGGTTACATTTTCTTCCATTAGTAGCTTGAATTTCGCATACACTGTTTGGCCCTGGCCAGTCAGACGTGTTAACATGGACAAAAGATGATTCAGTCAAGTTGCAAGGATTCATAAGCAGCGAAGGATAAAAGCGAGATGAACAGACTCATTAGCAACACTCGCTATTCCGTGTCATGTCATGTTTATGCTATTTATTTGTTCCAGCAGTTCATCGCAGAATCTAAAAAACAGATAAACACAACTTATGTATAACTAGCATCAAATGTCGTATAACAACTGCCTAAAATAGATAAAACACTTCTCAACGTTTCGACCTGAGGGGCGAAGGGCCTTCTTCAGTAGGAGAGATACTAACTCTCCTGACGAGGGCCCTCAGGAGAAGTGTTTTGTCTATTTCAGGCAGTTCTTATACCACATTTGATGCTAGTTGTTTGAAGACGCTGCCACGTTGCTCACTTTTTAAAGGTCTTACATTTATAAACAAAATGTGTTTGCGAAGCAAGGGTATTCCAGCTCTACCATTTTGGGCCCGCAGTGCAACTTATATATAACATAAATGAATTATAATATTAAAAGTTAGTGATAAAATCTCTACATAATATCTGCAACATAATGGCTGTGAATTGTATATGCTTCAACCCAGAGTTGTTAACAAGAGAGGGGAGGGGAGCGGAGCGGAATTTTGCTTGTCTCTCTATAAGGCGATGAAGGTAGATGTACAGAAATAAAAACCTTGAAACTCGATGTTTATGTTGAACCATTGTAACTTGATCTTTCATTATTGAAGGATTGATATTACTTGCTTCTTTTAAACACACCAGAACACCTTCCTGTCACGTACAAAAACGAAGAAAATTCGCCAACAGTCAATGATAGGTGAAGCTGTAGTGCTTCCCAGCCTCAAGATAGTTTGATTGAAATATTTTTTAAAATAGAAATGTATACCTGAATATGAGATGAAGAATCATCCAAATGTACCAACAATCCTTTAAACATGGCTTCCAGATGAAGTTTGTATAGATCTTTATCGTAGTTCGAGGGGAAAGCTCTATAAATAGAAGTACAAGGAAAGTCGATATTGACGGTATAAAAGATGAAATTAACAAAAAAAAACATACCTGAAAAAAGCCAACAATGTTTTAGTAACAAACACTCGAATATCGTCACAACTATCATCCATTCTCTTCAGCAGCTCAGGATACAGTGAATGCAACAAATCAGCTGAAATAAAAAACATCAAAGTTTGTTTGTTGCCGCGTCAGAGGAATACTAGTGTCCGCTGATTTGCAGGCGTACCGCCCACCCTCACCGCCTCTGGGGGAAGAGCCTGAATGTGTAATAGAAGAAGAATACCCACCGTCAAAATTATCCTTACACAATGTCAATAATTTCTCTAGAACCTGACAAGTGATTGATCGAGTTGTGCTGCTGTGATCATCTAAGCACGAGATTATCTAGATAAAGATAAACAATTGGATTTTTTAAGGAAAAAATTTGTTTGGCTTATGAAAGCACTATAAGGATTTCAATCACATGATTATAGATAGCCACGTGTCAGTACATATATAAACAATGGATATAAACAATGTATAGACAGTATAGAAACAATGGATATATGTATATATAGTCCAGGCGTTGCTGGAAGTCTGAAGGGTAGTTATATGTAACTATACCTGTGTCAAAAGATCATTCAATGATTTATTACAAGTCTCGACTGGCAACAGTCCTGCATGAAGTGTTGCCCATAAAGTAGATATTGCAGCTGTGCGTATGGCTATGGCGACCCTAAAAACAAAAACACGAACTTCGAGAAATGTCCGAACGTTTTTCTGTAATCTTGAAGCTTTCAGGGGGGATAGCTGAGCTAAAGATTGTCTAAGTGTAGACAGGGGCTTAGTGACGTCTCAAAGAATAAAAATTCCGCTATTTCTTGTGGGATTTTCGTCTTTTGAAACATGCAAACGAGGGTATAGTTATCAATGCTCAAAGGTATACGTGTCTGTATATTAACATCCCTAACTCCCTCACTCTTTCACATTATTTAAAATCGCATTGAAATCTAAACAAGCCTTTAGTTTATTCAATGACGTACGAGAGACGATAATAGGGGGGGGGGGGCACATATTCATATATTCATGTTGTTTCTTTTCAAATCCATTGTCTCTACTGGTCTGTTAACATGAATATCGTCTCCCGTACGCAACTGAGTTTATTTCACCTGATAAGCATAGATCAATGCTATATATGCATTGCTATATTCATGTCAATAACTTACCTCCCCGCCCTCCAAATAAGATTAGGAATTATACATTCGACAAGAACTGTACCAGAGTGTTGTGGATACTCTCCTGTAGAGTTGATAGTTTTGCCAGAATCCACCGACAGTTTTGAGAGCAATGAGAAAAACCTATAAAACAAATACTTTACTGTATTTATTTCCTGAGACGGGGATCAATAAAGAAAAACTTAAGGAACGAAATCTAAAACATTATACACTTAATGTATGCTCCCGAGGGAAATAGTGAGTTTTGTTTTCCCAAGAGTCTGAATGTTTCCCGAGACGAAGTCGAGGGAAACATTGAGACTCGAGGGAAAACAAAACTCACTATTTCCCGAGGTAGTGTACATTAAGTGTTTTGTTATATAGGAACAAAAACATTTAAAAAAGAAACCCACTTCACTTTGTTGTGACAAGAAGCGGGCAACAATTTTTCACTTGTTTCCCTGGCGGGAAACATTGCATTTATTTAAAGTCATGTGACTACGAATGAACCAATCACATTTAAAATACACAGAACCAATATAACAATACATATTATTTCTACTTACTTTAGTCTTAATTCAGGATCTTTATCAGGATTGAGGCAAACCGTAAACATGGGTATGATGTATGGAAGTAACGTTCCTATCACTGGACCAGCATGCAATAGGAGTGTATTAAATAGTAATCTAGATGTGGAGTGACTTGTCCATGATGTATGACTTTCCTGAGTATAAAAAAAGATTGACACTAAAGGCGCTGTTACACGGTGCAATTGTTCTTGCAACTTGCAATGCAATTCTACTTTTAAGAGATGTAAATTAGTGAAGAGGGTTCAAAATATAAGTGTAAGAAACGCCATGGAGTGTAATAAAGGGAAAAGTTAGGTAGTTGCCAAGTTTACATCTCTTAAAAGAAGAATTGCATTGCAAGTTGCAGGGAAAATTGCACCGTGTAACATGGCCTTAAGCACACTAGCAACCTTTATAACCACTTTGCAACGAATCTTTCAAAATTGCAGACATTGAGCCAAGTTATCATTACAAACTTTATCATAACATTATATGTAGCTTTACGAGTTTATTCCTTAAAGGTGCAGTGCATGATTGATCTTAAATCACAGTGTTTGAAGAAAAGAATGGACTGTAGAGTTCAACAGAGTAAAACTAGAAACAAACTTTTAAACTAAACACACCTTTAGTTTTATAATGACGTCCTTCGTGTGAAGTTTATAAAGATCTTCGCAATTTTGAAGATGCAAGGAAACAGCCATATTGGTAAGACATTTCTCGACCTAGCAAAAAACATGTGAGTAAGAATTTAATTGGTGCGTTATAGACCCAAGTTATCATTTATTTTACTTAGGAGTACGTTTCACGAAAAACTATTTCTTAAAACTTCGGACGCAATCACTTGCAGAGCTGCGAGGGGGGCATTGCGTTTACGTGCATCCAAGAATATGACAAAAAAAGGGTCAAAATGATGTACGAAGTTAATACGCCAACTCCATATGGTTCTACTTGTTTGTAAACTCCTACCCTTTCATGAAACATCTGTTCTCTTTGTAGGGACATAACGTAAAGAACAACAACAAACAACTGAAGACTATATTGCTCACAGCCGCCGCCAGATTTAGACGTGATTATATTAACTAAACACAACAACTGTTCCTGGTTGTCCACGCTTTCCGTATCACAAACGTCGGGATTGACTATGGCCTCACAGATTACCTATTAAACAAATGTCATGTATGTTTGAATTATTCCTTACGTGACTATAAAACGAAAATATTGATGGTAGTAAGAGACAATAATTGTGTTGATGGTACTCCAGCCTATAATATATTATTGACAACGTGCATACGATAACAGAAACTTGTTGCTAGACTCAACAATAAGGACCTAACGCCTGCATTTGAAAAACTCACATGCACTCATTGATGGTGACAAAGAGATTGTGTTATCACTGATCAATAAAATAGACCTTATAAGTGGAAAGTTTCAAGTTAAAACATTAGAAATTCAAGTGGAAATACCGCAGAGGAATTGAGAGATCTCAATGAGTGAGTTTGTGTGCGAGTGAGCAAGTGAGAATCAGTGAGTTTGTGTGCGAGTGAGCTTTTCGATGCATACAGACGTAAATTATTCCTCTCTTCGCTGTTACGTTGACTCCGAGTGCTGTTTCTTTACCTTCAGACGTGGCTTTATTCTCTCTTCAGGAGTTCCTTCCACCATAGCTGCTAATATTTTGAGAATGCTTGCCGTTTGCTGAGTCGAGGTCGTACTTGCTGATTTCAGATGTGGAAGACAAAGTTTCAAGTACACTTCTGGTTCCACGTATTGCCCTATCAATCTCGAACTCGCTATCACCTGGAAATATTAAAAAACATCACTTAAATCTCAAATGCTTTCTACATACATCGCTGCAAAAGTTGAACAAAATTTGATGCTTCGAACAGGGACGGTTGGTCAGGTGATGAAGATGCTCTATCTTCACGCATGTCCGGTGAGTGATCGAAATGCCTAAATGTTATCGGCCGTTTCCAGGTAGATTTTCGGACACGGACAAAAGTAAACGACTGAAACTCAACAAATCTGTACAAAATTATCTCCATTTAAAAAGAAGTAATTTCACTGACAGGGTATGTCGCGTGCCTGATGATCAGTGGTAGTTACAGTACCGCATCCTGTAAAAAGAATGATTTGGAAGTACAGTATCCAAAAACAAGGCTCTCAGTGAGGGTTCTGTGTGGCAGTGTGTCATTAAAGAATTTCGTGTATGTTGCTATCCATTACTGTACCTCTTTAACAACAATAATTTCCTCGTCTCGACATCCTTTATAAAGTCCTCCTAATAAAGCTTCAATATGTTGTGTGGCATTGTCCTCAGCATAATACAACATATGATACAACAACGAGGCAGCCTGGATAAACGAAACACGGTCAATGTCAGTCAATATCTTCGTCTCGCCAAAGAGCCCTGGGCTCTCACGGTTAATGCAACACATCATTACTAAAGTGGTCTTCTACATATGTATGTCTCATGGACAAACTATATTTTTTTGTACCTTAATTCTAGTACCAGCTGTCCAATCAGTCATATCTCTCAAGATCGCAGGTAAAATTTTCGATAAATTGCGTTCAATGAGAGCTCTACATCCCAAACATGGTCTTCTTCTGCCTGAAAGACAACAAAGCTTCAGTAATCTTTTAATTATTTAAATTCAAACTACTGTAGATATTGTTTAGAATGAGACATGCATATTATAAGAGCATTTAACCTTTTAAAAACTTATCCTGCATCGAGTGAACTGCTAAAAAATCGAAATTGATTTAACCCACCCCCTGCCTCTATTCGCAGGCATCATACCGGTACTATCCTAAATAGCTACGCACTGAAATAATAATAAATCTCGCCCCCCCCCCCTTCTGTTTCGTCTCCATAGCATTCCCTTTATCTGCGTCTATTAGCTGTGACTAACTATGCATATTATTCTAACATTTGAAGAATAATTAACAACCTTCAACCACAGGATTTCTATCCCAAACTTGAAAGTCTTGTTTATCTTTGAAATCAGCCTCGTTTTCTTGTTCATATTGTTCACCAACCTGAATAATAATAATTTAACTCATTCCTTTGTGTTCTCTGATCGCGTGGCTCTATATTTGAATGGCCATGCATCGGATGGCAATTTTAACAATGAAAATTAAATGCATGAAAACTGTACTTCGCTTGCACTTAAAGATCTACCTTGTCAAATAAATCAGATGATTTCTTTTGGATCTCTTTGATTTCATCAGAAAGGCCTGTCAACAGCAATGGTATCAGCTTATGAAAGAACGAGTATCTGAAAAATAATTTGTTAAATAAATTAACGTTCACCCATGATCTTCTGCAATCCAGCAAAGTAAGCATATACCTATCTCTAAGATGAAGCAACCACCCTCCAACCACAGTGGACACCATTGCTCTAACAGCTGGGTTATCATCAAATGTTCTCTGAGCGATGTGACCTAAAACACTGTCTACATTTTTGCCATCTCCACCTTGAATTACAATACCTAAAGTCTGAAAAAAGAACCACTCATAAACTCAAGCAAGGATTGGATTTGTCTTTTGATTATATTTTTAGGGGGGGGGGATGGGATGGTTGTATCAGAAAACTTGATCAGTATTTAGTGCGCCAACAGTTCATCAATCACAATTACTATTAGTAACTACAGTGTTCAGTTTAATGCGAACTTATAGACATTGCCCATCATGAAGTTTCATGGCATGATTTAAATATGTTGCAAAAACCACGATGCCATGCCAAAATTTTGGCTAATTGCGAGAGCGAAACTTTTACGAGTACTCTGGTCTTAATAGTCGATATTGTAAAACGTAATAATGGGCGAAGGTCTAAAGGAATAATATATAATTTACGAACCTCTAAAACAGCCAATCTCACTTTAGAATGCTGATGTGTGATCGATAATAACAACGGCTTTACCAACGATTCCGCCTGATAATAAAATTGATCTGGGATTGTCTTGGCAAGGAGACACGCGCATTTACAACTTTCCTGAAACAGAATTTAGTAGAGACTGAATCCGGACTTCAGCTTGACATATAGTCTTTAACCCTGACAATCATAATCCATACATTTTGTCACTATACTAGGAAGGTTCGATCGTGAACAAGTTTTACTTTTCGCAGCACGATTTTAGACTATGGCAAAAAAAAATCACACATTCTGTCTCATAGATATGTGATAAAGGTAAAATTGTTGTCAGGAATGGAATTTCAGTTACTGAGTGGTGGTTTTTAAAAGAAATCAGTCAATAAGACGAATTTATGAATATGCAAGACCCCCCCCCCAAAAAAATTTAGCTCTAGGGATCAGCCCTGGTTACACCTAGCTGACTAATGTTATAATGGTCAGGGTGGACAGATGTTTTCAAATGAATGATAAAACTCCCCACAAGCGATACCTTTTTAACATGATGAAATGGATCTGCAATAGTTCTCTGCAAAATCTTAACCAGATCATCAATATACATCACTATTTTTTCCTTAGATACTTGAATCAATGTAGTCAATAACTCAATCAACAAAAGCCTTAACTCTTCACACATCTCAATAATCTCCTGTTGACCCAAGCGCTGGACACATGTTGGTATCACATAGGGAAGAAATGATGATATATCTTGAACACGGGATGACAGGCTATAAGTAAAAAACCCAACAATTTTATTGTGAGGACAATATATCATATTGAACTGTGCTAGGCTTGGTTGTAAAGACACTAACATAGGGGAAAACCAGCATACAAGTGCTATTGAAGTGTTTGAGACTAATCAATGAACCAATAATGATCAAACGCCACAGAAAATTATCAATCTACTCATAGATGTCTATATATTTAACAGTCTGCCGAATAGACACAAGGGATCAAGCACCTTGTGTCTATAGATGATTTACGGCAATGCTATGTTTTAGAGGGCATGGGAAGTTTTACATGGCATTGTTCTACAATATTTGAAGTCATGAAAAATTATATAAGAAAAAGTTAAAGTTTTCATTTTAGTGAAATTCTAAATGCAAGTTAAATGCAAGACTTACTCAATGACAAACTGTATTGACAGTTCTCTGCATTTCTCAGAAGGATCTGAGAACACTTTTAAAACAGGTTTGGCAATTGACTCGAGGCACTCCTCCAATATTTCAGCATCTAAGGGTGGTTTCTTTTTTAATAGTTCCTTCCCTATTTTTTCAATTGCTCTCTTTCGCGTAGATTTATTATCTTCAGAAAGGCAATTGATGTCCCTTTGGATACTCTGAGCATGAAAAGAGTCAACACAGAGTTGGAATTATGAAAGACTTATTTTGTTGGGTTTAAGTTGGGTTTTGGTTTGCTTTTGATACAAAGTGAAAACAGACTTGACCAAAATGTTTATTTGCATATAGGTACGAGTTGCCAAAAGTACAAACTAAGCCAGAGGGATTATAGGGCCTTAGGGGGCATGGATCTGCTGCGGAATAGTGAAATTTAAACTTTTGGAATCACAATTTGCCGTATTTTACACTGAATCTTAAGTTTGCATGGCCCTGACTTCCCACTAGTTCTTCAATCAATGAGGGAAATGTTTAAAAGCAACCAATATAGAACCAGTAGCCTAGATTTTCTAGGCTGCCTGACCAAGCCCACTATAAGTTGACAATTTTAAATGTTTGGCAGTTTCAAATTTTACGGACACAAAATAAACAGACATTATATTTATGCATAATATCCAAACAACCGAAATAGTAATCTAAAAAAATATAATATTGGAATGTATTATGTATTTATCAAACTTTGAATGCAAAAATTCGAAAATAGAAATATCAAACAATTAAATAAAAACAACATTTTAGACACAAATACGATTAAGCTGACGCATAATCGTAAAACACAACATATTTATCACAAACTACCTGAAGTATATTTGATAGCGTCTCTTTCCCAGAGCAACTCAAATCTGCCGCCATCTTGAATCTATCCCACAGTGCTAAGCGTACATATAAACGTAACCTTGGTGACTTTACGTTTTCGGATTTTTAAAAAGGCGGGGACGCCGAAGAGGGGTGCGGGGGCGTGAAAATGGGGGAAAAGCGACCCAAGCGGTAACGTTGAATGTGAATGTCCTGTTTTTGGTCCTGCCAATTTGATGTTTGCTATTTCAATGTACAAATTTCTATGAATGAACATTTTGGTTATTCCCAAAGGTGGCAGGATGAATATTTCTGGAAACGTCTAAGGGTAATCCAGACACATTATTGAAGATAATAAGAATGCCAATGAAAATTCCTCCTATGATCCTGTGAACGATAGTTCTCAATTTTTGATAATTGAAACAATTACGTCAGATGACACAAGTTTGTATGATAAAGCTTTTATTTTATATTATTGCAGTGATGTGAAGGCAACAATTCATGTATTTGAAGGCCTACAGAAAGAAAATATAAACCATTAAAACTTGTCTGCACAACCCCAGGAGATTGCAAAGTGTTCTTACCTCGCCCACTCGACGTTCAAAATAAGATGATCATAGCCTAAACCGGAGACACACTTTATGGCCTGAGCGGCATCGTCACGACGAACAAAATTGATGAATGCAAATCCCTAAAAGGAAAACGGGTACACTATCTTACGGTTGGAAGCTATAGTGATAGCAAAAACAAATTGTAGACGTAAATGGAAATGTAGAAAAAAGGGCGCTGTTACACCATGCACTTTTCCTTGCAACTTGCAATGCAATTCTAATCCTGAAGCATCTAAAGTAGTCAAATACGGGCATTTCGTACGATCTGTTAACGTTTTCTTAGCATTTCGAATACTCTTTACAAATTAACAACCCTCAAAATTAGAATTGCAAGGAAAGTTGCATAGTGTAATAGCGCCTTTACTCTTCCAACACTTGTGTCTGGAACCGCGACATTTTACTCGAAATTTCTAATTTTTCACAACGAGTAGGATGCAATAAAAATAGCAAAGCAGGTTCTCCACTGGAGCTCGTTGAATTAAAAAATGCATCTTATTACCTTCGACTGGTTCGTGATTTTATCTTTAGCGAGATATATTCGAGATATCGGTCCAAAAGGTCGAAAGAGTTCTTGCAAATCTGATTCTCGCGTGTCCTCTGATAAGTTTGTAACACGTATCGTTGCCGTCTCGTCTAGGAAATAAAATTATACACAATAGTTAGTACTGAAATGATGTCTTCATAGAAATTTGCATAAATACTATCCAGGAATTGATACGACAGTATATCTTACATTGAAACATACAAACATTCTGTTACATTATTTCTGCAAGCTTTCCATCACAGCGCGGGGGGACACAGTTATCGATTATATACGTATAGCAATCTGGTATAATAAAGCCAGGACATAGGTTTATTATGTCTGAGCGTATGTATCGCCGACGGAATGTTTTCCAGGATTCAGGAGGATTAGAAGAACACAAGCTTGAACTGGTAACCTACAAGCAATGAGCAAAGAAATTTACCTCTGTTTCTTGAACTCATCATTTCGCCTCTTCCTGTTGCTCCCTCTCGTCGACCTGGTGCCACATATTTACCTCCAGTTTGATTAAGATTTGCAGGCTTACTACCAGAGCTTTCACCACTAGCAGCTGAACAGCATTGTCAAGAAAACAACTAAATTTTTTCACTTTTTTTTAAAATCCGGCCATCATACGCATCTCCCTATAGCGGCTTAAACACCAGTCCACAATCTACACCAGATATTTATTGTATTCACCAAAACTAGAACTCTGTTGCTAAAAAAATCATTTCTGTACAGCACAAAAGGATACCAGCAGCATTCTCTTCTTCCTTCAGCTGTTGTTGTAAAGGCTCAAGTGTGTCCTTGTATGGACATTTTAACGTCCAATGGTCACCTTTACAAATACGACATTGCACAATGTTTTTCTGGTTTCTGAGTTTTCGCATTGGATCATCTTCTTGTTGATTTAAATCCTAATGAATTATGACTTGATGAGTTATAAATATAATGCAATATCCCAGTATGACACACAAAGTCTGATTGGCTCTGCAAAACTAATAAGCTTTGTGTAATTCTCTGGTCACACATGTGACAATGCTATTCTATTTTGTTACATGCAAAATATGAAGCCTGAAGAAACAGCAATGTCATGTGTGTGACCAGAGGGAAATCACCCTTTAGACCTTTGGTGTTTGATGTCATAATGAAAAGGTCTTAAAGCAAGAGAGGTAGATAATTTCCTAGCAATTCTCTGACGGTAAGTTGTTACACATCACATTTTTTTCTACTACCTCCTTGTTGGATGTGAGAACAAGGAAGACATCCTCAGCCACCATAGTTGTTGCAGGATTTGGACCTGGTTTATCCATCTTGGAATCACCAAATTTTGCCCACAACTATAGAAATTAGCAATCAATAATTAAAGCACAATCAAGTGTTCACTGTACATATGGCTAAATGAACACATACTATTTTCCTAATAAAACCTACCTTCCTCTTTGCAATTGCTTTGTGAACTTTGAGAGTTTCCAATTTATATGTTCTGATAACCTAATTGTAAGTTTAAAAGATTATACCAACATTTTTATTGCAATAAAGGTGAGTGATTATATCCTTCTTATTGGCATGAGAATCACTGCAATTATCTCACTACGTACTTTCCCCCAATGCTAGATTCAATCTTATCACTGCTTTGTTTGTTCATAGGATTACCTTGACCAGCTTATTGTCATCATTCCTCTTGAATTCTGTTACAGTCTTGATTCCATTCTTTATGACCTCCGTTGACTGAGGTAGAGCTGCATTTTCTGGTTCATCTAGAAGTGTGAGTGTATTAGTTTTGCAACATATCTCTGATATCAGTCTGAATTGTAGGATAACAACTAAGACTATACATCCTGGAATGAATTCATATAAGTACACCAATATTAACATGTATTGTTTAGAAAAGATCTGGGCTGTCAGAAGTTACTAACTCGTTGTAATAAAGGAAATGTTGTAATTTTACACTGATATTATAACTCAATATTTCTTCAATAACAGCTTCTCCAAGAGCATGCACTACTAAATGCATTCTTATCATTAGTATTTATTCTACATGAAATTTATATGCTAAATATTGCTCTAAATACCTTCTTGTTCAACTTGATCAGCCCAACTGGTTCCTGCATCACTAGAAAGAATCACCACATTTAAAATTTAAAAATAATATATTAATTAATCATCTAATTTCTACTATTTTTACTTTTTTTAACAAAGTAAACATTCCAATTGGGCTGGCATAACTATATTTACAAAGTTGCAAAGTTGATTTTGTTTGGCCACCAATTCGTTAAACGACCGAGCAAGACAGAGCAACCAAGGAATATAATGTATAAGGCCATATTAATACATTTTTGAATTTTGAAATAGATGTAATATAGGGACTACGCTGACATGAAAGATACCCTGGCATGGATTCACGTTAGGGAGTAAACATCACCGGCAATGAGTATCACTTCGTCTGTGCCCAGATGATTTTATTAACTGTGACTCCACTGAAAAACACTGATCATTATTGCTATCAACTAACAATATGAATATAAAATTTTATAAATACAAAAATTTAACTAAAAAACACACGTGTCCTACAGTATACATGTATAAAAATAAGTACAAGAAATATCTATCTTTCAATGAAAAAAACAGAATTTTAAATACACTTACGCTGACTCTGAAGTTAGCTCTGGCATTGTATTTAGTTCAACTCGAGTAAATATTGAAAAATAACACAAAATTATCTAATTTTCTCTCGCCTTCCTTTTCAACTTTTCAGTTTTCAACTAGAACCAGACTAGAACCCAGTTTCTAAATCTTGCAGATTAATCTCAGACTAGATCTGTTTATTTAGATTTAATCTGTTGATTAACAATTCGTTAATCTGCGATTATAGGTCACGAAACCACAATTTTATCATCAACTTTCAATCAATCAATAATGGCGGACAAAACAGAGGTATTTTTTTGCAAATTTTTGTTTATTTTCTTATTGTAGCTAATGAATTTATTCACCTATACCACACTTGTGAATTGTTTACGATAGGGGCTAGAGATTGAAACAAAAGAAAAGCAACGTGCGAAGATTAAGAAGAAAAGTAAGTCATTTAACATCCTGTGAGGAGTGGAGTCAAAATATGGAAACACACTATTAAAATGATAGGGTTCTCTTATGGGGTCAATTGTAGCATGTAGAACTGCTTTGCTCTTTGAAAAAACTGTTTACCATTGTTCTAGGATAGTACAATTTATATGTTTAAGTTGTTTTGAGAACACAAAAATGGAATTGATAAAAAATTAGACATCTTTTTTAGAAGTCTTTTTTGTTTAATACAGAGCGTAAAAGAAAGTCATCTGATTCCGAATGTAATGGAAATATGAAGAAAAAGCTCCTGTCACAAAAAGGTTCTTTTTACCATTAAAATGAAATAATTAATGCAAATCCATATATTGGCTGATCACTTGTTTTTCTCTCTCTCTCTCTTGAAAGGTCGTGATTACACAGTGAGCATTGCTCTGCCTGGTTCTATTCTAAGCAATGCTCAATCATTAGAATTAAGAACATATTTAGCAGGACAGGTACGATGGCCTTTATTTCTAAAAGACATGGAAAGACTGACTATGATCATGAATGAAGTTCAAATTAACATCAAATGTGATAAAACAATTGACTAAAATAACACTTCTTAACATTTTGACATTTGGGACTTGTTATACCTACCACATTTAATGGTAATTTGTTTGGAGATATTGTCATACTCCTCCTTGGCTAATAATTTAACCTGAGATTAATATTTACTATGTACCTATGTATTAAAGTTGCCAATCATTAAAGTTGTAGAGAACATTGGCATTCAAATTTTTAAAGGCCAATAATGAAGCCAATACCATGACAATATTTTGTTAGATAGCACGTGCCCTGGTGGTTTTCAACATTGATGAAGTAATCGTCTTTAATGAAACATGTCAAAGTACAGCAAGCGTTGATACAACATTCCGAGGTGCAGGGAAAAAATCTGACCCAAATATACTCCTAGGAAGAATCCTGCAATATTTGGAGTGCCCTCAGTATCTAAGGAAGTCATTCTTTCCCAGGCACCCAGATTTACAGTATGCAGGTATTTAGAGTGAAATCAACTGTTGAAGAGATAATTAACTTGAAGGTTCTGAGCAAAATATTTTGGTAAATGAGATAATATCCAAATGACAAAGCTTATATTTCACACAACTGCATGGAATGCCTATTCTTCTCAGGTTTGCTCAATCCTTTGGATTGTCCTCACCACATGAGAGCAACAGACATGCTGCCATTTAGAGAAGGCATAGTTGTAAACAGACCAGTTAAAGATGGTCACGGTTCATTGGTCAATGTTGGACTGCAGAAAGAAGTCTCTATTGATAAACGATTAAAAGCTGGTACAAGAGTCACAGTAAAGCTAGCTTATAAAGATAAAAAAGGTACAACTGCCTACGTACATCATGTTACCTTTCAGAATAGTTTGGGATATATTTGGTGTTACTTTTAGCGGAATTGTCTGCCTTTCTTTATAACTTCTACTTTCTTTTCTACTTTGTCTGCAGATGTCGAAGTAGAAAGTGCGTGTGTTGTGCCACCAAGTCAACCACGGACAGAAGAAGGGCTATACTGGGGTTATACAGTCAGACTGGCCCATACATTCAGTGCTGTGTTCACAAAGTCACCTCATAAACATGGTTACGATCTCACCATTGGTACTTCAGAACGAGGGACAGCAATTGATGAAATTGAGTTAAAGAAGTTTCAGTATGTTAAATTATTTTATGGGTTTATCAAGAAACAATACAAATATTGCTAGAACATTTCACATGTGTTAACATTTGTTTGAAATTGGCAACAACAGTCACTCAAGGATGTTATTTGATTTTATTGCTATGAGGACTGGCCTGGTTGGGGATTTGAAAAACTATTGCAAGTTGGATTATAAGAATGGACAGGAATGTTCCATTTATAATTGTTACAACTGTAGAGCTGTCCTCTCAAAAAGTGATAATTGTCTTTTTCATTCACTTTTTTTCATTAATTTCTCAACTTTTTCTCCAGGCATTTATTAATAGTCTTTGGTGGATTACAAGGTCTTGAAGCAAGTTTGGAATCAGATGAATCGCTAAATGCTATGGATCCCAGTTCATTATTTCATCATTATATAAACACATGTCCTGAGCAGGGCAGTAGGACTATACGGACAGAAGAGGCATTGTTAATTACAATGTCAGCTCTAAGACCTCACATTAAAATAGCTAATCAAAAAGGCTAATTAGTAAGGCAAATGCTGGAAATATCACGCTTCATAGAGAAATATGGACATACGTACAGAACCCATATATGCCATTTTATTAAAATTGGTGTATGTTAATTAATCAACCTGCTATTGGTACATGTTCCCACTGATTGTTTCATAGCTTGTTGAGAATCATTACATTAAAATAATGCTGAATCAACAGACTACAGAAAAAACTGGTTACCATCCTTTAATTTAAGTATAGTTGTAAAAATAAATGACAACTTTTATGTAGCTTGGTGAATAAGAAAAGCACTACCAGTTTGCTCATATGTGGTACCCATTTTCTATATTTATGGTTGCACCCAGCCACCAAATCCCTTTTCTAGCACCTTAGCAACTGCAAGGGTTAAGTGGTCATTATTCCTACCAGCTACAACCTGAATTCCCAATGGCAAACCATTTGAGTCAAGACCCAACGGTACTTGTGTCACTGGTAAATGAAGAGTATTGAAGATGCCAGTATATATGAAACTATTCAGTTTGAATATAGGCATATTATGACGTAGCACTGTAGTTGGGTGAGATGGAAACAATAAGACCCCATCTTCACCAAGAACTTGTTCGATTTCTTCACGAAGTTTTTCATTATTTTTTAGTGCATTTTCTTCTAAGCTTTTTGGTAGAACATTTTTAAAGGATTCAACAGCTGCTAAGCGTATAGCTGGAAAAGTGTGGTCTGACTGACCCAGACACCATCTCAGAAACTCCCAAAATGCTAACATCCCAGTTGAACTGTTTGGCTGATCAAAGAGTAATTCCCCAAACGTTGGTCCACCCAGCAAAGACATTCTTGTCAACCACATAAAAACTGCATGTTTCAAAAGAGGTAATTCAAGCCTAGTGACTGGTGCTCCAATCGTTTTTGTCAAGAACTTACAAACACTTTCCTGGGCATTGAGTAATTCTGAACAAACATTTTCAGCTAGTAAGCCACAGTTACCAATACAGCTATAGAATTTCAGTTTGGATATCTTAACATCTTTATTTAGACATATTTGAAAGTCAGTGTTGGATGAAATTACCTAGGAATTAAATGAGTATTGAATGAGCATGTGGTATTACCTTGCCATAACCTCACATAAGACTTTTTACAGCCAAAATTAACAAGTATGTAACTCCATGAAATTACCTTTAACATGAGTGCTAGGTCCACAGAGTATCTGCATATTGGTCCAGTAGCCAACATAAGTTCAGCAGCCTCAGTAGTTTTAATTGGAAATTGCCCTAAATTTGACACCATTCCCGGGCTGGGTTTGTGTCCAAATACTCCATTGAAGAAGGCAGGCATCCTTATACTTCCTCCAATATCTAAGGTATATAACAGCAAAATTTTGAACCTTAAGAGGGACTAAGTTTTACAATAGATCAAGAGATGTATTTTTGTAAAATTATATTATCTAGGCTTTTTTCCAAATGGAATGATGGTTAGAGAATGTATAAAATATTTATTGTAAATAGTCAATTTGGTTTTAATTTTTCTAACCTGAGCCAATGCCAAAAACAGAACCAGCTGCAGCAATTATGGCAGCTTCCCCACCAGAACTGCCTCCAACAATATACTCTGTATTATAAGGATTTCTTGACCTCCCATACACACAGTTTGTTGACTCCCACCACATACATAATTCACTCACATTTGTTACTGCCAGCAATATTGCACCAGCATCTAACATTTTTTGCACAACTACTGCATTTTTGCTTGCAGTGGTACCCTTTCTCCTCACCAAGCCACCTGTTTGTGGAAGACCTTTAAAACCAAATGCCTCTTTGCAAGTAAATGGTACTCCATACAAAACCTTAAAAATAATTAATCAAATTAATCGAATTAAATTAAAAGCAATTAAATTAATCGAACGAATTATAATACTATAGAGAGTTAAGCTACTGTACTTTTATAATTCAATTGATAATTGTATGGGACTATGGGATACTAATGTTGCAAAATAATACAATGTTGCAAAATGCAAAATACCTTGGTACTAAAAAGGGTTTCTTTTTCCTTATGAGATAGAGTTTCGAGGTTCTTGTCAATCTCACGGGCTTCATCCAAAGCGGCATCGAATCGTTCCTGTACAACCGCATTTATAAGAGCATTCACTTTTTTAATGCGAGCAATGTACGCCTGAACAATATCCTCACTCCTCAATTCATCATTTCGAAGTTTTTCGACGAGAATTGTAGCTGGAAGCGTTATGATATGCTTGGTTTCGTCGGGTATTCTTGGAACTTTCTGACCAGGCAGATTTAGAACCTTGTAGATGTACTTTACCGCAAAAAATATCGGCACAAATACAAGTAGGATAAAGGCATACATCGCCATAACTATTTACTATCTGTCTTCAAGTACTAAATATAAGCCCCTCCCACCACGTTGGACTCCCCCCCTTCAAATAGTAAGGTAAATGTCTGGAAAAACTAGTATAAATAATTGAAAAATTGTTGCCAAACATTTATCATGTCATGATAAATAATTGTCAGAAAACAATGTTCCCTAGTTTACACATAACTTTTGGGTGAGGAAAAACAGGAATGGTCATTTTAAAATTAGATTTTAATCACTTTTATTGTTTTGCAATTAGTCCAGTGAACAGTCAACTGTCCTCATTTACACAGACACAACCCAAGTGAAAACATTTCCAATAATTGTAAATTTTGCTACTACATGTGGGTTTAATGTTTTTTTGTTGAATATGGTTAGCCTTTTGCATATGAGTGGTATATTTTATTTTCTATGGACAAAACCAGTTTAGGTGAACTAGAATAAGGAGCCTGGAATCTGCTCTTTAATCATGACCGGTTTATTAAGCTTGCCATAATATGGCAAAGCGAGTCACTTTGTTGCATTCATTAAATCCCATCATATCCATTTAGGATTAACTCTGCATATCAGCAATGGGATTTGCATGGATCTTAATTTTCTGAATACGTACATCATGTAATGGTTTATATGACTTTTCATCAACTGGAATCTTTTCAAGGTCATCTAGTGTCTCTCCTCCATCAATAACTCTATGAAACAGGGAAAACAGCTTACTTAATAATTAAGCAACTTTTTATGACAAAATATACTTTTGAGAGACTCTAAATTTAAGAAGTAACATGCCTTAGTTAAGACACTTGCATATTGATCATATTTTTTAGCAAAGAAAATAGCATAGAAAATAGGTGTATAGTAAACAATATTGATATTTAATTTAAAGTATATAGCTGGAGGTGGTCAATACAAAACATCAGCACTCAACAGAGAATATTATCCCAATCAAATGCTTTATACTGAACACACCTGACCAGTAAATGCACAACTAAATTATTGGAAAAACTAGATACATGTGTTAGATGTATAAGACTACATGCCATACTTGCCAAACACTGTGTATTTCATATCCAAATGTGGTTGTCTTGCATAGGTTATAAAAAACTGTGAGCCGTTTGTGTTTGGTCCATTGTTTGCCATTGACACCACTCCACGAACATTGTGCTGAATAAAATATTCATGATAAGTACAGTAATCTCCATGGCAGCCATAGACTGTTTGTATTGAGATTTATGTACGGCTAGAGAATCATATAGACCATGCTGCATCATATGCATGGGGAAAGTACTTGTTTTTTAGTCTATTTGATCTTTGATCTACACAAAGTTGATTAATATGTGTTGCAATTACCTTCAATGTTGGAACAATTTCATCTTCAAACTTTCTTCCCCAAATACTTTTTCCTCCCTTTCCTGTTCCTAGTTTCAATAAAAAATGTTCAAGAAATTTAGTGAGATATAGGAGGATGTGACTTACATGATGAAAGACAACAATTAGACAAACCAAGAAATGAGTATATAAATGTCAGCACTAGATGTCAATGCAAACCTGACATGTTCTCACCAAAGTCATACATAGGGTTGGACTCAAACTCTGGTATACCATCATGCTTCAAAAAGAGTCGATTCTTACTTGATTGGAAATAAAGAATCAGGTCTAATCTGCAGCAGCCCTTATTAGGCTTTGGGACTAAGTAAGCCAAAGTCATGTTTTTGTTTATCAAATACAAAACCTGATGGATCTCCTGTTTGGACCATGAATCCCTTTATATTTCTAAAAAATGGGTTCAAATTAAATTTATTATAGGTTAAATTTGGCAGAAATCAAACCCATGGCCTTGAGGCATGCAATTTAGACCTCAGTCACCAAAAGCAGTTATGATGATAACTTAAATTAAACTTCTTATTTAATTGTACCTGTGGAAAATACATCCATTATAATATTCACTGGCACATAAGGCAAGGAAGTTCTGCAAAAACAACATAGGAAGGAAAAGTTTGCCAACTGAGCAGGCTCTAACATTTATCATCATAAAATAAAAAGCAGCAATTATTTTGATACCTCGCAAGTCTTTGGAGCTTCCTCGCAAAATAACTCTACTTTTATGTCACCAAAATCAGTTACAAGTGTCACAGACTACCAAGAAAATTCAACAAAATATTACCTGTGACGGTTTTATAAATATTTAGAGACGTTAAAAATATGAAAGCATTTCTAATTCACATTTACGTACCATTTTTGTTGAATATTTTCAAGTTGTATGCCAAAAAATAGACAATTTTTCGTCACTCTCTAAAAGACCTTTCGAATCCAGCCGCCATTTAGAAATCAAGGAACATGTATGGGTGTATATGGATAAAATGTCAATTATTTATCCCTTATTGTTCCCCTTATTTCCACTTATTTGCTGCTACTCTTAAGAGTTAAGAACGTGGAATATCACATTTTAATAAGCCATATATTTGCATGAATGCTGTTGTTGATATATATTGATTCAGTTTGAAATCAAAAGGTCACTGAAAGGTTTTTATATTGAAGGGAATCTCAAAATCCACGAAAACTGGAATAAAAAAGCGAGAAAACCTCTTTCACCCCATTCTATCCACAAATATCCCTTTAACCCTATTTTAGATTTTTTGACAAATAGGCTTTTATAAATAGCACGGATGATAATAGCATTTTACTTTTCATATTATTTCGTTTTTTTCTAATTTCAACGTTAAATTTTGCCTAAAATATGGCAAAATATCAACTAGTTTTTGAAAAGGTAAATTCAGATTTGGAGAATTTGCCCATGCCACGCAGTGGTCATCGTTGTTCAACTGATGGCGTATTTTTATATTGTTTCGGTGGTTTTAACCCAGAAAAACATAACAAATTGTTTTACGAAAATATATGGTGCTTTCATTTGTCATCTAAAACGTGGCATAAAGTCATAACGGCTAGTTGCAACTCTGGACAGATCCCAACATGTGTTGCTTCGAGTGTGGCATTTTTGCACCGAGGGAAACTGTTCGTGTTTGGCGGATCTGGGTATCCATTTGGTATGAAAAACAGCAACGGAATGTTCTACATTGACCCAAAGAAGCAACTTTGGCATTATTTGACACAAACGAATGATGTTGTACCATCACCAGGGTATGGCCAAGGCATTGCTATGGACTCAGATAAACGCATGTATATTTTTGGTGGTACAAAAGGCCTTACTTATTATAATGAGCTACACAAGTTTAATTTTGAGACATGTAAATGGGAACTTATCCAAGCCACCGAACCACCTTCAGGACGATACAGGCATGAGATGGTTGCTATTGAAAATGGCTTTGCTGTTATTGGTGGATATGGTATCCATGGTGCATGTTCTTTGGATAAATTACCAGTATATAATTATGGCACTTGTTTGTGGGATGAAGTAATCTGCCAGGAGGATCCAGTTCATGGTTTTCCAGAACCCAGGCGTGCACACAGTTGTGTACAATATGAAGACAATGTGTATGTTTGTGGTGGGTTTAAGGAGGAACGTAAAGATCAGATATTTGATGATATATGGAAATTGAACATTAAGACATTCTCATGGTCAAAAATACCTCAGGTATAATCCTATAATGATTTGGCTATTAAAGCAACATTAAGCTGGATTCCACAAGTTTCAAAGTAGCAATTAAAATATAGAGTTTTTATATATTTAATTGTTTTATATATTTTCAAGGTTATGCCCTCTCCAACATACTTTCACTCAGCTGCAGTGACCAAGGCAGGTTGTATGTATATCTTTGGGGGGATTCAACAGGCAAGAGAAGATTCTTCAGCTGAATGGAATCAAAGGACAAATAATCTGCTTAAAATGTGGCTAGTAATACCACCACTGGAGAGGCTTTGTTGGGAGGCACTTTGCGAAACCATCCCACAAGGTCAAAGATTTGATACAGCTAAACTGGGTAACCTTGGTCTTCCAAGATATCTGTTAACAGATTATGATGCTCAGTTTTTAGTTGGACTTGAAAATGATGATATATATGAATCCTGTTATGCCTTTCAAGTGTAGACTAGACAAACCCTGTACTCAATTTTTTGAACCCCTTAATCCTAATTTCATATTTTCACGAAACTCCTTTTTCACATAATCTATTGTAGTCCCAATCTAGCTTCTAGTGAGTGATGAGGACTAGCAATGTATTTTATATTTTTAATATTTCAGACATAAAGTTTTTTAGCTGTAATTTCAATTAATTTGTAAATTTTGTAAATCAGTCTAATGCCTTCAATAATAACATACCAGTAACACCTTATTTCCACTTTTATTTCTTGCAAGAAAACACACTCATATTGTCTCCCTAACTAATCCCCAGTAACCTTACTTTAGGTTTTACTGTTAGCAGGTTAGCAGGAAACACAGGCAAGGGGCATGAAATGTTTTGATCAGTTATCCTCAGCAAACATGCCATTTTCCACCGCACTTTTGAACCTGCAAATTTATTTTCAAAATGAAATTGCCTCGTGTAGCATGAAAAACTGCCCCTGCATAACCACCAAACATGTTGTTTGTTGTAAGTCACCACAAGTACCTGACTACCTGATTGGAACATATATCAAAAGACATTGTGAACAATATACTTACTGCATTGACTTTTAGGAAATATATTTGACATATGCAATCAAAGTATATAAATCATAAAATTATCTTAATCTATAATCAACCAAGATAAATCTGCTACAACATTGAAACGGAACTAGCAACCATTTAGAGCTACGGTTATAAGCGATATGGGCTATTATTATTGGCTTTTTAGCAAATACCTCTGTAAAACTTAACTATTGGTATTAAAACTGGGTCATCTGCCTACAAAAGCGAGTCTACTTATGATGTTAGTATTAAGACTAATCGAAAAAAAAATAAGAAAATTGTGGAACCACAATTACTCAGACGAGAAAGGTTCTAGCAAGTGCCCATGGACGTAGAACCATACATTGTGTATTCTGAATTGTTTTGCAGATAGGCTTCGACTGGCTTCATTCCATCAACTTCAAAATTTCGAACACAGCCTTGGAAGTTGACATCATAACGGATTCCAGAGGGTCCACCGAGAGAATACATTGCGGCTGCGAGGCCGTTCTGTGGTTTGATGTCCAAGAATGTGAATGAACCACCAGTCTGGGCAGAAACTAGAATAAGAGAAATAGTGGATTCACTTCGTCTGTGGGTGACATGTGTTGTTGAAGCCATATTTTTCTTGCAGCTTTCAACATTCCTCGGCTGGACATTCGCTTCACCGAAGCTTTCGTACGCCTATGCTTATAGAATATACGCCTTAGAAATATAATACCAGGCTTTTCAAAATAAATTCTCTACAAAAGTCGATCCTAGAGCGTGGGGTACCCGTACCACCATGTACTTTTTGTATGGCCTGTGTATGCCTCCGCCTATCCCTCCCCCTGTAACCACACAGCCACCTCCGAATGGCAGATTAGAGACCCATACAGGTACTGGGGGGTTTAGCCTATCGAGTAATCCCGTCAAATAATCCAGTCAAATAATCCGGTTAGGATTTCCACATGTTTTACTCTGGCAAGTTATTTACCTTGGGCAAGATTATCCACAGAAACCTGAACAACTTTTCCGCGTCTCTTCACCAAAACCGTATGCCAAGAATCATCATTTAAACTACCTGATGGTACCTTGACAGTAAGATTGCCTAAAACGTAATACAGAAGCACATTTGTCTCTATAACCTCAACTAATGCAACAACCAGGACATTCGTCGGGCAGACGGGCACGTCAAACTTTTCATATGCCGAGTACGTGAGCTTATGCAAGTCACGTTTTTTAGTTGTGTAGAGATGGCCGCGGATAGCTTCAAGCAAAGATGACATTATAGTTTGGGCAGTTTGATATGATAAAATAACCCAATCTGACATGATAAAATAACCCAATTTGACATGACAAAATAACCCAATTTCTTTACCTGTTCCTAAATCAACTTCAAACACAATGTTTCCATTCTGTAGTTTCAAAAGGATAAAGTCTCGAAGACCACCTTTCGCGTAAAAGAATAAACCGTCAGCTTTTGTGGTTTTAAATTCCAAGCTAATGTCATCGTCCGCACGCTTGATGATGTTGTTCACTGTTATTGGCCGTTTGATATACGAATTTCCATTTGCACAGCTGCAGGCTATAAAAATACTAGCATGTTAGATAATGCTACATCCCATAGGCGGAGGCAAACATACAGAGAAACTTTGATAGAACTTATTACCCAACCAGGAGTGGCTCCCATCCCATGTCATGACTTCACTTGGTTGCCAATAAAAAAGATCTTACAGATTATTTGAGTTGAACGGAGAGCCGGCTGTTGTAGCCTATTTTAGCACGGTTCCGGTTTTAGCTATTCTGAACATTCCTATACGAATATTCCTTTCTCGTTGACTGAAGTACAATCACAAGTTTATTTGCAATGGGCACGAAACATGCATATACTGTAAATCCCACGAGAAAAAACAAGTCCATTGACATTTGACATCCTCCCGGCAACACTACTCAGACGTTCATACGGGAGCGGACGAATTTTCGGATCGTCTGGTTCAGGTGTTCAGGTAAAATTGGGTGAAAATTTCTTCTTGTTCACACGAAGAAACCAGACAAATTTGAGGAAATGCTCATTTCTGTAGATCTCAGAACAATCAAATTTAAAAAATGTTGTCGGTCCCATAGCTTATAGGGCAACCCCCTAGGTATTTTCTTTACATGTTCGCCTCTGTTGACGGCCTTAGCCCCCCTAAACACCCCCCTAAGCCCATTTACACTACGCGATTCGTCGTATGCGATTCGCACCCTGGAGTATGTGAACGTATACACACATGCACAATGTGAATGAAGATTGTGGCAGAGGCCCTCTTTTGCATCGATCAGAATGATAATTGCATACATCTTATCGTGTAATCTAAATAGGCCTTAACAAATTTCGAATAGGACTTCATTAGCAATGACGCAAAGAGGCGTCATCAGCATTTAAACCAAGATGTTAAAAAAAACACAAGCACAGCCTGCATGCATGCTCTGCTTACTTGCGACTGCTTTATCGATGAGTTTGTAGGTCGCCATAAAGCCACTTCCACTTTCACTTCCGTCGGTGATGAAATGAAAGGAAACATCGCCATCGCTGTAAGTTGCTTTACTGGCAAGAGACGAGGCTCCGCATGTGTAGCGAGAAGCCGAAGTGTCAGCAATCGTGAGCTTATCTTTCGAGCATTGGCTGGCATCTGTAAGAAAGAGTACCAACTTTTAGCTACAAACAACTTGATTACACCACAGTTGATAGAATATACATGGTATGGACACCATTAACTATGTTGAGGTAGATTTATGCAAAAAAAATTGTTCCTTTCTCATCACATGTCTATTTGTATTTTACACAGATAAACCAGTAGCAATCGTATAATTAACATATTTTCCAAGTCAAGGTTGAGTAGCTTAGCAAGACGAATGCCATTGATACATTGGTACAACAGACACGTGACAAGAAAGGAATCGTTTTTTTGCATAAACCTGGAGAATAACATAGTTAATGAGTTGTATTGTACCTTTATTTAGTCTCCAAACCATTTATATTCTATTAACTGTGATTACACTGACAGTGGCTGACAACCAGGACAGCAAACACATATACCACAGTTTCAGTGGCGAAGCCAGCCTTACGTCAAATTATAGTCCTGCTCTGCAAATTTTGTGTTATTATCATTCTTCATTTCTTTAAAAATTGATTGTTTTCACAGTCAATGAACACCATAATATTAGAATAGCAGGACAAAATTGTCGGGCTGGCTACATCACTGTACCGACTTTACTTCTTCTGTTATAACACTTAAGGTCTCTCAACTCACTTACACTCGATTTCACGATAGTTGTAGAAAATTTCAACCTCTTTGTTTGAAGGAACGTCCAAGGTTAGTTTGCAGTCCAAGTTGGCAGAGTATTTACCAGCAAAACCGGGCGAGTGAATGCGACCAATGGCACTTGGTGTTATTGTTCTGGTGGGACAGACACTCACTGCTGGGGGCAATCCTGGAGCTGGAGAAACAGAAAATGCAAATTCAGTTGCTCTCTTTAAAAAATGCTTTCCTTCTCAATGGAATAATCTAAGCGAACAAGCCCTAAGCAATGGCAGGTTTAGGCCCTTAAGATATGAACTTACTTCGAGAAGTTGCGAATTTTAGATCAAACCCCTTTTGCTCCACACTACCGTCCGAAGCCATTTTAAGAGTGACAACATTCAGGCCAGGTGTGAATGGTTTCGGGGTAGTTGTACCACAAAATTCTTTTGATACTTTTCCAGAAATGACCAGAGAATCGTAGCACGATACGTCACCTCCTAAACAGTTAATAATTTAATTTTACAGTCTTAACGTTAACCGTTCAATTTCTAAAAAGTATGTATAAAAAAGACGCTTTTTTATTTTTTAAAGGTCACAAACACGCGATTTTCACAAAAAATTTATATGCCTTGTAAAGTCGCTGTTACACAACGCAATTTTCCTTGCAACTTGCAATGCAATTAGAATTTTGAGAGATGGTAATTAGTGAAGAGTGTTGGAAAATGCGACACCGCGGAAATTGGTAGACTTAAGGCGGTTTTCCACGTGGCGGAATTTTTCGATCGAACGAAATTTTTCGCTCAATTTTCTTTTCAATTGTGGTCGGTCAAGCGAATCCGCTTCGGTCGACTTCTCACAATTGAAAAGAAAATTGAGCGAAAAATTTCGTTCGATCGAAAAATTCCGCCTAGTGGAAAACCGCCTTTAGCCGTAATTCTCAATACTTAGACTTTAAATTCGGCAAGCTAAAAGATTTATAAATACTCAACAAAATATCTCTTGCACAAAAGATTTGAAGCTTGCACACGGCAAAAACAAATCATCTGAAAATGTCTGAAAATGTCTCAAAATGGCCATTTTACGGTGGCAGATGCATACGAAGAGCCTTCAAAAGTTTCCAAAACCGATATTGGAAGAAAAATTGAACTTGTTTTCAACTTATTTGATAGTATTTTCTTTGACAGCAGTTTCTGAATACTAGGATTCAAATCAGGTGAGCAACTGATGAGATATTTGACTTCCAACACCAATTTCTGCGGTGTCGGAAAATGCTAAGAAAAAGTTAGCAGATCGTAAGAAATGTTCGTATTTGTCAACTTTAGATGCCTCAGGAGTAGAATTGCATTGCATGTTACAAGAAAGTTGCATAATATAACAGCGTTTTAAATATTATACTGACTCCATCAGGGTATACATAATATGAGAAGTTAAAATAAATAATCAACTTAAACCGATCCCTTGAAGTCAAAATCGATTGCAACACGATCACAAGTCAATTCATATTGTCATTCTCATATCCTATCACACAATGGCCATTGTACCAAGAATTTCATACTTTATTTTTTTTTCGTTGTCATTCACTTATTATTCCTTCATTTATAGGCGATGGACAATTCACAGGACAAGTAATTTACATTTACATCAACAAAAAATATAGTGAAGAAAATGGTTTCGTTTTTAACTACTTACCATCCTCGTCACCCTCGATGTCTATCTTTTCGAAACTAAAAGTAAAATTCGTATCCAATGGCTGTTTGATAGTCAAAGTACAATCTGTGTTTGAAGGATAATCGGATGGATAATTAGGCGACCGGATCTGTCCACTGGATGCTGTTATCTCCCTTGTTGGACAAATGCTGATTTGGCCTGCGATAAAGTTAACGTTATGATGAAAATTTATTTCAAACTAATAAATGCCCCCATTCAACTACACAAGTGAAAACCAGAAGGGACGTATCCAGACCTAAGAAAGGGGAGAGGAGACTCGCGTGAGGCCCGGCTAAAGGCATAGTAGTGCTTATATACGTGCATCCCGCATTAATTACTTTCGTCAGCATTGCCATTGTGATCTGATTTTACTAATCATGCACAGAAGCTATATCTATAGACCCATTGCACTGACGTCATAATCATTAAAAGATGTCCTCTAGATGTTTCCTTGCTTCACTAAAAATAGTCGTTATGCCAGCGGTGGAGGTTTATATAGCGGTCAAAAGCAGTTAACGAAGCAAAGTTTCTCACACTAGTAAATATTTCTGTATTTTGCCCAAAATTTACGTTTTTGCAAAATTTACGATACGTTAATTTGTCCTCCATGCAGATGCCTAATGCGACGTGGTATGCAAAGGGTCCATGCTGAATTACTGATTGACCAAAACCATTCATGCACCGTCGTTCAGCTGATTTTCTGTTATACAGTTTAAAAAGGAAAAACTATATCAAAAGTCAAAAAACCAAGCATAAGTCCACTTACCAAAGGTGAAAGGTGCGACTGAGAACAAGATTACTAATATAGTGGAATGCATTCTCAAGCAAAATTCCTGCAAAACAGAAGGAGATAATAGCATAATCGTCAGGCAAAACGAATGAATGAATATGCACACCCCCTAACTTCTTGTTTTGCTGTGTCATCTGCTATCACACTTACTTAACAAAAGAGTTTTCTTAGCAAATAAATTTGTAGTCGCAGACGTAGGCTCACGTAGCAGCACAGTTGTACTCGATGACTAATGTAAAGTACCCCACTGCTGTGTACATGCAGTGTCCCTTCACTTCCTAACCCAAAACAGCAATTACATGCACTTGCACGTCCAAATTCTTCGACAGAATCGGAAAGAGAATATTGACTTTGTAAACAACCATTTCAGTTAAGTCGAGTACAATATTGTCATGCTAATAGACACTGTGAAAAAACGCTATGACCGTGGATTCACACGGACCATTTGAAGACGTTGGCCAAAGTAAAAAATTCAAATTCAAAAATTCTTGGTATCATATTGCTTATGATTATAGCCTGTAAAAAGATGCTGGAGTAGAGAAAATTAGGAAGAAATTAGTTTATCATGCTTATTTTGTTAAAAAAAATTGTTATGTAAGCAAAAAAGAGATATGTGTGTCTGTGTCTGGCTCAATCCCGGTGGTCTGTTAAGGTATAATAGATTTGATAAATAGGATTTTTACCACAAATTAAGTTGATTATTTATACCTCTTAATTAATTAAATGTTCTTAATTAAATCTTCACGAACTTTTCGCTAGTGAAAAACAGGAAGTTAATTCATATTGTTACGAGTCAGTCTACAACATATGGATGTTGTTAGGATCCGGATTGCCCAGACAGATTTTGTTCCAATACTATCCACCATTTGAATTATTTCGTACAACTGAAAGGTTAGGTCAGCCTAAAATGCTATAGCTAGCCAGAAGGCGAAATATATTCTGAGGGTGGTCTTCCACTAGGAATGTTTCAATCAAACGAAATTTTTTGCTTAATTTTCTTCTTGATTCATGATTGCGACCGGTCAAGGCTCCGTCAAATTCTCACACAACCGAATCGAAAAATTTCGCCCAGTGGAAATTGCCCTAGGAGCATTTAACTAGTATCTTTAAAACGACTTGGATGCGTAAATGTTGGACGCTCTGAGTAATTTTAACTCAATCAAATTATAGAATATAGAATATAGTTGTCAAAATTTAATATATCATAAACGAGTGAAAGTAAATACTGTCGCAAAATTTGAAATCCTACCATAGTAAATAGATTGATTTTGACACCTTGAAAACTATATTTAATGAACTCAAGAGGGTAAATAAAGGCATCTTTATTAATAAGTGAAATGCTTCATCTCCAAGGTAAAAAAAACTAGACTCTAACATCTAATTGGGTGCATTCTAATGATTCTATAACAACTTAGCATCAAATGTGGTATAACAACTGCCTAAAATAGACCAAAACACTTTTCGACGTTTCGACCCGAGGGCCTTCGTCAGGAGAGTTAGTATGATTAACTATAATACTAACTCTCCCGACGAAGGCCCTCAGTTCGATGTCTATTTTAGACAGTTGTCTATATACCACATTTGATGCTAAGTTGTTTGAGGATACTGCCACGCTGCTCCCTGGTTATATTGTAAGTTCTATTATTTCTATAACAATCCCAGCGGAAATACGAAGATATATAACGCACGCAAATCCGCAACTAAACGCTAATATAGAGATTTATAGATATATAGGTATATATAAGCGCCCTGCCTGCAACACTTGAACTTGCGCTCATGTCAATTTGCGCAAAACAACAAGTTGTGTATTCTTACGCACATCAACAAATTAAAAGAGAGTTTCAATTTACACTTTACTTCAATCGTTGATTCAAATGCTGCATGCCTTTATTTCACTGATGAGATACGCTCTCTTTATTTCACTAAAAATACGCGCGTTGTTACATAAAATTATGTTTTCCGAGGTGTATGACTTTGTTTCGAATCGTGTTTATTAAAAACGTTCGTTATAATCATTTATATGAGAGTGCTTGAAAATAATGAAGTGATATTGGGAGGTGAAAGATAATTTAAAAGACACACAAGACAAAGAACTGCGTTCTACCGTTGATATTCATAACACTATAGGGAAGCAAAACTTTACCCTTCGCTAAATTCGCTGAAATCTCTTCAAAGACTTTTTTTGTTTTCCTGTTAAAGCTATAGATATAATAAACTTTTTAGTTAGGGAACGTTTATTTTTATTCATTGACATTGTGTATTATTCTGGCTATGGCCATTTTTTATCTTCTATGGTGGTTTGCCAGAAATTGATTAATTTCAGAGCATGCAGAAACGCAATACACAACATGTAATCATGATAGTTTTATATGCCCTTGTAATTGTTACACGTTAGGTAAAACTTTTGCATCTTGCAATGGGATAAAATGCGTCACGGATCATGCTGGTTGACGTATTTTAAAACTTTATGTTATATTTTTTTCGATTTATAAACATTTAACAATGCACGTCGACTATTATTTACTTCATACGTTAAGCACAATAAATAATACATCTAAAGTACTCACCCAACTGTTGCTTTTCACTTATTTAAGTCGAGACTTTAATTCTCGATTTTGAGAGGAATATTCACAGCACGGAGCGGAGCAATGTCTATGTTTAATAACGAACTATAAAGAAAGAATAGACCAGAATTTTTGTTGATATGATATTACATTTGTAAGCTCGTGTTACCTTTTTTCTTGCAATCTCATTGGTTGAGAGGCTGTATTGAGAGTTCTTGTTATCAGAGACGATACTGGGGTCAGCAATTTCAATGAAGCCGTTGAGTGATACTTGATTCATGATTGGTCAGGCACGCGTTAGTATATCCGAAAAAATATGGTTAAATGAAACGATTTCCTTTACGTATGGTGTTTTAGATGTTTGCCAATATCTCACATCACGAAAATACGACATTTCCCTCTTATCACGACTTATTCTTTCACGACCAGCTTCGTAATGTCTTTTCAATGGGCAAAATCACGTAAATTAGTTCATTAATCATAAGGAATACATCGAATATTCTAGATGAATATCAGTGCTTGCTGAAAATATTTTGGATGATTTTACCAGCAATGAAAAATTCTGGTATGTGCTAGATATCAGTAATTCAACTTCATTATAACAGCAGGACAGGATTGAAATCTTAGGAGTAATTAAGCGTATAATTAGGAAGTCGATCTCAGCATGAAATTTATCGTTGTCAAGATGTCGTTCTCATTTATAACTTTGACCACAAGTATATTTTAGGCCTCCATTTTAATCGCGCTATTACAGTGAGTCAAGGTGAATTTAAAATTGTATTTACGAGTTTGATTACAAAATGTCATGACACTCGTCATTGAATCCTTATTGATCATCTATCAATCAATAAGTTCTATTCTCGGGTTCATGTGACGTCAACTCGAAAACACAGTAACCGCAGTACGTGAGTTTAGTTAACCATAGGCGTCGTAATATATTTGTTCTACTTGTTAGCTAGGGTATAAGGGGTTTACAGTTCACTCTAAATTTCTCAAATCACTGTCAGGCTAAAAAGGACTTTAATCGCGCAGATTCCATGGTAGAGTTGGAGGTTTTCGTATAGGGATTTCCGCGTATATTCGGTCTGTTGGCCAAAAACGATGGAATCATGGAAAAGCAAGGGAGGCAAAATTTCGTGAAGGGACACTTCATACTGCTCACTGATTCACTAGGAGGGTTGCCGACGCATAACTATTAGAGCATTATGCACACGCCTCCTGACTCCTGTGGAAATCAGCATTTGTTGACACCTTGACGGGGCTAGCGTGTGGTTTATAAATAAAGTTTTTCGGACTTTTTCCTACTATACCACTACATTCAGTACTAAATAGTCTCATCGTTTTTTTCTGTTTAATGTTAGATTTCGATATCCGGAGATTTTCCGGCAGACCATTGCCATTGTTGTATTCTTTATGTGGTAGCTATTCTTTATGCGTCATTTTTTACGTTGGTTGAATTTTTAGCGTTATTTACTAGCGTTATTACATGCGATCATCTAAATTGACACTTCCTGGTAAATAGCAGCTGCCCTGCTAATCTCGCAGTTCTGGTGTCCCTGAGTGCACGCATTGCAACTTACAAGGCCCAGATTTGAGAGGTGGCTGAACTCAACTGAGATGCTCGTATACACGGCTACCAGTACTGAGAGGGTGCCAGTAAGCGAGGTTCACAAAGTGTCAAGTGACAGCAGGAGTTCAGTCGTATAAGAAAATTTCCAGTTTCCCATCAGTTGATAAAGCAGTACGTGTCCGTATTCGGACAAGTGCTCCAATTGGAGCTCATAAAAAAAACACATAATTTATTAATAATATATATTTGATGGCTGACTCCTGTTCGGATCTGGTATTGACACCCAGAAAAATAAAAAATCCCTTAACTCAATAAGTCAATAAAAACAAAGATTTGTTTATCAAACTTAAAAAAAAACATGTACACAAATAACCAGCTATTTTGATTAATAAGCTTTCCGGGATCAACACGAGACCACACTGAGTTTGAAGCCCACGGGGCTTTTCCTTTCAATGGTTAGTTAGCCTCTTTACTTCTTCGATCATATCAAGATATATTATCTCGGAGCATCGTTGGTTGGGACTAACAGTAGAGGGTATTTGAAGGAGGATCAGTATTTCTCAACGGAAATTGGTTTTTATTCTTTAATTAAACGTGAACGAGAGAAAGCAAGTATGAAATCAAGCCTCTTTTTTACAGACGGATTTTTATAGGTTTGAGCCTGTCTCATGAGTAAAGACCCTGGGTATGAGGTTGGGGCCTAATTTGGCGTTTCATGAATATCGTCTTTAAAATGGACCATAAAATTAGGACAAGTGCTCAAATTAGAAGTGTCTAAATTAAAGAGGTGCTTGACTAGTATCACATAATTTATCAAAACTAGGTTACCCATGATGGGTAGAAATGCTGCCTGAAAGCATGCCAGTTTTCGGCTAGCGAATCTCGTTTCCACTGGAGTTTTCACTGGAGTAATGCCCAAGGAACGAGAATCCGGTTTTTTTATAGACAGTGACTAGAAACTACTTAAAGTTATTTTTAATGGCACATTGCGATAAATTAAGTAGATTTTTAATGGCACATTGCGATAAAAATGAATTTTTAAAATAAGCGATTAATCTTACACAGGAAACTTACTTCTTTCATGCCATTTATTGTAAAGTGCGCATACCGTCCGTTGCAAACAGCAGGCCTTTAAAAATTTTGATTAAACTGCGCTTTTTCCGACAGTGGCAATAAAAATTATTTCAATTATTCAAATGCTCATTTATGATCATGCATTTTTTGTAAATTTGGCATTTTGGAAAGAAATGCTTCATATTCACGACTTGCATGCTTTTTAATCTGAAACCGATGTAGACAACACTCTTCCAGTATCCCTTCCTACGACATGCACCGTTGAACTTTTTTATACGTTAGTGGATTACGGTTGACCGAAAATGGAGGAAATAAACGTAATCGGGCTCAACATTCCTTCGTATTAATCTAAAATTAGGATGATGCGAATTCGAAATTTCCTTGTTGCGTGCGCGTCTGCCATGCTAATTGCATTTTCTCACTTTCATCTAACGCTTTATAGCCATGATTAGCCATCATGCCACCAAGTGAAAAAACTAGCAATTAATGTTCCATCAAGAAAACTCGAAAACGCCATCAAGAGAGCTGTTAAAAATTTCCTGTTATCATGCATTGTCGAAAAGGGTTAAATGTTACTACGTGTGAATATACTAGGTTAGACCACCAGGACGAATAAATCCGAGAATAAATCATTAATGCACTAACCATGCATTACTCTAAACAGAATACCTATAGTATTTACCTCAACTAGCTGCCACTTGTACACCTGTCTCGTCATCATCTGATCCTGATGCGACGATCTTTCACTATCTGATCCTGCGAATACAAAATGTATTCGCGCACGCGAATACAAAATGTCACATGTATTTCCTCCGCTTGACACGACCATGCAAAAATCGCAAAGCGAAAATTTTAAAATCAAGGAGGTAAACAGATGAGTGTTCAGCATATCCCTGCAAAAAAGCCAAACCATGCATATTTTTACTCGTGTATATTTTTGTATTTGCGTGCATGAATGTCCCAAGGCAGTTCCGACATTTTTCCACTCTGATGATTCTTTCTTTCTAAAAAGAAAAAACCTCGGTGAAACAAAAAAATCACGGGCATATGTTTTGTATTTTGTTTTGTGCATGGTAAAACTAATTGTCATGAGAAGCAAAAGAATCACTACAGCACCATACGATACTTTGAAAGTAGAAAACACGCTTTGAACATTATACAATAGACACAGACACCGAGGCTCGTGAAACTCCGCACATGTCAAGTCTAGCATAAAGTACATACATATACCATTACGGATATTTATAAGCATTCAATTTCAGTTTGAATCTGTCTTTCCCTGAACAAAAATAACATGAAGTGTTTACGAACGGGTAACCAGACGGGAAGTTTCAACCATTTTTGTGAAAAATTTAGGATAAAGATTAAAGTCCCGAAATGTTTGAACTATATTTTAGTTAGTTTTAGTTTTACACGCCCACCGTGTACAAACTACAAACGTCTTATTTCAAGTCATAAATGCAAAATACACATATTACATTATATTAACACAAAATGAATACCTATTATTCGTTGTCGGCAAGCGTTTGTGTTTCGCCTTCTCCATCTTTCTGCGCCATAGTTCGTTCTGAAATGAAATGAAGGAAGGAAAAACAAAAGTTAAGTTCACAGCTCACTTGTATTGCACATTTTGAATCGAAATATACAAGACATAGCAATGAAAATCAGCACGAATATGCCTCCAGTCGCTGATGTCTTCTGGCTATTCAAATCAACACGACGACGAATTAATTTGCAAACTACGGATCATGCAACTGATGCAAGCCAACAGATTCTTGAAACCAACCACGACCATGTACCTGAACAAGGTTCTTCTAACTTTTTCCTAAACCTTCTTTGAGTGATCCTTTCTTCTTCGACAGTACCAAGTCTACGTTTCTTCCGAATTCAATCACCTTTTATTACCTCAAAGAACATTTCAACGGACAATGCACTTTATGCATTGATCACACCTAACAATAAGTTCTGTTTCAAACGTCGTGTTTCTCATGTGCCGAACGAATTGACAATCTCAATTGATTAACTATTGTTTTAAATGCGTTCGGTGTGACTCAAAATAGCTGTGGCTAGTGGAAATATTTCGTGTTATGACCAATTCGTTATCCTGAGACCTCCTGTTGCAACGCTACAAAACTCTACAAGAATAATAAATTCGTTGGAATATTTACCATAGTGTATGGTCTTGCCCGATGTCTAGCTTTTTTGTGATGAAGAGTGTTATGTTTTGTTCAATGACTTTTACTCACAATACAGGGTGTCCCAAAAAACCCCAAAACCATTGAAATCACCCATAACAATGTAATATAGAGTTTGAATGCCTATAAGCACTCTGTTGGGACTCACATAAGCAATTTTATGCGTGATGACATTAAAACTTGTTTGTACCCACAAATTATTTTTATTAACGATATTTACAATTTACAAATATGGATAACGATATTTAAATTTACAACTCACGCACGATGACCTAGGATCTTCTTATAATTTGAAACACAAATTCCCTTATAGGATCAAATTCCCTTATAGGAAATTCCCTTATAGGATCTTCTTATAATTTGAAACACAAAGTTGGGAATGATCAAGTAATGATTAAAGATAAACATGTTATTCGCTGCTCCTCTTTTCGTTGTTTGGGAGTAGAACTAGACGAAAAAATGAGCTGGGATAAGCATATAGATGCAACATGTAAAAAAGTTGCGTCCGGCATTGGAATTATTAAAAGAGTAAAACAATTTGTACCGTACGAAACTTTACAAAATTTGTATAATTCTCTCGTGCTCCCACATTTTGATTATTGCTCTCCTTTATGGGATAATTGTGGAAGCTTACTCATTGAAAAATTGCAAAAACTACAAAACAGGGCGGCAAGAATTATGACAGGGGCCAACTACGATGTTAGATCAACAGATTTGCTCCATGCTATGTCGTGGAAGAATCTGAATGATAGACATAAAATGAATAAATCTGTTTTGATGTTTAAAATACTAAACAACCACTCATCCCCTAACTTAAAACATAAATTTATTACCAGGGAGACAAATATGAGAAATTATAATCTTAGAAATGGCGACATAAATCTCTCACTTCCTAAACCAAAAACTGAATATTTAAAAAAGAGTTTTGGTTACAGTGGGGCTGCGCTATGGAATAGTCTACCAAAGCAAGCAAAGGAAACAAAATCTTTAGGTATCCTTAAAAATATGATAATATAATGTAACTACTGAGTCAGACATCGATTATTCCTAGTTTTTATCTTCTTTAATACTTACATTGCATGTTTATTCGTTTATATTATAATACTATTTTTAATACTTGTACATAGGTATTTTTAATGTAATTGTGTGACGCCGCTCACGAAAACCATCGACAGATGATGAGGGTAGCGTGGTTAAATAAAGTTTTATTGATTGATTGATTGATTGATTGATGACCTTCGAGGCATGTCCCCAGCAAATTGTAAATTTTTGTATTTAGCATTTTATAAGTTCCGTTAAATCCGCACGGGCAGGAATTCGCGAATAGGGCAACAGGTGATTTAAATAGTTGTTTTTTTCGGGGGGGTGGGGACACCCTTTACAGAGTGTATAAAAACTGCAACACTAAATCACAGAGGAAATAATAGATACAGAGATCTAACTAGTGTACCCACTTTTTCCGTGCGCATGCTCGGCAAGTGCCTGAGATGGAAAGTATAAACACTTGCCGAGCATGCGCGGTTGCCGAGCATTTTAGTTGCAATGCACTTGCCGAGCATGCGCAGTTGCTTACTTTTAGCTAACGCGTCAGTTCCATTCGAAAACCAACGAAAAACGTCCTGCCAATGTTAATTGATTTCTCTTAGAGAAACCTATAGAGTATAGACTATATGGACTACATACACATTTCTGGTTCGCATGTTTAGAAAATTTTAATCATTTTTAAATTCGGTCCCTCCCCAAATAAAATATATTCAACCGTCTCTGCCACTAGCTTGCACCGTCATTCATGCAGTGCGCCACCCAAAATTAGGATCTAATATAATATTCGATGGCTGACTCGCTCCAGCTTCGATTCTGGTTTTAAGAATTCACAAATTCTCTAAAGGGGTTATGCTGTACGCTGTGCGTAAACTTTCCTTAGGAATGAAAGGATATGAAAGGATACAAAGGAATAGGATACATGTAGAAGATAAGTAATAAAACTACTAAAAGGAAAATATCAACCACAGAGATACAGTAAGATATACCGTTTGTATATATTTACAAAAATACCATCATCGCATGGCTTATATATATATATATATATATATATATATATATATATATATTAATATATATATATATATATATATAAACGTTACTTTCTGAAATTAACAAATTAGAGCTTTTTTAGGCTTATCAAGTTATGGATAATCTTGGCTGTCATATTACAAATGTGTGAGACGTATAAGTTAGCCGAGCTAGGCTAACAAACTATATCTGGTCCACCTTTTTCCTATGTGTGCAAGTTTCAGGAAAATCGCTGAATGAAAGCACATTTAAGTGGGATATTAAAAGTATTAATTCCAAGGTAATCCTTTTAAATCGACACTACCGCAAACAAGTATTCATCTGTTTTCAACGTCGGCATATTCTTGTGTGTTAGTACAGGCAATTCACCTTAAATGAACACGATATTATATAACCGATAATATTATTCAGTAAACTTGATTCAAAAAATGCTGAAGAGGCCTTAGCGCCCGTAAAGTAATTAACAGTACCTGTGGGGACAGGACGCTAAGAATTGTTATTTGCCCTGAGCACCCGAAATGCTCTACAAGTCCCTCTATACAGTAGCTATGTCTAGTGCTAGAATGTACTGAGAGGGGTTGGCTTAGGGATGATCTGTGCTGCACTCTTGGACAATGTTAAGCCTGCTGTAAAATACCAAGCTGACGGCGACAGATAATCGGTAATCATTAAGTTAATCACTATTAGCAAAGAAAACTATATCAGGTTGGCCTGTCACTCTTGATCACAGAAGTACTACCGGTATGTATGAAAGAAGCATGAAAAGCCAGGTAATGAAGTGTATAATACTTAATACTTACCCATTATGTAGAAGGGCATCGTGGGAACGGATTAAAGTAAACAGTATGAGCTGGATCCCCACGTAAAGCGTCCACGATTGGCCTGCGGTTGTCAATCACAAAGTTCTTCAGACAACCAACAAAGTTTGATCCATGCCGACGGCGGGCACTTCCTGCGACGTACATCAATGCATTTGGGGCCCTGAGATCTAGTTTCGTGAATATACCCGGTGTTTCCACGATACCTGAACAAAGCTTCTTATTAGAAAGTGAAAAGCCATCCATAGGTCAACAAAGGGTTCTGAGTTGTACAGCTGGAAAGATTATCCTAAATTTTTTGCGGCGATATTTTTCACACTTTTCAGTATTTTGCAATCAGATTTTACAAAGTTTTTAAATTTGGGACGTTCTTTTCAGCTGTACTGATGGTCCATGGCGATGAAATATCATAAAATGATACAAATTGAAACGTTTATTCTTCAATCAGTAAATCATTGACGTAGGTTTCCACAATATTTTACCTGCAACTCGTCTATCAACGCTCACTTTTGCTCGTCGTCCGTTTCTTGTGATTTCTACACTATGCCATTGATTATCATTGAGTGGACCGGAAGGTACAGTGATCGTTCCTTTACCTGGAAACGAAACGAGATTTTTATTGATATGGTTAACGAGCGCACAGTTTTGTGTTTGCATTTACTAGACAAAATGCAACGCATTCGTTCACCACTGTTGAGGGAGGGGGGGCTCCCATCACCCTTAAGTAGAATATAGAGAGGCCAGGTATTGATTGATCCACAGGTATTGATGTTGTGGGATTATTTCAGTGTCAGAAATTAGTTTCGGCCAAAGTTTCAAGAAAAATGATATCGTAGTATTTGAAGGCTGAAGCAAAGTTACGAACTGTGGTGAGACTCAGACCCAATGGGATACAGTTATCAACTGTGGGAGTTCCCTTCTGTAATTGCACAAAAGTCCACAATAATTAATTCATACCTGTGCCAAGATCAACGCTAAATTTAAGTTGTCCTTGCACCAGCTTGACTCGGAGGAAATCTCGATGTCTGCCCATGGCGTATAGTAATAATGAATTAGATTGAGTGGTTCGGAATTGGAAACGAATATCATCTGTGTGTCGAATGAGTTTCTTTTGCGTCAAATCAACTCTGATATAGGAATTACCACGAGGACAGACACAATCGTCTAGAAAATTGTAAGCGTTTAACAAATGACATATCCGGAAGAGAAAAAATCGCGACCTGAATCAATATTTAAAACCACAAATCGTTTACGAATCAAATTAATGCAAAAATTTATTAAACACCTATATAATCAATAGATATACTAATCATCAAAGAACTGATCATTTGAACAAACTATTGATCATACTTTTATATGTTTCGTCATCCGTGAAATGATATCTGACAAGGAAGCCTTTGGTGGTAGTTCGTGCGTTTGTTATGAAATGAAAATTAACTTTTTCGCCATGAAACACACTTGCTTTTGGGCTGCCTTCACCACAGATAATTCTGGACTCAGTACTTGAAGAGATGTTTAGGTGATCCTTCGTACAGCGCACGTCATCTAAATATGACATGAAAATTGATTTTCGAGATCACTTTAACAAGATTTGTCTGGACAGTCCGAAAACCCCAATAATGAATGTAGCCTTGAAGGTGAAGCTTGCTTATTAGGTTTCAGTCTTTCAGACCTGTCAAAGTCATTCTTCAACTTCACAGACTCACAGTGATTATACATACATTGAATCTTCATTTCCACAAAATTGATATGAGTTTTCTTTCCAGCTGGGACAAGAAGTGTGAACATACAGTTAATGTTGTTTCTGTAGTTCAAAGGATAGTTGGGTGAACTAATGTAGCCACCGTTTTCGTTACCGATAAACTGACGACCAGGACACACATTCGTGCCTTGTATATCTATGAGAGAATAAAGAATTATTAGAACAGACAATTTTGATGTGGAACGTTGCTGTATACAGTTTACTACATATTGCCAACTTTATCAGTATCAAATTTTTATACAAGATTATCGCTTATTTCTTTTAACGAAGTTTCAAACTGCAGGAGAAAAATAAAATTAAAAACAAGTCTGTCAAGACAGGCTGTGTGAACAATATCTACCTATAGCAATACCTATACTCTGTATCAAACAATAAGCTATTGACTATAGTAGAGCAAACACACACACACGTGACACGACAGAGAATAATTTGGCACAGAGCTGTCGCAGGTTTGTCGTTTACTTGTTTTTAGGTCAGTAATGAGTTTGAACCTTACTTGTTATAGTTCTGTACGTTAATTGAAATCCAGTTGGTTTCAATTCACCGGCATCAGAAAAATCAGAGACAAAAGATATTTGTACTCGGTTACTTTTGGACGTGATATCCTCTGGTATCTTGGTTCCACAGTGCATAGTCTTATCATTCGTCACTAAATCTTTTATCTCCAAGTAGTCATAGCAGGAATTTTCATCTAAAAGAACGTGATACGTCACCAACTTAAACCTGCAAGTGCTTAAACTTGAACTACACCACCAAACTTGTATTTGAAAAGCTTTATCAGCCGGTCTATTATTCAGGGGATGGTTGTTCGAAAGGCGTTTAGCTTAAATAGTGAATAAGCCAGACTCTAATACATCTTTTCAATCACTGAGACTACATCTTATGCATTAAACATTTTTTCCCAGTGAAATCTAAACTATTTACATCGAAATATATCAGCTCAGTTGTTCAATGAATAGATCATTTTGTTTTCCATTTTGGACCGATCCACCGTTTAATCTAAACGCCTTTCGAACAACCGGCCCCAGAAAGACTAACTCATACGAATATCACTGAGCCGGTTCATAACTAACTTATACGGATATCACTAAAACACTGCAAAAAAATCATCATTTATTCTATGTTAATACAAAGCAGGGAACAGGAGTGTTCTAGAAGAACCGGACAGAGACTGTTGGACGCACGTGTAACGCACTGTGACCTATGGGAAGAGGGAGGGGTTTGGGGTGAGCCCCGTGAGAACTATTGCATTCGGCAAAGTTTAAACTATACGTATAGACCATATATAATTTCTAAACCATGTTTTGAATACGTTTATGATCATACCTTCATCTTGTTCAAGATCCATTGCTTTAAACGAGATAACAATGGATTTACCAGTCGGTACTGTTATCGTGAAGGAACAATCTTGGGATACTGGGTAATTCCTTGGGTAATTGGGGGATGACACGATACCAGTGGGGTTAGTGGTATCTCCGAGATTACATATGTTCGACCCTTGAATAGAAACACAGTCAATGAAATTGAATGAAGAAAACTGAAACTCTACTTAACGGAAAATTCCGGGCAAATCTAAGACTAAGGAAATTCTGTTGAATTATTACATATTATAGACATAGTTCTAGAATAGATCTAATTGAACTTGACGGATAAACTCATTGAACAAGGCGAAAAACGTGAACATATTCGACGATAAATGAACTGACAGAATTCATCTATATCTAGACTGACTTACCTTCAATCACGGTCAAAAGACTGAGCAAAAATAATGAAACTGTTATCATTTTAATCTGAAGTTTGTATATCTGCAATAGAGATAAAAACCATATCATAATCATCAATTTAGCACGGAAGTTTTAAAATTTAACTAATAAAAGGAAATCTAGCCCCCATATATGTATTATAACTGATGTAGGTGAATCAATCAAAAACCTTTATAGGCAAATTCGACTTTGAAGAGAAACCCGCGTAAGAAATCGCCTCGGTTAAGCTTGTTATCCACCACTTGCACTGAATGTAGTATTGAGGGGCAGCACAATTTCTTCAACTGAATTTATAGGCAACCTTTATTCGTAGCTTGTAAACACAATTCTCAGCATAGGGTGAGTAAGACTGACCTCCAAAATGGCACAAAAATATCATCCTAATTAGCACCACTGTGTGAAAGCAGGATCTGACAATTCCGGATTTATTCAAAGTTCTCAATCTCCCCCCAAAAGATCTTATATTAGGCATTTCCTGTTACAGAATAGGGCAATTATTCTAGACAAAGGGGGATTCCGTTAATCATGCAAAAATGATATGTTAAGAGTGCAATCACAATGTGAACAGACGACACTCAATAATTGAATATGAATAAAAAAACGAAGTTCCGTTCGCCTTTTCCTTCCTCTATATGCATGAAAATCCCTATCACTTTGAAAATCCCTAAGAATTTTTTGAGTTATTTCAGAGTTACTTCTATATCATAAAGCCTTTATAGTATGGACTATAGGTTATAACACTTAGTTATGGCGACATCAACGCTCTCACATTATATGAATTATGAAATACAATTTTTCTTCTATTGTATCAACCAAGTTATTTTGCCAGCATGCATAGACGTTACGTTAATATGTCTTCAGGCAACTAGTGATACATAAACTGAATATTATATTTTGACTCATTTCATTTGTAAAATTTATCAAGTCTCGCGTGAAATTGTTTTGATAAAAGAAGAGTGTTCAGCTATAAAATTGGTTCAACTGACCTTGACAACGACATGGAGGAGAATAAACATTCTCAGTTTTAACACTGAGATAATAATTACTTGACAAAGCGTCGTCATTTTAACGCCATGCCGAGTCGCTGTGCCGTGAAAAAAGTATTTTGACTCAGAATATACAGGAGATCTTGTGGTTGGAGCAATTTACAAAGGTTATACTTAAATGAAAATAGACTCGTAATTTCAATTACGTCTCATGTACTTAAAAATAGAAATACTTTTTATCGATTGCTTTTCTTGCCGCCAAACAAAAATGCGTATAGTTTGTCTTAAACTAAAACTGAAAGGACACTGCAGAAGCGAATTTTCTCCGTTTCTCGAAATTCCCATCACTGATAGACATAAAGTGTCATTAGTTCAACTGTTTGCAGTGGTATTGCCAGTCAAATAAGTGAACCTAATTAGGTCTATGATCAAATTTGCATGTGTAAATACTTCTTTAAATGAAGATTGTAAACAATTATATAAATGAATGACTTTTACGTTATAGGCCAAAAACCTTTTATATCACTATACACTATGAATATTTTATTCGCTCCTATAATAGAGATTTTTTACGAGCTGCACCGCTATCGTCACGGTGGGAAACGACTAACTTTTTCTGATTCCATGTCAGAATCAATTAATCTTTTTCACAAACACTATCCGATCCAAAGGATATTTATACAATCATGCACTACTTAATATTCTTCAATTCTTTAGGAATTTGCAATATAAATAAATTAACGAACAAATTTACCTCAATTCGAATTTGATGTTTTCCGAAGACTCTGCACAAACTGGAAATGATGAAAAATTTATAGAGTTACTTTGAACAGCACATAAAACGGATCACACTATCCGCGGGTTTGGCGAATATCGCAAATGACTTCTAAACTGACACAGTACAACTTCTAGGTACAATATATAAATGACTTTCAGTAGTTAGGCCTGGGGTCTTTTTGGTCTGAGGTCATTGTTTCAATATTGGTTTATTTTAGACACCCTAGTGGCCATGACAATAGCATCGATTCCAACTTACCTTCAGGATTCGCGTACCGAGCCAAATCGTCAAGACCTCACACGCAGGACAAAAAACACACACCACTCTTAAAAAGTTTGCCAGTGGGAAACTTAGAAATATGCGGAAAACAATCTTGTTGATCAGTTTGACGGCATGGGTAATGCTATCACTACAAATCAATTTTAACAATACTTTTCAGCACAAGTTTATAACTTTCATTTCAGAATCAATACCCAAATTTCTTTTTATTCCGGCTATTAAAATAAATTCATCAATTTACAAGAAGACTAAAATATTTAGCTGTTTAGAAAAGGGGAGACGTGTCATATTTAGACTGATCTTCTACTGTAGAAGCGGGGTACGAGGTTGAAGGAAGTGGTGGAAGGAATTTGTGGATAGAAAAAAAATCATATTTTTTTGGGAGCTATAGCACAGAATAGACATTATACCAGAAGTCTCACTCTTTGCATTTTGCGAATGTTTCGTGTCCGAAATTTTTCAGAAGCGCACGCGTCATTCTACGCAATTCTACGCCATCCTGGTGTGTGCAGGAATGTAAACAGGCGATTAAGAAAATTGATGTAAAGATTTGCTTTTAACCCAGGGTTAAGCTAACCGGCTTTTGATACAAAATGATGATATAATACAAAATATCAAAGGATATTTTTTATTATTTTATTTAGAACATTCCATACAGTATGTTTTCAAATATATGAGTGCGTGTGAATGTAATTTCACTTAAAACACAGACTCTTCTTTCGTCCTAAAACATAGAAAATGACCAAAAAGCGTTACCGTTTTCCGTGATCGTTGTCTTTGTGATTTCGTTCATAATATGGTGAACCATATACGGTACCTTTTAATTGCAACGACTGCAAAATCGAACATTGTCGATGTGGACAGATCCTGAGTTGGGCGTGGAACGGAACAACAACTGCAGATTAAAACAAATGGTGAAATGAAATATTTATTCACTTGGAATCTGAATGGCTTGATCACTTGGATGGTTCTACTGTGATATTGAAGAAATCTCAAAGGAATTCTAACTTAAGCTTGACTGAAATTTTATGCTAACACCAACCCTAATCCTTATCAAATATATTTTAAGAAGCATTTACGAGTTCCGTGCAGTCTCTCAATAGAAGAAAGATTTTAAGATATCCAGCAGATCTTATATACTTTATGTTTAAAAAAAATAAGAAAAATCACGAACGTGGTATTTCTGTGACGCTCTGAAGTTCACTCTCGCCTTCTTCCACGAGCCCCTAGAGTCAGACAATTGTAGCTTGGTCTCTTTTGGATAGGTCTTGCCATTGGTGACTTGATAAACCACCAGTGATCCACTAGATTAAAATTAAGTTAGAGCAAATTAGACACTATAGTATACCATACACTATAGCATACAAGAGTTATACAGACTGATAAGCAAATATCATAGTACCACAACATTACAGTGCATTATATACTATATACCAGTCTAAAATACGATGAATACCATTCATGCTTAAAGGCCATGTAACACGGTGCAATTATTCTTGCAACTTGCAATGCAATTCTTCTTTTGAGAGATGTAAATTTGGCAACCACCGAACTTTTGTCTTTATTACACTCCATGGCGTTTCTCACACTTACTAATTGAAGACTCTTCACTAATTTACATCTCTTAAAAGAAGAATTGCATTGCAAGTTGCAAGAAGAAAAATTGCACCGTGTACTCTGTGCCATATAGGACAGTACAAATACACAACTTCCAGTATAGGAACTCTACTTTTAAAATAAGCATGCAGTATTTCAGAGGGCGCATTCAGGTCAAGTCTAAGAATAACTTTACCTTCGAATTCTGTAATAGAATTCCATGCACATTGTGCCGTAATCTCCATTGTGAGAAACAAGTAACTCCAGTGGTACAATGAGATCAGCCTTACCACGCCCTGTGGACGATAGATAACCTGGCAAAACAAAGACACTTCAGAGTTCATGCAGGAGACTGTGGTTCAGGGGCAAGCTGAACGGCCGGGCCCCTACATGATGAAGTCTGACTTGAAATATATGACGATCGTACAGGCGTGTAGTCGAACACATACGTCAGTATAAGAAACGTACACGATCGTATATTGTAAATGGGTCTGAAAATAATGTTAAAACGCGGTAAAATAGGTGGCTTTCACAAGACAAAAAATGTGTTGGTAATCGAACAGTTGGTAGATTTTCCAAAATTTAATCTGGAAAATGGTTAGTTTTGGTTACCAAGGTCCTATACCCTAAGTATACTGTCCAAGTAACTGATACCACAGCTGGAATTTTGCAATTTGCACTATAGTAATTGCTATGTTATAGACTTGTATGCTTGGAATATTTAAAAGAACTAAACAGTGATTGACATTAGCTGGGATTCCACATATTTTACAACTTGTAAGGATTTACCGGAGCATATATAGTTTCAGGTATCAAGTGTATATAGTCCGGGCTTACCCCCGTTATCTTGTCCACCACTGGTTTGCAAAACAAAATCATGATCATCATCAAATGGAACATCGACAAAATCACACGAATCAGAGTCGAATGAACATCCGTCAAGTTTACTGGAAGCAGAACACGAGCCTACAGTATGGAAAAGAGATGTTCTTATCGCGAAACTTTGCTGAATTACCTCTAAAACACTCAAGAAAACATTCCTTGCAATATATAGAGCTTTGTGTTTCAAGCATGAAAGATGAACCCCGTTTAGTAGCACGGATCATCAACTCATAGGAAAATTAGTTAAGCTAAAGAGTTAGCGAGTATGTAAAATGGCTGCTGCCATTTTGGTGGTCACTTTGTTTTACTATTTAACAGCATTAATTTATCAGTTTACAATACGTTTCTTTCATATAACCTTTGTTATTTGAATATCTTTATTATTTAGATAAGGGATAAAACAACAAAGTTAAAACAGTTATTTTATCCGTGGTTTACTAAGTATAAACATAAGCATTAAATGATTAGGATCAAGTATAGATTAATGCATGACTTTAAGTGATTTTATTGATGCGACTGTAGCTATTTTTTTAAGCCAGTGTTTAACTCACCGCTTGGTTCTGTTGGGTTGGTTGAGACGGTGGGTTTAGTTGTACCTGGTTGAGTTCCTTTAAAAGATTATATCAGTTTATACCAATGAGACCTTTTTTAAATGATAACGATGCCATCTTGAGATATATCAATGTATTATGGACAATTAGTTAATCCAGTGAGACATTTGGGGGGAATGGATTTAATGGATGTTGAAAATAAGCGTCAGGATAAAGGTCAAATGCCGTATACACTTCTCGTGTACCAAACACTTGATAATCGATTGTAATGTCTCATTATCTGTTATATTTTATGCGATTATTTTCTGATCGTGTGCATGGTACCTTCTGGTTTTCTGATCCTGTAATACATCGCGATTCAGGATAGCATCGTTATCGACTTAAATTTTTATAGATTTACTCTATGAGATGGACTGGTTTAAGAAGATTGGTGGATACGACCTTCCCACCTCCTTCCCACAGGAGGTTACATATGTAGTTGTAGCAATCAACGAGGGACAGTTTAAAGTAATCTAGCCGGTTTACTTTTGAAGTTTCGTCACATATGAATTTAGGGAAAAACTTTAGAACTCTTTTACTATTGGTTTTAAATTTAGCGAAGAAATTTGTCACAGAGTCTAAACTGTTAGACACATGATTTTAGTTTGGTTATCATTCAGTATAGTTTAACCATCTATAATGTAGTAAGATTCTTATCCACGGTCCACGGAGACGTAACATCTACAAAACTAAACAGTAAACTACATTTTACCACACCTGACTGGGTGATCCAATCACGAAACTGACGAGAAAACTAAATTTAGGACTCTAATTTCACTACATCCAGTCATGGGTTCTACTAATTTTCTTTCTTGGAATCGAATCTGCATATATATTAAATATATATTACCACAAAACCCACAGGTCTTTTGACAGTTGTCTTTCATGTATTGCTGGAAGCGATGACCATCGGCACAATAACCAGAATTTTTCCAACGAACACAGTTACTTGACGACTGTTTATCAGTGCACGCTGAAAATATATACAAATGCCTACAAAACATTGCACCATTATCTGGAAATAGTTTTCAATTCTTCTTTTTGTTTTTAGACAATGTCAATGGTTTGTGAAGTCGTATCCATGCACATGACATAGCAAATGTTATTCATCCGACATACAATTCAACATTGGTCGAAATTCCGGATCATGCATGGTTGCACCATCGTCATCGATAATAAAATGTATAATTACATGCTAGAAAAAGACACGAATCATCAACAGTGTCTAACCATATGCATCCATCCAATCGTTGATTTCATGTCATTTAAATGATTTAACTTTTACGTTCGTTTACGTGCGTGCAAAAAACGCAACAGTGGAAACCAGCGCTAAGCCTAAGGTTCCTATACATTTACCAAAGCATGTCCGAAAAGCAGAAATTTTAAACATGTTTTAGTTTCTATCACATAGTGTTATAGTTAGAGGACATACCTGTTCCTGAGTCTGTGGGTTTCACTAAAACGAATATAAGAATATAACATAGAGTGAAAAAACCCAAAATACCGGCATAAAGTACCTGGTTTACACTTCACTCAATTTTAGCTGCGAATTTTCGTTTTTGATAGATGAAACGAGCAAAGAACCTCCTCAGAAATCAAACCTCATAATCAGCATAATGATTAGATATTCAAACAGCTTGAATTCAAAAGGGGTACTTTTTTTAGACTCTCTGAATAACTAACTTATACACTTGTTCACATCCATCAAAAGAAAATTGCTACCTAAAATTGTCGCTGTAAACAGGCCTTTAGCGTTGTATTCACCTGGGAATCCAGTCATGAAGAAGAGTATGAACTATTTAATTATCACCATTAGGAACCATGTTCATGTAATCACAAGCTTTTGGAAAACTCCATACCTACTGTACAATAACCACATTTCTTTGGGCAGTTTGTCTTCATGTAATCCTTATACGTCGTACAGTAACTGTCAGGCCATTGAGAACAGTAACTCAGTTTGTCTGCACATAACTGTCCTATATATTGGAACATCAAAAATTCTTCATTACTCCCAAATCCCAACACATTATCATACCCGAGATTCGTCACTATGGTTATGGGACAACAAACGAAAATCTCAATAATTTAAAAATAAAGCAATTCTTAAAGAGTCGATGACCCCGTCGTGGTTTTAATTCGCGGGTCACGGGCATTATTCGAGGGTCGTGGGCACTATAATATTCACTGCACATTTCGTATTCCTAAATTAAGTCGAGAAGACTATAGAAAAAAATTCGAAGCGAAATACTCAAAGATTCAGCTTTCATTCTGAATAAATCGCGTAACTTTATGTAAATTTTTGGCCTAAAGTGATCTACCAAGCGCCGGTGATCTTATCTTAAATTCTCTGTTTCATTTCAATGACGTCGTCATGCATAGAGCGCCCTACACGTTTTTTCGTCGACTGCACGTATTCAGTCTTTTGCTTCCGCATCTCACATAATTCCGGATCTGCGCCTGGTCCTAACCTAAAATGTAGAACAAAAAAAACCTGCCCGAAATAGATTTATTACCAGTATTGAAAAGCTGTCATGAATTGGGGAAAAACCTAAGGAAATTAAATCTAGTTAGGCCCAATTTCTGCAGAAAATCTCTAAAACTTCTCGTATGTAAGCTCCGCGGGCAACCACGTGAAATAAATAAAGTTCGAGCACTCGAGATAAACAAACGAATTAGATATTGAGGATTCGTAATCAAATCCAGATGAGGTTAATGTGATCACTGAATGTCAACAGGATTTGTTTAAATTTAAGACATCGAGAGGGGTTTTAAAAACGGTATTAGTTCAAACACATAGGACAGTGTTATATAAACTGCGTCTGAATATTCTTGTATGTTTGCATGGTGACATCAATAAGTAATTTAGCTTGTAGGTACACCACGTAAGTATTTAATACTGCAAAGCTTTCGGTCCGTTAACCCAGGCCTTCATTGAATTGAATTGCACTGATGAAGGCCCGGGTTAACGGACCGAAAGCTTTGCAGTATTAAATACTTACGTGGTGTATCTACAAGCTAAATTACAAACTGCGTCTTGCTGACAATCTGACCTCTGGGGCCACTTGTTTCCTTCTAAACGGACTGGTCCTTGCTGGAATATACTAGAATAACTTTGGTATCGCCGGAAATATGGCACACTAAAGATTTTTCAATTCTAAATTAATTATTATGGCAAATGAGAAATGAATCTTGTATTGGACAAGCAATTATAGAACAAGTCATTCAACACCATTAACAGATTGTGAAAACGTTTTCTCTCTAGTCACTCAAGTTCATTCGCGGTTTATCTTTTAAAATGACCAACGTTACGCAAATTTAAGCCTATTTGGTTTGTGTCTGAACAGTGTATTGCATAAAGAAGTTCTCGAAGAACCAGATAAGATCCTTTATGATGAACTCAGTAGACAACAAACAATATTATTTTACTTACAAAAACTCCAAACAAAGTTGAGGGTTTTTCTTCAAAACATATTGCAGACGCTTTAAAACTCTTCAGTTTTGATAATAATAGTATACGAACACAAACCCCCGTATCAAACCGCGTGGACTTTTTGTAAATGATACCAAACTAACCATATACACCATAATACGAAATCTATCTTACTTAAAATACAATAGAGTGGACACTCCGTATAACATAAACATTTTTAATTTTACATTTCACTGTCGTGTAGTTATCATAATTTCTAATGAAGACTGTGCGAGAGTCAAATATGTAGAATTTAAATGATTACGATCTACACATATAGTGTCCATTATGTTTTATAAAATTTCCTAAGTGGTACCGTAACTTCATCTTACCAACTGTTGTGCTTATACCAAAGCAGAACACCACCAAAGTACACAAGATTTTCAGGTCCATATTACACGTCTTGACACAGAGAAGAGAATTTATTCAATGAAGGAAGTGATTTAACCGGGCGACTTTGTGACTCACTGTGTTAGTAAATACATTCAGCTGTTGTGATCGATTTTCAAGTCCGCAAAATCAGTTGTATAGGATGACAGGAAACGGGGCTATCCCGCTGTGTTGACACTTGAGGCAGATTGTTTGTCGATTACTGTGTGCTATCTGAGTTGTCTTGAATACAGTGTTATTTCAGTGGGAGAGTCCAGTGGCCTTGTGTAGGTTCAGTTGCGTTTAAAGAATTAATATTGATAAAGTAAAAGGTGATTAAATACGGCTGCGTCTGTGCGAAGCGCGGTCACAAAAGAACAGAAAAAGCGTAGTTTATACAACTGGTGCTTAGGAAAGCCTGATAATATACGTATTACTTCGCATGACAAAAATATGAACACTCAGTTTGAAACTACAATGATTAATATCAGTCATGAATAGTGGAAGTTTTGGAGCTGGAAAATTTTTTAACAACAGGCTTAATATTTCAGATTTGCTTCCTATTTGTAAATCAGTCGCCCGGGTAAATGCATCATTGAAATTATCGCATTCCCATTTTCATATTTTTTGTAATCGCTGTCATCAAGTCGATTTATGCGACGTCTTTCATCGTTCGAAATTTTAAAATCTGACAAGTGGGCCTGGGAAAGAATTGCATGACGACATCGCATAAAGATTCTTAATCACAAGATGACGTCAAACGTGGAAAAACTGGCATTATTAGCGAGACATTCAAAATTCGTGGGAAAAGTCTCACCACCACAATGAATTGAACCATCTGCGGAGATATGCAATATTAAAAATATTTCGCTGAGGAATGGCCAAGGACATAATTAAAATATTGCAATTTCCTCCAACGACAAAGTTTAAATACTTCAACTGGATATAATTAGACCAGAGACTTAAACTCCGGTTCCCAATCCCAATTAGTTCGATTGTGCAATTGGCAGAACAGCGGTCTAAGAACCTGTGCTGATTATGCCTACTTATATGACTATATTGATTGGTAAAGTAACCCGAAGGCAAAAAAATAATTAATTTATCCATATATATATATCAGGCCGGTGGTCACATCTTTTGTCTTTAATTGTTATAGCAACCTTGATCCTCAGGAAGTATCTAATATAAAGACTACTTTTATACTTACAGATAAAATATTGTATAGTATAATTTAAAAGGAGTATTAAATAGATTTTACCATTGTTTCCAACAAAGCCTTCATTGACTTCAACTTCTCGCAAACTTCGGGCGGCAAATGAAGATTTCGTGAGTGTATTTCTTGAAGGGTTATTAAATGTTTCGATAATTCTTCCAACGTCGATGTTAATGTTTCTTCGTCCTGACGTATCACACAATATAGTATAAGGAATTGTCAGCTTGAGGCTCCCACCCCCCCTCTTGCCTTCCATGACAGAATAACCATCAAATCAAATTAAAATGAATCAAAAATTTTCATTAATTATACGAAAAAAAAATAAATTATCAACCCTGCTTTTCTCAGTAATTTTCCCATTAACACTCAAAAAACTAAAAGAAGTTCTCCCCTTCTTTTATTTTTAACGTCTAGAGAAAGGTTTATTCAAATACTCCTACCATAAAGCTCAATGGTCGTCGAATAAGCAACAGAAACCTATCAAATATTGTTTTATGGGATTACGTACCTCTTTTGAAGTTTGAAGACTTTCAACCTTGGTTCGTTTAGCATCACTCTGTTAAAAATTACATTACAAATTAACGGACAATCACAATAAAGTTAAACCAAACAGGTGCTAAAACTCACTTCATCATCTGTAACTTCGCGTTTTCGTTTTTCCAACTCTTTATTATCAGAGTTTGACGGCCATATTTCTGGACTTGAACAATTTGCCACAACTTTTATATTCTGTTCGGTATCTCCGATCTAAATAACCATACCATCAATATATATATTAATATATATATATATATATATATATATATATATATATATATATATATATATATATATTGTCAGAGGAATATATATATATGCCACCACACCACACCACACCACACCATACCATACCATACCATACCATACCATTAAAACACCATACCATACCATACCATACCATACCATACCATACCATACCATACCATATCATACATAACCAATGCACGTCAAACCCTACCACTCCACACTAAACATATCATATACCAACCTTATAGCATAAAACCTATGTACCTTGGCCACTGGTCCTAAAGGCGTGGTTTGCTCTTTAAGTTTTTGAACTATCTAAAATTGAGAAAAAATTAAGCAAACAATGATTATCTTTTACCATCCCTAATTATCCTTAGTACACGAGTAATATAAATATGCTTTACCATCGCATCGAGATCGTCGGCCTCACATCTGCTATACGGAATCTGATAAATACAAAAAAAAAAGAAAAAAAAAGTCTAATCACAGGATTTTCAATTGCATTTGTCATATTTTAATTTTAAATACTCACGCTACAGATAAACTTTTGAAAATCTTCTTTCATTTCATCTGGAACACATTCTTCCAAGACAGGCGTGTAAGGAGTAACCTTGAATTCAGAGTATATTTCATGAAATAAGACTAATTTCGTTTACTTCATTTCAATATAAGACGAAATTTCTTGACAAACGTACATGGTTTTCTATGGCGTACCTCGGCAAATCGTTTTAACGCTGTGAAAGCTTCATTGTGCACTAACCACAAATTTGAAGAGATCAGTGCACGGAAAATCTTTGCAATTGAAGTTGACTCATTCTGAAACATTGAAATATCATATTACGAACGAAACTGGGAACTGAATTGCCTGCGATATCAAGTCACTAAAATCTTTGAGGAAACAAACACTTCATTTATTGAATTGAATACATGACTGATACCTTTTTAATAACACATTGATATGAAGTTAATGTGCTATGATAATGGGAATGAGAGATTTCCTGTAGCTACTAATCGTACTCTAATCATGATAGGAGTGATTTTAAGCAAACTAGATTGTTCCAGAAGCTTACCTGCCCAATTGCGAAGGTAAGTTTCCCACATTCAGCCATCAGACGTGCAAAATATACGTTCAAATAGTCATCTTTATGAAGGTTAACAGCTTTCGCAAGGTTGTGTAGGACCTCAATTTAGGAGAAGGACGAAGTATCAATATTTGTACGTGAAGCACACAATGAAATGTTGCTTATTCTTTGTAAATATCGTGAAAATTACCTTGGTAAAATCTTGTCCACTTATGAGAGGCACGACTGAAATAAAAATATCAACGAAGCTCGTCCAACAAAAATCTGAGATCTAAAAAGGATAACACGTTGAATAGCTGACATATATACACAGTGTAATGAAAGACAGTTACATTGCATTACCTGTTTGGGTGTATTTATAAAAGCATCAAATAGACAAATTATGATAATAATCAAGTCAGATTTCAGATCTTCTGAGAAGCAATCAAAGACAATCGGGTGAGTTAATACGTTTTGTAGACAATTCAGTGTCTTTTCCTGTGAGAAAAAGAAAACAGCAAGGTGAGAAGAGGGAAAATTTTTCGGAATGTTTAAGAGAGTTAGAGCAATATAGTCTTTTGTTGATCAACCTATTATTATGTGTTGACGTTCAGCTGTTCTGTACCTACCAGTTCAGGTTGCGAATTTTTCTTCTTTAACCATTCTTGGAAAAAGGAAATTGAGACGTGCACTGTTGCTTGGGTCACCTGCAAAACAGAGAATTTTAAAAATCCAACGAGAGACATTGCGCCGTTTCAGGGAGCGCGGTGAATAACCATGTTTTATTATTCACAGTTTACACTAGTCATAATAAATCTAAGCAACTGTAAAACCACGAGCTTCTATGTGGAAAATGTTAACCACGCCTTTAAAAAGCCAAGTATGCAGTATAAAGTCGGTCCATACAGAAAGAGCTGGAGTAAACTTCATTGATTACCTGGGTTCGTACAGACTCGATCATTTTGTGAACAGGAACAACAGACCAGATTTCTAAGTTGTCAAAACAGTCAGGGGGGTATTCATAAACAAGCAACTCCTGGAAATATGAAGTACGTATTGATAATCAAATTTCAATCCTTGAAGGAGCCATACGACTTTAAAAATGCATATATAGGGGAACATTATAACGTGTATCATAACTGCATGTTTGCATGTGTCTATTGTTTACCTGGTGCTCCTGTGCCACTAGAGGCAAGAGTCTGCGTACCAAAGTACACATTTTGTTCTTCTGTTTATTACATGTCCATGAAACAGAACTTAGCTGCAAATGAAAAAGAATAAAATAAATACAACACTGATATATTTCCGAGAATAAAATGAACGAACTTCACGAAAATCATTTTATTTAAAAACCTACGAATGGTAACTATATGACCCGCGATTGCTACAAGACAAGGGATCGACGCCTTGTGCGAGAGATCATGTGCGAAATGAAACATATTTAGCTTACCCAATGAAGAAAAAGTTTCACATGATTATAACATAGATCGGCAGTCATCCATCTATAAAAACCATCCATTCATACTTTAGCTACGTTTTAAATGGACATGGAAAATCATTTCCTTTCATGCACTACTAGGCTATCCTACTATTTCATAGAGGATTTTTATTCATCCTATATATCATTTTCATTTCAAAACGGGAAATGTGTGAAGTGAATATTGTGAAGATGCTACTCTGAGTCACAAACCGGGTAAGCTGAAAAATTAGCTTGACCACGGTGGGAATCGAACCCGCGACCTTTGGTTTCCAACAGCTACTATAGGTCAAGACGGTTCGAGTAATAATATTTCGGAATTCAATCTAGTCCCTTCTATATCTTAAAGTGATAGTAATAGTGCGTCTTAAAGTGACAGTAATAGTGCATGTGTTAGAAATATAAAACAATAGAAACTCCGTGAAAAGTAAACATTTTGGAAAATATAATTCTCCACGTTTCGACTAAAATATAGTCATCATGAGAAAAAGAGTGACGATGATATTACATACTGTAATTATTCGAATAAACGCCGCGGCGTTTATTAAATTTTTAGCAATTAAGATGCGGCGTTTATTCGAGGGCGGCGTTTATTCAAGGGAGGCGTTTATTACAAACTCTTAAAAACTCTGAATTTCAGTGTGTAATTTAAACACCAATTTAACCAATACAATCAATACCCAAAAAAACTAAGTAAAAAAGTTATGTGTCTTTTCTATTTATATAATTATATACGAAAATTGAACTGTGGTTATAAATAAATGCTTCGAATAAACGCCGCAATGACGAAAAGGTTGCGGCGTTTATTTGAGGGCGGCGTTTAATGATATTTTTGCTTGTCCCTGCGGCGTTAATTCGAGGGCGGCGTTTATTCGAGGGAGGCGTTTATTCGAGTAATTACGGTATGTACAAGTACTAATGGTTCTGGGGGTCTTAATTTCGAGTGGAATTATACACACTTCAAATTCAAGCCAGGAACAGTTGAAGGAAAAATGAGTCAACTATCGGTCCTCCGGCAGGAATCAAACCTACGCTTTTGCCATGCCGGTGCAATGCTCTTGCCACTGAGCTTCATAGGTAGCTGATTAGTATACCATTGGAATTTGCCTACATCGAGTGAAGTGCCAAAAATCATAATATGTACAAGTATATATAGTGAAGTAATTAGATATGTTGAGTTAAATATTAATAAATCTTTAGAAGCTTTTGATGACTATATTTTAGTTGAAACGTACAAAATTATATTTTTCAAAATGTTTACTTTTTACGGAGTTTCTATTTTGAGTATTTTATTAAAATATGTGGTAGAAATGTGTGCTTATATACCTCGATATAAAACACCACACATCTGTGGCAATGGAGGATCTGATTGTACTATGATGAAGAACACTTCTTAAAAGAATATTTTCCTAAACATATATTTTTACCCATTTGAGCCAATTCGTACATTATTATTATATCGTCAAAAGGAAACATTTGTTGTACAATATTATCACACTCACGATAATATGGAAATGTTGAGATGAGATTGCTGAGATCGAGGCTGACAAACGTGATACAACGTATTCGTACAAGCTCACCATTCTTTATAAGAAATAATAAAATTCAAGTGAAACACTGCAAGAAATTATAAGCTGTAGTAAGCAAAAAAAACAAACAAACTTTACCTTTGAGCTTTACCGTTACACATCATCCCTGGAAGCAGAACTGGAAGAGACATTTCAACGAAACCTAAAAGAATTACGAGTGTATAAATTTATTTTAAAAAAATGGTGCAAACAATTGCTTTTACGAAATAAAACACTAAAAAGCTGATTTGCACGAGCAATCGAGCATTCGCATCAAAATGGGAGAATTCTTCTAACTTACATGCATCGCAACTGTTTAACAAGGCTTCAAAGATAGAAATACGTGGTTCTTCCTAAAGAAGGTTATAATCTTTTAGCGTTACTGTGACATGGGATAATTTACATTCACATCAACGACACAACAACGGTTGTTAAATAAACAAGCATATACATTAAAATATACAACGCCACAAGAGGCCACACATCTCACAGGCTACAAAAGATAAATATGATAATGCTATACCTCAGTGTAATTTGTTGGTTTTATCCAATACGAAGACACCTCCTCTGCAAGAGCATATCATTTTTTTGAGATATAACTCTCTATATAGGTTTCTATAGCTGAAGGAATGATTAATCAATCAATATATATATTACCTGGAACAAGGGGCAGTAAAACTGCGACGTTTGCTAAAGTGTAACAGCGTGGAAAGTTGTCCTTTGAAACAATTTCTGCAAGAGTTGAAATCGTCACAACTTGCAGTGAGAAAAATATATAATAAATATAAAATTTTGCAAATACACGTTTAACCTTGGTGAACCTTGGTTAATAAATCTGCGAATTTCTTGTTTAACACCACGACCTTAAGAAACGACTCAATCTAAATGTAAGAGAGGAGTTTTTATGAAGCACCAAGGGCACAAAAAATTAAAGTGCCTTAAAGTAGTATTAACCTATAAATAAATTACAGGCACAGTACTATTAACATCAACCTCACATCCAGGTTAGTCCACAGATGAAAGACCCTGGGTACTTTTAAATGTTGTAAACGTTGATAGTGTAGGTTAGGAGTACAAGGGTACCGAAATAGAATTTAAGATTAAACTAGGAGCCCGGAACAAAGCGAAAAATGCGACTTAGATCGTCTGGCAAAAATCTAGTCTGGCATCCTGTAGCAGTTCTCTCATCAGGAAGAATAAAGGAAGTAGGTGAAAATTAACGAATAACATTTAGGCAGCGCGAAAAAATTGCAGAGACCAGGCATGCATTTTGGTCTCCCCGTATATCATACGCTTCTCTACAATTCTTTATTCTCCTGACCAATCATCGACATTGAGTTCATATCTTATTACATGTGCATGTGTGGTGTTACAAACTAGAAATAAATATAAACCTTACCACGATCATGAGAGAGGTTCTGGTATCTTCCGAAGATAGAGTCCTTGACGACTGCCTGCCCGAAAATGAAGATGGCACACAAGATGATCATAGAGCATCATGTAGTAGTTTGAAGGGAATACAGTTTGATATGCAAGACTGTAATGACCATTGATGACTGTTCTGTTTCCTGGAAATGTTTCTTTCACACTCACTTTATTACTAAAAATATCAGCTCAATGATATCCTTGAATGCGGTTGCCAGAAGAAAATCTTGAAAACTCTGCAGCAGAAATTAAACAAAAAACCCAACTGTATTCCTAATATGTGGTTAAAATATAAAAAAAAATAAGAAAAAAAATCTTCCAAGAGTGGTTTGGGAGTCCACTTTTAAGCCGAAGGGCACTGTTTAAAGGCCAACACAGACCGGACGCGATGCGGCAACGCGACGCGAATTTTGAGTTTTCAGAAGCATATAAATTAAATTCCGGAAGTAAAATTTGGAAACTATGGACGCTAGAGCAGTCAAAATGTTTTATTGTTATGCAATATACAAGAATATTATAATAGTTTAAAATTTATTTGATTTTGAAAAATTAAACAACGTTGAAAATTCGCGCCGCGTTGCCAATTCGCGTCCGGTCTGTGTCGACCTTAAGAACTGCATTGTCGCACAGTTACCTGGACAAAATTTATTAACAGCTTGAACAAAAACTTCAAAATCTTCAAAAACTTCAAAGACGATGATTCATTCTGAAATAGGGAAAAAATAAACACGCATTTGGTTCTCTAGGTATTTTATATGCATTTATCACATATTATCTGAAAGATTTCACTATATAGTAATGCACAACACATATGTTTATTCCCCCATACTCACTGTCAAGTCTGCTTCTGCATTATCTTTACTGTCCGTAAGATTTTCAAAACTTTGCAGTCTTACTTTAATTGTAGCACACATCTGAGACACAAATCTATCGCTCTAAAGAAATGATTTCATGTATTGTCGTTGATCCTTCGTCGTTTTCATTGACCTAGTCATGTCACCTCTTACGTCTTTTTATGCAATACCTGAAGATGGTTTTTGATCACTTCTTTGTTTTTCATAACTAACCTGATGAAAGTTGATAAACAGTTTTTTAGAAATTTATTATTTGCGGAAGAGGGGAAAAGAAGCTGTATTTATGTGAAATTAAAACGATGACCGCTCGCTGATCACGATTTTCGTCATATTTCTTTATTAAAGGTTTTTCTTTATTAAACTCCTGCAGAGGTTTAAACCATCAGGCTGAGAAAGGTGCATATACCTCTGTTAGGCTGTGAAGTACTATTTTCGAAAAAATGTGGAGAAACGTATTCTGCTTGCGACTATAAAAGTTCGTGAAAATTGCCTGAGCTAGCTCACTTGGCACACCCTGCTCCATGATATACACTCCATCTCATCAGATCAAGCTAAGCTGTCTAACAAAAGCCAATTTTACCACGACCAAAGCTTCAAAAATACTAGAAAATTTCGCACTTTTCTCTGATTCGTTAGGCGAGCAGTGAGTTCGAATGATAATCATAGCGATGTTAGAAAGACAAGAGCTAACCAATGCGACTGTGACAGTGCACTACAACAGCAGCCCCCTCCCATGCAGAGTAAAGATCGATCTCGACAGGTAAATGTATTATACTGTACCTCATTAATGATTTCCACATACCAAGCGTCATGTTTCCGTCAAATCGTTCAGTGATCTCACAAATATCCAGAAGATTGTCACATACTGGTTGGATTGTAATAATAATACTTGTAAATCGTGCGATTATAGATTTAAAAGTATATTTACAAGTTATTGTGACCAACATCAGTTTGAGAAAAAAACAGACAAACTGAGAAGTTACCTGAAATAATGTTCTGAAGATCTTTTTCTGAGCTGCTGGTATTCAGTGCTTCTATTTTAACACATATCAGATCGAGAAGAAGCTGTTAAAAAGATATTTGATAATTATCGACAAGATTCATAAAATTTGAGGAAAAAACTGCGATCATCAACAAATCTCCTGACATGCATGGCTGATATTTTCCCATGCAGTCGACTAACGAAAAATTCTTCAAAGAAAACGAAGTTCGGAATTTAACCTTCACCACTGCTTACTGCTAAATTCCGTTAAACTACTGTATTATGCGAACGATTAAAATGACAGACATGCCACATTATAATTTATTGGTCTATGTTCCTATTAATCATATGTACTGTAATCGTAAAGTAATACTGGAAGTCAAATGAAATCTTAATATATCACGCATGCAAGCGGCCGAAAACAAATGATGTGTTAAAATAAGATCTTGTAACATTGAAACATTGAAACAAAATATCGAAGTGTCGACTTCTTCACTCCTCATCAGAATTAAAACAGCACGAGTTTTAGAGTTGTGACCAGATATTACCAACTTACTAATCTGATCAACTTCCAGTTTCTATTTTAGTTATTAGCTATAGGTCATAAGCTCTAATTTTTCAGGAAAACAAGAATATAACACACCCGACTTTATTCCGTTTGACTGCAAAATAACAAGCGTTCGCAACGCATGTTGGGTCGTTTAGAATATGACGTTTGAATTTTGAAATGTCACACGGTTTTGGCGCGCATCTTGCATGTAAACATATTCGAAACGCTTGCGGTATTTTAAAATATAGAAAGTCAATACGAAAGGGTGATGCTACAGTCATGGGAAAGCACTTTTTTAACACAAGCACTTTCTTTAAAGCACTTTCTTTCAACAACACTGCAACTATGTCAAAGGACAAATGGAACGCTCCGCCCAAAACAGTGCATGTGGCATTTCAAATGTCATCTATTAAACGACCCAACATGCGTTGCGAACGCTTGTTGTTTTCCAATCAAACGGAATCCGCTGTATTTACCTTTTGCAACTCAAAGGACTTTCTGAAAAGTTGTGACAGATCCTCAGAAAAATGACTAAACAACTTTCCATAAGAGGCCTCGCTTTTCTACAAGCAATAGAAAGTTATGTTACATAATGTTGACAAAATTTAATAAAAAGTTGGATCTGCATGTACTGAAATACTCTATACCAGATAGCTCCATCAAGTCAATGCTATTCTCTGCAGAATACTTTTATTAGCAAAGTGTTGGTAAATATTTAAGACAGATTACAAAACTATTGACTAGGTATATATATAGTAAGGAAGACGGACAGTTTTGTGTAAAAATTTCAAAACTCATCGTGTTTGTCTCATGCTGAATATCTACTTATCCACTGGCAAACTTTGGTCTCAGTCGGTACAATGACGATCGACCAGTGGGTTTTATCAAGAAATCTACCGAATATTAATTTCTTTCCGCATAGATAAAGATTTAAATCTTTTTATTATATAATATGCAGTGTTTTATTGACGAATCCGCCATTCTGAAAAGCGATAATAACATATGTCCGATTATTATTCACGATAATAACACATGTGCGATTATCGTGTTTAATCCACCGATCTGGAATCAGGAAGGGGGATAAAAAACTTTTCAAAAAAACCCAGTTTTTTATTATATAATATCATTCTCAACACTCGAAATAAATTCCATATTTCCGCGCATTCATGCATTATTCTCTATATTAAATTTTTTGTGTAGAAATTTAAGATCCCAGAAAATTTAGAAATTCATATTTAAAAATTTTCCAAAATATCTTATTGTGTTGATTGACGTCAATAACACTGTATTTCATTAACGTCTTAAAAGGTAAAAAATGTAATACTCCTGCTCTGAAATAAATATGCCCTTATTAATATACAATTACATTTAATGAAATCGTAAATATTAAAACATAATGCCAGTAGATATTTGACGCAAGAAGGAATATACAATATACAATATAAAATGACCATTTGGTGATAGATTTTTGATAAATACTTTGACGTTTTATCACCATAATGAAATATGACGGGACCAGTTTATAAAGTCTCAAATGAAGAAGTATGTTAAAGGAGGTTCCATGCGGAACCACACTTCATTTCAGCCGATAGGGGGCTGATTTTCTAATTTTCGTTTTATGAATATTTAATAGTGCAATTTCATACACTTCCCAAGTGTCATTCCAGTTTTCGCAGCACATAATCTGATACGACAAACGTCGGGGAAAATTGGAAAATGGGACTTGGAAGTTATCAATGGCGGGCATTATTGACGTTCAAAATTATCAGCTTGTATCTTGCAGTATTTTGCTTCGCAAAAACGTCAAACAAAAACGGTAAGTATTTGAAATCTTAGGACTCAACGATGAAATGTCTCTACATAAAACCGGTAGGTTTTATACCTTCAGTTGTATAAATTTCTATATTCACCTTGAAGTTAAGGAAATACTTGGGTCTATAATGAGTTATAGCATTGTATATATAACACGTACCAAAAAGGTATGATTGTTTTTTCATGGTGAAGGGTGGTTTTGGGAAGGAAAAGCTATAGTTCTGGAATAACTTCATGAATTCTTGCTCAATCTGGTTTTATATTTTTCTGGCACTTTTGAAGAGGGGTTTATTGCAAGGGGAGGAGATATTTATATTACAAAAAATTGCACAATGATATTTTTCATAGCTTTTGTGTTACTTTGGGGAGGGGCTTAGCTCCTATCTTATTTATTTAATTATATATATCACACTTTAATTTCAATTCTGAAAGAAACATTTATTAAAGCCTAAATGAAGATCTCTATGCTAACCCAAAATTATTATATATTTCCACAGTATACAAGAACATAATATGAAGATGTTTGTGTTTGGGTTTCCATGTGATTAGTGCATGTCAATGTCTTATCTGGTCTAAGGCCCGTTTAAAGTGCGATTTTCTTCTTTTGATAGATGTGAACGAGTGAATTAGTTACTGATGTTCAAATAGGAACTCGTACACGTCAGAGCATTCGTAACTTATCACTCGTTCATATCTATCAAAAGAGAAAAATCGCACGTGTAAACGGACCCCAACTTTTATTGTTATCCGCATATAGTATACAGGGTCATAAGCGTACAGGCCCAAACTCGTGTGAGCGGGGAAATAGACATGCTTGCATTTAGATCTGAAAACACCCTCATTTTTACAACAACTACGTATGAAAACAAGATTTTATTCGCATTAGAACTCGTTATTCTATTATGCCCGAATCTGCACTGCAGAAGATTTTTGCCCAAATATTATTGTGGAGAGAGGATCGAGGCTGTCCCCTTTGTCCCCCCACCTCTTGTACGCCTATCTACAAAGTGACTCAAAATGACTACGAAACTTGGATATGAAATGATTATATATTACCCTACTTTCAAATAAGGTCCGCTCGAAATGGAAGGAGATATTATCCTAGGCGGATTGTTTCCAATTCATCTAGCGAGTGAGGAAAATTGGAACGCGTGCGAAGGAATAAATGATGTCTACGGTTATCATTTCACGGAAGGAATGTTGTTTGCCATTGAACAAGTAAATTCTGATCCCAACCTGCTACAAAACATCACCCTAGGAGCTCATATTCACGACACGTGTGGAAGTGGAACAGTCGCAGCCAATGCAGCAAAAGAGTTCATCAAAATGACTTTGGTCAAAGACAGTCCGTCGCAGCTAGCAGGAGTGATTGGAGCCTCGTATAGTGGGGTATCCGAGGTAGTTGCTAACTTCCTACGGGTTTTTGAAATCCCGCAAATCAGTTATGATTCCACAAGCAAAAGTTTAAGTAATAAGGATATTTATAGCTATTTCTTCAGAACTGTTTCCCCAGATTCCTTCCAAGCACAAGCGATTGTGGATATTTGCAAGGAATTTGGATGGAATTATGTTTCAACTATCAACACACATGGAGCTTACGGGACCAAAGGAATTGAAGAGTTTTGGAAGGCAGCAGAAAGCAGAGGTTTGTGTGATTTTGTATAACATTCAATTCGCGATGAGTTGTAAGCAAGTCGTCTGTGATCATGTTTAGTAAGAGTGAGACTGGCCCAGTGAACGGCAATAAAACCTGGAACGCTAACTTAGCCGCCATCTTTGAAGCCAAATATGAAGGTAGTATTTCTCAGTTTTTGAACGTTTGAGACAGACGTAGAGAGTAATTAACTAGGAATTGTCTAGAACTATGTAGAATATAATCATTGGTAATTTTTATAAGAATTGAACGAGTACCAGAGTCAAACTCCTGCTTCAATTTTTGGTTTCAGCCAAGTTTTACGCTGAACTAAAGGAGTTAGCTTCCAGTTGATATTCCAGTTCACTGGACTGGACCCGCATGCGTTTCCAATGCTAATGGCGGCCATTCTTATATGTCCAGTATTAGTATACATATCAGTGGATGACGAGATAAGCCTGTCAGCATGTGAACTCTCACAAGAGAATATTCATGTGTCAACTGCAGCTTTTTATTCGTACAGGAATATGTATTGATACGAAAGAACGCATGAAAGCCCATCCAACCGATTCAGAGTATGAGGAAACTATACTGCGAATCTATGAAAGAGCTGAGCGCAGTCAAGTATCTGTGATTATAATATTTGGTACGCATGCCGTCATACGTAATTTACTGAAAGCTGCCTCGAAGCACACTTCTAGAGCACCCAGGCGGTTCACGTGGTTTGGTAGTGATGGTTGGAGTAACACACTTGAGCTTGTTGGGCCTGAGGTTGAGCCGGCGCTTGGCGCGTTGACTATCATGATGATCAAGGGTGATATACCACAAACGTTCAAAGATTACTTCACCAGCTTCAATTTGACAAATTATCCAAGAACAAATAAGAGGTATGCTGTTTTCTCAGTACACAATTGAGAAAGGTGTGCGAGATCGACCACGCCTGGAAAGGTTCAGGCGTAGTCAGTAGTTTGCAACACTAGTCGTCACTGCACAGCTAGTGCAAGTTATAACATACCCTACCATGCAGGGATCATTTGACTATTTTATCATAATAGTAAAATTTGTGCAGAAATAATAACGTTATTTTAGAAAAGCTTTGGGCTGCCCTGCATCTGATGGAGTGCGTGTACTGTTCCCTGCAACTTAAAATTTAGGTAATTGACCAAATTACGCAACGATACACATGCACGTACTATACCATCACAATGATATGCGTATAGTGCGTCTATAAAAATACAAATGAGGTAAACATCGGATTTATCAATGCACAAAATCTCTTTGATCACTGCACAAATTTTTTATCATTCCACCTTAGAATGATCCTTTACCAAGAGAATGAAACCATATCTTAGCACTTCATATAAACAAATTCTGTATTTCTTAGATATTTTCAAGAGTTTTGGGAAAACCATTTTCAGTGTAGACTTGCTGAATTAGACGCATCAAAATATCATAAATTTCAGACGAATTGCCAGGGGAATGAGACTCTGACGAAGAGCGATTTACAATACATTCCAATTCGGACCGTTGTGAATGCAGTGTATGCCTTTGCTTACGCTTTGGAGAGTTTGCATAAGGAACTATGTGGGAAACAAGCTGGGGTCTGTGGTGAGATGAAAAATTTCAAGAGAGCAAGACTGCTGGAACATCTTAAGAACATCTCCTTTTGGGATTCATCTGTGAACGCCACTATCGAGTTTGATGAAAATTATGAGGTGAGTGAGGTGCGAGGGGGACATTCGAGTAGAGTCCCATGCACCTGTATTCTTGCGGAGCATAAACACGCCACATCAACTTAATAAGGGCTGTTTATATGACCCAGGCTAGCCAAGTTAACCGGAGTGATTTATGTCATTCGAGTCATTCTTTGTTCGCGAAAACTGTTCTAAGTTCTAACCAACCCTACGACAAGTTCGCACCTTTCCTTTCTGCTTCATTTGTACCTATTCCTATAAATGGCCACTCTTTTCAGCATCATTTAACGCATGTCTTATCAATATTTTCACAGGTTAGCGCTATGTATGATATCATGAACTACAGGAACGACAATGGTGTCCTTAAATACGTTCGAGTGGCGACCTGGAAAGGGGAGAAAGTAGACGGAAAATTAAGATCCAAATTAGTACTTTTAGAAGATATTAAATGGCTTCAAGGAGTGACCAGTCCTCCAGCTTCCTACTGCTCAGGAAACTGCAAAGAGAAATATGAAACACCAGTTCACGTCCCTACATTTGACTATCACTGCTGTTGGGAGTGCAAAAAATGCAATAAACTTCAAATCGTCCAGAATTATACATGTGTTGATGGCCCCTTCGGGTTGGTTCCCAATGGCAATAGAACAGGTTGGATGAAGCGTGAATTGGTCTACGCAAAGTGGAATGATAATCTATCAATTGCATTGATTGTTTTATCTTTTGTCTCACTGGTACTAACATCGTGTATCTTTGCATTTTACATCAAGTACAAACACAATCGCTGTATAAAAGCTAGCGGTCGAGAGCTGTGTTTTGTCTTGTTAACAGGCATCGCCCTGTGTTTCGCAGTGTCAATATTGTTTATCGCTAAACCCGGAGGCATCGCGTGCAATGCGAGATACCTCATTTCTGGTCTATCACTAGTTATGTGCTATGCGCCGTTATTCATCAAAGTAAACAGGATACATCGTATTTTTACCCACGCGAGAACCTCAGTCGCTCAACCCTCGTTCGTTTCACCACGCACACAACTGCTGATAACATTCGCATTCATTGGAGTCCAACTGCTGTTCACCACATTCACTGGTCTTGTAAACCCAATAGTGGTTAAGGAATTTTATAACAGCGACAGGGAAGAGCTTCTCCTGGAATGCTATAGGGGTGATCTTGGATTCACGCTCAATCTAACCTATGTCATGTTCCTCATGTTTCTCTGTACCGTGTACGCATTCAAGACAAGGAATTTTCCAAGAAATTACAACGAATCAAAGATTATAGGAATTACGATGTATATCACCTTTGCTGTGTGGATGGTGTATTTTCCATTGGCTTACAAAACCGCTCACAGTTTACAGTATACGTATCTTACATCAAGTGTCTATCTCGTCATTGGTGTAGTCACCTTGATCGGGCTATTTAGTCAAAAGGTTTATATCGTGTTTTGCACCACAGATGTGATGGAGGAAAACCTTAGTATGTCAACGAGAGCGAGCATTTCAATTCCGATGTCAAAGCCCTACCAAGAGCTCCAAGATGAGGGTTCAATGGAGGAAGCTTGATAGGACCGTTGGAGTATTTCAACATAGATAAGCCGCTGTACGATGAATGCACCAACAACTCTGAACTGATAATTAAAAGGACACTAAAGGTTCGACAATGAAAAGAAACAACGGACGTCTGAGCAATAGAAGACTGCAGAGTCTGCAGTCATTTGAAGAAGACTTTCGATAATTACGTCATTTGGCCTTGGAGCCTCGTTTGCATGAACGCGAATCTTTAGCCAATCACCACCAGTCCTACCTCCATTTATATAAATAAACCCTGATCGATCCGATGAAGCTTATACAACCTTTGTCACAACATAAAGGCAATTCAAGCTATTTACATTCTTATTCTTTCACTGAACACTTAATGAACCAGTCACTATTTCTGGTCACGAATTCTTCAATTCTAGCTGCTGCAGCTTGCAATTAAGACTTGATATGAGACTTGGTAGTGCAAGTCTGGTTTTCACTTGACTGGAGTAATGAGAGTTTAAAAGAATCAATTATACCTTAGTAGGTCGACTTTCTCAGTACTGCTATGAAACATTTAAACTCACAATTTATTGTAACTAAGTATTGACTATTAAAAAACAAACTGTATTCAAACTAACTTAGAAAAATATGTAAATAAGTAATTTCTATATTTAAAAAATTAATTCATTACCAAAATGAAAGAAAATGCTTGTGAATGAAAAAATAATAAAAATGAAGTTAAATTGTTCAAACCTGACAGTGCATGAATGTTGACTTGATGATCATCAGAACTGGTACAGGGAGAGAGTCGATTTCATGAATTCTGATACATTGAAATGTCTTGGAAATATGTTGCACACATGCTTCGATGCATTCTAATACAGTTATCACCACCTTGAAATATTAGACAATGTGAAGAAAAGTGTTTGTTCTCAAGTATTTCAACGCAAGCATGATTATTCTAAATTAGTAGCATTAGGGTGCCAAGCCAGCAAAATTACGATTATACATACCCAAAGAAGATCATGTAAAAGTTGTGATCTATTTGCTATAGTGTTCTGTTCATCTTTAAGTTGAATAATATCCTCTATTTCAAGAAAAATCTTCTCAATGCAACAAAACAACTAAAAAAAATGTATAGCTTTACATTGGACTAATTGTTTTAGAGCTTGCAATGTTTGCAAAAGTGAGAACAATCTGTAGATTCTGACTATATATGTGAGATTCGGAAAATTGCAGCCTTCCTAACTATTAGCACAAACAAAATTGGCTTAATTACATCTGAAAACACATGACGTAAGAGAGTTTCTTCTAATGTTGTTAAAGACAACTTTGGTAGCAATCCATGACACAGAAATGAAAAAACATCTAAAAAGTGAAAAATGTATACATATAGACAATGCATATATCTACCACTATTTAGTATACACCTGACTATTGTCTATTACAAATCCTACATTCTGATTGGCTACTCAACCATCGTCTATTCGTGATAGTGCACGTTTGGGAAAAATTCGCTCGCGCGACCGTTTAAAATTGAATTAATTAAATTATTTTTCGGTGAAATTTTGCGGTGTATCGATTATTTCCTCGAAATTAATATATCTAGGTACAGGGTGTATACTAAAACAATTAGACAACTCGCCTTCGTTGCCTATGAGCGGATAGTCAACTCAGGCTTCGCCTTCGTTTACTATTCGCTCATAGACAACTCGGACTCGTTGTCTAATTGTTAAATAGTGTGTAGATTATGAACACGAGTATACATATGAACATATATATATATATATATATATATATATATATATATATATATATATATATATATATATATATATATATATATAGTGCCAGAGATGTTTTTTAAATTCATTTCAAGATATCTAAATACCAATTTTTTCTTGGTGTTCTGAAGTTTCATGGAATAATGTTTATGTATGGTTAAAGATTATAACATAATCATAATTACCAATTTTAACCTACTGCAATTAAGTGTTGCATTTGACTGATTAAGTAAAACTGAACAATAGGCAATAAGTAATACTGGGAACATGCATACGAGACTGCATCAAATCAACATTACAAATAAAATCATAACTAGCCTGTGCAGGCTGTGGCTGAGAATCCTGAAATTACATATTAGTGGTTTATCAGTCCAGACTGATAGGTCTACAGTTTTCAATGGATATAGACGGCGTACATTAATTCTCCGTACATTTAAATCCTTAAAATGACATGTAAAAAGGATATAATAGCTTTAGGAATGACTTCTTCAAGGTCACGTTCTTGATGCCTCCATTCTGGTGGTATTGTGATTGGAGTTGTCGCCATTAAAACCCTCTTAAAGGTGTTTGCATAAGTATATACTATGTATGTCCCATGTCTCTAGTATGAATGGAAAAATGAACGACAGCATCTCCTTAAAATAGTGTAAAAGTTATATTATCTTCGCTCATGTTGTCGTTTTGAAAATAAAAAATAGCGGGAAAATTAATACTAAAAATATTCTTGTTCCCAGTCTGCAGGGACCAGTGGCAGGGACCAGAAGGGACGGAATCTGAAGACATCATTCCGCGTTGAGCTTTTGACTTCAATAATGCACCACTATTCGTTAAGTAAAACTTGTGTTTACGTAGTATAACCTCAAAATTGAAAGATGGACAATATAGGTAAATATCAGTAACGGTGTACTCTTTTGAGCTGAGCTACACTGGGTTCCCCACCCAGTCGGCAGACTCGGCACTTGGCAATATTGCACTATTTCAGCTCAACAGATAAAAGATTTTCGAAGACTAGGCGGCAATAATACGCCAATTAACTGAAATGATAACCATGCTAAAGTTATAGTCTTACAAAAAATTCCACTAGAAATTAGGTTATACCTAAATGGGAAATCTGACGACAACTAGGTGGATTTAATATGTCATATTATATGAGCTGTTAGCTGTAGAGCGAAAGGTTTTGTATTTGGAGAAAAAAGGAAAGGCCTTCTATGTTGTGACAATTTATTGGAATGAAGTCGAGGCTCGGCTAAAGCCCGAGTATCCGAGTAATGGAAATATGACCAACGTGACCTCGGAATTTCCCATGAAATCTACTTTGTTTTCAAGCACAGATAAATTCCACATTAAGCTTTTGCAATTATTCCATTTACGTTTGACATTATGCACGTTTGGTATTCAATAATACTTCTGGAAAGTATTATATTAGAAGCTATAAAGATTCTTAAGAGTTCTTGGATCTTTAAAGAACAAAGTGGATCTCTCAGGAATTTCCAAACTTATTATTATTTTTTACACGCTAATCTGTCGTATATTATACCTTTGAAAATATAAGTGACATGTTTATGATAAGAATGATAAGATTGAGTTCAGTCGGTTTAAAACTATTTCTTTTCTAAACTTAAATTCCCATAATGGTGCGGAAAATCGAAATAATTCCCATTATGAGGTAAAGTGAGGCGACTTTACTCAAACGAGGATAAAGTTAAATGATAAATTTGTGCTTCGCAAATCTTAACTTTTGCTTTTCGAAGTTGTTTGTCGTAGAAAACTTTGGTGCATACTCACTCGCGTTGCTCCGTATTCGATTATTGCACCCTTCTGATCGTATGCAGGGTGGCGGACGTCGCGAAGGGAGAGTTTAGAACGGCGGGGCATCGGTCACATTTATAGCGAAGATATATAGGAAGCTTAAATTTATAAATATGTGAAGATTTACAGATCCAGGAGTAAAATGAAATCCAAAACTGGCAAAAGCAGAAGTTTATGCAATTAAGGTTTTAAGATCCGCTCAGGCATTCAAATTATAACATTAGAATAAATAGGATAAAACGTTTTTTTGAACACTGAAAAGAGTTACCGGATAAGTTAAGAATCAATTTACCAAATCGTCATTTTAGTGCCGACATGAAAACAAATGACTCTAATCAAATGAGATGTTTGGCCTAACTGTTCATGCAGCTAGTCTATCACCGATTAACCCCCGAGTCATATATAGATAGAAATCCATATACCCATGCAGATATACCCTACATAGGCCTAGGCTTATATAGCTATAGGTAAAAAGTCAAACTAATTTTATTTAAACTGAAAAATTCGACCGTCTCATACAGCTCCAAATATTAGAAGTAACCAGTCTTGCTGGAGAATTGCACCGGCATCGCAAAAGCGTATAGGTTTGGGCCTATAGTTGACTCATTTTTCCATCAACTGTTCCTGGCTTGAATTAGAAGTGTGTGTAATTTCACTCGAAATTAAGACCCTGCATCGAGTGAAGTGCCAAAAATCATGTTGATAAGTTGGTTCAATTCTCGGGCAAAATAGAAGAATTCTATGTTTGTTTTTGTTATACACCTGCCCGTCAAGTGATATTCAGAAATTGCATCAATGCAAACAAGCAAAAAGGAACGTTAACTTCTATCAATTAGTGATGAAAAAGCTTGTAAACACGTGGGAGGTCAGTCAGAATTAAGTGCATGCATTCGATTTTCAAGCTATTTCTGGCGGTCTGTAATAAATTTGAACGCCCTACCGAGGCAACAGTCATATATGTCTCAAGCCTCTGTGCAGAGTAATACAGTTTAACTTCAAATTCCATTCGTTTTGCGTACAGGTATTTTGTTTTAACACTGGTCGTTTATTCACGATAATTCTTAATAGAACCGGATAAAAGAAATATTGTGTTGCAAAATAATTTCCAGGTCGTACAGAAAACATAGAAGTCGCCTAATTTAAAAGCTGTTAGGCTAAAAAACTGTTCGACCTTTTTAGAAATACTGTTTTCATAATCAACAGCATTTTATTGACTTTTCGTTTTTCATCGATCTTTACAGCTGAAGTCGCTATCATGTACTCTAAAAGCGTTTTTGTACTCAGTTTGGTAGTATTGATGTTCTTTTCCACGATGAACGCCGAGGTAAGCAAAGACATACGTCACTTGCAAAAAAAAGTCAAATGGTATATACTGCCTATTTAACGAGCTCTACTTAACGAGATATTCAAAAAACAGCTTCTCAGTCACAGCTCACACCATTTATATATAGATCAGTAACTTTTTAAATGATGTGATGGATATAGATTTTCCATGAAATTGATTGAAAATGATTATTTATATCAGTCAAATTGCATGCTTTTATGGCCTTGTAAAATCTATGGTATTGTGAAATCATATAAAAATACAAAAGACCAAATGCGCGGTCTTCCGACTTCCGAAGTTGATTTTGTTGGTATGTAAAACATGCAGCTTATGAGACTGAATATATAATAATATTGCTTAATAATAAAGCTCAGTGACAGTGGACAAGAATCAGATCATTCAGATGTCGAGCTCAAACAATGCAATGAAAAGAATTACGGTCGACGTAAATTGGTTAAAGACAAAGAAGGCAAGGAAAACTCGGTCATTTGTTCCAAACAAAATGGCGTGTATTTGTGGAAGAAGGAAACAATGGAAACTGAAAGTATGATTTTCCGTTCTGATTTTAGTATCCTATAGCTGTATGACCTGTGAATGATGCATTTAAGGACGAGTAAACGAGGGGACTGGAACGTATAAAGACATTTTATTGTGATTCAGAAAAATCAGTGATTGTATTAACGCAGACGTTTAAAATTGAGAAGTTTTCCAACGATTGTTTCATTTTATCATTCGTATCATATAAATTTTTATACTATCACAATAACGGTAGAGTTTCTTAATGTATGCAGAGTCCTCAATATTCCAGACTGTGAAAACAGTAAACAATTTAATAAAAATTGTCGCCTTTATTTATTTATTGGACCAATTTTTTATCGGTTTAAAACAACTAAAAACAATTCTGGTTATAAAACAACCAATTTTTCAGTTGCTTTTACCAAATAAAATTGATTAAAAAAAGGAATTTGAGACAACATTTGTTGAATGCTTTAACAATTTTTTGAAGAGATTTTACAAGAAAAGTATTTAGATTTTATAATAGAAATCATATTGTTCAACAATAGTTCATGATGAGAATGAAATTACGGATGACATCATGTTGAAGCGTGAGGCAGCCGCTGAATTCTTTGAACGTTTTCGTCGTGGTTTGAATCATGAATGTTACGCTGAGTGTTGTTCCTGGGAGGAAGTTCGTGAACATTACGAACACGACATGAGAGCTGCAGTACGTATACCTGAGATTTTAAAATTCAGGCCCAGCATGGTATTTTATAGTTATAGCCTTCAATAAACATTAAAAACCTATTCAAACTTGTAATATTGTAGGAAAGATATTGGCGAACTTACAGGAGATGGAAGATCCGTTATCACCGTTGTTAAAACGTAAGATTCACGATAATTGGCATAATAATATACGAGACGTCTATATTATCTTATATTCTCTAGGGCGTAGCGAATGAGATAGGATTATGGGGCGGGTGTAGGTGCGGTGGTGGTTATGTGATATTGACCTATTTTTATAATGAAAAACGGCCTAAACTTTTCAATCCGCGTACGGAGACTACGTTTTGAATAAAATTTAAATATAGCTATAACATTACTCCCTTTTCACAAAGGTATACTCTGCGACTTTTAATAATTTCGATAAAGCCTTATCCCGGCAATATATTTAAATAGTTGGTAATAGCGCATAGGCGAGCGAATGTTCTGACCCTCCAGATCTATAGAAACAGCCTATTTTGAGTGACGAAATTTTTCTGACCAATAACAAAGCAATTTAACCAACTCTTTATCCCTTCCAGGTTTCATGAATTAACTGCATGAACCCTATTTTCAGAACGGGCAGCTCCGATGATTTTATTACAAGGAAAAGTTGGGGGAATTGATATCGGGCTTTCATTGACACTTTTTCTGGGCAAATCGGTCTTTACAAAACTAGGGAAAACTGGACTTTTCTCTCTAAGTTAGGGGGCGACATATTCAAATTGCCACATTGGGGTTGCCTAATGAAATGCCTTTTTACTATCACACTACAACTTCATCATTTTTGGACAACAGGCCATACATAAAATGTTTATTAAAATAATGCGTTTGTCCTAACTATTCCCGTTTAGAAAAGTTGGTCTTTGGGAAACTGAAGTAAAAGATAAAAAGAAACATTGGGAAATCGACAAGACATGGCCTTATTATTGACGTTATCTAAAAAAATCAATGTAGAGTAATTCTTAAGTGTGCATGGTAGTTTTATCATGATATATGATTAAATAAACGTAATTTTTTTGCAAGTTTCATTAGTACACTTTCATTTCAGACAAGAAAGACTTATTATAGGTGAACGAATATACATTGCTACAGTGGTTTGGGAGATTGGATCACAGTTAAATTATTAGACTGCATTTAAATTATCTGAATGCGATAATTTCTATCATGTCACATTTTTGGATAGTACGTTCCTTATGGCATGTAATTTTTTGCACCATTTCAGCAGATTACTGAGCTGAATATTAGCTAAATCGTCAATATCGAGGCGAAGTACTTGTGGGCATACCTTAAAAGATTATTGCTCACTGGTGCATACACAATCATTTTACTTGTCAGTTGACATCGTTACTTATATCGACAAGGTCACATCTATAACACTGAAGATAAAAAAAACAAAAAGGCGACAATCGATCAACTTTAGCATTCCTGAAAGGCACTTTTATTTTTTCTGTTGACCTTTCTATTAGCACTTGCAAAAAATAATTTGAATATCATTCAGAGTTAAAAGGTAGTGATTACATGTTTAGCAAATCCTAAATACGCGAATTTAATCACTGAAAGGTTCGGGTTAGAGTTAGATTTAGGATTAGGGTTAACCCTAATCAACTATAATCCTAATCTAAGCCCTAATGCTAACCTAATCTTGATCTTACTAAACTGACATGTAATTATTACCTTGTAAAATTGATGATATTCTTGCAAGTGTATGCAAAAGTATATTTACAGGAAAATACTTCGTTGATTGAAACGTGCAACAAATTCTGTATATAAATCCCTAATAAAAAAAAGCATTATGCATGGTCTATGGAAGTCTTAGTCACGGGGTGTTCAAAGTTTGACATACGGCAGATGTAGGATTGATCAACTTTATGCTCGGTGGTTAGTTACCACAGACTGAGTCTTCAGGAGCTGACTACATTTCATCAGCACGTGGGAATACGGTGAATCTGGATAATATCCTATTTGGATTACTGATACTATAGTCTCGCGTCTATATAGCCTATACTGTAAATCGTGGTGATACTTTAATGCTCAGTAATTGAGGAGGCTATGTGAAACACTACGGTTGACATTGACTGTGCCAAGATACAAAACAACGCTGAAGTAGGGTATTTTTTCGACATCCTTTCAATGAAGGTGCGATCTTCACTTAAGTTAAATCTATAACTTTGCAACTGCACCAAGTATGTCGACGTGTCTTTCACTTTAGAGAACAGTGTCTTGTACTTGTATAATATAATACTTGTATAATACATCTATATTTTCTCACTGATAACATGCATGTTAGCTGGTATATTAACAAGAGGTTGATCAAGGGTAGCTTTAGAAAGATTTACATGCTTTATCAAGACATTTAATCACTAGTTTATGGATTAAACAATTTAATGAACTTGTATGTCATAATAACGTAGTCCTCATGCAAGTGGGAATTCTATAGAAGATTGTATTTATTTTGCAAATGTAACAAAGAACCTTTATTATATTTGATACGTATATATAAAACACGATTCACAGAAACATTTCGGTATCCGTTATATGTAGACCTATGTATAGCAATATATTTGTTTTTTAACAATTTCCCGACAACTGATTTCTGAAGTTCTGAGATTATGTCAAAGTAGTGAAACCTTATGAAAAACATAAACATTTATATTCTAATTTTCTAATCCTCATAGAACGGAATTACAGAAACGCACCGAACAAAAAGAACAGAACGAAACACTACCGTCTAAAAACTCTATATGTAATCGGCTATTGCTTGCTCAACACCCGGCAACTTTGAACCCATTGCTGTATAGGCTGTGTTACCTCAGTCTGAGGCTCAGAATAAAGTGCCGAAAACAATTTAGTATTCTGCAAGTATTCTGCTGAAGCCAGTTAACTATTTCCGGTGGTCAAATATCATGCACAACAATAGATCAACAATCATATCTCCGGTTTTCGTGCACGGAGAGTACTATACCGTTTTTGGAACTCTGCTTTATACGTTGATTTTGTCAGTACATAGATTTTGTTCAACAATCATTGCTTATTTACATCTTGTGTGGCTTCGTATTAACGTTCATGCAGGTTATATATGCATGTGCTTGACTAATCCAATAGAACAGACAATCAGAAGTCAACATCAATTTCAACATCAACAACAAATTTTAATTCAACTTTATCTCTTCGAATAATTTTCGACAGTCGCCACTATGTATTCAGCCGACGTTCTGATATTCAGTTTGGTGGCATGGATATCTTTTCCCTCGATAGACACCAATGACAAGGTAAGCACTTGCAAGGTCAAGGAAGACTAGGCTATCGGTTCGTTATACGAGATATATAGTTATAGTTTACACTCAGCTAAATTTAACATTATACTATATAAATAGATATTGGATAAGGATGGACTTAAAGCGAACAAACTTTTTGTATTAACACTACGGCTTTCTTATAAAGCTCGGTAGATTGGAATTAAACGTCGACCTTAAACCATGCACTGAAGAAAATTACGGTCGACGTGAGTTGGTTAAGGACAAGAATGGCAAGGAAAATTATTTCATTTGTTCCAAGTACAATCATGGTGATTATGCATGGAAAAAGAAACTGATGGATGTTGAAAGTAAGATTTAAACAAGTTTTGTTTATTACGTATTTACCTACGCGATGGGGTGCATTCACATTATTTATACTTTCTTTTCATTAATAAAGTTGCTTAACAATTTCAAATTGCTATAAGTAGTATTCAAGACGCAAAACTGTTGGTGTATACATAATGAGTTCTATCGATCGAACGAACTTTTTCGTCTGATCTCTTCTAAATTGTGAAAATCCTACCTATTTTCCCTTCAAGTAAATTATTTGCTTCTAAAAACTGAAGATTCGTGTCGCGTTGGCGAATCACTCCCACCCAGTGTATGTGGGCCTTGCAAGGGGTCCACCAAATCCTCGTTCACAGGTTTTTCGCGTCTGCTTTTGGCACATGCGGTACGCGAAAAACCTGGGAAAGAGGATGGTGTCCACCAGTGAAAATTGTTTTGTGGGGCGTGTCCCATTTGCAATGAGTAGAGAATTGAATAATACCTATAATTTATAAAAGTGCATGTATATGAAAGTTAGATTTTATTACTAGATGATAATGAGAATGATATTATGGATGACATCATGTTGAAGCGTGAAGAGGCCGCTGATTTCTTTGAACGTGATCGTCGTGGTTTGTCACATGAATGTTATGCTGAGTGTTGTTCCTGGGAGGAAGTTCGTGAACATTACGATCACGACATGAGAGCTGCAGTACGTACTCTAGAGCTCCAGTTTCACACGCTGTATTGTAATCCTTGTACATAAGTACTTACATGCCTTAAAACATTGTGATATGCCGGAGATGAAATATTCACCATTATCTGCAGAATGTCTCAAAAAACAAAACAGCGCTAACAGGCTTTTTACAGAATAATATATACAGAATTTATTTTAAGGCAGGTTATGAACAGGCCTATATAGAATTTTAGGAGTTATAGAGTCCCCAGTTGTATTTTAATGTACTTGTAAAAATGAAGGATTCAGAAGAGTTCAACATTTTGCTTTTTGCCTAATATGTAACGTATTCAACTGCTATGTTTTCATTTAGAAATTGTATTGGGAAAGATACCTCTATTGGAAGAGATATGTTAACACCCGTTGTAGACGCGTAAGGACTAAAATATTTGTTATTTTGAGATATCTTATATACATATGGCCTGGTTATGATCGCCGACCTCCAAAAGCAGTACCAATCACAACCATCTATTTGAGATTATGTTATTATTGAGAGTGTGTATAATTCCCCTCGAAATTAAGACCCTTTAAACCTCTATTATTGAAAATGTTTAATTTCAACTTGCAATTGCGTGAACAATATAGAATTGCCCATGCACTTATTTAACGCCCGGCTTTAGTTCTGACTTCGCCTGAAGTTCATTTAAAGATAATAGAATATATATAGTCTTATTTGTGTGCCCCTATATAGAAAGGTAGTTGGTCGTGGTGAACCAAAAAGGAATGGAAGAAAACGTAAGAAGAAATGGAAATAATTGATGGAAAAGTAATAAAATTATGTGAACAATATATAGTATCATCAGGTTAACCTATATATAATCAATAATAACCCTTATAGCTTATGCTTAATTTAGCTACCCATACACATGGCGAGTGCGTATATATAACTCGTCGGAAGACGGGACCACTATTTCGAGACTCGACAATTAAAATAATCCTTGATTACGAAAGGGATAGCATGCTGAGAAAGTTATTTTACAGATTACAGAATTCATGAAAAGGGAAATTGTCCTAGAAAATGATTCGAACGACGTTCTTGACAGACAGACAGACATAAAGGAGGTTTTTCTTTTTTTCTGTTTTCACGTCATTGGGTGTCGTTCTTTTATTTTTAATTAACTGACTATGTAATAACTAATCATACCGCATATATTTTAAAGCAAAATCTTGAGGTATATGTTTTCAGTTAAAGTTGTTCCGGTATCCTGTGGGATATATAAAATATGTGTCCATATATAAAATTATTTATATATATATATACCTCCTGGTGGATCAAACTGGATTTAATGTTCAAAGGGTCTTAATTTCGAGTGGAATTATACACACTTCAAATTCAAGCCAGGAACAGTTGATGGAAAAATGAGTCAACTATCGGTTGATATTGGGTATTTTCCTCCTGTGAACACGGAACGCGCAAACCGGTGGAAATTTAATCCATTTTTACCGCGTGAACACCAGAACCGGATGAATTCGAGCACGGTTCCAAATTCGTCTGGTCTCGTGTAAACGTAGCCTAAGTAGTACGGGGTTTTGTTTGGGTTTTGTTCGCATAGAGGTCAACTCGCTTTGCTCAGGCGCATGCGTTTGCGATAAGTAGAAAGGGCCTTTAATGTCTTGCGCTTTTATGGTGTTGGTATTTATCATCATGATTTGGACTTCTTTCCCACGAATGTTAAATCTGTTTCAAGGTGACCCTTATAAAGAAGGAGATATAAGGATAATGTAATATAGTAATGATATATAAGATATATATATAGGCATATAGTTACACAGTTTCATAGTTACGCACAGCTAATAATATTTGCTTGCAATAGAGCACTGCATTTTTTCATTTACTTGGTTACTTGATAAGTAACATTTGTATAAGAGATAAAATAATTCTCGGGGTGGATTTTATTCATTGTTGATCTCGGTTCATCTCGGGATGTATCGATTGAAAAAAAAGTAAAAAAAGGCGTAGATTGGAAACATCCTTTATTCGAAAAGGCCCAAAGAGTAGCTATAATGTTAAACTAAGTCGAATGCCCATGGTTATGAACTCATGGTGGTGCGTGTGTTTTTTTATGTGTATAATTGGTAGTATTTAACCTCTTTTTAACCTAAGTCCGCAATAATGCTTCGTGAACGTAGGAACTGGGCCCTCACGATACTTATATAGTACTAATAAAGAGGGTCAATTTCAGCACAGTTGTTTAGAAGCCGAAAACCCGATGTAGGTAATTCTGTGCAGGAATAAAACCGGATGACCTGGTGAAGACCCCTCAAAATACTGGGCCCTGTTGTATAAAAGACTAATCAACTTTTAACTGTAGTTGAGGACAGAATTTGTCAATCAGAGTCGTGTATTTCTGAGTTAACTAGGATTTAACTATGCAAAACGTAGTGAAAGAGTTTTATACAACTGGTCCCTGGAGGTACGAAACCAAAAGTTTGAAGGATGGTCAAATCTCAACTTTACTGAATTATGCATGCTCACCTTGATTGCGGCTGCAACTGCATTGACATCCAGAAGAAACGTATCATGACCAAATATGGAGGGTAATTCGTAATAAGTCACTGAATGATTCCCTTAAATAACACAAGAAAACTTCAATTCAGGTCGCGACGAAGGCACCGGCTCAGGTTTTACACCACCTCCTAAGAATCGGGGACCCATTGTATTATTTTCCGATAGACAAAGGATCTTCCGCACCAGTGACCTCAGACAAAAGGAATCCCAGATTCTTAGGACAAGTGTGAACCAGGCTTTAACGAGATTTAGATTTGACTTTAACTACCACAACCTTTGGTTTTCCTACTGGGGCTGGATTGGTTTGTCTGAGTTCTGAGTTCTTGCATTTGATTGGTTAGTTCATATTTTTTTAATGGCAGAGGAAGTCGGAATCAAACTCCGATCCTTGGTAATGATAAACAGGTTTTCAGGTTGGTTGATTATAACAAGAAAACTCGGGAAGACGTTTGTTCGTAACAACGTCGAAACTCGAGACAGGCTAGGTAAGGTAAGGGGCTCTAATGTTGTTAGGGTCTATTTTTACCTGATTCTTTCAATAGTACTTCCAGTTCTCTTTGTTGTTGCACTGGAAAAAGCAGATCTGATTGGACGCCCATAATCTTGGACAAAATACGTCGTCAAGTTAGTATTTTTCATGAAAAGTTGATACTGATTTTTATGATTCCGGGTTTATTTATCGTGACCACGTGATGTTTTCGAATACGAAAAATAGTTCACTAGCGAAATATTTAAATATTTTCTTTAGAATTTTAACAGCATAAATAAATTAGTTCAACATGATCATTGCTCTCAATTCAAAAGAAAATATGCAAATATTTCGCTAGCGAACTATTTCTCTTTAAGTGGAAATCCACCCTAATATAGTTTTTTTTCGACACGAAATTTTTTTTTAAGATCCCTTTTCGATCCTGAATTACCTATTCACACTCTTGGTCCCCTCGAAAAGTGTTCATGATTTCTATACATTTGAATGAACAAAAATATTAGTCTTACCAGAGAAGGACATTTTATCCTGGACACTCCTTCAATGATAGAACTACAACCGTCTCCCAAGTCAAAAAGATCCATAGCCTAAGAAAGAATATGCAAACATTTGATACCTTGTGTGAAAGGCGAAGTGCTTTGTTTTTGAGCACGTTTCTAGATTTCAAAAAAACGAATATATGCATGTGAATGATGTGAACATCAGGGTTGCCAGGTGGTCTGGGAACAAAAGAGCCAAATGATATGTAAAAAGTAGTCAAATCCGGCCAAAAGAAGCCAAACTCGGAATTTGGAGTGTGGACTGGGGATAATGCCTTTAAAACATCAAAAAACATCATTACTTTCACTTCACACTTTGATGCAAGAACGTATATAACTGAGTGTAATTTGTCCTTTGACGATGGACCGTAAAAAAGACTGCTTAGGCCTGGTGAGAGGGAAAACATTTCGAAGTTCCCAATATTTATTTACTTCCGGGACTTGAAAGACCGGAAAACATACGGAAGAGTTACAAATACGCCTAAAAAGTCGTATATTTTCACACTTGATAAAAAGAAGCCAAAAAGAGCCAAAAAATAGAAAGAAGCCAAATGCAATTTTTGGTAGCCAAATGAAGTCAAAAGAAGCCAAAATCGAGAAATTTGGCTCCAAAAGAGCCAAACTGGCAACCCTGGTGAACATATACCTAGGGAGAAAGTTTGTCGAATAGTAGTATATTTCTTTTCAGATTAGTAAGGCTAACTAGCCTGCAATCAAGACTAGAGCTAGTTGCTTTAATTTCAAATTTTGTCTCGTGCCTTATATAATTCTATTATAACAAGGCAGCCATCTTTGATTGCGAAATCCTGGCATTATGTTAATTAATATCCTGAATTTCTGGTAATGTCGTATTTTAACAGCATCTCTATTGTGAAAGTTGATATCATGATTGTCTAGACAATATGATTGAATTTCCTAAATTATGCATACGAGTTCCTAAACTGTAATACATTACCTTGGAGATATACAACATGGAATTTGGATCATATTTCAAGCAAAAGCTTTCACCCTGAAAAATTAAGTTTAGTATATTTCAGAGTTGATTTGCCGGTTGTAAACTGGTGATCCTATATCAGCCTATATTAGTATGTATGCATGGGTTCGTCAAGATATCTTTAATAAACCCTAAGCCAAAGTTGTATAGCAATATGGCATCTAGTTCATACGGATGAAACTATAGCTGAACTAACTTCATTTAAATCGGCTGAAAATATCGAATCAGAAACTCGAATCAGGTTGAGTGGTTGACCGAAACTTGAAATTAAGGATCCAAAATTTAAAACTAAAGTATGTTAACGGCCACCGTTATTAAATTAACTGACAGACAGACAAACTCGATTTGTTTGCATTCCTATCTTCCCGTGTATTATTTGTCGGCAGCTGTGCATAGGAAGTCAATTAATTTCTCAAACGGTAGTATTTTGCTGAAACTAGGTTAAACTGTTTCCTAGCCGTTTAAATAGATAAATTTGCAAATCACGTACGCACATATAGGAACCGGTTTATCACAACTCAAGATCTCATTAAAAGTATACTGGAGTAATCGGAGAGTCTACCAAGCTATTAGCTATACGTTTAAAACAGGTATATTTTTTAAATATCGGTGGTCAATGACAATGGCGATCGGTTATTAACGATATACATTTATTCAATAAATATAAATTAAATTCATTCATTTATTTGCGGTAATGTGCTTGGTCAACTAATATAAGCATTTTCTCTGAGAATTAAGCCGCTTTCAAAACCGTTAATTCACTATTTTACATTTCTGTATTTCTTTTCACAGCTTTTCCTAAGACGCTATCATGTATCATGCAAACGCTCTCGTATTCAGTATTTTTTCATGGATATTCTTTTCCTCGATATATGTCCAGGTAAGCAAGGACAGGAAGAGTCTTGAGTTATAGTGGATGGATAAACTGTTTTGAATTTTTTTGTGAGTTTGTTTGGTAGATCAGTCCTACCCATGCTTTAAAGTCTTATCAATACAGATCAGTGCCAGTGGAGTGCGATCGAATGAAACAAAATGATCTTGAACAATGCAATGAAGAGAATTTTGGTCGACGCAAATTGGTTAAAGAAAAGGATGGCAAAGAATGGTTCTTTATTTGTTTTAAACACAATGGAAACTATACATGGAAGAAAGAACGTATGTTTCTTGTTTTGATAGTGCCACGTAATATAGCAATACCACTTAGGGCCCGTCGACACGTATCATGATATTTTTAAAAACGGAAGTTATCTTATCCGTTCTGGCCTTGCGTCCAGACGTAACCGGCAACCGAAAACGGAGGTTTTCAAAAACGCTCTCCAGAGTGGAGTTTTTCGAAAACGCCGGTTTCGTGTTTACGTGTGGACGGGCGAAAACGGAGGTTTTCGAATTCGATTGCACATTCTGTGCACATTGAATGTGCATAATGAATTAGAGAAAGTATATCACGTAGCTGATGCGATAACTGATGTACATTTGAAAGTTTTGGCCTAAAACTACCGAGTCTTCAAGTTAAAATGGTAATTACCTATTATTAACCCTGATTCCAACCTCAATTCTAACCTTGGTCTCAATCCCAACATAACACTGACGGAAATAACCCAAAACATTGATTTTGAAAGCATGACGCACTTTTAAGATCTCACGATAAAAGTTATTGTTGTCAATTCCCACAATTTCATTTCATTCCAATAGTTGATAATGAAAATGAGGTGATGGATGACATCTTGCTAAAGCAGGAAGCAGCTTCTGAATTCTTCAAACGTGGTCGTCGTAGTGTGTACGAAGAATGCTATAGTGAATGTTGTCGTTACGAGGAAGTTTGTGAAAATTTCAAATCTAACAAAAAAGCTGCAGTGCGTTTTCAAGATTTTAATAATCTTAGCTGCTCGTTATATGCTGTATTTTGTGCCTTGAATAGCAAAAAAAGATGCTGTAAACTAGAGTTTCTGTTTCTGTTTCTTAAATTGTCTCAAATCAACTTTGAATGGCAATGTTAATGCATACAATCCCCGTACACGGATAGAAAAGTTTATAATTCATAATAAAGGTTGCCCAGTATCACATTACGTCTCGGATGCTGACTCGTCAACCCCCATTTTTCTGGGTTATATGGCTAAACGTTTTTAAGCAATTCAATTCATTCGCTGCATGTTTTACGATTCTTTCATATTTGATATGTTTTAGATGAAATACTGGACAAATTTCAGAAAATGGGTCGAGAAGAATAATTATTGTAGACGCGTAAGGATTCCATTATTTTACATCATAATATGTTACAATATGTGGTTACATTCTAAACTTATGATAAATGAGCAACTGGAACGTCATGGGTTTGTAAATGAAGGCCCTAATGTGACTAACGTTGTGACTAACGTGAGGTTCATGAACCTCATCTGTTGAGCAATTCTATTTGAGATAATCGTAAATATGATTTCAGCAGTCACATGGGTAGAATTGTTAAAGATACAACAATTTATGGTTTTGACTTATTACATTTACAGAAAAGTGGTTGGTCATGGTGAACTAAAGACATAGCATGAAAATAAGAATAAACGAAAAACTGGAATTTCTGGACAGATCTCATAAGGCTGAATGTAACTGAAAGTAGAGTGATGTATATATAGTGCGATGTAGTTATGAGAATTGTTCAAAATTAAAATGACGGTTGTTCGAAACATAATCCACTTAACGCGTTTGTTTATAAATCTTACGTTAAACCGGCTTTGGAAAATGCCGCAGTCAAGGACATTCTGAGTACTTTACGCTACGATGACGCTACGACATTATGTTGTGGGCTGTATAGTCAACATGCAACTAACAGTGATTTACACGAACAGCCAACAACTTTTCATTAACTTACTTGGTGATCAAGATAACCTTCAATCATAAATTCGGCACCCAAACAAGGGTTTGTTTGGCCTTCACGCGGCTTCTCAATTTTTCTCCGGCCAAATCTTGTTTCCCATTCTTGACCACTTCGATAACTCGCTGTCGCAATAGATCTGGCATATTAAAATGTTTCGTTATTTTTAATTACAGATTATTTCATTGTAGCTATATATAGTTAGTCTGATGTTGATTTTGGGATAAGGTGAATATGTCAAGAAATCTTTCCCGTCTTGTTTAAACGTGTATTTTATAGGTTTCAAGATGTTACTGACTTTTGGGACTTTCCACGTTTTTTTATTTTTTGTTTATATAATTTTTAACGTGATATATACATTCATAGCGTTACCTGGCGTTTTTCATTCCTAAGAAAGGAAACGGCCCATCATAATAGAATCCATTATTCCAGTTTGGATCACTCATTAGTACCTGACGTTGGATGTATCTCTGAGCTATGGACGAAGGGTGTGACTGCGCACACGATGATATGGATACAACTCTACAAAAAAGCAGAAAAATACGAGAAAATCAGTTTTAATTTATCTGTAATGTGCAAATGTTACCGATGCAATATGTTAAATTTTTTGCAAGAGATTTTCTATTATATTTCGAATAATTTCGAATAATACGCGAATACTCGGTATACAATGGACAATGAAACCAAAGAAAAGTAAAACTGAAAACCATTGAACCATTTCAAAATTCAACTAACCGTTTCACTCTGTTTGGAAACATTGCTGCTGCAAGTAGCGAGGACATTCCACCCAAAGACGAACCAACACTGCCATGAATCTAAAATCATTGTTACAGAGTTTGTAGTAGCTACTGTGCAAACGTTTTAGCTAGGGCATGAATTCTAGATTTCAGAAACTACATTTAATATTCCGGATTTAAAACTGCCAGTTACCTGATCTCGAAACTATATAAATTTGGATTATTCGGATTAATTGATTAAATTAATTGATGTATGTCCACATTACCGTATTAATTCCGAGATAATCTAGCAATAGAAATTGAGATGTTATTATATCTTGGACGCGAACGCATGGGAACGTTGTACCGTAATGCTAAAATAAAAGGAAAACATTATTTGGGTAGGAGATTGACGTCTGAATTGAGTGCAAGGCCCGTTTTATTGGCAGAGGCTAATGAAGATTTTTTCTTGATTTATCGTGATGTGTAATTGCAATATAATTGAAGGAACTGTGATAGACAAACCTATATTTCCTTAATCAAAGCTTTCTACGCCATTCTTACCTTTCCAGTTAAAGGGTTAATGGAAGAGGGGCCACTAAAATGCAAGCAGAAAGTTCTCAAGTTATTGAAATGGCAAAAAGTATAATATATGTATTTGGTAAAAAAGGTGATAGTGCGTTTGTTTTACGTCTCCAGTGAGTCACGACTATAACATCTCATCGAATGTGGTATGACAACTGAAAATATTGACCTCTTCACTTTCGATTCGATGCGAGGGCCTAGTTCGTACCAAATCTCTTTTGAGGGACTCTCCTTATGGGAAGGTTCTCCGGTCAAACTTTGTACCCTTTCGTTGAGATTTCTGTCTATTATAGGCTGTCCTTACGCTACATTTGATGAGACGTTTTTTGAAGACGCTGCCACGCTGCACCAATAACAGTGTGCTTACGTTTTTAGTCTACCAAGTTTGAGCAAGTTCAGGAAGGTCTCAATAGATTAAGTTTCAGCTATGCTCTGTGTCAACGGAATATAGCTGATGAGCAGCTCATACATTATGATACTTGCCTTGATCCATAACACCCACCAATGACGTTCACACAAATCACGAAAAATTTATCCGTATCCAATGCACACCCATGTCCGATAAATCTCTCCCACCAACCAGGATTTGGGTTTTCCTGGATGGATGGATAGAGAGAGAGAGAGTTGAATAGATTAGGTTTCCTTCTGAAATAAGTCTAATAAGACTATTGCCAATTTCTAAGGAATTCTTAAGAGTATCTAAATGGAAATTTGCGATGTTTATTAATGCACTTTTTCACTGGAAAGATAAAAATTTTGGTTTGAAACATCTTCAAGTACCTGATGACTTCTAGCATGTGACGAAGGCGAAAGGCCAGTAAAGAGCAATATAACATTATCTTTTCCCTTGTTCAGCTCTCCCCACGTTTCATAAGCCAATACTAGTTCTGGTATTTCACCACCTCCAAAAAATTTAAATGCTTCTTTCGAATGGAAGATTTGATAACCAGAGTTGACTTTGTCGTACATTGGTTCGGGTCCTCCATCGTCTAGATTTCCCAATCTATATGGCAAAGCCTTTATTACAAACAATTACATCCAGGGGCCGGTTGTATCAAACCCGTTTAGCTTAAACGGTGGATAAGTCAAAACTAAATAACACTCTTACATCTCTTTTGAATGAGTCAACTTGAATATTACACACTGAATATGTAATTGTAAACAGTATCTTTGTATTAAGGTTTAAAACATTTAGTTCGGTTGTTGAATAAAACGATAGACCTGCTTTCTATTTTGAACTTAACCACCGTTTAAGTGGCTCCCTAGAGTTTCGTAAAAATTCTAGATAGCAGGTTTGTTGTACCCAATTAATATTAAACACCAATATTGTGGACTTAAATCCTAGTTTACAATATTGGTGCTTAATTCTACATCATCATCAAACCTGCACTTAAACAATTTCTCAAAACCCTAGGGAGCCACCTTAAAAACGGGCTTATACAACCGGCCCCGGAACAATAGGAACTCCGTAAAAGGAAAGCATTATGAAAAGAAATAGTTTCTACTTTTTGACTAAATAATATTGTTATAAACGGGAAATGGATGCTACTAGTGTTTAGTGTATGATGAGTGCCGCCAAAATATGATTTTTAATATTATTAGTATTTCATAGATATGTATCTGCGCTTGCGCAGACCCAAGACCCCTGTAGATCTGTCAACATGCGTAGAAATTGGAGAAGTGAGAAGTTTCGAGTTTTTCCAAGAGTTAAAAGCGGTAAGGTAAAGCAAAAGTGGTACTTGATGTGGATTACGTCATCGTTACAAGTCTCTTTTTTCGAGTGTCACTATGTGTATTAGTATACAACACCTGAGCGTTTTATAACTTTCAATTGCGTTTTTAAATCGATGCGTCTTGCCGTCTTTGGTAAACTATGAATGTGCTAAGAGCTAAGGCTATTTGAGTGCTTTTGTAGGACGGAAGGACTAAGCACGTCAAAATGTTGGCAAAATTAAAAAAAATGGAGGTCATGACGTCGTGTCATGAGGGGATGATGAGGCTATAGTCATGAGGCTACAGACATGAGGCAACAGTGTGAACTTTGAACTTATTATGCAATAAACGATCACGTTGACTGCATGTGATTCTTCATTTCTCGAAAGAAAGATAGACCATTGCTACGTTCTGAGAATTGCCTTCGTAGCGCTCGTTTGTGCAACTGTAAAAACGCGGACAGTCGAGATCATGCACTTATTTACACATGTTTTCGAAATTGTTACTGTGAATTTGTATTGTAGTCATTTGAATCAGTGCCAAGCTGCCAACTTAAACTCTTACTGATGGTGTTAGACGTAGTTTCTCCCGTGCATTGCTTTCAAAGCTCAATCGTCAAAGTAAAAATAAAATAATGGAGGAGTATAAACATCAAAGAAATTGACGAGCTAGCTTCTAGTGTAGGTCAACAGCTGTGGCAGCAGAAAGGGCACCGAGTGCCACCTTCGACCCGGCACTCTTGACGGTGCATTTTATGTAATTATGTCTATGCTCTAAATTTAAACTAACTATATTACTATAGAATACAACCAATTATATTCTTACCCATTCGAAGATGATTTTCTGCGATTAATCTGTTGGATTTGCCCTAATTCATTAATCTCTAATGTATAGGTTCGTTTAAAAACCTCCGTCAACCGAGGTAATGTCGCTGAATAGTTCTGGCTATGCTTGAGATGCCCCTTGAGACAACCGATGAATGACCGCGTGAGACTAGAAGATTTTAGATTGCGGAACGCTGCCATACTGTGAAACACTTTGCATACCAAAATAAACAAACCTTCTCCAAAGCCTTTATCCTCGTAGATAAAACGTAAATAAAGCCTTGGATAGTTTACCTGTTTATGGTAATCATCGTCGAGTGTTAGACTTTACAGCCAATAAAATTCGTCTACTTGTTCATGCAGGTCAAAGTTCGATGATCGCTAAGTCGATTAACGTACAAGCAATCGTACAAGCACGATGGAATGACATCGTCAGTGATCTAAAAAAACAGGGTGCGCCCCCCTGCGGTGGAAATATGGAGTGAGCAAAAACATTAACTAGAAATTTCTCAGGGAGTGCACTTTGTTCTTACTTACGTGGGGGAGGGGAGAGTTATGTGAGGATCTAAATCAGTGATTACTAAGACATACATCCCTATAATTTGCGTAGAATCCTCTGCAATTAGCATACATGACCTGTGCAAATTTTTATACATTTAATAATATATTGAAAAGAAATTGCGGTGTTGAAAAGTGTGAAATATCAGCAATTCGACATCTAATTCATAGGGGTTAAATTTTCTGTCAAGGGCGACGAAACTAGGATTAGCAGGGGCGGAGTCCTTCTTGCCTTGCACGCGAGGGATGCCCTTCAATTTAACGGATTGTATGTCAGCAATTCATTAATAAACCTGCCTCAGACATTACTGGGAATTCAGCTAACGGCAACGAGCTCGAAGAATATCCCCCCATCGTCACGAGGTTGCCCCATGGTCAGGCCGAAAACCTCCAGAATGTTAATCATCTAACAAAAAAATACGACCAGACGAAGTTAAATTACGATCCTCTTTGCCAGCCCTCGTATCGTCCAGGCCTCCCTTTCCTTTGTCTTTTAAGAATAATGATTTCTTTTTCAAGAATGAAAAAGTTTCTTGGGAAATTCAATTTACACAGCTGGCATATCAGTACCACGCTAAAAAGTTCAAGATATTTTCAGTCTGTTTTCGTATCTCGAGAATCTTTTCACTAAAACTGATTCTTTTTACTCACGTAGATTTAATTGATTTTATAAACTATTTTAGATCCTAGAGTACCGACATTATTTTAATTTAGTTGTGCTCTACACATCATATGACCTAAAAAAACTGAAATTTGGTTACTTTTTTACAATTTCCGTATTTTCACAGGTACAAACTTTCCTACAAGTTCGTTTTACTTGGCGGGTACACACATTACGACACCAGCATTTCTGGTCGTTTGAATATTCTTGATATGGGGGCCAATTTGAACAACAATATGATGGACAACTTGGGGAGCATGTGTGAGAACATATTGATGGACACGTAGGTGGTGGTGAACTAGGAATAACTGGTTGGGATGAGTGAAAAATTACAGGCGGAGATTTGGGTAAATTATTTATAACGGTTGGTGGGGGTGAGTGGACGATAATATGAGGTTGCAGGGGAGGGTCATGGACTATTATAACCTTTGGAAGTTTACATGGGTATAAATTTCCTGAACTAAGACATGGGCCCGGGTCTTTTTTGGTTTCACTATGGGGTACAAACGCATTTACTTGAGTTACACCTGGGGATCCTGGCGGTCCAGGTGGACCTGGATGTCCCGGTCGTCCAGCAGGTCCCTGTGGTCCTTGTTGTCCAGGTATTCCGGGAGGTCCCGGAAGACCAGGAGGCCCGGGGGGACCATAACTCGTACATACAGGCATCGCAAGAAATCTGAACGGCGAGGAGTTCAAATATTCATATTTGCGTGAAGTTCCGTTGCTGTTTGAAGGACTACTTGCCAACTCTTTTGGTATGTCAGACCTTTGTGTAACTGACGTTGCATCTCTTGGATTATCATTCAAGTTTAATGGGTCAAAAACAGGATATGAATCTTTGTCAGAGAGAGATTTATGTTTGTTTAAAATCGGCTCATTTTTGTCGGGATTCAAAATTTCGTCTCTACATAATGGGCTGGTACACCTTGGGTCCTTGCAGGAACAGAGGGACACCATGATACCTGCATGACTTGACTGCATTGTAGTTACCTGGTGTGACACTGTTTCCTTTTCTTTGTGTGTTATATTTGCAATAGACCCTTTGGGACCAGGCTTTCCAGGTGGACCTGGCGCTCCAGCTATGCCAGGCGGTCCTCGTATTCCAATCTGTCCCATCATGCCTGGAGGGCCCGGACGGCCGGGTGGACCTGGTGGCCCGGGACAGAGTATCTTCATTTTCTTGGGTCTCTCTGTAGGTCTTGTTGGAGGTTGTGTAGTCATGGGTGGCGGCGTTGTTGTTATCGCTGGAAAATCGTTTATATTATTTAGTTTCGTTTATTATGTTTACTACTTTGAGGTGGTCGAAAAACTGAAACAAGGTATTAAGGCTAGTTAGTACTTTGAGTTTTTGATACCAAGAAATGCTTTGACCCACGGAAAGAGACCTGACGAACCTCGACATACATTCAACAGTTCCCTACTGGAAAGTTATCTGAGTTTTTACCGGGTAAACACGGGTAAATTTGACCAATTGCAAGTGACAAATACATCAGTTTGCCCTAATCAAGAAACAAATCCCATACCTTGATAAACGCATGCTATTTCGATTTCCACGGTGTTGTTACAAGATATTTGTGGTGATGCTGAGAAATACCTCCTTCCATTCAGAAAGCATTGTCTCTCAGTAAATTCAGGATCGGAAGCATTGAATATGACAGGAGTGAATTTCAGTCCCTGGAATTTCATGGTTAGAACAAAACGAGGCTCTGTGATTCTGTACGGAGTTGGTTTGACTGAACTTTGGATGAGGATTCTTGTGTGCGCGTGATTTACAAACAACAGCGAAATACATGTGTCTATAAAAATAGAGTTAAACCAGTTACATCGTGTTCATATCCATGTCTTTTTCCAAACTAAGTCCCTTATATCAACTAGTATAAGGGTGGATGATAGGTAAAGGTGGACGAAGTTTAACAACAAAGAACAGAGCGAGTAGAGCCTAGGTACAGGACTCATGACATTACAAAAGCAAGGGCACATCATGTGCTAGTTCCTTATGCAGGTACAGCTTGCATGCCACATTACAAGGAGTTTTTAATATTGGTAACGTGTCAAACTGAGGTCTGCAGACCTACCACCCATATGCACCCTTCCTTCGCACCTTAACATCCACGTTATGCACTAGCTGCTAGTGCTCACGTCAGCACTCACCTTTGGGCTTTTTTGTAACATTTTTTGGTACTTCTTTGACTGGAACATATTTAGGCTGTGTACAGTTATCCACAGGTTCGATATAATATGAACAGTTTCGCACATACTTGACACTTTCATCATCAAATAACATTCTCATTTCATAACGACGATGTCCTACCGAGCCTCCAATACAGAAGCCCCATCCCCAGTGATCAGCGGCCGAAAGCGTGAAAAATGAGGTTCGTGGTGCACTCACTCTATGGCGTTCTGTAAAACTGGACTCGTAACCTGGTTTTTAAAAAATTGCACGGTTTCTCAAATTTGACCAACATAAAAAGGATTACTCTGAAACAATAACCATGTCCCAGCTGTATTAAAATTAAGTCGTCTGTTTTCTGCAAGCACCTTGCAGCGTTTCTATACCATGTTCTTTCTATATGGCACACCATATAGACTTTTAACAAGCTTTTAAATCGAACTGTGCCCTTTATAATACTAAGAACCACTCCATGAGCTAATTTAATTAGACTTCAATGATTCAAACTTACCATAATGAGAGCTACCATTGTATTTTGCTACAATAAACTTGTAGTCCTTCTGCATTAAGTAGTAACCATCACTGTTTAGAAGCTCAAAGGAAACCGTTTGACTTTCGTTATAGTTCGAATCCTTTGGTAAATTACCAGGGGAATGTGGAAGCCAACAAGATGGAGTCTCTCCTAATATCACTTGATCACCATGTACTGTGATTGCGAGATTTTTCTTGTAGTCTTTTTGAACAGCCGGAACGCTCATAGAATAAAAACGAATTGCTCCTTTGTGACCTGTTGAAAAAAAATCAGTTCTAAGACTTTGTTGAATTTGATTGACTGCTAGGATAAGGTTTAAATACGAGTTGCAAATCTGGTACTTGTTTGAAGACTTGATTTCGAGAGGAGTATTTCACAATGGAATATTTATTCAGAAAACGAAATCACGAAATTGCGGGATTCGAATACGGTATAACCCCCCCCCCCCGCGCCTTTTAAGGCAAATCGACAACAGGATAAATGATAGAGATGACAACAAAAATATCCATACCAGTAGCTGACACTCCTTGCATTGACGCAGGATGAACTCTTATATTCATTTTTTCAACAACTTCAGTTATATTCACTTCTTCAATGTAGCGCGCTTTCGGTTTCTTGCCATTTCCTACAGGTAATTCAGTAATCTTCAATGCTTCTTTAACCGCCTTTTCTGCCGCCTTTTTTGCCTCCTCCGCCGCCTTTTTTTTCGCCTTTCTAAGCACGTCTTGTCCAGCCTTGATACCGGCAGCTACGCCAGCGTTAAGCGGATCTGTTGCTTTGCCTGTTATAAATAAAGATGGATGCAGCCGAGGTAACAAGGAATCACTAATCAGTAGATTACAGTGAACTGGTAGATTATATGATAGCGCTGGTGGTTATATAAGTATAGTAATTCAGTATATAGTAATTAAGGATCCACCCTTTGGACTGACTTACTACCATCTTTCGACGATTTGTAATAGAAATAAAGATATTCTTCGCTAATGGGTCCAATGAACTGTCCATTTTCCATTTGAACTGCAACTTGGAGGACGTCGTTACCAAAGAGTTCTTTGTGAACAGCTTCCATATAGTAATATTCACCCTTCAGCATTGGAATCGGAGGAGATCGTTGACTGTCGTATCTAAAAGCAAAATGATCGAAGGGATATAATTGAAAGAAAGAAAAATATAAAACAAATGTGAAATAAAATAAAATAAACTTACTTAAACCATTCTCCAAGTGTCTTGGAGTATTCGTAGTTGGTAATTTCACAAACTAATCTTTTGTTTTCTGGTTTATCATCAGTACTGATATACAATTTTCCATCATTATTACTGGCTGTAAAACGTAAGAAAAAGTAAAAGAAATATCTCCTTTATAAAATTCAAGATTTCCGACTAAGAAATTTTGATGTCAAATTTTAATTTCAGAAATTTGCTAAAAGAAAATCTACGAGTTATGTTAGACAGATTCGACAATTCTGACATGAACTGACTGATCGTATTTCATACTTACAAATATAGAAAACATAATATCCCGTTTTCGGAGGTGAAAACCACGCGAACAATCTTGAACCGTAACTCTCGCCAATGTTAGGAGGCTCAGCAAATCTGTGAGTCAGTACCCGCAAGTCTGGAGTCTTTGGAAATTTGAAGTTTCTTTCTAATGATTTGATACTATATCCTTCCACGTTGAACCAGATCTCCAAGTTAACTCCACGTGCTCCTATGGCTATGTAAATTCAGGTATAAATAGATTTTGATTGGTAAATGGTAACAGTAGAAGCAAGATCTGAGCCGGCTGAACCCAGACCGGACATTGACGTGAGAAAGCAAATTCAAGGATGTCTATGATATCCCCTTGGGGCCTGTTTTAATGGAGCGAGTTATACCGGCTAGGCGAGGTAAAAAGCGCATCACATCAAAGGCTTAACCTGATTAGTTTCATTATATGCAGTCTTCACCTCCCTTAGCCGGGATAACTCGTTCCATGTAAACAGGCCTTTAGACTATGCTGCCCTGTCTTGCCCCATAATAGCAACTTTTAACTCGCGTGAAGGTACAGGTTTATACTCCGTATCAGGACACCAATAAATGTTTTGTGAAGAAAAATACAGCAGACAGAAAACGTTCATTCACAAAAGTGAGAAAATCCTTACGACTAACCTCTCTTTCTTCTTTCAAAGTCTTTATCTTCAAAAGATTCAAATGAATTTTGACTACCAGTCTTTCCCAATCCTACGAAGAAATATTTTATCTGTTAATCTTAAAATGGGTTAGATTACATGATACCATTGGGCTGCATCGACATCATGACTGCATGAGCTCTGGGTGCTACAATTTCCGAAGAGAGAACATCAGATCTGTGCTTGAGGAAACTTGGAGCGATAATCATATAGCCATGCACGACTTGATAAAAAACTAATGCATGGTCTTTAATTACACGTCCAGTGTATTCAATTCTATGAAGTTGAAACGTAACTAAATTTGTCAACCGCGTAACATCTTACTTTTATTTTTCATGAACATCCATGACCGGTTGAATTTAGCGGCTAATTGTGGACCGGTTGGAGCCATATTGGCCGTCCAAATTGCCAAGAAGCCATAGAGCAATAATGCCAACGAACATTTACACATAATTTTGAATCACACATGTCCGTCACCCCATTGCAAAAAATATCTTGAGATTTCTCCTCTTTATATTAAGATATAAATTATAATTCATTTTTGAACCAGAAAGTTCTACATTTTAAGACATTGTTTGAAAGAAGCTTTGATCAAAACAAACTCATAAACAAAGAATCGGCTCAGATGAGACTTTTCTGTTTCAAAAACATCCCAAAGGCACCTGTTGGTAAATATAAATAAGTGAATATGGGCTCTTCGGCCAGAGTTTTCACAACTTATTTACATATGCATGCTGTCCTCATAGGGGGATGGCAATGACAAAAAAGAGAAACGAAGAACTTCTGAAAAGAATGCACGAAATATTCTGCCGAATATGCGGAAAATGGCGTGTTCGACCATGGTCGAGTCTACCCGAAAACAGCGTATTCGACCTTGGTCCAGTCCGCCGAAAAATGGCGTATTCATGCAACCATGGTCGAGTCTACCCGAAAACGGCGTATTTGACCATGGTCCAGTCCGCCGAAGAATGGCGTATTCGACCATGGTCGCGTCCGCCGGAAAACGGCGTATTCGACCATGGCCGAGTGACTCGAGTCCGCCGGAAAATGGCGTATTCGACCATGGTCGAGGCAGCCGGAAAACGGCTTATTCAACCATGGTCGAGTCTACCCGAAAACGGAGTATTCGACTATGGTCGAGTCCGCCGAAAAATGGCGTATTGGACCATGGTCGAGTGCACCGGAAAAAACGGCGTATCTGACACGACCCGTCGCGCCTCCTCCACCCAAATTAAACAATGGTATTGCCTGTGATAATGGCACTACACTCTTCCTTCCAACATGGGTGGAAGTTCAACCAAACGACGCTGGAAATCAGTTCTTTTTTAACTATATATCTTGGGACAGAGACTGGGAAAGGACTTGAAATCCATTTCTGCGCCTGAGGTGCGAAATGATTGCTCATGATTCCAGTCAAGTTGATTTACTTGACTTGTTCCTTAAACGCACTGAACAACACAAATATATCCAGTTTATTATATCAGATCAGTGATACATATTAACTTTAAATGGTGCAAATCGGCACTTTCTGAATTAGCTCGAGTACATTCATTAAACTCTTGTTCTGATTTGATCACTGAGTGAAACCTTACTAATATCCGAAACAGTATTAACTCTACAGTCACTAGTGGTCGTAACCCAGTAAGAGTTGCCACTTTAGCTGTGAATTTTGTATCGAGCACCTGCTTATGTTTAATTTGCTATAAAAGTCACGCTAATGGAGAACTCTCCGATAAGGACAATGCCCCCGTCACCACCTTTTTTCAGGAGCATGTCCCAAACTTGAAAATTCGTACTTTCTTTCCACGTCATTTTCCACATTTGCAAGGCATTTTTGTATTGTCAAAGAGTGAAATGAAAAATAAAACGTAATCCATAAAACATATAAAATGAGAGAAATCAACTTGTCAATAGAAATTTAAACTGCATGCACCTATAGTTGTTGGAAACGATTTAATTCGGAACAGCGTTTAAACTCGTACGGTTTTGCATCCTATGCAAACTTTCGTATGTGATTAACGGTCACTATATTTATAAAGTCGTTTTAAATCTGGCGCGAAATTCAAATATAACAATGTGAGGAAACTCGCGCTGAAGATTGATTAACCTCAAAGGAAGTCTGAACCTTGCCACCCGTTCGTCCCGTTTTAAATCTAAACAATAGACTGTTAAGTCACAAAGGGTTCGATTTTACTCTCGAACGTTTTTACCTGCAATTTGACTACCGTAGCACAAACAACAGACAAAAAATATGGCATAAACGTTCTTATATAGATACAAAGAATGTTCAAGATGCATAGAAAAAACATCGGTGGTGAAATGTACGAGTCCTAAGCCTCAGATCATGTCATTCATGTCTTGTTTGTAATCCTTTTAAAGTTATGGAATTATGGTTTCACTAAAGAAAGGACAAGCTGTTAAGTTATCTTCTTTTACACAAGTCGTTCTATTATGTCTGTTTACAGTGGAGGAAATTGGGTCCACATTAACGAAAGATGAGAATCGATGTAAGTTCACACGTTTTTAGGTCTGTCTTTGGTCTTAATGCTCTTGTACTTATGTGTACAAGACGATCTAGAATTAAACATTGTCTGGTCAGTCTGGACGTGTGACTGATAGTGATATAAAATACAAGATGAACTCTCGCAAATTGTACAAGAATGAAAGGAAAGCGACATATCTCGAGTTCACTACATTAACCTTTTTACTCAACGGGCCTTCAGAACCTGTTTTTACTGTCAAAAAAACTTTGATCACACACCTTAGTAGCCTGGTAATCCTATAGGTCGTGTTGAAAATAAATGAGCGAACTAAAGGAGGGATAACACTGAACTATTTTACACTGATACTTAATTATATTAAATCAGACTAATGTGAACTAAAACTAGAATCATGGTTTAACTACAAAAATCACTATGCTGGTTGATTCGGTCTATTTGTGTTCGGAGAAGAATACACCCCTCTTTATCATTCCCTTAAATATAAAGCCAGCTCATTTTGTGATTGAGACGTCGGACTATAGTTGTTTCTGTCGCAAAAAAAGGAAGTGTATTTCCTGTCAAATATTTACTACTTATGATCGTCCTGTTTCCGCATTCACATTTTTTATTCCAATTGAAATTTGATTTCCGTCATGATATCTATCGTTTAACTAAACTAAGTTGAATATAACTTTCTAACACCTTTTTGTACAACCATGTTTAGACAAATGCATTGCTATTCGCTTTATGAACCATGTTGGCGGGAACTTCCGAGTCGTATCGACCATGAAACCAGAGGGTTATCTGGTGACAACAGATGAGTATAAACTCAAAACTATGTTCAGACACTCCCAATTGCGACATTTCGTCATATTTCATGGTGCTGATGAGGGAAATAAGAAAGAGATATTGTTGGACGGGGAGAAAACTATCTCAGTGTCTCCTCAGGATGACTGTGAACATTTTGCTGATGTTATTGTTACTGCTAGAGATGGTAAGGGGAAGATCATTATTCATACAGATGGTTTTTATTAGCCTCGTTAGGTCAAATATAGCATCTAATAAAAAAAATGCTCCTATAGTTGGCCCGTTGCATTTTGCAGTCGAATAACGTGTGAATTCGCGTTGAAATTTTGCTTCAATCACTTGTGAGAATAACTGTATAAAAGTCTCTTTATCTTTATAATCTTTGCAAGCAATTGATGAATCTAACATGATTATCCGCTACTCTCAGGGCAACGCCAATGGTCATAAATATCCATGCAAGGTTTGAAATTAATAAAAAAACAATAACCGTGTGTTTTGTATCCTTCTTTTGTTAGCCCCGGTTCACAAAGAGGGAACAAGGTTTTCTGATACAAATCTACCATCAGATAATCCAAGTAGTAAAGGCTCCCCGGCAAAGACAAAAATAACTAACCCAACAAAATCAGGTACAAAGAAAATACTGTTCAATAGCCTTCTGAAGTGCTTACGTCACACAGTTTTCTATCTATACAATTTTGTCCCACTTGTTTCCCAGATTGCATTGCGATTCATTGTTCGAGACCGACATGACGTAAGCACCTCAAAGGTCTATTTATATGAACTCTCAACGTTCATTTAACTCCAACACTGATCTAAACAACGCAACTGTATAGTGAGATATTTTACTATTTCTTACAGAGAATACGAAGATAACTCGTCACTTGATACAAGACTCTGACAAGAAAGGTAAATGTAGCTATTCAGTAAATGAAAAATTTCATAGCATCACCAACTATACTCGTTACTACTTACTAACGAGAATGCAGATCATCATACGGGGAAAAAAATTGGCGCCTATTTCTACGTATAACTGACAATATTCAGAATCTCACATTCGCTCTGTATATTTTGTAAGGTACAACAATTACGAAAAGCGAACAGTTCTACGGTCTAAAAAGAAATAATCAAAGCCTGACATTTTCAGACGACAACAGGAAATTTACAACCAAACTGCCACTTACAGACTCAGCTACAAAGAAAAACTTAGACAAACTCACAAACGTACAAGACACACTACAAACCGCTATGAACGAAAACAATACGGGAAACTACGACGAAGATACGAATATAATGTACGTTGACGAAGATGAAACCGACAATGTAGCCGACAAAGAAACGAAGTTGAACTACAATGTAATAACTAACGCAATAGACAAAAATGGGGAAGGATTTAAGAATAGGGTTACGAACAATGCCAAAACATCTGAAGGAAAATCTAAGTATAGTGCACAGATAAAACTTTTGAAGGATTTGCTGCCATTATTAGCGAAATACAAAAGTTTAAATTTTGATGAGAACAACAAAAATAATGAAAAACAAAGTGAAGACAATGGTGACAAGCAGGGTGCGAAAACCCAATCGGTATTGAGTGACAGCCAATTTAAAGGTTCCCCAAAACATGAAAAGAATTTAAATTGGGGAATTGAAAGAAACAACAATCAGCTCATCAAGCCTGCGACATTTCCCACGATAAAGAAAACACAGAACGATGATTCTGGTGAAGTTAATACGGAATCCACGCAGGAAAACTATGAAAATAGCGTTAAAAACATGAAAGCTGATCATTTTAATCGTGCGATTCACAATACCATAAAAAATAACCAACACATTGGGACTTTGATGCAATCCAACATTGCTCCAAGTAGAATCATCAGCCAGAAAAGTCAGAACGTGAAAACAACTACCAGTTTTAATAGCCAAAAACTAAGCGATGCAATAACTCCAGAGCAATCAAAAATCACTTTGGGGAAAACCATAAGCATGCAGGCAAATAAGAATGGTACAAAAGGTCTTCAAACAGTCGTTCACCATACGAAATTAACCAACAAAGATGGTACCCTTGATATTGTTAACAAATTACAACAAAGTCCAAAACAAACGCCTCATGCAATGAAACCGAAGGTCATTCACTCAAAGCAAGAGGCTATCAGCGAGATTTTCAGAGCACTTGGAAGCAACAGTAAGATTGTGAAGGATGCTAATGGCTTGTATCTCATTTCTGGAAAACACGTAAAAATTTTACATCGCACTCATGGCGGCGTTGACGAGGGGAGAAATCGTGGCAATAACGAAAACGAGGGAGCGAAATCAGTTGAAAAACCAGGAGAGGTCGTGATAGAGTCTAATCTACCAAACGATTTGCCATCAAACTCGACTCCACTATCACAGATAAATTCAACGAATTATCAACAAAGTTTAGCTAGTAATGCCTTTAATATTCACAAAGAAGTTGGGTTGGATCTGTCAAATTATAACCTAAAAGATCTTGGACACAAACTGCACAGTGAACCGAAACTTGGTTTTTTGGAAAATGGAACCAGTGAAAATACCAAAACAAACAATACAGTACTTCCACCAAAGGAAAGGGATGATTTAAGTGTAGAAAGTATAAATGAAAAGCAGCCTCAAAGGAAGTTCAATAATGATTCCTATTTCAATAGTATAATTCCAAACGAAGTGAACAATAATGCCGTGCTTTCTATGGAAGAAAATAAGAATTTCCATAAGAGTGTGAAGCAAAGCAAGTGGAAGTTTGATGATGCTTATAGCAATGGTACAGTTCCAAATTCAATAAATAATACTGCCCTCCCTGTAGAGGAAAATGACAACCTCAATATGGATAACATAAATAAAAAGCAAAGTCAATTCAATGACGCTTTTAGCAATAGTTCAACGAAATTAGTCGAACAGCACGATTCAGACCTGGGAAGTTTTACGTCAAATTACAATAATGATGATGATTCAACTGATAATAAGAAGTTGGATGCTTCCGACAAAGAACTAAGCGATGTTCAAATCGAAGTCGTCGACGAAGCCAAGGAAGAAAATTCAGAATTTAAGAACCAATCAACAGAAGTGAACAAGGATACAGAAAATTTGGAAATCATCGATGAAGGGGAATCAAATCAATCAGCGTTAAAAATAACTCCAGAAGATATTAGCTCAGCATTGCAGGAAAAATTTAAGCAAAAGGCTATTAATAAAAACGGGCCAACAGAACCTGCAGAAGAACCTGGAAACGGAGGGTTGAAATCGGGAAAATTATTGCAAAACAGCGCTGGATCACCAGGAATAATTTCTCTGAGGAATGCGTCAAAACCAGGAACCTGGTCAAACATATCGTCCTTTAAGGCTAGTGTTGCGCCTCCGACCCAATCTACTGATGAAACAAGATTTGGATTGAAAAAGTCAATATCACAACTGAAAAACTCCGAGGCACAGAAGAAGACTGGGTCAAAATCACAAACATCTGGTTCGACGTGGAGTATGGATATTCTAGGTGTTGTTGGTAGACCACAGAATAACCCGTCGAAACAACTAGATGGATTGCACACAAGGAAAATCTCAGAGTCGAAACAGAGAGCTCAATGGTTACAGCAAGCATCAAAGGTTGTGAAGGGAACATCGAAGTTTACCAATGCTTCCCAAGAGCCAATTATGGTTGGTAAACAAGCTGAACAAGGAACATCTAGGATAACTAACCTACCCCGTGAGCCAATGATTGTTAGCAAACAGGTTGAACACGGGAAAACTGGGATAACTAACCTACCCCGTGAGCAAATGATTCCTAGACGAATTGTAAACTCTCTATTGTTAAGCATTGCCCAAAAGTTACAAAGAAAAAATGAATATATTCCAATGAGCAACCACAAAAAAGACCTAAATCAAGCTTTTGAAAGCGATACAACAGGTATTGATAACCACATACTGGAACATATCAACCACAATTCCAGGCCATCGAAATTTAAAAATATGACCACCGCAGAGGACAGAAAATTAGATAACCTTTTAGACAAGTTCGTAAAGCTGATTTCCAGACATAGAACCTCGGTTAAAACAGTAAAACCGAAGCCTAAAGTGAAGTCACGAAAAAAGTTTAAGATCTTAGATACAATTCCTCTCTTGAAACGTCAGGAAAAGTTACTAGGGAGAGAACAACAGAAACTTGAACATGATTTAGAAATGGAAAATAAACTTTTAGTAGGAAGCAAGGAGAAAGAAAATATTGACAGCAGCGAAAGCTTTTCAACAAATGATGAAGTAAAACTGAAGAAAAAAATTCAAGAGCTAAATACTGAGAAAAAATATTTGCTAAAAAAATTTAAAACACTTGGCTTTCAGGAGAAGTTTAGTAGAGGAGATGGAAATATGCTGATGATTCCAGATCAGGAAGCAAGCTTGACAGAGGTCTACGATGGTTCTGGCCAAAAGACCAGAATTGCTCCTCATGTGACCTTTCTTCTGAACGACAAGGGGTTGAACAAAGAGACTGGATTTGAATCAAAAGTTGAACAAGCAGATAAACAGTTGAGGCGAGTACTTGCAGACTACGACGCTCTATTACGATCCCCCCATGGCGGAAATACGGAGGGTACCGAATTCAACGAAGACACACGAGACAATTACGAAGATCACACAAGAAGAACTCCAAATACAGCCGAAAAATTTAACGATAATTTAATAGAGGAGAACAGAAATCATGAAATTTTTCCGCTAGAAAAAGGTTTCAAAGACACAGAGTTAACCAGTGACTCACAGGAATTACATAAAGGAAAATCAACAAACATAAGAGATTTCGACAATATACCACGAAACACCGCTAACCAAAATTCCGACGACATTCCTGCATACCACCAACGCACATCTGAATACATAAACACACATCCAAGTCAAAATGACGCATACATTCATAAACCAGATCCTACTTTGACCAAAAGTGTATTCAGTGATCCTACGCTGTCCTTCATAAACAAGGAAGCAAATTACGCCTCAGACACGGCGGAAAAATTCGAGGAATCAATCAGACAATCAAAAAAAGACGATGACAACAATTCGGAAAATTTAGACCAACAGGTACGAAACAGTCATTCCAAATACAAAAAATCATCAAGCGGACAAGGGGGGATAGGGGCTAGCAATGTATTTCCTGGAACTTACAATTATAACGAGGGACGCGAGGGTACACAAAGTACTCCCAACTGGCGACATGAGGATGAAACGTTGTTGAATGAAATGCCCGAGTATTCAGCAAAGGACAACACGGTTGAAAGCGAAGGGCAGTCAGGACACTACATGGTGATGACAATTCCAAAGGAATCTGATTTAGAGTTTAAACCACAGGGCATGAACATTGCAGGCTCCTATACCGAGATAAAACCGAAGGTTACAAATAATGTCGGCTCAGTTGGCAACGAGAATACAGCCGGGATCCAAGGTTTCAGGAGTGGAGGAGTGCAACCACCAAAAGAAATCCAAGAATCAATTCCAAAGGCATTTTCACAAAGATCTTACGGTTTTAGCCCTGATAGAAGCGAGACATTGAGACAATCAAACTCGCTCGACAGTATTCACTCTAAAATGTATCCGCAGACCTCCGATATCGTGGAATCCACTGACATTCCGAAGGTTTCCGAAGGCAACGAATTACGAAGCTCTTTTAGAAACGAGGGTAGCTTTAGGTACACAAATCCAGAATTTCATCAACCCGAGGTAAATCGTATTGCGATTATGGGCAGTAATGTAGAGGAAGGACAATATAATATTCCCGCATCAGGACGAATATCTGAAACACAGGGCATGCCGGTTACAAATTCGATGGGCTCAGAGGGAGACGAGTCACAGGGAAATTCCCGCCAGCCAATGGAAAACGAGATTGACGGAGCGTTCGATGTGGTGAACGGGGGGGAGGAACCGACATTGCAAAGAAACACAAATAACCCAGAAGATGGGGTGCAAGATAAAACGTACATTAACGGTGACGAGTATCATTTGCAGAAAAAGCATAAAATAGAGAGCAAATCAAAACAGTGAATAGTAAATAACAGTTAATATAACAGACGCCTCTGAAAAACTTTTATATTGTATATAAGCATTTAGTTGTAGTTGGTTTGCGGCTCTCAAAATAGTGACTGAATGAGGGACTTCCGCGGCGGACAATTTTTTTATCTTGGTAATAAAAAGGATATTTTCGGAAAGAGATTATAAATTTAGTAAAGTTGCCAATTTGGGCTGCGAAATGTTGTAAAGTCGGCAAATTTTATAAACTTTTTAATACGGGACACGAAGTGTGTAACTAAATTAGTAACAACATGGCTTTTGTTCTTATGCTTACAAGGCAAGTACAGTAGTTCTTAAAATATTTCGCGCCTTCTTAGGATGTCACGTGACACACGACGGCAACGCTGGTGGCGCATGCTGCCACTTTCCTTTTATTTATCGGGACTCGGTTTACGATCGTTGCACGAAGTCTCCCCGAGATAACCGGATATGGTGTGCGACGACAGTTGATTACGACAGAGATGGCCGGTGGGGGTATTGTCAGGGTAAGTTAGGATATTCTTACCTTTCAAGAATACTCATTTTAGAAATAGGGATATTTTAGGGATATTTTTATTCTTTTTTCCATTCAGACTGTATGAACACGGAAGGAGGCAATGGCAATGGCGGCTGTTGTCAACTGCCGTTTATTTTCAAGAAACAATTACGTCATCACTGCGTTGTTGAAGATAATGCACGACCGTGGTGTTCGTTGACGACCGACTACGACAGTGATGGGGTGTGGGGGTATTGTGCAGGTAAAATAAACAAACTAGAGCTTTGAATACACCAACCAATGTAGCGTTGAGAGTTTATTCCTCTATATGCTATTTGACGTGATTCAAGTGCTTTGTTTTCACTTAATGCAGGTAAAAACATAAACATTCTTCCACATCCACCAACACCCTCTATCAAACCTATAGCTCCGCCAGCAAAGAACCTCGACAGAAAACTTATCGTGAAATCCTACACTCCATCAGACCCACCAGCGAACATATGCCCTGGAAGCTGTTACATGCACTGTACAACAGCGTGTCCACAGACGTGCTGTTCGGGGGGAGACACTAGAACCCAGACGTCCACCTCATGCCCAGGGTTCTGCACACAGAGCTGTATGCCCGAATGCCCAGTAAAATGCTGTCCAGATGTAGTTGGCCTACTACAAACTGGTTACCCCGATTATTATTGGTATTCTCACCCAGCACCTCCTCCACCCCCTCCTCCTCCTCCTCCACCCCCACCACCTCCTCCTCCACCACCTCCTCCACCCCCACCTCCTCCTCCACCCCCACCCCCACCTCCTCCTCCACCACCTCCTCCACCACCCCCTCCTCCACCAACATACGTCACCCCTGTTCCAGTCCGCACCTTCTCGTGGTGTCCATCTACATGTAAAGACCGTTGTTCAGCGCTCTGCCCTCAGGTGTGCTGCCGTATTCGAATATTTGCTAAGAAATCTGAAAGACCTTGCCACCCCACTTGCTCAGTGTACTGCTACCCATACTGCAAGCCATCGTGTTGCAAGCCTCCACCTCGACCTAACGTGATCGCTCCAGCTCCCTGTGCTGCCTCGTGCCGAGTTCATTGTAGCTACAACTGTCCATGGCATTGCTGTTTTGCTCGGCGAACATCGATACCACGAAGAAATGAAATCAATCCTGGCTACAAAGTCGGACTTAAACCATCAATCAATAAAGAGCGAAAAATGACACCTCTTTCACCACCACCGCCAAAAGCATTGTTGCAAAATGTCAAAAGGCCTGGAGCTCTAGCTAAAAATCAACTGATAAAACAAAGACAATTAGCAGCTGCCCAAAAACCTTTACAAGTAGGGAGCACTTCCAATGCTCTATTAAACAACAACAGAGCGTTAAAGAAACCAACTTCTTTAAATAATAGACATTTATCTACAACCGTATGTCTGCCATTATGCAGAACACGCTGTACTGCACAATGCCCACCGTACTGTTGTAATCTGCCCTACAGAAGAAACCTAATTCCCAAGCACAACAATGTTAGATCGGGTATAACATTACCTAACAGAAGAAACATTATAACGAACAATAATCCTGTTGGACCAGATCTCGTCCCACAGCAACCGAAAGCAAAGCCATCTTGTCCAGCTGTTTGTCATCATAAATGTGTAGCGCAGTGTCCATGGTATTGTTGCAGGCCTCGAACTTCATACTCTACGGGAAATAGCCGTCGTGATTTTATCCCCACAAGGGCGTATACCCAAGGACGAAAGTCCTACAAGTGCCCAGAGGCATGTAAAACTAAATGTAAAACGTTTTGCCCCTGGCAATGTTGCTTAGTACCGTATCGACGTTCGTATATGAAACCATATTGATCCAATCATAAAGGTCTTAGGAAAAATGAACACATTGTTCTCATACTTGAACGCACTTCGGCATTTTATAGAATTTTGATATTTTTACAAATATACAGTATGTCAAAACTGTTAAACGATTTAAAGCATGACGGATGGCAAATCGTTTTGACATTTAACTTGCATACTGTTTTTCCGTGCTGAAAGGGTTTAAGTTTTCCTCTTTGAGAAACCATCTCGGGCCTAAGATTCGGCAGAGTGCTATTTCCTAAGCCCAAAACGCCGAGAACGGACAAAAATGTCTGTTGAATCCTGTGTCGTGTGGAATACACAAGTTTTGTTTCAGAACAGACGCACTCAACGCACTCATAGAAAGGAAACCCCCCCCCCGTCTCTTTTGGTCTGAGGATCGATATTTACTAATAAATTAGGATTGGAAAGCCCGCGAAATGAAAGATACTGGTTTGTTACGCGATCCCTATGCATTAAAATCATTAATAATCCAGAGATCTTCTGATCATCTGATAATGGGTTTACGTATACGAAGAAAATGTTTTTAATAATACATGAATAAAATATAATAAATATTTAAAATTACCAAAGTTAAATGTTACAACGTTACAAATTTAGTTACGAATTCACTCACTTAAGATTTAAAGTGATTATCCCTGGAGTAGATAAAATTAAATATGATTCGCCTTGTCTTTATACTGACTTTAAATCAAGTTATTTATTCAACGATGAACAACAGATTTTAAAACATCAGTTCCAACAAATTTACTTTTAACATACTTTAGTTTTAAAGGTCAGTTTTTACACAAATTTGTCTACCATGCAGCTGTGATAGTATTTATGAAAATATTAATAACTTAAAATAATAAGGAATGTGAAAGTATACTCTATAAGCATAATATTTAGAATTCAATTTAAATGACATTATGACATGATTAATGATTGTTTATTTATGTTTAAACTTTATGTTTGAAAAGTCGATTGCTCAATGGTTACGCAATAAACAACTGGCCCAATTTATACAATTTTAAGCATATATATAATACAATGAAACAACTGGCCCAATTTATACACTTTTAAGTCAAAATTTAGCGATACTATACGGGACGTTACAGCAACTACAGCTAAAACCCCTGAGAACAAATCAAAACATGGCTTACATGTACGTGAATCACTTTGAACCGTCCAGCTCAGGAACGTCATTATCTTTAAATATATCTCCCTCATCTGTGAAGAAAAAGGTTCAGTTAGGAATTAAATTAAATTAATTAATTTAAAATAAATTAAATTAGTTGTATAAAAGACTAGTTAACTCTGTAGTTAAGGACAGAATTGGCCAATCAGAGTTGTGTATTTCTGAGTTAACTATAGGATTTAACTGTGGAAAGCGTAGTTAAAGAGTCTTATACAACCGGCCCCTGATTTGTCGGATCTAATTCAATAATATGACTTATATCACTGTGGAAAAAGTTGTTGTTTCGGGTGAGATCCTATAACAAAGCAAATGAGCAACGTCGAACCCAGGGTTCCATATCTACGCTCCCGGCGCCTTCCCGAGCGTTGGTAGAATCCTGGGTACGAGGTTGGCAAATGAGATACTGTTTTTCAACAGCTTGCCCTTCTCACCTTCTAATTTCTCTAACTCGATTTCATCTCCCATTTCTTTATTCAGTTCTTCAAACTGTTTCCACTGTCCATCTTGTTCCAGTTCAATCTTTTTCTCAAGTTCTTTCATCTGCTTCATCTTTTTAAGTTGCAGCAACGTCTGAACCTGTGACATTTCTTTAAGTTGAGATGGTTTCATGTTCTTCGCTTTCTTAAGCAGCTCCATGCCAGCACGACTCAACTAAAAAAGCAAAACTGTTATAGTTAACTCGCTATAAACAATGCAGAATAAATGAACAACTGCGTACAAAATATCCCACTGCAGACTTATAATTGTGCATGACATGCGTGCTTGTACCAAGGAAAACTTCATCGGTAACATAAACAGACGTATATAAAGACGTGTTGAGGCCCATTTACACTATGCGATTTGTCGTATACGATTCCTACCCTGGCGTATGTGAACGTATGAACACGCGTACAAATGTGACACTTTAAATTCTAGCCTGAACAAAATTGAATGAAGATTGTGGCATACGCACTCTTTTGCATTCGTCAGAATGATAATTGCATACAACTTATCGTTTAGTCTAAATAGGCCTTTAGAAACTGTTTACAATTTTCGCGTCGTCAGGAATTGAAGTTAATAAGTTCACGGCAACCATGTATATAATCCACCATCGCAATTATCGCTACTCTGGTTTAATTAATGAATGTAATCACTACACAAAGATTACATGTCGTGAAATTGACGTGAATATAATCTTTGTGTGGTGATTATTTTTCGATTTCCATACCTGTCCTAACATGCCTTTGGCTAAGCCTTGTGCCTGTGCCAAAGCTCCCATTCCAGCCTGTTTCAACTGATCAAAAGCACCCATTCCCAGGCCCTTGGCCTGATCTAGAGCACCCATCCCCAGGCCCTTGGCCTGATCTAGAGCACCCATGCCAGCCTTTTTGAGATCACCGACTGCAGCCATGCCCATTCCTTTTGCTTTGTCTAAAGAGAGAAAGTAAAACGACAAGTATGAATTCATTGATGGTTGAAATGCTAAATGGGAAGGTGTAGAAATACTTTATGTTAGAAATATTTAATGTTAGCTTAAAACACTACCTTCTTGTTTTGCTAGGTTTAACGCTTACTTTAAAACCAAATCAATGCGGTCTAAAGGTAGATTCAACTACCATTGAAAGATAAACAATGCCACTTCCCGCAAGCATCCACAAGTTAATTGACTTACCCAATGCTCCCATTCCCGCTTCTTTTGCCTTGTTCGCCATTTTCATGCCCGCGTCTTTAGCTTTATTCATTGCGTCCATTCCAGCTGACTTTGCTTTGTTCGCCGCATCCAATCCTGCTTTCTTCGCTTTATCAACAGCAGCCATACCGGCGTCTTTAGCTTTGTTAGCCATATTTTTCCCAGCAGCTGTCGCCTTGCCTGCCACATTTTTCCCCATACCAGTGGCTTGATTCTTAGCGCTATCAGCCTGAGCAAAAATTTAAAAACTATATAAACAACACACTGATGTTGACTTGCCAGAGTCTGGGTTTTTGTCGAGGGTCGAGGGTCTGAAGTCGAGGTCGAGGGTCCGAAGTCGAGGTCGAGGGTCGACATATTGCGTTAAAAAGGCTTTGCGCGTAATAATGAAACTTATAATTAATTATCGTCATTGCTACTGTATTATCTAAATGTGCGTTGAATCATTTTAGAGAAAAACACATCGTAATTTTAATGAGTGATAAGATTAATATTGCAAAGATATCGCTTCGTTTAAACCCTAAAACGCCTTTCAAAGTTGCCCTCACGAAGGCTTGGGTTAGCTGACCGACCGAGAGACTCAAGATCATATGGATTACTATAAATACCTTTACTTTTATTACTGTGTATCAAGAATGTTTTTAATTTCTCTAAACTGGAATTTTCGCGAGTCGTTTTGGCATCGGGGTGTCAAATTCAAAAGAAAACCAAGCCGCGGCTAACACATTGAGTGTCATATCACCAACACCGGCGAGCCCGACTTTGAAAAAAGACACCGTGCTCATCCTATTCTCTTCACCGAGGCAACATTACTAGACAATTCTAAAACGAATCTTCTATACGAAACTAATATGGCTAAACGTCTCTACTCTGAAGTCGTTAAAAATCCATTGTTCAATGGATTTGCTTTTATATCTCGAGATCTTTTGTCTTCACTCGATGCTCGGCAACGAGAGATTTTATCCGAATGCGATATAAAAATAGTTCCTAAATAAGTTCCAGTACATCATAAATATCTATATAGTTTTAGGCATTTTTAGGTTAATAACTAGATTTCAAGATATTGCGTTTACAGTAAAGTTTATTACTGTAATTTTTAGGTGCATCCACCCGAGCTTGTGCTTTATGGTTAGGGTTGTGAATTGCAACTTTGAAAGTAAAAAGTATACTTCTAAACTACTATATACTAGCATTGATTTAGTTATTAGGGCGGGCCAATTTTCTGCAGTAATAAGTTTACGTCGTGTTTACCTTATTTGGTGCACAAATTACGATGTTATTACAATGAACGCACGTTTAGATAATACAGTAACAATGAAGATAATTCATTATAAGTTTCATTATTACGCGCAAAGCCTTTTTAACGCAATATGTCGACCCTCGACCTCGACTTCGGATCCTCGACCTCGACTTTGGACCCTCGACCCTCGACAAAAACCCAGACTCGACTTGCCATTACATAGGCCAACATCGTACTATACGCATCATCCTTATTTTTTACTTGCTTTTTCTCAACTCAAATTTACATATTTTTGTTTGTTGGCATTCTCTAAGGGAGGCGGGTTTCCTTTTACTTTTTCCAATGCTTCCAAAAAAATTCGATTATTACCATCTAACATTCAGGCTCGGAACGATTTTTAATCATAATAGCAATACAAATAAACGTATACGAAATTTGATTGGCAGAGAAACCTGATACGCTAAAAATCGTTAAATATCGTTCCGTGTATAACAACATGGTTAGGGTCTGGATTTGTCTTCTCGAAACAACATGGCATACTTGGTATCCTGAGAACAGTCTAGATTAGGAAAAGCTCTTCCCAACAAAACCCAATCTACACAACAATTTGCTTATAAACCCACCTCGCTTTCAATCTCATTCTTGGCCTCTTTACCCTTCTCAATACCAATCTCTAGGTACTTTTTAGCCATTTTCTGCATCTCCTCAATAAACTCTCCAATCTTCGGCTTTGCTTCCTCAACAAAATTTCGAACTGGCACAGGATCAACATCATCCAAAAGACCTTTAATATCACTTGTATCATATTCGCTCAGGGTGGTAATCTGTTTTGTCATATCTCCCGCAATACTCGAAATAGATTCCATGAGCTTAGCTTGAATAAAAGCAACCCCATCCATCATCATGCCAAGTCCAATATCCATGTATTCTGTAGAAATAGCAAAAGTTATTCGAATTACAGTTCCGTGTATTTCAATCAGAAGATCTGACAGAAATTAGTTGGAATTTAAAATAGTAAACTGTAGTAGCTTGTGTAAATTATCTTTAAAAGTTTTATTACCTTTCCCTGTTTCTATGTATCCTTTTTTCTTGAACTTTTCCATCTCTTCTTTGCCAGTTTTTAGATAGTCTTGACCCTATTTTGATAGGAACAGCGGCATTTGTTCAGACTTGTATCTAACACATTACGCAGGAGCTGAAAATCCTTCTTACCTTTTCCAACATTTCTTTCAACTAAAAAGAAGAGTAACAAAATGAATTAAAGTGAGTCAAAAATGGTACAACCCAACTCAACTCAACCCAACCCAACCCAACAACAGCACGACATGACACGACACAACACGACACAACACAACACAACACAACACAACACAACACAACACAACACAACACAACACAACACAACACAACACAACACAACACAACACAACACAACACAACACAACACAACACAAACACAACACAACACACAACAACACAACCCAAACAACACAACACAACACAACACAACACAACACAACACAACACAACACAACACAACACAACACAACACAACACAACACAACACAACTAAGAGTGACAATTATTGTGACAAAATCGTTTCACATGCAACCATCTAAATATCCAAAATTAAGTTTTATGAAAGTTTACCTATCTCTGAGTATACCAAGCACTTAAAAAAAATCACTTCGTTATAGCGTATCATCAGACCTACCTTTTTTTTGAATTTATCCTGTTGCTGGTTCATCTGTCCTTGCATATCACCGACCATTTCCATGCCTAAAGATACATTAAACACAAATCACTCAAAAGGCGTAGGTATTATAGCTGTAGAAATATGTGACCGTCGAGTTAAATTTAAGTTGTAGAAAGCAAATCAAGAATGTGTTATTACTTTGTCCCTGTAACTGATTTGCCATTTCCATGCCTTGTTCTTTCGCTTTGTCAGCTGCTTCCATTGCTTGCTTTTTCGCTTTCTCTGCTGCTTCCATTGCCTGTTTCTTGGCTTTCTCTGCTGCTTCCATTGCCTGTTTTTTTGCTTTGTCCGCCATCTCCATTGCCTGGTCTTTCATCTTATTTGCCATTCCCATTGCCTGGTCTTTCATCTTATTCGCCATTCCCATTGCCTGGTCTTTCATCTTATTGGCCATTGCCAATCCTTGGTTCTTGAACTTATTCGCCATTGCCATTCCCTGACCTTGAAAAAATACAATTAAAATACTGTATCTCGATCTATTCATTAGGGATTGGATACAATAAGGCGGACGCAGTCACCGAAACCCTGTTGAAAACTATGACCAGTCAGATTTCTGGTTTCTCCAGGTCAGTAAGCCTAGTTAAATCATAGAATAATCTACCTCTATGCCTAAAATGAGTTCTTGATCACCGTTAGTTCAATGATTACATACCTAACGGATCTCATGAGGAAAAACTAACAATGTCTATTATTTTTACCGTCAACCTAATATTAAATTAGTATTAAATGATTTTGCTGTCAATCTAATATTAATATTAAATTTGGTAATTATATTGTTTATTCAAATACCTTGAAGATTATTCAGCATCCCCATTCCCTGTGCTCCAAGGTTGTTCAACATTCCCATGCCTTGGCCTTTCAAATTGTTCAGCATACCCATTCCCATTCCACCTTAACAAGAATACATCACCAGTATGAATAAGAGACGGAATATAAGCGGATTTCACTCGTTCAAAAGTTCATCTTCATAGGGTCTGTTCACCGATATTTAAAGAAGCGTAAAATGGACTTTGAGGTATTGAAAAAAGTCAATTTGAAACGAAAAAATCACATGCTATTGTTAGGATGATAACACGACTACCAGAATTGTGTTATTTACTCATTTCAATACCTCAAAGTCCATTTTACGCTTCGTTAAATCTCGGTAACCGGGCTCATGTGAACAGCCCCTTATTCCGGTTGAAGAAAGTGAGAGACTTCACAGGGAAGTAGAAATTTTGTTTGGGCTAACCCGTCTGGGGTAAAGAGAAAAATCACTACATCAATTCACTAAAATGCTATCCTTTCATGTGACGACTAAACTCTAACGAAATCTTAACCAAAGCTCATTTTCTATCATTAGTTAGGCATATAGTCCAAATATACACTTTTGTGAGAAGTAATATGGTTTAAGCAATTAAATCATAGCTCTGAAGGAGAGCGCTCACCGAGTATTATTATAATATGTTATATTTTTATTCATATACCTAACTGTCCACCCAACTGTCCACCCAACTGTCCAAGCAAACCACCAACAGCATCACCGGCCATGCCAAGTGCGTTGTCCTTTACAGACCCAGTTTGTAGACTACTGGCGATATCTCCAAGTCCCAACCTCACAATGGTGTCAGCTATTATGAGATAATCAAATACATGTATAATTCTATAATTCTACACCCAGGTCAAACAAGTAGGAGAGTTGACGAACTTTCACTAGCTTTTGACCGCCAGTTTTTATTTACCCCTATACCCTATGATAATTGATTATAATACGTGTAAACTTAATAAATCTGCTTCAATGAGATTATTTCACGGCCTTTGGTCTGTTGCAAAAGATCTAGCTTAGCTTTACTGACAGATTGTCGAGTGCGGGAAAAGAATGACTTGCAGGAGACAGATAAATCAAGTTGAGAGAAATCTTACCTATTCCAATAACTGCCACTTCACACAAGCTCAGTTTTTGATCACCTCTATTCACTCTGATGTTCACATAACGCCCCACGGTTTCATTCTTGCACGCGATTGTCTCCAACCGTCCCGGCAAAAGGGTATACGCTGGGGTACACTTAGGGTTATCGTTTCCCTCGTTATCAAGACTGTTACCTACTCGTACTTCAAAGTCAAACATATCCCAACCATTATCAGAATCTTGGTTTGAAATGAATACTTCTTTGACATGGTAAATACGGCGAAGATCAATACGAAGCCAGGGTGCATATTGGGAGCGTGTATGGGTACAGGTTTCTGAGAAAGATGGAGGGTTTTCAGAGAATATAATAGGGGCAAGGGGAGGGAGAAGTGGAACCAGAATGGAAAATGTTGTTGGAAAAGGCAACAACAGTTGTCTGCGAAGCAGATCCATTATGTTGATGTAGACCTACCCCAGTCTACTAATGAATGATCTTAGTCATACTCTAAACGTTAGATGACGGCTGCACAAATAGGCAAAAATGGTTTGCAGTTGTTTCCACTTGTGTGGAAGACGCACAATTTTCAGTTAACCCACTACTGCATGTATTGTGCCACCCCTTGAAAAGGAAGCTTTTTATCATTACGAAGCCTTTTATCTTTTATAAAATTCACTAACCATTCGGACGTTTGGGGACAAACACCCCATCCACGACGTTACTGGACGTAGAATTTCGTTCACTATCAGATAACTGGACGGGTTGATTCTTAGCGACATTTACTAGAAACGAAAAAGAAACCCATTTGATATTTAAAGAATTCGCTCCATAAGATCCTCTTGAAGTCTGAGGTAGAGCAGGATGCTTGTTAAGATCCAATGTTACCTGATTTACGACAAAGAGATAAAACTAAAACGTGCAGAGAGAGACTGTAAAGTTGGTTTAGCAAAACTGGAAACTAAATTTTCTTTTTCTTATTACATGCCAAGAAAAGCATTTCTAGTCGAAACCACCTCTTTAGTTTAAAATATATCTAATGAAGGGCAGCCAGTACATACCATCATCAGGATGACAGCCGATGGCTTCCACTCTCATACAAATCAATTTTCCATGAAATGACTTGGGTGTAAACTTGATATATCTTGCTGCAATTCTGTGTGGAAAACTACCAACAGCCATGGAGTTACGGTCATTGTTTCCTTTCAACACCTATGAAGGGGAGACATTACAAAAATGTATTCCAAAAACATACCTAAATTAAAGTCCATAACCACTCATTGCATGCCTAATATACTTTGTTTATGGTCGAACACATTGCTTAAGGAGATTCTCTAAAAACAAATTTTCGTACCAAAAGTTCACCATCCTTTTCAATCTGCTTCCAATGTTTCTTTGTACTGCTGTACGACACAGTGTATTCAGTAACCCAGTTGTCAGAGTCTGATCTTCCTTGGGTTATAACTCCCTCAAGAATTAGCACTTGACCTGATTTAAGATAATTAAGAAGCATCTTAGATAACAGTATCTCCAAAGGAGCCATCTAATAGTGTTAACTTTTATTCGGAACTATTTCCAAGAAATGTTTTCAAGGATAAGTGGAGTGAAATCTAACTTTTGTTGCAACTTGCAATGCAAGTCTACTTTTAAGAGGCGTACCTTACACTTCAAAATGTAAGTGTAAGATACGCCATGGAGTATTGGAGTATAATAAAGACAAAAGTTTGGTAGTTGCCAAATTTACATCTCTCAAAAGAAGAATTGCATTGCAAGTTGCAGGAAAAATTGCACCGTGTAACAGGGTCTGAGTATAGTATACACATTTAAAACGTAAAACCTTTAGTTGAAGGGAGCCTACCTAAGTCCACGGTGAGGTGGTGCTCTCCTTCCAAAAGATCTCCACTTGCACACCACGATCCCTCAGTGTTCCCCAACCTTCCATGATGCGCTGCGGTCATGTTTCCAGTAATGGTAAAATTTGATTTTACCGATGAGGATGTCTCATTAGAGTCATCATCGAGCTCTTCCAGTGTAGAATTGATGAATTTCTCGAGATCAAAGAGCTCGAGAGTCGAGCTTGCAAACATTTGTTCATCTTTGATTATTTTCTTGCTCTGTATTCCGAGATAATTACTGCATACTGAAATTATTACAAACAAAAGTTTTATCAGCAATTTTGATCATGCCACTTGATTGCAACGTTTTTCGTGGTCATATTAACCGGGTCCGCGGGGGTAAGGAGGGAATACAAATTCGGGGGGGGACGGTGTTTCATAATAATGTAGTGAAGAAGATAATGTAGTGACATAAATGGATGGAATGCCACACTTCATAGCAAAAATTTTAAAATTAACTGTCGCTTTTAGCCAAAAGAAACACCGTTATGTTTTTACATAAATTTTAAGACCATTTTTAAAACGTTTAGGGTCGGAGTCACCTTGCTCAGTTGGCCTCTGTATGTTATTAAATGTTTTCTCAAATAAAAATTTCGAGTAAAAACACGCTGTCGTGCAATAATGGCCAGTGATTTGGTGTGATTTACCTTTAAGATTCAATATATTTCAATCGTAACAAAGTAGCTACGTACCGGGATAAAGGATAGAGCTTGGTCCATCATCAACAACCGTTGTGGTATTTGTCACATTTGAACTCACAGTAGCATTTTTCAAACTTCCACCGGTTGTATTCTGCCCAGACACTGAACTTTCATTGGCTAAACCTTCTGTTGTTGATGGCGTTGAGCTCGGGACATTTGAAGGAGTCGTACTCTCTTCAGAGTTGGTGGTTGATGTTGAGTTTTTATAGACTATGTCTGAAAAAAAAGGGGGGGGGGTATAATCTTTGACTTTGGCAGAAATATTATTACCATGCACAGTTGCAAGCGTATCTACCTTTCCTTAAAAAACTTAGCGAGAATAGAAAAGGCGGACATTGCTCAAGCAATTACTTTCCATCTTTCCTATTTCCATCTGCGCTTTTTCTATATCATTCCAAAATTTAATTTGATTCGAAATTAATATCGCTGCATGGTATAGGCTGCCGTCTTTCATGTATAAGAACATAGTCAAATTGAGTGACTAACTTGTATTTAGGTTTCAAGTCAAGACTGTATAATACCTTTGACAGAGGAAAATTAAAGAAAATTTGCTTGTGAACATGTTTTGGAATTTGCTTGTGAACATGTTTTGGAAAAGCGATTTACTTCCATCTCAGTAGTCGACAAGAGTCGTTTAACCAAAGACTTGGATAGGACCATTTTATAATATTTTATTTGGTCTTGTCGTATCAATAAGCATTCGGGTAAATATATTAATGCATACAAAGTAAACTAGGCAACCTGCTATTGCTAAACCACAAAAGTGACACATATGATTTTATATTTAAAACAGAACGCGAAAACATGTAATTATATCAAATTATGTGTTTTCTGGGTATATATTCACCGGTACGAATAAGAATTAACATTGAATTAAAAGAAAATTCTATTGAAAAATTTTATAACTTTGAAAGAGAGAAACAAAATTTGGGATTAATATTCATCGACCTCCCCTCCCGCACCAAATAACGCTTGGATTGATGCTTAGTTGAGGGATTTTTTGCCACGTCCATTATAGCTTATATACCTAGAGCATGATAAACATGTTTGCGACCTTCGACAAAATACAATGATCAGAAAGAAGCTTGATTTTGCATCGTTGACATGCAACGTGAAATTGTTTTGCTCGTTATATCGGTAATTGGGATGACTAGTCATTTTTTTAATAGATATAATAAGCAAAAACATTTTGCAAAAGAATGTGCTAGAAGTTTCCAAGACAAATATAATGTACAAAAATAAACTACTCTTCTATCTATTATGACTTTATGCAACATAATCAGATTATTGACTGTTAAGAAACTATTTTCATTATACGGTAATAGAATAAAGCTAATGACATGAAATGACTGGATATTTGGTCAACTCATTTGGTTTTTAAATGGTAGCATTTATTGTACTTTCTATCAAAAATTCATTTCCAATTGCTTCAGTCATACGAGTCTCTTAAAAGAATTATTTCCCGCCATTTCGTGTGATTGTCTCCACTGAGAAAACAATTCCTCTGCGTGCATGGCTGTATATTTGTCACGGAAAATTGTTGCTGGCAGCCTGGCAAACAAATTTCACTGGCAAGCATGCAGAACTGTCATGCAATTGCACAGAAATACAAATACAATGAAATCTCGTTTAGGAAGATTCATACAGTTTTCACTCTTTAACACAGGGCTTTAAATTAAAAGCCCAAAAAGAAAAACATTGGCATGTCGAATGCAATCAAATAACAAACAGTTTATACGATGGTTCTTATCGACTTACTTTTAGTTGTACTCATAGTAGGAGCGGAACCACTCTCGCGAACCAGGAATAGAAGACCAATTACCAGAATACAGCGATAAATCGCCATATTTTTCGATGAATATTGGCCACAGTAAAGATTTCTGTATACTTTAACGAGATCTGTGTCCACTAGTGACCAAGGACGCGATATACGATCTAAGCTTGCGGTCACAGACGATGCTTGCAGGTGGCTACATAAATAAGGTAGAGAGTGTTAATGAGGGAGAAAATGGTTTATTCTCATTGGGCCAATTGTGAGTAGTGGAGTGAAAGAGAAATAGACTGCAATTGAAGCGAATCTCTGGATAACCTTAGTATATAATTTTAGCAAAGAGACAGATCTATATATAGGAATGTTGCATGTCTTCAGTTTTTGACTGCGTGCATGTCTAGACGACATTTGAATAAATTCGAAAACATTTCTCGACTGTAGTTTTAATTAATGAAAAATTTACAAAAACTAAAACGAATAGGTTAGTCATATCGGATCATTCCTTTTTAAAAAAAATAATATGGGCTATTTTCAACGTGTATCAACGTGTAACTAGAATAACACAGTTGATGGCCCTATAACTTATATTCAAAAACGCTTCATCTATCTTTTTCGCCTCACGAAATTATACTGATGATATATTATTGACAATCAACGCATGTAAATAAGCATGCCGATTTGACCAACGCATGGGTGTTCCGACCCTGTCATCCCAAGTGAAAGCTGTAATATTATATATACTGTAGTAAACCCCTGAAAATACGGTTTTGCATTGGAATTTCAAGTATCAAATCTACATTATTAATTTCTCTTACCCATTTATTTGGTGGAGGAGAGTCTTCAAAGATTTGTCGTCTACTATCAATTCTTCAATTTGTTTTCTTCATCCTTTTTCGGTTATATCTACCATGCAAACATTTTAGCTTTTTTTTGGTCCTGGATCTTTTCTTATACATAGATCTCCACACCATCACAGCCTAGCTTAATACTGTCGGCTTTTTCCATCTCTAAAATCAGTTTCCTTTCCTTCCTTAAATTACTACCACAGCGCGTCTTTGATTAATTCAATCTCTCCCACTCATTTATAGTAAAACACCATTTTGTTCATGTTAAAAATGGCATCAGCACTGTTCAGTCGATGTTTTCTGTTGCAGCCTGGTTCCATTTAATCGTTGTCGTGAACATATATCAAGGTGTTTTTGAGTATCGTTACGCGTGTGCAGTCAACAATGACTGATTCCAATAAAAAATACAGACCAATTTACCTTCGGACGATTTCACATGAGAGAAAATAACTTCACTAAAATGCAGGCTTTGTTTACACCAGCTTATATAGACTACAGAGGCTGGTTGTTCAAATGCCGGTTAGCTAAACCCTGGGTTAGAGCAAATCTTGGCATCGATTTTTTTAATCGCTTGTTTACAAAGTTGAATATCTCATTTTCCAAAAATATTTTCTGGACCGACAAAAGCCATATTCTGTAACGGTTTTAGCAAGAACAGCGGTTCAAAGACACTTAAACCAAAACAGTTGAATAAAATTTAACCCAGGGTTAGCAGCGCTAACCCAGCTTTGAACAACTGGCCCTTGAATACAGTAGCTGCATGAGGTTTTAGTAAACTCAGTCAAGCGTAAGGCAGGGACAGTCGTGATTTAAAAACAAACCCATTCAAGCGCTAATATCCTTACAGTTTGATAAGTTTTCATCTCTCATAAAAATGCGAAATGAGTGTTTAACTTCCCTATTGGGGTACCTAACTATTCTTTACTTTTCACTCAGTATTGTCGAAGGTAAGTGAACGAAATATTATTTTTCAACGCAGTTTAAAAACGTTTGCAATTGTTAATTGTGTTTAGATTATATTTATTTATTACTTCAAAATTAAAGTTTTGAAACGCCTTGTATTTGGATCAGGGTATATTATTAACTCGAAATCTAGAAACTAGGTTTTTTTGTAGAATTCGAACAGAATAAAACCAATTTGACATTCTGGTTGACTCGGTTAGTCGACTGCCAATTGAACTCTCTTCCTGTTGGAAGAACCGCAAAGGTTTTAATCTTTTGCAGGTATTGTCTGTTTTGCCCAGAGACCTTTAGCTTTGTGAATATTGCTTTCGTAATTCTAAACAACTGAAGCGGCAATTTCAAACTAAGATAGACCAATTTTAGGGTCAAATATATATCGATAGAATAAATTCTTGCTCCTACAGTTGTTTTCATCGGATACTTAAGTATACGACGCCATTCATTTTAAAAATTTTAGGTAAACCAGTTGGCCATCATCATTACGACCTTTCCAGCACTATTAAAAGTTTGCGTCACGATATACACAAAGTTCTTCATTTTATCGATCATTTGAGCGAAGATGTTCAAACTAAAGGAATCACAAGTAAAGGTAACGAAGCACATTCAAAGAATATCAATTTCACCAAAAAATCCTTAGGGTAAGAAGTAAAATCATAGGTAGCACAACACTCGTGTTCCGCGCGCGTACACGCTACTCAGTGATCAGTGTACGCGCGCGGAACACGAGTGTTGGGCTACCTATGGTAAAATGGGAGACTGCTTGATATCTAACATTTATGAAGCTTACTCGCAGAATCTCCACAAAAGATCTACCACATCATTAAAGGTATTTTGTCTCCATATAGACGACAAAGGGAGATCAGGAATACCGTACTTCCAGGGGCAATTCAATCACCTAATGGCAGATGAATCTGTGATCAAAGAAACTGCTAATAAAGCAGCCAAGGCCGTGGCAGATACCGCTAAGGCAACCCTTAAAACACAGAAAGGTGTTAAACAAATCGCAACAGGACTTGTACAGCTAAAGAAATGCTTAGAACGATTTGAAAAGACAATTACACTTTAAATTTTTAGTGCTACACATGCAGTTGGAATGAAGAAGGGAAAGACCATTACGTAAGAAAGTCAGTGAGGTCTGTGAAAAAATGCTTATGTACATAATCTCAAGTCATTCTGTAGCAAAACCTGTGAGAAATAAGCCTTCTAAATAACTTTGGAAAAAATAGCGTTCTTTATTGACAAATTGCATCTACTACAACTTGTCACATTACATTCCTTGCTTATACTCTCTTTAAACCCCAGTTTTATTTTCAGTAATAATTAAATACAATTTCAATTATAGAGATTTCTCCATTAATTCACTTGTTTAAATGTAAGCACGTTTTCTGGTTAGCTTTTCCGAATAACTCGGATGGAGTTCTTAATAGTTGCATGTAGGAAAGCATTCATCTTGCAGACCTGAACTCATTCATGCTACTGACCTGAAATCATTGTCAGCTATAGTTATGTGTGCATATAATATGTAACAGTCAGTCCAAAAAACGATTCAATTTCTACATTAGGTGATGTTTATTAAGTGTTTTGAAATAATTATCATTGTCATTCATAATATCATTTAGCTCTCTGGTTGCGGAGACATCCCCAAGCTCTTTCTATCCTGAAGAAAAGTATGATTCAAAGCCTCGTTTGCTGTTATTCTAGTCGCAGGGTTTAAATCTAGACACCTCTCCAGTAGATCATATGCCGATGCCGGCACATACCGTGAACACGAGCCACAATCACATGTACAGCGGCTTCCATCGAGATGTTCTCGAATGGGTTCACCCGTCTGATCACGTGAACCTTCCGACATTAACCGAACTTTTGATTCCCCTTTTGAAGCATGTGTTCTAACAGCAGTATTAGGAACTTTGTCATCGTTCCCTACATGACCATTTCTCAAGTTTTCACTTGGTTTGGTCTTACTGGATTTCAGTGAATCAGTTTGGGAAGATGACAACAGACCATTGGTAGGATTTTGTTGAAGAGGAGAAACTTGCAGGACTTTTTTATCTCGGTCAACGGTACGAGAATGAGACTTATCGCTTTCTCCAATCTTGGAGTTTTTTGTTGATAAAGTGTCTTTTGTATTGCTTTCAACACCTGTAGTTTTTGGACTTGCATGTAAACTAGTTCTTCTTAAATTTGATGCCGGAGAAGAAGGTTCGTTCTTTGGTAGAAGTTTGCTACATGAATTGCAACATTTCGTAGAGATTTCTTCATTTTCTTTTTGCTGCTTTGCCGAGCGCAATTTCTGGCAAAGTTTTTTGAGTTCATAGCCTGGTGAAATGCTGTTGCAAACCATGTATTTGCCTGAGCAAAAGATTTAGAAAGGTAGAAAAGTGAGATGGATTTTCGGCAACATTGCTTGCAAGACTGTTTTCACCTCCTGGTAAACGTATTTAGGGTATTTAAAGTTGAGTGTGATGCACATTCAGAACGACTGGCGCCTGTGAAACGATTACACTGCTTAAAGTCTGCCCAAATACAGTACATAGCAAGTCAACAGACTATAAAACATCCATCAGAAGTGAATTGGATCCGACAAAGTTGGATCGTGTGAACGGGACTTTACAATAATGCACTTCCAAACGCATCTCGTACCTTATTACCCGTATTAATAATTGTACAGCTTTTCTTACCGATAGAACCATAGTGAAGGCCTTTATTGATAGATTGTTCAAACTTACCTAGATGTTTAGTGCTCTCCATAACACGTTGCTTACCAAACACGGTAATGATTTGAGCCAAGGCTGTCATGTCATCCGCACATCGAAAAAATGGATATTTACCACTCAGAAGACACAAAAATATTATTCCAGCCGACCACACGTCGACAGCTAGAGGGTAAACAAAAATAAACATATAACCAAGAACAGTACATTGCACCACATTGAGCAGCTCGTAGACGCAGAGTAAGACATCTCTCATACTGTAAATATCTTGACTAACCCGTTGTCTGCTCGGGATGTTTCAGTAAAACTTCAGGAGCACGGAAGCCAGATGTACCAGCTCTTGGGGCACTTTGAGCAACTCTAAACGTATAATACACGAAAATTACTTGCAATTTGTATTTCCAAACAAGAACGTTTAGCTATAATCATAGGGAGAATCGCATTGGTTTTGTTAACCCTCTCAGCCAAACAATCGCCAGGTGTAATCTCTTCCTCAACAAGGGCCAGACATTCACATACAGTTGAGTTTATTCACTATATGCAATTGATCAGTTACTGCATGCCAATATGATGTTCATATTTGCGAGCCCAGTTAATGTAATTTAATGTACCTTTTAATACAGAGAGTGCATATTTCATACGTCTTGTGTTTTGTTTGACATAATCCTGTAGCCATCTTGGATGAAAGCGGCAAAGATTTTCCATCGAGTTTTTTCTCTTGCTCGCTCGGTGACACGAATCTCACGGCTCGATTTTTTTGCTTGGCGCTTGTTTCAACATCCTTACTGCCACTATTTTCGACAGAAGGCTTTGCTGTCTCCTTCACTGTTGACTTCACGACACCGTTTGCTTGACGAGCAAGCTTGTGTGAGGTCACCGCCACTCTTGGGCTTGTCCTTGGCTTTTTAGGTACTTGACTATTCTTGCTGATGCTTTCTGGTGATAGTTGTCTTGCGTTTTTCACGTTTGAGGATTTCGAATATTTACCTAGTCGGATTAAATAGTAGAGAATAGTACAAAAGGTACAGGGTATTCTTTTGCTTCAAGCCGCTACTAAGTCCCACCCAGCGGAAAAAAGACGAATAAAATACGCTACGTTTCGGATATGTAATAAGTGGAAAACATAGCTTAATATTTTGAAATTATACAAGATTTTTCCTCTCTGCTAAGCTGTCGTATCTAATTTCTCATAAATATTAATCAAATCTCATAATAATATAATCTCATAAACATTTTCTCTAGTTTTGCTCTTTTCATAGTTCAATTGACTATTTTCTACAGCTCCAAAAAAGAATACCAAGAAACAACATGTAGGGCATCACAATGACAAACTGAGAGTGAAAGAAACGAAGATGTATAGGTTGCAATAAATGTGAAGAAGTTTTTAAAATAAGTACACATACCATTTTTCTTTTCAATATCCCATGCATTGCGAGAACCAGGTTCATGCATTGCCAACCCAAAGTCAACCAAATTGTATCTGTGAATAATAACACAAGGTAAAAAAGGGCTGAAAAACCTGACATTATTTATATACTTTTATATACAGTACATATAGCTAAAGAAATTCTAAAATATTTATCTGACATGATCTAGTACCTTCCAGATTTTCTACAGTGAAGAAAGTTGCCAGGTTTAATATCTCTGTGGATAATAGAGAAGCTATGGATATGCTTCAAAGCTAGCAGGAGATTCTTAATATAGTCTTGAATACTTGACACTGTCATTGAATGAAGATAATCCTTTATAGAAATAGGGACAACAAAATATTATTTTTCCAATAAACGAGAATGAGATGTTCGACAAACATATTCCAAACTTCTGCAACCTCAAAAATCAAACCCCAAAGGAAAATCCAAATTTGAAAAATTTGATACCACACCTGAAATCTATCATGGGGAAAATAAGGCAAAATAATGACATTATGGTCACAATGTCTGATGGTTCCTTTATAACCAATCACATTATTCTTTCCACTAAAATTATAAAAGAATTATTAACATAAAGTGCTGTGATATCTAAGAAGAGGATTGGTAAAATATTTTTATCCTTTACTGGAAATTTTATCTGCAATGCATGCATATGACTACTGTCAGCTAGCAAACAGTCCAGGCATTTCAAAGGTCCCAAGTTTTTTATACATCTATATAATGGGTGAAATTGATTGTATGGGCAGAGAGATGCAACAAGATTTTATATATACAAAATTTTCAAAAAAAAACTCACCCCATTTCCTGTAAGCATCGAATTTCCCTTTCCACTCTGTCAGGAGAACTTGTTGGAATGATGTGTTTTAAAGCAAACTTTTCATCTGGATATTTCACAAGGCTAGCCAAATAAACATCGCTAAATGTACCTGCACAGAATAAAGTCAACAGCTTAGAAAGTAAGGTTCTCCAACCTATTCTTTTGCTGAAGTTGGAGGGCTCAAGTGCCAATATTTAATAGGCATACAAACTGACTTGCAATGATGGCCATTTTGTAATATCTAAGTGTCATATTACTGTATGTAATTCCATATATAAACTGTACCTTCTCCTATTTTGTTTTCAATAACAAAGTTTGCTTTAAGTTCTGGAACATTTGCAAACAAATCATCACTTTTTCTTTCCAAGAACTCTAAAACGATAAAAATAATTAAATAAACGTGCGCGGTGTGTATTTAATAAATACAGCATGTTTTTAAAATATATTAAATATTGCCCAAATTATGACCTTGTAAACAAAGCAAAGAATACAATAACGAATTTAAAAAACTACAGGGGAAATACACCAACCTTTACAAGGTTCTTGAGTAAAGGTTTTATCAAAATCATTCTGCTTCTTCCCTTCGTGTCTCGAGTCATCACGCTCAAATTTTTCCACATTTTCCCAACATTTTGGAACATTCAAATCAGGACTTTCACGTTCTGTAACGCTTGCTTCGAGGACACATTCTTTATTTGCCATAATATTGGGGAAATTTAGCTTAGTTTTTGTACAATTATCTTTCCTCTGTCTTTTATAAACAAATATGGACGATTTCCCGCGCTTTTTAAAAGAAAAGAAGAAACGCTCTTTAAACTCAGGACGGATACTTCGTGTAAGATTATTGTTAGGCATACGAAACAAATACGGCATACATTTATATAATATATATTTTTAAAAGAAATAAATATCGAAAATATATTTTACAGTCAGTTTGAGCTATATTTTTTCCCTTTAAAAGTCTGTTTACACGATCCAATTTTGTTGGATCCAATTCACTTCTGATGGATGCTTTATAGTTTGTTCTCTTGTAAGTATATGAGCAGCAAATCTACTGAAGCCAATGCAGACTATATTTCATACGTCAAAAGTGAATTAGATCCAACAAAATTGGATCGTGTGAACAGACCTTAAGACTTTTAAGTTACATAATTTAATATTCGTTTTATCATCTAACTCGACTGAGTGACTGAGTTACATGTGTTGAGACAAGAGGTTGGCACGATGATCCATCAACGTCAACATGTGGTCTTGTAATTTCTGGCGATAAAGAAACATTGTATTTATTACCTCGTCAGCATAAAGAACGAACTTGGGAATAGGGGCCAGGGAACAAGAAGGAGGGGGTTGGGAGGGTGCTTTCGCCTCCCAGTTTAATATGTAAAAAAGGCCTGTCAGGGAATAGGGATAACAACACACTGCATTCACTTACCGCTAGAGTTTCGTCTAAATGGGTTTCCACGCCTTTTGTAGGCGACCTTTGACTTTGTCTGTGGGAATCGCAAACCTGAGATATGAAATGATAATTAATACCATAAATTGAACTGTATACCATGACCAGCTACAGTAGCAATTTATAAAGTTAAGCAGACAGTCTCGACCCATCTCTATGGTCTCGACCTGTGTCTTACTTGATTCATATTTTGACTCTCAAGATGTCCTGTTTATTCGGAATTTGTTTTTTGTTGAACTGTATACGTTTCCTAGTCTAACTACATGAGGGAACTTCTCAATCTTCTGACTCTTCTCGTCTGGACTTACTACATAATATGACCGTGGTAACTTTACACTTTTTAATATTACAGTATGTTGTACAATTATTTCAAACAACTTACTGTATGTTGCAAGTTTTGAAGATCAGAACGCAATGTGTTCAGCTTATTCTAGGAAAATAAATTATAACAAATAACTATTGATAATGAATGATAACGAATTCGAATAAATAAATATTAAAATTGTTTAGACTTTCTCTTGGGTCTTAGGAAATATTTTGAACTACCTCTGTCACTTGAGATGATAGTTTGCTGTTAGTTGAAGCTAGTTTTTCCTCTAGAGCAACAACATCGTCTTCCTAAATAAGGAATTAAATTTTGAAAGACATGAAAAAATTCGACTGTCTGATTTCATTTTTGAATTTGAATAAATTTGCTACATTGATAACAAATTGGCTCAGAGATTAAGCATACATATATGCATGAAGATTCTCACCAGGTAGTCGTGTTCAGAAACATTGCAATATTCTTTCTTTTTTGTTCTCTTAGTCTTTAACTGCATAGTAAAATCACCGTTACCATAGTGTAGGTGACGATGCAGTTGATTGACAGTACTGGTTGCCGGTGTCTGTGCCACGACGTTGTCATAGTGATGATGGTTTATAACCTCGGTAATAGGTACCGCTGAAACGTCCATTTGAGCCGGCGATTGTGTAGTCATTGGTGCATTGTCACCATAGTGATGGTGATGGACTTCATTTATTGGGGTAACCGCTGGTAGTCTTTGAAAACCCTGCATTGTTTTCGAGTCTCTTGTATTTTGTTGAGGAGGAAGACTGGGGTCATGGTAATGATGATACTCATGATCGCCATGAGTGCGTGGCGTGTAAATATGATGACGTATCTCGTGCGTCGGGGTGACGTCATCTAAAATGTAAATCAATGTTTAAGGTACTCATTAGATGTACTATACATAACTTCACTAATGAAAACAATGATAACTAGGGATGCAAGCTATCTACCAAAGTAAATAGAAGGCAAAGAGCATTTAGTAGCATTGAAAAGAAGGGACAAAATCTATTTCGTTTGGGGCATTACTTTATCAAGTGTACTACTTCTATTTTTGTAATCTTAAGAACCGGCTTACCACGGTAACCCTGAACCGATCGGAACACGCTTTCTAATTGGCTGGTAATCACTAATCAGGCATTGTTATACATGAATTGCAAAGTACTAGTTAATTGATCATTTAGCTGTTTAGCTGTTTAGCAACAACCAATCATACATGGTCTTTCGATTGGTACTAGCTAGCTCGCCTACCAGACTTTTTTGGTCTTGATAATTCGCGATCTCTGTCGTCCAGCGCCTTTCTCAAGTGACCTACTTCGTGAGCAAGAGCATCAACATGTCGATCTGGAAAACACAACAATATGTCTACTCACGGTGAATTTACACAAATTATTATAAAAGATAACGAATAATGTTTTCTGTACATAGATAATTACCATGTTTTTTATCCTCGAGTTGCTTATGTTTCAGCAAATTCTCGACCGACAAAATCTGTGTGAAAATTCGACATATATTTAACCGATCACGATAAATAACGATATGATCGATACTGAAACTGATATATTTAATCCATATCTAACAGCCACATAATAAGGCATGCATGATATAAGAATAATATACTTTATTTTCAGCATTTTTCAGATCAGCTTCTATTCGTCTTCTGCTTTCATCCATCTTGCGCTGAGCTCGGTTCTTTTTCCTTTCTTCCTCAATGATATCCTATTCAGTGCGTTGAATTACCAATGAACTGTCCATATGTATATAGGTTTCGAACAAAAATTAACAAGCTCCATACTACACGAATACCCCGAGAAAGTTGTTCGAAAAGCGTTTAGCTGAAACAGCAGATAAGTTGAAAACGGAAAACAAAATTATGCATGTATTTATTGAACAACAAAGCTGAATTTTTTCGATGTGAATAGTTTAAATTTCAATGGTAGTACGTATTTAATCCATGGGATGGAGGTTCAGTCATTCACAAGATGTATGAGAGTATTAACTCTGGCTTATCCACCGTTTAAGCTAAACGCCTTTCGAAAAACCGGACCTAGTTCTGTCTAATCAGTTTATTTCAACGCCCACTTTGTCGGTTGTTACCTCATTTGCCTTCTTGCGTTCGGACAGGAGTCTTTTCAATCCATCCAAATCCTTACGTAATTTTCTCTTTTCATCTTCATTCTATACAAATAAATGTCAATGCATTCCAGTATTTTCCAGGTATGCCATCCATGTTATAATGTCGACTACTCACTAGCATACGAGGAAGTTTAATGGTGGAAATGCTAAGAATACTTGTACTAGAATATAATACAAATATTGTACTTGATCAACAAGACTAGTACTAATATATACTGTACACACACCGCAGCATTCTGAGCACGATGAGAAAGCATCGCCTCCAATTCTGAGATCGCCTTGTCCTTGTCACGAAGCTAAAAGAGCAAAAGAGCAAATCCATTCAATATTGTGTTGTGCATTATTTTAAACATCGCTTTAATTCACGTGGAAAACATAGTCATTAGTACTGGTCAAAGTTGCACCGTAAAACAGAGAATATATTTTTAGTCAAACCTCTTCAAAATGCTTATCTTGAAGTTCTTGAAGTTCATCTTGTAGTTCCTGAATCTCGTTTTCCAAACGATCTTTCTGTCGCTTGGCGAGATCTCTCACATGATCCACCTTTAGAAGAAAATTTCCAGTTTGTACAGAACTTGAAGGTTTTATGAACACAGAACACAAAGGAAATATAGTGACACTTCTTTGGTAAAGTTAGTGACACATGTTTGGTAAATGTGATACACAGAGACCAACAAGGGGGAGAATACCAGTACGTGGTTAGAGAATCTGGTCTATACGTCTAAAAACGACCAGGTTATTACAATATTGATATGAACAGGATTAAACAATGTTGTGCTGCCCACATTGTTCAGTCAAAATTAAACAATATTGTTACACCAGATTTATTTTCAACGATAATATTCGTTGTTGATAGTGGATGTGAGAAGGTTTAACCGCGACAGACTTTCATCCATGTAGATATGTAGTGATAAGTTGTTCTCTGTTATCATCATCCATTTATTACAATTAAATACCAGCTGATTCACTGTATAACATGCATGCTCACCTCGTCTTGATATTTATCAGATGGTTCTTGTAATCGTTTACGCAGTCTTCCAATTTCATCTTCCAACTCTTTGATTTCATCTCCTTTTCTTACGGAGTCATCTTTTAACTGACGAGAAAACGTCATATTTTATCTTTAATGAGATTGTTTGAGATACAGTAGTTGAAGCTAAGATAAGCACATCTTCACTTATTTTATTATATGGCAAGCGTCACTTCCGCGAAATGGAGCTCAGTGATTGGCTGAGAAGAATTTTCAGGGATCCATTGCTTTCCCGTAATGGACCGGCACTTTCCTGTAATGGCTGGCGTTACCGGCGATCCATTACGAGATGAAAAACAGAGAAATTCTGAATGAAAAAGGCACAAATAAACGCTCAAGAGAAAATTTAATCACTTTTGAAATTAATAAGACGTCTCCAGACAGTTTAGATAAACTAAATAGTTCAATATTTATAGTTTTTGTTTTTATCAAATTGCTCGTCAGGCTACTAATACGAATTCATGCATTTCTTGTTTGTTTCAAGTGCAAATACATGCCTTATGCCATAATAAACTTTTTATTAACCTCGCTGGCTCGGTCTTTACCGAGAAATATCGGACCGAGGACTTTTTGAACAGACCGAGCTTGAAGAGTGAGGTTTGTACAAAAAGATCGAGGGTAAAGACCTCGCACTCGGTTAATAAGAAGTTAGTAAAATATGCAGAAAAACGAGGGAAAATTATGGTGCATAAAAGTGGTCTTTATACTAATATATTTGGGCAGCATTGGAATAGTGGTGTACAAGTTACGTGATATACTGTACCTGCGCTAAAGCGTTTTCCGCCGCCATCAACTGACTTTGTGTTGAGCTCAGCTCTGCTCTTAAACCATCAACTGCGGCCTTTGCCTTAAGGAAAAACAGTCAGGACCAAAAAGAAATAGCTATTACTGGTATAAAGGTAGTCTGCTAACATATATTTCTCGATAAGTGAATAGCCATACTTGTTTTTGTTGATGTTTTCTCTTCTGTCTTTCATCCTCGAGATCATTCAGCAAATCAAGATATTTTTTATGTAAATCAGCCAGGCACTCTCCTACACCGTCTGTTTCATCAAAAGGCTGTCTTATATCCGTATGTCCTTCATTTAAATCATTTACTAGGTTTTTCAATCTTTTAAGCAGTTTATCTTTGTCATCAGCGTCTCTCGCTCTTCTTTTCAGTTCCTGCTCTGCTTCGACAAGACGGTCTTTTAAAGCTTCGTTTGTCGCCTAAAAATAATAGAATTTAAATCAAACGAAGTTAAGAGTTGCTGCATGTCTATACTGAAATACCTGAGTTGGACCCGTTCATTGTTATTTGGGAAACCGAAGCACTAGTATATATATAATACATACCTTCAGAGCGTTGACTTGTAAAGCAAGTTCCTTAATATCTTTCTCCTTGTCACCAAGTCCTCTCGCGGCTTCTAGAGCTTTTGCAATGCGATCTTGGTCGCGTTCAGCACGCGCTCTCGCCGCTTCACGTTCTTTCTGGGAAAAATATCGAAGAAAACGATATTATTAGCCAACGGTATTATTCAAGACTTTTAGTGTAAAATTAGCTTGACCACAGTGGGAGTCAAACCCGCGACCTTTGGTTTGCTATTCCAATGCTTTTCCAACTGAGCTTCGAGTAGTTGATATTTCGGAACTCAATCTATAGTCTCTTGTATATCTGTGCTTCTTAAAGTGATAGTAATAGTGCATAAGATAGAGCCTAATTTTTCAGCTTATCCGGTTGATGACTCAAGAGTAGCATCATCACAATATTCATTACATATATGCACCTGAGTCTTAGGCACAATAACTTTCAGTGTAAGTTTGAACTATAGAAAACAACGATTATTTCTGGAACACCTTCGCCGATACCGGCGATCTCAACAAATAGCTATATAGCAGGCTATATCATTGATCACACAAGAAATAAATCACACCTCCAGTTGCGCTTTCATCTTCTTGATGTTGTCTTGAAGTTGTGCAATTTCTTTGTTGGCATGTTTCACTTTCCCGTCGGCTTCCATTAATCCAAGTTTGTTGTTTTTCTCAAACGCTGTCAGCCTTTCCTTTAATTCATCCCCCTTCAACTCAGCCTCTTGTGACTTCCTCTCCTCGTTATTTAATGCAACTAATGCATCTAGAGTAGAACTGAATAGTTTAATAGATTGTCGCATAAGTTACCAGACAGAATGTTCTAGAGATGTAGTTTTTTGCTTGCCAACCATCTGCTGTGACACTTGTAACGTTTACTAAAACCCGCCAATGAAATCCATGGCATGCAGTGGTAGGCAAACACACAGCTTAAAAAAAACATCAGTTTGTTTATCTTTAAACATACTGCGTATTGATAAAAATATGAGTTATTTAGTTGATAACTATATACAGTACTAAATTATACTTGGGAAGATAAGAATTAAGTTACTCGAAGATGCTGCCACACTGGTTATTTGGTCTACATGTATATCTTTAGCTACTGTAACTAAAATGGTTCTATCTTAGGTTTATCAACATCACCATGCATTTCCCAATACTACGAAATACTACGAAAGCTAAAACCACCATGTTTTCGGGAGATCTCCTTTGGCACTTACATTGCAGTTTTTGCTCCATATCTTCCAGACTTTCTTGTGTGTCTTTTCCTTCTTCAATCTCAGCTCTCAAATCATCTCCTTCTTGTTCCAGATCATGTATTCTAGCTTGCTGTTCTTTAGCAAGATTTTGAAGCTCTCCCAATCGTTTGTTCAACGCAAGAATAACTCCTTCAAGTTCATTCTTTAGTTGCTCAATCGCCTCGTGAGATATCGGAGGTTCTAACAAAATTTTAAAAAAGACGTGAAGCCTAAAACAATTGTAATCGGAAGGTATTTATCGGAAAACTACAAAATGATTAACAAAGAAACTAAAGTGGAATGATATACGTGTACAGGCTGGAAACATCCACACTTTTTCTAGACAAAATTATTTTATGGATCAGTCCAGGAGGTCGGCTACACCAACCTTCTTCCAATTCTTTTCTTAATCTTTCGACTTCAGCTTTTTCTTCTGCAATCCGCTGATTCAGCATTTCTAGTTCTTCCTTCATCTGCGATAATTTGTCGTATGCATCCCGTAGTTCAGCTTCTTTCGACCTTAATTCCTGATCGAACTGCATAAAAGGAGACATGCACATTCCTTCACAAAACTGAGAATTGAATATACTTTGCAAAAACACGAATAAAGTCAATTAGCCTTTCTCACGATGACGTTTTTGGGTACAATTTGGGTTCAATTTTTTCAAACGGGTTTTAAGAGTTATAACAACATGAAAAGCAATTTTTTTAGAATCATTGGAAGAACAACTCCAGCCTAAAATTAAAGACTGTGGCCGTTATGAGGCACACGCTTGCAGTTTTGAGAAAAAGTACCCCAAAAATGGCGGCATATTCGTCATCGTGAGAAAGGCGAATTTAACAAACGTTATATTTAGATTAGACGTTACATTAGAAAGTTTTGAAGTTTGTAGTTCGTTGAAAAAAAATTCGTAATACAATTACTAGCACGTTTGCGACAAAGATTCTAATCCGCTGCTAAAAATACGGCCAGTCTGATGCTGGCTTTACTAATTTAAAAACATTATTGAAAGTTGAGTTGAGATCGACCGTAGAAATTTATCGCAAATATTGTTATCATTGAGCACTTCATAAATTAATACCGGCGCTGAGGTCGGGGTACCTGTGGATCATCATCGCTGCCACCAAAGTTATCCCTTTCTCTCCCCAGTTCTTCCAATTCTCTCTGTTTTTCTATGACGTCATTTGCGACGATTTTCATCCTTGCCTCCAGTTCCTCGGCGGCTGCCTGAAGATTCTTGATCTGGGAAAATGCATTAAAATAGATGATTCCAGTCAGAAGAAATTCAATGTAAAACAATGCAGAACTTTACGAAATGTTTGGAAACGTAAAAAAAACATGTTCCGATCTCGAAATTTCACTAGATTTGTGTACGTAATGAAAAAATAATTCAAATATTCATTATTTAGTTCGGGTTTTAATCATTCTAAGGTGTTCTTTCCAGCTGTGGTTGGATTTTGCTCTCTTTGCCTGAATAAGGGTATGTAATTTTGTCTATAACAGGGTATTATTTTTAGTACTCACAAACTCAATCTTTTCTGCCAGTTGTTTCCTCGCAAGCTCATTACCTTGACCGAGAGTCGCCATCTAAAAAATAGATTTTTGATGAAGAATAAAATATTTCATTTCTACTGAAAAAGCGACAAAAGTTGCGTCTAGCATTAAAGTACGGTATAGGATGTAAAGATGTAATTAAAGCGTTTAGCTTTTAATCGTGGAGTTGAACCAGATGTGAACCTTTGTAAAACACAGTCGAATTTCTTACCTGTTCCGCGAGGGAAAGTTCTAGGGAGGCTAACTTTTCTGAAACATCCCGAAGTTGATTATTCTTCTCATCGATTTCGCGTTGTACTATTGATAAAAATTACTTGAATTATTATTATACAGAGTATAAACACAGGACATTTAATACGGGGCTGTGTTCACATACGACTCTTTCGTTCCCTCCCCAAACCGAAATCGATTATACTATATTATATGGTATGGTATGGTATGGTATGGTATGGTATGTATGGTATGATATGGTATGATATGGTATGGTAGGGTATGGTAGGGTATGGTATGGTATGGTATGGTATGGTATGGTATGGTATGGTATGGTATGGTATGGTATGGTATGGTATGGTATGGTATGGTATGGTATGGTATGGTATGGTATGGTATGGTATGGTATGGTATGGTATGGTATGGTATGGTATGGTACATGGTATGTCGCACACATTTTTTGCGTTAAGTAGAAACCTTTAAGTAGAAACCTTACACTGTCTAAGTGCTTCTTCCTTTTCATTCAACACTCGATCTAGGTCAGCTCCCATCTTTTCCAAATCTTCATAATTTCTTCGTAACGATTTCACATGAGCATTCTGTCCTGCCATTCCAGATATGTGTGATGCTCGTACGAATTGATTTCGTTTGAAAGTCGCCTTTCCAATATATGTACTGTCGTCCATTCCATCCTGTTCATCAACCTGAAAAAGAAATTATCTCCTAAAAATCATTATATCTATGGGACTATTAACTAAGGATTGCAAATTATTGTTACTTCATTTATCAGTTACATTTCTGTATTCGTACCTCATCATCAAGTAAAGGCAACTGACCAAGAAGTTCAAATTTTGCATCCAGTTTATAAAACGCCAACTCTTGCTCCAGTCTGTACTGTTTTTCCGAAGCTTTTATCAGATCTGCATTTTTTGCTTTCACCTTATAAAAACAAAAAACATCTGTAAATATTTTCTCTCCTCAGTCGTGCTGGCCAGGGGTCAGATATTGAAAGACATATACAACTAAACACAGGCCGCTTTCCTTCATACGGAAAAAACGGCCAGACCGGTCCTGTTGTATTTCGGTACAGTCAGATTACTGGTATTTTAGAGTGTTTCAAGAACTTTGCATTCGAGTATATCGTTATCTACATCTGCCTAGCACGGGAAATATAGTTTTATCGCTATATTCTTAACGAAATACTCGATTTAAATTTAAAATATGACCGGTCTGACCATTTCGGCCGCTTAATGGAAAGCGCACACAGACTAGAATTACGGCACAACATGTATACGGTTTAATAGTGGTGTGCTGCTACTCTGAGTCACCAACCGGGCAAGCTGAAAAATTAGCTTGACCACCGTGGTCAAGCTAATTGGTCCAGCTAATTTTTCAGCTTGCCCGGTTGGTGACTCAGAGTAGCAACATCACATATACATTTAATATACACACCTGAGTCTTTGCATTATCACTAGTGGTATGCTATTCAGAACAGTCTTATAAGATCTCGGTATTCACATACCAGTGTATTCTTGGCTTCTATGTCTTGTTCCAATTCTTTCATTTTTTCCGCTTGTAGCTTTTCTTTTTCTTTCAAAGCATTCTGGACATTCTTTAACTCTACAATCGTCTTATCAGCTTTCTTCTTCTCATCTTCTAACGCTTGATGAACTTTTTCTTGTTTTGCAAGTTCCACCTCAAGGCGCTGAACCTCTTCTAAAATTTTCCACAACTTCGGGTTATAGTAGAATAGTACACATATAGTTTAAAGGTACGTCGTTTAAACTCATGGTATATAGTATATGTACAAAATGAATTTAAATTACTGGGAAGAGTTATAATGACTGGTTGAACAGTCGTTCACCATATTGGATTATTGAATGGGAAACTATTCGAAGATGCCGCCACGTTGTTCCATGGTTATTTTCGAACGTATCTTCAAATATTTAAACAATTTAATGGCAATTTTACCTTGGGCAAATCGTGTGTCTGCTTCACGTCTTTCTTCCTTCGTGACTTTCTGATTGTCCAAAATTTCCAGGCTTCGCAATTGATAGATAACAAACTGACGATAATGTGGCAGACTGTTGAATGGATTATCTTGAAGATTCAAGTTTGTCAAATCTTGGAGTGGTCGTAGTTTCGTGACTTCTAATAACTAGATATTATGAAAACACGGTGATTTGTAACATTACAGCCCCAGTTAGGGCTGCATTTAGACTGGGTTCATAATGAAATTGGCTCAATGGACCAACTATGGTCCTTCATCATTCATTCACAATTAAATAAATTAATTAAATAAGGCTCAAACAATGAATGGACAAATTGTTTTGTTGACATGCTAATTTATCAATAAATTCACAACATCATACTAATCCCCACTTACTGATTCCAATTTATTGTTTGACAAATTCAGCAATTTTAAGGTTCGTATTTTCTTTATTGTCTGCCGAGGTATTGATGCAATTTGATTTCCACTCAGATTTAGTGCTTCTAGTTTCTGCATACTTTCCACACACTCAATCACTTTGATGCAATTATGTGATAGGTTCAGCTCATGTAGCTCAGTCAGGGTCTCTAATTTCTGCATTTTTTCTATCATGTTGTTGCTTAGATTAAGAGTCCGCAGCCTCTTCAATTTCTCTAGGTTTTCTATGTACTAAAATGATTACAACACATAAATGAATCAATTTACAAGTCTGCTCAAAGCATTAAGAGGTGTGCCATATAGTATGCACATAGTTCTTGATATGAACTTGCATACATTTAGGTAAGGGGTGAGAGTTTATCAACAGCTGGAGTAACATATTTGAGTGTGCATGTAATACCTTAATCTTTTTATTTAGTTTATCTTTAGGGAAGTGAATGGTCAAAGATGTTATTAGATCAAAATTTTCTTCTTTTGTTATTTGCTTGATCAAAGTCTCAGAGATGTATGCCACTGAACCACTTTCTCCAGAAGCATTCGTTGATTTCCCTGTATTTGTTTCAGAATTCTTCTCTTTTTCTTGTGTAATACCTAAAATTTATAGAAAGATACTGTACAGCAAAACTCATCAACGTACCCCATGCATGCTGGCAATGACCAAGATGCAAACCACCCTAATATGTAGTATGTATATACAACTTTACTCTATAGAGCCAACTGGTTGCTTGCCAATATGGATACCTACAGTTGTGCTATCATGCACTAATTGCACTTTTATGCTTATAGGCAAGTGACACTGTTGGTATAACAAAGCTGTAATTAAGTGTGATTTTCTGCTGACTGAGGCACAAAAGAGGCAGAAAATGTTTTTCATACACACTGATGGGGGGGGAAGGCTTATCTACAGGGGGTCCGGGAGGGGAAGGTCAGTTTTTGTTTTGCTAGCAGGCCTGACCTAAAATCACCACCCACCCACCCTGGGCAGTAATTCAGTTATAATTGCAGGGTTTTGTAAATACTAAGTTTTAGTTAAGGATGCAATGTACATATGAGAGATGAGGATTTATTAAAGGTCAAGGGCAAGCAAGGCATCCCACCTGGCAGTGTGTGTGAATGTATGTACAGTAGTTGTGCTGTAACACAAATTATTACTTAGTTTTTAAATACATGCTGTAGTCTTGTTGTATATATGTTTACAAAATATATGTTTAGAATTTGACTGGGACCACTGTTTGATATTTTTTAGCTAGAATAAAAAGTGTGCAAAATTGCATGCCTGAGATTTCAGAAAATAATAGTTAACATAAATATTTTGAATAGCTTCAGGGCAGATTTTTGTGCCTTCACATGAAATGCACCATGACATACCACATTGTTCACATCATGCCTACAGCCTAGTGAGCCTACCTGGCTGTCCAGTTATATGAGGTAACTTTCTTGAAACATCACCTCTTGAAGTCGGGGACAAAAGCTTGCCTTCAACTTTCTCAGCCTTATCCATTTCTTTTAAAGTTAAATCGTCCAATACAGCATTTTAAATGCGATGTACAGCATTTACATTGTCATATTTATTGGTGTTTCATTTGTATAAAATATATACAAATATGCCGAAAGATGATCATACTCAATTTTCCATTGGTTTCGCGTGGACGTGCCCTACTGCAAAACGTTTGCACACATAAAAGCAGTATAAACAAATATTATTAAATTAGAATTCAGTTCACAAAGTCCAAATAATCAACAAATATAGTGAGTAGTTGCTAAGAATTTGTTGTTCACTCCTCATGTTGACTTTTCCAAACTGAATAATAACTGTGCGTATTAGCGAAGTACTTCATTTAAAATAACCTTTGAAGGATTCGAGCTCCCAATTCATTCCCAGCTAACCCAGGCGATGCTCTGGGCCCAGAGAGGAGTATGTCTGGGTGACGCGAGGTTGTCTAACCCAAGGAAACGCTACCAGGAAACCAACACAATGAACACATATTTGATGTTTCTGTGTACCCGAGTTAGGAGATCGCAATGAATCTAATGAATTCCTTGATGTAATTTTAATATTTATCATTTTACTAGAAACCATGCCTTGGAATCTAGAGGCCTTCTCATATACTTGTGGGCCTATCACTACCTATGATCACTACCTATCACTACATATTAGAAAAATACAGGAGTTAATTCAAATGTTTACATTCGTGAGACTATTTTAGGAGTAAAAAATCTTGCACTTAACCATAAATCCCTATTTATAAAGATCTCATTTAATGCACCCTTTTTCAAAAGTGTTCCTTGCATGCTTATGTCATTCTTGAAATCAGTAATAAAAAGAAATTAAATCCCTTAATAACAATTGATAATTTTAACATGAAGGACACTTCTAAACATCATTAATTAAAACGCACTCAAGCCAAAGCCTGTCCGGCCGGAAAATTGATTTACGAAAACCTATAGTCGAAAGGCTTAACTCTTATTCCTGTATGCCAAAAGCTTAGTCACAACAAAACTCGCTGAACGTAAGTCATTTCTCTATCCGACTAAGTGTAAGATTGTAAGATTTTAGGATGTAAGCTTTAGTATCGGCCGTGTCGGCTTAGGAATGGAAAAGTTAAAAGAAATGGAAATTTATAAAATAAATTTTATACTTCTCCATCCTTTTCCCATTCTACTGAATGCATTGAGAATAATGTAGTGATATATACTGTAGATTTAGTGATATATTTCAAACTTTAAAGCTTCGAAGCAAATTCCCCCTTTAACAAAGGCCGTAAATATTTCTCATAGGCTGGCATCACCTGTAAAAAAAAAGAAAAATTATTCAACCATACCAATCAGTTCGGTCGACAAAATTCCTTTTTAGAAGAAAAAAACTGACTAACTCTTTACATGATCGAAGCATCGTAATTAAATACATGTAAGCTACAAGAGTTGCCAACCCCATCAAAAATGACAATATCAGCATGTCAACTCTTTTACAGTAAAATAATAATATATCGAGCGATAAGTACAGTTTGGTTCTCAATTAAGAGCGTTGTGCAAACTGCCCCCTATTATCCGCTAAATGCTCCTATTATTCGCTATTATCCGCTAAATGCTCCTATTATCCGCTATAGAACTTATCCCGCTAGCAGCTGCATGGGAAGTAACTCAAGTAAGTAATGCAAGTAACGTGCACAATCACATTTAAAGTATATTTGGGTTTCGGCAAATATCACTCACCTCATTTTTATTCAGTGGAGATTTCTCTGCCCATTTCATGAGATGTTCATAAACATTCCCATCATAACGACCGAGTACTGAGTTGAGAAGATGATCGGAATAGTAAAAAGCATCTACGAGGCCAACGGCATTCGGTCTGAAATGAAATTTGAATAGTCCAATTATCCCAGTCAGAGAAAGGAGCACAGCTGTTGTCACAAACCGTCATTACAAGTTACCTACACCCACTTGCGAGTTCAGAAGCTAGAAGCATAATTAGTTTGTTTGTTTGTATTTTTTACCCTGCCATTATTCCTTTGCATCAATGACATTTGGCGATGGGATAGTGGTTGGTAAGTAACTTAATGATAACGACTTTAAATCAGCGATGTTTTGCAAATTTTGGAAGTGGGGGAACGCCGAACGCGTATTTTAAATTTCAATGGGCGTGGCCTATATATGGGCGTGGTCAAAATACGTATAGGCATTGCCAAAATACGTATAACACAATATCATGATATACAAAGAGTAAATTCAAACTAATTATCTTGTTGAGACTATGTTCTATATCAGTGATATTTACTAGGTATATGGAAAATTTAAAATGTCTAAAGTAATTGCCAAAGTCGTTGTTTTGCGGCTGTCTGCTCCTGCTCACTTTCAGCATCTTCCTCTAACTTTCGCTTTCTTACTCTTTCATCATTGGCCGAATGATGTTTTCGCAACCAGGATTTAGTATATTTGTCTGGATCCCAAGCATTAATCGGAGGACCAACAAGTTTAATAAACATTAAATTCGATATTCGTTCAGCAAGTAGGTGATTTCTTACTGACGTACAAACCAAGTTCATTTGACTAAACCCACGTTCGCATTCTGCCGATGAGACCGGGATACAAGAGCAACATGTCAATAGAGGCTGAAGATCGTCAGGTACTCGTCTCCCTTGACATCAACATAGTCTTGGAACGCAGGCACTGTTGAACTTCTTGGAAGGGAAAACCGATCGCACAATGATCGTACCTCTTCCTCACCATAATTTAGATCAAGATCCTGTGGCCAATAAGTTGCCAGGGTAGAGAAAGCAAATCTGATCAAGAAGCTTCTGATAGGCAGCACTTTCGCGAACAGTTCCAGAGGCACATGTGGCAAAGAGACGATCTTTCATTGCATCTAGCAATTTGTCTATTGATGCATTAGCACCAATATTGACATGTCTCGATTGGAAACTAGTGGTACAGTGCCAAATCTTCCTTCCTTGACCGCATCCTTGGCTATCATCAACTTTGTTCCAGTCTTGCGCTTCAATGTTTCGATGCTTCTCGTGGACCGCTTGATACATCTGTTGGCTTTGATGATGTTCATTGAACGGTGTTGCATGGCCTCGGAGAGCTCAGAAAGCTCAAAAAGAACATCACACATGAGTGCCAAGTCCAACAGGAATTCCTCCGACTGGATTCGCTTGTTTAACCCCTCGTACATTGTTAAATTCTTTCCTTTTTCAGCTGCTTTGTTTTTGAACTGTTTGCAGAGTGCTTCGTAGTTGTTCCAAACTGCCAAAACCATCCTGTGACCACTCGCAATCCATCTCGTACTCAGTACCTTACCGATCTTTAGAAGCTGGACATCTAGACTTTTAGCAACTTCTCGTAGTTCGCGCACATTTTTGGGCGATTGGCTGTAAATTGAATACAGTCTTTCAACAAAAATCTTAAAATGGTTTATTCCCGTCAATTCTGAAATCCCATCGTCAACCGCAAGTTCTAGGCGATGACTAACAAATTTGAATAAGCGGAATCACTTTAAGGCTTGGCTACCAAGCACGAATCTATATATTTTTTTCACTATATGTTTAGATCATACAATATGTACGTTTCTTAGTACTAAGCAAAACTACAATAATCGATCATGCATTAATGAGTTTATGAGTTCTATACTTTTATAATGAGTTCTATACTTTTATAAATTTCGTTTGGGGGGACGGCGTTCCCCCATATGTAATTTTCACAAGGGGAACGTCGTTTTCCCGCGTTCCCCCTGCAAAACATCGCTGCTTTAAATAGAGCTACTAAACTGAAAGAATCATTTAAAAGTGTTGATAAATTCAACACGAGAACGATGATGTATGTACGAAGATGATGTATGTACACAAGAACAGTCATCAATGTTTCGTTGAGTACAATTGATGAGAAGTTATTCAAAGACGCTGTCACCCTGCTCTTTGTTAAATTTTCACGTTTTAGGTTTGAAACTGTCATGCAAATTCATATATAGCAACTGCCACTGTTTAAACCTACCTTATTTCATTGAACAATTCCATCATTACATCGTTCGCCATGCTGACATGAGTTCCTGTCATGTAGCCGTCCTGTGAAATGAGACAAGTATTATAACACCAGAGTGGCTTGAAATTCAAATTTGTCATTAAGGCTTTTCAAAATTTCGATAAAATAAAAATAATGATAGTTCACCTCTAAGAAATCTCTTGCGTTTTCCACAATTCCATGAACGCAATAAAGACTAAACAAAGCTTCCATAACAGGACGAAGGGTCGCGCTGAAATTTTCGTTCTTCATAGCATTGGAAAATTGTTCAACCACGAATTGATGACAATGAGCCTACAAAAAAGATCACAATGATGCACAGAATCCAAGAAATACTTTTCTTACTTGTACCAGAAACATGTTGAAAATTTGAGATTTACTTTGAAACGCAAAAGAAAAATCGCACCTGAGCAGCTCGTACTAACTCCACTGAACAATTGTTCCAAGCATCACCGGCACTTATACCATTTGACGTGCTCGATTTTACCTTTCTGGAAACAGCCAAAACTAATCTAGAGAGCGTCAATAAAACACAGTTAATTTACTTAATGCAAAATTGAGACGGTGATGGTATAATACAGTACTTGTATAATATTTGTCACGATATTGTAATGTGGTATGTTGTGGTATACTATATGTCATCTTATGGAAGGTATATCACAGTATGGAATGGTAAGATATTGGTATTGTATGGTATGGAATGGTATGGTATATGGTATATCGTATATGGTATATGGTATATGGTATATGGTATAGCCAAACCAAATGTTATTTATTGGTTAGCTAGGCAAAAATGCAATAGAAACGTGCTAGATAGGAACTTTTTGTATAAACCTGTACAATACAACAACTATTGTACAACTATCCCGTTTTAAAACCATGAATGCATATTCTAATAACCGTGACTTGAGTTAATATCACAATTCTACATGAAAGTTAGTGCTTAAAACCTTGCTGCTCTGTGCTTGTATGCTCGGAGTAATATGTCTGGATTTCTAAAGTCCTGGGATGAAGTTGCTATACACGCGGTGTCCAAGACAGCAGAGGTAAGGTAGGCAGCTGTCGGCGTCGATAATGGTTGGCCAGATGCTATCATTGAACAACATTTCACCAAATACCTATGTAAAGGTAAATAAAGGCAAGCTTTATTCAAAATAAACTTTCAAGGGGAAACTCGGGCGAAACTGAACGATCAACGCAAAGTGAGCAAACCTTGCTGTTTGTAACATCATTACAATGTTATCTCCTTCGTATGTGCACGCGGGCGCTGCATGGTCGCCATAGATTGATGGAAGACCACTGGACATCGAGAAACCATGACCACCACAACGAAACCGACAAGCCTACGATTAAAAATACAACATCACGTTATACAGGACTGTTCTTTCACAAAAAGCTTTGTGCTTATGCATGCCTTGTTGATATTTTGTGCAATTTACGCCTGTTCCTGCGCTCTTGAGCTCACTTCGACGAACGTTTCATAGTTTCAAACAAGGTTACTTCATTGGGATAATATAAAAGTTATAATAACAAAGAACAATGCGCATCAAAACACAAGTGTGGTTTCTCGATACCTCACCTCAACTCCTGCTGCAGCAACTTGGGTTGTAAAAGCCTTCATTCCAGCACTTGTCGCATGTAACTAAGTCAAATATATAATCAAATTACTGCCGTGACGTCATGGAGTAGTTGTTATCTTGAGATGGGCAGTCAGTTAAAAAGCAAACCTGGGTTGGTATAGCGGGAACATACAGGTATTAAGTCGTTTCATAGTGTTAGGACGTCTACTGGGGATATATGTGGCAATCTATCCGGCATATAAACATGTTTATATGCCGGATAGATGATTAGTAATTAGACCATGCAATATCTCTGAACCAACCTCTTGTGCATTGCTGAGATTTCCTTCTTGGATTTCCATTTGGACTTGAAAATACAGTTTTGCGGTTTCAATTGACGTGAACCAGAATGCATAAGACGTTGCAAGCAAAGGCAAAAGAACATATTGCTGTGTCTTGTAGTCCAAAACTTGTAATTCAGGTTTGCTAAATGACGAAATCAAAATCGATGATCAGAACTGTTGTTTGTTGACATCAATATTTCTTGTGTATCAAAGACACACCTTTCATCCAGCTTGCTTTGCCTCCGTACAGCGCTGTATCGTATTGCGATGGTGCAAGCTTTACTTAGCGACTCCGCTGTAGCGAAGACAATGTATACTCGCGTCATCACCATAGAAATATACGTCAATTTCGAACTGTCTCGTTTCAACCTAGTGTAATACCCATCCCTTGATACCTGAAAAAGATGGTTTAAGTTAAGAAGTGAAATAAAATGACCAGCTAACATAAGACTCCACTAACACTCCAGACAAGACGTTTTTGATGTATATTATAGGCAGTTCATTGCTAAGCCACGTTTGATGAAAGTTGCCAGATGAAATTTACTCGAACACGCTGCCAAGTTGCTCTGCAACTGCGTCAGTAGATCCCATTTACTCTTTTAAATCCCATAAAAAATTAGGTGTTTATTGACCCAAGCCTATTAACTAATTATGCGCTCATCGGCGTTATTATTATAAACTTTATTAAAGTGTCAAAAAAACCCTGATAGCTTGGGATAAAAATCCCATGCTAATATGGGAACACGACAAGGATAAGTACAAAAATACTACTTATTATAGAAATATTGCTAAACTACGAGTTGCACAAAGTGCAATTCTTGCAACCGTCCTCTAGTAATAATGATAAGTTCTTTTTTCTAATCATGCTTTTAAATGAGGACAGCAATGTCAAGACTCTCTCCCCTGAGGAAAGCATACCCCACAACTTGGGCCCAAGATAACGTAGAGAATGTTTGCCATATGTTACTGTACTAAATCTAGGTACTGAAAAGTCTGATCGTCTAAGATTATATTGAGACGTGTGTTCTTTAAAAATGCTACAGATATTAGGCGGACTTAACTTATGCTTAACTTTATATATCAATATACACACGTCTTGTAGGCTACTGTAGGCTACTGGTATATTATCAACCTCGTATCCAGGGTCTTTTCTCTGTGCTCACTCTTGGAGAGGGAAACCCGCTGAGAAAAGACCCTGGGTACGAGGTTGGTATATTATAAGTTTATTGTTGTATGAATTATATACTAGAATAGAAATACCTGACTATATTTCATCAACATGTTTTCTCTTGGTATGTGAACTTTGTTAAAGTTCATGAAACCATTGTCTATTATGTCGTATGCCATTTTGGGACCAATATGACCCAACTTTATTCCTACATAATTTTGAACATTTCTATCAGCAGTATTTGAGGTAGAGGGGGGGGGGATTTATCTCATGTCAAGTAATATCAGGAGAATATTAGATGGCAAATGGGGTATTTTATTTTAACAGTCTGGCAGTCTGCCGCTATCGATTAAAGCCTCTGGCGAAGAGCGTACAGCTTATTCCAGCTATATTAATCATCACCTGGTAAAACTTTATGATCTTCCAGGCTTCGGATTTGAACAATAAAGGCATGAATCCCATGATCTTGTCCTTGTGTTATCAATCTTGCCATCACGATGGCGTGTGTCGAGGTGTGGGCAACTAAGACGAATTTTAAAAAAAAACACTATCATAAGAATATAAAACATTTTTAAATAAACGGTATCTTCACACGCCTAGACCATTTTTTTGAAACGGACTGTATCTCCACAACTGTTTTATGGTTACAGATCGGAAACGGAAATGTGGGAGAAAAACAACTTACGTGATCCAGGCCACCATTTTGTTGCAGTTAATGTTGGACTATGAATGATGAAAGTTTCAGTTTCCGGACTGTATGTAGCTGTGGTCTCCAAACCACGCACGTTGGTTCCTAGATTAAAATACATTATCAGTGTTCTGTAAGACAGAGTGTAGATGGTTATTGCAATAAGACAAACTACTCACTTACCATGACCCATCTCAGTCTGAGCATATGTACCCACAATTCTGTACTTCTTGATCAATGGCATCCATTTTTCAAGCTGTTCCGGGGTGCTCTGAACCTAGAGAAAAAAATTTTCCTCCTTAGTTGGATGCAAACAATTAAACCCTTATTTCATTTTGAACATAATCATAAACATAATTTAATCTTGTTCAAATTCCTGTGTTGAAATTTACCAAAAAACATTTCATTGAATGAAGTCACTGGACTCTTGGGTAAAATGCGTAAATAGGTTTTTCTAATTTCCACAGTAAAATTCACTAGGCAAATGTTCAATCTTCAATAGTCAAATCGCAAATAATTTTCATAATTTTCTTGAACATGCTTGAACCGTCAAACATGCGTAATAAAAAATGCGTATTGACGTAATAAATGCGCATATAATCTAGCTATAATTTTAAGTGTTAATGCATGCAGTATGTATGTAAGCCAGACAGCTAGTTTATTATCATGATCTTCACACTTGGAATTCTATAAACACCTTGGAATTTCTGTTCTATTAGGTTAAAAAAGCAATACATACCAGAATTCATTCAACACACTGGTCTATTACTGTACTTTTATACTATACTTTTAATTTAATACACTTTAACTGGTAGTAATTTATTTGAATTTTTCTACCTCAATTATCATCTTATTCAATATATCTATTTTACTTTACTAACTCAGAAGTAGCGATGATATAATGTATCACAATTGAGTGTTAATATGACAAGTCATGTAAGTCTTTTATCTTTAAATTTATAGGTATTATTTTCAATATCTCTATCAATTGAGCACTACAGTGGACATTGATGTTATGATTAAAGATTAAACAGTGATTACTTTATGCAACTCTCTGTCTCCAATGTTTAGGACAAAAATAAATGAACTTGAAATGCAAATGTCATGGAGCATGGTGACTTAATTAGAAAGAAATTGGAAAGAGTTAGAAATATTGGAGAATTGAAGATATATTAAATACTAAAATCAATGTATACATATGATGGTCAGAGGTTGAGACATAGCATGTCTCAACCACTGATCTTGACCAACAAAACCTATCATGTAGCCAGGGTAATATAAACAGCCTAGAAATAGAGTTACCTCTATAATGGTAGTAAACATTGATCTATGTAGGCCTGTGAGGTGCAATGGAGTTACCAACCTAGAGTGTTGTAAACAACAGTAAGAACAGTTATCTGAACGTTATCAGTGCCAATTCCTTAAGGCAATTTGATTGGTAAGCAAAACGAGGGAAAAGGATGAAGCTATTTTTGTTTATTATTTTAACAATATATTACCTTCCACATAACTGTTGAACTATAGTAGGCTGATTATGCACACCTAGATCTTTCTTTGTCTTTAAAAAGTGTGTTTCCTTTTTCAACGAATTTTCATAAGCCTCTTCGATTGATAAAAAATATTGATTGGAGTTGTCATAGACAGGATCGGAAAGAATAGCACGCTCTATAAACAAATAGAAATAGGCAACTTTATCTTTCGTATTTCAAATTAAATTACATTGGTGATTGTAACAATTAAACTCTTAACACAATAATATACAGGAAAAATTAACACCCTTACGCATTGCTAATAGATTTAAGCTGCGTTTACACTTGGCCCTTTACCTGGACCAGGTCTAGGACAGGTCTAGGACAAGTCTAGGTAATATGTGCCACGTTCACACTGTCTTCCTTGTTGCTGATATTGGATAGCCAAAATAATTGACAAAATACTTGAAAAAAGACCCAAAACAGGCTGAAAAGTGGTAATACTATATGTATCCTATACAAATCATACTATTAAGTTCAAAATTTGTCAGGACTAGGTAAAGCCTGTTCACATTACCAAAATCTTGCCCCAGGTCTGGCAGGTCAGGTCCAGGCCTGGTCTAGGCTTGATAAACAATGTCCACATCTAGGCCTAGGCCTGGTCCAGGTCAGGTTAAAGCACATAGTGTAAATGCGGCTTTAGCCATGCCCCAACTTGAACAACTTGAGGTCACCCCCTCAAAAATTAATTGGTGGAATTATCCATGGGGAACAGCAAAAATTGAACTAAAACCAAGCTAGTGCCAGCTGTGTCCCAGGATAAAAGATCTCTGTTATTGATGCCTACCCTGAACTTATGGGGGGAGGGTGTTCTTAATTGTATTTCCAAGCTGCGGTGCCAAACAGATGCCCGGATAAATTGACAACCTGGATAGCCATGGAGATGTATTATATCATTTATATGTATCAATTTGGGGCACATTTTTGCCGTGGTAAAAAATCTCTAAGCTCACTGCGGTTTGCAGGTTATTTTAAATCACAAGAAGAAAAGCATATCGCTCAAACGTGATAGGCTCGTGACATCCCGTTATATGAATTAGTTACGCAGACACACGATAAAAGCATCAAGTATTATCAAGATCATGATGATGCACTGATGCACACAGTACGGTGACGGGTGACATACCCAGGCGTTTCGCCTCTCTGCGATTCTCAGCTCCTCCATAAAGAATACAAGACAATTCTTTGATATCAAATCTAACATTTTTGCGTTCCCGTTTGAGATCTTCGTTCATTTTTTTATAAAATAACAATCATGGAAATTAGAAGCTAGAACAAATTAAACAGAAAATACAGTCATATTGTATCATACACAAAAGTTTTGGCCCTTGCGTAATCCTAACCAGGTTCGTATCCTAAGAAGGACCCTGGGTACGAGATTGCTGAAATGCCTTCTCAAATGGGTAGTGTCGCAGCTCCTCGCAAGAATGATTTTCATTGGCTGAACTTTGCAATACATTTTTGTTTCGAGCACTGCGACATGTCCCTCTCAAATGTCCTCTTGCCAGGCCGTAGCTGGATCTCCACCTCTAAGGGGGGACTACTAAAAAAATTTGCCGAGAAGTTGCTTTTTTGGTACACTCCGGTACTAGACCGGTAGGCGGCATAATATCAATTTTACTTTCAAACGTGAGGAGGGGGCACTTCCCACCGGCCCCCTCAGCTAGGGCCTGCTTTCCCCAACCTATAAATATTATTTCCAAATTATATTTATGCACGTTCAATGTTTTTCGTTTTCGTGGGTCATAGTAATTTATATTCTCTTTTCTGCAGAACTTTAAAGCTTCGAAGAAAATTCCCCTTTCAACAAAGGTCGTAAATACTTCTCATACGCTGGCATCACCTGTAAAAAGGCGAAAAATTATTTATTATTCTTGGGGCAAACACTTTTTTAAGAGGAATTTTATTCATAACTTCTATTCATCTTTCTACGCATCGCTGAAAGACAACCAGTGCCATGTAGTATTTACATGCACTAACAAATAAAACATTGATAACATAAATCAATTTGGCTGCATGAAACATACTGCCCGTAGCGTGCATAATCATATTTACTTTTGTTCTGGCAGACACTGCATGAGACACCGCTCACCTCATTTTTATTCAGTGGAGACTTCTCTGCCCATTTCATGAGATGTTCATAAACATTCCCATCATAACGACCGAGTACTGAGTTGAGAAGATGATCGGAATAGTCAAAAGCATCTACGAGGCCAACGGCATTCGGTCTGAAATAAAAACAGGAGCACTTTTGTAGTTCACCGCTGCAGAGTTTTTGCTCCTTTTACTTATTTAACGACTTGCGCGCCTATGGTTTGCAATATTTGCTTGGTCAGATTGTTTGAATTAGCTCCTCTCAATTTCTCTGCACTTTGTCATTATTACTCACGTGACAGCCATGCAAAATGTGGCTCACCACTTCCAACGCAGCACAATAAACCCTCCAAAGGCAAAGAGTCAATTATATCGCTAAACAACAATTGTGCGATTTTCAACGATACTACAGCTAAACAACAATTGTGTGATAATTGTTATTTTCTGATGAATATTTTTGTGAGAGAATACGAGTGTTGGTAAAAACAATATCGGGTTATAATATAAGTCGCATCAACTGTCTTGAGTGTTTGACCAAAAATGAAAAATCTACCTTATTTCATCTAATAACTCCAATAACACTCCGTTAGCCATCCTGATATGGGCTCCTGTCATGTAGCCGTCCTGTAAAATTTATCAAATATTATCTCCAGCGCATGGTGTTGAAAAGTGTCCAAAAACCCTGCCATAAATTCTAATGTGCTGCCAAAATGTTTAATTATCTCACAGACATAAACCAAAACATAGTTTACCTCTACAAAATCTCCTGCGTCTTCCACAATTCCATGAACGCAATAAAGACTAAACAAAGCTTCCTTAACAGGACGAAGGGTCGCGCTGAAATTTTCGTTCTTGATAGCATTGGCAAATTGTTCAACCACAAGTTGATGACAATAAGCCTATGAAAGTATGAATATATAATATCATAATGCACAAAGTTGGTTAAAAGTATTTTACTTTTCCTACTGTTTAATCAGAAACTAACCTCTTCCGCAGGCATCTCTTCTAGCCCAAGCCAAATATGCATTTTTTAATACATAAGAGATGTCTGTGGAGGAGGCTAGTGACTCGCTAGTCAGAAACATCATGGGACCTCTTTGGTAATTACATCGCAATTTTACTGTTTTCAACTTTAGAATACAAGACTATATTTTAAATAAACAATTTGTAAGTGATAAAGCTTCTTTCTGCATTTAGAAACAAAATCAGAAAAGTGACATTAGATTGCCTTGATATTATGATAAACCCAATTGAAAGCAAGACGCTTTATTTGAATGCCTCAACCTAATAAATATGCTATTTACACACTACTGCGTTGATCATGCATTCAAATTCCAACAAAAGCTTCATTTCAATAGCGGGGACTTTTTTTTGGGACACTCTGTATATATATATATATATATATATATATATATATATATATAATATATTATATATATATTTATATATATATATATATATATATATATTTATATATACACATATATATATATATATTTATATATATTTATATATACACTCCGAGTGACTACCTGAGCAGCCCGTACTAACTCCACTGAACAAATATTCCAAGCATCTCCAGCACTTTTACCATTTGACGTGCTCGCCTTTAACTTTCTGGAAACAGTACAAACCAACCTTGAAAGAGTAAATAAATCACATTTCAATTACTTTATTGCCAAGCTTCTGCGTAAAGCGGCCGTGGATGGTGTTCCATGTTCATCTCGCCTACCCGGCGATTCGGGATTACACCCGGGTATTGTCACGGAACAATGTGAAATCAAATCGCTTGTCATGTATTGATAGCCTACGGCTATGTCCGCCATTGTCCTAGTTGGTGGTCCAAATTTATGTCTCCTACTACCTATAGATTTTATTGGAAGTTTTTCAAACTGGCTTCAGCCAGTATAGGGACCTGGAAGATTTGATGTAATTACATCTAGATTTATTAACTTCTCGTTTCACCTTAGTTTCTGTCAATTCACGGGATTGGGTCAACAGTGGATAGAGCTTCGTAATCGGCCGGTTGGTTTTCCCACTGCTAGTTCGTAAATTTACAGCGCGTATCCCTTCCTCGTATGAGGCTTTCGATGACGGCCATTCTCCATAAGAGTCTCGGCTTATCACTGTGTTTTAAAACCACGTCCCCTACTCGGACTGATTGATCGTTATTCCCTGTGCTCTTATGGAACTTTCTGAGTGACGTTAGATATTCTCTTTTCCAACGCAATTTAAAATGTTTAAATCGTAGCACTTGTGAGTTTACTCGCTTTCTGTCTTCCAAATCGTCCATGAAATCCGGATCTTCGATCTCGTCATCGTCAACGTGTGGATATGCATGGCAATGATGTCATTCGCCTTCCATAATGAAGGTGTGCTAGAGTGAGAGGTTTATCATCATTCACGTCGGAAGAAACGTAGGTAAGCGCCAAGCGGCCGATCGTTTATCACTGCTTCGATTTCGGTAACTCTCGTTTGAAGAGCGATGAGTCTGATTCTTGTTCGACGAAGTACTTTCTTGATCACCGTTTTTGTCATGCCGATCAGACGTTCCTAGGAACCCCCGTACCAGGGGGTTCTCTTGGGGATGAATTCCCACTCGACACAACGGTCACTGAACGCCCTTTTCAACGGTGGGGATTGAAAGAGCCGTTTAAGTTCATCGGCTGCTGATTGGTAGGTCGATGCGTTGTGTGATATTATTCGTTTGGGAAGAGACTTCCTGCTGGCAAAATGACGGAATCACCGAATGCTTGAATGAAGGTTTCTTCAGTGTCAGGTCGGTGACGATTTCGAGATGAATTGCTCTTGATGTTGCGCAAGTAAAAAGGCAGATGTATACCTTTGTTTCTGATCCGTTAGTATTGTTGACAAACAGTGCACCAGTAAAGTCTACTCCAATTACCTTGAACGGTACGACCTCGTGTATTCTTGATTTTGGCAAAAGAGCAGGATTAGGAGCGGGGTATACATCTCCTACCACCTTTCGGCAGGTAACACAGTTGCGTGGTACTTTCTTTACCGATTGGCGGTCTGCAGCTATCCAAAACTTTTTGTTGTTTTTCTTTGTCTTTGTACAATATTTTTAGGCAGATCAAGTGGAATTTGCCTTCTTGTAATTCATGCTCTTAGTCCTGTGCGTCTTTAGCGGGTTGTACCAGTTTATACGCAGACGGACAAATAATATAAAGAACTAAAGAAGCTACGAGCATCAACTCGAGCTTCATACATACCCAGGCGTTTCGCCTCTCTGTGATTCTCAGCTCCTCCATACAGAATACAAGATAATTCTTTGATAATAAATGTAACGTTGTGTTCCCATTTGAATTTTTTATAAAATATTTTAAAACCATCGAAATTAGAATAAATGAAAATATTACAATTCATTTTGGCCTCGAATGCGAGCCTCTTCTTTGATACCTTCCCATGCAGGTTACCTTGGTGCACCTAGGACTATTGCTTACCAGAGCGAAAAGGCACCCTAATAAACCATATTAAACGTACAGTAGCACCACTGCCTTGCTGGCAATAGCAATTACCTGTGAGACAAAATTTCGCTTTTTTCGGTCAATTATAGCATATGCCATGATTATAGCTAGTGATTTCTGACTGTACGCACAGTTCACGCGTCACAGATTGAAGTGAACTCGTTTGACGGGCTGTGCTGTCGACTGTGTGGCAAGCATGGGTTACAAATGGGACGAGAATCGCATATTCGCATAGAGAAACATTCGCATAAGATAAAAACATTTATGTATATATTTATCATAAATTCTGAAGTGAGCACACTTACTGCATATTAACAAAACATGCAAAAAACTATATTACAATTTAAAACAAAATGTTCACAGCTCTGTTTTATGAATCAATTTCATTCAACTTACACGGGGCAATTTTTAAACATCATGCAAAAAATATCTGACAGAAAGCAGTAATAAACAGGTAGCTAGTTTTAAGCGAACTGTTAGTGCATAAAAAAATCAAATTCATTAGAGAAGAGACCGAATTGCTTTGCGGTGGGATATCCACTTTGCGGTCGATATTCACTATTTTTGTGTAAGAAAAAAAATTTTAAGGTTACAGAAAAACTACTCGGACCCAGTAACTAGTACGTATTGTTTTCAGATATCTCGCATTGATTAAGGGTGGGAGGTAGAAAAGAGTACTGTCACACAGATTAGATCATAGCATATTGGTCGCCCACGTCAAGCTTGATATTGTAATAAAATTTCTAGGTGTCAATATCTAACGCCAATAAGAGTTTGATTTCACTTCGAGCCTTGTTATAATATCCTTTACGACCGTATGGTGAACTGGAGTGCGCTACTGTTATGATTGAAACCTATGTTATCCTTTCAAAAACTTTGACGATTGCCCTGAAAACGAGCCAGAAAAATATCTTGAAAATATGAATTGATTTGTATGATCCAACAGAGTAATGTGGCATTTTAATTTAGAGCGCTATTCTATTTTTCCTCCCCAAATGTGTATGTTTAAAATACGTAATTCGTTCTACATAATATCGCATGATACTGTACATAAGTGCATGGAAATTTATACCCAACGTGTTTAACTTGGGTTAGCTGATAGGAAAACAAAACCGTGCATATGACAGGTCTCGTATGTATATATAAAAACCCTGCGAACAAGGCTGGTGTATATATGCATGGTAACAAAATGTCAGATGTAAGGTTCACTAACTGTGCTATCGATCCCTCCTAGATCTTTCACGACTGTCCCTATCACGACTTCTCTGCTTTCTTTTATGACTATCGCGATGTCTTTCCTTGCTACGACTTCGCCTATCTCTATCTTTGCCATTCCTCTCCCGACTTCGCTTTCTTTCGCGACTTCTACTTCTCCGACGCCGTTCCGGGCTCCGCCGTCGCGGCGAACGGTCTCGACTCCGATGTCGTTTTCGGTCCCGACTTGGACTCCGGCTGCGTTCAGGTACCCTTTCCTCTTCACGATTTGGACTTTGTTTACTTAAAAAAAGAGAAAATCTTAATCCCCGATTTCCGAGATACGATATTAAAGATTTTATGAAAGTAGCTATGTAGCGTCAAGCAGTATTTACAAACAGTTGACAGACACAGATCTTGTGTACTTTAATCGTTCAGTTTCTTTTTTTGAATTATCTATTCACACACCCATATCTCAGGAGTTAAAAGTTGTGTCTGTGTAAAATCACTCTATCGCTATGTCGCTTGCGGATCCTGTGGGTAAATAATTAGTTCATGGTATCTAGAACTAAAATTTATATAACGCAGTACCTATCTTTTTCTCTCATCATTTTCGAGTATCGTTCCGCCTCACCAAAACCTTCATCTGCCTTGCGTTTTCGGTCATCGCAAAGATTTAGTGCTTGTAGTTTGCCATTGATTTCCTTCTGAATTGGGACTGGAATACGAGGAAACAGCGAATCATACCAATCCAACTTGAGCATGAAGCTACGAACCATTTGTCCAATTGTCATTGTACATCCACCACCAGCTTTTGGATCTATCTCCTAAAATAGGTTTGCAAACATAGAAGCATTGTTTCTAGCAAATGGGAAAATAAAAACCCAGGCAAAAGAAGTGAAACCAAAAAGCATTGTTTCATGGACACGTCTTTTGACTTAGGGGTGGGAAATCTGTAGCTAAAAGCATTGTTTCACAGCCAGCCAAAATTTTCAATCTCCATCAAAACTGGTTGGGTGGAATTGTTTGTTTAGTGAACTGTGAACACCAAGATATGGCAAACTAATGAATCCAGTATGTGTGTTAGAGGATAGCTTTTGGGGAAACTAACTACACCATACTTTACAAACCTCTTCATCTTCTAAGAAAGGTTCATACCAGTCCCAGAGATCAGCAGGTGGCTGTGAAAACCTAAATAACAATTTTTTTACAGAAATTAAGGTTTTCACATAACAAAGCAATATCCCTGGATTTTCAATATGTAGGTAAAAAGATCACTTTAAAAAAAGATGGTCTCAATAAGAGCTGGCACTCAAAATATCATTTTAAATGTCTGTTATTGAAAATAAACTCTTTTCACATGGTTTTAATTGATAATAGCACATTGTAAGCTATATGTTTGTCTGTCAGAGAAATAAGAGTTTTTAGTTTCTGTACTTTACCTGAATGCACATACCTAATGTACATGAAACCAAGCCCTCTGATGTATGGAGAGTCTGTATGATTGATTAAACCATTTAATTGCTTTCTTGTTAAACGTAATGTAAATAGTTTGTACAGCAAACAGAAGGCTGTTGAGATGATTCCACCTGCACCAACACCTCGTACCTGGAGTAATCAAAGTATTAATTACTTTTTTACTTATGTTTTAGAGCGTGAAACTGTAACCTTAGACACAAAAAAATTAAGACACAAAATAATATTGTTATATTTATGTCAAAAACACTGTTTTTTTCTGTGATAAATGTACAATCTTGCTTGCTTGCTTTAAAGCCCATCCACTGCTAAACAGGCTTTGTACGACCACCACATTAACTGTGAAATGTGGCAAACAATAGTTCTGGTACCAAGTACTAAGTGAATTTTGGTGTTATATGCATACTTACCCCACCGCACATTCCAACTTGACCAGATGTTTTTCTACTTCCCCTTTCCCATGGTTCCAAGTGATCAACCTAGGAATAAAACTTTACATTAACTTATACAGTACATTGGCCAGAATTTATAATGGCCACCACCAATAACATCTAAAATTAAAAAACAGGTTGAACTGTTATACCGCCAGGTTCAAATCAAATACTCAAAATTTAAAACAAAACCCTTTCTCTTATTAATATAATTTTACTGATGGGAGATATGGGCTTGCAAAATAATTTTTTATAGTATTTGGGGTTTGTACTGAGTCTACCAGAGGAGGTTGGACAGCAGGCCGCAAAGCATGATGGGTATTGAGCGCTCAATTATGCGAACGCTTCATTTGACGTTTTGACTGTCGTGATGTGAAGAGCTCTGCAAGTATAGGAAAAATGGATGCTTTCGAAAGACAGGATTTTCAAGCTGCGATAGTGCAAAATACTATGATGTATATGTATTGTTGCGATCCGCATTACGACTTATCTTTTACTGTACCGAGTTTACCGTTTTTTAAGCTGCATGGGCTTTGCTGCCATTTCGCCTTTCATAATACTCCGTCTGAAAGAAGACTTTGTATTATACCAAACACCGAAGCACTGCTTTCGAAGTTGAATGGCCTTAAATCTCCTTGTGTCATCAACGTTAAAGCAAGTACTATATTTGAGGTTAGTATAAAGTACTTGTCAACACCTCATTTTTTAATATTTTTTATTAACTTTTAAGGCTTGATTTGTGTATTAAAATTTAACTGAAACTTTTTTTTAGTTTGGTACTATCCCTGATGAATTTATTCATTGTAAAGCGGAGAGAATGCTTTTAATTTGGGATTTTGATGTGGATCGTGTATTGACAGAAAATACGAGCGCTGTGGATGCGGTTACTCCTGATTTTGATGACATCGAAATTAATAATGAGGACAGTGAAGAAGATGAAAGTGAAGAAGTTGAAAGTGATGAGGAAGAAATCACTCATGCTCTACCATTCAAGTGCATTGGAGCTGCTCATGAACAAAGTTACCAACATCATCTGGAACAGGCATATCTTGCCCTTGAATATAATGAATCAGTAAATGTTAGACTAAGACCAGAGCCGGAGAATCCTCGGGACCAAAATGCAATTGCTATTGATCTTCATTATGGAACTCAATGGGAAAATGTTGGATATATAGCTTCTGAACATTGCAAGTATTTACATCCACTGATTGCAGCAGGAGATATACTAGACGTCTATGTTGAACACATCAAGTTTCGGGTTAACTTTTTAAAAATAGGATTTTATCCAAAAATCTGGATAAAGAGGCGTGGTAAATGGGAAGGTCAGATTGTAAGGGCTAGTATGAGTGTACGTTGACATATAATTTCATAAGAACCAGGGTTTGCAAGTTGTGAATTTCTGCAATTATTTCCATTGGCTAACCTATGTAGATTTTTCCAGCATTTTTGCCATCAACTTGTTTTTAGTCTGGTTTCCATATGACAATCAAGTTGTTGCATAATAACTAATAATGATAGATATTTTTCTTAATGGTTAACACAACACCCTGACAATGTTGTATGGAAACCAGGCTTTCTATTTTATATCCTCAAAACCTATTGTCTATAACCAAAGCACTTCACTGTCATGTGATATTTCATACAAACCCTTGCAGTATTAAGAAAATTAGAAAAATATTCATACAATACATGGTATAAATATGTAAATCTGTATTTATTGATGAACAAATAAATAAACTCATCAAATTTTATTATGGTTATAAAATATTGTAAGTAAAATTGCCTTGACAAAACAGCCAAGATTTTGCATTTATACATATATTTACATGATGTTCAAAAAAGTAAAAACCTGCATACACACACCATTGTTTTTTGTTTCTATGCTATTGTTTCTATGCTAATAGCATTTACAATTCATGCAAACTTGAAGATCAATTGTACTAGATAAGGTGTTCATGCCTTTAGCTTTTCAATCAACCTAATATACATAAATATTGCCAGTTCTAACACACAATGGCTTAGTAATGCAGATCTTAACTCACACTAACTGTAAACATCAACAAGCATCTAAAGAACAGAACCAATATAAAATGTCAGTTTATTTTACTGAAGAAGTGAAAACATATAATCACACAATATGTTTCATATTTATCAATTTTGTGAAGGTGGTGGTGGTGGTAACCTTCTGGTTGTTTGAAATGTGCTGATCTAACACTCAATTGACCACGTTGTGGGATTACAGCTAGGCGTTAGCGAATGAGCATAGGAGTCGTCACTGCCAAAAATGGAAATCTATATAAAATACAAAAAAATACTATTTTCCCGTCTAAATGTTAATAACTAAGGAAGTTAAACCATGAATACAAATAAAATTTACATTAATATTACAAATTATGTAGTTAAACAATATTTGAAAGGGAAATATCCCATTGACCCGAAATGCGCTATTTTGAACATCTCAAAACAAGAGTGGTAAATTCAAAGCCCGATATCTCGGAAATGGTGTGGGGTCGCAAGGGGTCGATCCAGCCGATTTTTTTTTTACATACTTAACTTCATTCTTACAAAGAATCTCAAAAATCGAACCACAGGAATTCGAGATTTTCAACTTTGAAAATTGTAAACAGACAAGCACATGACTCATCACTTCGGAACGACCCGACCAACTTCAGTTATAAAAATCGACTTAAAAAGTAACGCTTACCTCGATAATCTCGACAGATATCGCCAGTCCAATGAATCTTTTTTCAAAAAATATGCGTTTTAATCAGTAAACTTTAAAAAATATACTCAATATTTTTATGTTTCTCCGTCTTATGTAAATTTTCTCGCTCAAAATCTTCGCAAGCACGCTTGGAAAATAGCGCAATCTCATTGGTCGAGAAATTCACGTGACAGCTGTCCAACCTCCTCTGTGAGTCTACTGACACAAGTTCAGGTATTCTGTATTCAGCAATATAAATTAGCAATAATAAAGATTAACGTATAATTTTCTAAATGCACCTATAATGTAAACATTATACCAGAGCATTTCATTTATTTGTTTGTGTAATACAAGATGAAACCTAACTCAATATAAACTAGTTTCTAGAATCTTACTGTTTTTATAGTGTAGTACTTTCCAATGCTGAACAGTTCCCGCGTGAAACATGTGAAACCAACTGGTATTTGTTGAGGCCACAATCATTTGCCGATCATCCGTTAAATTGCAAATGTTGACCAATTTCTGACTGCCATGTGAGCATTTCTTAACCCACAGTCCTTACCTTGTAATATATTTCGTCTACTACGCCGTGATACGTTTTGAGTTCGTACAATTGATTTTTGAAGTACGGCGAAGCTTGGATATTTGTCAGGATCATCGTGTTTAGGTTCATAGTTCGTTCATTTCCCCAGACCGGTAAATTGTTGGGCTTCTTCTTTGTCTCTCCATCCATCATTAAATGCAGTAAAATTAAAAAATAAGTAAGATATGAAAGAAATTCACAAAATGAAAACTGCCATTTCGATTTTCGGTAGGAAGATCAGAGATAATTGAATAGAATTGAATTATTGAGAAGTGACCGCGCATAAATTGAGGCGAGATAGCACTGGTCATATATGTGCATAGTATCGCAGTCACAGCATGTGTTGCCACCAATGGTTGCCCACTTTCCAGTTTAACTTGCGTGATTTTTCTGGATTTTTCATGACTGGTTTTTATGGTTACAGATTACTTCTCGAAGCTTGAGTCAATAGTCTGCAGGAAATAATCAGTCAGATATTTTTTGATAAAAAAAATGTTCAACTTTAGTTGCTATGTGCAACATGGTAATGTTTGGGGCGCTTTCCGTTTCATGTCAAAACCATATCAAATCGGTTGCAATTCGGTGAAACACTGTTAATTTACGATGATTGAAGCCAATTTAATTTTCTGAGGCCTAAGCATATATCTCCTTGGATTACAATTTTGCCCGAAAAATAGACGGTAAATCGTATCTTGGTCCCGCCCAGCCACCAGCTCGTAGGCCTATGGCACATAGTCTAATTCAACAGATAGATGTAAATACTTAAACGGCAACTATTTGAGCGAAATATTACATAGTAGTAGAATTTTGTTATTCGAATAATAGCTTTATACTTGTTTTCGTCTTTGGATAAGGGAAAAACTGGCAACAAATCACTTTCTCTATACAATAGCTAATGACGATAATTACGCCTTCGCAAAGGTTTAGTGGGCAGCAATATGAATCAATTTTCGACACACAAATAAAGTTGAATTGTTTTATTTGAACTCATTAAGCGTATCGAGTATTGTTTAGCTTATCCCACGCAACAATATAAAAGTCCGCAAATTTCTGCCACAAACACTTCGAGTTTAATTCGCAAACTGGCAACTGACACTAGGAAGCATCAAGCAGAGAGACATGAGTTCTGACGAATGCCCTTGCGAAATCAGAAAAGAAAATCGATGCAAAGAAGAAGTGGTGATCGCAAGTCCTACAATTTCAGAGAGCAGTTCTGAGAACAGTTTTGCCTTCGGGTCGGGAAACAGCTGTGGGAGCGGCTACGCCACCTGTATGCCAGTCCGAACCAAGCGAAAACGATCAAAAGCTCCTCCTGGCAAACCACCATATTCATACGTGGCATTGATCAGCATGGCCATCACAAGCTCCCCTCGCCGGAAAATGACCTTATCCGAAATCAACAAGTTCATCGCAGATAATTTTCCCTACTACGTAACATGTCCCCTAAAATGGAGAAACGCGATTAGACATAACCTTACCTTGAATGACTGCTTTGTGAAGCTACCTCGTGATGCTCGAGATGAAACCAAAGCGCATTACTGGACCATCGACCCCGCGAGTGAAACCATGTTCGAAGATGGGAGTTTCCGAAGACGGCGCAAACGCTTCAAACGTGAACAAGATTTACACGAAATTCTACCAGCTCTGGTTGAAAGAACAAACCTCCCACCAAAGGTAGCAATGCCACCACAGTTTTTTCAACCCTACCCATCTTATCCCACCGTTGCAACTTTACCTGGCCACACTACTCACCCGTCTGTCAGACGAGGCTTCGCTATCAACGACATCCTCTCAACTCCTCCAATCTATGGGTCCACCCCTTACCCCATACCCACCGCCCAACAAATGTTGTATCTCCCACCACAATACTACATGCCCTATCATTATGGTCTGTGGCCCTCCTATCCTACGACACCAAGTCAGGCAAATTCTGAAGTTGGATACCTCTACGCGAGAAAGCAAGATTATAGCGAAGCTGATGATACGAATTATGAACAGTATGAAAATTCTCATGAACTATAGCTCACGAATCTTTTCACTATGACGATGTGAGCACCTTCAAATATACACTAGCTAGTTTAGTTCACGAGAACGAATGACAGTTATGTAGATGCCTATAATTATTTAATTGTAATTTATTGCCTATTATTAAATGTAATTTATTTGAAATAAAAATTTTTGTAAAAAATTACGAGTTCCTTTAATAAACTTTGAACCTTTATCATATCAATTATCGATTGTAAAACTATTCACATACAAGATTCTTTTCAAGAGCATAAAATCTCATTGTCAACCACAGTCCATAGAAACATGAATAAATAGTATTTCCACATCAGTACAAAGATTTTAACATCATGGATGGAAAATAATGTATGAAATATTGCTTGGACCTTGTTAGAAGAACTAGTTCATGTACTTATTCAATAAATTTGTAAACCATATTCTTAATTTCCCTTCACTTCTGGAAACAAGTTCATCCTGAAAAACAAAGCTTTGGTGTTTTATTTCTTTTTCTTGGCTCTTTTTCCTTGACCTGTTAAAAAGTGGAGTGAGTTGAAAAATTTGGTAATTGCAGGACAATAATGGTATGGGACCACAATGTAACTGGGGTGATAGCTTGAATAATTGTCCAGGTATAAGGGAAGCAAAGTACAGGTTATTATACAAGATATTTTTTTATTTCTTTTATCCAACCTTTTGTTGGTGCCCCCTTCCCTCTTTCTCGCCTTCGAAACTGCATCTCTTCTTTGAAATCCTGGCAATATTCAAACCAAAATAAAACCAAACGAAAAAGGTGCATACCATTTGAACAGTATTTAAGTACCATACCTCATAATTGTATTACATACTCTAAAGTTTGAAGACTTAAAACTTACCAAATGTTCATCATGATATAAACCTAAATGCCTCAGCTTAAATAGCAATGACTGAAACTGTTTTATTGGTGGATAATAACTTGTAATTTGCTCAGCACGTGGACAGCTTCTGAAATATTCCACAACTTTCTGTCCTCTAGTGAAAAATATAATGAACATGCAAAATATAAACACTACTTTAACCTGGCCCTAAAGATTACAGGTAAATATACAATATATACACTTAGTCAGTCTGTTGGTGTAACTTGTTCCAACATCCAAGTATGAACAACTTATAAAGAGCACATCAGAGCACCTTATGCATTTATGTTACAAGATCAGCTCCTTGCCTTCCTTGGGAGAAATATCAAGATGACCATTGCAATTTGTGCAATGGTCTTAGAAAGGAATAGACCTTTCTCATTATAATCATAATGTCAAACAGGAAAGTCCAATGTCACATAAAGTTTGATAGCTCTGCAAAACTAACGAGCGACTTTCCGTGCTACACATCACTATATGAGAAAGATTCATTCTCTTCTTTTGGTGTCACAAAAGTGTTTGATGCCATAACATATTTGCCTATTTTCAGATTTCAACAAGGTTGAATACAAAATTGACAAAGACATAACTGGGTATAACAGCTTGTATGTCAACTATTGGGAATTTGGGAGGGGGGTAAGGGGGGAGGGTTCCTCGACAGAATATAGAAAATTTAAACATAATATACGGCTTATATAACCAGTTATGTGACAAATGAAAATAATACATACCGCACAGTTGTTGGTCTAACAAGTTCTCCAAATATTCGAGCACGAAGAACAGCAATCTTTCGAGCATAATTTGTGCTCATTTTATTTTTGTACAACGCACAGTGTGTCTCTAAAACCGCGTAATCAATCCTGGGCACTGGCACCAGTGTTTCTCAGTTCATTCTCTTCTTATATAGCTCAGTGTTCACTGATTTACAATGTCACTGGAGTGGTCGAAAATATTTATTTTCGATTTCAAATACGATGTTTTTTAATTTGATGATTGAGGTATGTGCCTGTGGAAGTAAATGTGCACTACATCTCAAAGTAAAATCGTAATAGCCGCATTCTTTTGTAAACGCGATGTGCTTGCAAATATATGTATAAATTTTGAAATCACACTCGAATCTCTATTTAAATTTTCATTATTATCACTTTCACTTATCAGCATTCATATCAGTAACCTATGAGTTAAGACTTCCTACTACTTTTATAAGCAACTTTAATAAATGTCCAATTTTGATTATCAATTTTAAAACAATTTTCTATATATTGGTTCTTTCTACGATTCTGGTGGCCGGTGCGTGCTATAACTGCTATTCTCAGTACTTGCCCGGACTTGAAGTTGCAGGAAATTGAAAGTGTAATAAAATGTCGCGAGAATACAGTATTTTCTATAGTAAATATTCCTTTGTGTAAACTCATGAATAATACACACTAAATTATCGCTACAATTTAAAAAATATTTCCCTCTTTGAAATCGAACAATCAAATTGCGCTTAAATAGTGCATTCCTAAAGTTTTTTGCCTAATATAAATTTGAGTGCAACAAAATACTTCCGGATGATTGGAAAAGTCGGAAATAAACATTCGTCTAAAATTTTACTATATCACTGTAAAATTTCGAACTAGCTCTTCTTGTAACGGGAAATCGTTTTATCCACCATGTAATACGGGTCTGATTTAAAATATAAGAACTTCCCCGACTACCATGAAGTTACTGAAGTTAATTAAATCGTTTGTTGAGATTATGTATCGGTTCTAATGGTGGATTCAATACGCGAGAGGCTTTCGTTAAAGTTCACGTTCCAACTGATCAAATTTGCAACTATTTGAGCACAATGGAAGGAAACCAAGACCCCGTAGGAGATGCTACTGAAGATGAACTTTCACCAAAGAGCAATTCGTTTATAAACGATCTTTTATATCGGCTTGAACAACAAAATAGGTAAGTGTATTACGGTAATACCAAGGTATTTATTATCATGTCAGTATAAATAAAGGTAAACAATTGTTTATGTAGACATAAATTTCAATTTGAGATTAATTTAGAAATTGATTAGCGGTTTTCTTCGAGGTTTTCTCCCTTGGTTTGGCGGTATAAAAAAGAAAAAGAAATATATGTGGTTTGCATCAGAATTTAATAAACTTTAATCGATTAAACAAGTCTTAAAAGTTTTGCCCTCGCGTTAAAATTATTATAATAATATAATCAGACTTAAAATTTTTCAATTTTTATATTTAATATTTATAAATCAGTTCAACGCTTAAGAGGTTAAAAGGTGATTTTTAGCCGTGCTTCTTTGGGTGAAGATACAAAGGGTCATTATAAATTTATAGAACAGACAGAAAGCATATGCCAAGTGGCATATCCGGGCGAATATCAAATATAGGTCTTCTGTTTTCGTTGGGTTTCGTTAGCTTTCAAGTGTTCCGACAAGATACTCGATGAGTTAGTTTATTGCCGTGAATGTTGTAAAGATCGATTTGTAATATTGTTACGAATAGCGGCATGTGAGTATCAACTGTTTTCTATTTGATATCATTGTTGTCATCAGGGCTGTTGAAATAACTGTCACAAATATCGGGTTAACTAAAGGGTAATCAAGTTACAATGTTAAAAATCTAAATCTGTGAAATATGATAAAAGTTTCCTGTGCGGTTTTTCGGCGTGACAGACAAGAGTAAAAGAGTGAATACTGTTATAAACTGTTCAAAATTGCTTGGTTCGGGGGCATTCAACAATGGCTGTATGGAAAGAGGTATTGTAGTATTAATACGAAGTGTGCCTTGGCAGCAAATCCAAGCCTAGTGTATTCTTATACTCAGAGAGTATTTATAACGATTATACAATATGACAACTATCTGGAGTTAACCTGTCTGTCTCAGACATTTACTGAAATGAGATGTTAAAGAGTAAGAGATTAAATGATGTTTTGTAACTCAACTGTTAATCGAAAATAAATCAAGGGAATATGAAATGTTTATACTCATAGATCACACAATATTTATATGTCTGTTGTCAATCCATATCTGTCATGCAAAAATACTCCATTGTTTTGGCACTTTCCCAATACAAGAACTAATCATGAAAATATGAAAAATCTATCACCAATATTAAACAAAGAGTAAAAATACAATTAACTTGTAAACATACTAAATTTCTATTCTCACTGAGACAGCCTTGACAATGACCATTAAATATTTTGCCAAGCCATATTTGGTTTCTGGTACTAAGAATACACATAGGGTTTGTGTGATGTCTTGGGTACTAGATGCCATATATGGATAGACTCATAGACCTATCCTGCACCCATGTTCTAAACTTCTAATAGGTGTTGTATGATAACTGATGATAACTGATGATACTGATCAGTGAAGTGTCTATAACAATCTTAAGATAAATGTCTGCAATCCTTTCTCATTTTATTTACCACAAAGCCCAACTGGCTGTTGATGGTTACTAGTCTGTGCTACCACTCTCATTTTTGTTCACTAATAAATGGTTTGTGAAGGGTATTGCATAGCAATTAGCACTAGTTCAATTTTAATTGTGAGTAGAAAAGTGGATTGATTATTAATACATAGGTAAACCACACATTCCTCTGTCTCCATTCCGACTACTGACCATGGCATCCAGAGTTCTCCTCTTCTAATCTACTCTTCCATCCATAATCCATATTTTTTCCATTTTTGCCATAGGCAACTTGAAAATGATGAACGAGCTATGCTTGGATTAACACCTACAAAGAATAACAATGTTGATGTAAAGCTTCCCTCAGAGTCAGCTGAAAGTACTGACTCTCTCTCTGATATATCATCTGTTGATGGCCTGACTGATAACTTGGAGAACTATGATGGGTTTGACTATGCCTCATTTCAAGTGTGGGGTGAGATTATCCGAGACTGGGAAGAAAATATGAAGAGGCGGCCAAAATTCATAAGAGACTTAACACACAAGGGAATTCCTGAAGCGATGAGGTGTATTGTGTGGCAATATTTTACTGGGGCATGGGAGTCCTCACTTGTTGGAAAATATGCTGATCTGATCCAGGTAACATTTATATCTTGTTTGATCCAACTTTGTATACAGGGTCTTTTACCTAAAAAACTCTGGGTACAAGCCTAGGTTTCTAGCAAATTTAGGCTGATATGTTTCTGTGGTTAATTGATAGATAGTAGCATGAGTCTTATGGTTAAGTGTGGGAAAATATGAGTATTGAAGGCATATATGATATATGCAGAGGGTTTAGGTATGGTTAATTTTGGCATTTGTGACAGGGGCCAAGGAAGCAGGGTAGCTGTGGCACCCTCAATTATAGTATATGTAGAGGGTCTGAATATATTTTTCCCACCCCACCCTCTAATAATACAGTGTTTTGAAATGCAAACTATATGTATTGCAGTAAAACATGTACCAGTTCCCTAAAGTGGCCATTTCCATAAATTCTAAGGATATAGAGGAATCCAATTTTTAAATTTTTGCCTCCTGACTGAGTCTCACCCCCAATCCTCAACATCTTCACATACCCCTGATAAGGCCTGATTCATCAGACAAGGTTTTGCCCCCTTACCCCTAGCATGTTACTGAACAATAAATAACCCCCAAAATTATGCACTGAAACCATCAAAGATTTTAGTAGGATGAATAAGAAATGCTTTATTACATTCTGGCAGCAACAATCTGCATGTGAAAGAATGATAAAACGTGATATAGCAAGAACGTTTCCAGAGCATCCACGGTTTCAACAAGAGGATGGCCAGGGACAACTAGGGCTGTATAACGTTATAAAGGTATACAATGTTTTATGAATTACATAAAATTTGATTATCATTCATTAAAGGGTTTGTTTTATGTGGTTAGTAAATTGTTCAGATGCCGCGAGGTTACGAGCGGCTGCCAGGGAGACTAGCCTATGGCTATCGGCTAAGTGGAAAATATTCGCAATAGAAAAGTCGGAAGTCATCAGGTAGTACTGCAATGGTCAACCTGCAAGCCTAACCAGGAAAAATTTTGCTTGTGAGAACTTCATACTGACCGGCAAGTTAAGAGCCCAAATTAGAAAATGCTTAATCTTTTTGCAAGTATTTAGTGGAAAAAGACCTTACGTTAATTCATTTTGACCCAATGACCTTATTTAAATCTCGGTAGCTGTTCGATTTAGATTAGGAATGTCGTTCTTGCGAGGAAACGAGGCTACCGGGTTGGATTTAATAAATTGTGATCTGTTCCTAAAACATTGCATCGTTTCTACAACAGGCTTATTCAGTCTACGACAGAGCAGTTGGTTATTGTCAAGGAAGTATGTTTATTGCTGGCATGTTACTAATGAAGGTGGGTTTTCTGGTGCGCCGAATCTTTTGTCCTTTACTATGATTTCACCGTCTCTTGGTTGGCATAACCTCGTTCTGAGGAAAGGAGTTGCTAGTTCAAAAATTGTCGAAGCTCAAAGTAGGTTCAAGAACCAAAGAGAAAAGAATCATTTGTGCATGATAACTAAACAGAAGAGAACCAAATAATTTGTGAACCAAAGAGAAACTGAGAATCATTTGTGATAACTAGTCATAGCCTTTGGTAAACCGTCAAATTCCGTGATATAGCTTGTATGTTGAACCCCAGAAGTTACGATTCACCAGCACTTGTTATTGCTGATAACTCTGTTAACATATAACATCAACATATGATTCGTGGCAAATAAAAGATATGCAGTTGTACAGTACAATATACTCCTTTACCGAGAGTACAAAAGATCAATCTCCGTCTTATCAATAAATGGATCCAGCCCCAATGGGACAAATAGTTAGGGATAGTTTTGTGGTAAAAATACTTTATGACATTTTTTATCCAGATGCCCGAGGAAGAGACATTTTGTGTGTTTGTAAAACTAATGGAAGACTACGGAATGCGAGAATTATACAAACCCAATATGTCAGAACTAGGATTGTGTATTTACCAATTAGAAAATCTAGTCCAGGTTAGTTCTATATGAATACGAAACTAATGAAATAATTTTTCCCCCTAAATTTCTTGTCTTCTAATTCCAGGAACTATTACCAGAGCTGCATGGTCATTTTAAAGCCCAGGTTTGCAATAAATTATTTTTCGATTCTCTTTTGGCTAAAAGTGAAATGTCATGCGCTATGATGACACTGTTTCCTTGTATTCCAGGGTTTTCACACGGCCATGTATGCCTCATCCTGGTTTCTTACGCTATTTTCTTCCGTCTTTCCTCTGAACGTTGCGTTTAGAATCATGGATATGTTCATTTGCGATGTAAGTTTAGATTAAGATTCAATTTTGTTGTCATTCGACTTTGCATTTATGAAGTAAAATTTGTGCGCCGTTTAGGGCCGTGACATATTGTTCAGACTCTCTCTGGCAATCCTCACACTAAGTATAAATGAACTTTTAAAGTGTGACATGGAAGAAATTCTGCAGGTGAGTGGACATGACATGCCCCCAACCCAGGGCCTTTCAACATATAGACTGGGGGCAAGCCCTAACCCCACACTCTGAAAAGAAATTCAACTTTTGTGAAGAGCTACAGAAACCTGTTAGCAGTATATCAGGTGTTATTTTATATAGTGTATGCACTGTAGACTGTAGTAAACGAGACGATATGTATGCATGAGGTAATGGAAACATGCACAGTTCTGATTTTCCTTGACATTTGTTGGTATACTAATAATGAATGTTTATGAGTGAATAATAACACCTTATTAATATAATGTCTTTCAATTGGTTGTTTTTGATCACGTGGCATTTAATAAATAAAAGTTTCCATTTTACTGACCGTGCAATGGAAAAAAACTATGCGCATGGTCTATTAAAAGACATTATATTAATAAGGTGTTATATAATATTTATTAATCACGATTGCTGACTGGTTATCCAGCTGCGATTTTGCTGCATGCATGTAATATATTTGTTTTATTTAGCACTTCCAGAAAACCATGCCAGAAAAATACTCCGACAATTTCGATGTGGTCGTTGAGGAAGCTGACAGGATTAAAATAACTTTAAAAAAAATGAAAAGGTAAAAAATTACGATGGGCAAAGAGTTTTAGATTGGAAAGATTTTATCTGATAATTCTCGCATACAAAATTTTGGGGTTGACCACAGGCCCCAGAATGATGAACTGAGCGAGGCTTACCGGTATATTGAGTCGTTGATAAGTATCTCCATTTCAGAATCGAGAGGGAGTACACTCGAACGAAATCTAAAGAAGTTGAAGATAGTGAGGAAATTCGAAGATTAAAAACAGAGAAAAGTATTTTACGACATCGTCTTGACAAACTTGAAGATGTGAGGGAACGTTTTAGTTTGTTTATGAAACGAAGTACTGAATATTACTAAGCACTGATCACACGTGATGAAATATAACAAGCACGAGTTTCATCAACTTCCAATCAACTCTCCCTCTTGTAAATGATATAACAAGCGTTTCAAAGGAGTTGTCAAGATAACATTTTATGAAAATTTACGGGATGTCGGAGTAAACCAGCGCTCTGATACGTATCCCGCCCCTAAGCGTCAATATCTTGCATACAGTATATACGTAAAATAAGTTCATAGAAATATAGGCACCGTTTTGAACTGTTTTAAAGCACGTTAGATCAGGGAGAGAGTATGGTTAAATTCTGTATTTTTTTACTTTTCAAAGGAATGTGCAGCATTAGCGAACAAGTTAGTTCAGGTAAAGTGATTTCATAGATATAAACTGAAAATATAACATATATGCATTGTTGATATTGACGAATGCATGATCATTAATATTGTTGATTACTGACATTGGTTCATAATCGTAGCCTCCTACGTCGTATACTCTGAGTAACCTCTAGTAACTATGGAACTATTTATCGATATCAGTTATTATTAAACCCTTGAGGCCAAATAAATTCATGCATGAGGTGACGTTTCTAGATTCAAAGAAATTAGCTGAGGGTCCGCCGGCGATTCTTGCCGCCATCTTAGGCGCTTTGCTCGTTTAATTGATATCAACGAGTAAATTGTAAAGTGAATTAACGATCTATTTGTATAACCTATTCACCCCTTCCTATAGTCTCCTATATAGTTATATAGCTAAGTTGCAGAAAAAGTGTTACACGGTGTTATGAAAAGGAACATTTCTTATTTTATGGATTTTGAAGAATTGACGATTATCGTTTAATAGGATCAAGTAACGAGGGCTCAAGAGCAAGAAGAAATGTACATAATTAAAAGAGAGTTATCAATATTAAATAAGCGATTTGAAAAGATGAAAATTGAGCTAGAAAGATCTATGGAGAGGGAAAATGAATTACTTAAATACAAGGTCAGCATATACATTTCCATGCATTAGGGGCTTAAAGAGGTTGGTTTATACATTCTGGAAAAACATTTGTCGGATGCTGATATCATGATAGTACAGTATATACTACGGTAAAGTTCATGTGAGGAGCTTTTGTAATTGTTCTAATAATATAGCGCGTCGCGGAATTCGCAGATTATTCTTGACCTTCTTAACACTACAAAATTATACTTTCATTGCAGGCGATGGTGGAAGAAGAAGCTGATAAACAATCAACAAATCACATGATGGTTAATCCCACTGAATTAGAGCCAAGTTAATATATATTAAATCTAAATTGTTTCCAGGGGGGAGGCGAGTTTCCAGGCGCGAAAAAGGCAGTTTTGTAAAATAATGGTTTTGTTGTGTTGTTAAAATTATCTGGCTTCCATGCTAGCTTAATTGAGTAGCTTCCATGACAAAGGGACTCATTGCTCGACTTCTCGTGAAATTATTCCAGTCTTATATTCAATTATGATAAATAGATTACGTGGATTAGAGATTCAACGAAGTTTCCATGTACAATCTATTGTCACTTAACTAACCAACAAATCATTTAAATTTATTTAAACATGGATTAATCGAGATTAATACACTGGCGATAGACAAACTAAGTTAACTAACCGCATGCATGAGAGCCGAGATGCAAAAAAAAGAAAAAACATTTTTTTAATTCCATTTTCTAAACCTGCTTCTGGCAATGCCATCAATTGAGCTAGTTCGAGCTATTTTGTGAGAAAAAGAATTTTCTACGAATATTTAAGAATGATTTTATAATATTTTAGAAGTATATATGAAGAATATATGAACAACAGTTGAAAAGATGTTCCGAAAATCTTTAACTTATTGATTATAGGTTATAACAGAGTGCATTGAACTTGTAAATATTTATTGCCATTTTCAAGAAAAAGTGCATGAACTACTGTCTTCCATTGACCGGGTTGCCATATAAGAGGGGTTATCATGCATAACCTTTTTGAAAATTGAAACAAATGGCGCTTCCTTTAAGCAGCCAAAATGGTTAAACTGGTCATTTTTAGAATTGAGTTTTTCGTTAAAAGCGATCAAACTGCACTACCCGTGCTAGGCAGAGGTAAATAACATTATACTTGAATGCAGAGTTCTTGAAATCCTCTTAACTCTCTAAAATACCAGTGATCTGTCTGTACAGAGATTCAAAAGGACCGGTCTGGCCGTTTTTATCGTACAAAGGAAAGCGGCAAAAAACCTTCTGTAACAATAATTGACTTGTTTATTAATCTGGCAACCCTGTCCATATTGTGGTCAAAGTTTTAAAATACGTTGAGAGCATACATTGAGAGTAATATTTCTTTGCAAATAGTGATTGATATTTTTCTATTAAAAAAAAGTCTTCGTTGGAAAGAGAAATTTTTGTATAAATTGTTGTATCGTAGTCGGGGAAAGAAACTATTGACACCAGCATATATATACGAAGCAGCTTTAAATAAATGTTTCTTATCCATGAGGGTGATAATGGCGCTCGAAATGTGACCAAGTTAAGAGAGGGGGAGACAATGAATCTGTTACGGAATGCAACACTATGAAAATTGTAACTGCCTCTTCAAAAATTTATCTGCTCAAGATGTCGAACCAATAAACCACACCTTAGGTGAACCAATTACTGACCAACTGAGATATTTCGATAAACAGGTTAGGCGATAAAGGTGTAGTGCATGTTTATACCATAGTCTCATCACTGTAAACCGCAGTTATCTGCCTGTGATAACTGATAAATAGTGGAATAAAAGCTCGTGGTATCAAAATGAAAGCTCATGCATGGTATCGGATGCGTTAAGGAGTAGCAACTGCAATCTTGAGGGGTTCAGTGAATTGCCATGCAGATCTCGAACATCTACAATTTGTTAATAATTCCTGTTTCGACTCGATGGGAGTTTGTTTGGACCTGTACTAGCGCGAAGTTCAAGTTCATGACCCATTAACGCAAGAATATATAAATAAACTGCTGTAAATAAACTGCGGTTGAATTGCAGCATTAATACTGTTGGATAAACAAACCTTTTCCTTTGGAGAATGCAGCTAACCAGCTAGGACAGCCTAAACTCTGAATTGTGACTATGCTGCAGCTTCCTCATAATTCGGAATTTTTCAGTCATATCCATTCACACGCAATACGCGAAAAGCTTGGGAACGAGGACTTTAAGCACTTCAATTCGACGCTGCAGGGGCCGGTTGTATGAAAGCTGGACAGATATGATTTTTTCAAAGTTATACACAACAACGTGCGATGAAAAAACCAATTCGGCTTTCATACAACCAGCTCTTGGCGTCTAATTGAAGTGCTTAAAGTTCCAACTACTTCCCAGCAGAGTTTTTTTATTGCTTTTGAATTAGTTAACATAGATATAGACAGGTTTAGTATGGCAACATGAATATATTGCTTATTAATTTATGCATATTGTATTATTTTTATTTTGAGTAATAAAAGATTATTGTTGACGGTGTTCCCCGATCTTCGCAACACAAATATATATACATGCGGGTATTAAATACTTCCTTAAATTTCAAATTCTCTTCATCTGACGACCTAACGCGTGTAGTCGTTTTGATTTCCCATTGGGCGCACCGGTACTCATGCACACAAATGGCACAACAGGAGTCCTAACCGAACATTAACTACATTTTTTTCTATCATGCAGCCACAGGTCACTTGATGAAAAGGGAACACGTACGCCATATTAAATGCATGCGAAAGATAAATGTGTCGAACTAGGTAAGACTTAAGAAGATGACACTGTGATTCTAGATATAATGTCAACCTAAGCCAGACCTCCAACATCCATCTTTTGTTAATATTTCCTGTTTTGGCGTGCAGGCGGGCATATTTTATTTAAATCCATGTAAACCTGCTAAATTTAAATTTTAATTTCACGCAATAATAATAGTCCATTACCGCTACAAGATGCAGCAATATGTTTGAATAATAATAACTATCTTTACACGCTTACAACATATAAAGGTTATAAACTTATATGAGTAACTCCAACTCCACTTGACTAATATCAGAACTAATATCAGAACACAATATATGCATACACATAATATTTCGTTCGTTTTTAGAAAGCATTCGCCACAAAAAATCAAACTGTAAGCCTTAAAGGTACGACAGGTAGACAGATAAACGATTGACGCCATCTCCTAATGGCATAGTTGATAATGTCGTCCTGATGTCTGCCTGGCCATAAATATTTAAGTATTCTAGGATGTGTCTGTCATCTGTGATATATATAGCTGCATTGAGATATACAATAAAAAACTGAACAAATTTGAAATCGTTCTTTGCTTCACGAGACAGTTCACTGCACGAGAAAGGTTCAGCAACACATAATGATATGGGTTTGGGTACTTTAACAAACAACTGACAATTAAGTTTCTATACACCCATGCCACTGGTGCGAAATTTGACTTTTTATTTTACATAATTCAAAAAAAAAAATAACAAAGCACGTTCCTGCTTCGAGGAATATTTGAGAATGATTTCAAATTTGTTCGCAACTTGTTTATCTTACATGACAGTCGGGTTTAGAAAGCTCTTAAGGTTTTAGCCCTATTTCAATTCTATGCCTATATGCATTATATTAAATTGCGTTAATTGCATATCAAAAATCTCAAAGATTTTGTAAATCAAAATTGCATATGAAAGGTTTTGATTGGTTAACTATCCCATGTATTAACTATATGGTGCATGTATACTACTGCGTACAACTAGCCTCAGGGAAAACGAATTCACATGCAGCCGGTATACCTCACTCAGCTAAAATCTCCGATTTTTCATCAGCTGTTCCTGTAATTAATTTTCTACTGCTTCCCAGAGGCAAGTCAGTGAAAAATTCCAGTTCCAGAAACGAGAACTTTCATTTTAGTTTATTCATATACTATATCCATATTCGGGATCTGCGACTGAGCTGCATGGCAGCCGCTGGATGAATGAATAGATCGTTACCATGCATATATATATATATATATATATATATATATATATATATATATATATATATATATATATATATATGCCAGTTAACACGATCTTAGCCTTATAGGCTGTGTGTTCACGAGCGTCGTTTTCGAGCGTTTTCAAAATCCCTTTTGTGTTGTTAATGGTTTTGACGCCCTGTTTCTATATTCATAAGGGGTGAAATGCCAATTATATTAAATTAACTGCAACTTCTGTCATCCTACCGTTTTGGCGTGAAGACACTTGAAAACGTTATACCGCGTGAGCACATAACAACCTTATACATGGACAATACGTTTGTTAGATACTGGTTTATATAATATTATATACGAACATCGTTATAATTATACGAACGACCCGGCAACAAGAAAGGTAGCAACTCCACCTGAACAATATATTTGTTAATGAGTATCAGTATATATATATTGACTTATAGCTATATACTGCAGAACATCATATAATAAAACTTTGAAGCAAAAGCAGTGAGATTATATCATCAGTGACTTGCACATCCATATACGTTGGCAAAAAAACGTTTTCTGGGTTTTGGATTTGTATGTGATGTATATTAAGAGGAGATGTTTTTCTATGTCGCGTAATATATGCTCAAAACCTCAGTTATATCTTCATGCAACAGCACTAAAATTTTCAGCATTAAAAATGTTTTGCGAACCTGAAAAGCATCCACAAAGTATGTTTACTGTATAATCTCAAAATATTGTGAAAATGAAAAGATTTTTCGGGATACACCGAGAAGAAAATGACACTTGAATCGAAGCTTCTTTTGTATTCATTTCAGTTATAATGGCGTTGACATTATAACATTGTTGATAGCCGCCGCATTATATTTTGTAATAACTCCTTTTTTTGGTGTTTTGCATTCACCAAAAACAGTTCAAAACTTAGTTCACAACATAATCTAAAGAATAACGGTAAAATAAATGGATTTTGAGTGGTACGCCGAAAAGATTTTAGGTTTTGAGCGTTTTCCCGCCAAAATACGGCGACATAATAAAAAATCTCCTCTTAATACTATATCTCACAAAATATTTAATCATATAGCTTTCTGCAATGTTTAAACAGCTAGCTAAAGCATAATTATAAAGATGTTTGAAGTATACATAGGCGTTATATAGCTATAATATATATATTAACTCTTCATATATGAAGAGTAATTTGTTATTTAAGAAATACTAAATATGTTTTCAATCTTTCATGCCAAATGAAAATGGAAGAAGCAAAAACAAAATAATCCTTCGTTAATTTATTATGACTTTCTATTAATATCCAAATATAGCAAACGTTGAGCTTGTGTGCATGTACGAAGATTGTTAAACTTCGGCAGACCCAAGCCATCTGCCTTCACCCACGGTTTTGAGCGAAGCACTGAAACCTGGAATGATGATAATAATTATAAGTGTTGACTGAGGGAAAACTCTTCAACAAAATTTGACCGATTTGCTCAGAATCAACTGACGCCGATTTTCTTCAACTTTTTGACAACACAAGTGTTTGAATTGGTTTTTCGTAATCAACCTTTTCAGTCACGTCTTCTTCTGCTACAGTTTTATCTGTGTGTTTAGTGAATAACACCATTTTCTTTACCAGTTTCTCAAAGGCGCAAAGTAGCCTCGATCTGTCACAGGATATTTATATAAATGCACTATAGCTTCACGAAGTTTAAAACAAAGATAGCTGGGGCCGGTTGTTCGAAAGGTGTTTAGCTTAAACGGCGGATAAACCAAAGTTTAAAAATGCTCTCATACTCGGCATCTTGTGAATGACTGAAACTACATTTTATGCATTTAATACGTACTCCCAATGACAATTAAACTATTTACATCGAAATATTTCAGCTCAGTTGTTCAATAAATAGATAATTTGGTTTTCCATTTTTAACTTATCCACCGTTTAATCTAAACGCTTTTCGAATGTCTGTCTAAATAGGATAACTGTTTGTATGACTATAAAAAACATCTGCTAGCAATACAGTGAAGTTTTTAAAGGTAATTTTAAGTTTCTAGCTAAAAATTGCTATAAAGTAGCTGTATCTTTATAGCAAAATAGATGTATGCTCGACCCCTGGAGAGTTCGAGCTGGCATATGTAGAATTTGACTATAAATCCGTTTCCGACGAATAGCTACTCCATCCCTGCAGTCCAGGTTTAGTTCTTGTTTGTACTGTACAGGATAATTAAGAGTCACATCCGTCCATCGGAAAATGTATTAATGGGAATTGCTTTATTGTGTCAGTATGTGTCCTATAATTGCAGCTGGTAATTTCAAACACTGCTCCTTGAGGACCGTTTTCATAATTTAGACGTTGATGAGCGACAAAGGCTGTCAAAATGTCCGAACCTGAACCATCATACGAACCTAAACCAAAATACGAACCAGAGCCAAAATACGAACCAAGTCCTGAATTTGGAGAACCAGAAAGTGAATGGCTCTCATATCCGAACGCAGAACCTCAAGTTGATCTGTCAACAGCGAACGAAGCCTTGCGGACGGCATTCAAGGTTCACTGGATATTCTTTGCGATATGTTTTTCTCTCATAGTACTTTATAACGGCTACCAGTTATACAAAACCTATAAGCGCAGTAGGATGGCAAACCGAAGCTATATTTCAATAGTCCAGACCCTTGTGATTTTACTTGGAGTTACAAGGGTACTAGCTTTGAGTATTTCACCATACGAGCTCATAAGCAATACCCCAAAGCGAGTTCCTTACGTCATTCTGCGTTTGTTGTTTGCATTTGGCTTCCCTTGCCTTTTTTCTGGTTTTACGTTTGTGCATAAGATCTTCCTGAACGTGAGCAAGGTGCAAGTGATCTCGCGAAATGTTCTCGGAAACAAATTGGTTGCGGTTGTTCTTATTCTTCATTTCATCGCTGTGCTGTCTTCGGAAATCATCACAAGTTATGTTTCAGGGACAGAATTTCTGCTCGTTATTTGTGCATTTTATTATTTTACCGGTTGTCTGGGCATCGCAACGAGTTTGCTCTTTAGCGGAAGACGTGTTGTTGTGAGAATGCGAAAAGTCCAAATGAATCTCAGCAAAATGAAGCCAACTGGCATGAAAACTGGCGAGTCTTCTCCTCCAGGAATAATTCCTAAAGATAAAGCAGTTGAAGCGACAGCGAAAGTGATTAGAATTACAGTTTTGGCGGCTGTCTTCGGATTTTTGTGCGCACTTTTGTATATTTATAACATAGTATGGGCGATTCGTGCAAGCATTGGCGACACAGCCAAGCCTGAAGCTCGTACCTGGTTAACTGTGAACACGTTTCTGCGACTTTTTGAGTTGTTTTTGGCTGCAACTATGAGTTACGCCGTTGGATCCGGCTATCAACGAGACGCTCACTCAAAGATTAACGTATCTCGCTGCGACGATACAGTTACTACGACACCACAGTCATGAAACAATATACAAGTTCCTTTCACTGATGATGCATGATGATCACGGATGAGACTCTTCTGAATAAATATAAACGAATATCTCAAAATATACCTCGTATATATCGATATAATCTATACTTTAATATCCTATATAGAAAACTAGATCTTGATAGATAGACAATATTAGCATATATAGGTACGCATCACATATGAACTGATATATAGGGGCCTATATATATATGCCTGGAACTACGCCGGTAAGGAGGCGCTCTATCGGCAATATTCTGGTAGTCGGGACTGCGAATAAAATGCTTTGTTATTTCCGAAATTTTTCATCTATGAATTATAAAACAAATTATCAGAGATCAAAAATGACTGATGAATTTGGAGATACGGTGACGAAGCTTTCGGGGTTTTCTGGGGTTCTTGCATGGTTCAGTCATGCATGGGCCATTTCAATTTTCTAGACTTCCACGAAACTTGCATGTGCGTATTCGACAATGATTTTATATTAGTTAAGATTAAAAGGTGTTATTTTGCATACAGCATTCTAAATTTGCAATGTTTTGCAGGTTGTTTCATTCACGGAGTTGAAAATTATATCATGTGATTTGTAATAGTATAGATGTATTGACTAATAATTGTAAATATATGCACCAGTGTTAACGACGAATTTATTGAATCGATAATCATCCATTCTTTCATGAAACCGAGAATGTTTTTAAAATGAAATTGAAATATATATATTCGTCTCATTGCTCGCTGTTGATATATATATACATATATATAAAATTTAATTAAATTTTACTCAACAACTTTACAAATGCCTAGCAACCGCTGCATGAGGTATACTATAGATATATACTTGTACAGAATTGCTGGAGAATACACGCCAGATAAGGCTTCTTCATTTTACCGCTACAAATCAACCTTCTACTTTTTCGGAAGGTTTAAAGAGTCATACGCCCTTATATCTTCCCAACATCTCCGGTGCAGACTTCCTCCGGGCAGTTTCGTCTAAAGTTAATTATGTTATAAGCAAAACACTCTCATTTTAGATAATTGTGTATAGTTGTTAACTACAAGCTGCTATTCCAATGAACGAAAGCTAACGAATTAATAAATAAAGATCGAACTCTGCTGTGCAGCTCCTTCATCTAGTAAAAACACAGGTATAAAAACAATGGATAAGTTCAAAAGCGCTTTAGTTACGAGTGATTAAAATCATTATCATTTATCATGCATGATAATATATAGTTGTCTTTGTTTCCCAATTAAAGAACCTGCGAAGCAGCCTGTAGATTTGCTTTTAATTTTAAATTTTTATCACTCAAACGACCTACATCCCGTTCAGCTAATTAAACCCAATGAAGTCAAATAAGACTGGAACGCTAGATGAGCCTAGATCTCTGACTTTCCCTCATTAATGAGTGAGGCCAAGATGGTGGAACATGAAGACTTTCTTGTAGGTATATGACCCAGGCCTCTGGCACGGAAATTTCAAAGGTACGAAATTTCCGCGTTGAGGCCTGGATCATACCTACAAATAAGGCTTCATATTCCGCCATCTTGGCTTCAAATTTTTCGCAGAGCTAGTGAATAACCTTGTACCCAGGGTTACCTTCGCAGAATTGCCACGTTCATGCCATGGTTTTCGATTTTCTTTAAGGAGTATATTTTAATAAACCTGCTCTACTTTTAAAAGTAGAGATGAACAGTAATAGTTGCTGAGCATACATAGGTTTTTACTGGTAGTGGTAGATGATGTATTTAGATCCGCTATTTCTGTCTCATAACTGAACATTTTATAGGTTGTGTTGGTTGGTCGTGGAAAAATGGCGTTCACTCGAACATTGTCTAGAAGCACATCTAAATATAGCCCTTTGCCCCGGTTTCTTTTCAGTTGTTCAGCTGCCATTTTTCGCGAGCTCATTAACTAGATTGTTCAGCCAAACATGGCTCAGACTATTGATTGCCGCTGTTTCAGACGATCTTGAGTGTAACAGGGTGTAGAGTCGGCTTTTTTGCATCTGCTCCCATAGTTACGCCGGTTTAAGAAATTGTATGAATTCCGTTCTAGTGCATCATGAAAAACCTTTCTGCTTTGCCAGCATTGGCTACCTACCGCTACTGAATACCTTACAAATGGCGCTTTGCTGCTACACAGGAATCTGCATGGAATATTCTTGGGATTATCTGTCGTTAAAGATTCTAGTAGGCAACAGTTTGAAATCCAGGACACATGCAGTCTCCACAGCCATAGTGCGCAAGTTAATTGTTATTGTGGTTGGTAAAAGCCGCATCGTGTCATTTTGTGTCGTGCACTGCCTGAGTACCAACATTTTCTATTGTCATTTACGTTTTTATATACTTTAAATTGAACAATAACAACATGATTTTATGATCTAGTGTAGCCTGTTCAAACAACTGTGTATAATAAGCTGAAATTTAGGTGCTATTTAATAGTAACAAAACAAAGCTCTTTAAAAAATCATATAAAATTCTCTTACAAGACAAACCTCACGGATAAAAAATGCCAGAGTGATTAACAATTAGAATTGCATCTTCTCGGCCATATTTGTTTGTCTAAAGGTCTGTTCACACGATCCAATTCACTTCTGACGTATGAAATGTAGTCTGTTATTTAGTCTGTTATTGATAAAGCAGTACTGCATTGGCTTCACTTTGCTGCCCATAAACATCAAAAGACAACGGACTATAAAACATCCATCAGAAGTGAATTGGATGAGTTGGATCCAACAAAATTGGATCGTGTGAACAGACCTTATGATACTTGACAACGGATTAATAATTCAGGAAGTGAAAAATATTATTACCTAATGATTCAAATACTTTTCAGTTGTTAGGGACTTGTTCAAAGGCAAAGCATGCGATACACACGCACGCACGCTAAATTTAGTTAAAAGAGTTTGAAAAGTGGACATGGACATAGGTTTCGAGATATCGTTTCTGTCGCTAAAAACGGTTAGACTTATTTGAATGATTTAATTAAGCAATCGCAGCTCAATATCTGTACATCTATCGTGAGGACCGACTGTGTGTTTTGTGTATATAATCCGAATTTCTTAATTATTTTGAACTTCATTGCTTCAAAATAGTCTATATATGTCTAAATTACAGTCGTATAATAATTTGAAACAAGATGACAGACTAATGTTATGACATGGCGATAAATTATATTCATGCGTTTGCCTGACTAGGTTGACTAAGTTGACAAATTCAATATTGAATTTTAGCTTACGAACTGATATAGCTTAAATGTAAAATTAATTTTAAAGCGGTAAATTAACAGTTTGCCATTCAATAACCTTTTCACAACTAATATCATATGGGTGTGGGTGTATTATACATGCACGACACGTCCATATCTACACGTGCATATCAAACTCTTGTAGTACAAATTGGGACATTTGCCCTAGCTAGAGTCTAGTCTCTTTTGAGAGCAATACCGCGCGGCCATAAACAAAGATGGCGTTGAGATCGAAGCGAATTCATGAAGCGAATTTTGAAGCCGGCCCATCTCGGCGTTTTGCCGATGAATACATTAATAATAATGAGTTTTCGTCCGCAAACACGTCAACTAAAAGAAGATTCATAGCCATAGGTTTCTCCGTTCTTTTGCTCAGTGCCTCTCTTTTGATAAAGTATATATGAGTAAGCTGAAATATAGACACAGAGTGTTTATCAACTCCGAACAAAGATATTTTAAACTTTTAATATGGACAATCATCAAAAATTTATAATTTTAATACTTACTTGCTTATTTCGTAATTAAAAGAAGGAACTGTAGTCCGTAGAAAAGGCGTACTTTGTTCGTATTCATGCTCTATCCCTTCGACGGAATGAATTTATGAGGTAAACAAAACCAAAATCGAGAAAGAAACCCCGAAAAACCGAAGATATAGAGCCATTGGTCCACTCTTAATTCGCTTTGAATATGTATGAATTTGGTATCAAAATTTGCGCCAAATCATGTAGATTCCAAAAATGGAAGTAACTAGACGTCACAATGTATTGCAACAGCGCTAGCTCCAGTTTCCCTCTCACTTCCGCCGTGAGTAGGTCACTCAGCGGTGAAATTCTATAATAGCGGCGTACTAAAAAACCCCAAAGTCCAGGTCTAGAACGTGATGAATCTGTATGAAAATTGCATTACCAGACGTGCCGAAGGTGAAATTTTTAAATCCCGCTGGTAACTAAGATGTATTTTTTACGCACAACGCACGAGCAGGAAAAAACCACGAATTTTGAGTCAAATAATATAGCCGCGCAGCTGGAAGCGCGCTAACTTGAAACACGATATACCTTTTGTCTACACAGAGTTTGATATGCATGCATATTCATAAAACAGAATAGAGAATTGACTGAGCATGTATTCGGCTAATATTAACTGAATACTGCTATAGTTATGAGGCATTAATTCTAGAAAACAATTCTCTGTCTAGGATGCGTGGTTCATTGTAATTCTCTCTTGAAAAACCGTGTTGTTGCATAGCAGTTTGGGTTTCCTACCGTGGCATAAGCTCAGAATGCAGAGTGACAGGCATAGTTAAATAACACAATGATGCATGATCGATAAAAAAACATGATGGAGGAGTTAAAATGTTGAATCATGCATTACTGACAGAGTAAGAGTAGTGCAGTTTTCTAAACATTAAATATCTTTTACAAATCGGTTCTGTGAATATTAAGAAAGTCAAGCTCTCAAGCAATGGATTGAGAAGTCCTGTCACATAATGTGCACCTCGAGTTAGAATAAAATTTTCTACTAGCTCTTTTTATGGACTACTTTTCTGCATTTTAAAGGCCTAAACTGGCAACAAAAACAACAAGTGATGCTTGATCACAAATTGCTACATTATAGAAGATCTAGACTAGATCTTCAATCGTAATAATTGTAGTAGGGTATACTATGTCTACAGATATTACACCCAGATATTAAAACATAACATTTTCATCTAATCTTCCTTAAATTGTTTTAAAAGTTCCCTTCCTGAACGACTAAAAAGCTTACGATTCACGACGTAGCCAGCTCGACGACGCGCCTGCAAAACAAGAAAACAACATAGGCGAGATCGAGACAATAGCTATCGGCATTATTTGTGGTCACCCGACCGTAGATCCCTGCTAATTAAATCAGAAAAACTTAATAATAGTGACCTGGAGACAGTAAAATATTCTGCTTTGGCAACTGCGAAAGTTAATAAAGCATGCTTAAGAACGTTTTTACTGCTCTAAAACTGAAAAATTCACTTTTCATGAATGTTTGTATAGTATGTAATAAAACTATTTATTTATTTGTAACTTGCTTCAATGAACTGTTACGTTTATGGAATAAAAATAGGAAAAAAACAACAGAAAAGTTTATTCCACCAAAAATCTTGATTAACAAAATGAAGGTGTTACTTCAATAACTACGCAATCAGTTACTTCTATATCATATTACAGTTATCAGTTATGTTATATAATGTTCTTTGTGTGATAGATGTAATTGTTTCATAAAACTGGCCTAAGACGTAAAAGTTAAGAATAAAACTTCTCACAAAGTCTCTTAATTCAAGTCACCCTGAGCGACTGGCAATCCCATATGGACACGAGGCTTGGTTCTGGCATATCCATAATAGGCATAAGATTGAATTTCCTTGTTTTCTTCATCGTCATGGTGACGCCCACGTTTTTAGTGACAGTATTACCATACCCACCAATAAAACAAACGCCGAACACTCAAGGTTAAGGAATAATCACACGTGATATGCCGGCGGCAATGCGTATAAAAATCCGCGTTTGGTGACCAGGGACTCATTCGCAAACTAGCAGCTCAACGACAACGGTGAAGACAAGACAAAAAGATATATTTAAAGATTTATTTCAAACTGATAAAGAAAATGAAAAACATTGTATTTTTATTGGTTGCTTTCCTTGGAATTTTATGCAATTTCAGCGGAACTGAAGGTAAATAATTAACTTTTCTGATCGTTATCAACCACGCTAATCGCCATAATTGAGCTTGAAATTAAGATAAGGAGTTCAAGTACTAAACACTGTACGGAGTGTACGCTATTTCCTCAAGCATTACGATTTCTAGTGTTGCATTACAACTTCTGATTGTATAAAACTCTTTAACAACATTACCAGGTTACATACACACTAGTTAACTCAGAAATGCACATATAACTCTGATTGGCCAATTCTATCATACAACTGGCCCCTGTTGTTTAATTTCAATGTAAGTATAGCAATATTACACAGTATTCTTATATGTTTGTTTCAATCCTTTCACAGCTTGTGGTGGTTGGTCAAGAAAAATAAGAGGCAGAAATCCTAAGATTGTCGTAACGACGAAAAAACCAACAGAGATGACCACTGAAGCCATGACCAAATTGACGGAAGCAACAAGACCCAGTGAACCCGAGGTAACTACACCAAAGGCACCCACCGAAAGGGAAATCCCAACCGAACCCGAGGTAACTACACCAAAGGCACCCACCGAAAGGGAAATCCCAACCGAACCCGAGGTAACTACACCAAAGGCACCCACCGAAAGGGAAATCTCAACTGAACCAAAGGTAACTACACCAAAGGCACCCACCGAAAGGGAAATCTCAACCGAACCAGAGGTAACTACACGAAAGGCTACCACCAAAGCCGTAATGGCAACTGAACCCAAAGCCGTGGAACCAGACGCCAATATCATCGAGCCATTAACACGCCCGACGTCAGTTCACAAGTTCTTCAAACAGTCAGCATTTGTGAAAAGCACTAAAGATGAGAGAACGTGCAGTGATGTTAAAGGAGAATGCAAAGTAGACTGTGACGTTCAGACGGAGTACGTGCAGGGATCATTTCAATGCCCCGTACGAGCACCACTTTGTTGTGGTAAGAGATAACCACTCATAACCTTGAACTCGTAAAAATGTGTGCAGTGCATGTGATGTAATGAGAACTGAAGCGATATCGATAAATGCGAGTCGACGAATGACATAACTGTAACGAAATTAAATGATTCGCTTTAAAACCTTGTCTCCTCACCTGGGCCTGGGGTCGGTTGTATGAAGATGCTAATGACATGTGTTAAATCGTAGTTGACTTTAAAATATTCGATTCTTATTGGCTAATTCTGCCACTAACTATATAGTTAAAATAGTTATCTCTTCATACAACAGGCCATTGCTTACATTACCTCTACGATCAGACGGATTTGCATGCAAAACACAAAAAAATTCTTTTTCATCATCTAGCTACAATCATACAAACAAACTGGGGCAAGCTGTAAAAACGTTGTTAATAAGATTAAGTGTAGTGTACTTAACTCATTGGAGGGAAGGTAGGGTCCCAGTGTAAATGAACGCGGGGTCGAAATTTATGTCAATTTATTGTATGGTCTATGGATGACAAAAATTACTATATTAAACGCCATAAAAATATTGTCCAGTTTCCATGACATGTACTCCAGTCAGTAAATTAAAGTGCATGACAATAATGAGAAATTAATCTGTAATAAACTATATGAAATTAAAATTAAAATAAATTGTATTGAACGAAGTGGATTAATATCAGTGATAGCGGCTAATGGTTGACCCTTTTGAAGTGGTTATATATGTCGAGAAATGACGTGTGTTGATGCATGTATGCATATTGGACCAACCGCGATATTTTTATAAATGTTGATTGCCAAGTTACTTGATTTTACTGTCGATAAAGCGTGTGATTGCCAATAAAGCGTTTGCAATGCTTTGGCTACGATATGTTTGTCTTATCCTGAAATAAGATAACTTTGTTAAGTCTTTGAATAAATTTGTAAGAGGATTTCACAAGAGCTGGGAGGTTTTTGGTTATTGTTACTATTCTTTGTTTGCTATTCCTATCACGTGACTGTTCCCCACAAATGACGGCAATCAAACAACCTCGGGGCGTTTCTCTTCCTTTAGTGGCAACCGAAGTACGATAAACTGTGAAGCAATCCATATTTTTGAGCTGAAAATGTCACTACACTCCACCAAAACACTACAACATCGATTTCCTGTCCTATCCTCCCGTCAACTTAAACCATTCAATCACGTCATAGCAAATTAAAAACGGTATAAAAACATACTCCAGGGTCCTTTATAACTATACTGTACGAGTTTACACTATATTTGCCCACATTTGACTCCCCCTTATATAGGCAAGAGCTCCTGAGGAAAACGAATTATGTATGACGGCCGTAACATTCAGCCACAGCCTCGATCTTCCAAGGGGAAGGACCATGTTTATCCACGAACAATGTGTCATCAAGCTTTAGGTCAAACTATGAATTACAAGAGTTTTTTATCTGTGCTGCAGACTGCAGTACATGTTTATTCATGATATCCACACACAACAATATCAATTTTATTGCCACTATCTTTCGTCGGGGTTTGAGAAGTTTGAGCGCTACTAAAATCTTCATCACAATTACAGAGACCAAGTCGTGTCAGTAAAAATCTAATGGCACCCCAGTGCTGGAATACACGAAAGAAAACTTTGACTCTGGGGCCGGTTGTATCAAGCCCATTTAGCTTAAACGGTGGATAAGTCAAATTTAAATAACACTCTTACATCTCTTTTGAATGAGTCAACTTGAATAGCAGCTCTTAGTTGAAATAAATTCCGTTGGCGTTTCATTAGGCTCATTCGCATGGGGTCATAGCAGAGGGGTCATAGCAATTAAGCAGTAGTGGTTGTTCGATCCAGCATACCAGAGTAGTTAAAACCAGGGTTGCTAGATTACTGAGAAAAGAAGCGAAACATTGTTATATAGTCGGCCCTTTGATTTCTTTGTTTGAAACAAAGAAAACAACGATTATGGTAATAATATTTGGCTAATTTATTTAGTAATCTGGCAACCCTGGTTAAAACAATTAATGATGCATGCATATTGTCTGAAGGACTGAGGTGTTTTGACTGACTGGATCCATTTCAGGTTATTCTCAGGCAGCGTCATGATGCTGTAAAAAACGCCTGGTTATACACCAACCTTTTTATACGTTTTCAGTCCACTATAACAAAAAGTAGATTTCAAATTATACGAAAAAGTATTTTAAAAGTTTGAGAAGTTCAGAATAACGGTTTCTAAGCGTTGAGATGAATCCTGTCGCAGCCCAATTTCTCGCACGGGATCGATCGACATTGGCATAAAAATTAATTTGCGCAAGATACAAGTACGGTGTTCATCGCTGCAAGAAATTCCCACGACTGATTGTAAATACAAAGTATAGACGTGCTAGCAACTGGCAAAACATATTTTCCCATAATTATAGGCGGTGAATTTCACTGACGGAACTGTTTAGTATTCCCTAATAATTTACCCGGAATACTAACCGTATATGCTATGACGTTATTGTCAAGAGCGTGGGCTCCGTCAAGTGATGCATCAAAAAAAACATCTAGCAAGTCACGCTATCCTAAGCGAGCCTAACCATCCCAGTCAGCGTGCGTCAGCTTGAATATACTACATGTAACTATGTCTTACAACAATACGTTAATTTTTTATGTGATTGTAGCCTTTAGAAACAAACTATTTAAAACAAACCCTGCATGCAACTATAACACTTAACTCGGACGTATGCACTTAAAACTATTATCAGCTGGAGTGCCTTAATTATACTTTTTATAATGCAATGGATTTAGAGCGCAATTATGCGCGGAGGTTCCAAACATGACCGACAAGTTAGCAGATGGTAAGTCTTACGTCCTACATTACCTAAGTAGATACACGCCCGAAAAGTCGCCGTAACGCTTACAGTAAAAATAAGATGGAGACTGAACAATACATGGTGACGTCTAGACGCTCTTTCCTTCCTTTGTATACATAAAAAATTACCATACGCACATTTCTTTTCTCTTCGAGGTTTGTCCAGCCAGAGACGGTTGAAGATGACATCATTCTTTCCATTTATTTGGCCCCCGTTCAAACGTTACCTTTCTCGTGCGTTCAAGCTATGCCCAAAATAAATGACCAAATTTTCATTTGGATCAGACCAGAATTATACATATAGAATGCCAATAACGCATACAATAGATTTCAAAGGATCGAATTTTTGTGGGAACCCAGTAGAGTTACCACTCATCTACAACGTGCTAACAAGAACATTGAGGTCATCATGCATTCAAGGATAATCCACTCTTTTCAGCGTCACGCCCTAGCTCTGACACAAGATTTGGTATGAAAACTTGAAATCGAACATTCATTGGAGTCATAGGGTCGAGTGGAAATACAAAAAGAAAAAGGGCGGCTCTATAATCTCTTCAGTACACAACATAACTCTTGCCAAGAGTAGCAGGCTATGAGCTAAAGAGTTTAAGAGGCAGTTGAAATACTATCCGCGCTCGAGAGATACTTGTCTCTATACCTCGAGCTCGACAAACGAGAGAAAACTAATGAGGGTAACTGGCCGCTCTTCAGCTCTCCTGCCGGGCAGGCTTTACATGGGTCAGCTTAAAAATACTTTTTCTAAGCAAAATCTGTTTTTAGTTAACTTTATAACGCTCAATTAAATATTCGGTATCATTTCAGATCTCAAAGGGGAGCCAATAAATTTAAACGATTCTTTGTTTAAAACATAAATCTGAATACATCCGGTTCAGGACTTACGCAGGAAACATCCAGGCATGCCTTCTACGCGGATATTAAATCTTCACAAATGCAAGCAATTCTGAGAGCAAGTAAAAATATAGAATATATCTACAATCAATGTCGTAACTTGTTACGTTTATTTAATGTCTTCCTTCACCATGCAATTTACCCGTCCAATATAGCTAACCATTCTTTGTCTCTAATGTCTATAATGTTGCAACAACCTCTTTATTTTACATTTCAAGGGTATAGGAATTTTAATCTATTTTAGCACTTCACCAGGACGTTATCTGATATACTCAATATACTTAAAATTTCTTTGCAACAAAAATTATCTTTATATATAAAATACCAGTTATCTAGAAAGACGTAGCAGACAGAGAATCGATCAATTCACATTTCTTATAGCCATGTGCAAGGCGTTTCACTAAGTTGATATATTCCTAAATTCTATATGCATGCGTCATTATTTGTCATGGAAGGATTCTTTCACACATACAGCGGATGACTTCAAACAACAGGAAGGGAGCTCGTATGAAAATCTAGAAATTAATTTCCTAATTTGGATAACCAGGGAAACCAATGCATGGGCAAGCTTACAAGTGGCCTCTCAAGGTCGCCCTAAGAGCGTCATCACAGCAGATATAAAGGCCCAGAGATGTTGCGATTTTATTAAAACAACAGCATCTCAAGCAAAAGACCACATCAGAGTTTGGAATACGACATTATTGATTTAAAGATGAACAAAGCTCTGGTTCTATTCATCGTGATTTTGAGTGTTATAGTTGTATTGAACGAAGGTATGTTCGTATGTTCAAAGTACTACAGAGATCATATAAGAAATTCCCATATTGCATGCAGACAACGACAACGTGTTTTTACAGTTACACATATAACATACACGCGTTAAAATGTCTTTATATGAATGGATAAACAAAATGTTTCTAAATTAGTTAGGATTTTGAATTCATTTGTTTGATCTCTTAAACTTTCTGTATACCGGCACAGGAAACCTGAATTGCCTGCAACTTATATTATAAAGGAGTATTTTGTTAGAAATTTTGTGTTTTGCTAAGAGAACTAAAGAGTCAACGTAAAGCTAATGTCCTGTAATTTTCATTGCTTTTTCTTGCGACCATCAAATTCATTGCACTGAAACTCCGCACGGCGCATCTGATCCCTAAGCTGCGAGTGCATTATAAAATGATGGAAAAGTTGACCGTATGAGCAACATTAGCTACCTGCATGCCTGGAGAACCTACATAGTGATCGATCACTAACACTTATAATTCTGTATTTTCCAGCCTGCACATCGAGTCACAAGCCAAATCCACCATCTCGCACGAAATATGCAAAACGACAGAATGGACGATATCGTATTTTTAGTTTCGCTATGGTCACAAAGAAACCTCTTCCAGCTAAGTTATGCAATGAACCCAACGAATGTTTGATACAATGCGGGAAAACAAGATACATTCTGGGAAAATATAACTGCAGTGGGCTGGAATATTGTTGTGCTTCTTATTAATTTACAACGGAGTGAACATTAACTGAAATACACTTTTTGTCATGCAAAACTCATGGCGCAATAGTTCGTAACTATAAACAGTAACACAAGAATCTAATATATAGTTTTCTATTTATTTTACTACAACAATCAAAATGCTGTTGCCAGAACTGTAGTATGATTATTATCCGGCAGTATAGTCTAATGGCAAATTCTCAAGGTCAAGAGCAAAAACGATCGAGTTGTCAGAGTAGTGTGTTTTTTTACACCTGCATCGTAAAAGTAGACCGATTAGCTTTTGAACCGATCTTGAGTAATTTGCATGTTTAGGAAACACATGTAGGTTTAGGATATTCATTAAGGGTAAAGGCATGCATATAGGTGAAGTATAGTAGCCTAAACCGGACATTAATATTCAAAGAATGAGTGAATGACCAAAATAAATTGGGGTTTACAGAGAATACTTCGTATCTTCATCTATTTGTCCATAAAATGCTTATCTTCTACAGTTACAAAGTTACCGTCCAAAGACCACAACACCGTGTGAACATGCAGTGTTGCATCATGCTCTAGCTCTTTGATGATAGCTCTTCAATCTATAGCGCTTATCTTAAAATACATTATGCCTGTATTTATAGCCATTATGACGCTATACATGCATGCCTGTATTTGTTCCGCCTGAGATTGTCAAATAAGACAGATTAAATACACTGGTTGAAATCAGTAATTTTAGAACCCGGCATCTTAGACCAGCTCCGTTCCACTGAGTTCAAGTAATGTAGCTAACTAAGATGATAAGATAAACTTCACCACCGAAACTGCGAAAGCCTCCATGCACCCGCATAGAAAATAATACTTAAGTCTGGTTCTCACGTCACCGACGGTCGGCGATGACTCAGTTGTCGGTGATCACTGGAGAATAAAGTGCTTTGTTATTTTGTATA